ACAGTCCGTACACCCGAATAATCAAGGCGCGGAGTTCATAGAGTCCAGAGAGAAGGAATGAGTTGGGGTGCGGAGAATCGAAAAGAAGATGGAAAGAGCATTGGGATCAGAGAGGGCTGCCGCATTTAGTCGGACCTCAAGCCTTTCTGCGGCGGAGACGCAGCCCTGAGGGAAAGGCGAGGTCACAGGGCTGCTCAGTGATTTCCCGACTGAGAGGAGTCGGAAATCTGCGGAGCGGACGCGTTGGCCCTGCGGGCACGGCGGGTGCGCGGGCAGTCCGCTGCGCGGTGTCCTGAGGCAGCGCAGACAAGGCAAAGGTTGTTCCGCATGCGACGTTCGCGCTCCTCAGGGCGGAGGCGACCATTAGCGTCCAGGTTGTTGTTCCAAGGGCGCTGCTGGCCACCGCCCTGACGGTTGTTGCGGTTGCCGCCTCCAGAGGAGTTAGCGGAGGAGGCGGAGGGCGCGGACGTAGAAGCGTGCGGAGCGGAGGGTTGCCGTTCTTGCGGACGGCGGAAGTTGTTGCGGGAATGAGGGTGACGAGAGTGATTGTTGCGGAAATGTGAGGGGGCGGAATGATGCGGAGTGGAGCTGGAAGAGGAAGGACCAGGACCACCGGAGGAATGATTGTTGCGGGGGTGCGGAGCAGGGTTGGATCCGCGGTTGGTGGTGCGGAGTGCGGCCTGCTCCTTTTTGATCTCCTCCTGGCGATCCAGGTAGCGCTCGTCGATCTTGAACACCTCAACCTGGAGGTCCGCAAGGGTTGCGGGGTTCTCCCGCTTGGAGAGCTCGTTCTTGATGCGGTCGAGGAGTCCATTGTAGTACTGGTCGCGGAGCGGCTCCTCATTCCAGTTGATCTTCGCCGCAAGCTGATTGAAGGCCAGGTTGTACTGGTAGGCGCGTCCGGTCATCTTGAGCGCCTTGAGCTTGCGGGTTGCGTCCTTGATGGGGTCCTTGGGTCCAAACACGCGGATCAGTTCGTCCTTCCATGCGCGGAAGCTCTGGAACCAATCCGGGACTCGAGCGTCTCCGCGCGCGCGGGCGGCCGCAATCTTGTCGCCAAAGTAGGCATAGGCGTCGCCCTTGAGGTAGGTGAGGGCTGTTGCGACGCGGTCCGCATCATCGCGGAAACCGTCCTGGTACCTCCCGAAGTAGAGGGTGAGCTGGGTGATGAAGTTGTCGAGTTTGTCTGGGTCCTCCCCATCGAAGGGCTCAGGGGGTCGTGCCTTGGGGCCCTCGCGCGGCCTTGTGAGTGCGGCCTCCATGGTCCGCGCGAGGCGGCGGTTGGTCCGCGTGAGGCCGGCGAGGAGCCGACTGAGGAGTTGCGGAACGTCCGGTTCGTCGTCCGCATCGGAGTCAGATGAATCCGAGCCGTCATTTCCATCGTCCGCAGGGCCGCCGGGTGGACCGCCGGGTGGGGGCCCTCGATTCGACTGAGGAGGGCGACCCGGGCCCTGAGGTGGTCCGTCTCCGCCCTGCGGAGCGTCTGCGGGCGGCTGCCCGTCATCCGAGCCTGGAGGGTCTCCACCCCCGGCAGGCGGAACAGCAGGGGGTTCGTACGGCGGAGCGGGGTCGTTGGAGCCTCCCGCAACCGCGTTTGAAGCGGTGCGGAGGGGTGCGGGCGTGACATAGGATAGGTCCGCCGATGCGGACGGTTCATCGACTGTTCTCCCCTCGCCGGAAAACGGGAGTAAGGCGGCGGTGACTGTGGCCTCCTCTCCGCGTTCCTGCGCTGACTGCGAGGAGAGTCCGCCGGGAAATTGCGGAGTGTTTGCGGAGGCGGTCCGCGTCTGGACCTGTGTTGCCATCGGGTTTCGGTAGACAGAGGCCGATGTAGCGGGCCCAAGGAAGGTTGCGGGCGGACCCCAGATTGGCTGCTCCTGGGGCCGCGGGGCGTCAGGTTGGCGGAAGTTGGGTGAAAAGGGATTGTGGAGGGGGTCGTCGATGACAGGCGGATGTCGACGATGATGTGTGGAGATTGAGTAGGAAAACTCCGGAGGGGTTTGCGGACGTTGGAACACAATAGAGTAGTTAGTGCTCCTGGTGCGCATACCACAGCGTGCTGATCCGGAATCTACTGTTAGACTCTACGGAACTGCGGAGTCTGCGGAGTCGAAGGGACCTTGGCCTCAACGTATTGCGTTGTGCCCACGCTAGTGGTATATGGTCCAACCCGAAAGGAGAGGGGAGGAGAGGGAGAGAGAGACGCGCCTTGCGGCGGAAGACGAGTAGAGAGAGGAGAGAGCCTTGCGGAGCGGAATCAGGAGCACTGTGCGGATATGCGGAGTATGCGGAAAGCTCTAGCAAGCCGAAAGGCTCAAGACTGGACAGAGGGGAAGTTCTGTATAAGTCTGATTCGAGATTCCGGATGAGTATCTACTACAGAAATCTAGCTAGCTTATATATCTGTAGATACTCTGGATATACTCTGGGACAAGTCTGGGACAAGAGAAGAAACTGAGTCATGAGAAATGCGGAATACCGCGGAATGCGAAGAGGATGAGTAAGACGATTCCAAAGAACAATAGCAAAGCAAGGGAGGGAGTCATAAGGAAGTATAAGAGGTCACATGCAGAGTCTGGGCGCCTAGAGGGCGGTTACGAGGTTTCTCCGCACGGTCCGCACCGGCCCTCAGTTGCGGGCCGTGTCGTACCGGCGGCGCTCCGCATAAATGCGGAGCGGAGTGCCTAGCGCCCGTACACTCCGCATGCGGATCGACTGCGGAGCATGCGGGAGTGCGGAGGGAAGGGTCGCGGAGATATGGGGATGTGGGATGCGGAGAGGTGATGGCGAGTGTGGGGATGTGCGGGATCATGCGGGAGATCATGTGAGACTGTGCGGGGAGTGTGGGTCAAGGCTGGTGGGTTGTGGGTGGATGTGGGTGGATGTTCGAGACCCTAACACCCTTTTGGGTTAAAAATCCTAACCCAACGTCATTTTCGGAAAATAAATCCTAACCCAAGGCATATTTGGTTGGGTTAACATTTTTCTGACCGGTTTTCGTGTCAGAATAATTTTCTGACAAGCAGAGGGGGGGTGTATCTGCCCTGCCAAAGTGTATCTGCCACCAGAATAGTGTCAGAAAAAAATGGCAGATACAGTGTATCTGCTACAGGCAAATAGATAGGTTGTTTCGACAACCCGCTTGACCAGCTTTCGCCTTCGAAAAAAGTCTCGCTTCGCTCGACTTTTTTCTCCACCCACCCTAAGATCGGCGCCTTTCCGGCGCCCGGATGTGACATCGTGTGACCCATCAAGTCCGTAACTAACTACTAATAGAATCTGCGTAAGCGGCCCGAACGTAACCCTCAACCCACGGGCGCTCTATTGGTAAGAATCAGCACAGCCGAGATAAGACAATAGCGAAAATCACATGGATAAGTCGTTATTGTTTAGCTTACCCCTTTTAGAAAAGAAAGCACAGGTCCTGACGAGTCTTTAAAAGAAGACGAAAGCGGACCAGGTTGTTTCGACAACCCGCTTGACCAGCTTTCGCCTTCGAAAAAAGTCTCGCTTCGCTCGACTTTTTTCTCCACCCACCCTAACCCTAACCCTAACCCTAAGCTTCCATCGAGGATCGCTGGGTGTGTTCCGTTGGCGGGTCGGCGTCCAACCTACAACGCCCAATACCAAAGTCCATCAGACTCTCGAGGTAGGCCCTAGGCGTGACACACTCACCGACTCTACATCACCTCCCAAGGTCATTATCCCGGGCGATTCACGCCCGCCGATATCGCTTTCGCTGTCACTGTCATCTATCTAGCAATGACGGTACTCAGCGCTGGTGCATCACCGCCGTCGTTGGAGTGGGACTCACCAAACCTGGAATCCCGCTAGCGCGGTTAGGGTCCTCATGAGATCTGTTCTCCATCGTGTTGTTGTGGTGGTGGTGGTGGTAGCTGGCTAACCATTTGTGGACGGAATAAGAGACGACGACATCGATTTGGTAAGCGTCAGCCTCACGGCCCGATAGAGGAGAGCCAAAACGCTAAGTCTATTTACACAATACCTAAGTAGAGCGATACCGTAACAGTCTCGATACGGTTTCTAAATACCCCAGTGAATAGAAACCATGTACAGTGTTTGAAAAAACCAGTCCTTTTGTTTACCCTAATGGTAATCCTAACCCTAACCCTAACCCTAACCCTAACCCTAACCCTAACCCTAACCCTAACCCTAACCCTAACCCTAACCCTAACCCTAACCCTAACCCTAACCCTAACCCTAACCCTAACCCTAACCCTAACCCTAACCCTAACCCTACACCCTAACCCTAACCCTAAGTCCCTCACCTTCACCCTCGTCGTCGTCGTCGTCGTCGTCGTCGTCGTCGTCGTCGTCGTCGCCCTCGTCGTCATCATCGCCCTCATCCTCGTCCTCGTCATCGCCCTCGTCGTCATCGCCTTCGTTTTCGTCATCCTGCTCCTCCTGCTCGCCGTCGTCCTCGTTTGCCTCCTCCTCCTCCTCCTCCTCATCCTGCTCGTTCTCCTCTGCTTGAACGTCTTCCATCTCCTCGTCGTTCTCCCCTTCAATGTTCATCAACGTGACCCCACCTTGGGGGAGACGCTGGGCTGGCTTCTTGACCTTGGGTTTCTTGATCTTGTAGTTGGGCGCGTTGGGGATGGGTACGGCAACCCCTAGTTTTGATGATCGAAGGGGCTCAGCAGGTCCTTTGCCCATTAGAGCGAGCACTTTCTCCTTTTTCTTCAACGGTCGGACAGCGCTTTGAAGTTCGTCCAATGTCATGAACATATCGGAGTCCTCGGGTGGTATGGTGATGTCGAACTCGCGCTCGAGGACGTCGTCCATGATGCTAAGGTCGGTCGCGTCGAGCCTCATCTGCTTGCCCCCTTTGAGAGTGACTTTGGCAAAGCGCACGCGTTCAAGCATGCACTTGTAGCACGCGCGCTGGAATGAAGAATCAATAAAAACATCAGTCAGCAAACGGTTGGAAAAGCACAAAGAGAATTGAAACCACTCACCCTCAGCGCGCTGATAAAGTCATTGCGGGCGGCCACTGGAATGCGAGTGAACGACTTTTGAACGTGCTTCCCCTTTTCCTTCACGCTGACAGTATACGAAATAGCGAACGATCGGACGAGAGAGTTGTAGAAGCGAGCCATGTCAACGGTTTGAACACGTATGAGAGATTCGAGGTCATGGGCTTCCTTGTAGTCCTGAACCTTGCGTTCACTGAAGAGCTGGGATGACTCTGACGTAGCCTGATGGTCGTTCTTCCCAATGCCGTGCCAAGGGGACCAGTCCTTTCGATGGGTGTGGATGACTTCCAAGAGTTCGCCATAGACCGCCCAAGTAAGTGCGTCGGTCTTGACCATGTCGGCGAGCTTAGGAAGAGCGATGAGATTCCTCCAGAACGATGTCGTGGCTGACATAGCGCGCAGGTTATGCGCCTGGTTGGATTTTCCTGGGGTCCAAGCCATCCAAGGGCGCCCAGTTCGGATGAGAAGTGGCTCGACCCAGCTGTAGTATTCGGGGTAAACATCGGGGGGTTTGGGGCGCTTGTCATCAGGAATGGACTTGGGTGCGATAGGGTAGTTGGTGCCGTTTCGAGCCTTGACTGAAGGGGCGAGCTCCGGATACTCGGCAACGTGTTTGGCCTCCTGCTCGGACTGGAGTGTAGCGTACTCACGCAGCATCAGGGGGATGTACTTGACAGAATTCTGGACATGGTTAGTGTACTCGGTGTGGTGGCTGAGCTTGCTCAACCCCGCACCGATAGGTGCCCCTTTGCCCAACCAACTCCACGCTGCTCGACCCTTTGTCCAATCAACCAGTGCGCTGTTGCGATAGCGAAATATGACCTTTCGGAACTGAAAAGGTTTCAATTAGCATCCCTAACTTGAAACCAATGAAACAATCATCGACTTACCTGAAGTCGAGTGAACCAAGCAAACACCAACGGTTATGAGCGTTTATGAATTCTGGTTTCAATATCGAGGTTGGAATGGAAACCACAAACACCTACCCCGTCGAGAATAGCTTCTGAGCAGTCGTCCTCCATAAAGTCGCCCGGGTTAGTGACACCATCCTTGGGGTGCGTAGCGATCCACCGAGCTACATCTTCGATGGTGTAGTCGTAATTGTTGTTGCCGTGGATTGGCGCCAGGAAACCAGGGTCGATGAGGGAAATGGCCTAGACCAGACACGTAGTGAGGGACCCAGATTCAGTACAGTCGAATAATCGGAAGACGTACAACTTTGATACCCTCAGACCGGGTACGAAGGTCCTCCACAAGCTTCCAAACAAACTGGGGGACGTAGATGGGAAGCGCCCACTCTCCGTCTTCTTTCTTGGCGATCGAGTCTTGAATCTTGCGCAGGCGTTCGGGCATAAGTAGGATAGTGTCAAGGTGAGGGATCTTGAGCCCGGTTTCTTCGGCCTTCTTAGCCCTGTCGGCGTTCTCGACCAGCCAAGCGTGAACTGCGTCGTAGAACTCTGAGACAGCCTTAAGCCATCCCGCCGACTCTTCTTCCAGATGGACTCGTGGGGTCGCAAACGATACGAAGAAGGGCTTGAGCTTGTCAACATACGCCTTGTCGACAGCTTCCCAGAACGACGGGCCAAGTGAGTCGTAACCCATCTGGACGAATGAGGGGTCGTACGATGACCCAGCTGGGACGGCACTTGCTGGGGCTGCCAGCCATGAGACTGGGCGGAACATGGAGCGAATGAGGGGGGAGATGATCTGTTTGGGATAGGGTGAGCTACTTGATAAACCACGAAAGAGAGATATGGACTTACCGACCCAATCAGCCCTCGATAGTTTTCGAAAAACGCGTACGAGAGCTTGCAGTGGGTCCCATGCCTGTGGGCATCCGTAGCAAATGTGTGAATGACGTCTTCGAGTGCGACTGGGGAGTCCGTCAATGATCGGAGGAGGGGCTCGCTCGGTAGGTAGGAGATCTGCTTCTTCCAGACCTTGTACTCGGCGGGGAGGGTGATAAGAACGGTCACAGTGTTCCTGAGAGTGTCGAAAGGTCGGTCGGGCGAGGAGGCAAAGTCGGGGTTGGCGGCGAGCATACGCAACCCTTCAATACCATGCTTCGCAGAGCGGAGGGACTCTAGACCGGTTTCAATATGAGGTGTGAAATAGAAACCACAAAACTTACCCAAGTCGTAGATCTTGGCGCACCAGAATCCGGTCTCCTCGAGGAGCTTGGTGTCCTTACGGATGGCGGCCAGGACCTTCTCCTTGTCCTCTGAACTTTGGCTGTTTGCCGCTGCGACAAGCAGGTCTGCCCACGTCGCCCGCATGTCCTTTGTTAACGCCTCCATAACCTCTCCCCGATGGGCGCCGTTCACCAGGTGAGCAGCCGCTGGCTCGTCTTGATGCTTCTCGTTGTACTCCTTGACAGCATCTGGGTTGATACGGAGCTTCTTGACGTCCCAAGGGAACTTAGGTGGCTCCTCCGAAAACGTGCTGGCCTTGTCGATCACGGATCCGGGAAGGGCGAGAACGATGGCGTGTTCGAACGCCTGGGGTGCGAGGTTAGGTCCAGCGGCCAAAAGTTCATCAAAGACGGATTTAACGAGGGGGCGATTGTTGAACGTGCGGTACTCGAGGGGCAACATGGATATGAAACGCAGGTTCGCCTCGTCAGGGCCCTCAAACTGGTAAATACCCCGACGAAGGAACTTGGAGCGGTTCGCGGTGAACGTCTGGAGGTGCTGGTTATTGAATGACGGACCTCCGCCCATGTACACCAATGCGTAGCCCAGGAAACTCGAGGTTACGGTCACCTGGAGGTCCATGTAGTGCCCAGCAACCTCCCCTCGAGCTTCGAGCATGCGTGCCATGTCATCGTGGATGTTCGAACGTCGTTCGAGCTAGGCGTCAAGGTTAGTCAGTACAGTAACGTCGTGTCCGAATCTTTGAAAACATACCCGTTGTTCGAGTGTCATGCTTTGTTCCTGAGGTCGATGGAATGAGTAACCGACAACAATACGAGCCGTGATAAATCTTACCTCCTCGTCGACCTTCACATCCTTCTTCTTGGTAACCTTCTTGGCCTTTTCAGTACCCTGAACGCTCGTTAGCCACGTATGAAACCCCACAAACACACGGCTACTCACCGCTATAGTGCTAGCACTAGCCTGGTTGGTGTCCTGCGCATCGACATCCATTACTTCCCCTTCCCCATTACTCTAAAGTACACAGTAAATAATCGGTTTCAATCTCTGACAAGTTTTAGAAACCGACTCACCTCACCCTCCACCGCCTTGCTGGTATCGTCTCCCTTAGGTAGAAGGAATGTATCGGTTTCAATTCTACCTAGGAATTAGAAACCATGACTTACTTGCTCAGCAGTTGATCCCTCCGCTGTCCTGGCCTTCTTCGCCGCACGCGTGTTGCCCTGACGTGTGGCTCGGCGCTTACCTCCTGCACTCCCAACGCCGTCGCCGTCTCCAGCCCTGCCCTCGTCGTCGGAAGGGACCATCTCGGGGGTCTTTGGTTGCTACGACAAACGGTCAGCCACCAACGCGCCTGCCCAAGTGGGTGAACACGCACCTTTCGTCGCCCTCGACCAGCTGTCTGCTTTCCCTTCGCAGCAGCCTCTTCCTTCCTCTTCGCCGCCTTCTCCGCCTTCTCCTTCTTCTTCTGCTCCTCCCTCCTCGCCTTCTCCTCCTCGGTAAGTCGTTTTGCCTAAAGAGAGAGGTCAGTACCAAGCTCATTGATGCAATTCAACAGCAGCCCAGAGGATGCCTCGAAAACGTCGAGCACAAGCCCCCAAGCGCTGAGGAACAAGGAAAACAAGAACGTCTAGCCTGCCTCGAACATGACGAGCACAGGCTAGGAGCTGTGGGAGACACTCACCATTGGATGGGTTGGAAGCTCTGTTGGGGGATCGGTTGAGCTGGGTGTCAAGGTAAGAGGAAACTCGACTCACATTGTGTTTCTGACGGTTAGGTTCGCAGAAAAATGCTCGTGCTTGAGTTGAGAGGGGAAGAAGCAAGTGGGATGGTGGTTGGAAGGAAGGAAGAAAACGTTCAGCCACCCAGCTTTTATGTCTTGGGTGGCTGAGTCAGGTAGGATCGAAATTGTTTTCTTTCTGCCATGGCAACTGACTTACATTCCACAATTTTCTATATTTCTAGTTGCGATCGATGCCTGCATTTCGGACGTTCCGATAGGAAAAGACCGGGCGAAAATCGAGGGTGAACTGAGGGTGTTGTGAAGGGAACTACGAGGAGGTAAGTTTTCCTCCGGGCTAAGAATGTTCCGAACCGATCGTACTTACCTTACAGGGAGACGATCGCGCCAAATTTGGGCTCGTTTGAAAGGTCTGGACCGGCGTTTTTTTTTTTTTTGATAGCCGTCGCCCCACTATGACGTCTGAATTCGGTTGGGAATAGGGGTTGGAAACCACCAGGTCCCCCTAACAGAGGTATGTGACTCATTTGTTTCGTGTGCGTGAACCCCTTCCTAACGCGCTACCCTTCTCGTCTTGGGCGCGTTTACGAACGCCGAGCAAAGGCTTTCGAACAAGCCCAAGAACTCCCCTAACCCACCAGAATTGAGCGAGGGACAATAGTTTCTTACCCCCTCCCCCCGGTAAGCGCCCGTGTTCTTTTTCTTCTTTCCCTGTGCGTGATTGGCTTATTGACGTCCTACCCATCTCGACTTAGGGTAGTTTTAAAGTATTCTCCTTTCCGTTTTAAACGAGCCCAGACCCTGTGGAATCGAGGTAGAAACCGGTATGTTATCCCCTTTTTTCCGCTCCCCACCTCTCAACCAAGTGTTAACTCATTCAACTAGTATCTAACCGTTGTATATTAAAATTATATATCTAATACAACATCTTTTATTCATACTTGGCTGGCCTTAAGCCTGGCCTTCAGATATGGTAAAGGAGAAGATAGGGAGGAGAGAGGAGGGAGGAGGAGAATGTCTTGCCCGGGGTAACATCCAGAATTGGGCGCCAAGGGAAAAGCGGATCAATGGATTAGCTCCCGCCTACCAATTTAGAGATACGACTTACCTATTTTGGAACCAGCTCCACAGGTGGTAGGTTATGGTTTCAATTCTGTGTCCGTATTAGAAACCGACGGAGGAGGAGGAGAGAGAGGGGAGTGGTGGGTTAGGTGAGAGGAAATGAGAAAGGGGAAAGAGGGTGAGGAGGATGATGGAAGTCGATACCGTGGATGACGGTCGCAAGATGTGAAAACACGACCGAGTTTGGAAACCAGGTACGATGGGGTGGGGGAGGTACCATGGCCGTCTCACTAGGGTACGATAAGGGTACCACAAGGTATGCTCATCGTACCCTAGTGGTACTATGGTGGTACGATGGTACGAGGGAGGGAAGGTGGGGGGAGGGAGCCAAATGGTTTCAATAGTAGGTTCAAATTGGAAACCACAGACGACGGACGACGGACGACGGACCCCGGACGACGGACGATGGCGGACGATGGCGGACGACGGACGACGGACCCCGGACCCCGGACGACGGACGGACGATTTAGTGTACGATTTACCGAAAAATTTGTTTTTTTTTGGTACGACCGGACGATGAACGGACGATGACGTCATTTTCCCACGGCGGACGACGGACGACGTCGTCCGTAAACATGGCCATGTTTTTCGGAACATAATATTAGGGTGCGACGATGGACTGATGACAATGACAAGGGACTGATGCATTTGAGGGAGATACCATTCGAGATGTCGTTTAGAATGAGGGCTGTTTGAGCGACGATGGCGGACAATGACTGACGATCGGCGACAATGGACCGACGATGGACTGACGACGGCAACGATGGTGCGACGATAGGTGACGACGGACTGACGAGGAGAGACGGTGGCCTGACGATGGACTGATGGTGGGCGACGATAGAGCGACCGGTGCGACGATGGACGACGATAGACTGACGATGGGTGACAATAGACTGACGATGGTGCGACGATGGAGTGAGTATGAGCGAGGATGGACTGACGATGAGCGACGATGAACCGACGATCAACGAGGGGTCGACGTTGGAAAGGGCGTTTGTTGCGACGACGGGCGTCATTCTATTCGAGATGTCGTTTGGAAAGAGGGCCGTTCTTGCGACGACGGCGGGTTTGTAACACGGCCATGTTACGGGAAGTATATTATTAGGCCAAGGTCCCTTCGACTCCGCAGACTCCGCAGTTCCGTAGAGTCTAACAGGTACTCCAGGTACTATGGGTACTATGGGTACTACGGGTACTCCATTAACATGGCCATGTTTTTTGGAACATAATATTAGGTGACATTTCCAACCAATATTAATGTGTCGCCAGTCACTGATAGTCATTGACCAGCCAAACATTGTGAGGCTGAGTTGTCCCATTTTGCGACTAGCTGCATCTGGGCATATCTCCTTTCCATAGCCCATGAACAGCATGTCCCGGTATGCGGCCACAGCGGATAGTGTTTTGGGCCAAATGTAGGAAGCAAGGAACTAGAAATTTGATATGAGTGAGGTTTTCGGTCATATCAAATAAATTCTTACCTCGTCAAATAGACAAGTAGAAATGCAAATTTGATATCAGTTAAATTTGCGGTCATATCAGTTTTTTGATATCAGTTCAATTTGTGGTGATATCAAATTTGCGCTTACCTGTGCAAATGGGCGAGCAAGCACATGAACTTGAATCAACAAGTCAGATTCAAATGCTGGAAGACCGTGCGGGATAAGACGATCAAACTGCTCCTTGCTCGTAGTCTTGGTATATTGCCGGATGATAGCCAGTCTGTCGCCAATGGCCATGAAGTTGCGAGTTCGAGTTGAAGTGTTTCGGGCAAGGGTGTTTAACTCTAAGTGTCTACACATGACACTTGATTAAATTCCGGACTTAAGTCGTAGTGACACTTGAATACGAATTATTTTAGACATGGCCATTTACATGAGAGCAATTAAAGTTTATATCAAATACATGTCTTACACGAAGTTAAATACAAATGTGAATGAGCGTAAATGAGTTACACACCAGTGCAAATCCGATATGAATGTGATTTCAACTCATATCAAATAGAGTGCAGTGTTGACGTAGAGATATAAAGAATTCGATATGAACATAATTCAGAATGATATTGAATGCCTTGACGATTTGATATGAATGCGAATCCTAATGATATCGAATAGAGTGTAGTGTGTTGACGTAGAGATATATGTTACGACTTCGGGCAACGAGGACTTATCGTTGCCAACAGTCGTTCTGGAGTTCTGAGGTTCTGGATCGAAGTTCTGGTTCTGGAATCAAGTTCAAGAGGCCTGTCGCTATCGCAGACAGAAAGGATCGAGCTGAGAGCGATAGAAGTTCTAGAGGAAAGGTTCTCGATAACAGGCTGAGGAATATCTACTACAGAGAGACAGTATTTATAGTAGAACTGGCGAGCTATCAAGAGGTTCGGAAGAAAGTGAAAGAAGGTGTGGAAGCAATGAGTAAGGAGTATCGATAAGTACGGAATACGAGAGGAACGGAAGTACGAAAGGTTCGGAGATGCGAGAGAATCGAAGAAGCGAAGGTAATGGAACTACAGAGAGAACGGAAGTCCGGAGGGTTCGGAAAAGTAGAGTGCATAGAAGGAAACAAAGGAAACAGGGTGAAGGAAATAGGGGAGTTCGTAACAATATAAAGAATTCGATATGAGCGTAATTCAGAATGATATTGAATGCCTTGACGATTTGATATGAATGTGAATCCTAATGATATCGAATACAGTTGTATTGAATACCCTACTGAATACAGGGTGTTGAAGCGAGGGTGTGGTCCTGGTTGTCAGGTATGGCATACCTGACGCGGGCAGATAGATAGGTGGTCGCATCTGTTCGGTAGGCGTAGACGGTGAATGTCGTTGGTGCGTGTACTGTAGATGTGGATCTCGAGTGGGAGTAGAGTGTCTCGGGAGAATTCTGTTGGCCATAAACGTGGGATCGAGAATAGCAGGATTAACAGCGTTAGTTTGACCAATCATCCCAGATGCAGCAGGTAAAGAAGGTGGAGCACCTAGATTACAATAGGAGGGATTTCCCCGAATGGCATTCTGCCGAAAGGTGTATGGGGAAACGTTATGATAAGGTAGTTCTCTATCTACATATAATGGTGAAAGAAGAGGAGTTCTATACGAATTCTCGGCAGAACTTGAAGGTAAACCATTCTGTGAGAGAGCCTGACCAAAAGATTGATTCATCGAATAAGGTTCTTGTCCAAAATTAGATAAATGTGGCTGAAAAGCGCCTGGAGCACCAAATGTGCGTCTACCACCACCAAAATTGTATGACGGTGGAAGGGTTGGACCAAAAGAAGGAGTATACAAATTCGGCACGTGGCCTTGAACTGGGGTTAATACATGATTGAAAGATGAAGGAACCATGGACGGTGGGGCCGTAGAAGGGCGAAATCCCGTAGGAGGTGGCATAGCCACTGGTTGCTCGGGCATCGGCATAGGTGCTGGAAACACCGGGGCCGGAAGAACCCATGAAATGGTGCCATCATAGCCCGAAAAAATGGCCTGATGTTGGTTTTCACCATCGCTACCAAAATTCTCTCCAGGGTTTTGCACTGGGGAATGAGGAGGGGAATGGTGTTGGCTCATAGTAGAGATAAAAGAAAAAATAGACAAGGTTTACGCGTAAAAAACAGAAAAAGAGAAAGAAATAACGGAAAAAACTGCTGCACCCGAGATGATAGGCGCACCTGTATAGCTGCCGTCAAAAAAATCTTCTCCCGCGACCTTATTCTCCAACGTCTCCGAAAAAATCGTTCTAGAAACAGCTCGGTTCCGCTAGAACTAGCGATCTGGCTCGGTGGCAAACTGTTATAGTTAGTCGCCGGGGCTCATAACCTGTCGGCTAGGTACTAGTGGACAAGACAAGTGCTCAGAATCTGGATGAACAGAGACTGGAATTGGGAGCTGTACCTAGTGGACAAGACAAGTGCTATAGGTACAGATAAATAGCTGTAGACACGAACAAAATACAGAAAAACATACCTCAGAATCTGGATGAACAGAGACTGAGGAAAAAAGAAGAAAAAGAAGGCGAAAAAGATTTTGTATCGTATGAGCCCGTGAGAGAAAGAAGTAGGCGGAGTGTACAATGAGATAAGGTACATAGACGTAATAGGCTAGGGATCTGGTCGACATATACCACCCAAATAACCGGACAGAACACAACCGTTTGGTTCAGCCACTGCCTCAATCGCACGCTGTCGACATATGTGATCGCAAACCCCTCTGTGCAAGTGACGAAGAACCTCCTTCAATTAATTCCAGCCGGACAGTCGCTTAATACATTTCTCCTGGTGGACGCCCTGGTCTGCAACGACTCTGACCTGTTTCACCGCGTCTACCACACAGCCTACACTCGCTGCAAAGAGTCGGTAAGTCACCACGCAGTTCTCAACGATGAAGCGGAATGATACTTACCCTTTTCAGCTTGACCGAATGGACACTCCAGCACCAGGCGGCATGCCTCTCATGTTTCGCAGGAAGAGGCGATCGAAACGGGACATCGACGGGGTGGTCCAGTCTTTCCAACGTGTCTACGACGTCACTCGTGCATACGGCAACGCGATGCGCATTCTGACTTTACTGCGGGAGGTGATGCAGTCACGTGTCGACCTCATCAACGAGGCTTCGTGCAACGATCCCGGCTGTCTGATTGGTAAAAAAGATGAGTCGCAAGACGGGCGCTGTATAGTCGATCCGTCACCTTACCTGCAGCGAGGAACGCAGAAGCTCTTGAACAACCTGGAGCATAACCTGGTGGCCCGACAGAGCGCGGTTAGGGAGACACTGGGGATGTTCAGCACGATTATGGACCGCAAGATGGCGGGGTTCTCGTCTCAGTTGGCTGAAGACGCCCGAAAAGACAGTTCCTCAATGACGACGTGAGTATCCGACTCATCAGAATGAACTATTTTCACTCACATTGATGATTAACCAGGATCGCTCTCCTGACCATGTTCTTCCTTCCAGGATCAGTGGTAGCGGTAAGCCGCTTCACGGCGATAAACCCAGTACGAGTTGCTAAGACGTCTCGTTTCCACAGTCGTTCTTCAGCACCCATTTTATCAGGGTCATTGAAACCCAAACGGAGACGTCGAGCGATGGGGAAAGCGTAGAGACAAGAACCAAGATCAAACCCCTCCAAGTGTCGTCCACTATCTGGGTCTATTTCGCAGTCACCACGTTTCTTACACTGCTCGTACTGAGCGTCTGGCTGTATCTCCATGCCTCGATAGATTTGCCCAGATTGGGTATTAGGGGTGGAGATGGAGGCGGAGATCCTAGACCCTGGCAGCCAAAACGAGAAGCAAAGGCCAACGCCGACGCAAAGAGCGAGTCCCAGGTTAACAGCGAGGAATCGGAGAAAAAGCACGGGGTGGAAGGGGACGCTCGTGTGGACGTTGTTGAAAAGCTTGAAACCTCTGATCCAGACTGACTATCGCAACTATTGTCCTGGTTTCGTAATGAATAGTAGTTAGTGGGTATATCCTTGGAAATGAGACAGAAACGTGCTGCGCCTGTCGCGGTGGTCGGGGAAAATGAACGCGCAGGCCGATGGCTGCGGTTGACTGCGATAATTGTTTGGGCATGATTGGCAAAGGCCTCGACCATGCCGAGAGCTTGCCACCGATCTCTTGGGCGCCTATTTATTGGAAGGAAGTTTATCGCTGGTGCCTTAATGACGTTGTTGGAGATCGAATACGCGTGCATTCGAGACGACTATATATGAAATATACTTAACGTGTTCATATATTAATATGCTCTCAAGCTACAAAGCCCGACGAGCTTGATGATACACTTGATACTTATTATCATCCTGGTCTCGACCGTCGACTGTAGAGTCGTAAGGACGAGTGCGCCAAGCGAACTGGAAGGTCTGGTCTATAAGAGTAGTCGCAAGGTAGCTTCAAGTTGAAGGGGCTAACCTGGGGGAAAGAGCGACGGTGCAGCCATAGTACCCTGAGGGCGTGCGGAGACTCTCGAGCGTCGACATCTCTCGGGTATCACTTGGGAGCTCGAAGGAGTAAGCCCAGATCCTCATAAACGAATGTACCGGGATCTGGCAGAAAGAGTATCGATTAGCACTCTATGTACCCACAGGCAGGAACAGTGCTACTCGGGGATGTCCAGCGAATCTATGTCTGATCAGAGGATCCTTTCCGTCCAGGTTTCCGCCTGAATTTATCGAGGATAGATCTCTTCTCAGTGCGCGCTGATCCTTCATCGACATCCTTTGACTCAAACCCGCCTGCGTAAGGCGGTGAGGATGGTGGTATGTTGGCAGGTGTGGATGATGCTGTGTCGACAGCTGTGGATGATGTTGTGTTGGCGGGTTTGCTGCTCGATGATTGCGATCCATCTCGAGGGTCGAGAATGGGGGCATCTCTTCTGGGCCTTGCCCCGTCAGACGATCTGAGACTTGGAGAGTCATCGCCTAAGGTTAGTTTCTCCAAGGACGGTAGTTCCTCGACGTCTGCCAGAGAAGCGAGGGATGTGAATGATGAAAGCCGCGTGGGTTTGGAAATACGTACCTGATCCAGCCAACGACTTCGACTCTGGACGAGGACTGGAGGTAGACGTCGATGTGCCTCCACTGCCACTGGCTCCCTCTGTTGCTGTCGGCGATGTTGGCTCGGTGCCATCTTTCGCAGCGAGCGCTGCCAACTTTCCTGAAGGGTTGGTGAGTATTGTCACAAAGAAGACAGTTTCGACACCTTCCGTACGTTCCTTCCTCCTTTGCATGGCACGTTTAGCATCTGCCATGACCTCTGCGTCCGTTCGCTTATCACTCCATCGCTCATAGGCGAAGGAATTCGAGAACAGGCCAATGTTTCCTGTCGACATGGTAGAAATGATGGAAGTGAGGAATGCGTACAGCGAGAAGGGCTACTGATGATGGTCGAGGAGCACTTTCAGCAGGGTGCAGCCTTGTGGATGAGAACGATGTCGAGTCGTGAATTCAAGAAGGAATACCGCACCGGTTTGTCATGGGTTTGTATGCACATGTATGGTTGTGTGGGCTCCCTCGCCGGAACCAGTGGCGGAAGCAAATGTTAATCGGCGGCTTTGACCAATTTTCTCCTTGCATCGTCACCCTATTACTGTCACCACAATCTCGCCGCATGACCGTTGAAACTAGACTTTCAAGGACGATGTAGCAAACGAACGATGACCACATCACCCAAGTTTATAGGGTCCAGCACATATTCTCATCGTTGCGGTTATTAAGTACGGCGCCCACTAAGAGGTCGACAGCCATATCAGTACGCCATTGTTTTTCGTTCCCGCATTGGACCCACATGGCTGATTTCCTTTAAACAGCTACGAGTGGCTCGAAGCCATCGCTCCTTCCCCTTCTCTCTCTCCCCCTGGAGGTGTCTGTTCCGCTATGTCAGGTGCAAGTTCGACCCAGGAATTCAATATCAATTGGTGGTTACGAGTCCCCGAGGTAGAGGGCCTGACGAACGCGTATCGTAATCGAAACGAATACGATGTCATCCGGGAACTTTGCTCCTTCGTAGCAGCAGAGGGCAGGTCGTTCGCAAACACATTTACGCTCTTGGAACTCGGCGAAGGGCCAGATGATGACCTTATTGAGTATTCCTTACCACTGACATCTTCCGAGCTCTCAAAGACCGTCTCAGTAGGCCCACTGCTCTTTCTCTTTGATGGGACACTGACACCTACCATCGCTCAATTCTAGTTGGAGAGAGGCCACCGGTTAACTCGCCGTATCATGCAAGTATTCCACGTCTCGTCGGGATTTGGTTTCTAAAACGATTCTCCTTTCGGAATTTCACAGATTGATGGAAAGAAACGGGGAGAGGGAATCGAATTTGGACGAAGCGCCCTACGTCATGAAGTGGCTGGCAGAGCAAATGGGCGTCTCTCCTTGCTTCTTCGAGGCAGCCCTATCGTCCAACGACGTCGCCATTCTTGAGCTTCCTCCACTCAGGGTTCAGCGTGTCTCTCCTGATGCACCGTATGGGCGCTCCTTGAGTACGTCGCAGTCCATTCTTGCTTTCCTTTGTTCTGACCCCCGACGACCACCCTAGATGGGATGTACATTACACAGGTTACAGGTTCGAATACGAAAGTTTGGTTTAGCCACTGTTTAGAAAGAAACTTTTCCATCTATGTTATCGACGACATCAGTCCAAGAGCGAAGGCCAACATACTCGAAGCAATCGACTTGCCCCTCAACTCGTTCCTCTCTCTCGACTCCTTTATCTGCAACGACGACCACCTCTTCAACTCCGCTTACTCCAAGGCATTCGCGCAAGCCCTCCACGCCGTGAGTCAGCCTCGATTCCCATCACAAAGGCAAACCTAAAGCGATCGTGCTCCAGCTCAACAGCCTAGACCCCACTGACGTTCCTCAATCCGCCACATCACGACGCGCGTCCCAGAGAGCCTCAAAGTTCAAATTCGATCATATGACTGAGTCGTATACCGACGTCTACGACATCAGCCGGGCGTACGACAACAAGCGTCGTGTCGTCGAGTTCTTCAAGCAGCTCGTTAAAACCCGTCTTCGCCTCGCATCCGAACTTTACGACCCCGATTTGCCCAACGAGTGCATCGACGAGTGGCATGCAGTCCCAAGAGCTACAGCGGTTCTGCTGACAAACATGGAGAACACGACGCTCGTCAGGCAGGCGGTCGTTCGCGATAGTCTATCAATGCTGGGGACGATGATGAATCACAAGATGGCCGCTTTCTCCTCTCAGCTAGCGACTGATACTAGGAGGGACAGCTCCTCGATGACAACGTACGTTCTCTTCAGTTTCGTCGTAACCCCTCGCTTACATTTATTTCTATATTGCAGTATCGCGCTGGTTACCATGTTCTTCTTACCTGGATCGTTCGTCGCTGTAAGCTTAACTTTTACCACTGTCACCACTTCCGCCTCTAACGCGCCATACTCAGTCGTTCTTCAGTACTGAATTCGTCCGCATCATAGACCGAGACGAGACGAAGCCCTCGCATATGCTACCCTTAGAGTTCACTCCACTCGCGTGGATCTGGTGTACCATCACCACAGGGCTAACCATCGCCGTCATCTTCCTCTGGTCGTACCACCATGGGTCTATACGACGACAATTCAAAGGACTGCGCAAACTTCGCAAATTTGTCGGTCTTCCCCGCGTCGAGACGATAGTTCCCCGACCCCAAACGGACGTTAATGACGCCCTCGGCAGTGTCCCTGCATCATTCAGTACTTCTCCCAGCTCTTTCCTCGCCGAGGTGAAACCGCACGATGGGATGGCAAGTCGGAATGCTAAAATGCATACGGTCATCGAGGTCAAGGAGAGTTGACACGGGGGTGACGCAGGCGCTTTCTTATTACGATTTCTAACGAAACTTAGGAAGTAGAGGAGAGTAGAGACAAATTTTCATGACTTGATATTACCTTTTGATTCCTGGCGGGCGGTTGTCCTGGATGTACGCGTGGTCGGTGTACGGTAGATGCGAGGATCTAACCTGTCTAATCTGAACTTGACTTGGCACCTCAACTCGGCATCTGCGGTCCCAGGCTGTGATAGGAAATTCCATCATGATGTCAATCAGAGGGTGCAGTGCCGAGATTGCCTGGGAGGAAAGCCTTCCTCGCTACTTTCAATGAAGGGCCTTGAAATGCTTTTTAAAGGTGACGGGTTCGTTAAATACGCTACGATACAGGTTACAGTTATCTGGACTCCCAAAGAGAAACCCGGAGCAGCGTGAAGGCGCACAACCACAGTGGCATATCGATGAGGTCACGCCTTTGTGATACCTCGATTTACCCCAATCGACGAGCAGTTTGACTTTGTAGTCAGCGACAATATTCCATTGTAATTACGGTGGTATTCAAACCCTCTGGTCCGAGCTCTGGAAGCCTTATAGGTCTCGAGGATATCATCCACAGCTTACAGGTAGTCCCTGGACGTGAGGACAAGCAATAGTTGTCTCGGGAGAAAGGCTGTTCCATGAATTACAGGGGATTACCAGGCCCGGAGGGAGAGGAGAGTCTTCGGGGTTCGAATTACTCTACAGCTTTACCCTGCATCGACCCAGGAAAGCGTCTCCATGAAAGACGATGCATTGAAAGTCCGACAGTGATTGTAGGCTGTGCGGCCGACATGAAAGCCAACTGCTCTCGTCGCGGCACTCGTCATGCGACATAGAGGTTCGCCCGTCTTTTCCCCGGCATGCGTTAAAACCTTCACCCTTTGCCCAGGTTGCCCCTGACGGACTAGCTGTCATTGTGTACTACATTGTAAATTTGAACCCTATCGCATTGAGACCTCGCGTTCGTCGCCCCTCATATTGGCATCCCATGTCGCGGCACTGCGGGGTGAAGGATTAATTCAACCGAGTATAGACGTCAATGTCCAGGATCGACAGTGGACACAGTGTATTGCGACCCCATAGATCATGGCACAGCGCGCTTCCCGGGGTCATTGGCTAACCGGAAGATACAGCGTTCTCTCAGCGCCACTCGGGGAGTGGCCAGTACTCAAACTATAACCTTCTCGCCTCACCAAGAATACCAGCACTGTTTGGGAGGCGTAAGAGGAATAAGACTAAGACAATACATTGGTGGACGCCATTACATCAGGAGCTACAAAGTCTGTTCTCTTCGCCTAACACAAAGGAGGTACTATCGGAGTGTCGGAGAGAGTGCGGTGCGCAGTACCCTGCGGGTGCTGAGGATGGCCTAGTAGTGAGTTGCCTTGGGTGCGCCGACGGCTAGAAACAGCTCATGTGAGTACCAATCTCGTCGTTCTCTTGGGCATCACGTACCCGAGGTCGCGTCCTTGCCTGCGACTCGTTGGGCCAATCGCGCGTCGATTTCAGCGTTGTGCTTGTCGATCAAGGTACCGAGTTTCCTCCCTGTACGAGGACGGTTTAGCCTATGCACGATGGTAAGTGGGCGCGATATAACCTACACTCTTCCTCAAACTCGTGGTAGGGCTCCAAAAGGCTGGGGAAAAGTTTACGGTTGTTCGTGGCTGGGGAAACTATTAGCTGACTCCGAGGAGGCAAGAAAACAAGTCTGGACGACTCACCAAAGGCAGAGCTCTGAGCAGGCCTGCCAACCCTGCCGTCTGGGATGTCGACTGCGAGTAAAGAGCCGAGGTAAGTGATCGGTTCCAGGATCTAAGAAGAAAACATACAACTGTCAACCCAATTCGCCAGCCAGTCGAGAATAATGTCTCTCCAGCTTTTCTTCGGGGCGTTCGTAGGGGTGGTCATTTGCAGGTGGTGCGAGGATGAATGCAGTGAGAGCGTTTCGATGGTTGAGTGGGGTTAAAGGTCAACTTTTCTTGAAGGACTTTATACGACCTGTATCCCAGGGTCTAAACGAATTAAAATTCAACCCCCGCCTCATTTCCAAAAGGAGGCACCGCCTGAAAGTCAACATTACCCGACCTTAGGTTCTAATTTCGGTGAAAGAATTTGAGGCCGTGTGTAATTTGTTTGGGAGAAGCCCTAGACCCAGAAATGCGTTTTGATTATCGCTTCATCTTTACAGCAGCACAGCTGTGGTGCTGTGACATTGTCGTCCATTTCAGGAGAAACCAAATGTTCGATCAGAGGATTTTCGAGTATACGATCGCCTCATTGTACTTGGAACGTTGAACGGGCGAGGAGTACGTGAAACGGCTTCTTTCTATGTATCTTAATGGAGCAAGAAGAGCGATTAAACAGGTCCTAGGAGCAGAAATTTGGCGACACGTGTGTTGAGTGCTGTGAAGCTGACCGTTTGTGAGAGAAAGGGTCTCATGAAACCTCCCAAGAACACGTCAGGACAGTGTCGCGCCGGGTCATGGGTTGCATATTGCTTCTCCTAAGTGACTCAGCAGGTCAAAGGATAGAATGATACGCCCTTTTTCGGTCACCTTTGCCCAGTGGCTAGAGCTAGCCACTTGATGCTCATCGAAACGTCGCCACTTCCTCTTTGATGAAACGGAAATAATTCCACAGCTCAACTCCAACCAATTCTCGGAAAGCACAAATTTATCGATTCTAGTCTCGTGGAAATGGCCGTCTATGTCTCCCAGCCCTTACCTTTACAGCCTGGAAATTGTGATTCGACCGAGCCATTGCCCTCGCTTGGCCGATCACGAGCGGCAACCAAAAGCCTGTTACCTAATTCAGCAATGTTTGGTCGGTGTTTACCTTTGTGGGCGACCTCCCATATCTGTCCAGATCTCCGGGTGGTGATACGGATGCCAAAGAATCTGTCGAAAGAGTACCATGACCTGCCGGACAACCTTCAAAGGGCACGATCCTCATCATCCACGTGTAGGACAATGAAAACCCTTAAATAGCCAGGCCTTCCAGCCTCAAGTTCTTTGTGCGCTATATTCATTCCCTTCTCCTCCCCTTCCTCCCTTTGGCCTCGTAGCGCTCCAGTCCCATGTCAATCACCGAGTCATCGCCCCTTGATCCTTCGTCGTTCATACGATGGCACCTCCGGATGTACTCTCGGGAGGCTGTCTCGAGGACTTATGCTCATAATGTGGGAGGCCTCATACGTGCCTCTACCTCCAAGTTCCTAGGTAGAGATTTCTCCAACACCTTCTTCTACCTCGCTGTCGACAAGGCCGGAAAGGTCGTCCGTCATGGCCCTCTTCCGCTTAACCCCGCTTCCTTGAAGGAAGTATTTGGCGTAAGGCTCTCTATTTCCATGCCTAATGCCTCCTAGACTGACGGAGCGTGGACAGAGCCCTTCAGATCCCGCCCTGACCTTGAAGCTACGGCTCATGTAAGTGTTGGGTCTCCTTATCCCTACTTCTCGCCTGTGATTAATGATATTCTCTGGCAGGTGGATGCGACACAATCCAGACATGGAGTCTTCCGACAATGGAGAAGCTGCAGCGGGTGTCATCAAGTGGCTCGCAGAAGAACTCGGCGTCTCTCCCCTGTTCTTTGATTCTGCTCTTTTCGGAGTCGACCCTCTCCCCATGGGTCTCGTTCCTCAGGAGGACTCTGAGCCTTCTCCCTTGACCAACTCAATCAGTGAGCCTTCTACTTCGTACGGCTTGTTCCCTTCCATATAGGCTGACTCCAATCCTTCACCATGTAGACGGGGTCTACTCGTCCGGCAGTCCAGGGGAGATCGCGACCATTTGGTTCGCCCACAGGTTGGACAAGACCCTCTCGACGTACATTGTCGACAATGGCTCTTCGCGTATGATGTCCCAGATTGTGCGCCCTATCATCACTGGGGCGTTCCAGCTGCCGTTCCTTGGGATAGACTCCATGATCTTGAACGATGACCACCTCTACAACGTTGTATTCTCCAGAGAGCTGGACGAGGCTCACTCTTGGGTAAGCTAGTCATGTCCTTAGTCCTTTTAACGACACTCTGACATCTCCCTTAGGCGCGCGATCTTGGCGGTGAAGGCTCTTTCGGCGTCGAGCAGTACAACAAGCTGGTTGATCACTACGACAAGCTTCACAACATCGACCTCCTCTTCGCCGACATGGAAGTTGTCGTTCGGATGCTCAAGCACATCGCCGACAGCCGCGTCAGCCTCACACTCCAGAACCCAGAGCGCTGGTCCGACCCCACCTCCCCCGTGAAATGGACAAGGGTCCCGATCGAGACTTCCCTTACCATCACCAACCTTGAGAGTCAATTGTCCACCCGACGATCCGCTGTCGCCTCGAACCTAAGGACCCTCACTGGCATGATGAACACAAGGATTGCCATGACTTCCTCCCAGCTCGCTGCGGATACTAGGAAGGATAGCTCATCGATGACCACGTTCGTCGCTCCCTTAATTCCTACTCCTTATCCCAAACCTTACGGGAAGTAACATACGTTTATAGGATTGCTCTTATGACCATGTTCTTCTTACCCGGCGCCTTCGTCGCAGTGCGTTTGTTTTTTCTTCTATGAAATAGACTTTATTTCCCTTATCAATTGACTCCTGCCGTCTAGGCTTTCTTCAGTATCGACCTCATGGGCTACGATGAAGATGGGAATTTATACTTCTCTCGTCACACCTGGATTTTCTTCGTCGTCACGGTACTCCTCACAGCCCTCGTGTTTGGAGTCTGGCATTACCACCATGGCGGCGGTTGGAGGCCCCTTCGCGCACGCGTCAAGAAATTAGCGGTACGACAGGGCTCTCCTACCAGGCTCTCGCCCATCCCTGAAGCGATGTCCGTCAGTTCCGGGGTTTCACCTGACCCCTCGAGGCCCCATGTCGCTGATCCCGAGAAGGGCTTCGTTGCGAGAAAGAAGAAGGATCACGTTGCCGTGGACATTTCTGGGATTTAAACCGCTTCATCATTAGACATTGATTGTCGATCCCCTGTATTTATATTCACGCCCCCATTGTTTACCCCCTCCTTACTCGTACATCTACGCGCTTGATGCAGCGTTGGCTTGGTCCCCTTGTACAGTACATTCGGCATATGTGTCCTGGTGATAATCATTGCTGCGGCTTGGTCCGACTAAAGATTGGCGCGCACTCTCTTAAGTTCAAATATCAGTTACCTTTATCAGTTACCTTTTCATCAGTTGAAGGGGCGGCGCACCTCAGGAGGTCGCGGATATAGGATCTATAAATAGATTTTATTCTCGGCCTGGTTTCCCGGCTTGTCTCCACGAGCTTTTTCTGCTTCCGACCACATGGTATTTAAGGCTCTCCATCTTACCACCACCATCAGCACCGCGTAGCGGCCAATATGAGGTCTCCAAAGGCCTATTTCATTCCTTTCAGTCAGTCGCTCCCCAAAAGAATTATCAAACGAAACATATCTGACCTCCACCAGTCCTCACGCTCCTTTCGACCACAATCCCAAGCGTTTCCAGCGAGGATGTGACGCTCTACCACATGTGGCTGCCAGGCCAAGATATACCCCCGGACGTAACCCTCTCGTTCACGCCCGCCGTGTCCTACACCCCTGTCTCCGTCGACCAAGCTGGCGCAACACATTACCACGGAAACCCACTCCCCGTTGGAAAGGTGGAGCTTAGCGCCGTACCCGAGCCTGATACGACGCGCTGGATAACAGTGACGGATGCACCGACAGTCACATACTACCGTACGCACGCCTAGTCCTCCTCACCCCATATCTCGCATAAATCTCCTTTGGATAGACGCGGTTAAAGCAGACGCGACCGAGATCGTCAAGGTGGTCGCATCTGCCCCCATCTCCGCCCTCGACGACGAGATCGCGCTCTCCGACAAGTCCACCTGCGTCCAGGACGAGGCCAACCCCGAGTTGTACGTCTGTGTGTTTGAGCAGGTCGTCCCGGAAGGGTTTGGCGGCGAAGCAGAAGAGAGGTATAATACATTTACGATGACTGAAACCGGGACGAAGTATCCATGGTACACTGTCTCGGACGTTGAACAGTTCAACGTCGCGAAACCGACGCCTGGAGGAAGCGAAGGTGCGGATGACGAGGACGGTGCGACAGGGAAGGTTGGCGTTGGAACCGTCGGCGTTGTTGGGATCGTGGGCGCCGTTGTCGTGGCGCTGGCACTCCTCTAGGATAATCCTCTCCAGGAGCACAGATCTGCAGTACGCAGGATAGAAAATGAAGAACAGGTCGGGTTCGAGGGCCAAAATGTGTTTATTAAGCGTCGAACTTTGGTATACATGTGCACGGTGTTGATCGTGAGTGGACAGTCTACGACGGGTGGCTCGGTGGAACGGTGACGCGTTGAAGGTGTGCAGACCTCTAGCGAGGGTTTTCGAGGCCGGGAAGCGTGAGGAGGGAAGTCCAGGCGCAGTCTATACCGATGCCCAACCAGCTCATTTGGTCCTGGCACTAGTACAAGTCAGAACGAATTCTTGAGTTCGTGGATTTACGACGTACCCCATAAGTACGCTATTTTCTATATTCCAAAGATAACAGAGTCGCGTCGCACAGCTGCTACGTCGGTGTTCCTGACGGCGTATTCGAGGGCGGCACGGTCAGAGGATGCTCCTCTCTCGCTTCCTGCAACAGCTTGTCCAGTCCTCGATCCTTGACCGCTTTCTGTACACATTCCAGTCAGAAAGAGGAGTCTTGTTCGAAATAAAGCACACGCACCTGAACGCAAGACCGATACTCCTCCCAAACACCCCCACATTTCTTCTCAAACTCGTCCGCTTTCTTCCTCGCATACGCCGAGCGATCGTTGGATGCCGCAGACACCGCAGGCTCGAGATAGCCTTCAAACCACGAATTGAAACACGAGTCGTATTGGATTTTGAGTGGTGTGCATTCTGAGGAGAGACTTTCGGCCATCGAGAGGTTGTGAAGACGTCGGAGGACGTGATGGAGGATCCAGGATTGCCGGGAAGCTCTGCCAGCGGCCACCTGAAGAAGCCGTGATGATCGGAGCAAAAGATCGGTCAGAGCCGAAATGCCGACTCGGATGCTATTGCGCATCCAGCATTCTCCTCCTGAACCCACGCCGCACGCGGGTATTCGTCTCCAAGACCGTCTTCAATTAGGCATTTCCTCTGTTCTTGCTCACGTTAACCTCACCTTGGTAAGTAGCCAACAGCTTAGATGCACTCCTCGGTGCTGGACCATGGCTATATGGCTGTCCTCGAGCTTAACCCGACATTCGCGGTGCCGAACGTGAAAAGATGAATGGACAGTGATTTGGGGAGCTACTCAAATCGGAAGCTCCTCCAAACAGTGCTCATGCGGAGTGTTACTTCAGCCTGTTGAGCCACATAAGACTTTATCCAATCATCATCTTCTCTGAGGCCATAGACAAATTGGTTCCCTCGAGTTCGAGTCCGCGACGGTTGCGGTCATTAGTTGAACGCAGAATCAGCATGTCTGTGAAACACACGACAGGCATTTGGCACTCACCGGTCTAGCCGAATGCAGCGCCAGTGTCGCCTACAACCAGCCTTACCTCTACATAGAGTAGCCAATATGAGTACTTCAGGTACGAGTTCAGATGCTCATCACCTACTGCGCATTCACATATGTATAGAGCGCTGATATCGGCGAACCGGCGATTATCCTCTTCCTTCACGCACACAAGGCACGTATGTCACAATGATAGAGTAGGTTGCGGCTAGTGAACGACATAAAGTCATCACGAGATGCTATGCCTCTTCTGTCTGAGTATATCGTTTGACAGGAGGCTCTTTTCTTTCTCCATCTCTCTCGTCGTCTCTCCTGACCTCCATTGCCCTCCTCTCCCATCCCGCTGTCTACTCCCCCGCTCCCAATCTACCTACGCACGATGGACTTGCATGGACTCCAGAAACTTACTCATGCTAGTTTGAAGGGCATCGCGAAAAGCAAATTAGAGAAGGTATTAGCGCCGACCCATATTCCATCTCGGTGAGTTAACTCGATTTCCCTTTACTCCCACATCTGACTTGCGCTCAGACTAGAATACACTCTGCAGTTTACGAGCATAGGTGGGCTGACAAGTCCTTGTCCAGCATCATCTCACCCAGATCGCACCTAACCAACGCCTTTATGACGCCCGAATCCCAGCGCTATTATATTACGACTACCTCCTCACCCTCCCCGTTGAAATCGAATACGTATGGCGCGAAAGGTTCCGACTATCAACCGTCTTCTACTTATTTTGCCGGTACGGTCTGGTGGCGAACATGGTCAAACCTCTCAGGGTGAGTCTCGTGGCCCTCAACTCCTCGTGTGGCCTTGGTTCTGGGAAGAAGTCCTTGTTGGATTCTGACTTTACCTTTCAGTTAGTCTGTGGTTTGGAATTTCTACCGCGACCTAAATCTTATGCTTGCATTTTGGCGACCGTAGTTGTGATGAAGGGTACATCATCTGCGGAGCGCTCAGCGTGTTGGGAAGGATCGGCATCCTCAGTGTGTAGTACCTCCATGCATGCACCTGATCACATTTATAATCTGCACACGCATCGTCTAGGCGTCTGGGGTATGCGGACCTACGCTATCTACGGACGGAGTAGAGCGATCCTGGCGCTGCTCGGTGTAATCGGAGGATCAATAGTTGGACTTGCCATCGTACGTCTTGGCCTCTAATCTTTCCGCCTCAAACGAGATAAAGCGTTGACTTTGATAAACTGGGTATTTATAGTCTCATATCCCTGTAATGCGCTGCGTAGGGGAGACCAAAATGCCACTGTGAGTGGTCTCCAGGTTCAGGAGATGACAGGGACTGACCACCTTCGCAATCCAGAGGTACGTCTTAAAGATAAACCCTTCATGACCCCTAGGGATACCCAGCATAGCTGAATCAAACTTCCAGCTCGCGGGATTCTCTCAGCGCTGATGATAATCTACGAACTACTCGCTTTCTCACTAGCAAGTCTGAGAGCTTTCAGAACGTTAAAGGCCGGGGGGAGCGTCAAGAGCCAGAGGAAATCATTATACTACGTAGTCCTAAAACAGGGTGTGTGTTCTTTTTCGTTCTTCCTTCCCTGACCAATCACCCTTTTTGTGACATGGCTGGCTACGCATTATCGAGATCCGAGAACTGACCTATATTTGACTCTTAATCTCCTCAGGTCTGCTATATATACTGTAAGGCACCTCTCTAAAATTGAGTCTTGACGGACCTATACTAATCTAGGAGGCTCCGAGTAGAGCGATATCGGGCCTTTCAGTAGCATCAGTCATCCTAAATTTCGTACGACATCGCCTTAGCGCCCAATCGACCACGTTCTGAACTAACGCTATCTCTGACGTCTGGGTTATCCTTCCGACAACAATCCTTCACCGGGCTGTAGAAAGCCTTTGTAAGTGCCCCAAACCTGGTCCGCGCCGCACGGGGGACGGCCTCCTTCAGATTAAGCGCCCAAGCTGAAACGTGAAACAGAAAGGAGGGTTTTCCCAAAGGTTGCTAAACGGGTTGAAGGTTCCGTAAGTGTGGATTCAATTCGTTTCTTAGATCCATTTCACGGGATCTTGTCTTCTCGTTGTACTCCTTTCGAGGTGTGAGATTGCTCGTCGATGATGCTGCATTCAGCTCAATCTTGCCCAATACTGATTCGTTCAATGTGGTTATCACGATTGATTCCTTACTGATTACCGGGTTGCCTAGATTATCGGGGTTCCTTACAGCCCGATTTCTCCTCCGTCTCCGTGTCTGGGAACGCAGAAAGGTTGAAGGAGGGATGAGCCTCACAACATTCTCAATGCCACAATTTCGCCATTCTCGACATCAAACAGAAGAGATGCAGGGAGGCGGGGTCAACCAGGAGGAAGAGCAGGAGTAGCTCGCTGATCACAGAGCTCAGCCACGACCTTGGCCCAGAAGATGACGATGACTACTGCTACTCGGAGGAGTTGTATGACTCAGACGGGTATGATGGAGACCGAGGTGAAGTCGAAACAATCGAGACGCATGAGAGAGATTGGTCTGAAGAGTAAGTCCATTTAGCCCGATCGTTCCGCCGGCAAGGTCGCAATCAACACTTGCCATTGTTGCCTGCGGGCTAGTCAGTGATGCCCAGAGCTCTAATTCTGACATACAATACCTTGTCCTACAGTACGGCGACGACCCCACCGATCAGGACGCCGGGAGGATCTCTGATTCGGAATCGTCATCGACCAGCGCGAGATCGATCGAACGACTCGGAGGTTTGAACTTGGGATGCCACATAGAGAATCACTACTGTAGCCCTCACTAGTCACAAATCGAGCACTTACAACAAAGTGGAAACCCCTTAATTGAAAACAATATACTTGTACATTCGTGAAAGCAAGGTATGTAAGACGTAACGGTAACATGAAGATCGAAGGAGGCCCAGAAGCCGAAAGCGAGAAGTCGAAAGGTGTCCGGTCGAATCGAATGAAGGTGAGCTAGCTAGCTGTGTGTAAGTTGATAAAATGAGTGTGTTAGAACTAAACATCCCGAGGTCCCTCTTTTTCTTTGGTCATTCGTTGGTCGTGCTGCTTTAGAGACGAGCGCACATCAGAAGACGACGATGGCGAGACGGTGAGAATGAGGTTGGGACTGACACTGGATGTTGCGGTTTGTGCTTCTGATCGGTTACTGACGATTAGATCTGAGAGGTGGAAGGAGTTGTCCATTTCTTGACGGAGTCCTTCGCGCGAGGTGAGGCTGGAGTACGGGGTTCGGTACGATGAGAGCGGGGTTCATGGTTGGAGACTTACACTGTTACTGCGGAAATGACGTAGACTGGATGACGTTAAAAGGATGGCTAGGAGGAGAAACCGAGACACCTACAATGTGTTGTCGCTTGAAGTGGGATAAGGCTGAAAGGCCGGTGTCAGAGGGTGCGACGACGACGTAGAGGGGAGGTACCTACAAATAGAATGTCCCTGAGGCAAAGTAATACAAAAGCACGTTAAGAAGCGCGCAGATACTCGTAGCAGAACCGCGATTGATGGCGTAAATGATAAGTTTGTCGACGAGCGAATTCGTCCTGTGGGAAGGTGTGTGGGCAACGTCGCTTAACCAAGAATCCATGGACGTACCGTCTTGTGCCGGATCGATGAGAATGGAATGCCCAGCATAGGACCACGGTGATCAGGATATCGCAGATTGCGGCAGCGACGCCCTGCATCGTCGTTACTTTCTAGAAGATTGTGAACCGGTTGTCCAGAGACCGCAGCAGGGAGGTGACTCGTACCACCAGTGTCGCCGTGTGCTGGTCAAGGGTGCTATACAGTTTGCTCTTGATCCTGGATCACATTGCGATGAGACGGGGGTTGGCTTGGGAAGGGATTGAAGTCGTACATTAATGATACCTGCGCGATACCGGCGCCTAAAGGAGAGACGAGTCTGCGTCGGTGGAGCGGCTCGAGGCAAATAGTTGGCGACGTACCAAGTTGGAGGAAGGCGAGGGCAATCTATGAAAGGGCGATGAGGATGGAGACCACGCGTCGAGAAATAATTCGCACGTACGACCGGGATTGTCAACCACTGGAATTTGAACCCAAAATGCTTGCCAACTTCGACCGTGTCAGCCGCCTCCACATAGGTATTCGCCATGAAGCACACCTTTCCATATCCGCGTTGCAAAGAAGCTTGATGATAGCCGTTAATCGACGAATTTCCCTGACACTCGTCGATACTCACCATTGTGCGATGAAGGCTGTGACATACTGGGTCGAGATGAGCTGACTATCAGGATTGAGAGGCAGAACAGAGACGCACGACGAAGAGGAACTCGATCTAATGGACAGGTAAGTCAACGGCGCTCCAAACCAAGCATTCAGGACGCACTGTTACGGATCTGCAGAAGGGAAATCAGACGCGCGGTTGACGAAGATGATGGGACGACTCACGGTACAATTTCGTTAAAGAGCTCCTGTCTCCCGAACTTTGTGATGAACGAATCATAGGTTTGGTGAGCTGAAGCGGTAGTTTCCACCGTCGCTGAACATCTGGAGGAAGATGAGTTGGCGGGACGAATGAAAAGGGGCCGACGCACATCAGCAGCGCGACGGTGCCCTTCAGAGCCAGAGGGTCATTTCGTCCGAACCTCCTGAAATATTGGAGCGTGATGATCTACAGCACCGCGTCAAGAGCCAACGTTTATACGTCCAAGAAATTGCCAACCAGGGATGTCCCATACAGGCTGGTTTCATTCCAAGGTGAGCGGAAAGCGATGAACTAAGATAGAACAGACACATACAAGGTATTGATAATCGATGCAAGGAGCTGGGCTCCATACATATGATGGAAGGTCGGGGCGAATGCGAGATCCTCCACAGAGCTCATTGCGCTGATGGGTTCTTGGGGAAAAAAAGGAAGAGGAGTGGGGAATCAAGAGTCGGGGACAGGGGTGGGTGGTCTGTCCATCCAACGAAACCCTGGATAGGCGAAGGCGTAGCTATTTGAAGGGGGCTTTGAGAGGTTTACGCGATTCCAGGTGTCGACTGTGGGTATGCTGCCATAAAAGCGAAAGAAACGAGCTGGGAGCGAGGGCCCAACTCGTGACGGTGACAACGTCGGTTGGACAACGTGGGAGCTCCCATGATCTTTTTTCGCCTTCCCGGTCCCAAGACTTTTCCAAGGAACAAATCAATCTGGATTCGGAAGGTCGTCCCTGGTTTACTTCCGCTCGGACGTTCTCATCAGATTTCCCATGCAAGATTCGAGGGTTGGAATTAGCCTATCGTGGGAGCCCTCCGCAGACCGTTATTTCAGACCTTTTGCCTGTAAGGTCAATTGAGGGCTGAACGACATCCTGGTAGGAGCCCCTACAGGTAACATATATATTTTAGCACCTCGATTGACAATGCCTCCTCCCTCAGCACGTTCTAGCGCCCCATTCCACGAGACTCTGTGGATCAGGTTCTCTCCGAAAAGAAGCGATACCGAAACGCTGATCAAACTTGTCTACGAAATTCGAATTATAATTAATTACCACTTTGGCCCCAAGAGGGATATGCGTCCGAACGTAGACCTCTCACTTTCCTTCTCAGCGAATGAGTGTGGATGAAGTACATATGACCATGCAATAAGTATTCTAGCACCGACCCAAACCGCATACGCAATTCTGTGAGCACCGCTGGCTGGGGAAATTCTGGAGCGGGCAGAGATTCTGGCCTGATGGGGATCTAGCGCGGTCATTCCTCGGCAATCTCCTCTCCATTCAGATCGCACTCGGGCTGAAAGGGAGTCTGAAGCCCGTGCATGTACACAAAGAGATATGGTCACTGGAGCGTTTTGAATAGCCCACACTCAGGATATACATGGTCTGATACCCATGACCACTTGCATGACTATGAAATCAGAAAAGTATTGTGTGTCCCGCTCCTCTCCTGATTTTCGTGAACCCACAGCTCATATAGATTCCAACACATACGCCACACGGCACCGAAAGCCAGCGAGAACCCCAGCTAGCCTTCTCTGAGCCCCACGCCACCACCACTCGGAAAACGGAGAGATTGTGCCTACATACATATATCGTTGGCTTCCAAGTTTCTCCTCCATGAGCGCTACGTAAAGGGCTCAAACGACCTGGACATACCTGCGCTCTATACATAGTAGTTTCGCCGCCATGATCAAGCGGAAGCATTGCCACACGGGCGCTTAATATCCAAGGCCGCAGTCCTCGACGACATGGACACCTGATGGCCATAATCAGGGTTTACCCCTGGAAGTGTTACCATCGCTCCCAGCTTCAGCCACCAATTCAGTTTTATGTATCGTTTCACTAGTGCTTTACATACGATATGTGTCCACTGAGGTTGACGGATAGTGACAGAAACCACGTTGCGGAGGTCTTACATACATGGAATGAACGATGGAGGCCCTTAGAGGCCCCCGACATGCGAACGAGGAGTTGACATTGGACTGACAGGTGAAAGGCAGACGTATTCCATTGATGGCATGCTATATGTAGTACAGACAGGCAACACGGGAACAGAGCGTTACTGATACAGAAGTAGGAGATAATAAACGGAACAAGTACAGTAACACAGAGCGAGGTTGAGAGAACGCGAACGGAACCCAACGCACACGGAAGGCAACTAACGTTGGTCGATTAAAATTAACAAGAGTAGATTAAATCGTGTTGAGTCGCTCAACAGTGATGGGGAATGGCTTGATGTGACTGTAAATCAGAGATGGTCGATACAGAGTCAGAACCATCATCGTCAGGATCGAGCTGTACTCACCTAGTGATACCCGTAGTAAACTCCACCGTAGGCATGGGACCTTCCTTCGGAATCGAAATAGAACAAGTCGCCAGAATATTGTACATGGCGTAGAGAATCGTCGTCTCAGCGAAGTACGAACCTATATTCACCAAGGGTCAAAGTCACGCCGGTGACAAAGTTCAATTTTGGACCTACCAGGGCAGGATCGACGTCCAAATCCAAAGGCCCACCGTCGAGGATCAGGCTGAGGCGGTGTGAGCGACTCCGTGGTGAACCTCTCAGGGTTGAAACGGAAAGGATCAGGGTAAGTGTTTGGGTCGTGTAGGACAGCCCTATGAATAGACGCGTTATACTTTCACGGTCGCGCCCCATTTCATAAATGTACGTACCAAACGTTAGCTATAATGGTAGAGTCCTCGGGGATAAGGCGCCCCTCATATTCATCGTCTTGCAATACTCTATGAGGAAGCGCTGGATGAGAGCTGTCAGCAACGCCCTTTGACGCAGGAACTGTAACCAAAAACACCGTAATTGAATGGCTCCAGTTCGAGAACTAATCCAAGGAAGACGGACGCAATGCTTTAAATTGGAACTTACCCAGGTTACCCACAGGCGCGAAACGCAAAAGCTCCTTCAATATCGCGTTGAGATATGGCATTTGGTGGATTTCACTCAAGGAGATGTCGAAGGACGGTGTTTGGTCGGGGTGATGTTCACGACTAGACGGCGGGCCGTGCTCTTCAGAATCCGCAGCAGTTATCGAGGATCGGTGCTTTCCAACAGCCCCCGAAACTTCATTCTGTGCTTTCCATTGGACCTCTGGGTAGAGAGCCATGAGGAGGATAAAAGATATGATGGCAGACACGGTCTGTCACATCGGCGTCAGTATGCATGGCGCCCAAAAAACGGTCCGGGAAGGACCGTGGAGAATTCGAAGGGGCCGGCTTACCGTGTCTCCTGCTCCAGCATACAAACCACTTGCACACCACTTGACGACGTCATCTTCTTCTGGGGAAAGGGCTCCCCCCTTAGCACGGAGAAGTCTCGAAGTAAATGACTCTTCGTAAACACCGGATTCCTAACGGAGCGTCAGAAACTAGGTTGGAGTCAAGATGCGAAGATAAGAAAACCATACCATCTGTTGCTTCGCCCATTCGTGAGGAATATCAGCCAAGTGCCGTAGCCTCTGACGCCACATTAATCCTTGACGTTTCCACTCCGCCCCAGGAAGCCACGATGGAATGAATCGCACTTTTCGAGACCCAATCGAGTCAGTGGTCTCCACACAGATAGAGATAGGGATAACATACGAATGGGAAGGTAGTCTACTAGCCATCGGCCAGGTTGCGTAGCCCACCCAGAGATCTTCGAAGCTTCTTCACTGACTTTGATAAATGGATCGTCTTCTTGGACCGTATACCCAAAGGCCATTCGCAGGATGACAGATACGGCGTTGCTGGGAAATGCAAAAGCTTCCGATGTGAGCTCTCGAGGAAGAACCAGGGTGAAAAAGGAGATAGTTACGTTTGGACATGGGCGACGAACGCCTCGGGCGTACTGACCAAATTGCTGGCGAGCCTTTGAGCCTGGGATTGGATCAGAGTCGCGTACTCTCGCGTTCCTCGAGGTCCCAATCCTGACAGGATGAGCTTTCGATACTGCTTGTGCCGAGTGTCGGAAGAGTCAATGTTAAAGATCGCGTTTCCTCGATCACAAATAACGTTGTACATCCACGACATCGGCCTTTCCGAGTAGATCTCCTGACGTTTCTCTAGCAGGTTGTAAATAGAGTCCGCGGAATTGAGGACGACGACGCGGCGGTTGTAAACTTGGAACGAAATCACATCGCCTGTGGAAGCGTGGTGAATCCTGGCTACAACGAGTAATGAACGAGTACTCACTGTCGTAAAGACGGGCCCAATTGGCATAGGTCTTCCATGGTTCGCTCTTCGGAAGCTTTCGTGCCACGCCGAAGAGGAGAGAGCCCTGAGGACCTGGTGGTAACAGGGAATACTTTCGGCGCTTAATGACCACGGCGATGAAAAGGAGCGCGAAACCTGGCAAAAGGACTAAAAAAGAGTGGGAGTGTAAAGTCGCAGCCATTTTGACTGAACTCACTGAGCTTGAGTACTAGCCTTTATACGAGGTCTGGCTTTCCCGGGGATAGAGTTAGTCGCGTTGGAGCAGCCCTCCGATGAGATTCAGAGTGCAAACATAGGAAGGCGGCAAGTCATCAGGCCCGATAGATGACCTGAGACAGATGCTCCGTGACATCACCCACTTGTGGAACCAAAAGCACGGAGACGGAGACCAGAATGGATTTGGTTCCCGGCGAGGATGAGGAGGATAGGAAGAGCTGGCTTGGCGATGTGAAATGCACTGCTGGGCCTGACTAGAACCCAACATGTACGGGAATCAAAGGTTCCGGTGTGTTAGGACCTGATAGTGATGAATAATCGATGAGGCAAGTCCCCGAGGGTAAAGCCTCTCTAGGGTCGGTGAGCAAATACGTCGAATGCTGAAGATCAACAACACGAAACACACCGCGAAAGCCCGTATTGAGATGGGCCGTACAGTATGTTGATCGCCTTGACGAAGTCCTTTAATTCAACCAAGAGCATAAAGCCACGCTAGAAACAAAGATGTGGTTGACGTTAGTAACCGTTGAGTAACCGCCTCGATCGGGAGAAGGCTGTCTAATGTGGACTATTCGGGTTCCACGGTCAGAACTGACTCGGACCTGGGGGCCATGAAGTCTATCCTTCGGAGAAAGATCCCATCTCGATTGTGAAGGACCGTTTTGTGGCTATCGTGCGCGCATCTACTTATAGCACACCCTTGGGTAAATTTGGAGAGACTAGTCCAACGCACTATTGCGCGACGAATCGCTAGCCATTGGGGTCCCTTCCCCCAGTTGAACAGTCGATGAAGGGTCCTGCTGAAATTGGAACGAATAGACCAAACAAGCGGCATGAAACACTCACAACAACCTTTGAATAAACTCGACGAAACTCACCACCTTCACCGTGGCGCAGTGGGTGTGATTGATCAAGAACGGAATCAGACTGCAGCTGAGTACGTTTTGCGAGGGCGAAGGCGTCCAAAGCAAATAAATACAAACAAGCACAACTTTGAAAACCGAACCGACCCAAAGACTCTTCAGGTAGGCTTCGCGGGACCACCGAGAACGCTCGGGCTGATTAGAGTAACTTGAAGTCTGAAGAAACGTCTAGTTACATATGGTTGGCATTGTCCGTACTTCAAATCGGCATACCCGGGTTGGAACCCGTCGCCTATGACTAGTATTCGGAGGATCACCACGAAACTTTCACAGCCAGTGAAGGACGAGTTAAAGCGTTGAAGCTCACGAAAACGATCCATAGAGGAAAGAGAAAAGCAGGCACCAGTAGATATTTTATTTAGCATACGGCACTATCGAAGACAGAAGCACCGTGCTCACAACAAACTAGAAACCAAATGAGGAAGGAAAACTCGCGACGAAAGGTATCTAGTTGGGGTTGCCGGAAACGGTGATGGTACCCCAGCCGCTGCTGAAGTAGCCCTCGAGAGCCATGACCTGGTAGTAGTGGCTCGAGCCAAGGCGCATGCCAGCCCTCTCCCAAGCAGCGACGTGGCAAGGGAAGTCAATGACACCGCTGATGGGTCCACCGGGCTGCTTCTTGGGGTTTCGGACGGACCAGAACTGCTCGAAGGTGGCGGTACCGTCGATGGAGGGTTGCTGGTTGCGCCAGGTGGAGAGGACGTCGTAGCTGGCACCGTTGCAGGTGACAGTTCCCTTCCTCTGAGCAGCTGAGGCGGGGTTGTAGGTGCCGTAGGACTCGACGACGTAGTACTCGATGAGAGCATTGCGTGTCCAGCCGTAGAGGGCGAGGTAGCTGTTGCCGTTGGGCATGTAGGTACCGTTGTAGCTGATGACTCTGAGGGGGTATAAGTTGGACGAAAAATACACGAGCTAGCGGATCGACTTACCGGTTGACGATACCAGGGTTCCATCCCTTACCGCCGACGAGGTTACCGTTTCCGGACCACTGGATGCTGAAGGTACCACCAGGGCCGTTGGTGTACCAGGCACGGCCTTGACCGTCAGTCCACCACGAGTAGAAGTAACCGTCATGGCGACCCTCAGCACTGGGGGTGGGGTTGCCAGAGGTTGGGGGAGGCGAGGTGGGAGCGCCAGTGTTGGCGGGCGGGGGAGGGTTGGGGTTGGTGACGGGAGGGTTGGGGGTGGTCACAGGGGGTTGGGGGTTGCTGGAACCGGGCTGGCATTGGCTGTACCATTCGTTGACGACAGTGCAGGTGTAGCCGGAGACGCAAGAGGTGGATCCCGACCAGCCATTACCACCGCACTGACCTGGAGAGATGAGCGACGGGGGTTAGTTAAACTGAAGAGTGCTCCAAGCGCTAAAGTGCTTACCCCAAGGGCCGGATTGGGCAGTGGCCAAAGTGGCGAGGGCGACAGCGAAGAACGACGAGGCTTTCAAGTTCATGCTGCTGTAAAACAGTTCAACCTGAATGAGGATCGACAGAGTGTGCCGCGTCCATCGCCCTTATATACGAGGACGTTCACCCCAGTTGCCGAGGATAGACCGTCGTATTCCTAAAAGGAAAGCGCGACGGTAGTAAATCCGTTGCTCGCCCCGGAGAAACATTAAAGGCTGTATCCACGTGGAGGAGCATGGTGTGGGGTCGGATCCGGCCACAAGGAAGAGAGTGTACGGGCGAGATGTTGCAAAAGGTGACAAAACTCCCATGATGGGTCACCCAAGACATTGTGGAGAAGGTATCACTTGACTTCGATGGGAACATAGGTCGGTCGACGTCGTCAGGAATGAAGAAAGTGGGTTCTTTCACTGCGATTCGCGGGTCTGCCCGGGTGCGTTTGTTGAATAGGTGACTCTAGATAGGTAATCTGAGGTGACTTTACCTGGAAGGATCATGGAGAAGGGTGACACGTTAGGGCAGCTCGCTGAATGTTCGCTATATTGAAGCGGAAAAACATCATCGAGACATGTCCTTGGACAACAAGTGAGATCCTTGAATGAGATACATAGCAATAGATGACCGAGGACAGTAGAGGGCATGCGCCAAGACATAACGACTGGGGAGCGCGCTCGTAGCGAAGCAACCACGCTTTGAAAATCTAATCACGAAAAACCGTGGGCTGGTCTCGGTGTTTAGGCCGACAAATATGTCCCGGGTGACGTCAGATTCATCATGAGATATCGGGTGGCCGGTCGAAGACTCGAAGCAAGGAAGTTGCTAGTAGGAATAATCGACCTTCTTCTCCACCTTTATTAAAGGTTTAAACAGTTCAAATAGGTACACCTGTGCGAGATTCATATGGAGCTCATTCTCTCTACCACGTGCATAATATGATATCGACCTACCGTCAGCCCCTATCAGAGTGCACTGGAACTACAAACTGTAGTACAAGGGTTGGTACGGCAGGAACAACCAGGGTATAACGTCGGATGAAAACATTGATCGTGAAGTTTCTACTGAAGTCTACGAGTCCTGACGAGCCTTTTCGAACTGTATAGATGCTGTACTCGAAAGTCTCGTACTATGCTTGGCGCCCTCAGCCGTGCGGCAATTAAACCAGCGGGCCGCGCAGCACGGTACGATGGGAGAATGAACAAGAGCAAAACTCGAAGAAGGGTGGAGGGTGGGAAGGGAATGCAGTGGAGCTGCGTGGGGTTTCTCTACCCTTCTCTACCTCGTGGCAATTGGAGAAGCTTCTTCGGATTTTCGCAGGGGACTGGGCGCTTCTTTCGGCTGGGATTAGGATTTACAGGAACAAAGCGATCGCGACTAACTCCTTGCTTCTGATCTTGTGGGTTGAACCTTGGAAGATATGGAGCTGCGAGGAGACGCGATACTTCGTAGGGTACGGTTGAGGCGCAATAACTACGCCTACTGCACCCTGAACTCACTCCTGGTATTTAACTACCCTTGGATGTTCTTCGGAACCCTCGACAATACCTAGGTCAATTAACACTGGAGCGCGTGCGACGGGATCGGGTGAACGCGGCGAGATATGTTTTCCATCGTTCATCTTCAGGTAGCCGACGACCGCAACGACTTGAAGACTATGATTGAACGTCACGTCTACGCTACAATAGGGCACGTCTCATCACGATATAGATAAGTCTCGTTTCGTCTCCAAGATATCGAGGTCGACATCCAAAGAACTTCGACTATGGCTTCTGCCTCCACCCCTGGGCCATGGCGCGTTACGAGACTGCGACATTCGCACTGAACTGAGCACAGTTAACTCGAAATGAGTGTCAGGCCCCCGGTTAGAGGGATCTGTTGTTCTAACCACCGTTCCAGGAGCTCTTTCTCGAGCTGAAAGCTCTATGGTCTCCGTGGCGGCGGCGTTTCGGACGACTATTTGGTGATTCAAGTGCGCGAGGAGGACATTGGCATGTCTGTGTGTTGCTGAGATCAGTACTCAATCACGGCATTCGGTGAGGTAAAGGAAACTCACAATTTTCCTATGATGAATTGACTTCGAGACGTGCATTAGTAATCCATCTAGTAAGTGAGTGCAGAGAACTTACAAGACGATATGGATAGCATCGCCTGGTCGAGCGAAATACAGGACGAGATTCACTGCAGCACAAATACTAGTCACCAAACCATTCTCAATCGTATGGACCGTGAGGGTATTCAGGATGCGCTTCATGGAGTGGATAGTCGTTAACTTCTTGTATCTTCTCAACTGTGTTATGTGTTGAAAGAGGGTAAGAGAGACAGGACAGAGAACGACATACTATCAAGATCATTGCGACGGTAATCATGATATCGCACGTGAGTGTGACACCAAGATAAACCGCAACTATAATCTGCATCGTTCTAGCCTTGGAGCTATCTAATAGCCGGTTATTCAGTCTCGAAAACTAACGACAGCATCAGATGGAGCCCTTAGACCGTGTGTGAGTGTTGGAAGGGACATGCCTGAACTGCGATAACGATTGTGTCGGCGAATTGGGAGGCAGTCAGCTAACATACAGGTCAGCAATGAGGAGCATTGGAACGGCTTCGACTGGTTTCGTACAAAAGCGACAATAGCTGCGACATATCTCCCCCAACTTGACCGAGAAAGCCTCCAGATTCGGCTAGGAGATGGCATTCAGATCGTCCATCAGGATAATAAGTAGCAATGGTATGGACGTACTGGGCGAAGCAGAGCTGGACAACGCACGCAGCTGTAAAGTGGTGGTCAGAACCTTCTCTTGAAACCGGTACAGAGACGTCGTTGGCGCACCAAGTCCGTTCAAAACGGGATTCAAGCTTGAAGACGCGGGGAACTCGGAAAGATTGTCGACAGACGACCCGCGAAGGGGGATAACGACGGTCGACCATCCCATTTGTGCAATGAAACAGACACTGAATGTCTCCACAATAACCACCAAACCAGCTAGTCAAGAGACAGGACTCGGAGGTGAGGACGTAACGCGCAGATTCTGGGGTTCAAAGAAGCAACATACCGACAGCTGGACCGGCCCATGACGCCTTGGAAGGAAGCTCGCAGAGGTAGTGAACTGAAAGCGGTATTTTAGTTTAAACAGGAAGGGATTGTGATAACGCCACGTACAGAATTGCACGAGCAAGGCCCCGTATAACAAGTATGCGAGTAATGATCCAATGAACTGAAAGCAGAAGACCAAGGGGCAGTCGTCGAGGTTATCGAAGAGGTTCGGAAGCCGATAGATAGAGTAACACATACAACCGGTCCGCCGCTACGTTCACGAGTGTCCGTGAGGATTCCAATAACGACAGGGGAGCTGACGTCAACTCACAGCAACACTGGATCACAGCAACACTGGATCGTCCATGCTAAACTCCTAGTGTCTCGTGTCAGAAACTCGAGTCCGTGTCTTTGGGTCGCCCTTTGAGGACTGTCCGGAGAAGATAGTTTTGAGAACGGAACGGGGCCGATGGAAGCCACGGGAAGACCTAAACAAGAGGGAGAGAAAAATAAGAAGCGTTTCATGGACAGATCGATACGTTCGCCCACATACCTTTGAGAGTCTGTCGCAGTTCGAGACTGACTGCGATGCCTCTCGTCACGTTCAACACCCAGTAGACCTGCCCAAGAGCGACAACACCTCAGCCGGCAGGGTGGCCTTCGATGAATGCAACGACCTCCATGGCGTCACTGTGAGAGGAAAAGGGGAGAGGCAAACAACACACAACCTTACCTGAGTTGGAATTCAGGCACCATATGGCGGCACCCTGAAAGTGGGGAAATCAGCATTCATGATTTCCAGAGATATTATCTGACCAGTCGCCACTTCAACTGTGGCCGCTTGGAGGGACGTCAAAGGAGTATTCAAACGCCAATGTAGGAGAAATGGGGTCCACTGGACAGCGTAGGACTCGTTTCTTCTCGTCTTCAAGTCGCCGACAGTCGGTGTCGAATGCGCCCTCATCAAGCTTGGACGGCGCTAGTTTCCTTGATTTATCAAAACGATCAGCGCGTTCCTCTCGAACCTCTCGTTGCGGACCGAATTGCGAGCCCTACCTATGTACATACATCAGGCCTAAGGTCCCATGTCTCATGGGCGACGTCGACGTCGGAAGTCGAGAAACCCATATCTGGAAGAAGTCCCCGGTGTACTTCGAGGTCGAGATTTCCTGTGCATGACCCGCCGGTACGAGAATACCTGATATCCTCAACCGCATCCGCCGGAGCTTTGACGCCATCGCGTTGGATGCCTCGATGGGGAAGCCAGCATACCCCCATTTCGCGACCCATATCCTCCCATATGGATGGCAATCCTGCCAAGAGGAGGTCTCGGTGTAAATCGCGATCGTAATGTGTGCACGTCCAGGGAGATATATCGCGCTGTTTCGAGGTGTCAAACAGCGATTCTAGTACAGGACAACCCGACCAAGAGGGAGAGAACCCAGTCTCTTCAGAGATTCAACGTAGTCCCAGACCGTCGACTGAAAGATCTATGACAAGGAACCAGAGGACAGCAGACCGGTGATCCAAGGACACAGCGCCCAGGAGGTGGCGGTTGACTTTGAAACCCGAACCCCGAAGTCATCGGAGCAGCGCCCCCCAGTCCCGTGACTTGTCTTGGCGGGCGCTTAAGCGGCAGGTTGGTGAGAGACGCTGGTGCGGCTAAGCCAAACAAACCCAGAGAGAGGGCTTGCTCTGATGCGGGGTAATACCTAAGGCATAAATCCTTGTACCTATGTATCTTAAGTGTCCACTCAGACCTTGGTTGTATTTATACATTCAACTGCCACGGTCGCGGATCGAACTCACAAAGTTTGAGCGCCCAAGGTCGAAAGGACCTCCCTGATTCAAAGTATAGGTCAACAGTATAGGTTTCGTATTTCAATCACTAGTACAGGCAATTCAACGACTGATCACGAGTACAAGCAGCATACAACGGAGTAAAGACAGTGGATTTAAATTCGCAACACCCTGGCGAAGGACCAAGTGCCGCATTCAACCATTCTGAATCACACATTTGGCATTGTCGGGGGAGTTGGAATGTCGATTCTGGGTGAGAAAGTGATGAATCCTTATTTAGTTCATGGGCCGCGCTACAGTGAAGGCAAAGCTAGTCGCACGTACCGATTTAGAGGCAGTTGTTCTGGACGCACTGGTTGTAGACCAAGGCGTATTGAATCGCGTTGGTGAGGATGCAAACGAGATCGGTCCTGTGTTTAATGAACGCGTCAGTAATCAGGCTACGAAGCCAACAGGCAGAAGGTGAACGCTAGGGGCCCTGTCGGCGCAGCCCCCGCCACAGTGATATCCCAACGAGCCATAGGTGCCAAGGCTGAAGCCCAGGGAGTAGAAAGAAAGGAGACGAGATTTTACTCACGCATCCCTGCACCCAACAGCGACGGCAGCCTCGTTGGCGCAGTTGGTAATGCAGAGGTCACCACCCTGAGGAGCGGCAACAACGAGGGTGGGGACGAGCAAAGCAGCGATGGCAGCGAGCTTGAATTGCATGGTTGAGACGAGAGAAAGCGCTTTGGTGAAGGCGAGAGAGAAGTAGTTGTTCTGGAGCAGTGATAGTCGAGTTGACTGGTCTTTCCATTGACCATTCAGCAGGCCTTTTATACCTTTTCTCCCGCCTTTATTCGATATATCGGGTACCTCTGATTGAACCCTCAGTGCGATAATCGGGCAGAAATTTGGGGTGTGAAATGCAGACGCCGTGCTTGAGCGCCTGCGCAAAGTTTATTCGACAGATTGATTGCTTTCTTGTTGTCAGAAGGGAAACAATGACGATTGTGGCGAAACACCTTTAGCTCATACGTTCAGTTGATACCTTCCCTACCTCTCGCTATAGACTGACATTCGCATTCTATGGAGGGGGTCTGTTGTACCAGCTGGGTAAAGGGGAAGATTATTCAGGGTGCCTCTGTGCTATCTCTGACTGTATTCGTCGCATATTCATATCATGCCTCGTTTTGCCTATGCGTCTATCGGCTCTGTCCAAATGACCGAGCCCTCTTGGTGCTTCAGAGCTCACTAGTGCCTACTGAGAACATTCTGGGAGTCGTAGGTGTGTTATCACAACACCCCTTAGATCTGTCCGGGCGGCGACCTTGAACGTTAACGTGAACACTTTTCACGCCGCCGATCAGATCCCATTTTCTTGTGGATAACGAATTTTGGACGCGAAGCGGTGTTCCTATTTACCTGGATTCCCACCGACTGACCAATACATCGTATACAGGTATACAGGTTGGTCGAACGTATCCAAAGAGGACTTTGCACCGTCTCCGCCTCACGATTTGAGTTTTCGTCTAATCAGAACCAGGTATAAAGACTCATACGCGTCCGACGGACACTGTAGAGAAACAATGTTCGGGTGCCGCTGAGTTGTATTTGACCGTGACGTGCACTAACAATAGCTTTCATTTGACATTATCTGCACATTCTTCATTTGGAAGTCCCCGTCAGGTGAGTTGAGGTGACATTTACCTCCTTCCACAGACTATCTGCACCCTGCACCCTGTGGAATCATCTCGTTCACGGAGTCTTCCTTGAGTAAACGGGTTTGAATTCGAGATCATTGGTCACCTCAGGCTTAGGGGCCAACTCAAAGTATTTTGCGGTGTGCGAACGGAGTACCTTTGAGCGGTCTGTTCAAAAGTTTATTCGACGGGAGAAATGTTTGTTCCAAGTCAGATGGACAACGATGACGCCGACAGCGCGTCATAGTTCACTGAACACCCAGTGTTCACGCTTAGTCCTGTCAACCCAGTTGCCCCAATCTGGACTCAAGCAGTTTGAGAATCGCGCTGGCGTGGTAAGTTGGTAGCGGCATGGGCGTGTCCGATCGCGATGCCAATCGTGTAAAAGTCACCGATTTAATCCTACATGTCCAGTTGGTTGTGTTCAGGAACTCTGGCTCTTGGGGACTATTCCACCAGCACCAAAAACGAGCTCGTCTACCTTTAGGAGAACCGGGAGGTTCGGGGTCGCTGAGTCTGAATTCCTCCTTTCCCCGAAAGGGGTTCCATCCTTCGTCCCTGAAACGTAAAGGCTTTCCGATGAGGGCAGCGGTAGATTGTGAAAGAAAGTGATGGAATGTACGTGTTCATTCCGCTTTTCTAAGAAACTACAACGGAATTCCAAGTATTCTGACCATTCCAGTCAGGATGAATGGCATTCCTTGGAGCCGCTGTATGTCTCTGAACTCGCCACTGCTCGCTGCAACAATCAAATTAGCTTTTTCAATTGAAACTTGACTGATGTTGGAGCTGGTCCTTCCCTCGAAGGAAAATTCTGATAGATCCGCTTGGAGGGGGCACGGAGAAAACAACGAATGTACTGCGTCTTAAGAAAGCCGACAAGACCACGAGACCATGTCAGGTGCCAACAATAGCTTGACCTGACACTATGATGTGTACGGACATCCGCCCAATTTAGTTGGGGAGGTAAGGTGGTGCGAGGGGAGACTCTCGATGTTCTGGGCCTTCTTCCAGCCGACTATCCGTAGGCTCATTTCCGTAGGCATCCCGCTACTTCAGTTCCATCGTGATATCGAACTGACAATAGTGTGTTCTGTCCGTACTGTTGCTACAGGGGTGACAGCACCTCACGGTGGTTTACATCGCCTTTCACACTTCCCCCGATAAGCACGAACATATGTAGAATTACGACACGATATGTCTACGCTTCACATCCAGTTTCAGATGTCGACGTCATCCAAACGCTCATCGGTGGTCCATATTCATAGAAATTACAGGGGCCGGAGAGACTACGAGTCCAAAGAAACTTTAACGGGAAATTGTGGTTTAAGAGGGCGCGCTGGCGACATTTAAATGGGAATTCCACGGTATGTGGCCAATTGAGCTCGGAGACGCGTAATTTGACCAGGCGTAAACTCGCTCATGCACGCATCGTCCGAGTAGTCCATGTAGTTGTCTAACCGGAGAGCACCAAGTCAGCCATCATCCTGAGTGAGGTGAAGGGCTTAGAACTCACGAATGGGGTCGACACCATCGCCGGTGCAGGTATCGCGACCAACGGGGCAGCCAAAGGCAGGCGAGCGCTCAGGAGGAGTGTCGGCGACTTCGTCACCTGGTGCGCCGCAGCCACCCTGGAAAGTGTGCCACAGCCCTACCCAGTGACCAACTTCGTGTGTCACAGTCTAGATAGGATTGATGGTCAACAGAGTTAGAAAGAGGGGTGATTCCATGATTCGACAACTTACCTGGCCCAGGTTGTATGGTGCTGTTGTCCCGCCAGGTACAGACGAATAGAGGATGACTTCGGAAAATGTAAGCTCGTACATCCGTGCGTTTGAGCATGGCTGATACTCACCAACCCCATCGTCCCATGGGCTCGTAGCGTAGTCGATTGGGAAAGTTGCGTATCCCAAAAGACCTGATCCAGAGCCAGAGGCAAAGCTAAAGTCGTATGATCAGGTTCCTCCATGGCTAGCGGCTGATCGATAGGACTAGATCGACTTACCCAACTGAGTAGATATTGAGGTCAGCAGACCCACCGGCACGAAGAGTGTTCTTCATCGAGTTTTGTTGGACGGTAAAGGGTGCCGCGCGGAGGAACCAGTCGGAGTTGACGGTTCTGGTGGTGTTCACCAGCACGAAGGAGAGCCCAGTCTCTCCGAAGTCGTGGTTAAGAACTGCAATCTGTTCTGCGATTTGCGAATCCCTGCGCGAAGAATCGAATCAGGGCACAGGTTTCGACTGTGGGTGTAGTATTGTACTAACGGAATGTTCCCGTCGGATAGGGAGGATCCCGCTGAGACGACGTGGAAGTGTACATTAATAGTAGCTGGAGTAAGGGGAGCATCCGTGAACGACTCGGGCCTATGCTCAGCGAAATGCTGGTTGGCAAAGGCGACTTCCTCGTCGCTCTTGATGGCACCACAAGTTCGCCTGGCGTTCAAGGGGTCAGTTTAAGAGATAAGGCGTAGAGCTCCAGAGATGACATACTGGCCATTGACAGAGACGGCTACAGTTGCCAACAATGTCGCGGTAAACAGACCGAAGCGCATTTTACAAGAAAGGGAGTTCCAAGTTGTGAGCAGGTAAGTCGGTTAGCTGAGACTGCCTTGAAGAGTTATCTGTTCACTGCAAACCTTTTATACCCTTAGGCAGGCCGCGATCCTATCCTGGAACCTCGGTCTGAGATGGTGTGAAGCGCTCATGGAAGAGAACAAGATAGAAGTCAGATGGGACAAACTAACTTTTGATCAGAAGGGACCGATAACCGCATGGAAATGTCGTATCGACATCGTAAGTATAACAGCATTCATACTCAGCATAACGTACTGGTACGCGGCTCCCAAACGCGGCTTCCACTCTCAAGACTCTGAACTGGATAGCATTTTGAAGCACGAGGCATGCGAGTAGATAGGAAGGATGGTGTTTCACTGCCGTTATGGGCAATTGCAAACATAGATGGAGATACAAGTAACCAATCGCAACGTGGTACAGACGTACTCTTCAGTATAACGTTCGAATGTACGGGGATCCTAATTCAGAATGTCTGCAGTGGTCTACCATGGCCGCTTAGTGAAAAGAACGCGCTTGTTGAGAGGGAGCGCCCATATATAGAATAGACAGCACAAGGGTCATTCCGTCAATGACATTGATCATTCCGTCGAGGCATATAATTAGAATAAGCTATGTGACATCTGATGACGAAGGTACTGTACGGATGGCGAGATAGCACTGAAGACTGGATGAGAGGCGAAGCATTTGCTGGTCGGGCTTTCTCATGAGTGGAAGTGAGACGCTGGGACTCAGGTACAGGCGAGTGGTTCTCTCAGCATGCTAAACCGTCCAGCCGTGATCCGTTATAACTGACATCCTCAACTGAATTCAAGGGTTTGAGGTTCGAATAAGAGAAGCTTGAAGGTATCACTACTCGCGACGCCTGTAAGGGCGAAATCAAGGCTTGGTATCAAAGACGGGGAGATTGAGATGCTTTAACAAAGACTTGAGTCTCCGGCTATGACGGCGACACCACATTCCACACCTTTTTGAAGCATTTTGTCGCACCGGCGTCTTCTAGAACACGAACCGGGCGGAGTCGGGCCTTATTATCGTTTCAAATACAGTGTTCTAATGTCGAACGCAGCATGGGGGGATTTGTTTGAGCTCACCTATTTGGATAGCTCCGTGTGCTTCAGCTAGATGTCCTTATCCTGACTTACGTTTACTATGGATGCTTCGCGTGGCTTTTCAATGGGTCTACCCGTACCTCCGACCTCAAGCTCATGGTTCAGCTTCATGGCCCGCTGAGGAATTGATCCATCAAGTAAGAAGCCTCTATACTATCACAGCCATCACACTACTGGCACTCAGTCTGTGAGGAAGAAGTGCGCTTTTAATACACTCGCATGATGGTTCTTCAGCTTCTTTGTATGACTTCGAGCGTTAACTCCTATCGCCAACTTGTAGTCAGCACATCCGGGGTCACTAGCACTCCGTTGTATCAGTAAGCAAATGTGAGGAAACTTCATGCTGGAAGACGTCAGTCTTTGGCCATCTATCGCGCACAATCAAAGGGTGTAAAAGTAAGGATTAGGTTTGCTTCATTTGGAAATTTGCTGTTCTCAGTCTTCAATTCGGACGTAGTAGGCGTCTAGAAGCGTTGGGTGATTGGGTGACCACATGTCCTTGCAAGTGATAGACTGCCACCCTATGAGAGGCTGGTATGAGCGAACGCATCATGAGTTCCCTCGAGTCCGTGTATCTTTCGTGGCTACATCACAATCAGCGCCGATCCCATGGAAATAAGCGCCCATTCCCAGACTTGCCGATCCCCGTGTAGGGATAAGCGCCGTATGACAGGCCACACTGCGCTTTAAACGCAGGACGAGCGCCCATTAGAGATTTTTCTTGGAATCTGGATGGTCCTCACACGTATCAGCTCCTCACACAATTCTTCAACCAGAGGTCGTTGAAGGTTTGATAGGAATACAAGGCCTTTTCTAATCTACACGTAACGTTATGCTGACTCGGTCATTGTCTTTTCCCCACTCTGACCTGGTTGCGTGGAGGATTCAATATACGACTCGTCATGACCATGGTTGAAGGCAAGCGGTTGGGAAATCATCGAATTGGGCGCATGGGCAAGCGTTTCATCGTGTCGGACGAACGAACGACCAATCGTAACCCTGAAAATAATCATCTGGGGTGCGAGGGACTGAAGGCTCTAGTCAGTACTATCCCAGAAGTAAAGGGTTAGTTCTACTCACCACAAAGTTTCCGTAAAAGGCGTCGACTATGACCCCCACGTCGGCCAGATTTCTCGGAATAGCAGTCTCAGGGCTGGCGACGTTGATAATCGTGATGATTGCTGACGCGATTCCCGGTATCGTCAACGTGAGCGCGGACTCAATAATGATCGTAGCAGCTCCTTTGTAGACTCGCATATTGCGACCGGGAAGGACAGCACTGAAATTTCGGTGAGCGCGGAAGAGGCGGAAGGCGATGAGCGAGGTAGCCAGAATGTTGAAGATAGTCGTCAGCAAGATGACTGCCAGGTAGATTCGGGCGTCGTTTTCACGAGCCACAGGGTCATTCTTGATGCGAGGAAGGTGAACCACGTAGAAAATGTTCGTAGCTACGGGGAAGAAACGATCAATGACGCTAAAATGGCCATGCGATCAGTGCACGACTCACCTGTTGACGAGAGATAAACGAAGGCTGGGAGCGCCAATACCCATAGCTTGTCTTTCCAGATGATGTAACAGCGGTAGAGCTACCAGGAAGTTAGACCCCTCGTTACCACTTGACGCAGTTCGTAGACTGACCAATAAACCATCGGCTATCGCGATGTTGAGGTATACCAGCCAGAAGCCAGCTATACTCGGAGCTTCAAAGAACATCTTCCCGTGGATTTGGAAGAATTCCAGTCCACTGGTCGCGTGGTAATAGCTGTTGAATTGGATATTGGCGCCTATACAGGTCCCAATTATCGATATGGCCAAAATAATGAAGCTTATGATCATGTAGGGGATGCGGCCCTTTTGAAGGTGGCGAGGCGTCTCGAGGAAGACGGAAAGGGAATACAGAAACATGAAAATCTGTATCCCTTCGGCAGATTCAGTCGACAGGTCGAGATGGAGTAGCACCCCACGTACCTGTGGCCAACGTCCCTATTGTGTTGTTCGCATAGAGCACTTTTGCGAACCCAAGAGCGAGCTTTTCAACGTCGTCGGACATGGCTACGTGTTGGGTGGGGGGATTCGGAGACGAGGGGATCGTGCTCTCTGGCAATGACATCCGCCTGCCTTTTCACCCACCCAAGTTTCCCACTGATAGGAATCTTTTCGTCAGGCAGTCATTTTGATAAGGCACTGTTCCCCTGAGGAGAATGGGAAGTCGGCGCTGTGGAGTACAATCAGCTACCGTCAATGATGGCAGTTCCGGGTTTCAAGGGAACGAAAAAGGGACCTGACTGCAAGAACAATTCAAAGGATTACCCGTGGCTGTGACACAAAGTTGACGTTTGATGGTGGCGAAAGCGAACATCGCCCATTTCCTCCCAGAGGCTGAAGTTTTTAGTAACTGGCGGGGAGCGACATCGACCAATGGGGCGGTATTTTCTGCGGCCAATTGTTCCCCAGCGATTTGATCGACAATGTGGTTCAGGGCCATCTTGCATAGCGGACATAGTACAGTCCCTCTAAGGTTAGTAGCATCTACGCTCCGTGCATAGCGATGGATATTGACAGGGACGACCGTCCCAGTCGGAATGGCAAATACGGACGACGGCACTGCTAACCTTCACGGCGATTTGCTATGACTGCACTACCGGCTTTGTAAAGCGAGTTCATTGAGCTTATCGGCTGTCGAGCGCTGCTCTCTAATAACAGCATGGCTTTGAGCATACAAATTGATCCACGGACAGTTCCTGCCCGTCTCTGAACCTAGGACACCAACGAAGGTCATTGAATTGATAGACGTGGAATTGAGAGATGCACTTACTCCAAAAGCGACATCACATGGTGCATTCTCGGCTCCTTTTCCCCTATCCCCCGATCGAAAATGCACAGCATGTGTATCCTCGAAAATCCGAATGGGAATAAGAAAGAGTAAAGTCGCATATCCCGTGAAACGACCTCTTCAACGATCCTTTCGAATCGATTCGGAGACCATCCCTTGAATCCCCTTGCCTGCGCGTAATACTTCTCCAGAGGGAGGATATCGTGCCCGTCGTTTGCGAAGAATCCAACGACGTGAATTGATTCAGCGCCCTCCTCCCGTGCGAACCCTCTGTGGTAGAAGGTGGGAACAATCCTTGACGACGCAGCCATGGTCCGAAGTCGAACGTACCACGGCACCCAAAGCCGTTCCTTCTTTAGTTCTACGGTTTGCGAGCGGTAAGTACATGGGTGGATCACAGTCACAATAGTAGGAGCGTACCGTAGTGCGCATCGCGGAGATTGTCACATTCGAACCGATGAACGCGTTTCCAATCCTCTCTCTGACACTCATCGGAACAGTAGACAACAGAATGGCACTGCGAACACGACTTGATGTCGTCATCGTCGGAATTGGGATTGCTGTAAGCAGGGTCGAGATGCTAGAGGAGAGTTTTCAGGGGGATTGGAATATCGTAAGTAACGTCAATAATAGCAAGGACTTACAGACATATTCTGACAGTTCACCCAAGTGACCGGGCAAGACTCCTGTGCATCCATCACGTATCGCTGAATTTCCACAGAGGTTATGAACTTCGTCCATGTCTCGTGGCCCGGTTCTTCAGGGTTCATTAAGCACTCCACAAGGGACTCGTCGATGTAGTCGTCCCAAAACTCCAGCGCAGTCCACAATCGGTCGGAGAATGGCAGATATCCCGTGATGTGGGAGATTATCGTATCGAGGACGTTGACGTCGGCTTCCCCCCTCGCCAAAGTGAGCAGTTCTATTGCCCTGACCAGTAGACCCCCTTGGACGACCTGGTGGATTAACTTGGAGGTGTGCGCACGGTGGAAGTGGGTCCATTTGAACGTTGCCAATAGGAGGTTGGCATCGAGCATGGGCGGCACGTCCTCCCAACGGTCCGCCAAGCGCCGAATCCTTGGAAGGTCACCGAGGACAAGGTCCAGGTACTTGGCGATGTATCCCTGCTCGAGAAGGAAAGGACTGAATTTCCATTCTTTGGAAAAGTTGTCGAACGTAGCTTGAAGAAAGATAAAGAATCGAACGAGGTCAATGGGCTTCCGTCCGCTCTTGGGGGCTTTTGCTACGGCGATGGAGGCAAAATCTATGAGTGATACCACATTGGCCAAGAACCGCCTCTGGGAAGACCGTGGCGAATCAAGGATAGCATCGAAGAGCAAGCGCTGGGATACCTTGTGTGTCGTGCAGTGATGGAGGAGGTACAGAAACAACTCTGGGAGGTCATCATGCGCCATAAGATCGATGCTGGAAGAGGCGAAGGTGACAAGGGCATCCATAGCACAGCGAGACGAAAGTAGCGCCAGCTGCAGGTCTTCCGTGAGAGATATGAGATCGAAGAGGAGGTAGAGGAGGTTCGACATTGTGTGTAGGCCCCGAAGCGTAGTGAATCGATGCCAGGAGATTATAGGCTCGAGATGCTCGATAGCTATCCTCGACGCATCATTCATGAACGACTCCGAGCTGTCGGCTTTAGCGGAGACGATGAGGTTGTGGAATACGTCCAGTGCCCCGGCCGAGCGTTCTAATGTCTTCCTCCTTTCGGAAGTGTTCAAAAAAGACGGCGAGGGAAATGGGGCGTCTAGGTGTCGGAGAACGGCAGCGCATACGGCAGTTTTCCTGTCATTGGAGAATTTTGGCCATCTCTCGAGGACGGTGTCAATTGCATCCAAGTCGCCATCAGTTACACGCCCAATAAGCTAAAGAGTGGTTAGCCGAATGCTTCTCCGTTTTCTTCCAGAACCCACCGTCGGATATGTCTCTGCTGTAGCTGACTTGGCTGCAGTCGAAGGGCGCTTACCCTGACTCCTGTCCCACAAAGGCATGACGCTCGGCAGTGTCTTTCGTGATTTTCCCCTCTCTTGAGTGATAGGGGGTACTAGACAAGATCAGGCCAGGCTGGAAAGATGCCTCTAGCGTTATCAAAGAGAGAAACCCAGATGATAGGACTTACTTCCTGTGTGAATCCGTTGAAGTTCAAACTTTGCTGGGTTGTGGTTACCGGACAAAGGCAAACCTGTTTTCCGCCGTACAAACCCGAACCCTGATCGCATCAACCTACAGCGGGCCGTTTGATTGCCGCCCATTCGCTGTTTCCTCTCTGAGTATCCCCGCCGTCATCAAATGGCGGGGAAGGTTGACGAGGTCGAAGAGAAAGAAAATATGCATAATTTGGTACGTCCTAACTAATGCGAGGGGCTACAAAACCATCTCATTCAGACCATCAGCCTAATATGAACACGGACGTTCTACGAGGGACTAGAAGTCTTCTCGGAGGTGTTTGTTGGCTTGCGAGTGACTTTGGGCGGGCGAAGCAACTTGAAATTCTTTGATGTATACGATTTAATCACCTCTTTCATTGGCCATCGTTTCTTCTTTTTACCGCTATCTGGAGTCAGATTGGGAGTCGGCAGAAGATTTGGCTGCTGTAGTGGGGTGTTGTAGGTCTTCTTGCCTTTCTTCAGCTCGCGCTCCACGGAAAGAGGGCTGTCAACGACGGGCGGGGACTCTCGACTTTTCTTAACCTGCCTCTCCGTATCTACAGAATGATCCCGGCGCCTTTTCTTGTTCGATTTCGGCGGCGTTGGTAAGAAGGTTGTGGAGGCTTCGCCGTCCTGACTTGTACTGGCCCTTCCTTCGGAAATTTTGGACAGTTTAACCAAGCCCTCGTCAGGACGAGAAACCTCGTTATGAGTTGGTGACTTTGCTTGAAGTGACGATTGGGGCTGATCTGATTTCGACAGACGAATCGGTCCTTCCAAATGTACTCGTCAACCTCTAGGTCCCTCATCGACAGCAGAAAGGGGTCCTTACCCATCGCGCTCGGCACATCGCTGTCGGATTTCCTCTCTCGAGCCGTACTCCTGTCGCGCAGCTCTAATAGCTCCGTTAGGTTCACCCCTAATGATAAGGCCAATGGACAAGAGCTCACTAGAGCTGGTCTCGTCGCTACGGGTCCTGTGAGGAGTGACTGGGACGGGCTCATCGTCAGCCTATAGGTGGTTGAGTTCAGCGCACGTAGACTCGCCTGCTCCAACGCCCAGCCGTCGATAGCGATCCCATACGTCCGCCTCTGTTTTAGGCTTGTCCTCCTCTGAGTCCGATCCTCTGAGCCCACGAAAGGGTGCTGGCGATTTGGAGAGCCTCTCGTTGTCAGAGAAGCCCATCCTGGCGGCGGAAGAGAAGAGTGGTAATGGTCAACGCTTAGTGAGTGATGCTGGGTGTCGTGAGATTGTATGCTGTGAGAACTCGTCGCCCCCTGATATGCGATTTAGAGAAGCGCCAGTTACGCTCTACGAAATAAATGTACCGCAGAGTTCTATCTCCGGTACACTCGTAACAAGAACCCTTGATATGTCTACAGATTTGGTTGGAAAGAGTGACATGGGGGCTGTGAAAAAAGGTCGGCGCCGAAGAGTTCCGATGGCATTGGGCACTTCTCACAAGCATAATCTTAAATTAGACGCCCAATGTTCGGAGGTATTGCGCTTTCCGAGGCCACGAGGCGCATTCAAGACTGTTCTATTCGGTCGTGTTCATCTTCTCGCTCCAAAGTAAATGAGCTGCGTGGCATAACAGCGATGCAGGGCCGCGAAATCACATCTGATCTACTGAACGTCCTTCCGTGTCTCTGGTGCCTGATCCAATGTCTTCCTCCTCATGGGCGATAGCATCTTGAACCAATTCCGCTTCCCTTTGGATTTTCCAGGGGACACAGGTGCATCGGACGAGTCGCGTCGTTTGGGATTCTGTAGCCCATCGCGATTCTGAGACGTTGATATTCGGAGATGTGAGCGCTTATCGGAACCTAGTGGGAGACTCAGAGGTGAAAATCAGGAAGTCATAGCGAGAAATCAACCTTTACTGGGGGGAGAATCCTCGCTCTGTGCCATCTCTGTACTTGTAGCCAGTGTATTCGACGGTGGAAGACTACCGTTGGAAGGAGGGGGCGTCAGCTTTGAGTCACTCTTCGTAATCTGCCCGTCCGCAGTTTCGGCAGCCATCGAAGACTCAGTCTCTGTGGACTCAGAGAACGAGTTCAGCTTCTGAGAGTAGATTAAGGTATGTTGCGCGCTCACTAGACTCGCCCTGGGTTGGGGATGTTGTTCGAGAATGCGCTTCCTTCATTGTCAGCACGTTGGACAAACATACTGCCTTGATGGTACTCACTTCGACTGACTGAAGTCTTCACTCGCAGCCCCACCCCTCCATTCCTCGTCGCCTCTTTCCACTTCTCCCATTCCTCCGACTCAGAAACAGGCCGTTTCAACTCTCCATCATCCCTGCATCCGTCGAGATTGCCCAAAAATCCCAATTCGCCGCGTAAAGCCATCTATTTTTCTCCAGGGGTGCTGCTTGAGCGAGGGGACGGTGAACGAATGAAGTCGGGATGGAATAGTGAGCAAGGAGCTGTTTGAACGAACCTGAACTGCCTCGTTCCTGTGTACCAGTGTTTACACTCGGCAGTACGCGAAGACTTACCTGAGAGATAAGGTTCTGTCAAGGGTTCGAACCATGATTGGGGTAGTGATATATCACCGCCATAAGTAACCTCTTCCATAACACCTGTTTCCTTCAACCGCAGCAAGTCACTTTGACAGACCAGTCCGCAGACATCGGGCTTGATATAAGACGGTGTCTTGGAACCAATCCTTCAGCGACCCTCGAGCAGGGATGGCGCTATGTAAGTTCCTTGAAAGAGGTGAACTCACACACAGGCTACAGCTAGATGGAATGCGGCAGGCCTGAATCCTGATGACAATATGCGTAATAGGATTAAGCGCGCGAGGGATTTTTGTTGTTCGACAAGGACGGCGAAGCGCCCATATACCCATATCGGATTCATGTCAGACAGTGTGTCTGTCGTCCAAGTCGGATTGGATGGTCGACCGGCCGGTATCAGAAGGGGAGAACTATCAGCGAACAGTTTAGACGAGATACTTGGTGTAGGTGGCCCTAGTTTCCGTCCCATTGAGACATTTCTGAAGTTTGAATGCTGATTACCCTTGGTCATAGCCCCCAGGAGACGATCCAGCGAAGTACTACTCCCTGAGAATCGTGTAAGCCAACCTGTTCGGCAGAAACGGACAAGCGAAGCTGAGAGGGTTGCCAGAGCGCTGCACTACGAGGATCCCCAGGCACAGAATCGAAACCGAAGTAGCAAAGACGAGCTATCGACAGCGAGGAAGACACGCGAGGCAGACGAAGTGGGCGCCATCATTTGGCTAGCAGAGAACCTTGGTGTCTCCCCTTGTTTTTTCGATGGTGCTCTATCCTACTCCAACTCGACCGTTCTCGAACTTCCACCACCGCCACCACCTATTGAGGCGCCTAGAAGCATGCCCATGCTCGAAAGCGAGCCAGCCGATCCCGAGAAAGAAATGCAACCTGTGGAGTTCCCGAGTCGACACTGGACCGAGGCGCTTCGCCCAGAAGATAATTCTCTGAGTACGTCAAGTCTCGACGAAGTGTTCTGCATTTTCATCCACTGAAGACAGAATAGATGGCGTTTACATCACGCAAGTCACGGGTACCTGGTCTGTGGTTTGGTTCAGCCATCGCCTCGATACCGACCTTTCCACCTACGTGATCCACAACAGCGGCCCAGAGGCGACCGGAAACCTACTGAGGTACTTATTCTCGAGAGATCGTATGCCAAAGATTCCGCTCCTGGCAATCGATTCCTTGATATGCAACGAGGAGAAACTGTACCGTGAGTACACCACTCGGCTAGAGAAGACCTGGGTTTCGGTGAGGAAAAGCATTCATTATCTCGCTAGTGAGGAACTCACCTTTCCGATAGCTACAGAGGTTGGAGGCCTTGAGGTCAGGATCATTAAACCAGACGGGGGAAGAAGGCGTCGAAGACCTCGAGAAAGCCTACATCTCCGTCTACGAGATGGACAGCGCCTTCGGAAACAAGGCACGCGTCTTATCTCTCCTCCGACAGGTGACGAACACGCGCGTCAAGCTCGCTATTTCAAGAGCGGAAACGCAGTGGATGAGCGTACCTGATGCGACGCAGACGCTCCTGGACAACATGGAGAGAACTGTACAGGCGCGACAGGCGGTGATACGAGACAGCCTCACCACCTTGTCGACCTTGATGAACTTGAAATTGGCAACCACGAGCTCGCAGCTAGCAGCTGATGCGAGGAAGGACAGCTCGTCGATGACAACGTAAGATAGCCATGCCTTGCGGAACGGGAATAATTATCAGCTCATGTACCCTCGTAGAATTGCGCTGCTTACCATGTTCTTTCTCCCGGGATCCTTTGTCGCGGTAAGTTCACCTCCATCTCTTCAAAGATACAACCCGTTGATTTCCTTCAGTCCCTGTTCAGTACGCAGTTCGCTAGAGATTACCAGCCAGGCGACTCGACCAGCAAACCAAACCTCTTCCATCCGACAGCTTGGATCTACGGAACAATTGTTGGCGTCGTAACCCTTGCGGTGTTCGCGGTATGGGCATCGTTTCATATCACGGGACTCTCATGTTGGAGGCGAATGAAGAGGAAGCTCGGGGGAGGGAGTAGTGGTAGCAAGAAAGGAGAAAAGCAGTCACAGTTGCCGATCCAGTACCGAGGAATGAACTCCGTGTAGAGATCTTTACAGCGCTCATCGCCAGTCCATGAGTTCAATTTTTTCCCGGAAGTATCCCACAGAGACCACTGGACGTCTGAGACCATGCCCCAAAAAAGACAGACACCACCAAGTACCAGTGAGAGGAATCCGGAGCCGAGATGAAGAAATTGGCGAGGTAAACCGTAGGAGTTCAGGTTCAAGGTTGTCTGCTAGTCCCTCTTGACGCCCCAAAAAACAATCGCTCGCAGCTCGTCGACTGAGTTTGGCGAGGCTGAACGGCGGTGGGGGTAGATATCCGACGGAAGTTCAACCACGTCACAGTCTGTATAGATTATTTGCCCTTATTTGGATGTGGGCCCTTAGGCCTTAGACTTTGAAAGGCGAAGTTCGAGCCGTAACACCGTTTTTCAGCTTTCAGGCACCAGGTCATGACGGTTCAAAAGCAGTATACTTAGTACACAGCCAATGCAGCCCAGTATGCCCTCATCAGGTAGGTAAGGTAGGCACGATAACGTTACGCCCCCAGAACATTGACAACAACAGGGGTGATATCACCAACGATAACACGATCCGCGACGCCCGAGCACTAAAACTTCCAAAACGGACCAGAGCCAAGCAGCCGCCCAACACCACGACTCAATAGCGTCCAGGCCCAGTTCTTCCGGAAGGATCGTCGAGGCTCCATAAGCGAGCGATAGGCCCTCAAAACTAGCACTTGAAACTTGAAGGACCCACGAGACGACCATGACGAACGGAGTCGATGGTACATGAAGGATAACGAAGAACTTCACTGAGCGACAAACCAGGAGATACGTCTCACTGTGGATGGAGAGCTTCCATTCTATTCGGCCTCAGCGAAGATTGTGTATCTACTTACTCCAAGATTCCCTTCTGCTTTTGGCGTCGGGGGAGGTAGAGCGCTTCCTGTGGGAGAAAGCAGCATCTGCATCACGTCGACAGACAGCCAGAATCAGTCAACGGGCAGTGAGGATGCGTATAAGAGTCTACTTCACCTTCCAGAACTCGTTCCTGAAGAACCCACCGGGACCTCACAACAATGGCTGCCTCACCAGAGTACATCGAGCAGTACGCACTCGCCTTCGCAGCGGTGTTCTACGTGAGCGATATCATAGCCGTGCTTGAGGCTGGTATGCATCCATAGGTGTCATCACGTCGCCCAATTCCTTGCTAACAACCTCGCGACAGGGCTGCAAATCTTCATGTGTGTCTACGGCCTCTCGTCGTTCCTCGACACACCTCCGGAGCGCCGAAAAGGACGGCTCCCATACGTATTTCTGAGCTTCCTGATCCTATTCTTATCCGTGATCCCCACGGGCATCGACCTTTCGGCTACTTTCAAAGCGTTGTACTATACGGGTCCTGGGTTGGAGTACATCCGGGGACGGAATTCCTCCGCCAGCGAAGGGACAGAAATCGCTTCCCATTGCCTCTTCTTGAGCTACGTCGCTTTGGGCGACGCTCTTTTGGTAAGTGCCGTCGCCGCAGATGATAGTACTTAGTACCGACTTATCGTAAACTGATCATCGCCTCTAACCAAAGCTTTACCGATGTTACATCATCTGGAACCACATGTGGTACATCATTATACCACAAATACTTATGTTCCTGGGGTTCTTAGGTAAAGTGTTCAGCGGTCCAACTTCTGATAGTGCCCCCTGACACATGGGACTGCACTTACTTACAGGGCTGTCAATTGGTAATGTTGGCCGTTTCGTCGCGGGGACCACGAGGAGCTCGGAGCACGAAGCGCTCAAATCGCAGCGTATTTCGACTGCATACACCTCCCTCACTGTAGGCGTCAACGTAATCGCTACGGCGCTCATTGCATTCAGGATTATCCGGGCGCAGCAGGCCATACGAAGGTCGCTTCCAGCACGAAACATGGGCATGTACAATACCGCAGCGAGGATCATCATCGAATCCGCCCTGCCGCTAGCAATCTTCGGCCTCATTACTGTGATTTTGAATATCGTCAACTGGGGCTCGGACTCGGCGACGAATAGTCTGACGTACAGTACCGTCGCGAGTATTTTCAGCTCTCTCTATGCTAGTTTCGCGGTGAGTGCATCTGGTGTACTTACTTCTTCGAGTCCAATGGATCCTTGGCTGACTGTGACTGGTCAGGCACTTTCTCCCCAAATGATCATCTTCCGAGTCACCACCGGACGCTCGCACACACACTACGGCGACCTCCAGTATTCCATCAATCCAGCAACACGACCTTTGGAGCCCATCGCGTTCGGTGATGGGCACACAGGACATTCGACCGATTCACTGTCCAGTAGGCTCGAGGAAGGTCCAGGAGCGACTGTTTCAAACGAAAAAGTGTAGGATACCATAAGTCTGAACAAGCGTATCATCAAGTAGTATATCGAACCCCGTGTAGTTGTCGCAAATGGCCAGAATGTGCTGTCGAACTGATTTATGGCCCGGAGAATCGTAGACACAGAATCAGATAATTGTATTAGTTTCGTCCCTGCTTGAGTTTATGCTTGAGCCATGGCGGAGTTTGGAGTGCCCAGGGAAAGGGACGGCGCTGCGCACGCCAGGCTTTCCACACAATATGAGAATGGGCGTAGGATCGTAGGAGGAGGGGCGTGTCGTCGCTAAGCTAACCCCTTCAATCTCGCACCGGGGGCAGTCAAAGTCAAGAGACTCGGACCCATTCACCCCAGTCGCGAGTCGCGAGCTACATGAAGAATCACGACAGAACCCCGGACTAGACTAGACTGATGAAATGGCGATTCTCGAGGCCAAGTCAAGACGGTTGGTTGCTCCACTTCGACACGCATCCGACATGCTGTAGTACATATCACAGGTGGCAATTCCGAGAGAGGTCATAGACGTCGACGATGAGGTGAGGAGCTCGAGTAAGTCACTCAAGGACAAGTCCGGTGGTGGAACGTCCGACAGGCATGAGAGTCCCAGTGATGAGACCATCGAACAGAGCAGTTGAGAGGATTTAGAGCATTAACCCAGGAACCCCACCTCGCCGCACGCGGCACCATCACCCCCATCACCCATCGGACTTTCAAATCGATCAGCCTCCCAAACCTTCTTCTCCCATCAAAACAACCCAAATCAACACAACAACCCAAAAAAGGAGCCGCCGCGCGCCCTCGACGACCCCTACTAACACCCTCAGCAAGATCCTACGATGTCGGTGAGCATAACGTTCTTTCGGTGGTGTGTGTCCAGAGGTGCCGTTCAGAACGCTGTTTTGGGAGTGGAAATGGGATGAGGGAGTGGGATTTTGAGGGTGGATTGGTGGATTGGGAAGCGGATGACGTTCTTGGCGGACTGGGTTGGGTTGGGTGGATTGGGCTTAGGCGATTGGGAGTTGTAGAGGTTTTGGCGTTGGGTTTGGGCTCGGGCTTTTGGAATGGCGTTCTGGACGGTACGATCCCCCTCAAAAACACGATGCTAACCTCGATTCTATTAGACCCAGACTTCAAATTTCAAGCGATTCGTCGAGGTTGGACGAGGTACGGAGAGCTGAACTCGTCAGTACGGAAAGGGCGGAAAAAGGCTGAATATTCGAACGTGTAGTTGTCCTCCTCAATGAGGGTGCTTTCTCTGGCAAGATCGCCGTCATCACTGAAATCATCGACCAGAACCGGGTTCGTCTCCCCTTCTCTCTCCCTCTCCTCACCCAAAATCCCCAATTAACCTTACGATTATTTTTGTTTTCACGCGAATAGGTAATCATCGACGGCCCAACAACCGACGTCCCCCGCCAGCCCTTCCCCCTCAAGCACGTCGTCCTCACCTCGCTCCAACTCACCGGCCTCCCCCGCGGCGCTGGCACCGGCGTCGTCAGGAAGCTCGTCGAGAAGGAGGCCATCGTCGACAAGTGGAACAAGTCCGCCTGGGCACAAAAGAGGGAGGCCATCGCCAAGAGGAAGTCCTTGAACGACTTTGACCGATTCAAGATCCTTATTGCTAAGAAGCAGCGGAGGGATTTGGTTAGGAAGGCTCTTAAGGCTTCGGCATAAGGTGTTGGTGTGTGAGAGGTGGGGAGAAGAGGAGGAGGAGGAGGAGGAGGAGAGAGGACAAAAATCACGTCGTTGGAGATCGAGCGCTTGTGTTTTTCTTTTTGTATTCATGCAGCATTTTGTATGTTTCGCCACGCCTCTTTTTTCTATGCTATGCGCTATGATCTCCTGCTTTTTGGCCCTGTCGTTCCCTTCCTTGTTTCTCATCCTGGTGCGTACCGTCCAGTATCGTGATTATCAGCTGACACCCCCGGTCTATCGACATCCGCTACTCGAAACATTATCCATTCATCTGATCATTCAGGCTGCTGTCGATACCCCTCCTTGACTTTCCTCTCCTTCGTCCTCGTCCCATCTTTCGACGATTGACCCCGCCGCCGCAACATATCCCTATGTCCGACCTCGACCGACCATCCGGCCAGCCACGCCCTCCTCCCCAGCGCCTCGACCATCGCTACACTGCGATGTTTTCCCAACTGGCAGCATACCCCGATGAAGACGTCGTTCTGGTCGTTGGCTTCGGCGATTTGGAGTGCGTCTTCGATCTTGGATGAGATTGTGAGGAAGCGGGTTTGGACTTCTTCCCTGTTCTTACTCTGTTAGTTTCTCCGTAGTTCGATGAAGACGAACGAGGTGATCAGAGGTGAAAAATGAACTCCGTGAATCTGATGGAAGGGCTCGGTCACGAAAGGGGGCTCTCGTACCTAGCGAAAAACCACTCCTGTAAAGGTTTGTAGATCCCCAATTGAGATGACCGTACGTGTTTAGGTGGGTTTGGGAGGGCGCGGACGTCGAACTTGAGGGTTGGACGGGGTGCGAGGGGGCCGATTGTGTGGCCGTAGGATGTTATGTGCAGGGTTCTTTGTTTTGGTGACGATGATGGTGAGGAGGACGAGGAAGAGGAAGAGGATGGGTACGAGGATGGTTTCGTGGAGGAAGGTGCGGGGTTTTCTGAGGATGAAGGTGTGTCGTGAGCCGAGGATGAGGTAGACGAAGGCGAAGGCGAAGACTGTGCGGCGTTGGCCTGGTTGGGGTTGGGTGATTGGAAGTTGGGTGGTTGCGCGCTTATAGCTTTGTCTTTGTCGAGCTGCATTATCGCCAGTGCTTTCCGCGTTTGGGCACTTGGGTTGGTCTTGCGTTTGGGCGCTTGGCTAATGCCCAGCTATCGTTCGCTTGTGCAAGTTGAGGGAGGTGGAGGTGGAGGTGGGTGGGGCTGAGATATCCGCTGAGTGGTGGTTGTCGTCCGTTCGTACTAGCAGTAGTGGTCGTCGTTCGTGACAAGGTCTGAAAAGAACCAAAGTAGGTCGGAGGTGGCTGGCTTTCGGGAACCACGAATCACCCCTGACGTCATGAGTCATATTGAAATAAACAGACAGGTTTCTCGGGAATCTTGGGCAGTGAACTCGAGGCTCGAGGGCTGTGATGTGCTTTTGACAATGTAGCAGGGGGAGGGACGAAACGAAGTTCGAACCCGTCAGACTTGGAGGGTATGTAAATCCATAAGGTCATGCAAGTAGATACAGGTACAGGTGATGCCAGTACTCAGTAAGTACTCAGTGTCATGACCTTCCCAAAATTAGCTCGGAAGACGCTTTGGTGCTTCGGTAGGACGGAGGCGACGTATTAGGCCAGCTGAGAAAGTTGGTGATGGCGTAGTGGTTGCGGTCTTGGTTCGTGGATGTAGAGATGGGCCCTTGCACATCCACATCCTCCGCCGCTACCTCCAGTACCTCTACAGGCCCTTCTTCGCTTTCCCTCCCCTCTCCAGTCCTGTTATTCCTGTAGGATGTGTCAGGAGTGTGTTGGGGGTCCACAGAGCCGGATAACCGCGCGTCTACCGGCCTACTAGTAGTACCAGTGTCAGACACGCCCTGGCTCTGAACCGTCGACGCAGTGGTATCTGATTCTGAACGGGCTCTTCTGCGGCAGGCCAGTGCCGCAAATGCGCATTTCTTGATGTTCAAGTTGAACCTTGAAGCCTGGCTCTTTTGGGTCAACGTCGCTGTTGATGTCGATATCGATGGGGATGGTGATCCATGACCACCAGTGTCAAAATTGCCGGCGAAGAAGGGTGAAGGGGCGAGTCTGGGGGAGCGTTGTGGTGATCGTGATCGGATGAACAGGAAAAGAGCGCCTATTCCAATCATGAGTTGGACGACTGTACATGCTATTCCAATCATGAGTTGGACGACTGTACATGCTAGGATTATCGCGCAGAGGATGGTCATCATGTGGTCCGGCGTCTTTTCTTGCATATACTGCAGAGGAGCGGGTGCGGGCGTGGGCGTGGGAGTGGGGGTGTCTGGCTTCCCTTGAAGGTACAAATCTGCACTATCCGTGTCATATCTGAAAGGGACAGGTATGCACAATGCACAGTCAACTGGCATCACAGAACAGCCAAGGTTGCAGTGAATGGAATAGGTACGCACGAGTACTCAGCATAGTCAAAATTGACGTAGTTTCTTCTCTCCAGGGTGTCTGAAACGACTTGGATCTCGAGACGATGGACTCCTTCAGCGAGGTTGGTGTATGTGATAAGGGGGACCTGGTAGGAGAAAGCTTCGCTGCTAGATTCAAACCCGGGGCGACGCCTCAACTTGAATTCGAGCCCTCCGTCGAGAGTGACATCGCACTCGGTCGGGAACTCGTTCTCGACGATGAAGTATACTGTGATTGACGTGCCTGCCACCCAAAATGAGGTTATTGTGCGTATGGATTAGGGGTAAGAGACGTACCGAAGAAATCGACGACGATTGACCTGACTACCGAGCCCTCATCCGACGTGCTATAGTTGCCGTTCGTGTAGGTGTAGGTTTTCTGGTACGCTCTGCCGGGGTCCGGTGCGTTCTGACTTGGGGCCAGCCCTGCCTCAGAAATCCACGCCCCATTCACCGAAGGATGGTAGATAACCCGAGCAAGTTCAGTTACGGAGTAAGGACCGGTATCTGCACTGTCGATTCGCTCTGTGACGTTCCTCCCTGACACGCATCTAGCGGTGAGGGTGAGGGTGAGTATAAAAGAAAGGATAGCGGTTAGTGTTAAGGGAAAGCCTGAAGACATGATCCTAGTTGGAGAGGAATGACTCATAGGGCAGGTAAGGCCAGCCCGCTGGCCATTAGATGGAGCCTGAGAGGTAAGCGGGTGGATAGTGGGGCCTGAGGTGAGGTTCTCAGCGCCGGTGAGGTGACTTTAGTATACCAAGGGCGAGGATCTTTTCCTGTGTTTTCGATGATCACTTCGTTGAATTGACTGTTGGTAGCACGAGCAACGCCACCGCCAACATGCAGTACTTACCAGTTATCACAACAATGGAAGGGCGATATTAGGTCCATCTGATGGATACATGTTTTGGGCGCCAATGTGCTACAGTATATTATTTGTAAAAGCGCTAGCTGGGTAGAGAGATAAATATGTACGTCTCTTGGACCGGGAAACTCAAGTAACAAATCGTCTCTTTAAGTATGAGATTTCCATGCAACTTTAGAAGGGTATGTCTTGCTTATCTGTCTCGATAACTCATCTGTTGCGAGGACCTTCCGTCTCTCGATAATTACCTACCCATCAGTGACGGGCGTCAAAAACCAGAATGCCAAGGCCACCCAAAAAATAGATTCGAATCAGCGCCCGGGCCCCGAAGTAAAAAAAATATCTTTAGACCAGAGAGAATCAAGTAATCAAGCACTGCCTTCGTTCCTCCGGTGCAACCCACTACTATGTCCCACCACGAGCTCTCCCTCCCCAACTCGAGATGTTTCCCAAATTCCATCCCGGCTCTCTCGGTGGGCATCGCCGAGTCCGACATCCCATTCGAGCCGGTTCAAAGCTTCATAGTGCACTGGCTCTTCCACAACAGACAAATGATCTTTGGGGTCATTGTCGATTTCCACGTCGTCCCACTGTTCGTCGTCAGAATTAATCGAAGAACCGAGGTCACCACTATGTATATGCGAGCGTCCCATCGTAACACGGAAGATGATCATTTGAGGGGAGAGCGCCTGTGAGAATGTTATAAGCCCACACGGAACAACTTCAGATTCTGACAACTGAAACGCACCGCAAGCGTAGAATACATAATATCAAAAAGTATCCCAGCAGTAAGCAGCAGCAGATTCGGCCTTCCATCACCCGAAAGCGCCGCCCAAGTCAGCGGACTCAGCACGGCAAAGAGTAAGCCGCAGATCGACAGTGGTAAAGCAGACTCGATGATGATCCGCGCTGCGGTGGTGTACACCCCGAGTCTCCGCCCGGGGAGTGCTTGTGATAAGGCACGCTGCGCGACGACGATCCTGTAGACGATCATCGAAGTTGCGAGTACGTTGAGCGCTACTGAGAGCGATACACGCGCAACGTTGATTTTCCGGTCTCGCAGTCGGTCGGCGTCGCTGTTCCAGATGGTGCCCCTTGCGTAGCGGGTGAACTGGGCTAGAGAGAGGCCTGGTAGGAGTATTGGGATAATCAGATTAAGCATTGAATTGGGCGAAGGCTTTCAAGGTACCTATGAAACCGAGGTATAGTATGACAGGAAGTACGACGGCTGGAAGGAAATCATTCCAGATAATCCAGCATCTATACACCTAGAAAATATCCATTCAACAACATCCTCCAAGACACATCACGAAAACGACGCACCAAAATCCCATCTCCCAACGCAAGAATTAGGTAGAATAACCCCTGGCACACAACCGGGCTCCACGTTCTCTCCTCCAGCATCTTCTCCTGGTAATACCCCATCCCAAGTCCACCTTGGTATATCGGCCTGAACTCGTCTCGGAGGTCCAAGCAGGTGACAGCCAGTGGGAGTACGAGTAGGACAAAACTCAGGATGATGTAGGGCAGCCGGCCCTTTCTGACGCCTTGGGATGTCGTCAGGTAGGCGAGTAGGCCGTAGGTGAACATGCATAGTTGTATTCCTATATAATAACGGAAGGGTGAAGTAAGGTGGAAAGGTAAAGGTGAATGAAGAACTCGAGAGAGATAGTAATAGGCGGCACCTACTTACCGACGGCTAACGTTCCAATTACACCACTCAAGTAGGTCATGGCTGCAATACGAAGGACGTACTGATCCATAAACTCAGCATCGAGTGAAGACATGCTTGGATGGGAGGGTACGAGAGAGAATCCCAAGTGGATGTTAATTCCTTTTCCAACAGTATGCAGGAGGCCACCCTTTTTATGCACTGCTCTGCAAGGCCTTATCGTACAAGACCTGATTATTATCTGACGCCGTCGCCTATAGAAAGTCTGAGGATGGATACCACTGATAACCACCATTAGGAGTGTTATCAGAGACTTCTATTTGGTTCCTATACAGTGTAGGAGGAATGAGATAGCAATGAATCCTCTAGAACTATAATTAAATCTCTCAAGTATGCCAACAAGGAAGAAGGCCAACCGAGACCGAACGCCGTCGAGCGCCCAATGCCCACCGCTTTTTTTGTATCTCTGCTGACTCGAACCCACGACCTGAAAACTGACAGGCCAAGCAGAAGCTTAAGCGCCCGAACAAAAACAAGAACAAACAACAAACAGCACCTTCGCGCCAGGTCACGACTTGTCCTCGTGTTTTCCTTGCTGTTCCAAACCATACTCTCCCAGTCTCGTTACGGGCAACTAAATTCCCCATGCTGACCCACTAAGATCTTCTTGGACGTCTCGACGATGCTCGAGTCAGCCATAACCAACCGTAACGATATCCATGGTTGCAGGCACCTGGTACAATCGCTATCCCAGTAGTCCTGTCGATTTTGGGAACCTGGAACTTCAACTGGACAAACTCCGGGATCTGCTCGTACCGCATCCATAATCTCCGGCCCGGAGCGCACATTGTGAACTATTTGCCTCGCGAGCAGTGGCTCAAGTGACTCATCTGGGACTGGACACGGTTCGCCTTCGATAATTTCACTCGACCAATTTTTACCACGTCTTCTCCTCCAACAAACCAGCTCTACAGTCGGATTTCATTCACAGCCCACATCTCCTTACACAAGACCTGCCGAATCTCTGTGTTATCTCTCCCAAGATAACGTCTACGACCCTCCGCCGACCGACCTTGCAGCGAGTGCCACTCGACAAGACGCGTTCTCCCGCCGACTACCACCACAAAGGCTCTGGTTCCGCGCCCTTTCATTGTACAGCCTCATAGACGCGTCCATACGGTGTGGCACAGCACTCTGGAGCACAAAGAACACCGGATCTGCCGTCCCAGAGTTCTTCGTGCCGGAGCCTTGGCCCATTGTCCTCCAAGAAGCACTTTGACACTCCTAGAAAGCTTTATAATCGAGCGCCAACCGGTGAACGCTGGGGATTTCTTGTTGATCGCTTTAACCACCACCTGCATTTACCGCGAACGCCAGTATCTTCCTTAAGATGTCATATTCGAGACTCCGTTACCGCTCAGATCGTCGTTTCCTCGTCGCCGACCACGACGATATCGCGGCCAAAGCTGCTGAAATTGTACATGTCCTCCTTTCGGTTCTCGAAACGGACGATGTGGATCCAGAGGCCCCGTCGACGTCCAGTCTGACTTGTCATTCCCACAAAACTTCGAGAAAACGGCAAGAACTGCGGAATTCGGTCAGCACTGTTGCATCCTTCATCTACGAAGCAGGTATCTCCGCATCACAGACGTCGCGTACAGTTGCTCTAGTCGCAGAAGCGACCTACACCGTCCTACATCATCGTGGGTATCCAGAAGTAGCAGAAGAATTTAGGGACGAGCTAGAGTCCCTCGCTATCGAAGGTTTCAATACCTGCTGGACAGTACGTTATTTCACCATTCCTCTTTGGAACTTCGGTTGCTGATTTGGTAATCTTTTCAGACTGCCCTCTCGCCATCGTACCACAGCCTCAGACGGTCATCCTGCACCGAGGACGACCTCCTCTCCACCTCCTCCTTCCTGGGTGATCTCTACGCCATGGGCCTGCTCTCACCTTCCTCCCTCCAGAGCTCTGTCGAGCTCATAGCGGACAACTTCACTGATCCTTACTTCCACATTGCGTGTATGGTGGTCATCATTTCCCGCGCGATGAGCTACAGCGGACTGAGGATCGAACTTGGGTGGTTTATCGATATCGTCGAGGTTGTCAGGACCCGATGTGAAATGGATTTCGGGTTCGAACACATGTGCGAGGTACGTTCGTCCATGTATTCTTTGTGAGATATGTGATACTGACTATATTTGCAGACAGAAGAATTCCTCGCATCCCTCGTGCACTCGCTCTCTCGCGACGCCTCAGCCTCCTCCTCCGATCTCAGCGCGTACTGCGAACTCCCCTTCTTCCACGACGTCGACCATACCCTCAGATGCGACGACATCTTTGAAGGCGAATACCTCGTTCTACCCGGGACACCCGAGTCCGTCTCCTCCCTCCATGCTCTCCCCGGTTCAGAAGACTACGAAGAAGACGATTTCGGGGACGGGTACTCTGACGAGACGGACGACATCGCAGAGCGGCTTGCGCGCTTCGGGATCAGGGAGGAAGATGTGGACGATTGCGAGGTTGAGGGGTTAGTTGTAAAGCATGGTGGACTCGTTTTCGCTTCGTCGCCAGAGGAGACGCTGGGTGTGGACAGTGAAGGGGAAGGGTACGAGGCCTCGGGGGAGTACGAGAGTACGGAAGGATATGAAGACGATGACACGCCAACCCAGTATTCGGAGGGAGAGGATGCGCTCGAGGAGGGCGAAGAGGACGGATATCTAATAGACGTCTTCGAACCACCCACACCGGAGAGGTACACGCCTATTCCCTATGGACAGCTGTTTGCCTTTTGACTCGTCGCTGGCGACCTGCCACTTTCTAACCGGTGGCTCGTCTGAGCCCTGACTACCCCATTTTATTATATCGTTTTCATTCGTTCTTGTTCAGTCTGTTGGTTTACACCTTATTACGTTCGTTCTATGCCTCTCGCTGTATATTTAGCTTTTCCAGTGCATTGCCGATGTAACATTCTCCTGCGTGTACAAAGGGCATCCTGATGTACTCTATTGTTTGTATACATAAATCCAACGTCCAGAAGCAAACCAAACCCCTATGAGACCACGGTATACAAAGTACAATAAGACGAGTGGCTTAAAATTATCTGGTACAGAACTTAGACTTCGGCTTGACGGGCTACAAACTTCGGTTCCTCCGTTATTGCGTTCGGATCGTCACGAGCGTGTGGTGGGAGGACACTGTCTTCCTCCTCTTCATAGCTCGAAATGCTCGATTGGTCCGCGTGCCCAGATTTGAAGTCAAGCGCCCCCAACGGCTCGCTATCCGGATTAACCGACGAGGCCAGATCTCCCTGGTGTGTGTGCGACCGACCTGTCGTAACGCGGAAGATAATCATTTGAGGTGACAGGGCCTGTGCGGGAGGATTGAGCTTGCCTTGAGCACAGAAATAAATTGAATAAAGAGAGGATACGAACCGCGAAGCAGAAGTACACCGAGCTCGAAATGCTAGAAGTGAGGTAGTAGTCCAAATTCGGAAGACCGCTTGAGGTTCGCGAGGCCCAGTTACAGGTATTGAAAATAGCATAGAAGAGGCCGAACAATGATAGGGGGAGGGCAGACTCGATCACTATCCTCGCTGCGTCGGAATAAACACCCATCTTGCGACCGGGAAGGGATCTTGAGAGAAGGCGCTGTGCGCGGAGAATTCGGTAGGCTATAAGGGATGTCGTGATTACGTTCAGGGCGACTGTGAGGCAGGTGTAGGCGATTTGAACCTGCTGTGATATGAGGATTTGGCTCTCTGAGCTCCCAGATATGCCCTTTGCTGATCGAACAATGTTAGTTAAAGCCAGTGCTGTAGAGTGCGTGTCAAATGCAGTGCGGACAATCAAGTATCTTCAACCCTTTACCTATATAGCTGAGGAAGACCAGCGTTGGAAGGACAAGAACCCAGAGGGTGTCGTTCCAGATAGCATAACACCGATAAAGCTGGTAGGGAATAGAAAGTCAACACGTATCGTGATCCAGGGTGATTAAGGGCCTACCAAGAGGGCGTCTCCCAGCGCTACGAAGGCGTTGATTAGAGCTTGAGAAGCTGTAGCCATTGCACCTCTGATCGCTCGCGACCGTTCATTATAATATGACGCGCCAGGCTCTGACAGATACAAGATTTGACAGTTTTTTGGAAGATCGAACCCCGTGATAGTCACAAAAAGAATGAATATCACGAAGCTCAGAATCATGTATGGCAATCGCCCTTTTCTTCGTTCGAGCGGCGTGGCCAAGAAGGCCGATAGGCCATATGTGCACATAAGGAGCTGGATCCCTGGGAGAAGTATGAGCGCGCAATTCGAAGATCATGTTACCTAAAGGCTAAAGAGACTCACCGATGGTAAACACCCCAGTGAAGTCGCTCACATAGTAGGATATAGCTCGACGGAGCGCTAAAGCTTCACGGAACTCTTGGGTGGACATGGTTCAAGTTGACGAGCGTTCGACGTAATCCCATGCTGAGTTTTCCGCGTTGCTTTTATGTTGGTCGTAAGAGTGAGAACTATCCCGATTGCAGTAATATGAACAGACGGGCGCCCTTGACATTCAATACTTGTTATCTGTAGCCTGTATACTAGGAGAATGCAAACAACCGAGCCCAATTGTCAGAACCGGGAGATCGTGATGGCTGATGGGTAGCCTGTGATGGGGCAAATTCGTGGATTGATCCAGTCTTCCGCCCGACGAGATAACTGACTAGACCCCAGAGCTCACAGCACTATCCTGGGAGCGCCGCTGGGTCGCCGATCACAATGGGCGCTGGATTGTTATCACTGTGCTATACTACATGACATGCTCCGGTTCTGTTCGGAGGATGAATATGCCTCCGTTGAGCTACGTTCGAAAGACTCCGTATAAAAAGTAAAAGTACAAGGATACCAGTTACAAGTGTAATAGTCACAGCCTGGCTGTCGCTTTTGATTCCGCAGCCACGGTTGAATCTTTACTTTCCTGGACGCTGACGTGCCCTTCCTCAGCACGGCTCGTAAGGGAATCATCAATGCTCGAGAGATGCTGTGCAGGGGCATGGTTGAACGCCAACGACCCCAGTGGTCTACTCCGAGGGTGGAATGATGAGTCGAAATCTCCACGTCGGATATGTGACCGACCCGTTGTCACTCGTAAGATAATCATCTGCGGGGAGAGCGCCTGAGGGAGAGAGTATTATTAGCTGGTCTCTTACTAGTGAACGCCGAGGCAAGCTTACTGCAAAGCTGAAATACAAGATTCCCGCCATGTTAACGACAGTTTCGTGTCTTATGTTTGGGAGCCCAGATTCCACTCGAGTCGCGTAAAGGAAGATACTGAAGATCACATCGAAGAGGCCGAAGATCGTCAGAGGTATTGCGGACTCAATCACGAGTCGCGCTGCAGAACTATAGCGACCCATCTCTCTCCCCGGAAGAGCTTTCGAGAGGGTGCGTTGAGCCTGAATGATTTTATACGCGATGAGGACTGTCGCAATCAAATTCAAACCAGCAGTAAGGGCGCTGTATGTGATGCTGATCTGCTGGGACACCAAGGCTTGGTGCTCGGAGCTCCCCCAAACTTTCGTAGCCAACCTGGTGAACTTTGCTATCGAGATCCCTTGTGGCATACTATCAACATCGACGGAATTTCCGAGAAGGGGGAAACGTATACACTTACCTATGAACGAAAGATAAATAAGGGAGGGAAGGACGATAACCCAAGGGACGTCATGCCATATAATGTAGCATCGATACAGCTGCAATGAAATCCCTTCAATTTTTCTTCTTTATCTATCGCAATCATAGCCATGGGCTTACCAGGAGCCCATCGCCCAAGGCAGTATAGAGGTACATTAGGCCTTGAGACACCGCAGTCATTGTCGTTCTGTTCAACTCGGTCCGTCTCTTGTGGTAATCCACTCCAGGTCCCGAAAAATATGAAATCCTGAATTCCTTGGCGATGTCGAGGAAGGTCGCAGCGGCGTATAGAGCCATGATGATGAAGCTGAGGATAATGTACGGCTGGCGTCCCTTCCTATGGACGAGAGGAGTCGTCAAGAACACCGAGAGTCCCATGACGAACATCAAGAGCTGCATGCCTGTGGCGAGTTAGGAATAGAGGACGAAGTCTTCCACTTAGACGCACCCAAAGCAAGCACAGCAATGGTATTACCCACAACGGACATCGCTGCTCTGTTGTAGGCATATTCCTCAATGAATTCTTTGGTAGCGGTAGACATGGCTGTCCGGGGTGAGTTCCGACTTCATTTCGACCAGCGCTCCCGACTCTCCCTTTAGTACTACTTATTCGCGTGATAGTGATCCAATTGCAAACTTAGGTCTGTTGATTCGTTTGAATAAGAAGTGGCTGACAGCGCCCAGGTGGTGGCACCACAGCGAGCTTCTAGTCGGCTTCTGGTTCTCCTCTTCCGAAGAGATCGTAGGCTTGCCTATTTTTGAAAGCTGGCGGTCGGGGCGCTCCACCTATCCTACATGAGTTCCATGAAGCCCGTCATGATCAGCCAATCTATTTTCTTCCACGCAGGTTGTTTTGGAGAAATGCCCTCAGGCTCTGCATAGTTCTCCAAGTTGGTGCTCATTGGACTTGATCTGCGATCTCCATTGGTTTACCGCATCAAAGCACAGGCAACAAGGGGATACTTAAGTAACACCAGGTGAGCGCATCATCGCGAAGTTCTGCAGCATAGATACCGTGGAAACGGGCTGCAGATCATTCCGGCATTGAATAGGCTTGGCGCCTATTGAATCTCGGGAACGGTAGCCAATGGAGTGACGGGAATAGAGCTGAATAGAGGGAAGCGCCTACCCTTCCTTGTATCGCGGTATGGAATTCAACGAAATCTTACGAACGCTAGAGTCCAACAACTTCTCGGCGGCTGTCATATTTAAACCTTCGTTACCATCCTCAAGGCAGACCATTTATGTATTACCAGGGCGCTCACAGCCATTCGAATCATTCGTTTCAGTAACATAATGGAACTTCATTCCTTGTTTAAGTGGTAGGTTTACCCTTGTGCTCCCTTGCACCCAGGCTAGAATCATCGCTAATTTCCGCCGTGATCACCCGTCCTTCCTCCACCTGACTCGAAAGTGAGTCTCCGAGGTAGGAGAATTGCTGTATGGGTCCGTTATTGAATGCAATGTTGCCCAGTGGTCTACTGTCGGGATTGAGTGATGTTTCGAGGTCGCCACGGTGAATGTGGGACCTCCCAGTGGTCACTCTGAAGATGATCATCTGAGGTGAGAGCGCCTGCCGAAATCCAGTCAGCCAATGCGGAGTTACGGTACATAGAACTTGGCCTTATGCTTACCGCAAAACTGAAATATAGCGAACTGAAGATGCTAGCAGCGGTGTAGTACGTGATGCTTGGGACCCCTTCAGACGTTCGATACGACCAATTGATGGCGTTGAAGATCAGGTAAAAGAGCCCGCAGATCGTCAGCGGGAGAGCAGATTCGATGACCAGTCGCGCCGCCGAGTTGTATACGCTCATGTTTCTGGAGGGAATCGCTTTGGCCCATGCCTTTTGGGCGCGAATAATCTTGTAGGCGATGAGTGCCGTGGCGATCACGTTCATCGCGACTGTGAGGGAGGTGTATGCGATGGTGATCTGCTGCGCTATCAGGCTCCCATTGGGAGTAGTCACTGTGACTTTCGTCACAAATCGAATGAAGGCGGTGAGGGACAGGCCTAAGTGCCAACTTTATAAGTAACTTTGATCACATATCCATGAAAGTGATCAGATGCCCCACCTACGAAGCCCAAGTATAGCAGCGCTGGAAGGAGGACTATCCACCATCGGTCACTCCAGATGACAAAGCACCGATATAACTGGAGGTCCTTTAGCCTCTACCAATAGAGTATGAAAAGCGGAGAAACGCTCACCAGAAGCCCGTCCCCGAGGATTACGAACGAGTAGAGAAGGCCCAAGGAAGTACTGCGCAACGATTCCGAGTACGCCTGCATCCTCGCGCGGTAGTAGGGCATCCCAGGCTCCGAGTAATACAAGAGCTTGAAGTTCATCGCAAGGTCGACGCCAGTCATGCACGCGAAGAGAAGGAATATGACGAAGCTCAGGACGATATAAGGAAACCGACCCTTTCTGCGCTCAATGGGCGTTGCGAAGAAGGAATGCAAACCATATACGCAGAGAAAGAGCTGGAGTCCTATGGCGGCGGTCAGCGCTCAGGACAGGACTTCGCGTAGAGTTCGAGGCAAAATGGATACTGACCCGTCGTACATATACCAATAATATCACTCACGTAGAAGGTCATTGCCGTGTGTAGGGCCACCCGGTCGACAAACTCTTTGCTAGGAGCCATGGATTTGCTGAGGGGAGGGATGTAGCGCTTGGGAAGACCTTTCGCGTGTTCCTGCCATTTATTCTCTCTCTCAGTGGCTCCACTTGGAGTGATCTGTTCTGCCTTCCGAAGTGAAAAAAGACTAATTCAGAGTTAGAAGCGCTCGTGTACCCACGAACTTTGAACGTGATGCCATCCTGGAAGTATTTCTGATCTCCACATTCTATGATGACCATGAAACGCGAAGGATTTCCACTCGGTACCGCTTTCGATGGCTCAAGCGCAACGCTCTGACGGCTGTCGCAGATCGTAGCGAAGATCTGCAGGCAGGAGTAAACCCTGAGACCCGAGCCAGAGCGTACTTAAATAGCTCTACGAGTGACGAGCAGGCTGATCGTAGCTCCAATAGTTGCCAAGGCATATTGAGCGCACACTTCCCATCTTAGGACATGTACCGGTGTATTCGTTTGCTCGTTTTACCACTCGAATGAGTAGACTCCTCTCAAACAGCCTTTTAGAACCGTACGTTACTGTACTGTACATCGGGGGTAGTAACAGAGGGCTCGGCGTTTCGCTTTTGACGACGCCATTGCTGTGTTGAACGCCCAGGAAGGACGCCCCTCCACCGATAAGCATCGTCTTCATACCGTGGTCCCACAGCTACGTTCAAATGTACACAGAGATCTTCAAGGAAGCCCAGAATTAGATCCTTCAACTCCACTGATGCCAATGGCTGTTCGATGATGGATGAATTAGACGCCCAGGCGCTCACTTACTCTGAGTTATCATGCTGAAATACTACGTGAGACCCCCTCAGACAAATGGATGGAGAATGTCCTTATCGTTCCAAGAGGGGACAGTGTAGAAATACTGTGGCAGCAAATATCGCCAACGAGAGGATCGAACTCAGGACTCTTTGCGATGGATTGTTGGAGGCTTCTGGATCAAGCAAAGACAAACACGGTCAGAATCTCACGACGGGCGTTGAAAACAACCATAATAATAATATGACCGCGACTTCCATGAACGATGCTGCTTCAAAGCACAGCATCGAGGATCAGGCCCAACGCTCCACTGCACCGGGAGGCTACTTGGATCCCGCGCGGAGACCAGTCACATACTTCGGCAAATTGCGGTGCTTGCGCTTGGGCATGAGTGTTCGCGTCAACGGTTCGGTCTGAATCTACTAGGGCGCCAATACTCGCAGCTCACTTCGATACCACTTTGTTTTGGTCGCCGAACATGGTCCCTTCGGCTTAGCTTTACGATCCCCGAGGAAGATATCTGCGACAAGCGATGGCGTCAAAGTCTTGACTTCGCTAGGGTATAAATGCTACCGATACAGTCGGTATTCTGGCAACGGGATATGGCTGTTTGGAATACCAAGTTCACCTGCGACGTGAACACCTCCGACCCTTCTGTCTAATGGGGGCCCTCTTCTCGTCCCTTCAGACTTGGTTGCTCGCCCTGGGAGTGAAGACTCCATTATTCATTCGACTGCTGCGCTGCCTGTGAAACCTGCTGCGGCGTGTGACGTCTCCGACGAATTCCTGTCGTCTTGTACGCGAAACTTGACTTGCTCTTCAGCTACGCTACTGGTATCAGTATCGCCGAGTCCACTATCGCTCGGCCGTCGTTCGGTCGCGAGCCTCCGTGCCCGTGTTCTCACAATGGCATTCTTCGCCGATGCTTCTGGACTCCATGGATGCCCCTATCAGCGTACCCTGGGCTCTCCCGGATCTCCATCACCATGTGTATGTCTTCTGCCAATGATGCCCACCTTTTACGCGGTGTGATAGCCTCCCGAGGCCTTCCAGGACTTTAATGTGAATGTGCCGTATGTATGATCATCACCCTTTGACTGTCCCTTTATTGAATGCGAATCCCTTCAAGTTCCCCACCCCTGCCCTAGACTATCACACTCGCGTACATGCTCCGGTACGTTCTCGATGTCGAAATTACCCCAAAGGTGCTCCAATTCATCAAGGTTCGAGTTCAAAAACGTACACAAACCTTCGCGAGCGAAACACGTTTTGATAGACGTTTTACAGTGTATGCCCCTTGAAGGGTTTTGTGATTCAGAGCCGCCAAGGACCTGGATTGTAGGATACATAGGGGTGTGGAAGGTGAAAGGGGCCTGGGGTAGGGCCAAACTTCCTGGCCGCTCCCATGTTCGAACCCAAGAATCTAAGGATTCGAGAAGCTGAAGGGTACGGAATCAAACGCATCCAAACACTCCCAGGCTCTTGGGAGCTTGGCAGCGTCATCGTCAAGGCCCTCCGCGATCGTCACAAATCGTCACAACCCCTTTCGATATCTGAAGTGTCATTCCTCAGTATCCTTGGCGGGCGCTAATTGGGCGGTCAGGGAGTATGAACCAGTGCGCATCGTTGATCGAGGCATGCTCGTCGAGTTTCTCGTGTAAATCAGGGTCCCGTATTGCCCAACCCGGCTTTCGACGAAGAGCAAGGTATACCCGGTGTACTCTGAATCATCGGAGATACATGCTTCCAATTCTTCTTGAGGGCAATCACAATGAAGGCAAGTTAGGCCCAAGAAACTGTGGAGCGCTCATAAGAGGGACTGACGCCCATAGACTCATTTGGTTCCGTACTTCCACGATTGGCAGGAATGGCAAGCTAATCGCGATGCCGCGCTGCGGACGTGGATGCAAATGACGTCTCTCGTCACCCTCTTCACTCCATTATTATCTCCCTGTACTCATCACGATGGGTGAACCCGTTCACGAGGCAATCGAATTACTTCCATTGTGCGCCTCGCCCTGTGCTCGCTGGAGGAAGTTCTTCTATCTCTCAATCCTGCATAACGAAGTATTTCGCGATGGGAAATTTACTATCAAGGCCGCCCATCGCCATGCAACGTCGAAAATTTTCGCCATCTAAGGTGACAGCTGGGTAAAGGGTTATGCGTACTATTAACCGAGTCATTGTTATGTTCGCGCTTGGACGCGTCCTGTCCCTCCCAGGTCCACCGCGCCCATCTCATGATCTTTCATATGCTTGTGACGAGAAAGGGAATCTTGTGGGCGTATCTAGGTGCAGCATTTTGAATGGTGATGTGTCTCCTTTTTTGTCGCCTTTCCTGTGCTGATGAAACACGAGGGTGGGACGGCATTCCCATGGCCGGCCATTTAAATCACTGGGGAGGAACCAGGAGGCCAAGTTGCCGGGCATCCCTTTCCCAATGTGATGGAAAGCTCTCGTTACAGACACAGCACCAACATCTGGGCTCACGGATCATGTAGGGTGAAAATTTCGTTCTGCCACCCATAGTTACACTCATCTAGAGTTTCTTTCGAGTGTTTAGGTCAAAGGCCTGTGTCTAAGCTCAAAGAGGCGCGCAAGGTTTTCATTGATCTCGACTGGGCCAAAGGTTCGAAAGGCTGCTTCCTGGTTCTTGGCTTTTGTTTATTGAGAACCCGTTGTGTGATAACCCCATCAGATACCCGAGATCTAAACGAAGAAGGTTTGTAGGTATGATCGGGGCCTTTGTCTACCTTCCCGATTTTCTTCCAATCACCGGCTTGGCTGACCCATTGAATACATATAAACCTTCCTTATTTCGCTTCGCGCCGAAATTTTCGTGACTCAGGACACCCTCGTTCCCTCTTTCTCTCCTCTTCTCATCTTCGAACGCTTTTAGCTGGTCTGAGCGAGGTTCGTGCACCCATATTTCAGTCCCCCAGCTTCCCAAACGCTCTACTGACCGCCCTTCCTCCCACCAGCACCGTCCTTTTGATCTAGACTTTCCCTTCCGTTCCGTTTTCGTTGTTGCATCATCCAGTTGTACATTCAAGACCAGAATAACACGAAAACATGACTACTTCCAAAAGCCGTCTCGCTCGTTTGCCCAAATGGATCAGCTTCTGGCTAGGCTATCGAGAAACACCCCCGCCCCCTGAGCCTGCTTACGCCGCTTGGCTCTGGTCCTTCATCGGTGCATTTAGCGGAATCTCCCTCGTCCAAGCCCTCTTTGGCCATGTTCCCTACTTCGTCAACAAGGGTGTGCCTTCAATTGTGTGTAAATCGCTTTCACCATCATGTCTTCGAGCTCGTTCGACGTTGATTTTCGTTTCTTTTTCTCGATAGGGAGCGACTGCCGTCCTCATCTATGGTGCGATTGAATCCCCTTTGGCTCAACCTCGCAATGTGATGGGAGGCCACTTCATATCCGCGATTATCGGAATCTGCATCACCAAGCTCTTCCTCCTCCTACCCACCGAAGAACGATTCATGGAGCTTTGCTGGCTAGCTGGATCCCTCTCGTGTGCGGTTGCGCTGGTGATTATGCAGATGACTGGAACGACTCACCCTCCTGCGGGTAAGCTAAGCCATATTCGTCTACTCCGAGTGTATAGCTGACATTTCATTTGTCGTCTTGTGACAATTGTTCTCCACTCTTGACGTTCTAGGCGCTACCGCTCTCCTCGCCGCTATCAACCCAGAGATTCGGCGCATAGGTTGGCTGTACATCCCCGTCGTCATCTTATCGTCGACGATCGCTGTCTTGGTCGCGCTGTTCACCAACAACATGCAGCGAAGGTACCCTACTTACTGGTGGACGCCCGATGACGTCGACGAGAAGAAGGGACCTATCTTGCCGACGGTCACGCCCATGTCCTCGGAGCCGCCTACTCCTACGGACTCGACGGCCGTTTCGAGGCGAACAAGTATCAGCTCGTTCGACGGCAACTTCGATTTTGAAAAGGAGCTGCAGAAGCACCAGGACAAGATTCAGAAGGCCCAGGAGGAACGAGACAAGGAGGAGAAGGAGGAAAAGGAGGCTGTGAAGCCTGGAGATCACAACGTCTAGACCTAGACCTTTGTTCGCTAAAGTGTGTGCTCGCTCTTTCCTCATGCCTGCGTTCTTTTTTTGTTTTCCTTTGTTACATATCTTCGTTTTCGTCTTTCTCACCCTTATGACCTTCCTTTGTCGTCTTTATCCTTATTATCCTTTCATTTCGTTCTTCCTTCTTCCGGATTCAAAAGTATGCATACCATTCTCTCGACCTTCTCGAGTTCTCTACTGTAGATAGACATCCTTTAGACACCTGAGCATGACAGCGGAACCTATTATACCCAACCCTAGAGTAGCATCGTCTCTTTCTATCTACATATCTAATATATTATTCCAGTAGCATACCACACACTCGTTCCCTGTCTATCCTTACTACCACGTTTATCACGTTTCATCCCAATCACGCTCCTTTGTAGACTTTAGATTCCCTTAGATCATCTTCCTTTTTTTCCTCGTCACACTCATTGTTACCGCCTGTATCGTAGATTTTTCTCGTGCTTTGCTTGTGTATCCCACTCTTTCTTATTCATCCAAAGGCGTGACATCCCGTGTTTTGAATTGGGTAACGCTGTCCCTGGAAGTGGAGTCAAGGGGTCCATGCCTCTGGGCGAAAGTACCTCGTGGTGTGGGTATGATAAATGTACCTCGTCTTTTCGGGCACGGGGGAGATCTGGTAGTATCGGCATTCAGCATCTCTGTGCATGTTCCGTTGGGTCGGGCGCGATCTTGAAAGGAAAAGACTTTGCATTCGAAAGAGGAAATGGCACCCCTGAGGATCCTGATCCGGGAGTCGGGGATTCAATCGGTGTAAAGTTCACGGGTTTGAACTTCGTTTTCAACCTTGTTCTACTCCTCTACGCCGTTCTATCCCATCGTCTTGCGCAGCAGTGAAAAGGTTGTACATTTGCTAGAAATAGGGACTAAATGTCTAATCCACGCCTTAGGACATGGCACCACCAAGCACGAGACGCGAAACCAGCGGTCTTTCGAACGCCCTCTTCGAAAACGTATGTCGCCTTTTCGAACGTTTTCTTTTTATAAGAACTTTCTCACTTTGATACCCAAGCTAACTCGCAGGACTGAATCTGGAGACTGCAGAGCCCTACAATCTCTGAACGAGAGATTTTTGAAGATGTCCCCCCAGCAAAAGATCGCGGCGGCCAAGGCCAGCTTTCGCAACCTCGACAGCCCATTTCCACCACCTGTGGCGATGAGAACCGATCGTGGAAAGAAAGTACTCGAGCGCGCCGCTTATGCGCTAGACTTTTACGGCCTCCTTCACTCGCACGCCGTGACCCAGGACGACGCGTTTCTTCTTGATGCCATTGCCGAACTTTCCTTGGAGCATCTGGACCAGATTATGTCGTGGTACAGATACACGATGCTTATCGAAGGCATTAACAATGTCTTCAACGGACTTCAGGTGATCTATCACCTCATTACCAGCGGCAACAAGAAACTTCGATTGGCGATGCTCACATCCCCAAGCGTCGCAGAAGCCGTCATTGCCGTCGGTATTTCCACAGTTGGTTTTTACCAGCCTCAAGATCTGTCGTCACAGTTTCTGGAGGTTGTCCAGGCTTGCGTCTGGCACAAGTCCTCTAGGGCGTTGCTCTTCGACGGTCTGATGGCTCTCGCTCCCACTCTCCGACAAAAGTTCATTCACAGGACTGTCAAACTCATTGGCTTCGTCGGCACATCTATCCAACGAGCTTCACCAGGAGAATACGTTATTCAGACTCATATCGAGTATCTAGTCGGCCTCAGGGATATCTTCGAGCAACTAGCGGATGACTGGCGTCTCCTTCTCTGCCTACGAGAAGAGCGCTACCTTCTCAAACTCACCGCCTTCATCCTCCACCAGTATCCGAAGGTCCGAAGACTCTCCCCCCAACCAGACAAAGATTTTCCGCTCCAACTTACCACGAACCTGATCTGGATGACATTCCGATCCGCGACCCAGCAACGAATCCATGCCCCCGCGGCCGTTCACCAACTCGTCGCAGGGGGTCTTCTTACGGAAGCAATCAGGTGTTTGCACAGGGTGACGAACCCGTGCAGTTTGGGTGCCCTCACCACCATGCTTCACACAACCTCCGCCTACATGGCTTGGTCCAAACGTGTCGCCAATGCGGTGAATGCCGTCATGAAATCGCTCGATCCTGGTATAGTCAAGTCCCTGGAGGATCGCAGTCACCCTGACAATGAGAGTTGGCTGCAATTCTCGAACCTCGTGGGACTGTGCAGCGACAGTGATAAGACGCCTCACAGTGTCGTAGTCAACTGTCAGAATTTGATGGTGAGCAGTTCGCTTCGTCTCCTAGGGACTGTAAAGTGAATCATCGAATCCGTAGCATATAGACTCCGGGCCCCAGCGTGGCGGTTCGGAGTCCGTCGAGAATGTGAAGACGTGCTCGGGCTGTCGGTCGCTTGTATATTGCTCGGAGAGGTGTCAGGAAGAAGATTGGGCGAACCTGCACCGGTTCGAGTGGGAATCGCTTCAAGATTCACGCAGGGGTATGCTTCTTTCTCGTACTTTACAGACAGCGATCCTGATGGTCTCCTTACCTATCAGGCCTCGTGAAGGAAAAGATATGGCCACCTTGGTACACCCGTATCCGCGCCATGCAGCTGATCTCGGGTGTCATCTGGTCATTCCGAAAATCACGCCAGACGAGGCTATTCCAAGAGGTCGCTCTTGTCGATATGTCTCCTTCCTCAACGGTGCAGGATCTCGTGCATATCATCGGCATCTTCTCATGGGGAGGTCAAGCGGTGCAAAGCGTCGACGCATATCGTGAGCAGGTCTCGAAATTCGACCTCTGGTCGCCCACCCGTTTCGAAAAAATCTTGGACGAAGTAAAAGCTCGCAAACTCCTCTTGTACGACTTCCCCTTCGCGTTTGGGTGCTCGAAGATCCATGTGCTGTGCGCATACAAGTATGATGAAGCTCGGAAGAGTATGAAGACCTCGCAAGTCTTCCACTTAATGTCGTTTTTCGAGTGAGTCTTTCAGTTCTATCGGCCTTCTTTACTCGTTGAGCTCAGCTGACTGACTTGAACTGTAGATGTAAGGAAGGGGAACCAGCCAACCTTTCGCAGTGCCAGGATGTCTGCTGTTACTGACCTTTGAGGATACGAATACGCCCAAGTGTTACTGAACGCCTGTGTATTTGGTGAATGCAACTCTTGACTCCCGTTCGTGGCTTGTCCGGCAACCTTCGCAGAGCAGCGATACCAGTCCCCAGGGGCTGGAAAGAAGTGGTTCATCCCATTCTGACTCTCCATCTCGTCAGTTGCCAGTCGCTCCGTCTAAAACCCTCGTCCCCCCGGAAACGCGCGTTTGGTCTATGAACGACTCGCTCATGCATCCACCTGAAGCGTCCGGAGTACCACACGAGCCGCACCAAGGAATATTGTCTCTAGCTATAGGGCGACCAAAGGTAAAGTTACACACAATCTACTCGGTACATCCCGCCTTCCCACAAGTACACTCTAGTTGAGGAGGCTCTATCCGAGAAAGCCTACCAAATCAAAAAATCAGCGCATGTCCCAATCGAGTCTCATAAAGAAAAATCTATCCCATAAAAGAAACTTATCTCGTAAAGAAAACAATACTCACTCAATCATAACCATCCCAAACGACAACAGTAGTGCACCTCGTCCATCCCTATGGATAAGACAAAGCAAATGCAAATGGATAGCTCCAAACGCAAACTTGAACCCCACAAATCCCATCTCGTTGCGCGGGCGGCCAATCTGAAGTTGATTCTCCACCGAATGTCCAGTTCGTAAACCATCCCCTGAACCAGGCTGAAGTCGTGACCCAGTTGGAACCTGTAGACCATCCAGTGAACCAGTCCGAGGTAGAACTTCGTCTACCAAAGCATCAAACCTCGCTTCGGACCACAGATGAAGGTTCTCAGCCTGTCTCCGGTACTCGTCGATACTGAGCACCTGCTCGCCGTCGCCCGTCCATATCCGTCTGACGTGTATCCGTCGTTGTTCTCCGGAACCCGGACGTTTGAGAGCTTCAGCAAATGTGTCTGTGTGCTCTTGGACGACCCGTTGAGCGACAGCGTAGATGTGTGCTTGGATGCGATGTGGGATCCAGATTTCTTCTGCTTTTAGACCTAGGTATCCTGGGTGAGTGACTGAATGAATGGACGCCAAGTAGGAACTGGGACTTGCGAGAATGTTGGATGCGTTGGGCTGAGCATTCGAAGCGGTGTACCCGACTCCAGTCCTCCTCTTGACACTCAGGGCTGCAGTAAAGCACGGAATGGCATCTAGAACAGGTCTTGAGGCTATCATTCGACCTTCTATTCGGACGATTCCGATGCTATCGCCACGAAGCCACGAGGGCTCCGAATGAGCCCCAACATGCACTCGACAAAAAATAGAGAAACCACACGCACCTCGACATTAAAACACGCCACAGGATCACACCCCAGCCTATCCCTAGCCCCAATCGTATACGACCTCGCGAAAACCTGAAAGATCTCATACAGCCCGTAGCCTGTACCAGACCCCGGATCCGACAACCTCCTATGCACACTCTCCTCAATCGCAATAAAATGGCCCGCGAACAATGCTCGAATCCGGGGGTAGCCGAGGAACGAAACGAATGTGAATATCGCTCTCCGGAGGGCGTGCGTGTCGCCGGGCGTTTTGCTGGCGTCGATTGCGCGGATGAGGAGTTCAAAGAGACCTTGCTCGAGGAGGTCCGAGACGATTCGAGGTCCTTTGGATCGATGCCGCTGCGCTTGTTCGAGGGCTGTGTGGGTGAAGGCCCCCACCAGCTCGCAGTCGACGTCGACGTACCCACCATCACCACCACCGCTCGAGGCTTCATGCAGACTCTGCACCACCTTGAACAAGTTCTGGATGTACCGTTGCCGTAAAAGCGTTTTGCTGAACCGCTGGTCGCTCGAGAAGTACGACAGGCTTGTGGAGAGGTAGCGCCGCAGGTTCGCCATTTCCGCTGGGTACTCCGCGTGCATGCCGCGTTTGGTGTAGCGGTTGAGGAAGGAGAGGCAGATTGTGAGGTTGGAGATGAACGAGTCGTAGAGGTGGGGCGAGGCGCGGATCTCATCCAGCACTACCTGCCGTGCGCCCTCGTGGATAAGACACGTATGCAAAATCCCCGAGAGCGCTTGTAGGTGGCGTAGCTGGACGCTGATATGGACGCCATCCGCTTTGAAGAACTCGTCCCAGGTGAGCAACGCGATAACCAGATCGATGGTCTGCGGCGAAGACACGAATGCCGCGCGGAGACGTTGCGAGACCTGCGTTATCTGTATCCACGAGTAGAGCGCAAGCGCCAAGAAGACTGCACCCCTCGATTCGCGTGTGGGTTCATCTGGACCTGCACTCCGCCTCCGCAGCGCGACGTGCTTTGTCCAGGATACGATAGTCGCGGCGTGGTCCACCAGTATCTTCGCAGCTCGAAGGGTGGCTCCTTTGTCCTCAGGCTGGCTGAGCAGCACAGTATTGAACGCGGCATCAGCGAGCGATAAGATAGTCGCCGCTCGTCCTTGAAAGCGGGCTTGTCCAACTTCACCACCGTCGATACTGCTTCCCTCCGAGTCGATGGGGGAGAGGGAGGAAAGCAGAGCCTCCACGCCATCTAGCCTTCGGTGCAGATCCGATGGCCACTTGTCGACTATAGCTATGAGCTCCTCGATATGCGATTCGGATCCCAGTTTCACAGAATTCAACAACTTTTCCCCAGGATAAATAAAAAAGGTGAGACAGGTTTACGAAGGAAGAGAGCTACCAGAAAGGAACCTACACTCTTGAACAACGACTCTCTACCCGCCCGCCTCCTATTTCCGTGATTGACCATCCCAGCTTCTAAGCGCCCATGTCAATGCTCTTTTGATCACATGGCAAGGGGTCACAGATTTTTCTTACGTTACTTGGTTGTGATTCGTATGTTTCAATGGTGTGAGGAAGTGTCTTGACACGTCGACGGCGGGTCCGAGGTTAAATGGCAGGCCTCATGGAAGTTGAAAGGAAGCAGGGCACGAGTGAATGACCCCGACCATTCCGGCGACTCGGACCCGATTGGTTGTTTGCTTGGAAGGGGCGTGCCAAATAAACAGGAACCTCAGCGCAATTGAACGTTCAACAGGTGCCCAATAACCGGATGTCCATTCTCAAAACTGCTAATTGACGACACTGGACACGGATAGGTTGAAAGCGAGCAAATCCTTGACCGCCTCGAATTTCCTCACTGGTGGGGGTTTACAAAAGGGTATGGCGAGTCCAACTATTTCGCGAGTCAAGGACGCCCTTCCAACCGACCTCTACTAATACAGAGGCTCCAAGAATCCCAACACCCTCTTCCCAGCGTTATCAATATCCGCAGCCTTAACTCTACAAAAAAGAAGAAAATCCACATCAGCACCTTCGTCCACTCGACCAAACAACTAAAAACCAAAAAAACAAATCCACTCACTCAACACTAGCAACATTCCTCCCAACAACCCACTCCCCCTCCCTACTCTGCACAAACTCCACAAGCAGCGCAACCCTAAAATGGGTATTGAAGCTAAAAATACTAGTGACCACCTGGACATCTCGCGCGTCCTGCCAGAGGTAGCCCCGATGGACGCTGTCGCGGAGGATCCGCATGCCGCGCTCGTGCGTGCTCATGCAGGTGGGCAGGACGATCCCCTTGCGCGCGTCGATCCATTGGTCGATGTGGACGATGCGGGAGGCGGAGCGGCCGATTACGTCGCCTGTATGGTCGGTGGGGGTGGTGTGTGTGTCAGAAAGGAGCAACGATGAGAGAGGTAGGGAGAGAAGAGAGAGAGAGAGAGAGAGGAGGGAAGACAAGGGACCGATGCGCACCTGAAAAATCAAATTCCACGACGAGTTTGTTCTTCGGGACACCCGGGAACTGGCGCGAACATACACCATCCATTTTGGTCACAGTCTGGTCGAAGGCGGCGTCGGTAATGGCGAGATGGAAGGCTCGAGTGAACTGCGTGTAGTGGATTCCTTGTTGCTTGCAGACTGGAAGTCACAGCCGGTTAATGAACGAATGAAGTCGGTCATATAGGAATAGATGTGGGATCGGCACTCACGACGATAGCTATCCCTCATTCGTTTGCACTCCGTGCGGTGTCTGATATCCCAGTCTTCCTTTTGGCAACGCGCTGAGCAATAGATGACCGAATGGCACCGGGAGCACGTCTTCGACGGGGTAAACTCTTCAGGTCCATGTCTCGTAAAGTGCTGTTCAATCCGTCAGTCCAGTAACGACTATCAAGCAGACAAAAACCGACATCATCACTATCACAAAAATAAATCGCGCCTTTATCCTTCGTCATCGACTCGAGCACCTCCTCCCTCCACTTCAGCGTCTTCATGAAATGCGTCCAAGACGTGGGATCAATCTGCCCGCTCCCCGCTCTCATCTTCTCCAGCACCGGACGTGGCGCAGCCGAAAACGCCTTCTGCAGCGCCCTAATCCCTCTCGGGTAATACGAAAACGCTCTCCACGCATGGAAGATAGTGCCCACCACCTCCGGATCCGTAACCGCCACCGACGGGCCGAGCATCCCACCCATCAAAACCGGCAGGGCACCGTTCTCGACGACGTCGACGAACCCCGCGACGGGGTCGCACGCGGGGAAGTACGCCATGCTGAACACGACCGACGTCAGCCCGCAGATCACGGGCAGCGGGACGCGGAGGAGGAAGCTGGTGATAGCCTTCATCGCGAGGCGCAGGAACATCTGCCGGCGGAGCTCCTTGTACACGGCGGTGACCTGCCCGAGGCGCGCGCCGAGGTTGATCAGCAGCGAGATTTGCTCCGTGATGAGCTCGTTCGTGGTCGTCTCAGAGTCTTGGAGGAGGACCTCGGGGAAGAGGAGGAGCCGCAGCGAATAGGCTTTGCAGAACTTGACGAGCGTCGTTTGGTTGGACGTGATCCTGTCCGCGAAGGGGTAGAGGCTTTCGTCCCGGCCCGCCACTTTGGCTGCGAGCTTCAGGATGGCGCAGCCCCGGTCCTGGTGGACGGCGATGAACGGCTTCTTGTCGGACGTCTGCATCGTCCACGCGTGGAACGCGATCCCCAGCGTCTCGGAGGACAGCAGCAGCGACTGCTCGAGCCGTTCGTCCAGCTCCATCATCAGCACGATTGCCCAACAGGCCAAGTTCAAGATCTGTTTGGACGTCATACCGGCTTCTGAACGCGAGGAGGAGAAGCATTGGTGGATCCAGGTTAGGATGTCGTCGAGGTTGTCGAGAAGCTTGGTGACGGTGCTTCGGGTGTTGGAGGCGGTCGAGTCGCAGCTGGCAACGCAGGCGGTGAAGGCGGATAGGGTATACCGGGAATGTGGGTGGGCGATTGTAGTACGACCGTGTGAGTCCACCTTCATATTTTCGAGTACGGCCTCGAGAACTGAGATTGTATAGTTGGAACGGGAGAGTAGGTTGGACAGCCGTTCCATCGCAGCACTGTCTCCCGACCTTGCAAGGTCTATCGTCTGTAGGTTACAAAGCACATCAGTATCGTGTATGTCAGAAACCAATACAACGCACAACTAATGGTATTTTGGCCATTTTCGTTTCTATCTCGAGGGGATCACTGAAGGTGGATGATGGTTGCTTTCTCGTCGCGTCGCATACTTTGGTTCGAAATACGCGACTGTTTGTCCGTAATTGGCAAAGGCTTCCGCTTCGGAATGATTGGGCGCTTAAGGTACCTGAAATCCACTTTCGACCAACATCACGTGACTAGCGTGACATGGCCGCATTTGGGCAATTTTCAGGCCAGAATTCAAAGAAAATGGGTTAGATAAAGCCGCGAGATGCTATGCGTAAATTTGACCCATAGAATGGTGCCTACTAGATGTAAATAGGGCCCGAATCAGTAATATTGAGCTATTGGGGTAAATGAAAGCAAGATTTTTGCGCCATAGTCTCTCTAAGGCTAAAAGTACGCGTCGCGTCGCGTAAAACATGGGCAGGCACTCAAGATATCTGGCCTCCCGGTTCCAAAACTTACTCGGAGGTACAAAGATGCCTACAACAAAGGTCTCAGTAGCCCTCACGCTGCCTGGGGTGCAAGGCGCTATCGGGGCCACCGTAACATTCCCCCAGAATGGCGTATTGACCTTGATAATGAGGTCAAGAAGCGAGCCGGCGCTGCTGCGGCGGAAAAGTAGTCACATTGGGCGTGACATGTTTTGTTTGTTAAATTCCGTCATCGTCTTGCCTCCAAATCCCTTACTTTCTGGTACACTCATTCTTTGCCTGTAGCATGCTCGTCCTATGGTTTTATTTTTCTCTCATTTGTGCGTACAGTTTGTAAAAATCGGCGAAAGTGAGAAAAATTGGGTGTTGTGCCCGATTTGGCACTCGCGGTCACACTATCGGTCACACCATGTGACGTTGGTCGAAAGTGGATTTCAGATACCTTACCTTGCTTCCTGCCTACACCCGAGGACCAACCCCCTCACACACTCCGTTTCTCGTCTCCAGAACTTCCACTAGTATAATGATGAGAAACAAGCTTTTCTTACGGGAAGATAACAGAAGTCACACTGGAAGCTCAGTTCTGAGTTGAGGGGCCTGGTTGTGAGCTTTGGTCTCATTATTGTACTTTGCCATCCCTTATGCTTCCAATGGCCTGCACCAACAAATTGTCGCTTTCACACTAATAAGTTACCATTATTTGACTCGTGACGGAAGAACGCGGAGCTTTCCGACATGCCATCAATTGAATTCTGCCAACTTCGCTCGCGTAAAGAAATATGCAAAGCGCTGTAATCCCGCATAAGATGTATTCCTTCTGACCAATAAATTACAATCAAACCCCATTGGACCCGTTAATTCTCTCTTCATCTTCGCAAGCTTCCTTCTCCTGAGCACCCCCAAGTTTAATGCTTTCAACAACTAACACCCTACCAGTCGATTCACTGGAAACATGGCTTTCCTGTCCAACATTGAAGGCTAGAGGCTGCGACAATGGTCGACTCTCCGGGTTCAGTGTAGATTTCCTCTTTTCGTTGTCTTCGCGCGTGAAGGACCGGCCGGTGGTCACCCTAAATATGATCATCTGTGGGGAGAGAGCCTGTTCAAAGGGACCATGCACGGTTATCCTCTTGTCAGCGTTCATTCAAGGAAAAGCTCAACACGGCAGCACTCATCCTGAGAGGCTTTTACCACGTACCGCAAAACTGAAGTAGAGGGAATTGAAGGCCTCCACAACGATGGCAAAGTTCAAATTCGGATTATTCCCCGTCTTCCGCGCCACACTCAGATGTACCCAGTTCGCCACACCCGCAGCGGCAGCGCAAAATCCCAACAACGCCAGAGGCACCGCGGACTCGATGAGGATCCGCGCAGCCGTGCTGTACACGCGGGTGTTGCGGCCTGGGAGGGCTTCGGCGAAGGAGCGGCGAGCGCGGATGAGCCGGAAGGCGATAAGGGAGGTGGTGAGGATGTTGAACCCGGCGGTGAGAAATGTGTAGGCGAATTCGATGCGGATGGAGATGAGGATTTGGGGTTGGGAGGAGAGCGCTGTTCGGAGGGCGTGTCGGGTTATGTTGGCTATTGTGAGGCCTGTCGAGGAGGGGGGGTTAACGGGTATGTCATTGGAGTCGGGATGAACGAGGTACGTACCTATGAATCCGAGATAGATTAGCGTTGGAGCGATGGGTATCCAGGGGAAGCCGGTCCAGATGATGTAACATCTATACAGCTAAATATACGTAGTAGAACGCCATTAGACTCGGACCATCTGCGCCTAAGTCCAGAATACGAATCTCGGAAGACTCACCAACAAACCATCCCCCAACACCACATACCCATACGTAAACACCAGATTCGCAATGCGTAACTCAATGTTATGTAGCATCTGCCTAGTCCTCACGTAGTCCATTCCCGGGCCTGAATAATATAAATCCCAAAACACCAGCGATAGGTCCATCCCGACAGACGCCCCCGAGAGCGCCAGGATGGCGAAACTTAGAAGGATGTAAGGGAGTCGGCCTTTCCTCTTCTCGGGAGAGGTCTGGATGAAACAGGAGAGACCGTAGATACATAGGACGGCTTGCATACCTATGGAGAGTACGATGGGTGCTCATGCAGCACATTAGAAGTTGAATCCGCGTACGCACCGGTTATGAATAACGAAATCAGAGGTTTGGAGTAGAGAAGAGACGCGGATACGAAAGCCGTCCGCTCGACGATCTCCATGCTAACGGGCTGTCCAGACATGGTGGGCTGATAGAGACTCTGTGGAATAGTTAAGAGCGATTGGTACCAAACTCAGCAGTGGCTTTGCCGCTCTTGAGCCTTTATATACCCCCATGATACACCCCGAGTGAGAATTAATAACTCTCCATTCCAAGTACTTCTATCAAAGAACATAGACGCGATATCGATTCTGAAGAGTCACCCTTTTCCACTAATAACGCAGGATCAAACGTAGTCACTAGTTCAGACGATTGATAGTCATGACGATCTCCTTAACCGGAACACTGTAGTGATCCCAAAGAATATTTTCCACTCCGCTGGGAATTCGAAGGTAGGGTGGAGCTTTCAGATCTTTCCCGTCGCGCTGGCGGCATCATGGTCAGTTCGAATCCAAGTGGCTGCAGCGTCGAGACTCGAGAGGGGTATGTAGAGATTAGGTATGTAGGTGCCATTTTGCGGACCGAGAACTCAATCACTGATCCGCGTGCTTGTCATCAACCTCTATGTATTGCAAACAAAGCAATTTCGCTGTCGCGTTTGGGGCCTGAGGTCTGTCCAATTCCAACGTTCACAGCGTTCATTTCTAGACGCCGTCTTCTTATCTCTGCCTCTGGTAAAGCACTCTTGTCTTGACCAGGTACTTGAAATCTGGCCATCTGCCACCCACTGGCAGTCTGCCCTCGCTGCCGAAGTCTTGTCACGGCCTCTGGCATGAAGAATCGACCACAGCTGTACCATTTTCCCTTAAGCGCTCCGCAACAAACGTAAAATTCCTTGTCGCATGTTTTACCCATTACCGGATGCCTGCGGGGGGAGGGTTGAATCTGTCTATTCTTCGAGTTGTGATGGTTCGTTTTTCGCAACGTTTATTCCGGTGGCCAATTACTGTAAACCTGCGGTGTTATCGCAGCCTCTCGCCTTCAATGTAACATGTTGGACTGAGTTCTGGATCAAGTACTACTTACTAGGATGTGCCGCAGAAGGGGCTCAAAAAGAAAAATAATAATCATTGGACGTTCAGGGGATTGAACCCTGGACTTTTCGCAAGCTCGACTGGAGAGTGTCAATGCAAAGCGAACGCGCTACCACTGTGCCAAACGCCCGTGCTAGCATGTCTATGGTGCTTTAGCCCTAGATGATATCGAATCGCCGCTGGCTTTAAATTGCTGCACGGATGCCGCTTTTGAAGTTCGAACTTTCCCCGGCATTTCAGTCTCCTCGTGTTGGGATTCCTGGTCTTGGCACCCCCTCGTGTTGGTACCGGTATCGAGTTTTCGACGCCCTTCGAATACCTTCCACCAATCATTCAGGTCATCCCTACATAGCCCTACATACCTCCAGATTAGACGACAGAAAGCCCGCCAAGCTTTCGAAGCCCACCAATCGAGTCACTTCGAAGATGGGTATGACATCAACTCACTCTCAATTCAGTACTTCCCAGTCCCAATCAGTCCTTTTCGAACTCATTTTGCTCGCATTTGGACTCGCCAAGACGTACACCAACTTGCAGATAAGATTCGAATCAGGAAAAGTAGCGGCGGCAGCGCCCAGGGCACATCAGCACTCGATCCCGATCATTCGATGGGCTCGTCGGAGATATAAAAGCGAGTTGAGTTGGGTTGAGTTGGGACCGTCATCATCGTCATCTAGAGTCAGGTCAACACTCGACCGACAGCATAACACTCAGCCTCGACGTTGCAGAAAACGAACAAGCTCTGAATCGCGCTCATCACTGGCACACGACGCCCAAGAACTGACTCGGACGTCGTCATCACCATAGGGCTCGCGAAGCACCTTGGACTCGTAGGCGTTAGGCCTTTTTGTGTATTTGTATCCTCAACCACCTCTCGATTTCTATCTTCGTTCGTAACCACCACTCGATTTCTATCCACAGCTTCAAACGCAGGATCTACAACTCGAGCTTCGAAAGCAGGATCTGCTCGTTCTAGAACACGCTCCTCACTAATCACAAACCCATCACACCCCTTCTTCTCTCATATTCGTTCAAGTTCTATCGCGCGCCATCCTTATCCTTATCGTTCCCTCTCATCGACCTCAATCCCTCAGAAACCCGCGACACCAATACCATCGACCTCGGCAACCGCGAGCTCAACACCATCGACAACCATGGCGCCCAAATTCCACCTCGAAGACTCGCAACTAATCGACGCCCTCCACTCCCTCTCCAAAAAATCGCCCAAGCTCGTCCGGGGAAGCGACGCAGCCGTTCCCTTCCACGAAGACCACACCGTGCGTTCCTGGAAGTTGAACGAATTCAAGTACTACGTTGTGCCCTCCCCTTTCCCCACCCTCGCCCGCGGGTTGTTCACTACGACTGTGAAGGAGGGCGATGCGGAGGAGTACGGTGTGGACGTTGAGGAGGGCGTGAAGCATCGGATCGTGATTCGCGGGTACGACAAGTTTTTTAATATCGGGGAGGTGCCGTGGACTACCGTACGTCTCTCTCCTCCTTCTCTTCTTCTATTCCAAAACGCTAATTGGGGTTGTTGTAGTGGGAGAACCTCCAAAGCCACACCTCGCCACCGTACATCCTCTCGCTCAAAAGCAACGGATGCATCATCTTCATCGCCGCCTTGACGCCCTCGAAGCTCATCGTCACCTCGAAGCACTCGGTCGGGGCGGGCGACGAGAACACCTCGCACGCTATGCGCGGGCGGATGTGGCTCAACAAGTATCTCAAGGAGCGGGGGAGGACCGAGGCGGATTTGGCTGCTGCGTTGTGGGAGAAGCAGTGGACTGCTGTCGCCGAGGTGCGTTAGCCTTTGCCCCTTTCCGGTAATCTCTATTGACGATAAGATAGCTATGCGACGACTCGTTCGAAGAACACGTCCTACCCTACCCACCCGAGCAAACCGGATTACACCTTCACGGCCTCAACGTCTGCTCGCGCCACTTTATAACAGAGCCTACCACCACCGTCGACGCGTTTGCCGCGGAATGGGGGTTCATCCGTACACCCACCCTCAGCCTCCCGTCTATCAAAGCCGTCAAAGAGTTTACAGAAGAGTGCTCAAAGACGGGTACGTGGAACGGGGAAGCCGTCGAAGGGTTCGTCGTGCGCACCACCACTTCCTCATCTTCACCACCCGCCGGATCCAAAAAAACATCTCCGTACGAACCCAACTCTTCGTTCTTTTTTAAAATCAAGTTTGATGAACCGTATATGATGTACCGGGATTGGCGGGAAGTCACGAAAGCGCTTTTGAGTATGCGCGCGAAGCATGGAGAGCAGGGTATGAAGGCTAGTGCTTTACCTAAAGGCAAGATGCGCAGGGAGGAGACGAGGAGGTTTGTGGAGTGGGTTATTAAGGATATTCAGAGGAATCCGGGGGAGTATGAGGGGTATATGAGGAATAAGGGGATTATTAGGAGTCGGGAGAGGTATTTGAGGTGGGTGGAGGAGGGGGGTGTGGGCGAGATTCAGACTGTTGGTGGGTTGGGAAAAGAGGAGGGAGGGGATGGGAAGGAGTGGGGTAAGACTGTTATTGTGCCTGTTGCTATTCCTGGGTGTGGTGCGTCTTCTCTTGGTCTACTCGTCGAATGATGTTGTGCGTTACTGACCGCTCTCTCTCTCCCCCCTCTATTTCGGGTGTAGGTAAAACCACCGTCTCACTCGCCCTCTCCAAACTCTTCGGATGGGGCCACACGCAGAGCGACGACGTGCAAGCTAAGAAGGCCGCTCCCGTTTTCATCAAGAACGTAACTAAATTACTCACCGGGGAGGCGGAGCAGGAGGAGAGGGTGAAAGCGAGGAAGGCGGAGAAGGTTAAGGAGAAGGAGAGGAAGGGGAAGGGGAAAGCACGGAAGCGTGGTTCGGAGGAGGAGGCAGCGGAAGCGGCGGAAGTGAATGAGGAGGGTAGTGAAGTTAAGAAGGAAGAGGAATTGGGTGAACAAGAAAGAATAACGAAATACGGATACGACGTTGTTATCGCTGACAAGTACGTCCTCCCCTCCCTTCCTCCCCTTATCCACACTAACCACCCCCACCCCTTACTCCTCCTCTAGGAACAACCACCTCAAACGCCACCGCGCCGACCTCCGCGCCGCCCTTTCCTCCCTGCGCTCACCACTCCCGACGCGCATGGTCGCCCTGTACTGGGACATCTTGACTAAACCACCAGCTATGGTTCACCGGATTTGTTCGGATCGGATTTTGGGGAGGGGTGAGAAGCATCAGACGTTGGTTCCTGAGGAGGGGAGTAAGAGTCATCATGAGGAGGTTGTGTGGATGTTTGTTTCGGGTGCGGAGGAGTTGGGAGGGGATGAGGTGAGTTTTTGGAATTCGTGGTTATGTGTTATGCGGTGGTGGTGGATCGTATACCCGCCCCCACTATGTGGTGGTGGTGGAACGTATATGTGATGCCACCCACCACCCACCACTGTGTCTGCCTGATGATACACGGTTGTGCTGACCACTATCACTCTCGTTCTTTTTCTTTCTTTCGTAGGTCGACGATATAATCGAAATGCAGATCAACGAGCACGAGACGGTCGAAGATCAGGTGTGGCGCGCTGTTGAAGGACTTTGTGCGCTTGACGGTCTAGGGCCTCCAATCGAAGTCGAAGTCCGCGATCAGGATGGGAAGGTGGTTGTAGGCGAGGATGGGAAGGTGAAGAAGAAAGTTGTTAGAGGGAGGTTGGAGAAGCCGACGAGGGGGCAGGTGAGGGAAGCGTTGGAGTGGGTGAAGAAGTATGAGGAGGAGGTTGGGGAGCGGAGGCGGGCGGTTGGGAAGGGGAAGGGTGAGTGTTGGGTTTCGTTATGTCGTTTGTTCTTTCGTTTGGTCGTTCGTTGGCTCGGTCGGGCTTTCATCTGCTCGTTTGGCCACTTGTTGGCTCGCTCGTTCGTTCGTGATTCCCCTTCGATTGGATCCTTTACTCGCTCTCTCTTTGTTTTTTCTTTGGCAATCTCGAACTCGAAACTAACGCTCGCCTCCATTTTTACTTTTATCTACAGGTAACAACGCCAAGAAGCAAACAGCCGAAGCCACCGGAGGGGGGAAGAAGAAGAGGAAAGGAGGAGACGAGTTGGGTAATGCGCGGTATTATGCGATTTTGCCCGAGTTTGATGTTGTTGAGTTTGTGGATGGGAGGATTGCGGATTTGGAGCTTAAGGTGGCTGCTTCAGGTGAGGGATAACAAGATGATAGTTACTACAAAGTTTCTCACGGCGGCGTCTACAGGAAAAGGAGGTGATGAGAGCGTGGAGAAGTTGAAGGCGTTTTGGAAAAAGTTGAAGGATGGGAAGAGGGTTACGAAACGCCCGCATGTGACGATTGTGCATCGGAATGGGTTGAAGGAGTTTAGTTCGTCGTCTTCTTCTTCTTCCGACGGTCAGGAGGGAGGCGACGCCGGTGGTGCTGCAGACTCGAAGGAAGCTCAGGAGAAGGAGGGTCAGAGAGGAGTAAAGTTGGATGGGAGGACGGTGTGGGATATGTGCAATGCGGTGGACCAGATGCTCGATCCGCCCGTGTTTGAGGGTGTGATTCGGTATGCTGTGTGGAATGAGAGGGTTATGAGTTTGGTGTTTGAGGATGTTGGGCTTCTGGGTTCTGAGACTGTCGACGCGGACGCCGACACTGCGCCCTCCAGCACCGCTCCAGCCTCAACGTCTAACGTCGACGCAGCCGCTCCATCCTCCACCAACGTCGACGCCGACGGCTTGGCATCATCCATGGCCGACCTCTCCCTCTCCACCTCCACTGCTCGTGGTTCCAAGACGAACACGAAACTAGCTAAAGAACTCGTAGATGGTCTACCGAACGATGTGAAGAGACGGTTGCATGTTACGGTTGGGACGAGGGATGGGGGTGTGCCGCCTGTTGAGGGTCGGTGGGTTGTTGAGGGGTGGAGGGAGGGTGGGAGTTGTGTTGGTGGGAGTGGTAAAGGGAAAGAAGAGGTGTGGTGTGTGGAGGTTGGGGAGGTGAGGGTTCGGGGGCTGTTGAAGGGGTTGGTTTCGTAGTTGTATCCGTGGATGTGTGCGGAAGAGGGAGGGGAGTGGGTGGACCTGGGTTGGGATGCGGTGGTACTCCTTTTTGTAGATGCGAACTGTGTTAGTGATGCTTTGTAGATAAAAGAGATTTGCTGCTGACGAACATGCTCGTATTTAGTAATTGATGCTGAATTATTTTGGTTTTTTGAAGAGAGAAGGCTTGCTACTAGTACTGTGAGGTTGATTGGTGATTGAATGCTGAGGGTGTCGGTTTCGAAAGTGTTTACGATGCCGATAGGTCGATAGGTAGGGGGCCATCACAGTGATCTCACATAAGTATGCGCGATAGGGGCTCTGGTGTCCGAAACTGGAAGGATGCCTTCCAGGAAAGGAAACTTGAACAGATGTTCGAGTCAACGCCAATCGCCAATCGCCAATCGCCAATCGTAGCATTTTTTATGGAATAATTTACAGATAGGTATATGAAACATGAGATCCGATCGTCAGAGGCTCTAGTTGCTACTATACAGTGCCATCTACGTAACAAGATCTACGTAGGAAGGATTTTTTGAACTTTTCAAAACGGCTTCTCAGACCTGATATCCACCTCGCCCCGGTGTGTACCGTTCTCTAAACGGCTAACAGCTGAGCCAGTTTCCACAAAGCTTAATGAGGTATCGAGAGTGGGAGGAGGTTTGTTGAAGACGATGGGTTGGGAGAATTGTTCGCGAGGACCGCTGGCGGGGCCCAGTGAAGAATGAACCTCGTGGTTCTGCACGAAGGAGCGGCCTGTTGTTATTCTGAAGATTATCATTTGTGGGGAGAGTGCCTAGGATGAAGAGCAATAGTTACAGTGAGTATCATGCTCCCCTCGCCACGACATTTGAGTGAAGTGCTATACTTACAGCGAAACTGGCGTATAACGCTCCAAATACAGACGAAGCCGCCGAAAATGCCCGGTTGGGTTTCTCAACGCCAGATATCGTCGGGGAATAAAACAGGACATTGAAAAAGACTTGTAGCAGTCCAAACAGAGTTAGAGGAATGGCAGCCTCGATCAATATCCGCACGGCGGATTGGTACACCGAGGTACTCCGCCCCGGGAGGGTGGAGGCGAAGGTCCGCTGTGCTCGGATGAGTTTGTAGGCGATGAGAGCGGTGGCGGTGGCGTTTAGTGCGACTGTGAGGATTATGGCGACTGTTGAGAGTCTGAGAGAGAGTTGGATTTGGGCGCGGGAGCTGAGAGAGATGCCGGTTGATATGCGGACGATGTTTGTGGTGACGATGGCTGGAGAGAGAGGGAGGGTGAGTTGTACTGCTGGAAGTTGGATGGGTTGGGATGGGCTGGAACGTACCGATGAAGGCGGTGAACATTACGATGAGAGGGGCGAATAACCATTTGACGTCTCTCCAGATTATGTAGCACCTGTAGAGCTAGTATTCCACGGCAGACTTATCAGATGGGTCCACAGAAGGTAACCTTAAACTGCGATTCAACGCACCAACAAAGCATCCCCAGTCGCTATATACCCATAAAGAAGCGGAAATCCGACAATCTGCGGCCACTCCACGAGCGTACTCTGCTTGTACCGAATAAACTCGATACCGGGGCCAGAGTAGTAGAGCTGCTTGAAGGTGACGTAGAGATCCAGCCCGGTGCCGGTTACGGATAGGACGAGGATGGTCCCGCTGATGATGATGTAGCGGAGGCGGCCTTTGCGAAGGGAGGGGAGGGTGGAGAGGAAGGTTGAGAGGCCGTAGATGAACATGAATATTTGCATTCCTGGAATAAGGAGAGGAGGGTGAGATGAGATTTTAGGGAAGAAAGGTGTGGTCAGGTGGGAAGGGCGCTTTTGCTTACCGGCGGCGAGGAGGGAGATGCTGCAGTTGGCGAACATTGTCGCCGCGGTGCTGAGTGCGTAGAACTCGATGTATTCCCGGTCGGCGGAGGACATGGTGAGGAGGTTGATGGTGTGATCAAGGGTACATCGTCCTCCCCTCGATTTATAGGCCACTCGCGCAACTCTCTCCGGGGATGGGAGTCATAGAAGTCGACATTGCGCCGTCGCAGCTGTATCGACGTTTCATCCAGGGGAGTGTCAAGAAGTACTTTTTCAGACTCAGAGTATCTCAACTTTCATTCCGAGGGGACTTGATTGTTATCACGCAGTTAGGCCCGCTACGATAGGCAGTTAGGCCCGCTACGATAGGGAGTTCTGAGTTATCAATAGCTGGGATCGCCCTAACCCCACCATCGTCGAACTATGTCCGGACGATCAAATCACTGCCTTGCTGTTTCATCACGAGCGCCTTGATGCGTATGATGAGTAGGGGCACTGCCCGTGCATTCTGATTCTCCACTGTAACAGCAATGAGCACAAAGGACCAAGAGGGCATTGGTGCTTTACGAAAGTATACGTATGATCCACTATGTGATGAAGTGAAAAGATTTCTTGGAAGTATAATTGGGCGGTAGACACAGTAACTGAGCCCCTTGTCCCTTGAATCAATCGCGTGAAAGCATTTGTTAGTGGGCGTCTGGTGGGCGCCTAATCAGAAACCGCCAGGAACTCCGTAGACACCGGGGTTCCAACCGGACCTAAAATCGATGGATTTATACACTTCTCGCAGAGCTAGATGCGAGGGCTTCCAGCGCTCAGGCACGAAATGACCAATGCCTGAAGTAAAACCTGAAATGTAAACGTAAAGCAGGAATGCGATCCGATGATGTGTGTGCTCTGTGTGTGTGTTGAAACTTGACACGGAGGCTTTGGAATATGGCAAAGGGGCATGCCAGGACACTCCTAGTTTACCAAATATATCAAGAGATATAATGTCTGTGGACGTGATCCCTGGGAACCGCTCTACCACAAGGACAGTGCACAGAGCTCAATATTCGGGGCAAAGCATGATATTTGGCCTATTTCCAGCAGAGTGGACGTCAGCGCCCGAACACGAGGTACTCTTCCAATGGAACACTGAGTTCTTGGCCCGTGGTCATCGTTAACGCGAACGTCTCGTGTGTGTCCTCTGGAATGGTGACTACATGGATCGCCACCACTAAAAGCAATGGCATGTAGGTACTGAGCCCACTCCGCGTAGTGGGTTTGAACAACATAACAAAGACGGATGCCCACAGGATGCTCAGATAAAAAGGAGAGGAAAGAAGGTACGGCAATCTCAGCACAGTCACCCATGTTTTGGAACACCTGCTTCACCCTATTTTTCTCCCTCTCGGTCGCTGTAAGAGGCGTGGTGTCTCTCCCGCAGACCACCCCCGAGTCCAACGACGAGCGTGAAGTTGTCAACAGAATTCTCTCTCTCCTTGGGACAAAGGAGATACCAGAGGTGGTACCCAGCCCCAATCTGCCGAGCCTGGAATCCCTCAACATAACCTCGCTCGACCTCTTTAAGCGCGCTCTTGCGCGTTTTGATTCGGAACGAGCGGAAGCCGCCACCCAAGCTGAAAGCAACCCGGGTACGCTTTCATTTCACCCACGTTCGCCCGAAAACTAGCATACTGAAAGAATGTCACAGACCTGACGAGGCGATACACTCCAACGTGCGATGGTAATGGACTTAACCCCTACTACGCCTATGTTTGCTATTATTACCTCTGGGATCTGGATTCCACGCCCTGTGTGGTTCCTCCCTTTGGCTCGAGATTCTGTCATACAACTCATGGCTCCGGGGATGTGGCATGGTGGGGTAGCACGAATGGTATTGGCTGGGATACTACACAGTCGACATGGTAAGTCTCATTCGAGAGCCACCTCCGCCTCCAGGCATGCTGACCAACCTGAGTATAGCCGGGAAGTCGCAGCGGGAGGTGCATGGGTCCTCCAGAACTGCCAATTCCCCTCGTGGCCGGGATTGACCTATTTCACTGGAGGTGAGCCGAGATCCATCGGGGGCTGCAACAACTTCTGAAAGCACTCATTCCAGGTACCAATGCTGCGTGGGGAAACGAGAATCTCATTGTTCGCATTGGGAGCTATAACTAGTTTTATTCATGCCTCCAGTCTCCATTACTTCACGCCTGTCCTCCAGTAGGATGTCCTCGCGATAGGGTCATGTAAAATTTCATTCCCTCAAGATCATTCCCTCAAGATCGCGTTAGCGTTGATCAATCAGCCTCCGCCCCCGTTATAACCCCTTGCCACCGAAGCTTGAATAAGCGCCCAACTGTCAAAGTCATGTGGCATGGTCCGTGCCCTATGGGCAATCCCTATAAGAACCCCGATGAAGCGATAAGGTTTGGTTCATCGCCTGTCGTTCACAGCTCCCTCCCAGAACTCTCAACGACAGTCATGATTGATCTTCCCTCGCCCAGTTCGATAACAGACTATCCTATTCTCCATAAACGAGAAGAGGACCTCACAGAGGACCTCAATATCGATGACAGCGTCACTTTGAACTACCTCTTCATCGATCCAGGATGCCTCGAGGCGTCAGAAACGCCCATGCCAATAACCATCCCCAGAACGTTGTTCGAAGGAAGACTGCGCCCTTGCCGTGAGGTCTTTTCTACTGAGATTTCGAACGAGTTTGGAATCGAGGTCGCAGCCGGAAAGGTGAAGTTTTGGAAGGTGAGCGCTTCGTCGTCCTGTTAAGACCCTGGACTGGGCCTCAAATGTTGAATTTCATTGTTTAGCCAATGGAGAGCCTCACTGTAGACGTTCCAGCCGATCCTACCTGGTCTGGAATAATATCCGAATTCCGAGAGACGTTTGCCCAGATCCCCTTCACTCGGTCCCTGTCACGGGCGCTTCAGCAAACCTTTACGGACTCCGACTTGATTCATATCGCTGTGACCGCTTCCTCGATCCCAAAGAGCGACGCACATCGGACAGACCCACCTGCATCTGCATCGAGGGCCGCGCCCGACGGACCGCCTGCTTACAGCTACGTACACCCAGTGCGTAATTTTTAAACACGTCCTTTGTAGCACTAGCCTGATTCCCATGACACAGATGATTGCCAGAGGGGAATACGAGACAAACGAAGGGGAGAGGCGTCGCAGCTGGAGGTCCATCACGTACGGAGAGCGTCACTCGACGGACATTGCCATTACGCCTCGATCCACGATCCCGTCTATCCTCCTGGGACTAAACACCATCGACATAGGGGCCGGACCCGACGGCTCCATGGAATTTTCATCCCATGAATCATCTCTCGCGTCGTCTTCATTCCGACTCCACGTCGATTCCTGGGGCAAGACATCCCTGTATAACGCGCGAATGCACTGGTTGGTCGTCAACTCAAACCCCTCCATCCAGATTGGTTGCGTCGACACCGCCTTCCACAAGCCTCAGAAGACGGATGGGGACTTCGTCCAGCGAGTTACCTTTACCCATCCCTTCAACGCGCCTCCCAAAGTCCTTGTTGCCCTGAGCGGGTTCAGCCTGGGCGAAGGAACCGACGTCAAGAACTGGGAAATCCGGGCCTCCGCCACGAACGTCGACAGCCGAGGCTTCACCATCAATATCCACAAGGAGGGTAGAGGCCACGGCCAAATCCACTGGCTTGCCTTTCCTGAAGGAGGAGTTCCCAACGTAACCATGTGTTCTGGGGATTTTCGATTCGACTCCTCGTCGTCTGATGGCAACATCGATTTTGAATTCCCATTCAGAAAGCCTCCTCTTGTCTTCGTCGCGCTGAACCAGTTCAAGGCGGACAAGTCCAGGAACTTGAGGATCGAAATCTCCACTTCCAGCGTAACTGGGCTAGGGATGAACTGGAAGATTAGGTCGTGGAGCAATACGGTCCTAACCAGTGCTGCGGCGTCGTTTGTCGCAATCGAGGACGTGGGAGAGGTCGATGCAAAAGGGACGACTGCGTGATGATAGGCGTGTTTGTCGGGAGCTTCTGTTGGAGCGTTATGGTTCCCGACTTGTCGTCTGTTGTATGGCAGGTGTTTGAATCGACGCGGTGCGCGTGTCCTTGGAATACTGTGGCCCTTCACTTGCTGTCTGCTGTGTCACCGTCGGTGGAACTGATAGTACGCTTTCCTTTGATCCTGTAACAACCTCTCTCCGCTCCTCCTCAGATCGAGGAGATACGGCGGTCGGAGAGGTTCCAACTTTGTGACAACTATGTATATCATATGCCAGTGAGCTTCGAATAAACCTCTTTTGGGAAACCGCGACTCACCATCTAGTCTGATGCAAATCACGACCGCCCGTCGAAACCTTCGAGTACGCATCCATGGTCGCAATCATCGGTGCCAGGAGCAAAAGCATCGGAACGAGCTGGCCAAAACTCCACAGCCTCTCCTCCTGCTCGTTCCCCTCGCACCCCTCCATCTTGAAGTACGGTATCGCCACGATGCGGGTTTGGACCAGGAAGAAAACCCCCATGACATACCAGACGGTCGAGAAGATGACGTCGAATGTCATTGAAGAGGAGAACGTACAGATGACTTTGATCACTTTCAAACCCTTCCGATCTAACCACTGCAACCAGGCCCTTCCCACCCTATCAATTACGCCAGACTCGTCCAGTCCTCCTCCGAGGATGAGCGGTACGAGGGTGGTACCGTAGGCCCAGAGAAGTAGGAGGTACGAGCTGATCGTGGTTGCCAGCTGGTTGCCGCCTGGTTTGAAGTCCTTCGTCACGCAGATAACCGGGCAGTTGAAGGCGCGGTACCAGTCCTTGTGGATTTGCAACGTCACGACGGTCACCATCATCCCGAACTGGCAGAACATGAGGAGCGCTCGTAGGTATCGGGAGGGCGGAAAGAGGTATGGGCGAAGGTCGGGGTAGTCGCAGCAGCGATTATGACGAGAGTTGTGGTTCGTGTCGGGAAGCTGACCTTGGTCGTCTTCGCGGCGTCGATTAGGCAACGACGCCAACGATTTGACGCTATGCCTCAACGACAAGAACGCCAAAATCTGCGTATTGCACGCCAGCCACACCAAATTGGAGATGACCGTAAAGTGGTACACCGACAGCCCCTTCGACAATTCAACCCACGTCGAGATCATGATGGCGACAGTGGTGATGAGCTGGGTGTCGCTGAGGGAGAAGATCATGGGGAAGAAGAGGTGGGCCGTCCATTTACGGATGCGGAGGGCGATGCGTTCGTTTGTGCGCGCGGGCTGGCGGATGATGGGGTAGGCGTGGACGCCGCCGTGTTTGCACGCGATTATGTCGAAGATGAGGGAGAGGATGCAGAAGAGGAGCGTCAGTCCGGAGGAGATGGCGAATGCGATGATGGCCTGGAGAATATTGGTGAGTTGGAAGGCGTATTCAAAGAACAGCGCCCAGTTTAGTGTACTGGTCGACTCACTCCTATTCCTGCAATGTCAGGGTTTGGTTCGAGGCACCCGCATTGGGTGCAGTCGAAGCGCTCTGTTCCAAGAGTGACCATGGGCGCTGAACGACCCTACGACAAGTTGGAAAAGGTTCGGGGTGTCATAGTTTCATCGGTCGCTGTAGAGAAATGTCAGCTTGGCATGTAGTGGACCGTGGCGTTCACAGCCTCCCTCTGTCACGGGTTTGAACGAGCAGGGAGACAGTCAGTTGCAAAAACATGTCGTTACAGAGTGGATACTTTTTTTGAAGATTCCCAAGAGTCTCTGAAATAGGAAGGATGGTGGATGCGAATTTGACAGGAACATATCTGGAACCACCGAAGAAGATGGGAATTTGCCAAGATGGATTTTGAGCGGCGCCTATAGCACACCCCCAAGTATAGCCTGGGCCTTTAGGTTTTCACGTTCGTTAAAAGAGGCCTTGAGGGGCCGGGATCCACTCAAGTTCCTTCAGCGGCTGGGGAGTAGCTCAAATTTCTGCCTAACTCGGCTCAGAATCTGATAGAGTGCCGCCGAAACTCATCTATATCCAACCATGTTCTATCTCTATTCCGGTCGTTGGATGAAATCAATCATTTATTAACTTTGCATGCGACGGTTCTGCGGAGAATTTAGGTTCCCTAAAAACCAACTGTTAGCTTCAACGAATGGAGGGTTATTCAAATCGGTCGCCGCTTACTCGAATCTAACCGTCGTTCTGACGAGACCCCAAAGGCCCGCAGCCCCATCATCTAAATGTTCGTACAGAATGGCGATCCGTTGGGTGGTGCCCCAGGGGATGAGCGCTTCCGTCAGGCGCGTCTTGACAGGCGACGTTTTCCTCTGAAAGTCCCGCATCATCTTCTCCACCCTGGCATCCATCGCGGAGCAGTCGCTCACGAAATCCGTCGTTTCCAAGTATTCTTCGATGGTCTGTGTTCGAATGGATGGAGAGTGCGACCCCTCTGATGCTGCGAAGTCTAGGATGTTGATCGCGTTGTTGGGGTTGTGACCCCTGCGACGAGCTTCGAAGACCCGGGAAGCGTGTTGAAGGGGAAGACCGAACGATTCGGTCAAGATGACGATATGGTGCATTCGGAGCGCATTTGTGTACTTAACCCTGCGCTCTTTCCGCTCTTTAATGGAAATAGGATTAGGGTCGGGTTTCAATATTCTCCAAGCAGACGAGCAATACGTACCAAGATAACTCTCTTGCATATGAGCACATTCCCGACGATGCCTGGCTTTCCAGTCAGCCTTTTGGCAGCGGGAGCTACAGTAGAGAACTGTATGACAACCCGAACACTCTTTGAATGGTCTCGGATTACGGGGATTCCAGTCGTGCGACCACAGTCGATGCTAAGGGTTTACTCGTGAGCTCCTTCGATCGTCACATGCCTCGAATCAGAATTCAACACTCACCCCTGAATAGCTGCATAGCCGATCGAGTGGAAGATTATCGAAACCAAGAGCGAGAGCCCTGCAGTTAGCGACAAGCTCGATCGTGTACGTCCATCCATCCCAATAATCCACCAAGTACGGCACAGCACGGATTTCATCCACCGCATCTTGGGGGATGCCGTTTATCGCCCGCAACAAGGCAGTGCAAGATCGTGGATACAAAGCATACCCGCCCAACATATTGAAGATCTTGGCTCGTTTCCTATCATCTTCGTGCTGGAGGACTGGTGACGAGTAACGAAGTAGGTACACCAAGATCGGGAAAATGTCAGAGCGGAGAAGAATAGTGAATCCCCGAACGCTGTGGCCTCCTGGTGCAGTGGCGATATCGAGGAGAGAAGTAGCGAAGTAGGACAAGACGCTCGAGGACGCCTGGGGATGGATGTCCGATTGGATGAGCCGGGGTTGAATGGTGTTGGTGGCTACAGTCCAGCATTCGAGATAGTGCTCTTTGCGTAGTCGCCTGTGGAGCGATTGGTTCGTCTGTGCACGACGAGTGATGTTGAGAACCATCATCGCGTGCTTGATGAACAGCGAATCGAGAAGGTTCTTGTCCTGGTGAAGAGCGACGAGATACTTGATCCTGTAGACCAACGCGTAGCAGAATTTCCTCGGCCCACCATGCGTGGAGGTGATGTAATCGAACAGAAGGTCGGTCTTTTGGATGATGAAGAACATCAAGTGGACGAAAGGGTCTCCAACCAATAGCTGAGCTGTAAGCTCGACGGTAACCGCTGAACCGTCTTCTGTGCAATTCCACCATAGCTTCAACGCAAGCTTCATAGCAACCGATGAGCCGTGTACCAGAGGCTCTAAACTAGGGTCAAGGATTAGGAGCCCGAGTAGAAGCTCTGCCGCCCTCGAGTAGGAGCCGTGCTCGGGTCTGCAGTGGGGACGCTGCGCCATGCACGTGTCCAGCCACGCGATAATCCCTTCAAACCCGGGCAACACCTTTGCGACGGTCGTCTTTTGGAGCGGTTCTTTGACCTCTTTCCTCGTCGAAACAAAGACGATCTTGCTCAGGCACATCAGCGCGGCCCACGCGAGGTCCATGAGAGCGTATGGGAGGATGGGTCTATCGGGTATTGCGTCCAGTCGCAGGTATTGAAGGCATAAATCCAGGGTTGGGATCGCCCTCGCGTAGGTGTCTGGATGCACCTCATCGCGCAACCTCCGGATCCTGAGAGTGTCCCGTTGCAACTAGGTATTGAAGGGTGTAAGTTGAGGCGGGCGATCGACTGGATCTGGAGCTACCTGTTGAGTCGTAGGGGGCATATCGATATCGGCTCGTTTGAACGCCCGCGCGTAGTGCTGTGGAGGCGTCAATTGATGGTGGTTGCTGTGAATAAAGGATAAATCGGGGCTTCCCAATCGCAACGGGCCCTTTGAAGCGCCGCTTAAAACGCGATGTCACACAGAACAGCCTTGCATCCTGATTCCTTGGGCCTTTGGCTTTCGATCAGTATTCATACGGGAATTCGAAAGCTGTGCAACACGCTAATCACACGCGATAACCAGCCGGCCACGAGGTATGTAGGTTGCACCTCGGTGGCGGTGTAGGGGATTGGCTTAAGCGCCCAATCATTGCAAGGCCTGAGATCTTCGCTCTTTAGATAATTATAAGGACTACTACTATACATCAGGGAACCTCTCCTTGATGCATGGTGCAGTGGGGACATCGGATATATGGTAAGTAACAAGGCATCCCCCTATCGCGGTGGACCGTCCGGTCCCAAGTGCCATCTGTTGACCAGGACCTTCGGCGTCTGGTGAGGACGTCCATGAGAAGTCATCTTAACATTGTCCGTCTTGTGCAGCACGTGATGCCGCCCATGAGTTGGAAGCCAGAACGGTGTGCGCTCCACCGTGCCTTCGAATTCCCAGCGGAGTGGGATGATTTGGGGGATTACTGCAGTGTTCCGGGTAAGGAGGAGATCCTGATCACCGTCACGGTATATGAACTAGGACTACGTTTGATCCTGCGTTACTAAGGTAGGGCCAAAGCACGATCCACATGCTTCACAGCCACAGCGTGACACCGCCCTTTTTCCTTATATCGCGAATGGCACCTGCAAAACTGGATTTCTTGGTCCCAAAAAGCGCTAAATGGGGAGACTAGGCTGTTTCAGAGAACTCTATGGTTGCAGATTTTTGATTTTCCTCTTAATTGGGCGGAAATAGTGTCAAAAAGTTTGAGGTGGCTCCGCTCAGGTGGCAGCCAAGCGTGACACCCTCTTATATCGCGAATGGCACTCGGAAACCAAGGATTTTCGTCCTTTTTTTCTGAGGTTCCTAAACTTCTCCTATTTTATAAGAACTCTATGGTTGCCGATTTTTCGAAAGCAAGCTGGTACTGGTGAAAAATTGGGTTTGGTATCGGGAATTCATCAAAACGCCCGTCCGCGCGCGTCGCAATGGCGGGTGGGAAAGGGGTGTGACGGGGCTGTCACAGTGGCTGTGAAGCATGTGGATCGTGCTTTGGCCCTACCTTAGCGGTAAACGGTGACTCTCCAGAACCACGTTCGTGTTTTCTGAAGTAGAATGCAGGATTCCAGTTAATGTGATGTCCATTCCACATTCGAATCCCTGGTGCGACGTACACGTACATACATAAAATTTCCCAATAAATAATCTAGACTTGACCCTAGTCGGACCCATTTCAGACGTCTGTGCCATCCTTGCGAGCGCTATTCTCTCGCACAGACCCAAGTGCCTTCTCCTGCAAGTCCTCGAGCCCCTCTTATTCAGCCTCCCATCCAGAACACGAAATCGGACTTACCAACAACCCATCCCCCAACACCACATACCCATACATAGACGCCATAGATGCGATTCCCATTTCCACATCATGCAGCCTCTGCCTAATCCTCACATAATCCACGCCCGGCGCCGAATAATACAAATCCCTAAATCCCAGCCACAGACTTATCCCCACCGACGTCGCAGACAACGCCAAGATGGCAAAACTCAAGAGGATGTACGGGAGGCGCCCCTTCCTCTTTTCCGGTCGTGTTTGGAGGAAGCGGGAGAGGCCGTAGGTACATAGGACCATTTGCATTCCTATGGAGGGTAGTAATGGTAGGAATAGGCGAAGGTGAGGGGTTAGTTTATGGCAAGGGTAGATTGTTTCGGTTGGTGAGGCGTACCTATTGTGAATAAGGAAACGACAGAGTTCGTATAGCGTAGCGAAGCGGAAACGAGAGCCGTCCGCTCGACAAACTCCATATTGACCTCTCCAGACATCGCTTGAAGAAGATTGGTGCAGTCTTGGTACTTGTCTTCGCTTCAAATCAAGCGTTGCTTTTTATACTTTTCGCACACGACACGACACGCCTCTGAGAGATCACCCCGAGATTACTTGTCACATATGCTTCTATCAAGAAGTTAACACGGATGACTACACAGTACCGCAGGATCAGATGTACGATGGTCCCCTCCTTACCCGAACCTCTGCTCCCCTAAACTAATCCTAGTATGTACTCCGCTGAGCACTAAAGCTGGAAGCAGGACACAGCAGCCCACTGCACTACATACATCATCTTTGTCCCAGCATCACGTATGTACTCCACAAAAGCAATAAAAATCTTCTCACCTTGGAGCCAGCGGCATGCATCATTATTCTTGGGCGCTCTTTGTACATACACGAAAGCAGATCTGCCTGGGGGGCGTTAAACCGCAGCCGCTCAGGAATCATAATAAAGTAATCATGACTCTCAGGCTGATCACAGGGAAACCCAAAGTCAAAACGTGCTGTAACGGGTCCTTCAGAGCGCTGGCGTGATAGTAGTCTTCCAATTACGAAAACGAGCAGGCTCGTCCTTCGAGCCCGTGGCTGCCAATCAACCATTGCGCAGTAGTGCCTACATACCGCTCCCACGTCAGGATTCATCCGTACACCGTGACACACGAGTATATAATCTAAATATAGCTCTCTGCGGGTCACCTATCATCGCAACTTGGATATTGGCGAACTTTGAAGCTCACTCAAATATGAGCCCGACGGTGGCGTTCGGGTTTCTCGCAAAACGAGTTTGCGAAAGGCGTGGTTGCGGCATTCCATCATGGGCTAGGGGGTATCTGGCATGAAGAATCTGAAATGGCGGTAAGTATTTACATTTGTAAATTTAGATTTAGGCGCCCAGCACTTGATCTGATCTCCATCCAAGGCACAGCGGTTCCGAGTCGAGATGTAAGCTATCCGGTTACCGCAGGCCATTTTCTATGTCACGCGACGCCGCAGCAGGGGTGGCATCTCCATAGCTCTCCGATAGAGTACATAGGCGGATCTCCCTGTAACTTCGGAAGGACATGCGCGGGTACCATGGCTTCATCAGTAAGGCCTGAACGGTGATTTAACCGCCTGAGACGGAGGTACCCATTGGTATGGCAATGATGCACTGACTGGGCTTAAATAAAACTCATAGTATTCGATGTAACGACAGATCTAATGACAGAACGAAGTCTTTAATACATTAGCTGTAGAGCCAAGATAACGAAACCTCGAGGAAATGCTAACATAAGTACCAATCGCCGTACATACTCTAATCGTGTCCGTAAGGGAAAACTTGAGTACACGGTTGAGACCCGTCACCAGCCTTCGGCAACGCCTCAAAGAGGAAATCGAGATTAATATTCAAATTCCTCTTCAAAACGCCCGTGGGGTTGGGATACAAACCCTTGATCGTCTTGTTCACAAAGTTCTCGTAGAACCCGCAGAAATCCAACAGACCACCCAAACTCTCATCAACGGTATAGTTGTTGACCCCTCCGACGTTCCTCCCGGGTTGGAAAGGATGAACTTCAAATACGGCCTGCGCATCGCTGTTGACGGGTTCCGCAGGGCGGTGGAAGTCGGGAGGGTACATCATGTGCTTGAAGAAGCTCTCCGCGGCGGCCATGTCGAGTTGTCCCGCCTCAGCACCGGTCTTCCGCCCATCGACGAAGAAGATCGGAGGGAAAGAGGCTTCAGCGTAGGCGGTAATGTGACGGAGTCCAGCGAAGGAGAATTCGGGGTTGGTAGCGATGGACTGTTGGATACGGTGGAACCTGAGCTCGGCGGCGACTGTCATATTGAAGAAACCGTTTCCGTAGATCGCGCTGAAATTCCTGAACTAACCATCCAGAAGGAATATTATCAGCAACGGTACGAGGAGCAGAAAGGTCAACCCCACCTGGTCGAACAGCTCTTGGTCAAAGCTATGGTTATCGCCAAAGAAAGCGTCTGCCCGAGACAGACTCGCGTCGCCTTCGAAAGTACCATGGTTGTTCAATCCTCCAACGATGGCAGGGGGAGGTGGGTCAGGTCCAGTCTTGGGCGTCTTCGGCCCGATACTGAGCAAGTCAGTGACCAGATTCCCGTCCATGAGATGCGCGGTGTAGGTCGTGAACCTGGCGATCTCGTTCTCCATATTGAAGCCTGACGACAACCAATTCAGCTTGACAAGGACAAACGAAATGAAAGTGCGTCACGGTGGTGCTGGCAACTTACCTTCTTGAACGGCGTTGATGATCTGAGCGGGAGTGGCTATGCCATTACGGGGGAGGTACTGGTCGCAAAGCAAATCGATCAGGTTCTGAAACACGAGAAAAGAATTAATGACCTACCCCGTGCGACGCCAAAGTATTCAACCCAGGACACGGTCCACGGGCATCCCCCTTCCTCGGAGGCATGAAAGGGTGATCTTCGTCGTTCACAAGCTTGGTTCCATTGAACGCCAAAGGGCCAGGGGGAGGGGGTGGAACACGCGGTTTGAGCATCGACATGATATCTGTCATCTCCCGTTCCGACAACACTATGAACTCCTAGCCGGATACAATGTATATAGATTCACGGATACATGTAATTGCCATCCGATTCACGGACACTTTGCATCGTCAAAAAAAAGCTTGATTAGGTCCAAAACACAAACGGATTTCTTGTATCGGGCAGTCTTTTTGGACAGGTATAAACTACACGGTGTCCGGATACTTGAACCACCTTAAGAAAGTGTGCTCGATTTAAGGAGAACAACGTGAATTAGGATCTATATACTACAAATCGAAAGGGAATTGAAACACAGTAGGCTACAAGGCGACCATAAGTAATGATAGAGGCCCACAAATCAAAGGAGGGTGGTGATACAAGGGCCAAACACAAGAAAGAAAAGTGAAAAGCGAGTGGCCTAGTTATACGCGGACCCGGAGTGCTCCATCTGTTCCAGTAGCTGATGATATGATTCTCGTTCTTCGACAAGCGCATCGCGATGCCTTGTCGCATGAGTGATCAGTGGCCCAAGGCGAAGCAGGTTCATTTGTATTTCCCATACAGCCATTCGACGATGGTAGCTACAAATCTTCGCCGTGGGGTCTCTAAAAAGGCTGGAGAAGCTTTCGTGTCCAACGGGTATGCAGAATGGGCATGCTCTAGAGACAGGGGTGCTGTTGGGAATGTCGAGAGTTTGGCGGAGTGACGGGTCTCGCCATGAGTGGGTGATTTCGAAATGCGATGGTGTCTGGCCAACCATGGGCCTATCGCTGTCATGGATGTGGTGAGTTGCCGGTCCAATAGATTGAAAGTGGTCGGATGGATGAGGTGAGGATAGTGGGGTTTGATGCTCGGGCAGCTGTGATTCAAGGCGGGACTCCGGATTTTGGTCGGTTGGTGAAGGCGGGGGCTGAGATAGTGGAGTGGGGACTCGTGGGGTTCGGGGGACGGTAGGCCATGCAAACGGTGCTTGAGGGTCCCAGTGTGGATCCGGCAGTTGGCTATCTGGCAGCGGAGGCTCCGATTCAGAACGACGCTGGTGTTTAGAGTCAGCTAGGTATGAAATGACTTGTGCCAGGGACGTACCTGGAGCCTTCTATACCTCTTCTGTTGCTCAAGGTGATAGAGGAGCTCCTTGGAGTCCCAATCGGTACGCGTATACACTGACGGTTGGTCCAAGGGGCCGAAGAGATCCTGCAACCGACGGGACCGGCGGGGCTGTGGACTCGCGTTGTTTTGGATCTCGCTAAAGGGTCGTTTTGACATCGCCAGGTGAGAACCGTAAAGGCGCGTACGAGAAAGCGCTGAGTTTGCAGAAAAGACAGTAAATAGTGAGCGAATAGATTGAGGAATGTGGTGGTCGTTGATAAAGACGTGGTCGACGCGGCGGGCATCATCAGACAGGCTGGGGCAAACAACCCCAATTAAACCTCGAACCCACCTACTCGAGGAATTTGTAGATTACTACAGGTTCACTACGAGGAAATAGACAAGAAAATCAATAGAATTAAGGGTAATTTAAAGTTGAAAAGTTAACAAAATTACAACAGTTGGTCGTGCACAAGCTCTGGACGGTTCACATTCCCACTACGATCAATGATAACCCACATACCCTCCCACTTGAACCGACCAATAAGAGCCATGATAGTCGTAAGATCCACAATCTCGGTACCCGCTTTCATACCAGGGTAGATATGGATGTCCAATCCTTTCAGTTTCCCCGGGCGTGAGGCGCACATCGTAAGATCGATCTCGTTGAGGCGCGTGTTGCATGGCTGAATTTCGACGAAAACGACGATCTCCTCCTCCTTGATACCCAGCTCTTTGCTTCGAGGCATCTTGATCACAAATACTTGCTGTACCTCACCGAAATAGGTCTCTAGAACGAGGTCCTCGTCGGCCTTGTCGTAGGAGAGTGCTGCATTCCGGTCTACTGCCAGCTCGTACTAGATTAGAGACCCTGGCGTGAGCTATGTCAGTCACAGTCAAGGAGCACGGCCACATACCCTAACAAATGAAGCTTCCCGACTATCCTTCGCGGTAGTCCTGCATAACCGTGCTGCACGAATGGTGTCTCCGCCATGCAGCATCTTGATTCGTCCGAAAAGCTGCACATTCTTGACTTTGAAGTACTTCCGCACTGTTCTCAGCGAAATAGCAGGCTTCCCTTCAGGTGTATACCTAGTTGATAGGGCGGCAGCCAACTTGCGTTCAACTCCTGGTTCGATTTCCGGGTTTTTGACGCGCGGTGATGCCAGTGTGTACCATTGAGCATCTAAGAGCATTGAAAAATGAGCAGACGGGCGCGGGGAAGAGTTGAACTCACAGAAATCGTCAGGGATTGCGAAGTCTCGGATGCTTTCCTTATTGGAGTTTGAGTCGAAGACACTGTGTAAGTTGTAGTTGTGCAAGATTTGGTCGGCTTGTGCAGCCAGAACGACATTGTTATCGAGGTTCGCCCAAGGATGTCGTCGGCTCTTAATCCAAGGGCGGAGTCGTCCACAGTAACGCTCCATTGCAAAAGCCCAATAAGCCCATACCGGCCCATTGGCCTTGATACCATCGGCGATATGGAGGAGGGAATGGATGGTGGTTGGACAGGCCGGTAAACGGTCGAGTTCGTACTGAAAGTACAAGCTAAGCGTGTTGGTTAGATTAAATGTGCTTAAACAAAGGATATGACCTACCGTTCGTATTCCAGAACCCAGTCATTGAATCCCTCTCGAATTTTGCCAATATCCTCCAGCGTATATTCGAATTGAAGGCAAATGTTGATAATCTTGACGAGTTCGATGAAATGGTCGTAGTACTCTCTGTTCTTAAACTGTCGGCGAAGGAAGACTGGTGCGAGAAACAAGGTCCAAAAGGACCAGGTGTCGGCCGTGGTGGCGATGCGGTCGTTAGTGATGTCCTTGGGACGGGCGGCGTATGCGTTGGGAATTGTGGCCCCTGCCTGGGAACCTGCTTTGGCTATTGCATCCCATACCGTGCGGTCAATGACATAGTCTTGGTTGGCGTGGTCCAATTCCTTGAAGCTGCCGGTCCAAAATAGCACCAAGTTCTTGATTAAGTTCTCCCAGATAAGATGCATAAAGTCGAATGGGAATGAATCTGGGAAGAAGAGGGAGGGTATCTCCGACAAGACGGTGAGACCCTTGATGCCGGATGCTTTGGAACGACGCTCCCGCTCAGCAGCAGAGACCGTCTTGTCCTGTGCAGCTTTCCCATCTGCAATAAACTCGGCGTGGGTCCGGCGAGGCAATTTTTTGGGATCGTATGGAGGCTCGGGTGGGAAGCGTGCAAGTGGAACATAGTGGGTAGTCGCCTTTGCAGCTGGATCCCGGATGCCTTGGATCTTGCAGTCGCGGCAGGGACACTTCCCGTTGTGACCCTTGAGGCATAAAACCATTGAAATTGCGGGGATGTCTCCGAAACCGTCGACGGGGAAGCCGCGAAGCTTGAAATTCGAGTTGGATTGTGCGGAAAAGGCGGGGACGCCGATGGCGAGTTTCTTCATCTCATTGACATACGGGCGAAGAAAAGAATTGCTGTCCCACGGCTTGTTTGGTCCCGGGATGACCCCAAGACACATCACCCATTTTGCATGAAACCGAATCTCCGGAGGAAGGTTGTAATTGAAGAGAAGGAGTGGCCAACATGTCTTCTTCCGGCGGCGGAATGGGCAAAACCCATCAGTCGAAAAGCCGAGGGCGATGTCGGTCTTCTGCTCAAAAAATCGATGGGGATACCGGACATTGTCGACCACGACCCTTTTCTTCACTAGTCGCCGATAGTTGGTCCCATCGAAGATATCAGTCATCTTCGGTTTTGGTGTTTGAATGTCGTCATCGGGGTCTGGCGGAAAGTGTTGGTTTCGATAGCCCATTAGCTTCTCGGCTTCAGGATTGGCTGCAAGGGCAATGAGGCGAGGGATGGCGGGAACATATGTGAACATCTTGTAGGGCTGACCATTGTCGTTGTATCGAGGATGGCGGCATTTCGGATTGGGACAGTGGGTAAGGTCGGCATAATCGTCGACATAGAGGACACAGACGTTGATGCAGCAATGGTAGGACTCGGGCTTGAAGTCGCAAAGAAAGCGGAGCTGCGACTTGCTATTCTTGAGCGTCGTAAGCCCGACCTGGTCTGGGAAGACCCACGGGAGTTCGTTGAATGCTCTGTCTGAGAGGCAGTGACGAAGTTTGTACATCACTGCTCTCAGAACCGAGCTATCCTCGGCAGTGAGAGTCATACCGCCTGCACCCCGTGATCATTAGCAACACTAATTGAGAATGGATACCGGAATACATACCCTGTGCTATGGCCGCAGCCCACAGTCTGTTGAACTCCTCGTCATCGTCGTAGTTGTTGTAGTCCTCGTCCGAACTGTAGCCCAACCCAAGACTTTCCTCAGACTCAGATGCCTCGGGAATACCCCAAAAATCATCCTCTTCCCCCTCGTCACTCGCATACTCTTCGATCTCAACATCTGGCAGACCTAATCCAACTTCCTCCAGCTCTGTTGCCCCCACATCAAGTTCCTCGTCTTCCTCAGGCACATCCTCTACTGTCGTTCTCCAACGGCGTTCTGGCGGATGCTCCGTTTCGGTGTTGAGAATAGGACTCGCCATAGAAACACTATTGAGGGATTGGGCAATAACAGGAGAGATGACCATGGGAGAGCTGAAAAATGCCGGTGAAGACATCGGTCCAGAGCGTGGGGTGTAGGTTGATGAGGGTGTAGGCGACCGTGAAAAGGTTGACGAAACCTTCTTTGCCAGTTTCTCAGTCTTTGCCTTCAAGTTCTTAGCCATTTGGCTGGCCCTGATCAAGAAGGGCACACTCTTTCCCTCCAGGTGGCGGCTAATTTGACGTGTCGAGAGCATCTTGCCGCAATGAGGGCACGGTTCCAAGTTGACTTCACCATCCTTCTCTTCGTTCTCCCCTTCACTTTCTCCCTCATTTTCCTTTTCGCTGTCAGATTCGACGGATTTTGGAGGTCGGGCCATTGAGTCGACGCAAGTAAAGAGAGAGTAATTTGATTTTGGCGTTTGCCTGTGGATGTGTAGAAGTTGAACGCGACGAAAAGTCAAAGAATTTTGCACAAGTCCGCGACCATGTGACCTGTGGGAACCACGCCGAGAGAGCCTCTCAGCAACGCGGTCGTTGAACGTTGACTTCTTCCCTCTCCGCCCTTCCTCAACGGGTCGTTTTCAGCCATGCCGCCTAAGCAAAAAGATAAAGGTCAGTGACCCTCAAGGCGAATATACTATTTTGGGGGCTAATCCTGAATATGGCTCAGGAACGAAGCCTGCACAGGCAGGTAGCAGGGATACAGCTTCGAAGAAATCAAACGGCAAGAAATCTTCGAAGCAGACCTCTTCTTCCAGCAAGAAGAAAGCCGAACCGTCCCCAATAGACAACCCAACACTTTCCCCACCGCCTCCATCTCAGCCACAGGACTACATAAGCGCAAAGAGGAAAACACTCAAGTCGGGGACCAAATCTCAGGGTGAGCGCAAGAAATCAACACGGGCGAAGCGCCGTAGGTGGTATGAATCTGGTAAGTGCTGCCGTATCTGTTTCTACGAGAAAATGACTGTTGTTCTTCCAGTCAACCTCGAGCCATCGCAGCTTTCACTCTGGGTCCATGAAACCGCCAACAAGAAACTGTGGGAGATAGAAAAGCCTCCTGGACAGCCAGGGGAACCAGGACGAGGCGGGTACACTGTTGTAGATGAGATGCATCTCGACAAGCAGCGCTATGGGAAATTCCACTATCGCGAATACCTCAACATCCTCGTACGTGCAATCTGGTTTACCGGATTCTTCTAACTTGCATTTTTCAGGCTTCTGTTCGCGAGTTTATTGACATAGCACGCCTTCCTCCTTTGGAGCACTTTCGGAACCAGGATCTAGGGAAGGTTGGGAAGATATTTAACATGGTACGTCTTCCATTTATTCCACTACACAAATAATCAAATGACATGTCCAATAAGATGATGATCAGACACCCTTATCTTGCCCGATTCAAGAACAACTGGCCGACTGCTTCGATCATCAAGGGCTGTCTCCGTGGTAAGCGAGCGTCTGCTCGCAGACTCGAGAAGCAGCTTGGAACGATGCCAGCAACAGCTGGTAGTGACAACAAGTCGAGCGATGAGAGTGACTCGGATGCAACAGCTGATGACGAGGATGACCAGCGTAGCAGGAAAGACAGGCACAAGCAGATACTGGACGCATTCGCCGTTGGCTCTAGCAAGACCAAGGCCAAGGCGAAGAATCCCGCCCCAGTCTCCAACGACGACGACGACGACGACGGTGACGATGACGAGCCGACGCCCAAGACCAAGCGCAAGGCGAAGAAGCCCGCCCCACTCTCCAACGACGACGACGACGACGAGCCGACGCCCAAGACCAAGCGCAAGGCGAAGAAGCCCGCCCCAGTCTCTGACGGCGACGACGACGACGGCGACGATGACGAGCCGACGCCCAAGACCAAGCGCAAGGCGAAGAAGCCCGCCCCAATCTCCAACGACGACGACGATGACGATGATGAGCCGACGCCCAAGACCAAGCGCAAGGCGAAGAAGCCCGCACCAGTCTCTGACGGCGACCACGACGACGACGACGAGCCGACGCCCAAGACCAAGCGCAAGGCGAAGAAGCCCGCACCAGTCTCTGACGGCGACGACGACGGCGACGACGACGACGGCGACGAGCCGACGCCCAAGACCAAGCGCAAGGCGAAGAAGCCCGCACCAGTCTCTGACGGCGACCACGACGACGACGACCACCCGACGCCCAAGACCAAGCGCAAGGCAAAGAAGCCCGCCCCAGTCTCTGACGACGGCGACGACGACGGCGACGATGACGACGGGGAGCCAGCACCCAAGCACAAGCGCAAGCAACCCACCCCCGCCGAGGACGACGACAACGCCTCTCCGCCAGCACCCAAGCGCAAGAAGCTCGCGGCCAACCAGGACCAACTGGATGCCGCTCCTCCCTTTCCTCAATCATCCAGCTCTAACTCCATCTTTAGTCAAAGCCGTGCTGTAGCGCTCGCCAGGAAGCCTTTATCCTCTGCCCCAGAAGGAGATGACAACGATGGCGATACCGTGGCTACACCATCACCCAAGAGACCAGCCCCAAGACCACGAAAGGCTGCGGCTCATAGCGACACCGACCTCTTCGACAAAAGAAGCCAACAGCCGTTTCCTGCGTCCTCAAGCACCGGTAGAATCACTCGTTCCCGAGTGTCTCCACACAAAGAGACGCGTGCCCGCAAGACGAAGGGCAAATCGACCGAGGATGAGGAGGGTGACGAGGATTTCGAGGAAGAGCTAACCGCCGGGAAGGGAAAGGGGAAGGCCAAAGGTAAAGGCAAGGGCAAGGGCAAGGAGGATGCATGGAAGGCCATGTTTGAAGAAGATGAGGCCGATTTCTCTGACTGATAAGCACCCTCACCTTCATCCGTTTCAATACCCTATACGTCTGGATCATTACTCTTTTATAACCCGCGTCGATTTGTAGAAGTATCACCCAGTTTATTTGTACCCCAGCTTCGATTTGTAGTATACGGCTTTCTAATGAACACATTTTTTCTGGTTAGAAATGTCTGGCATGCGGATACAAATAACTCGACCTGAGGAGCAAACGCCGCTGGATGATATATGGTACGCGACGTAAAACAACCCATAAAACCGACGAAAAGTGTCCGCAGACAGAAATCCCTGGGCCGATCCAGGGACGGATAGTTAAGACATTTTGCTCATGATTTGTATGCGCCCAACGGATAGTGCTCTCTGTCCGTTGGGCGCATACAAATCATGCGAAACGCCTGGTTTGTATGCGCGAAGTGGGTACATTCCCCCCCTTGCGCGCATCCTTTTGTATTCGTTTCTGGTTTCATAGTGCAAGCCGCCAAGCGACTGCCAGGCGGGGAACGCGATGGCGAAGTAAGTCGGGGAGACCAAAAGATTCGCTACGAGAGCGAGTTGGACGGTTGATACGAGCTTGTGCATCATGCTAGGATCCGTGCGCTGGATGTTCTAAAGTAGAAAGTGGAAGTGAAAGACGTGAAACGAAGTTGTGTTGTGTCGAGACCTTCGAAGCTTTTATACCGCGCAGGGCTACCTCTAGTTTTAGCCCAATAACACAGATATCTTCAGATTTAACGGCAGCACGGAAAGACTTACAGAAGACCGAACAAAATAGAAGCTGTTCAGTGCTCATTTACGGCCATGCTCCACCTTTGAGAAGAAATGAGGCGACTCACCTAACCCGCCAGCCAATCAGCAAGTCCCCAATACCTCAGACACGACCGGCATCTTCATGGCAATGTACCCCAGTGATCACTCTACGGAGTATCCTAGTGATTTGCTTCATCTTCGTTCCGCGTCTCCGGCGCAGTACTGACCACTATCAAAGCTACGAGAGACGTCGTTCGGTCGCCAAAATCGAAGGTCACCACTGCCAGACGCCCTAAAATCAGTGGTACGACGAATTCTGAGGATGATCTGTGACGTTCGAAGAGAAATAGAGGACAGATGCTTCGAGCTTCTCTTCCCTTTCGATCCAGTAAGAGCGACTCTGTTGGGTACTCATCCCCATCAACGCTGCGGAGAACGCCTGAATGGAGTAGCATCACAGAAGCTTCAGAGGCGTGACGACGATAGTAGAAGCAGAGAAGCAGTAGGGTAGCTCCAAGGTGCAAGATACCTTCCGCTCACCCGAGAAGATAAGGCGACATAAGTGAGATAAATGGGCCAGCGGCATTGAACGTTGAACAGCAGAACAGGTTTTGTTTATCGTAGTAGCACATGGAACCCTCTGATTATCCTCTGCGCTGGGGTATCGAAGACCTGGAATTACGGGCACCCTAGGTCGACTGCCGAGACACCAGTCCCTTTGGTTCTGGGAGTTGGAAGGAATAATTATGCAGCTGTAGTCGAGAATCGAATTTCATGCCAGATGCATTGACAAGGCTTCAGCAGTGAGGACAGACTGGCAGCAGACGAACGGATTCAAGCACTTGGTCCAGAAAAGAGGGTTTTACCAGCGGCAGATATAAGAGGACGGCGTCTAGAAATGAACGCCGTAGGTTGGAATCGGACAGACCTCAAGCCCCAAACTTCAAGAAGAGCGACAGCGAAATTGCGTTTGTTTGCAATAGAGGTTGATGACAAGCACACGGATCAGTGATTAAGTTCTCGGTCCGTAAAATTGTGACCCCTATCTGTACTCCTCTTGAGTCTCGACGCTGCAGCCACTTGAATTCGAATTTCGAACCGACCATGATGCCTCCAGCGAGACGTGAACGATCTGAAAGCTCTTTTCAAGATGTATGTGGCATAGCTATGGATTTAGGTTAGGACTAATAAGCTGACCCCTCGTGACGGCAGTTAATTCGACAGGTTAGACTCGGCTCATTCGAACACGCAAAAACCCTTCTACTACATGACTGGCCTTCGCCTAGCTATGGAGATAGACTCGCCAAAGCACTTGACACCCTGTTCTCACTCGTTACTCCTGCCACCGATATCGACTACCTTTTGCCTCGTGATGCCTCAAACATCCGCCTCATCAGACGGTCCATGGCCCTCGACGGCCTGGGAAAAACAAGCAAAGCTGTTTTGCAGACAGGCAGCGATGAAATCATTCTCCAAGTATCCCCCATCGTCATCAGAAACATTCCCTCCGTCATATCGTGGCTGAAGTACGTGTCACGTTCAGACGCCTCCGGAACTCAGGCTGTCGCTGAAAACAGGAACCGGGTCGCCGCTTCCGTATGGAACTGGATGAGGTTCTCCAAAATCGACAAGGAACTGCAAGCCGCCTTGGTTACCTCGCCGTATACAATGGAACTCGTTCTCGCGGTTCTGACCTCGGATGCGGACGGTGACATTCTCGATACGACACGCAGTTTCGACAGGCAACTCCATCGTCTGTCGATTTTCCTGGGATTCCTCCATACCTCCCTGATCTACGACGACTCTCGGAAGATTCTCCTTGACGAGATACAACTTTCCCCTAACCGCTTCAAAAATATTTTCCTTACCAACGTAGAAAGTTGCATCACCACCCTACACGCCCTGTGGATTCACGCTCTTACGGACACGGAGCTGTTACAAGCGCCTCAGCACCTTCGAAGCTCCCTCTCCTACCTCTCTGCCGACAAACGGTTTAATTCGAGGCTTCGTCGAATGGGTAACCTTCGAAATTACTTCTCCCTCACGAAATCGATGTATTCGGGCGGGAAAACTAGGGCGGAGTACCTGAACTTGGGTCGCTCAGCCATGACCATTATCAAGTGCGCCAGGCACCACAGAAGATATGCCCCGCAGATTGTCCTCGATCTACTAGAAGACGGTTTGTTCCAATCGCTGATCGAGGGGGTTGACTACTTCCACAACGACCGGGAACAGGATACTCTAAAAAAACCCTGTCGACATTGCTGTCCGCCAACTACTATCCTTTACGGGCTACCTAGGATCTACTACCGACTTCAAATGGCTTTCAACGAAATCAAAATCGGTAGTGATACCGAATATTGGAAAGGTAGACGTTATGAAGACGTGTCCGACGTCACCGTGTATCTCGACCTCATGAACGTGCTCTATGGTTTCGGGTTTGGCAGGGCACCTCCTCTCACTCAGGATCCAAGATTCTGCTACAACATCGCGGTTCGTTTTCCCTTACATTCATTGAATACCTTCGATGACCTCTCCGAACATAGCACTGCGCTACTGGATATCACCCTTATATGGCGGGTACCAAATGGTGCTCTGGTTGCAAATCCGTGGCTTACTGCTCGCGCGAATGCCAGAAGCAGGATTGGAAGCGTGTCCATCGAGAGGAATGCAAGCTATTGGCTACTCAGAGAAAGAGTACGTGGTTTCCCGATGGACGAATTCAGGCTAGAAGCTGATTTGACCAGGTATGGACAAGGAGCGAATCCATGTACCCGTTTTATACCAGGCCCATTGCCTCCGCACTGCCCACAGGTTGCTAGAACAGAACCCAGAAACCTTCGGGGACTTTGACGAACGAAGGGCGGAGCAGCACCCAACTCTCCCAAGAGCAGACGTCATCTCTGTGTACGGATCAGCCTGGGGATGCTATTCGCAGGACCCGTGCCTCACGATCGCGCAGTACCGGGAACTCGCAGAGAACTTCCATCCGTGGTCATCTCGTCGATTCCATTCCATCGTCTCCACAGTTCACGAGCAGAGAGACCTGGAGTTGATGTCATTCGTGTTTCCGTTTGGGAGCTTAAGGTTACATCTTCTATGCCTTGTTCGAAGGGCCTACTCCCAACCGGTAAATTTCTTCCTGGGGATGGGTCAGGTGGAGTGAGTTTTTATACTTTAGCTTTCCGGGTCTTTCAACTGACGACAAATTTTCTGTGAGGTAGGCTTCGCTAACAATAGAATCTTCGTTTTTAGTTCGATCGAGAATAATGATTAATCAGACGTATAAGTTCGACGCTACAGACATCGCCACCCCTGGTGTCTATTTGACAATGGTGGAGGCGGCATCCGGAAAGCTTTGACGCGTTGCGTCGCCTCACAGACGTCCTTTTTTGCAGCCACAAATTCTGACAATTGAGTCCGAACAATCGTCAATGCGTCAAAGCCCTGATTATGATATTCCGTGGATCCTCAGCCTCTGGTATCACAGAGTTCAATGGGCAGTGGCGTTCAACCGTCGCGCTGCTTTTCCAACTTGGCCGTGAGATTGTGAGACGCGAAGGCCGGACAGTTACCATTGTTTGATCTACGCCACCATTCGCAAAGGGAATGTTGCTTGAATTAAACAGTGTGACTATTGTCATCGGCCTCGGAAGATAATGGTCATTGTACTGACAATGGTCAGCTTCCAAGCTGGTGGAATCTGGACTCTGTCACTCCCTCCGTGGCTAGACTATAAAAGCCCGCCCGACTTTACAGTAAGGACCCTCACCGACGCACCCATCGCCTTTGAAAAGTATCATCCAACCGCCACAATGTCTGCAATTCCACACAGGGTAAGTCTCTTCGCATCTTTCGTTACATTCTGAGTTCAATACTAATGCCCTCCTCTTTTAGCTCATCTTGAGGGCGAGAACGAATAACGCTGAAGCCATTATGCAGCTAAGAGCACAGATAACTCCGAGGAACTACACCATACAGGCCTTGGAGGCCATCCTAAGTCACTTTGACATTGAGCGTCTTCCAAAGGATACCTCGCATTCAAGCTTGCAAAGCCTGTTTAGCGTGAAGCCAATGATTCCCCTCGTCCGATGTCTCAGTGCTTGCCTCGACAGATGCTACTTGAACGATGCATTAGGGGCCACGGCTACACGAGTCCACGACCGGATCACCGGTATTCTTACCTGGACAGCAGTGTGGCTGAAGCACCTGCTTGCCCCAGAGAGCAACACCAATTCTGTCGCAATTGAAGACGCTTGCAATGTCGCATGCTATATGGTGATCGTATTGCTTGGGCTCAGTACCGAAGTCGATGAAGTCGTCCTGGCGTCTCATGCCATGTTTGAAATTGTCCTCAAGTCTTGGTCGAGCGCATATCATCTCGCCTTATCAATCACCGCGTCCGACCTCGTTCCAGAAATAAGCGGCCACATGGCAGTCCTCACAGCCATAACCCGACGATGCATGAACGAAACGCAGACAGAATTTGTCACTCAAGATTTCATCAACTATCTCACTTCCCGACCAGGCCGCGTGCGTGAATTTGCTACTGGGTTCGTAACCCACTTGTCGAAATTGCGCGAGTGGATTCAATCCGAGTCCAACAGCGAGCGGGCGAAACTGAACAAAAGACTGCGCGAGACGATGCAAACCTTGGTCGATCAGCACTTGCAACTTTTGTCAGCTGTTCAGCTCCGTTTGTCCCTAGTCCCGACGATCTACAGCGCCCTTCGCAAGGCCGGAGTTCTGAGGGCATCGGTCAAAGTCCTTCACGCCATCGTATCCACGGGAATTGGATGGGAAGATCCCTTCGAGGCTATACTATTCCTCGTCAACACACTCCGAATGTCGTACCTTCCATACCCTCAGAGTCCGCTTTCTGGCTTAGAGGAGGTACTCGAGGCCGGAATCCACGATGTGATGGAGAAGGTCTCTGTGGCAGCAGAGAAATGGACCAACGAACGTGACTATTACATGGTCGTAGACGCCCTGAGCTACTTCGTGAAAGTGTCCGGTGCACACGCCAATCAGACCCGTGGAGTGAAGGCCCTGATCCCGGCCATGAAATCCCTGATGAAGCATAAAAATCCAATCATCCAGCGTTTCCCAAACCTCTTCGCCTCTGGATTCCGAAACTTCCAAATGCGGTTGGATGTCATGGGGAGAATCAAAGACTCCCCTGCCGCCTATGACTTTTGCAATAACGAGACACACAGAAGTACTGTCGGCGCGGGCGTGGACCCGTCGACCCAGAGGAACCATAGAGCCTGTTCGCAATGCCGTTCGGTCTTCTATTGTAGCAGGGAGTGTCAGAAGGAGGATTGGAAGCGACGACACAAGTCCGAGTGCCCCTCTATCCGCTCTTGTTCAATCGGTACGCCCAGTTCTTTTTTTCCAATTTCTTGCCCCCGATTACTAACCAGATCACTTATAGGACACCAGCACAGCGAAATCATGTACTCCTATCGTCACCGAGTTTTTTCACTTCAACTGGCTCTGAAAATGTTCCAGGAGCAGATTTCCAACACGATTTTTATTCTCCCCGACGACGACCCGTCAGCAGCCTACGAAATGGTTAACGTTTTTCACGATGGAGGCACCTTTCAACGAAACGGCTCGAACAGCTCTTATTGGTTCTTGGAGCACATTCTCGGTGACAAGTTGGACAATCTAGAGATGTGCCTGGGTACTCGACAGCGCATCCGCTCATTGGCAGAGTCGGTTGCCGAGAAAGGTGAAAGCGGGAGGATGTCGAGACTTGTCTTGGCCTTCTTGTCCTACAATCCAGGGTACACCTTTGTGTTGGCTATGGAGGTCGAAGGGAACCCACAAATAAGGAAATGGACCCATGTTCAACATGTTGCAAGCATCTGGTAAGTTCATTTCTCTCTTTCTATTCGCATCTATACCTGATTACTGACTGGGTGGTCCTTGACTATTTACAGTCCCAAATTTAGCGAAGAGTGGCTCTGCAACAAAACCGTAAGGACGGCAAAAGACTCGACCAGATTTGCGTTTCCTCTGGATCGTAGGGGAAAGACGGAAATACTATAACTTTACCTTTAATAGACCCCTCCGAGTTGTTCCAATTGTATGTTCCAATTGTACCATTAGTAGTGAGATTGAATAGAATGAACGCTATAATAAGATCATAAGGTCCTGTAACCACTGAGAGGCGTACTCACAGGACTCGTGCATAGCAGTTGCAATGCCAGGAATGTAAAGTCCGGACGTTGAAAACCGGCGAACAACGCGAATCCCCCTTGCCAGCTGGTCGATCGCCATGGATGTCCTCCAGTCAAGCATACCGCAAGCAGGACCTTCACACCATCGAAAGAGCGCAAGTCCGTCGATTCGTCACCAGGGCGATGTCTGGTGATGGAATCGATTCCATGTATCTATATAACACTCAATGTGTCGTCAGAATTTCGAAGTAGCTTGTCTCAAAGCCTGCTCTTACCGGGGTACCCCCTAGCGTTCGGTACAAGAAACTCCTTCCATGGAGGCTGTCGGGCGTCCGGCAATAGTCACAGGCCACCAGAGACGCGCAATTTATGCCAAATTACTTTGGGCAGGCCCATGGGTCGAGGGCTGACGTCTTTCAACTAAAGAAGCTGAGAGAAGCGCTGGAATTATGTGCTTTGGCCTACCACGATACGAGTAGGAATGGCGCCATCCTAAGCGCCCGTGGTGCCTCACCGCCCAAAGGTTCTGGCGAATCTTCTCCAACAATCCTTTGACTCTCGGAATACCATCGGATCGCCTCAAATTTGCAAGCCCACAGCCCTCGTCGCTTGCTGGCTGAGTCTCCAATGCCCTGGTTCTGGATTGTGATGACATCAGTTCTGTGGTGCTAAAAATAGTTCAGGCTCTCCTCGACGAATAGCCGTTCTAGCCAAGTAGGTCCGTCTTTCAATTCCTCGAGGTGGGGCGTCTATATTTTTAGACGCTAGAGCCTACTACTGTCGCACGGACAATTGTGACCCCCTCCAATACCCTCTCTTTCGTTGAAATGGCGTGCTATGGTCTGCTATGGTTTGATGTAACCCATGACTCACAATCATTTACCCCGGATCTTGGCGAGACTCTGAGCTAACTGTTCTCGGAAGCATTTCGAATCAATTTTTGGCCCCACCCCGTTCCATCGGTGAACTGCAGTTGCAACTCCTTCGGTCGAACGTTGGCTGTCCTTCTTCTTCTTCACCCAAACGTGACTCGAAGGGACATCTCAAGGCCGCTGACTTTTGCTGCCTGGACCTTCGTCACAAACTACGACAAGGCCATTCCCCTGTTTCCTCCGATTCATTAAAACCGGCTTAGCGGCTTGCCAGCTTGTCACAAAACGTCTCCGCGCCCCCAGGTTAGATTCCCCGGGTCTTCCTCTTGCTTCCACCATCGCCGTCCTCGCATTGTCAAGTAGAACAATGGAATCGAAGTCTGGAATCATCGCGCCAGCAAACCATCCTACAGCACCTAGAACACGAAACCTCCTCGGTAGACTCCCAAAATCGATCAGTAGATGGCTGGGTTATAGACCGACTGCACCACCACCATCGCCGAACTATGTTATCTGGATCTGGTCCTTCATCGGAGCGTTCTGCGGTCTGTCGATCGTACAGGCGCTCTTCAGTCGAACGCCTCACTTCATAGAAAAGGGTGTACCGCCCATCATCGCTAGTTATGTGAGTCGTTTCGCCTTCGTTGCCGTTATCGTCTTTTACTGATCTCTCTGTTCTAGGGAGCTTCAGCAGTCTTGATTTATGGTGTCCTTGATGGACCTCTAGCCCAACCCCGCGCTCTCGTCGGCGGTCACTTCGTGGGGGCACTCATCGGTACATGCATTTCGAAGCTGTTCGGGCTTCTTTCGGAGGAGAAGTTCGAGGAGGTTCGTTGGGTAGCTGCGAGTTTGGCCTGTGCGACGGCGATCGTGGTCATGCAAATGACTGCCACCACACACCCTCCAGCTGGTGAGTAGTATTCCCAAAATCTCCTTTGAACTCTCGGGAAGTTTACATTCCTTGCCCGCCAAACAGGTGCGACCGCATTTCTCCCCCTCCTGGACCCATCTATCCGGGCCATGTCTTGGTACTACCTTCCTGTTATCCTCCTTACCTCTATCGTCTGCCTCGCCGTGGCCCTCCTACTCAACAACATCCAGAGACGCTACCCCGTTTTCTGGGTTGCCCCAGTCGTAATGCCGCCGCCGCCGCCGTCACAGCCCAACACTGTAGGTGACACAACCCCCAATTCATACGACGGAGCCCCAGGTTCGGCGGAAATTAGGAGGCCACCAATCGCTTGGGGAACGTCCGCCACCCCAACCTTGACGAGTACCTTGGACGTCAACAACATGAAGAAGGATCGGAGTCCAAGTAGAGACAGGCGCTCCGAGAGCGCTGTTAGCTTGGCCATGGCGTGATTGGACGGTCGTTATTGAAGGCCTCTATTTTTCAAAAAGTCACGGTGAAGACCCGAAAGGTGATGCTCGAAGACAAATTTACATGTGACAGTCTGTTATTAGATGCAGCGTATCAGGTAAACCAGACAGTAGACACCATCGCACTGACTTGGACTTTGCCCTTGAGACCTAGTAGATGCATGTACGACCTCCTACTATACAGTAGAGAACACGACATATACGATTCGCCTTCCGCCGATGTCAGAGTCGGCCTATTTATACATTCCATTTTCCAATTTCCTTTCCCGCTTGTAAGCCACGTCAGATCTCTCCTCGCAGGAAGCACCTGCGCTTTCTTTCAAACCCCTCTGCATTTCTCGCCCACAGGTGTGAGCGCAGACTTTCGCCGGCAATCACTGACATGCCCTCGTCAATTAGTCGCTGTGGATCAGAAGAACGACTCGCCCAAATGTGACCTTTGTATCCCTTTCTGTGGATGGGGATTCGAAAGTTAGTTCGACATGGGTCATGGTCACATGCCTGTCGAATTCGAAGACGCCGAGTATGTCTTCGGATGGATTATTGAAAGTAATCGGGAGGCACTATTAGCGTTTCAGAGTGCTGTAACTCCTACGCACAAACATTATTATACAGTTGCAATCGTTCAAGATGAGTACAGTAGCACTGGTTCGTGAACGATCGACTTTCAGGATAGGGTCACCCACCCATTTGGGAATGATCCCGAATGTTAAAGCTCCGCTCGAAACCGGAAAGCCCCTCTAATTCTAATTAGACTCGTTCGTCGGAGGTTTCGCTCCAACCAACAAGGCATTGGGAAGTCCACGATGCCCAAGCTTTCTGGAAAGGTGAGTCCACAGGTATCATTACGAAATTTTAGTCTAATGGTCCTCGCTAGCTCATCCAAGAAGCGAAAAATGGAAGTCCATCTCGTCTTCGCGAACTTGCTTCCGCCCTCCAACCCAACAACTATGTGGTAGACGCTCTCGAGGCCTGCACCGCCCCTTTGGTCCGGAACGACGGGCTATCTCATCTACCCTTATCCATGTCTGAGCTTGACCTTCGAATTGCCGCACTTTCCTGTTTGAATCGCGTAGCCGAGGTCTGTTCGCAAGGGGTTAAACGCCCACTCAAAGAATCGACCATCGCGCGACTTCTAGAGATTATGGGGGCACTGGTGGAGGGTATAGTCGCGACTACGGTTGCCATGCTCAAAGCAGGTGATCCTGACCTTAATGTCTTGGGCGACATAGCGGATTCATTGACCGGGATGCTAAGCCTGGATCCCCGATTGGAAACTATCCTCCGCTCCTCATCCGACATAATGAGGCTTACCTTGATCATCTGGATCCCTCATGCAACCACCGACGGCCGACTTATGATTGACCTCAACCACCAGGGCGTCATGAAATGGACGATGAAACTCCTTGAGGGCCCGCACAACCTCTGGGACCCGATTTTGGATTCCAGGGTGAAGCTGAAGATGTTCTGCAATACCCTCCTCATCCGCGTTGCACAGCTCGGTGGGTTGTGTCAGGACCCGCGCTTCTCGACGGACACAGTCGTCGACTATGCGAAAACCATTATGAAGATCACAGAACTCGTCCGTCGGAACCCAGCCATCCTCGCACGCCTTCGGAAAGAAGGGTATCTTCGCAGCTGGACGCGAACCATCGTGGCCCTGTACCCCCGCTTTAAGCGACACGAGATGATGCTTCCCTTGGTTCGGTCCCAGCTGAACAACATCTGCGCGCCGTACAGCCCGCCTTTGAAGAATCTGGCAGAGGCTCTCTCAGGGGGCTTGATGGCCGTCGTCTTGGATCTGCTACGACAGACACCTGTACCCCCGAGAGGCAGTAGGGAGAAGAGACATGGTCACAATCTGTATAACCTATTCCTCCCCTACGTGTGGTACCCTCGGGGTCTCCTAACCCTCGGCCATTCGCTCGGGAAAACGCCAAACATAGGCACCATTGAAGATGAAATACGTGGAAAGCGTCATCTTGCTTTGGATTGGATTGGATGGATGGGGTTGCAGTTCAATGGAAAGCAGGCGTTGGAAGGGATTAACAAGGCCTCGTGCACTGCGATCTGCGATAACGAAACTGTAAGCTCTGGCTTCACTGTGCTTTTCGCTAAAGATGATGCCCACCAACACTCCAGCACCGGACTACCTGCGTCAATGACAACGAGCTGACTATTCAAGGGTTCAAGATGTGCTCCGGCTGCCATTCGGTATGCTACTGCAGCCGCACCTGCCAGAAAGAAGATTGGAAGAGGCGGCATCGGAACGAGTGTTCAGACATGCGTATCAGCTATCTGGGTAAACTTCCATTCTGCTATATACCGCGACGTCAAGGACTGATCTTATGAACCAACAGACCGACGAAAAAGGAAGATACACTATACACCTACAGATCGGCTTTATCAAATCATACTCCTCGAAGAGATCTATGACACTGAAGCAGAGGAGGCCGCGAAAATGACGGCAAAGGCTTATCCTGGATTTCACCCCCGCGAGTTGATCAGTTTCAGGAACTGCACCGGGGGACAAGCCGGTGCTGGTCACGCGTGGATACCAACTCCAATCGACAGGTACATTCGCGACCAAGGGTCTACATTCGTCGATGATTGTATTCATACCAAAAAGCGAGTGGATGACTTCATCGAGGAGCATAGGAAGGAGAGAAAGGAGAAGAGAGGGTTGATGGAGACAGCCTTTACTTGGGATCTAGATACGTTTGTCTGTCTCTTCACGGAGCACGAACTTGACGAGAAGAGTGGGAAGTGGAAAATCATACGAAGCTTAGTTCGATACGGGTAAGTTTCCCGTTAAAGTGGATACTGGATTAGAAGCTCATTGGTCTCATTAGGGGGCAGGAAATTCCAGAATCCCAAAAGTGGAGATATAATCGTACTTTTTGAGACGCTCGAGTAAGTCGTTGGAGCTCCACGAACGAGAGAGGGGAATGGCATTGTTTCCTTCGACCCGAGGCGGCGTATTTGTGGACCAACACTATTATGATTCGCAAACGCAGCTAATATATAAAGTCCATGGTAGTATCAATGCACTGGAAACTAAAGGGAATAAAACGAATGTATCTATTCAATGGTACTCAGTTACGTCCGTAGGGGAACACCTGGGTGCAGACAGGGGTACCGCTCTCGTCCTTGGGCAAGGACTCGAAGAAGAACTGGAGGTTGATATTGAGATTCCTCCTCAACACGCCCTTGGGGTTGGGGTACAGTGCCTTGAGCGTCTTGTTGACAAAGTTCTCGTAGAACCCGCAGAAATCGAGAAGACTGCCCAAGCTGTCATCCACCGTGAAGTTGTTGACGCCTCCGACGTTCCTTCCTGGTTGGAAAGGGTGAGCGAGGAAGATGGCTCCCGCATCTCCAGCAACAGGCGCTGCAGGCCTGAAGAAATCAGGAGGGTACATCATGTCCCTGAAGAAGCTTTCGGCTGTGGCCATGTCGAGCTGCCCTGCTTCGGCCCCTGTCTTTCGCCCATCGACGAAGAAGAGAGACGGGAACGAGGCTTCCGCGTAGGCGGTGAGATGGCGCAGTCCGACGAGAGAGAACTCGGGGTTGGTTGCAATGGATTGTTGGATGCGGTGGAAGCGAAGCTCCCCAGCGACGGTCATGTTGAAGAAGCCGTTTCCGTACACCGCGCTGAAATTCTTGAACTATAGTGGTATAACAGTCGTCAGCAAAGAGAGGCTCAACCTTATAACTCGAGGTAATTTACCTGGTCAAACAGCTCCTGGTTGAAGTTGTGATTATCGCCGAAGAAGGCGTCGCCTCGCGTCAAACTGGCATCTCCTTCGAAGGTGCCGTGGTTGTTGAGACCTCCGACGATGGCCGGGGGAGGAGGATCGGGGCCTGTCTTGCGCGTCTTCTCGCCGATACTGAGCAAGTCAGTGACAAGGTTGCCGTCGACGAGGTGAGCGACATAGGTCGTAAACCTAGCCAGCTCGTTCTCCATGTTGAAACCTACAATCTATTCAGTACAACGGCGAATGAGATACTCGACCGGGGACTGACCTTCTTGGACGGCGTCAATGATCTGGGATGGGCTGGCGACACCGTTGCGGGGGAGGTACTAAATGATGCGAGATTAGTTCACCACAATCTGAGAGTTCACGAATGGCGTACCCCATGGGAGGCTAGGGTGTTCAATCCAGGACATGGTCCACGGACGTCGCCCTTTTTGAGAGGCTTGAATGGATGGGCCTTGTCGTTCACGAGCTTAGCGCCAGTAAAGGCCGGAGGGCCAGGTGGAGGTGGAGGAACGCGATGCTTCAGCATCGGCATAACTTCGTCCAACTGTCGCTCCGATAGCCCGCCCAAAGATTGCCATGCCGGAAAGGCGTTGGCGAATTGACTTTGCGAAGCCAGTAAAGTGACCAAGGCAAGCTTGACTGTGGCGAACAGACCGTTCATCTCGATGTGGGGGATAGGAAGAGAGGAGAAGAGGGTGTATGATATCCTAACGACTTCATTGGCTGGTCAATTTATACCTTTTCCCGACAGTGATGGGATTAATCCCCGCAAAGTACCCAAGGACAGCTTTCCCTGGCCTTCGATCCAAACGCGTACACGGGACGACGGAAGTAACGCGGTAGGCATGACAAAATCAAAGTTGTTAAGCATCTTATGCCGAGAAGTTGTGAGCAAATGGGCACCTCACCTACGAATCAGGTTCGGCATGTCTGGTTGCCCCAATCTTTTCGGAAAGAACGCGTGGCTTCGCTCGCCCCAGATTCAAGTTGGCATGTTTCTCCGGCGCAGTAGTTTGAAGGAGCTGCAACCTATTCAGTGCGGTGCGAGTCCATGAAGCCCGATATGTCGATTTAGCAATCCGCAGGTCGATGAGCGCGTCAAGTATCTGATGGCGCAGCCGTTGCTGTGAGCAGGCTGGGTTACATGCTTCATGGTTGCTGAATAGTCGGCGACGCGAAATGTGCGGGTCGACGATGCCAAAGATGTGTCTGATGATAGTACCTTGGAAAGTGATCCGGCGAAAAAGCTTAGAGGCGTAAGCAATCGTCGTACGAGGCGGAGAGGTTGGATCTCGCAGCAGCAGAGAGCAGAATCACAGGTGCTGATTCAAGACGCAGAGAACCCTCGAGAGAAGACGAGCTCTTCCGTTCATCCGATGTTAGCACATCTATCAACGAGAAGAAGACTTATTGGGCCTGTCCCTGAGGTTCTTGTGGTGGCTCTGCCAATCGAACAAGGGCTGTGTGGGAGCGTGTCTGCCGTCAGATGGTGTGCCAGGAGTCGTGTTGGTTCTCTAAAGTCGCAGTCGCAGCCAGGGTCCTTTACGAGATGAATGGAGGAAACATAGACCATTGCAAACCATTGCCGGGCAGTACAACCCGACTTCTCAGGAAGAGGCTGTGAGCGAGTATGGCGAACCGCAGTTTTAGCAAATACCTCCGAGTTTATTGAATGACCGAACTTACAATCCTCTCTAGACGTGATGGATGGAGATGAAAGTGGTTTAAATCGAGGCTATCCCAATGCACTCAAGAAGGAGGACATGCTCGAAAGAGGGATTGGGGGAGCGAGAGTGGGGGGCAAGATGTGACCGGGCGGTCCCGTTGCTAGCATGATCCGACTCCCACGGTTAACGTTAAGCGCCCACTGTTCAGCGCACTGGGACTGCCCAGAGCCGCAAAGTTGTAAAAGGTATTACAGGAACGGATAATCAGTATCCGAACCATGGACATCATAGCTTACCGTAATTGATCTAATGTCTACGTTCAAGTCGTTGCGCGTGAGCGACTGAAATGTCCGAGTGATTACACTTGGGAAGCCGCACCGAGAAGCCTGGTACGATGGAACGCATGCTACTCGTCTCGAGCCTATTTGGCCACCGCCGAGAAGCCTGCTTTCCTTCAGTGGCAAATTGCCAAGGTACTTGAACTTCTTCGTCGTGAAACCCAATGCTACCATACAGGGCGTCAGCATATCTGAAATCCATTGGGTCATTCTTCCAGGGTATCTTGGTTAGGCGTATGTTACAATAGAAAGATATAAATATATATCCAGTTCACGAGCACTGTCCGCCAGCCACGTTAACCTGCCTCAAACCGGAAATCTCGGAATCCTTAAAGATCTTGACCTTCTCTTGGGGAATGTCCTTGAAGATTTCACCGAAGCGCTCAGCAGAGTTGTCCGCCCCCTCGACTTCACGGATCCAAATGCACGCAATGGCACCGGGTCCATGTTTGGCGAACCTATACGAGCAATGCATGTCAGTAAGAATGAAGGATGGTGTAAGAGAACAACGACTTACGCAGCAGCGTAGACCTCAGGATCCTTCTGGGTCGAGTCGCCAATCAAAAGCCACTTCTTGTTGGGATACATCTCCTGCAACCTATCGACGACACCAGTCTTGTACTCGAATGTGTTGCTGCTTGTAATGAAGTCGATGACCTCGGGGATATCGACGATCGTGAGATTCTGGGTGAAGAGAGGACCCTTGGCGCCAGAGAACGAAGTGTCGATGAAATCGTTCAAGAAGGGGTAGAGTTGGTAGGGGCTGGCGGTTAGGTAAGCGAAGGTGGGGTTGTTAAGGGAGGTAGCGAGAGCGCTGTAGAGCTCGGGCATTCCGGGGATTGGTTTGGGCTCCTCGAGGAAGGTGGATTTGACGAGAGCCAGCTTGTCGAGGACGTTCGAAATCTTGATGGTATCGTCGATGTCTGCGATGGACTACGGTTACGCTTAGAACTTCAAGACATCGGAAATGGTTACGCACCGGAGATGACGCCAAAGCCAGAATCGGGCGAAGCGAAGACAGAGGATTTGACAGTCCTCGAATCCAAGAAACCGGGAGTGAGGACAGCCTCAAGCTCCCCCGCAGCCTGGCAGTTGCCCAAGCTGACCACACCATTCACCAATCCCAGGTCCCTTCCATCCGTCTTGGGGAGCTTGACCTTGACGGGTCCACCAGCGCACCCATTAATCGTCAGCTCGGCCGCCTTGCCAGGAAGACCAATCGCAGTCCAAATCTTGATCCTCTCTTCGAGGATGCTGAGACTATTGCCGATCTGGATACCGAGCGAGTTGATGAACGCCGTTACAGCTGCGAGGTCAATACCGAGGTCGGGAGTGCGGAGGGAGACGAAGGCCTGGATTTGGAGGAGGGTGTTTGCGGCGTTGGATGGATCGGGATAGGCTAGGCCGTCGAACAGGAGGACTTCGTTGAAGATGTTGGGCGAGGATCTGGCAGTGACGCTGCTAGACTGGGGGATTGACAAAGGACGAGCGTAGACCGACGCGGCGGCGGCGAGGGGTACGACCAGACGTTGAACCTTCATTTTTCAGGTTGCGCAAGCTTGAAGGGAGTGTAAAGGGTATCTGAAAAGGAGTGGAGGTTGGAAAACAGGGATTTCTGCTTTGGATGGATGAATATGGATCAGACAGACAGCTCGGGTCTGCAGTCTGGAGACACTCACTTTGGAGAGGACCGCCGACTTGCGACAGTGAAGGTGGTAGTTTATCACAAGAACACTTGAGAACCACGCGTTAGCGATGAGTTTAGCTTTTATATCATTGTAGCCAATCGGTAACCGCCGTCAAGCGCACGGGCAGGGAGACATATGGTCGCTCGGGCTGATGGGAGTTTCTTCGGTCAGCTGAGGCGCAAACAATGCTGAAAGCTTCTCAGCCTCCCCTGCGAATCCCCCTTAACGTGAACTTTGAAGGATCCTGCCACAAGTCGAGCGTTGTTTTTATCACCTGCCAACTCGCCAACCATGGGGCAACCAATATGGGGAGACGAACGTTGTACGGATTTCGGGCGAGGTGGAAAGCCAGACGCTGTCGGTGATCCTGGGTGAAATTGAACGTTCCATTTCAAGCACAAAAAGAAGACGTGAGGACGTGGAGACGGTCCTCGATTGGTTGTGATGATTGGTGGTCAAGGAAGAGCATGCATTGGGCAAAGGTTCCGAAAACCAGCGAAAAACCCACGTTTCCCGTCCCATCATGCCATCAAGGCTGGGCATCAAAACGGATTGGCACCCAGGCGATGTTCAAGGCTCGACGGGGAAGCACAGTGTTCGATCCTGATAGGCGCGACGGTTTCCGGAGTGGGAAGCGTCATGAATGGTCTGAGAAACGTATACATTTTCTTTCTCCTGGTATTCACTTCCATCAAGATAAATAGGGTTTGTACTTAAGAAACTATACAACACGGCCAGCTTTGGTAAGTTCCTCTCCAACTCGACTGGTGAAAGAGTTCACAGCATTGGACCCACTGATCGTACTGCTGTGAAAGGCAATCGGCTGTGACAAGCGACTTTCGGGATGGATGGAGAACTCAGTCTCATCATGACGGACGAAGGATCTCCCGGTGGTCACTCTGAAAATGATCAATTGAGGTGCGAGAGCCTGCTCGTCGAGTAATTAAAGCGCATCGCGATCAAACCATACAATCCACTCACCGCGAAATTGGTGTAGAAAATGCCAACAACCATGCTGGCAGTGAGGAATGGCAATGCGGATGCCGGGGACTTTGTCACGTAAACTAGTTGCAGGACTCCGAAGAGGGCGAACAGAAAGCCGAACAGGGAGAGTGGAAGTGCTGATTCAATAAGGATCCTCGTCACGGTCCGGTACACCCCGACATTGCGACCAGGAAGGGACTTCGAGAAGTCCCGGTGCGCGCGAATGAGTTTGTATGCGATGAGGGATGTGGCAGTGACATTGGTTAGGAATGTAAACATCGAAAGCGCGGAGTTGATCTTGCGAGTGATCCCGATTTGAGTGAGGTCGCGTAGGGTTATGCCCGTGGAATCGCGAGATATGGTTGAGATTGTGAGGCCTGAGAAATGTACATGAAACATTCAGTCTGTACTCTGGCTGCTAAAGGTGACGAGTTCAGGTCTGACCTATGAATGAGAGATACATTACACCTGGTAAGACGATGACCCAGGGTGCGTTTTGCCAGATAATGTAGCATCTGTAAAGCTATTTCTCAGGCAGAATATGTCGTTGTAGATATTATCACTATACATAATCAGAGTACGCACCAAGAGACCGTCCCCAATCGTCATATAGAGGTACATGAGTACCTGACTCGTGACTTTCGACCAATGGGTATACATGACGTTCTCCGCTTGCCTGAACTCCTCGCCAGGTCCACTGAAATACATGGTCGTAAATTGACGATACAACTCAAATGCACTTGTCAGGGCGAGCAGAGTCAGGATGAGGAAGCTGATCGCGATGTAGGGCAGGCGTCCTTTGCGAAGGTCGCGAGGCGTTTGAAGGAAGGCAGATAGCCCGTAGATGCACATGAACGACTGAATGCCTGAACGGGGATAGCATCTTTAGCTACTTTAGTGATCGCGTTGGGAAACTTACCGACGTTGAGGACGGTCACAATGCTACTGACGTACATGGTGATCGCGCCATTGACTACCCATTTGTTCCAGAATTCCTCAGAGTCGGCCATGGTTCACGATGCCCAAGGGTCTGAGTAGAGTAGTAGTCCACGCTCTCTGAAAGCATAGAGAAGCGCTTTTATATCCGATTCTTTTCCCCCAGTATCTTAGAGAAGCAAACTGCGAGTAGGTAACCTATCGCTACTGGATCACATTCGAAGCAATGATCGAGGCTTCCAGTGTCAATGTAGGTGTACAGTGCGTTGATACCCCTGACTTGTGGCGCGAGAAGGCAATGTTCAATCTGAAACCGCTGGTAGGCCGATGGGCGCTTAGTGTAGACTGTTTGTTCAACAGGCAATGGCATCCATTCAAAACGCCCTTACCCGCTGACTCGAGTTTATATCGCGAGCAAATAATATCTTTATGTATCCATATCTCTTCTTTCTTTGAGAGTCCTGGTATCGAGGCGAGAGACGGAAATGCAGTGCTGCGAGCTAAGAAGCTCGAATATGGCCAAAATGGGCTAATGATCGCTGTTTAAGCGCAAGGGAAACTTGGCAGTCCAGCGAGATTGTTTCAGCTTTCTACTCCACTTCACACCTTGTTACACATTTTTGCACACTTCTGATCCCACGAACACCATTGACGAGTATACTGATTTGGCTTGCTGCAACGTCCTCCAAGTACTGTCGTCGTTACCGGGCTCTCTTATCTCACTTGTGTCAGTTTAACTGATGATATTCGGAGAACTCGTGTAATATCACTCCCTTTCTGACTTACTTCCTCGACCTCCCTCCCCAATAGACGCCGCCATCGGATTCGCATGTAAGCGCTCAAGGCGGCATCACTTTGGCGCGATCGGCACGCTCCACGCCCATGCCACACAGGAACAAACAAGGCTACAACAAACGGACCGTGTCGGCTGGATTTTGCAGGATGGCTTCGCTCCAAGACGACCGCAAGCCCCACGATGGCGACGACTCCGAGTGGACAGCGACCAAGGCCCGCTCACAAGTGCCATTATGGCTCCCAATATCAGCGGTAAGTGCTATCAAAAGTCTACAAAAACAATAAGAAGCCTAATGAAAATGGTTAGTTCGTAGGAACAACGCTAGCGCTGGCCATCCCCATGCTCATGGTCCGGCGTCAGCGCAATATGGTATCGAAAATGTCTCTACATGGGTCCACGGCTGCACCACCACGGAGACTGAAAGCCGGCGGAGGGGGCGCTACCGCAGAAGAAACCACAGCCAGGCTTAAATCTCTCGCGGCAGAACCCTCGTCGAGCCGTGCAGTAGATTTCAAAATGGAGTCGGCATCGGATTCTGAGGGTAGCGGCGTGGGGAGTATGATGTCGGCAATGTCGAGGCTGAATCTGCAGAATGCCCTGTTCGCTGGGAAGGCGTTTGCGATTGCTACGGCGTTGGTGGCTGTTGGAGGGACCGCGTTTGCGTGGACGGTTAAGAGTGTTATGGGTGTTCAGGATGTACGTGTCACCGCTCTATTTTCTTGATTTTATCAGTTTAATTGCGTCTGATTAGACTCGTGAATTCGGAATTCGCGTTCGAGCTTTCCTTTGGTCGGCATGGCCTGGTCTGACGTCAAGCATCCACCGCGCACCTCAGAACGACGACGAGCGCACAGAAGGGAATGCTGTTGCGCCGTTTGGGATTCAGGAGGAATGGAAGTGGGAGGAAGCTGAAAATAGACTGAAGAGAGCGTATGAGGAGGGTGGGTTCCCGCTATGGGCTAAGACCGCGTTGAGGGAGATGGAGGCGGAGGCTAGAGTCGAGCGAGCGAAGAGGCAGCGCGAGATTGAAGAGTCTTTGCGACAGCAAAAGGTGTAGAATTTTAGATCGTTGACTGCTCAGCTTATATATTTCTAGATTTGTAAATCTTAATCCACCGCCATTCACCTTGGATTTTGGGCTGTCATTGGGGCGGACTCTTACTACTACGTACAGGTCTTTCAGCACCGCATCAAACTTGTGGCGGCCTCGTCAGCCACTCTGGCCGCAACGCTCCCATCTACACAGTTGGGGGAGGGGTCTTGGGGTTCTTTCAACACCATCGCGCTCTTGTGCCCGAAGAGAGATGCAGTCGACGGAAGCCTCTGATTCGGAGACCGTGAGGGGGGAGGCCAATGGTACGAAACGATCCAGCCCACAACTTGAAGCCGCCACTGCATTTACTGATGTGTGGTTGACAATCCGACATTGGACGTCGATCCCGACATCATGAGAGATTCAGACCGTTGTCAACCTCGGGGTTCGCTCGTGACTATCATGGCTGAGGAGTCGAATCACTGTTCGATCCAAGCTTAGCTCGAACACTGGCAGCAGAAGAACCGACTTGCGCCACGACTGATATCAAGGCAGACACATCATTGAACAGTGCCCAGAAGGCGGATATTCATCTCTGGCGATCATGGTCGAACTCACCCATCCATAATTGGCAGAATACAGTGGTCTGGAGATTGCTTCCTAGCTTCCAAGTTCCAAGTTCGCCGCCCAGAACGAAGCGTGATGCCAGCCTGAGGATGACGCGTATCATGAAGAGCACTACATACGATCTTCATGGCGCTTTGCTCAGTCGAAGCGGACGCCTATCGAAAACTCGACCCTTCGACTTCATGATAACCAAACAACCTACTGTTACTGGAGCTTCAACCTCCCGACGCGATACCAATCCGCTCGGCGCCACACTACTCCCTAGATCTCCCTCCCACCCCGAATCCCAGGGCTTGGAATAACCTGTGGAGCGACGAGCCTCACCCTTCACGACAGAATGACAGATTGAGCGCCGGTTCTAACTTCTTGATCTCCGCCGCGCTCGATATTGAAACTTGGCCGCTGGCTGGAGACTATAACAGTGCACTGGGGACTATAATAGTGCACCCGTGGAGGTGAATAGGGAGGAGGGAAATATCCCCAAGTTTCATTGAGGTAACTGAAAGCCATGTCGCGCTCACGAGAGTTCCTGGAGAAACTGGCTCTGAGCCAGGTATCGACGGTGTACGCGACCAACACCATCGACGTCCTCAACATCGGTAAGCCCTGCTTCCCCTATCCTCTACTTCTCTTCTCTTCTCTTCGTGCCCCCTTGTCTGAACTCTCGTCCAGGATTATAGCTATTCATGCTCCTCTATGGGTTATCCACATTCCTCGACACACCCCGAAGCCTCCGAAAAGGACGCACACCCTACATCCTAATCAGCTTCCTCATCTTCATGCTATGCACGGTGGCAGTAGTCCTGGACTTGTTCATCCAATTCGTGTCGCTGTACTATTCAAACGCTGGTATAGACCATGCACGCGCGCAGACCAAGTACTACAGCCACTGGGCGACAGTCACGCGGTTCGCTGTAACGTATGCCGGGTTCGCGCTTGCGGACGGGGTTTTGGCGAGTCCGAGTCTGAGTGGACATAGAGTACTTATCCTAGTGCATAGATAGGAATCTAATTGTGACGAGTTGCAGCTGTGGCGTTGTTATATCATCCTCCAAGACGCGTGGTGGATCGTTTGTTTCCCCGGTCTTATATACTTGGCCAGCATAGGTGCGCCAGATCCGCTCTTATCTTCTCGATCAACTTGAAGCGCCTGTTAAGCGCTCGGCCCCTTCGCCTTTGATCTCCAGGCCTCTCAATCACCATCCTCATCCGCGACATAACAGGCACAACACTAACCAGCGAAGCCTCGACCCGCAAAACCGTCTAGATCGAAGTCGGGTTCATCGCTCTCGCCGTCTCAGTGAACACCATCACCACATCCATCCATCCTCGCTTACCACCTTATATATACAAGCCCACCGCGCCTTCTCTGCCACCCTGCCCGGTCGGAGCATGGCGGTGTACAGGGTCGCGGTGAGGGTCCTCGTCGAATCCGCGGTCCCGTTGACGGTCTTTGGGATTTTGTACCTCGGGTTTGTGTCTGCGCGGATGCCGAAACCTGCGGGTGTTAGTACGACGGAAGGTATCGATCTACGTTGTTGCTGTGCATGTTTTTTCGGCTGTTTATATCGCGTTTTCTGTGAGTGCTCGTTCTCATTCTCCCGCGATTCTTTATGATATAATGAAGAGTGAACTGAGCTGAACGATACATGCTACTTTGCTCCTTTATAGTAGTCACTCTTCCCGCAATTGATCATCTTCCGAGTCACGACTGGGCGATCGTTTGTCAGTCCTGAGAACTCGAAGCCACTGCTGGACCACACTGGTCGCTTCTCCCAGCCTATCCTGTTCCGAAGAGAGACTATAGACGAGATTTCATTAGGACTCTCTGATTCAGTCAATCCTCCGAGACCCGGCTCGCAGGGCGCCTCAGTCCGGATTTCGAAAGTTTGATCTCAGAAAGCAAGCGCTATTTACTAGGTATTCCAAGTAACTATGTACGTTATAATTTGTAACGCCGACTGTTAGCGGCACATGTACTCTAGTATGCGAGTTGGGTTCAACAGATACCTTTCATAACGGACTCGAAGCTCAAGATTGGAATATATACGCGTTCCAGAGCACACGATATCGATCCAGCGCACACGATCATCTACGTTAACTAACATCCTTCGACTATTGGGAGTTAGGCCAGTGGACTTTCTGCCTTCTTCAATTGTCGCTGCAAGGCATGTAGATCTACGGACGTTCCAGAGTGCTCACAGCGATGTTTATCATTGATGTGGACCTAATTCATGGACGATTGAGGACTGAAGGTGGGGTATGGAGTGTGTCAAGTGGCCCGGGTGGGCACTGGAAGAACGAAACTGCTAGATGGATGAAGTGCTGTATATACATGTGCCTATCATAGGATGGGAACGCTGGGCTTCGTTGATGATTCATCAATCACGGCGAACAAAGTGCTGTCGAATTAAATTTGATGTGACGCTGTCCACCAGGTTGGAGCTAGGTTGGCACTAGGTTGGAACTCACCTGCACCCAGCTGTCACCTTCGATTACACAAAGAACATATGAGGGGCTGTGTGCGCATGGCAGCAATGACGACGGGGTCTCTTTCAATTTCGGCCTCAAGTACGGACGGCCGGGGGTTTGGCTGCGTAGGATCACCGTCCACTCGTGGCAGCCAGGCATCATCAGATGATGGTGATTCTAATGTCATTGAGGGGTATCCAGCCCTTTTCCGCCTATCCAGAATTTGAAACCCAGTCTTAGACGCAGTTACAGTTACTATCATTGTCATAGAGTTGAAACGAACCTCACTTTCCCTTGAATAACTCACGAAGTATGAGGCTCTCACTTCTATAATTTTGCAAGTGTATGCGGCTATTATTTCTCTATGTTACTCTCAATTTTTTGCCACATCGAAGAGGCTGCTGCTACGCCAGACGAAAGCCGGCGAAGGGTGTCCAAAAGGCCTCAAAATCAGGGAGTTGAAATGAGTGTGACATCCCTGAGATCACTCCGCTGTCACATCATTCGCGACTCCGAAGCGAAGGGCGTGACAAAAGTGTGATCGTTTGATGGGAACGAGCTGCAACCCGGTGCAAATGGTCCCTCCTACCTGTCACGCTCGAGTACGTTTGTTCTCCCTCTCCATCGAGTACAGTCGGAGACCTCAAAGGTACTAGACTCAAAACAAAAATACCCTGAATCTGTGTTCCAAGTGTTTTTTCGCTCCTCCGAACTCCTGACCTTTCGAAAAGTACGAATTACGTGAGAATTTTGCGTGTGTCGCAAAAATTCTACCACTGATAACGCATTCTTCCAGCCACGGATTTCCCTCTCGTTGTAAAGAATGGACTCAGGTAGTCCCCGCATATACTCACACAAGAATATGCAAGAATTTGGGCCGATAAGAAAGAATCCAAGCCACGATAAGAGGCGTTTCAACTCTATGCACGCGTTTCAACCCCATGACAGTGATAGTAGATGAGCTGACGTTCAGCTTTGAAAACGGTTGCGGACCTTCAACATTTCCATCTCAGCGGACTTGAAGAGAATTCTGGTAGAACACCTTAATAACAAAATTTCCCTTTGTCATCGTGACAAAGGCAAAGTTGAGAGACTCAAACATCTACTGCATTTCTGGATTTTGTGTACTTTACGAGGTTTATTGGTAATTGATAGTATTATTGCACTGTAACCCACCACCCGAATATCTGAAGGACTTGCAAGTCTTTTTTGCCCTGCGAAAAATACGATAAATCGAGGTCGGTGAAACGTAGAGGGGTTTCAATCCCCCCGCTGGCCGGTGCTTGTTCTCGGTGACGCCAGCCCGAATCCTTACCTGGCCAGTGGCTATAGCCCGGCTCACGGCCTTCTTTCTGCCTCGCGTTTGCCACGCGCTGCCATAGCCCTCGAGTGCCCCTTTGTTTCTGAACGGAAAGGTACTCACAATGCTGGCTCCAGGTTGGCTCCAACCTAGTTCCGACCTAGTTCCAGTTCAGACGACTGCGTCACCCACGATCAAATTCGACAGGACTTTGTTCGCCGTGAATTCACACACCACACTTTAATTTAGCGCTTATGTACCTCGCTCGGGCGCTTGGGGAATAACCACGCGTTTTTTCTCGTCGGCACTGCCCATTTAAGACCATCAGATATCAAACAAGCTCGATGATTGCTTTCTATCGTACGCTGTCACCAGACCAGTTATTTCCTATCCACACTTCACTCTTTACTTCTCGCTCACCAGAGCGTCGACGTTCTGAGTCCCCCGTAGGCGCTTTAGACTTTGTCTATGAAACAACCCCCGCTCCAGAGTTGAGAAAGAATGGGCTGCGAAAGGTAAGTTGTAGATTGACCGGACTTGTAGTTTTCCAGAAGGATGTATCCATTCACCATGTACCTGCTGAACGAACAAGTTCTCTGTACCCGTCGCGATCCAGAATGTACTTAGTAATCATTGCGGAGCCAGGCTGCCGGTCGACGATTGAAGAACCAGTAATTTAAGTCCCCGGAATCTGCTAGGCTTGGAGCTCAATTCATCGCCGCACCCATTCGCCTTCAAGTTGAGTGGGGGAACTTCATCGACACAACATCAAAAATCACGCTACTAGTATGTACCTACTTGGAGCAAGGAGTATGCTTTCAAGGTAGTCTCCCGTACTCAGCTTGGTTACACTTTGAATCATGATCAGAGAGCATACCGTATCCCTGAAGTCAGCGCTGAGCATAAGTAGGCCGGATCATGTCGAACAAGGGTGCTATGTAAGTAGCTTCCAGGCCCATAAATCCGGTACTCCGAGTCTACATAGTATTAAGGCGGATGGCAGGGTTTCAAAAGGAAGATTCGGTTGGGACTCAGCGGGACAAAGATGAGTTTTCGTGCTCCTGATCTGACCGGGCGCCTGTGGCCTATCCCCTGACCGTGGAGTCTCGCAGAAGGTCGCGTTCAATGCCTGGCAGCATTTAGGGGCCCGGAACAACGGGACGACGACTCGACGACTATCCGGGCCTGTGAGAAAGTGTGATTAGTCATCCACTTCCGGATCTGGATGACGCCGCCAACGTCGCGCACTGGTGAGTCGACAACGAACGCAGCGCTTCAACGGAGCTAGCATCACCTTCCTTCTCTCTCTGATCTCGACCTGCTTCAACAGCCTCAACCAACGCAAACGACTGGATCAAACGACCTCATCCTTGGAAGGATACATAACCTTTTGCACGAACCAAGAACGGTTTGGGAACGAACATCATTGTCACGAATTCAACTCACTCCACCCACGCCGGCGTACGAACGGAAACGAAACGACGAGAAGAGAAGGAGTGCAAGGAAGTAGATTAGGGACACCACATTTCGGATAAAGGCGACGAAGGATAGCACAGAGGATACGAGTTTAGGAAACCACTACGACTACGACCACGAGCGCGAAGCAATCCATACACCGTTTGGGAGATTGATTGAGCAATGGCGGAACGCAACAACTCGAATATGCTGTTCGCCAACTTCAACCAGGATTTCTCGTGAGTTGCATTCACTTTGCTCTTAGGGATGCCCAGTATCACTCACCTAACGCTTATCCCCATCCCCGTCCCCGCGTCCGACGTTGTAGGTGTATATCAATCGGCACGAAGCGGGGGTATAGTATAACCAATTGTGATCCATTCGGGAGGGTCTATACGATGAGTGCGTATGTTCGTACTTTAGGTGACGTTAGGCTAATGTGGTGTGTTTATGTGGACTGGTAGATGATGGAGCAAGAGGGATAGTGGAGATGCTGTTCTGCACGTCGTTGATTGCGCTGGTCGGAGCTGGTGACCAACCCCAGAACAGCTCACGGAAACTGCAGATTGTGAATACAAAGGTGCGTACCCCCATTCCCTTCCCTTTAGCCAACGGATAAACGAACGAACGAATGAACGCAGCGACAATCCATGATCTGCGAGCTCCTCTTCCCATCCTCCATCCTAGCGGTCAAAATGAACCGCAAAACCCTGGTTATAGTGCTCGAAACGGAAATCTACATCTACGACATATCCAACATGCGCTTGCTCCACGTCATCGAGACCACCCCGAACCCAGAGGCCATCTGCGCCCTGTCCCCCTCCGCCGACTCGTCCTACCTCGCCTACCCATCCCCCGTGCCCTCCTCCTCCTCCGCGCCCCTCTCCGCACCCGGCTCCTCGGGCACAACCTCCACCTCCAGCAGCACTCCCGCCGCCCCCGCATCAAGCTCATCCGGCAGCGGCGACGTCCTCCTCTTCTCCACGCGCAGCCTCACCGTCTCCAACGTCATCCAAGCGCACAAGTCGCCCATCAGCCACCTCGCCATCAACAGCACCGGCACCCTCCTAGCTACGACCTCGGAGAAGGGCACCGTAGTAAGGGTGTGGTCGATCCCCGGTGCGGAAAAGTTGTATCAGTTTAGGAGGGGGACGAGGGAGGCCAAGATTTATAGTATGAATTTTAATGTGGTGTCGAGTTTGTTGGCGGTTAGTAGTGCGAATGGGACGGTGCATATATTTAAGCTTGGGAAGCAGGGTGCGTCTTTCGTCTATCTATCTCTTCGTATCCTCTTGGCTTGTTCTAATTAATCGCGTTGGAATGTTGGCATAGGCTCCTCGTCCAATGCGGATTCCAAATCCTTAACCTCAACTTCGGGAGGCAGAAAGTCCCCACCCGACTCGTTAGACGGCCGCGAGAGCATCAACACGAACAACTCGGAGGTGGTGGGCGGGTACGAAGCCTTTGCGGCGGACAAGAAGGAGCGTGCGTCGGGTGGGGCGAGCAGCTTTTTGAAGAAGAAGGGGCTGGGTGTTGCGAAGAGTTTGACTAGTTCGGTGAGTGGGGTGGTTCTCTCTCTTGTGTTCGGGGCTGGGGATTTGATGGGACAGTTGGGTTGGTTGGATTGAGACAGCTGGGTTGGTCAGGATGAGAGCGTCGTTGCGTTGTTTGCATGGCTGGACAGTTGCATGGACCCCGTGGCTGGATGGGTTATCGGCTTGGACTTGACTGGTCGGGTTAGGTTGGACAGGGCGTCGTATCGCCTTTCGAGCGTGGGCAGGCGATGGGGCCGCATATGCGCGCCGTGGTAGCCGCTGTCGCCTCACCCATCACCACGTCGTCCGTTCATCCGAGTCATGGACTCGCCCATGCCATTTACCACACCCTATGTCCTCATTTCCTCTTCCCCGCGCCCCCTTTCCCCCTTTCTCCTCTTCTCTATCCTAAAAATGAAGAGCAAGGTACTAACCTTACCAATCTGACATGGCACACAGGTGGGCGGCTACCTCCCCAACTCGATCACCGAAATCTGGGAGCCTGTACGGGATTTTGCGAGTTTGAGGCTTCCGAGTGCTGGGAGTGGAGGTGGGAGTGTGAGGAGTGTTGTTGCGTTGAGTGGGTGAGTGGTTTGTCCTTCCTTCCTTCCTTCCTTTTTTCTAGATCCTTGTTTACCCATTCCACCCGTTTTATCCATTTCACCTATTGTATCCGCTTCACCCACGTTTATCTATCCCACCCCCCTCGTTCCTTTCGTCTCGGTCTTGCCTCAACTCCCCAACTAATTATGATTCGAATTTTAGGACGATGCCACACGTGATGGTCATTTCTTCAGAGGGGTATTTCTATTTGTATAGTATTGATTTGGAGAATGGAGGCGAGTGTGCGTTGTTGAAGCAGTATAGGTGCGTTGTGGTTTCTTTTGTTTTTGTTTTTTTTGGGGGGTTTTTTTGGGTTGGGATTGGTATTTGGTTTGAGGTTGCTTCGTTGGGGCTTGGTTTGGTTTGAGGTTTGGTTTTCGTTGGAGCTTGGTTCCTTTTGTTCGTTGGGGACCGGGGACCTTCGTTGGGACCTTTGCTTTTCCCTTGGGATTTCGGTTTTAGGCTTTCTGGTTGGGAACGGCGCGAGCGATGTAAACTGACTCTTTATCCTGTCTAACAGTTTATTGGATTCGGTGGACGTGGATCCTGCTTCTGATGGGGGTCCGTAGTGGCTGTAGAGTTGGACGGAGGGAGGGGAGAAGAGGAGGGAGGAAGAGGCGGGAGGGGGTGAAGTGGGTAGTGGGCAATGGGGGGGGGGGGGGGGGCCTGCGTGATGAGGAAGATTGTGGTCTTTTTTGTGACGGGTGGGTTGCGGGTGGGGTCGAGGTGTCCTTCGTATCGCTCGTGTATCATACTAATACGCGGAGGAGTGTGTTCCCCAGACTGTCCGATTCACCTTTTTCGTCCTCCTTCCCACCGCTCTGTCGCATGTCAGTGCTAGTCCTTCTTCTGGCACTCGTCTGGTAGTAGCCCTCGCGTTCGTAGTATACGTAGCCCTCGCAGTCGGCATTCGTAACACATATCATGTATTGTAGTTTTATCTTTTATCTTTCCCATTTGTTCTTGGACGTCTGGGATTTTTTTTGTTGTTTGTTTGCTATTACTCACTGGCCACTGGTTTTTTTTTTCTTGCGCTTGCAATGAAATGTCGTTTTCTTTGAAGCTAGTTAGTGTCCGATATTCGGTCTGGGGGTATGATGGTTTTGGGTGAACTGGTCGTGAATCATGATCATGAGAGCGGCGAGGGACGGTGCGTGTTGGAGGGTTGTATGTACTTAACCAGGTGACGATCTGCGTCCATTCTCGCTCTCTCTCTCTCTGTGAAGTTGGGAGATTGACAATAAAGTAACTTGGGTAACATGGCCCACCCAAACTTTCTCTTAGCCGAACCCCAAGTAGTTTTGGTTCCCGCGCTCGGATTGCTTGGCTTGGCGTACTTGGACCGGCCCTAAAGTAACATAAGCGCCGAGCTTCGCGTAGTCGATTGGCTTTAACTTCATTGTCCATGGGTAGAGGAACTTCAATGAAAGCTATAGTAGGTTTGGTCCGATCCGAGATTGTATGACCTCACGCACAGCCATACTCGTCCTCGCGCACTCGATGGGTAGCATGTAGGTCTGCGCGACGGGATATACACCCCCGGGCCAATCGTATCCAAGTCCGTACCTATCCCTACTTTTGTGAGGGCAACATCGTTACAAAAAGGTGTGCATTCGCCCACCCACTTATTTAAGTCCCGTCGTCAGGCTATTGTACTGGCCATAATAAGGCTCTGCACGCACATCTCATCCCGCCGAGGCTGTTCTTCGACTTGGAATGAACCCATGGGCCACACTTTATTCTAATGCCGTATTACCAATCAACGGCTCCCTGGTATATAAGACAGCACCTAGTCGATTGCACTAGGGTCAAAGACAATTCTATTCTATTTCACCCCACTTGCACCACTCCCACTTTCAACAATACTCACGATGAACGTCAACCAGAGCAACTGCTCCAGTATCCAAGACGGCGCTAGAATCATCGCGGGCGACTTTGTAGATCCCGAGAGTGTCTTGATGGTCAATGGCCAGCGTGTGTACCCCACTGGCACTACACCCCCGGTCTTCAACTCGGGGGATGACACGCCGCTGCAATTCGTAACGGCCAATGATAGCGCCAACGTCGCTAGGGGACCTGGCGTCGATAATACAGGTAAGGTCTTGAATTCAAGAACCTTCAGTTGCGAGGGGTGCTCTGTCAGCTGATACTTACTACAGCGGCATTTTCAGGGCGGCAGCGTCACGGTGGATCGACTCGGGACCAGCCCACTACTACTAACTCTAACTCGCCGGGCGGCACTCCTATCTACAACTCTGCTGGCAAGGTCATTCGCAGTGAGTAGTCTTAAATTGTGTTCCAGTCTTGGGAGCCTCTGTCGGCTGATATTAGAGCTTTAGTCAAGCATGGATAAGGCCCGACCAGGGTACGTATTTTGTATACAGTATTAAAACTCTAAGGACTTGGTCTGACATGAAACTGCAGCGAACTTGCAACTTGGATATTCCAACCAAGCCCAGCGCAAGTGAGAAGCGCAGTATCAATGCTGTGCAGCCTGTATTTGTAGATCGTCGCCCAGGTGGCCCCGATTATTCCTGTACCTTGAATGCATATGGCGATAGTCGCTCTGTATATGGATATCTTTTTCAATCTCTATCAGTGATCATAACGAAAGTTGAGCTCAGTCGGGACAACGGGGCCTTGGTTTTACGATGCACCGACTCCCGAGTTCTGAATCGGTACTAGTATAAGTATTCACCGGTATGTATGGAGGTGGCGCGGGCGCTTCTATCTGTCAAGTTGTTCGGGTTCGATTTTCGATGTCTATCGCTCATAAGGTATAGTACGTACTTACATAGCCTACTGTGAACTTGAGTCTTGACTTGAGACACCCGAGATCCCCGGGAACTGACAACAGTCAACTTGGCTTCAATAGATGACTGTCAGTTCATTCCTTGAAGTAAAGGCTGTGGCCAGTGAGGTTGTGCTTTTGGGATGTATGGCGCTCCACGTGGGAGATTGGGATATGTATTACGGTGGCAGGTTCCTGGTCCATTTATTGGGTCAGTGGTCTGGGTCCATACGTGCCAGTGCGTCCGAGGGCAGCCGTAGACTCGTCGGCGTCGACGCTGTTACCTCCCAATCATGATTCATCGATGCTAATTACCCAGGCCTCAGGATCGACGGGCGCCAGAGGTCGATCGCGACTCGCGAGGAGCGGAAGCAAATCCGAGTCCGTGACAGGTACGGAAGCAAAAAGCGGACTGAAGATTTTACCTTGGAGGGAGAACGCGAACAATGCATATGTTTGTGGAGTATCAAAAAGACGATTCCCGGAAGGGAGTTATAGTATGTAAATCGATAATACACGGAGGAGACGCCCGTGATCATCGCGAGTTTCTACTGGTCTTTGGGCGGCCAACACGATGATTGGCCTGGAACCAACGGGGACACGTTTGGGGTGGTTCTTCGGGCCTATCTCTCCGCCCGGCCACGGTACCAGTGCGGAGCAAGCTGGAAAGGTACATAAGTGATAGTACATAAGTATAGCGGCGCCCTTCTGCCAGTGGAGATCCTTTTTTTCTTTCTTTTGAGACCGCGCTCTGGCTCGGGCTTCCACAGCCTCCACCTCGTCATCCCCCATTCAAGTTCCAACACTCAGAGACCGCCGGTTGAACGTTGGAGATTTGAGAAAGTATGGCGTCGGCGCCGCCTTCGAGGGAGTTTCTGGAGCGTATGGCGCTCAACCAGATCGCTATGGTGTACGCTACGAATGTGGTGGACGTGCTGAACATCGGTGAGTTTTCTCATTTCTAAACCCAGTCCCATTGTTCACCTGGCGACCGCCCTCCCCCTCCCTCCCCTCCTCCAAACGCGACTCCTTACTCCTTACAAATCAATCAAACCCAGGCCTCCAACTGTTCATGGTCCTCTACGGCCTTACCATCTTCCTCGACACGCCCGCCAGCCTGCGCAAAGGCCGCGCCCGGTACATCGTCCTCAGTTTCATCATCCTCGTCTTATCCGCCCTGGCCGTGATATTCGATCTGTTTGTGCAGTTTGAGACGTTGTACTATTCTGGTCCGGGGATTGAGCATGCGAGAGCCATGTCCAGGAATTTTGGGCATTGGGCGGTGTTTGCGAAATTTGCGGTTACGTATGCGGGGATTGCCCTTGCTGATGGGATTTTGGTGAGTTGTACATACTTTTTTTGAGGCTGGGGTGTGCCTTTTGTTAGGGGTAGTTGAAGGATGGAGAGCTGATCGTGGTGGAGACGACTAGCTTTGGAGGTGTTATATTATCTTGGGAAATCTGTGGTGGATTATCTGTCTGCCTGGGCTTATGTACCTCACCGTCATAGGTGCGTCGAACCCTCTATCCGCGGTTATTCCTTTTGTCCAAGTAATGCATCGTACTTACTCTCTTCTTCTTCCTCACCAGCCCTCGCGATTACCATCGTCGTCCGCGACATAACAGGAACAACCCTGAGCAGCTCCGCCGAAACCGCCAAAACGATCTGGATCGAAGTAGGCTTCCTAACGCTCACCGTAGCCGTGAACCTCATCTCGACCTCCATAATCGCGTTCCGGCTCATCCGCGCGCACCGTGCATTCTCAGCGTCGCTACCTGGGAGGAGTATGAAGGTGTATAGGGTGGCGGTTAGGGTTTTGGTCGAGTCGGCGCTGCCGTTGACGTTCTTTGGGGTGTTGTATTTGGCGTTTGTGGGGAGGAGGATGGCGCTGCCGAGTGGTATCACCCCGACTCCGGGTGTCCTGCATACGACTGTTGCGGTGCATGTGTTTGGAGCTGTGCATATTATGTTTTCTGTGAGTTCGTTTTACTTTATCTGTGCTACCTTCATCGGATTCGTGGGCCAGTCAAAGCTGATCGCGATTGTTATTTTTTGTAGGCGCTTTCCCCTCAGCTCATCATATTCAGAGTGACGACTGGACGGTCGTTCGTCGGACAGCGCGGATCCAGCGCGTCGTTGGATAAGGAGAATTCCAGTGCGAGTAGGTTCTTGCAGCCGATCGTGTTCCAGAGGGGCGGAGGCAGTGAGATTGATACAGAGTTGTGTACGTCTCTGCATCCTGATCCGCCAGGGATTCGACGTCCTGGCTCGGATGTGAATGAGAAAGGTGTGAATAATTAGAGAATATGATTTGATTTTTTTTTGGTATGTGTGTGTCCGTTATGGACTCTCGTCTTTTTTGTATGTATTGTATAATTAGCGGAATCGTGTCCAGACGTTGAAAGAGACAAAAATAGTACCCCCCGTTTATGCTCCACTCTCATCTTCAGTCAATTGAAGGTCCGAGCGCCCATCCCCAGGGGCTGTTGGGCCTATTACGAGGCTGGGCGCTTAAATGTGTGGGAAGTCGGGTCGATCATCCCGGTGATCCACCTTGGGAAGCGCTTGGGCGTCACGCCCACCCCCTTGTGGCCATTAGCAATCATTTATTCGAGGATAGAGTGGGCATTGTTGGTTGAAAAGGGAATTTTGGACGAAGATAAAAGCAGAGGTTTCTTGGTTATCTGCCTCGCTCACCCATTTTTCGACATCTGACCTGGCGCTCGGGCGAATCGGGGCGATTAGAAGAGGCAATTTCTCTAGTCGCAATTGCAAAGGTTCGCATATGATGCTCTGAGGATTGTGACTAACATACTCTTGGTGGTGATACTAAGTACTACTTAGTTGTTCCCGTCAACTGCCAACAAGGCAAGGCAGTCGGTCAGAAACAGCGTCCTATACCATGCTCAAATCAGCACGGCGTCACTGGTAACGCGCAAAAGTCACGATGCATTTCACAGTCCTTACTCTGACAAGAGCAAGGGCTTACAGAAGTCTGATATGGACACCGGTGCTCGGCGGGAAGGGAGCCCCTCTTTCGAGGGGCAAAAATGCGACACAAGGCAGGCGTTACCGGGTCACATGAGGTACCGGTAACGCCACCAGGTTTGGATAGATTATTCGATAGATTATTCAATAGATTATTCTATTCGATACATTATTCGATACATTATTCGATACATAAAAAAAGGAGAAAGAGACACAAACCTAGGCCACGTCGGCAAGGAACTCTTGAAGGTTGTCAAAACACAAGTCAGCCTCCGGGAACTCGGTCTTGACGAGTTGCCACACCCACTCAAAGGGCGTGGCGTAGGTGATGATGTCGGATGCGTCCGAGTCCGCCGTTCCTTTACTGGAACCGCAACCGCCTGTGAGCAGGGCAACGAACTCGCCGGCGGGTGAGGCGATAAGGGATCCCGAGTCACCACCCCTGGAGAAGGTGCCCGAGTCCTGCTCGTGGGGGAGGATGGCGACCCCGAGCGACTCCTGGTTGCCGTTCCGGAAGTACTGTCGGACAAACGACATGAACTTTGTGAGGGTTCCGACGGTGGTGTTGGTGGCGAAGCCACGCTTGAGGACACGACGAACGGTTACGCGATCGCCTTGGAGGAGGTTCAGGTTGGCGGGGTGCTTGATTTGGTCGGTGCTCAGCATGCTTCCGAGAATAAGCAGACCGTTTTCGGGGTACTTGAACTTGGAGGGAACGTCCGCATGCTCGTGAATTAGCGACTTGAGCTTCGCCTCGGACATCTCAGGACCTGGAAGAGAAAAGGGGGGAGGGGTGGGAGAAGCACGGCTGAGATGAGTGACTTTCAGTGAGGATTGAATTGATAATCAGCGCACCAAGGCTCAAGACGTTCCCCATCATAGACGTGAACTTGTCCTTGTAAAGCTCGATGACGCAGAGGTCGCGCGTGTACCGATGACGGGCGACGCCGACACCAATGGGGGGAGCCCAGCGGACAAATCCAATAACTCGGTCCTTGCCTTTGCTCCATTTCCTCTTGATATCGACGAAGAAGATTTTGAGATCGTCGATCTTGCGGAGGATTCTGGCAAGCTCGGTCTCGTGCTCGGTCAGCTTCCTCTGCGACTCGACGGTGTTGATTCCGTTTTCGACCCGGTCTCTGAACGTTGTGATCTTCTTGTCGAGACGTTTGGCTGTGTCGATAAGTGCGCCGATCAGAGCCTTGATAGATGCCAGGTAGTTGTTGAACGCGAGACGGCCCATGACTATGACCTCTTTCTTTGGCATGGATTCTAGCGCAGTAACACAAGTCAGAGAAGCTCTTGAATTCCCTCAAGGTTGCAGAAGTTAGTCACCGTGGTAGCGATACTCGTCGTTGTCTCCGCTGAGCACGAAGAGGTTATGACGGACAGTAATGGCGTAGAGCTTCTCCCCCACATGGAAATAAGGGCCCAGAGTGCCCTGCATCGACGTCTTACGGCCGGCGATAGGAAGACTGAGGGCAACGGAGACATTGTCAATGACGTCTTTGAGGGAGTCGCCGTCTTCGGCTGGGGGGAAAAGGGCTGGGCCGTGGGCGTGGGCGAGCGACGGCTTGTAGGTCGACTCCCTGTAAGCGATGTCGATGTTCTGGATGTGGAGCGAGTCGAGGTAGGCACGGATGTCGAGGGAGGAGGCGTGGGCGACGCTCCCGGTGAGCGTGTCGGGCAAGACTGCAATCCAGATTGTCGGGTTGGTGTAATGGCGGTCCCCGTACTCGACGGTCTGGATGCGGGGGATGTCGTCGTAGTTCAAATCTTCCTCTTCCTTTGCATCGTCGTCCTCGTCCTCGTCGTCGTCCTCGATCTCCCGGTCCGCTGGCTTCTTCAACCAAGTGAATCGGACGAAATCGACGAGCGTAACTTTGATGTTCCTCTGGTTGAGCAGCATCACAACCTAAGAACGAAACATGAGCAAAGAAACTGTTGCGTAACGAGAAGGCCGCGCACCTGATCCCGAACCCCATCCCACGTTACATCTGTACCAAACTCGAAGGTATCAGGAACCGCGACAATCCTCATGAGCCGCTTGTACGCCTCGGGGCCAGAAGGTGCTTCAAAAACGTCATCAGACGTTCTGTAGATGAGCTTGGGTCCGTGTCCCTTGGGTCCCAAGCCGGCGTAGTAAAGATGGGCTTCGAGTTTGGAAACGTCGTACGGGCTGGGCGCGGCAGTGGTGGTGGCGCTCGAGACACTGTCGTCGCTAGCCCAGAGGTCATCCTCGGAGCAACCGCCCTGGTCGGAGGACGGGTTGGCGAAAATGAGAGCCTTCTCGCGACACTCTTTGTCGAAGTCGGCCGTACGAACGTACTCGTCGAGGTTGGGCTCGACGGGGACATCAGCGTCGTCCACTGGATTAAGAGAGTTGCTTAGAACAGAGGGAGAGCGAGAGAAAAGGAATTCTTGATACTCAACTGGGGTTAGATATGTTGTTATCAATCATGATGGGTTGAGACAAGGGTGTGTCGTGAGAATATGAAAGTCGCGGCAGATCACTCCCCAAAAGGGCAGCCTGGCTCGATCCGGGCACCACACAGCTCCATCTTTGAATCTGCACAACCTAAGCCAAGCGTCGATACTTAATGCGCAAGGAAACGGTGGCTATCTTGCACTCGGTCTTGAGCTTGATTGAGACAATTAAGCGCTCATATTATCGTGCGAAATCCGCCCAGATATGGCCATCTTAGTCATCTAGCCCCTAACGCCGGTGCCAGAACATCTTGAACACGAACCACGACGACGACGGCGACCGTCCAAACTCGAGACGACAATGGACGACGAAACCGCCGAGATAGAGCTGGTAAATATCGACATGCTGCTGATATAACAGGGATCAAGCAGGCTTATTCTTGCTTCAGCTTCAACAGAACCTACATAAAACCCGCCAATTATCGAAACGAATGACTAGTAAGTTTCACGAATTCTCATAACAGGCCATTGTCTTATGAAGGCAGCCATTCTCGACAGCTTTGACACGCGAATTGCCAAACTCGAGAAATCGATTCTACCGCTGTACACAGCGGCGCAGTTGCTCAACAAACGGAGGAACAGTACGGCGACGGCTTTCTCGCTTTCGAATGGTGGTCTTATGAAGGCATTTAGACATCGACAAGGCGTTGTTGAAGATTGAAGACATGGCGTCCAACCAGGATGATTTATCGGCGGAAGAGAGTCTGATTCTGAGAGGGTACGTTCCATTTGAATTGCTTGAATCGGATGCTGAGGTCGTTGTTTGTAGTCCACAACCGGGGCAACTACACGTCTACAAAGACGCATTGGAGCGGTTGAACGCCAATATCGCGTTCAAGGGTAGCGATGGAGACGTCGAACAGATTGTAAGTGGCCTTTCTCTGTTTGCCGTTGGAAATCTCTCAACCATTTGACAGGCATCTCTAGTCGAAACAGGGACGAAGAAACTCACTCAACTGTACACCAAAGTCGTCGCGGAAGGCTCTTCAGGGACGACGCCAGCACCGGGCACCGCAGAGTACTCCATGCCCACGTCGTTCCCCGCATCGCTGTTGCCGACACTCTCGCCTGTGGTCAAGTTCCTGCGGACACTGCCCCTGCCATCGACACATCCATCGCATCCCGCCGCACCGACCATTGCAAAGACGTTGATGGAGGCTCAGCGTGGATACGCCGATATGAGAGGAAACTGGGCGGTCAAGTGTTTGGACGGACAAGGGAAGCGCTTGGTCGTGCGGGCAAACGAAGTCGACCCGTTGGTCACTGGTAGAGCATTCGGCGCATGGGTGGAGCTGATACTGGGAACTGCAGATGTGAGTCTTGGTTATTTCACCGTCTCATCTATCCTGACCTCCTCTCTCCAGGAAGAATACAACCTTTTGCTCGAGTTATCACCTCTATCTAGCCCTTCATCAATAGCAAGCGCATACACCGTCCTCCTCGCCCCGATTTTGCGGTTATTCAACACCATCCTCAGCTCCCTCATCGCGCTCACGAAGAAGAACCTCCAGAAATTGAGCTTCCTGGCGCTCTCGGCTTACGAGTCCTTACTCTCGCTGCAGACACATTGGGAAGCCATCCTTGCTCGCGCGTCCGACCAGTTACGTGACAAGAACGAGTTCAAGGACGGTCTGCCTCTGCTGAGAAGCCTGTGCTTGCGAAGCTTCCCTGAATTCCTGGCCGATATAAAACTGAGCACGACGTCTCGTGGCGTTTCGGACACCAATGTGAACCTCATGCAATTCACCGAAGAGGTAAGCTAGCGTTCCCTTGGGTGTTGGGTAACTAACTGTTCATCCGTATCAGACCGTTCTTTACATCTCGAGGATACCGGACGTGCAGGGCGCTGTGTCTGCGGCGTTGACGGCGCTCGGAGACGGCAACTGGAAGATGGGCGAAGGTGTACAAGTTGGCATGAACAAACAGTTCCAAGAGGAAGATGAATCTTCTATCCTCGAGCACTTCCTCAGTACGTTTTTCCATTCCGTATTTGCGAATAACCACTGACATGTCCGTTTAGACGACGTCGTTTCGACAGCGATCACCAGCCTGACCACCATCTCTCGTACCGCCCGTCGCCCACCCTTCGGCTCCGTCTTCCTCCTCAACAACATCTCCTACCTCCGCACGCACCTCCTCCTCGCACCCATCTCACGCGCCGTCCCCGCCCTGCTCTCCTCCTCCACCAAAGACCTCCTCAACTCCAACTACCGCACCGCCAAAGCCGGATACTTTGACGCCAACTTTTCGCCTCTGATGCAGGCTCTGACGGACGACCCCAAGGGCGGGGGCAAGGGCGCGGCGAAGGAAAAGTTTACGAGGTTTTTTGATTTGTTGGATGAGGTTATTGAGCGGCATCGGTTTGCGAGGGTGTTTGAGGAGGGGGAGGAGGGTGCTGAGGATCGGCAGGCGCTTGGAGAGGAAGTTGTTATGTTGGTTGTGCCGAGTTTGCAGAGGTTTATTCAGAAGCAGAAGGATAGGGATTTTAGTAAGAGTGAGTTTGTCCCCCTCTGGATGCTGGATGGCAGAACGGAAATGCTGATGAAATCTCTCTTTCTCATTTCATGCTTGCTTTTTTGTTCTGGTGGTGATCAGATCCGCAGAAGTGTACGTTGCTTATACTTGGTGTTTTTGGCGGTTCGGAGACTTATTGTTGGTGCACTTTTTTCACAGATATCAAGAGAACGCCGGAAGAAGTGGAGTCCCAGCTTCGGAGTGTCTTCAGTTAGATTTCAACCTCGTTTCGTCATGTCGATATCCCTGTATACCAGCTTTATGTTTCGATTCACGATTTCTTCCGCGGTGCGAACGTCGTTTCAGGGGGACAAGTACGGTCTATCCACTTCCTCAAGTATGGCGTAGACATGTATGTATTGTGCTCGCATTCGCAGGGCCTCTTTGAACCCTTGGCATGGTGGATTAGGCTCCTCTGTCGGCGTTTCCGGGGACTTGCTCAGTTAGTCTGACTCGTGTACGATGATGTTGAGGGAGATTGGTCTCCTGCGACGAGGTTGTTGTTGGCAGGCCACCTTTTTGTTACCGGTTACACGTTTGTTAACGTTGGAAGGCTCCGGTGCGATGAGAATTTCCTAGCTAGCAGATAATTATCGATTCTTTGGCTCTTGGGTCAAGGTGGGTGTTGCATCAGTCAACAGGCACAGTAACCTCGTGGTTGTGGTGAAGCGCTCATTGACGGGATGGGCGCTAAACTATGGGAATGGTTTGACGATGACCGCGCACGAAGTCTCGCGGATCTCTCTCCTTCTCACCCCCCATAATCACCATCTTGTCACGCATTGCTGGCTATATTGTCGGGATGACTTTGCTATGAGTCCTTGCTATTATTGTCGGAATAGGGAAACATTGGAATGCATCTCGACTTGTGCTCCCACATGACGAAGCGCGATGGACTGAACGGCGGCCATGTTGGGTCACAACAAGGCGATTAGTATCGACGAGTCAAGGAGACCGTGCTTGGTGCATCACTTCATCCCCGAGGAGCACTGGCAATCCCCAGGTGACTCAGTCGGGATTGAGAAGGTTTGAAGATTTCCAAGGGTTCGACGTCGCCAAAAGGTTATCTATGTAGCCGATTCCAATAGCTAAATAAAGCCCGTGTACTTGTAAATCTTCACGGAATGGAGTATTTCTTGATTTCACTCGTACCTTTAGTGGTCACCCCTACATATACGTACAACGCGATTCGCGAGATCGCCGCCATCAGCGCTGAGCGCCCGTCCAGTTGCCATGGGCGCCAAACACACGGACGCTGCTTCGGTAGCACCTCGTCTCGTTTCCTCTGCCACCTATTGAAATTTGATCATTCGCTATACCATTATGATCGACTTGAACGGATGCGTGATCTGTAATACAGCATTCCTAGTCGGTCGGAGAGAGTACAAGAGCTTGGACGAGCGCTTATCGATGCAGATTTCTTTTCAATTGGCCATGATGGTGGCGTCCCATGCGTGGTGGTGTGGCTATTCCAAGTTGCCAATGCAAGGGCTAGCACGCAGGGCAACGAGCACTGCATGGCCTGATTGGTAGGTAGTCGTAGCGTGGGGTGGATCAGTATAAGTTCGATCCGTTACAAACACAGGAGAGGACAAATTTTCATTCTTTCTCTCTGCGCCTTATTGTGGCACGATGGCCTTACCCGAAGAGTTCATCGAGCGTTTAGCGCTCCACGACGCGGCTATCTTCTACACTGGAAACACCATCGCCGTACTCGACATTGGTAAGTGAGGTCCACAGCCTACCCTCGCGCCCCCAAACTAATAACTAATCGATTCGATAAACTACAGGAATGCAGATCTTCATGTGTATATACGGTCTCTCCGCCTTCATTGGCACGTCTCCCGAGCTAAGGAAAGGTAGACGGCCCTACGTACTCCTGAGCTTCGCGATCCTTGTTCTCTCTGGTATCCCTGCTTGTCTGGACCTTGCAATGGGGTTCAAGGCGCTTTATGGAACCGGCTCGGGTTTGGATTATATTCGTGCGAGGCAGAGGGGGTATCATGATGCGATGGCAACTGTATCGCAGACGTTGTTTCATGCGTATGTGGCTTTGGGGGATGGACTCTTGGTTAGTGCTATCTCGTATATTATGGGGAAGACGTTGCTAAAAGGTTAGGTTCTCACCATCGACGATAGCTTTGGAGATGTTATATCATTTGGAATGACCTTTGGTGGGTCATCATACCACCGCTGACCATCTTTCTAGGATTCATAGGTCAGTACTGCATCACTCGATCTCTGATATCGATATCCCAATTGCTCTTGAACTTGATCAATCTACCTTTCAGGCCTCTCCCTGACCAACATCGTCCGCATAATCTCAAAAACCGCTCGAAGCACCGAACTCCAAGCAGTACGAACCCAGCAAATAACCATCGCCTACACCTTCCTCACCGTCTCCCTCAACGTCATCGCAACCTCACTCATCGCCTACAGACTCGTCCGCGCCCAGCGCTCCTTCTCCCGCACGCTCCCTGGCCGCGGGATGCGTGTGTACAGAGCCGCGGCGAGGATCCTCGTTGAGTCCGCTCTTCCGTTGACGCTTTTTGGGCTTTGCGCTGCTTTGTTTGGGGTTGTGGTTTGGTTCAGGAGGTCCGAGGAGGATGGGAGCTTGGATCTTGGGAGTATGGTTGCTGGGGATGTGTTTGGGGCGCTTTATGCTAGTTTTGCGGTATGTATAAATGTTTCTTTTTTTCCCCTTCTACCTTGGAGGAATAGAGGCTGATTTCGCGTTTTATCTCCTGGAACTTGAAGGCGCTGGCACCGCAGATGATCATATTCCGGGTTACGACTGGGCGGTCGTGGCACACTCGAGATGCTGACCTGCATACTTCGGTGGACGTTCAGAATCGACTCTCCCAGCCTATTTTGTTTAACCATCAGTCCGTGTCCATTAGTGTTGGGGACGTTGAGGACGCACGAGGCATCGGAGAGGGAGGGGTGCAGCACGATGATGGGATACACAAATCTCGTTTAGAAGCTCCTAAAGAGGTCATATAGGTGGTGGATATCACATACATTGGATTAGAATACTTAATGTCAGTTCATTTAATTAGGTCTGACATCGCGATAGATTTCCGTAAATACTTGCATGTTCAAACCAGAGCTTCCTCAGTCCCGTGTCGTTAGTCCACTGGGATCTGCCAGTTCATGCGATGGCTCGACTGAATATCTTGGCTCTTCCACAAGCGATTGCTGCTCTTAATTACCTCCACTATATCGGAACTAAGAGAGTCTACGAGTCGAGGTCGCCGCCCTGAATGTGGGACCGTCGACGACAACTCGATGGGTTGCACTCCCTTTTAAGCGCCCTACTAGTACGTCCTGTCTCTGTGTAGAGCTGATACTTCATCTAGAATACAAGGGTCATCGAGCTTATCATCATGATGGGTATCTGATGGAACTGCTATTCCGCGAGATGGGCCCGTTGCAATATGTCGTTCCATGACTGATGGACAGGTAGCCCTTACTTAAAAGAAAAATGAGAAAGGTGATATATATAACGAGGTACTCAATACGGAGAGGAAAGTATCTCTTGCCGCATACACCGATGCCGTCACAAGAATGGCACATCGACAGAATGGCATTCACCTATGCAATGGCCTTCTACACCAGCAACTTCATGGCCGTCGTTGGACTAGGTAAGTAATACATCACCTTTTTCTATACTCAATCCCTAGACGCTCAACCTCGATCTTCCTTCCACGATTCCGACTTGTAACAGGAATACAAGTGATGATGTGTGCCCACGGCCTCATCGTCTTTCTCAACACGCCTACATGGTGCTAAGCTTCATCATCCTACTTCTATGCTTGATCCCCACATGCCTTGACCTCGCAACTGGATTCGAGGCACTGTACGGCACGGGTTCGGGTATAGGTTACATCCGCGCAAGTCTTGCCCGTGGACCTGGCAACGTAAAAGACATCATTTCGCAATTTCTGATTTACACCTACATCCTACTAGCCGACGCGCTTTTGGTGAGTTCAAATAGTTCACGAGTTGTCTGAAAATTCCGACTTGCCTATACACACCATATTTACTTGCGACAGCTTTGGAGATGCTATATCATCTGGAGCGACGTTGGAATCCAGGTTCTAGTTCTACCATTACTCTTGTTCCTCAGCGTTGTGGGTCAGTTATCACCTCATCAGCATACTCTTCCCCTTCTGACACCTCCTCTTCCTCCTCCGCAGGCCTCTCCATACTCATCCTCGCCCGCATCACAACAGGTGCAATATGGAACACCACCAACCACGCTTGTATCCCCGCATACACCCTCCTAACAGTCTCCTTCAACGTAACCGCCACATCCCTCATCGCCTACAGGTCGGCGAATGAGTGTGTACAAATCAGCCGCGAGGATCCTAATCGAATCTGCTCTTACTTTGACGATATGCGGCTTAGAAGTTAGCGAGCGCAGTCGCCAGAGTCGTCGTCCTCTCAGGACATCATTCAAGTTTATCGTCCCTTGATATCGATGACTTGCAATCCGACCTAACCACCGCGGTGGTTTCAGGGATATCCGAGGCGCTTTATCATAATTTTGCGTTGAGTGGTTACGTCAGAATTGCAGGTCCCTTGGGCAGTATTGGCTTGGACATATTGAACTTATTAATCATATTCCTTTTTACCGGATTTCTCCACAACTGATCATATTCCTACTAGGAGGTCTTACACGCACGACGGGGACTTGGGTCGTGCCTCGACGAATCCCGAGAATCAGACCTCTCGACCTATGGTGTTCAACAGCTTTGGCCACGGTCTGCAGTCTGGACTGACTTCCATCGGCGCTCGGCGGGAGACCCTCGAAGAGGGATCTAGAAGGAGGCAGCAATAATTGAATCCAAGTAGGTACACATGCCTACGTTTGTCAGGGCAACCTCGTTAAAAAAAGGTGTGCAATCGCCCACTTGTTTAAGTCCCGTCGTCAGGTTATTGTTATTGGCATAATAAGGCTCTGCACACAGATCTTATCGCGCCGGGGCCATTCTTCGACTTGAAATGAATATGCTAATGCTGTGATATTAGTCAACAGCTTCTGGCCTACTCTCTGGTATATAAGCCAGCACCTAGTCGATTGCCAGGGTCAGAGACAATTCTATCCTACTTCACCCACTTGTACTACTCCTCCCACTTTCAACACTCGCGATGAACGTCGATTACAGCAAATACACCGTTATCCAAGATGGCGCTAGAATCATCGGGGGCGACTTCGTAACAGTCAATGGCCAACCAGTGGCCCCTGACACCGCACCCCCGGTCTTCAAATCGACGGATGGCACACCACTCGGAAAGACCCCCAATGGTCCAGGCTTCAGCACCCCTAGGGGACCACCTAACGCGACGGGCGGCACTCCTATTTACAACTCTGCTGGCAAGGTCATTCGCAGTGAGTAGTAGTCTTGTCGTCTTCCAGCCCTTGGGAGCCTCTGTCGGCTGATATGAGAGCTATGTATAGTCAAGCATGGCCCCCCGGCGCCCGGCGCGACCAACGTGAATTCGTTGCTCGGGCCCATCCAAGGTGCGTGTTTTGGATGTTAAATCAAAACTTTAAAGGACTTGGTCTGACGTGAAACTGAAACTGCAGCGAATCAAGGACCTTCCAACCAAGCCCAGCGCAAGTGAGAAGCGCGCTATGTACGACTATTGATTCTGTGCAGCCTGTGCGGTACTCGTAGATCGACGTGGCCCGATATTCCCAGTGAACCAATGTCGATATTAGTTCTGTATCTTTTCCAAACTCTATTAGTGACAATCACGAAAGTTGAGCTCACTCTCGGATCTAAGTCCCAGTTGCGTTACGAGCTGTGGGCTCTGCCTTTTGGGGTATGGCACGACCCTCATAGCCGAACTTATGCCAGCGAAGGGTAGGTTGGTCTGGCCTGTTCTTGCAGGATCCGGCGAGTTCGACCTTTTTCCTGAAGTTGGTCTTTACATCGCCGAAAACATAGAGACAGGATTCCGAGGACCAAAGACCGCCAATTATTTGATAGGCCACATTGTACTAAGATACAGGGCGTTACTGACCCTCGAGGTGATCAAATTCGAGTTTTCTACCACCTTTGACTAATAGGGAGTAATAAAGGAAAGGGGAAGCCATCGTCGGAGATATTCATTGACATCACCCACCGAGCAACCCATCGCCAGAGCCCCAGCTTCAAATAGGGGACTTAATTGCCTTAACGAGCTGGGCGCTTAGTTCTCACTGGACGCTCAAGGCCCAAGGGTGTCGAGAGCGGAAGTGTTGGGGAGAGAAAAAAAGAAAGAGAGGAAAGGCTAGCTAGGGAGTTACATGGGTATACCTACGAAGAAGAAAGGGGTAGGAAAAAGAAAGTATCTCCGCGTGTCTGCTTCTATCGCCGCTCGCAAAAGCCGGGGCCAAAACGAGGGCATGAGAAGCGAACACGGGTGATATACCCGCTTTTGCAAGACCATCATGAAGTTTCCGCTGAGGTAGACCCGCAGAGAGGACCTTCGATGCGTCTAAAGCATCAAGGTTAGAGCGATCACTGTCAACGAGTGATAAAGGAAAACATACCTGGTGGTAGAAAAAGCGGGGCTGTCCATATCGATCCCAAGCACTCATAACTGAGAGCGTGGAACGGGGCGGAGGCGGAGACGAGTATAAAGAGCTCCAGCCTTCAGCTTCTCGGACCACTTTCCAATGTAATGGCGACTCCGAGAAGAGCCATCACTAGACGCTGACTTCAGAGAATCTGGGGTAATGTCAGAAGACGTTCGAAACGAACTCGGACAAGTGAAAAGGCTCACCTGAAGACGTGGAAAGTGGCGAGGGCGTCTGAGTCGAGGTCCCCTTCACAGGTCTCGACCTGGATGAGCGTCGAAGTTTGTCTGAGTCTGGGGGAAAAGGGGTATGAGAAACCGAAACAGGAGAAGTGAGAGAAGAGGTCTGAGACTTACCAGACATCAAACGATGCTCCACAGGGTCTCTGTGTGGTGAGGGGAGATGCATCTCGTCAGGATGATGAGAGCGGAGCTCGCACTCGGGCACGAGTCCACAAAGACACCTGTGCAAAAAGGTATTCACACGGCGGCTATCCTTGAGGATCGTACCCTTCTCCTCCTCGAGCGCATCGGCCAAACCGGCGCGATACTTCATGACAGTCCGAGTCCGAACCGCATGCAGCATTTTGAACTGCTTCGACGTGAAGCGTTCGTCGAGCGCCGAAGCGATCGTGAAGAAGGACGCCAAGTAGAGGGCGAGCGCTTCTTCGGTGGACTTGACCCTCAAACCCCGCGCACCGGTGTAGCGAAGGAAGAGGTAGAGTGCGCGGATGAATGTTGAGGGCAAGATGGTGGGGTGGCGGGCGATGGTGCGCTCCATGCACTCCTGGATCGACTCAATGCATTCAGATTGGCCGACCCGAGAGGCATCTCGACCGAAGGTGTCGTGGAGGTACCCGTATATCGCGTTCGCCAAGAAAGTGGTTTGGTGCAGCTGACACTCGGACGAAATCGCCCAGACGTTGTTGTAGAGTTTGGTGTAAGCTGCAGAAGACATCGTGGTTTGGGTGTAAGGATAGGTTTGGATGTCTTAACGTTAACGTAGAAAACGCTATTTATTTATGCACAAATCGCCATCTGGCTTGCGGAAAGTACCGAAGCTGAACACCTATGAGACCGGCTCGAAGACCGAATGGATTCAGAGACTTCTGAGTTGAAGTCGCTTGCTTTCTTGGGGCCGTGTCACTGAGACCCGCGGGGGTCGGATAGTCGCGTCGGTGTCTCGAAGAAACCTCGCGCCTAGTGATGACCGTCGCCCCTAAGTGCGCTTCTAATTGCGTTTGTTTGTTTCGCAAGGCGTCACCTTCCTCGACCTCACACTCCATTTACTTCGCCCGCGAGCTCCACGAGGCCAGATTGCGGGCATCACGTCTTGTTAAAGCCATTGGCGAACTGTTGTTTCATGGAACATACTGAAGCACCACATTGACGGTGCACCGGGATATGCAGCTCGGCCGTCGTCCCTGCCGAACCATAGATGTCATGCTGACCGCGTTGATTTCGTTGACCCGTTGAATGTTGATTGCGGTACGCACATGGCCTATTTTCTTTGTTCAGCGATGTTTAAGGCCACTCATTGAATACTAGAAAAACGATCATTCAAGGAAAGCATGGCTGCTCGCAAGAGCAGCAAGACCATCTTTGACAACCACTTCCGCGCCGAAGGATTCATGGGTCATGAACCTCCAGACATCAGAGGTAGTGATATAGGTGGCTGATATATTGGAATTCCATGTTCGATCTGCGAGCCTCTGTGGCATTAACCAATAAACCGTGGATATCCCTCTTCGAACCTGGCATGACTTGCGGTGAATTCGGTCCCTCGTGGCTCTGTCAATTAGAACGGACAAAATAGGCGCCGGCGACGTTACAGCCACAAGGGCAAACAGGTTCTCATTTCGCGTACGTTTGTGCATACACGTTCAACTAAGAAGTGACAGTTCATCCCAGTCGGATACTGGTGGTCTCCATCATCTTCTCGTTATCGCATTCAATGACTGCGCTCTCGAAGCGAAGCCAGCACCTCCACAAGAACTTCACACAAGCGGTCCACATCAAAGGAAATTAGGTGTTCATATTAAACGCCCATTGAGTGGTCCGACGTTGGTCCGGGCGTCCTCGGCGGGCGCTTGATGCTAGTAAATGATAGCAGCTCAGAAGATAGATAAAATTGGATTCAGAAGCGAAGGTTGAAGTGAAAATAGTGGCCAGAAGCTTTCAGCAAAAGATTACAGCCGACGTACATAATTCATACAGCGGAGAACTTGGCTTGTGCGCTCTTGGGGAAAGTTAATCGATGCGATTTACATAATTTGCTGGCTCTTTGTATTTGGGGAAGTCCAAATCCTACACGCTTCCCGCTACTAGAGGCAGCTTGAAGGGAGCTAAGACATCATAAGTAGCTTCAAGTTGGTCGGAATCGGAAATAGAGCACCAGAGTTGTTGCATCTATTCGCTTAGAGCTACTATGTGAAGCTCGGAGGACAGGCCCCCATGTACATTTATAAAGGGTCTTGCGACCGATGTCAGCAGTTTCCTCACCCTTCGCACCCAATTCATCAGGCTACCAATAACGATCGTCATGGTCAGTGATTCACCCCTCCATGAACGACCTCGCTTACCTGGCGTCATCTAAAACACCACCCAGCAACAAGACTCTAGGCGGGGACCTGATGACCCTTGTGGATACCTCAGGCGCAAGCCCACCAGTGGCCGGCTGAGCCGTTACGGAGGGTGGCTCCCAGCTCAACCTGCGGTATATCGCGAGTTCTTGAAGAGTCAGCGCCAGCTCGGAAGGCAGCGCCGTCGTGCTGCAGTCGAGCATGTCGCCGCCGTTGCACAGTTCGAGAAAGCGATCAGATCAGACCCCGTTATGTCGCAGCTTATGGACCAAGTGTTCCTCCAGGTTGCCAAAGTTCCCGGTTTTGACAATGTAAGGCGATTACCTGTGAATTGCTGCATTGGCACTGAAGTCCTTCTGTTCACAGATCGACAACTTCGAGGAGCTCCTCCATACCATGGATGGCATTGTCACCACAGCGCCGAAGTTCCAGGTTGTTAAAGACGAAGACGGCAATACCGTCGGGGACTCCGTTGGATGCCCCTTGTATCTTCTCCTTGATCTGCCCAGCAACACCTCCGCTGGGTACGATCTCTTCCGCATGCCCGCCTTCAACAAGGTCATGGGGGACGTCTTGAACGAGTGGGGCCGCTATCTAACCACCCCAGATTCGGGAAACGTGCTCAATGAGACAGAAGAGGGCTGGTTCAGTCCTCTCTCTCTTGCTGGCCTGGAGAAGGGGCGCGGACGGTTCAACTCCACTTACGTCTGCCCTGAACCCGACTCTCCCAATCGCGGCTTCACCTCATGGGATGCCTTCTTTACCCGCGCATTTCAACCGAGTGCCCGCCCCGTCATCGCATCCCACGACAAGTCGATCATCCACAACGCATGCGAGTCTACCGTCTATGCCATCTCGCGCAACGTCAAGAAACACGATCGATTCTGGCTCAAGGCTCAACCTTACTCCTTGTACGACATGCTCGACCAGAACGACGAAGACGCGGAGATGTTCGTCGGTGGCACGGTCTTTCAGGCGTATCTCAGCCCCGAGGACTACCACCGCTGGCACGCTCCAGTCGACGGTGTTATTACCAAGACTGTCCTCGTTCCGGGCGCCTATTATGCTGCATTACCCGACGAGGGAGCTGAAGAAGACGATCCCGACCTCAAACCTGGCGATCCTCACGGAGCCAGCACCCGCTCGCAAGGCTGGCTGACCGTGGCGTCTGTTCGCGCCCTCGTCTTCATCAAGGCCGACAACCCAGATATCGGTATGGTGTGCTTCATCGGTGTTGGTATGTCAGAGGTATCTACCTGTGAGACCACGGTTAGGCCTGGTGATCGCGTCAAGACGGGCGACCAGCTTGGCATGTTCCACTTTGGTGGCTCTTCGCATGCACTGATCTTTCCAGCGCATGCTAAGATCACCTTTGCAAATGCCGTCCAGCCTGACAAGCATCTTTGGGTCAACTCAGTCCTTGCCCAAGTGAAGAAGGAGTAGAGGTCAGGACTACAGGACCGTCAGGCGAAGTAGTTGTAGCTCTATTCAGTTACTCTACAACTTTGTTTCTCGATTTAGGACCTGTCTGGAAGGTATTCTAGTTAGCTAGTATCGCTTCAGTATTGAGAAATTAAGCGACTTATCTGGTTTGCGCTTGTCGCGTTTGTGCGTCAATACATCGTTTTAGTGGCAAGGATATACGAATTCTTCTTCGCGGCAGGACTCGTTGCCAGGACACGCATCCTGCTCGACCTCTCCTTCCCGTGACTCACAGGCGTGACCGTGTGATGGGTTTGTGCCTCCAATTTAAGCGCCCAGTCGTTAATCGATCCATCGATCTGGGATCTCTCCACTCACCTCTCAACACAAAGGCACCATGACTGAAGACACTCAAGCCAAGGCGACCGGTCGTGGTAAGTACTTCTACCGCGACCTTGTCACATTCCAGGTGAGGCGACTGTCGAGTTGCAGTCCCCGAATTCATGCCCCATTGTGCCAATCTCACTGTCTTTTGTTTTACACAGGTCGAAAGCACGACCTATCGCCTACCCAGAGAAGGGTTCGAGAGGCAGTCTGAGGTATTCAAGAGCATGTTCGAACTTCCTCAGCCAGAGGGCCCGATTCTTGAAGGAGCGGGCGAAGATAACCCCATAAAGCTGGAAGGAGTGTCGACGGTGCAGTTTGAAAGTTTGGTGGAGATCTTATACCCATCGTATGTCACGCTTCTCTATGAACGTCAAGAAAATCCTTAGATTTTGGCCAGACAGGTACCCTACACGCCGTTGAATAAGGATCAACTCCTCGCAGCGTTGGGAATTGCACAACGCTGGGAAATGAACGAGGTACGTCATTCGAACAACTGTGCTCGAAGCGCTCCTCACCATTGATTCATATTTTTGTTCAGGTCATCCATTACATCGAATCCGCCCTTTTGCGACTGAAACTTTCTGATCTGGAGAAGACAGCCCTAGGGAAGAAACACGGCTTGAACAGGTTACTCGTCGAAGGGTACTTGCCCCTCGTCACAGGATCTAGGGCGCTAGGTTTAGAGGATGCAGCAGTGATTGGCTGGGACTGTGTAGGTCAGCTTCTGTACCTGAGGCGGCTAGTGGACGCCAAGTTCGCGCGAGAAAGGCGATGCGGATGGGAAGACCTTGCATGCATCAAGTGTGGCGGCTGCCCTCGAGAAAATCGTGCGTGGGTCTTTTCAGATTGCAACTGTGCCAAGGAGAACAAGGCGACTCTGGACGTTGTTAGAGTCAAGGTTGTCACCGAGGAGCCATGGTCGGGACCGACATTGGAAAAGATACGAGAGTTTTGCAGAGAGACTATGGCGAAGGAATTGGGGATAGAGTCGGGTGCCTAGAAAACGACGGGAGATTTTGATAACACTTTCAGTTCGTCTAAGTGATTGGAGTTTCTGTATACCGACTAGTTGTACCAGAGTTTGTAGCTTGATAGCAGAGAATACGAAAGATCGTTGCTCAACCATGGGCAAAGTGGATTGCTTCCGCAGCGGAAGCAATCCGGCTGGAGTCGTGGAAACGCAGTACCATTTCCGTTGTGCCGAACCTCTGCCGAGCCGCCCAGCATGGTGCAAGGTCAACTCTGGGGAACAGCTCGATTATCACCTGCTTCCACAGGCTTGCCCTCTTCCACCAACAGACGTTGCCAGTCAGTTTTTCCTGCCCCATTTCCTGCCCTTCTGTGTTGACTCAACCCTCTCTCCTTTCGTCTAGAGCTCCTTTCTGGCTTTGTCTGACCCCTGCCTTTCCCGGATCTTCAGACGGGTCATTTTTCTCCCGGTTTTTTTGACGAAGCGTGCTGTTCAAGTGCATCAAAACGAAGCCTATACCCCGCAATCCAGCTCAACCATGTCCTCGAACACGAACACCGACAACCATGCAAACGCCAACCAACAGTTCTCATGGACAGATACACTCAGCATCGCATTTGCCTCGTGCTCAGCAGCGTCTTCGTCATGTTTTCCATCGTCGTGTCTGCGGAGGGTCCCTTCTGACGACAGCATCCAGAACGAGGGTGGCGTAGGCGGTGGCATAAACCGAATGGACGTCCCAACGAACCCCTTCAACCCCGCCATTAACCGCATTCCCCGTGCTCGTCCAGACGAGCTGCAAGGTCTCCTAGCGGATGCCTACTCAGACAACGACACCGACGCCGAACGCCTCTCCCTCCACTCCAACTTTGGCCGCAACCGCCCCTCGAGGAAGAAGAAGAAACCCAAAAAGATCTCCCTATTCGGGTTTGACCTGTTCGGAGCGGGCAAGGGGAAGGGGAAGAAGGCCCCGCCGATCCATTTGGGAGATGAAGATGACGCGCTGTACGGTAATATCGACGCTGATGATGCTTCTTCGTCGACTACCACCACGACGGACGTGACAGGTCCTGTCAAGCAGAAGCGTCGGCGCGACTCGCGAGCCGCACGTCCGAACGCAAGCTCGGACACTCTTTCCGCCCCGCTCCTCACCGCTTCGACGTCCATGGCGACTTTCGACTCGGACGCCGCCCCACTGCCGTCCTCCGTCATCGAGGAACTCTCGTCGTCGACCTCGGCAGCGGCACTCATCGCAGCCGCGGAAGCTGAAGCACAGGCGTTCAAGCAACAGCAAGCGGAAAAGGAGGCGAGGAGTCAAAGGAAACGTGAGAGGCGTGCTCAGCGGGAGCTTAGGGAGAGATTAGAGCGGGAGAGGTTGGCGCTGGAGAGGTTCAAGATGCAGGGAGTCCTTCCCGAGAGTGGTAATGGTGAAGAGTTTGAGGGATTCCAGGGTAGTGGAAGTGCTGTGCCACCGAGTATGGGAGCGCTACTCGCCAGAAGGAGTGGTGCTCCGGGTACGGGTACGACGACAGGCACGTCAACTTCGACATCGACATCGACCTCGCAGACTGGAAGTGGCAGCCGACACGAGCGACTTGGATCTGTCGTCCAGGCTGCCCCTGTCGCTGAGCCAACAACCCCGGAGGCTGACGAGGAGGAAGCCGCGGATCTAGGTGGGGAGATGTACTCTAGTAAACGTCGTCCTTATGGAAGCAAAAGCTCCAACGGGAGCGACTCGCGCAGTCGAACAAGTCGAACGAGTGCATCATTCTCCCAGAGCGGCCAGGGCCCTCTTCTTCCTACCAATACCCAACAACTATCATCTCTGCCACCATCCCCGCTCACGACCTCTCCACCCATCTCAAACTCGCAATACCCACAACCGTCACCCCTTCAATCAGCCTTTACGACTCCCGCTCCCAATACCCCAGCCTTGGAGAAACCGAAAAAGAAAAAGAAGAAGCACGGCCAAGTGTCCATCTCGTCTACCGCGCGAAGCCACTCCACGACGAGAACCTCTACCTCGAATGCGTCCACCTCCCAGTCGACATCCCTCGCCTCCCCGACATCCACCGGCTTCGGCATGGCCCATCCACACACCCTCGTCCCCGAGGACGGCGACTACCTCCAAATCGTCAGCCCCAGCACAATCGAGCAGGGATTAGGCTTCTTCGACGCGGACGATCTGCCTTCAGTACCCAGCCCCGCTGCAGCCACATTCGACAAGGCTGCTCGGCGCCACGACTTTGATGGGACTGTCGGTGGTGACTTTGATGGTACCGTTGGTGGAGGATTCGACCATGCCCCCATGAAGCAGGATGTAGCTCAGACCCGAGACTCCTCGAGGCGTGGTGATTTCCCTATGGCTGGGTTTGGCCTTGGTGGGGGCGGACGGAAAGCCAGGGACATGGCCAAGTTTTTGGCTAACACGGGTGATCAGGATCTTGACGGTGCTGGAGGACTTTGAGTCTTCACCACCATTTCTCGCCCGTCGATTGACTATTGGTGGCTGACACGACAGTCGGCGCTGCACGGTTGTTTTCTGCAACCTGTGTTCCGCGCCTCATAAAAATACCCCCCATTCCATCGGGCTAGATGCTCGATGCTCGATCTCAACTTTCCACCACTGGATACACCCGATTTCTTGCCGTATACCCGCAGCAAACCGAATCCATTCACTGGACCCCTTTGTACCCTAATACTGGATGGAGTAATCCGTATCCTCATGTTCGATTTCACACCGTTGTACCTATGCTTCATTTCTCATCATTCCTCTCCTCAAGCGCCTAGCGCCCAGTCCCTCCTTTGCCTGTTCCCCCTCCTGCCTGTTCCATAGCTTGTTCCTTCATACCCTTCGTAATTGTTACTTTCTACCTTACCACTAGGCCTTTCTGTAGTATTCCCATACTCCCTTTTCGTAACGACCCCCTTCTGTTGATGATGACGATGATGAACGATTGTAATGACAGCTTGTTTCCGATAAGCGCCCCTTGGAAAAACCGATAGTCTGAAGAAGAGTCGCAGTAGTGCTTGGTACAGGCTTCGCTTGAGAGGGTGGTAGACTCGGATTCCAGACGCTCGATCCCGTCCGTTCGAGCGGACATGCTCGAAACCATCATACTGCCAGCGACGACGACGGTGGTCCCAAGATTCCTGCGACCCATAGAACGTTTCAACTCGCGTCCAAGATATACTGCCTAGATATACCGGCAGAAGTCAGTACATAGGTCTGTATAACCACTTTTCTGATTCCGGGATTTCCTGTGTTCTACGTCAAGGTCAGCCACTTGACGGTGCAAAACAAGAATAACCAGCACACCCACCCATAGCGCACCAAGCTCCTCACAACTGACCATTTCCGACTCGCCTGGTCCAATTCATGGATAGTAATGAGGTGAACAAACGTATCCAAGTCCCACGTAAAACTGCTCTCCATCAACTCCCTCCTCACCTCCGCCGTCCTCTCCCCCCAAACTCCTCAAACAGATCGTCCACACGCTCCTTCGTGTGTATACAATCATCGCGAAAGTGCCTCTCGTGTGTAAAGTGGTGCAAATCGAACGTTTTATGGACGTAGAAGCCAGCACCGTTCTGGCCTCCGGTGCAGTTACGCCATGTGAACATGTCGCGGGGGTGGACGTTTGGGTTGCGCCGTAGGGTTTTGGAGATTTGTTTCTCGTCGTAGAGTTGTTGGAGGAGGGCGATTTGGTACTGGCGCATGGCGGGTGTGTAGTTTAATTTCCGCTTTCGTCTGTCTTATCTGAATTTAGTCCGCCGTTTGAAGAAAAAGAGGGAGATATTGGGGACCCTACCAAGGTAGCTGAGACGCATCTGGGTGCATTCCCTTCGATGCCGCCGTTTCCAATCCTCCCTTTGACAGGTTGGACTGCAGTAGCACATCATGTGGCACCCAGAGCAATATTTAATCCTCTCCATCTCGAAGACCTCGTCATCCGGGAAATGTTCTCGATGCTGTGGATGGGTTAAGATGAGTGCTTTGATTTAATCGAAAACGCCAGATGGGTTTAAACCAAGACGTACAGTACGTACCCCCCAGTTGTCGCAAAGAGCGGCACACCTGACACTACCGAGGTTCTCCAACGCCTTTTCTCCTTCATACATCAGCGCAATCCACGCCCCCCAATCCGGATCGATATGGCGCTTGCTCACGATATCTTCCTCGACTTCCCGCGGCATCTTCCTAATCGCGGTGAAGAGAGCTCGAAGTCCTTCCGGATACCACACATAAGGACAAAAGAGATTGAACAAGTTTAAACCATCTTTTTTGGCCGTATCTCCGCGTGGGGGTTTTGGTGTTTTGCGTAGCAGGTCAACGATGACGGGCATGAGTCCGCTTTCGAGGGCCTCAGTTAGGTTCTTCAAGGGAGGACTGTATGGAGCGCAGATGTTGTTCAGTTGTGATCGGGTGAGGGGTAGCATCATCTCGTGGTCCCCAAATCGTGGGTGTAGTGCGAGGATCGTTTTGGTCCATCGATAAAGATACCCTTCCTTCTTCAGTCGTGCGAGGATGGTCGGGCTCTTGCGGACCTGCTCGGTGATCTTCATCAACGTCCGCGTGTACTCGACGATCATTTCGTTAGAGAACATCGTGTTCTGGCAGAGAGACCCAAGCTCTACCACACGCGCGAGGAGGGTGAGGCAGAACCCCCTCACGTTGTTCCTCGAGGAGAACAGGGTGTCGTAAAAGGTCTGAGGCCCCTCGAGCAAGGTGGACATCCATTTGAGGATAGCGATATAATTGATGTCGACGAGGATACGCCCGTCTCTCGTTTGGTGGGGCGACCAGATGAACAAGGTGAGCGCCATCGTTGACGATGATGAGCGAAGGGCAGACTCGAGTCGCCGGTCAAGCGTCAACATCCCAAGCAACGTTCCCGAGGCCTCGGCTAGAACCTTCACGTCCGGGTCCCCGGCTTTCAACATGGATATCATCGTAACCGTGATCGACTCTATGAGCGCCTCCAGTCTTTCCAGCAGTCTCGAAACGGTCCCTTCTTTGAGCGCCCGACTGACCCCTTGAGAACAGACATTGAGGGCGCGGTTCAGATAGGACAAAGCTGCTAGACGGCGGCCGAGGGCAGCAGCTGGTAACCGTTTAGATCTGCGAGTGTTCTCCTGATTTTCAGGCTCGTAGTCCTGCTCGAAATGCGCCAGGCAGGCATCCAGTGCGTCCAGAGATTAGTTGGATGGTCGTAGGGTGGCAGCCAATTTGAGAAGTGATGACGGACTTCCGTCTTTGGAAGCCTGGATTCACTTGGTCAGTTATTTCGGCCTATTTCGGCTTATAAGTAGACGGTCCCAATCTAGGTTACCTTCTGCGCTAGCTGGGACATTAGGCGCGTACGATGGTTAGAGCGTGCATGCCAAGTGCGCGCGTGAGACGCGCTATGACCCCAAGTTCAAGCGGAGCTTCAACACAGACAAAGCTCCACAAGTGGACTGTGGCCCCTATCCCCATCACTCGGTTGCTTTCCCATCCACTGAAGCCCCAATGGAGAGGCCTGCCCGGATTGCTTGTCCAAAGCTGCAGGCGACCCAGTCTCGATCTAAGACGCCCCGCCTTTAACGCATGGGATTTGTACTAAGCATGCTTGTTCACATGGCATACTCACTCGCGCAGCGTTACATACACCCGCTCTTCCATTCACCGGTCACCTGGGCTAAAGGTATACCTACTACAATTCCATAAGTTGGCTAAAAACACCGTCAATCTGACCCCTTCGACTCCCCGGAACTTTGAAAAACGCGCGACAACGCTTTTTCAAGGGCTTTCCGCACGTCCTCAGGGTCAGCCTCCGTCGGAAGCTCCTTCTCAACATCACTCAACACCACCATGCTCGACATCGTCTTGCAGCTCTGGCACCCAAGGTCCTCTATCCTACTACTACGGCCCCTGGGGTTGTCCTTCGTAAGGTAACCACCACAACCGGGCTGGGAGCACTGAGCGCCCGAGATGCTACAGACCAGCTTCGGTTTAAACCGCCAATCCTGCCTGAACTCTTGCCGCACGAAGGCGATGTGCCCTATACTGTCCCAACCGATCTGGTTCGCTAACTCGACGCTGAGAGGCGTGTCGGAGGTCATGAAAGAGAGGTACCCGTCTGCGAGGAGTTTGGCGAGGCTGTGTTTCTTCCCGAGGATGATCTTGTCCACTTCCGATAGGGGTAGCTTCAAGTTCCTCAGGGATTCCTCGATGAAATGGGCGACCTATAGAAACATTGTCAGGTATTACCAACGCAAGTATGTGAGTAAGCCACGTACGGCATCCATCTCCCAAAGCCGAGCCAGCCTGAGCGCAGCGACGAGCTGATCCCGCGTCCATTCATGGCGGATCTCTCTATCGAACGGAGAAGTCAGAAATGCGTTTATATCCCAGCTGAGCCCGCCTCGTAGATGACGTGGAACTCACGAAGGATAAAGAATCTCGATTATAGCCTCAAATTCCTCCTTCTCTACCTGTGGTATATGGATAGGGTTATCGTCGCTGTTCTTTTCCACATCTCCCCGGGAAACCGTGAAGAGCGTCCTGAAGAACGAAGACTCGCGCTCCAGAGCGTGCTGGGGCACATTGTAAAGCGTATCATCCACCTGTGAGGTGTAGAATCAGCATCCCACACCGTCTAGGTGCCGTTACGGGTCACCTACCTGCAAGATGGCGAATTGGGAGTTGTAGTAGTACTTGTCGCTGCGGGAGGCCTTGTTCATGGGTTTGAGTTTGCGTACTGTAGTTCTGTGAGGTGAAAAGATTGTTTGTGAACAACGCGATACCAGATCTTATCGATGCCACGAGCCACACGGGCGCTTAACCTAATAGTCACACCGTCATGACCTAGGCACGTGGTCACATTTTTCGTGCTGTGCGTTCAAATTGTTCGGAGCAGAGCGCTCGAGCCTACCAAGGACATCTAACGTGGCGGACAAACTGCTGTCCAATTTGATCGAAGTTCGTGCTGTCCACTGGATTGGAAGATACCTGTCCGCTATACTGGCATATGCTCTCCTTCGAGCTAGCAGGAACTGATTTACCGCCATAGAAGCAAAGACAGGCTTTGTCCTCGAGAGGTACACGCGTCCAGTCATCGCAGTTGACCACTAAGGATTGCATTGGACGTGGTAGTGGACAGTGAGTGATATGCCAGACCAGTGGACAGCGCGAGGTCGGATCGCGAGTGGACAGTAGATTGGCCGCCGCAAAGAGGGATGGCACAACCTGTGTTTCCTGCCTGGACTTCGCATCCCATTCGTGGTAATGGATGAAACTTGAAGGTCGGTGTTCATATTGTGGGGCACGTAGCTCAGTATGGCATCATCCAACTGTCTGCGGACTACATCCAGATCTTGGTCGTAGTGAAGATGTAGTATACGAGGAAAAAGGGGTTTCCCAACGGCGGTAAAACGAGATCCGGCAACGCAAACCCAGTCAATTCTTGGCGAATCAAGCAGCAATAGTTCGTTCGAACGTGTGGGTATAAAGTAAGATAAAATAATAACGAGGATCCCTATGAGACGCATCAGTAAATCGTCAAAAGAACAAAAGAGAACAAGTGACAGCAAGACCGAGAGTAGCAGCAAAACGCACCATTCAGGATTCCCAACGCAAGACGTAGAATACAAGTTTGATTTTGGAATTCATTCAGTTGAATATGTTGTTACACTTTATGGCTTCGTCCTTCATGCGACCCCTCCCCCATGGCATCCTCCAGATCGGCGTTCACTCCTCCTCTTCTATCCGTTGCTCAGCCTGCTGTTGTTGTTCCCGCTGAGCAGCAGTCACCGCTGCCGAGGCGCCATTCTAGCACACAACCATCAGTACCTCATCCAGCGTCAACCAACCTCAAGGGCCAATACGATAACCACCCACCTGCCTCAGCTTCGCCAAATGAATTTTCAAGGTCTGCACGTAATTGTCGAACCCCAGCGTACTCATCGCCTGCAAGATATCCTCCCCTCCGATTGTCTTGCGCTTCTCCAGTTGGCATTTCTCGGCGGCTTCGGAGGTGATGAAGGAGATGAACTCGGACACGCATTCTTGTACGCATTCTTTGGCGTCTTTGGCGATTTTGGCGGTCGGTGGAACGGAGGATTTCATGATACGGGCGACGTTGGCGATCTGGAAGCGAGGAATGGTTGAAGAGTGTAGCGTCGGAGTGAGAAGGGCGCGCGAGGAGGGGAGAATAAGGGGTAGGAGGTGAGTGAATGAGAATGAGGCGAAGAATACTGGACGCACCGGTAGAAACCGATCCTGCTCTCGATACTCTCCCACTTCCTGCTCTGTGATTGGTACTTGTTCAGTCGACGGCTGCTGTGGCGCAATAAGCACGTCTGGGTTTGCTGGGTCGCGTGCAGCGAGCAGAGGCTGCAGGTCCGTCATGTTCGAGTTCGGCATGGTGTTCGCGGGGTAGTAGTTTGTGATTTCTTCGTATTGTCAAAGATGCAAGTCCTGGAGAAGGATCGACACGGTTGTGGGTCAGCTTTGTGTTGGGATTCGAAGAAGAATCCAGGTCACGAACCGTCCGTTGGCGACGAGGCCGGGGTTTGAGAACAACCTTTGTTCTTCTGGTCGCTTCCACTTATATCCGACCAGCTTTTCCGCGAGCTCTCGGTGAAAGTAGACAAACGGGTGGCTCTGTTTTACTCAGTCCGTCAACGGGTTCCTAATGTTCGACTTCGAGAAGACCTGAAATAAGAGCTAACTCGTCAGCTTTGATCTAGGCTAATATGTATACACGCCATTCAATACTCACCGCCTACAGATTTGCTTTTGAATAGAGCTTTCTCTTGCAAAGTCGCCCTCGGAGCCAGGTCGCTACCTCGGACTGTCGGCCCTATCTGCCTGTCGTTCGTGAGAACCGTATTTCGTGGTCCTAGTCGTCCTTAATCCCTTTTCACGATGTCACGAGTCGTCCCTGGTTATGTACGTCCTTGGGCCTGGAACCTACCCAATCTCGTTATCGTCTGTACCCCGTTTAGCTGGTATTTCTCACTCACCTCACTGTCCACGGGCCTCCCTGGCGATCTGGCTGGAGTTCGGCGTGTTTTAAACGGTCTATAGCGATGTGTTAGGGATTCAAGCAGCGCTGGCTTGACATTTATGACCCCGTCGACGTCGCGGACAGGGAACAAGAAAGAATCTGAGCAGAGGAAAGGGGCGCGGGACCAGATCTGCTGGTTGTTCCCAGGCTTTCTTGCCGCACACGGCATCGCCCTCGGATGACGGCCCGCCAGAACCAGGGGGCTTCCGGACAATTAAGCGCTCACTCGTCGTTCGATGTTGAAAAACAGATAGTGATGTCTATAAGCTAGAATGTAATCATAGGGTCTACAGTGTGGGCGTCATACCAAGGGGCTTGAGTCTCCCAACAAGCTATGGGGTCTTCCGCTTGCAGTCCAAGTCGGAGGCCCCGCAAAGCGTCCACCGTCGGAGTGTTCGCAACACTCACCTACACGGAGGAGGAACCTCATAAGATGCCTTATAGATTCCCTGAGCATCGTTCACAAACAGTCCCAGTCCCCTGGCCGCAAATCCTCTCCACAATGTGCAGGAATGTTTACTATTGTAACGGTTGTTGTCAGCTTGAATCCAGGCGTCGCGGGCTTGGATGACTGCCAATCCAGTAGTGGAACGTACGGTAAAGTAATAGAATCAGTAACGAGTTGTAGAAGAGTAGGAGGTTGGGTAACTCACAGGTAGGGTTACACGGTAGGAGTTGAAGGGAATCAATGAAGAGGCGCATGAAGACGGTGTTTCCACCTGGTCCATCAGGGTTGGTCAAGCTATCCAGTGAGTAGTTGAACTCCTCAACTAGGGTAGCATAGACGTCGTGTAACATGCTTCCCCAGACAAGGCCAATATCTATTGTGTAGGGGCAAAGGTTAGATTCCACACCCACGAGGAGCAGTGACAGGAAGTCGACATACTGTGAACGGAGCTAAGACCATTCAACATCCTATAGCTCATGACATTGCGCTTCCTGCCGGGTATATTAGTTTAGAAGGGCAGATATCTGAGAGAAATGCTTACTGGTCGGTAGTGTAGGGTATCCCGGATCGGACACCCCCAGGTCCAGCAACACCGGCGCCAATGACGAAGTCGCGAGTCTCGGAGGTCGTCTGAGAGAACCAGCTGTCAAGGCGGAATAACACAGTCAGCAAGCCGCACAATCTGCATAAACTAAAGAAAAAGAAACCCTCACTTGGCCATAGCATCAGACCAGCCCTCTCCCAACCCACTGCAAACACCTTACACTCCCACCACCAACCAACCGATTCGTAACACCATGCGCAAACTCATGGATGATCACATCATTATTCATCGCCGCCGGCCCCGTCAGCTCACACACCGGCGACTGGCCATCCGGCAGAACCCGTATCGACCCTCCACCCCGAAGCTCATCGCGCGCATGGACGACGACAACAACCGGATCCCCGCCCTCCCCGCCCTTGCCAAAGTTGCTCTCCTGGAAGTTCCTCGCCTCCTCGGTGAACCCGTACCTGTAGGTCACGTCGTGCAGGACGTTGAACGCGTGGAAGGCGTTGACGGTTGCCGCTTCGACGTTTGCGGGGTCGCTGATTGGCAGGTCGGGGTTGTAGGCTGTGAGGAATTTGAGGGGCCGGCCCTGGCCATTCACAACCCCGAAGGCGGTGGATCCTGCAACGACGTTGTTTCCCCTAGGAACACCCGAGATGGTTTGTTAGATGACGGGAGTGAGTTAGAAAGAGAGATGATAAATACATACGTTGTGGAATCAGAAAAGTCGACATCCGACCAGGAGTGCCATCCGAGGGGAGAAGCGTCGGTTTGGGGATCGACAAAGATCTCCGTTGATCCGTCGAATGCTGACTTGGTGATGGGCACAGCTCGGTACTACATACGAAAAGAAGCAAAACAGTGAGTGGACACAACCCTCGTTAAGATAAATAAGACCAAGCCATACCGTATCATGAGCGACGAAATCATTCATGCTGACCAGATCTCCCGAATGGGCGTCGACGAATACTTCGTACCAAGCTCCAGTGTCTTCATTTTGGAGCTGAAGAACGTGAGCGAGGACGACTGTCTTGTCGGGCCTGACGAAGTACTCCAGAGTGACATTGGAATTATTGTACTTGGCATCTAGAGTTTCTTCGATACCAGGGAGGATGTCCTTCCAAGCGACCGTCGGGTTGGGGTCAGGAACCTGGGCTGAAACGAAGAATGAGATTAAACGAACGTCACCGAGCTGTGAATTGAAGACGCACTGCTTGTGAAATCCACGAACGATGACCCAAACGAGGTGATCTTCCCTTCATTGAAAGCAAAGTTCGCCACCGCATTCGAGACGGGGATTCCATTCTGCCACCAAGCGCCCTGAGGTTAGCCAAACACGAATCCGATGCGCCCTTTGATACCAGCGACTTACATGCATCTGCGCAACCCACGCATACCCCTTATCACCCTGCGTATACCCCGACTTCCATTGGATCTCCGAAGCGTTGACCTTCATGTAGTCCGAAGCGAACAGAAGGACGGTGTCCTTCCACTCAGGAGCTGCAAACGCTGACACCCCCGAGTCAAATTGAGGGAGGGAGGCGCCGTCGGTGCCAAAAGTCTGTCATCCAATTTAGAGAGGTTAGCACTAGACCCTATCGACCTGGAAACCGATGGGTAGTACGGACCTTGAACTGACTGCTGGGAGTGTACGCCTCCACCCGTTTCCCGCGGGCAACATGGTGTGTATGATAATTAGAGTTCCTCTCGCCATTAAGTTGGAACTGCGGCAATGAAAGAGCGACTTGGGTCGAAAGCAATAGTGTGGTGAGGAGTGTAGAGAACTTGAGGTTAAGCATCATGTCGAATGATGTTTATATAGTAAAGAGAGTAAAGAGAAAGAACTAGCTGAGCTGGAAGTACGATGATGGTGCAAAAATGGTAGGAAGGAATTCAAGTCTGTTCGCGCACAGCGTGAACTCGAAAAACTCGAAAAAGAAAACGAAGGGGAAGGGGAATTAAGTGAGTGCGAAGTCCTTTTATTTTGTCGGTTTATGTGGAATTTTACTGATGGTTTGCGACCCGTACCTCACAATAGGCTCAGCGTGCACCAATTGTGGAATACACATTTTGGCCCAAGCATCGTCGTTGCAGCATAGGATCGATGGTCACCGGGTACGTTGCTACACTATAAACGGTCCAGTCTAAATAAGGGACAACATAATCAAAAGGAGACGTCATACCAAGGAATCTCGCTCGTCTGAGGACCGTCGTTAAAAACGTTAAACGTTAGAGGCCGCCGCTTGAAGAGCTCAAGGTCCGCGACTCGTCCGTCCCTAGAGACAGTGGTGCTGACCAAACTAGTCGTCTACAACTTGAGTTCCTTGTGGGAAGGCACATATTATCCCTGAATGCAAATGTCTGTCCTTCAAATCCAATGATTGGGCTGTAAGAAGAACATCAAAAGTCGCTCGTCCTGACCTAGTATCAACAAAAACCGTCACGGCCGGCACCGAGTTCCAACTTGAATCCATGGCGAAAGGGGATGGCTCCCTCCATTCCATGGGGTCAATCTCATGGAGAGCATCCCTGGATGGCCAAGCGTCACCTCCGTTTTCTCGCTGTCGTGGACGGAGTCGGACTCGGAGAGTCGGATGATGGAAGTTGAAAGCGTCACCCCCCTTGCGCGAAGGCGATACCTTGGGAAACAAACATGCGCAACTAGAAGCGCACTTGCCTTATGGGGCCGACTGCGGCCATCGCTACTCGCCAGGTTTCCTTCGAGACACCGACGCGACTATCCGACCCCAGCGGGTCTCAGTGACACTGCCTCAAGAAAGCGAGCGACTTCAACTCCGAAGTCTCTGAATCCATTCGGTCTTCGAGCCGGTCTCATAGGTGTTCAGCTTCGGTACTTTCCGCAAGCCAGATGGCGATTTGTGCATAAATAAATAGCGTTTTCTACGTTAACGTTAAGACATCCAAACCTATCCTTACACCCAAACCACGATGTCTTCTGCAGCTTACACCAAACTCTACAACAACGTCTGGGCGATTTCGCCCGAGCGTCAGCTGCACCAAACCACTTTCTTGGCGAACGCGATATATGGCTACCTCCACGACACCTTCAGTCGAGATGCCTCTCGGGTCGGCCAATCTGAATGTATTGAGTCGATCCAGGAGTGTATGGAGCGTACCATCGCCCGCCACCCCACCATATTGCCCTCAACATTTATCCGCGCACTCTACCTCTTCCTTCGCTACACCGGTGCGCGGGGTTTGAGGGCCAAGTCCACCGAAGAAGCGCTCGTCCTCTACTTGGCGTCCTTCTTCACGATCGCTTCGGCGCTCGATGAACGCTTCACGTCGAAGCAGTTCAAAATGTTGCATGCGGTTCGGACTCGGACTGTCATGAAGTATCGCGCCGGTTTGGCCGATGCGCTCGAGGAGGAGAAGGGTACGATCCTCAAGGATAGCCGCCGTGTGAATACCTTTTTGCACAGGTGTCTTTGTGGGCTCGTGCCCGAGTGCGAGCTCCGCTCTCATCATCCTGACGAGATGCACCTCCCCTCACCACACAGAGACCCTGTGGAGCATCGTTTGATGTCTGGTAAGTCTCAGACCTCTTCTCACATCTCCTGTCTCGGTTTCTCATACTACCCCTTTTCCCCCAGACTCAGACTCAGACAAATTTCGACGCTCATCCAAGTCGAGACCTGTGAAGGGGACCTCGACTCAGACGCCCTCGCCACTTTCCACGTCTTCAGGTGAGCCTTTTCACTTGTCCGAGTTCGTTTCGAACGTCTTCTGACTTTACCCCAGATTCTCTGAAGTCAGCGTCTAGTGATGGCTCTTCTCGGAGTCGCCATTACATTGGAAAGTGGTCCGAGAAGCTGAAGGCTGGAGCTCGTTATACTCGTCTCCACTTCCGCCCCGTTCCTCGCTCTCAGTTCTGAGTGCTTAGGATCGACGATATGGACAGCCCCGCTTTTTCTATCATCAGGTAAGCTTTCCTTTCTCACTCGTTCCCAGCGATGGTTGTCTAACCTCGATACTTTAGACGCATCGAAGGTCCTTTCTGCGAGTCTACCTCAGCGGAAACTTCATAGTCGTCTTGGAAAAGCGGGTGTATCACGCGCGTTCACTTCTCCTGCCCTCGTTTTGGCTTTGGCTTTTGCGAGTGGTGATAGAGGCAGGCACGCGGAGATATTTTTTCTTTTCTCTACCCCTTTCTTCTTCGTAGGTATACCCATGTAATTCCCTAGCTAGTGTTTTTCTCGTTCTTTTTTTCTCTCCCCAACACTTCCGCTCTCGACGCCCTTGAGCATCTACTGAGAATTAAGCGCCCAGTTCGTTAAGGCAGCTGAGCCCCCATTTCAAGCTTGGGCTCCGGCGATGGGCTGCTCTTGTCTGGTGTGTGATTTCGATGAGTCCCTCCGATGAGAGTACTTTGTACAAACGAGGATATGACATTGACCACATCTGTCAAGCTGTACATGCTCGATGGTAAAGTACTATGAGATGAGGCTACATAAGGAACTGTCCTAAGTGCAGAAAGTCGGAACCTCAAACGACTCCACGTATCCCTCCGTCTGAGCACCAGTGCCAAGACCCCTGCTAGCAAACGCCCGCCAAATGACGCAAGAGTGCATACCACCATACCGGTCAACGTCAGCCTGCAGCATGGCATCTCGGGCTTGAACGACTGTTAAGAGGCAAAGTCAGCCGACGATTCCCAATCAAACGATTCCAAATTGAAGGGGAGAGAACCAAAGGAGAAAATTGAAAACTTACAGGTAGGGTTGCAAGGCTGCAACTTCATAGCGTCGTGGAGGAGCTGCATGAAGACGACGTTGCCACTGAGCCTTGTGGCATCCTTGAAGTGGGTGAGAGAGTAGCCGCTCGCTTCGACGAGGGCAGCGTAGACGTTGTGGAGCATGTTGGCCCAGACTTCACCGACGGCTAGGGAGAGAAGTCAGTCGTGGGTCCTTAAGAAAGTCACGATTCACGACAAGGACTTACCGTGGACGTCGACGCTCACAGAAACATCCTTGTAGGTCAAAGGATTGGTCGATCTATCATTTAAGCACGCGTCAGATGGGGTCAAAAGGGAGATGACATGGGGAACGTACGGATTGGTAGAGTAAGGGAAGCGGCGAAGACCAGTCTCTGTGCCTGTGAGGAATTTACCAATGACAAAGTCTCTGGTCGTTACCGATTTTTGAGCGAACCAACTAGAACAGTCAAAGTAATTAGCATCCGGCGCAAACAAAAAGAACATAGAAACGTACTTGGCCATAGCATCGCTCCAGCCCTCACCGAGACCCGCAGCCTCGAAGGTCTGCAGACATCGCGCGGTACCACCGCCAGTCATCCTGTTCGTCAGGCCATGGGCGAACTCGTGGATGAGGACATCGTTTGCCATCGCGGAATCCTTCCTGGGCGCGCTGAGGTCGTCGGTAGTGAATATTCCCAAGGTGACTATGGGCGATATCCCATCGGGAGGGACGGCAATGAACGCCTGGTTACGCGCATTAACGGTGCCAACATTCGCAATGATGTTGTCTACAGCGTTCTTCTTAGTCGTAAAGTCCGCGTCCTTGCCAAAGTTGTTGCCCTGGAAGTTGAACGCGAGCTCGTTGAAGCCGTAGCGGTAGGTGACGTCGTGCAGTGCGTTGAAGGCGTGGAACACGTTCACGGTTGCTGCTCTGGGGTTTGTGCCCAAGTTTGGACCGGCCAGGACTTCGTAGTCGTCGAGGTAGCTTGAGTTTTGGTTCCCGCTGGCAACTGGGACACCGCGGAGCAAAGCGTGGACGTTGTTTCCGCTGAGGGTGGGAGGTAAGTTGGACTGACAGCGAAGTGGAGAGAGAACAGGCAACCGTACCGAGTATCGTGGAAGAAGGCAAACTCTCCATTGCTGTGCCAGCCTGCAGGTGAAACAGTCAAATCCTCGGTGTTACGGAGTGTTATAAGTTTATCCTCGACGGATTGCTCGTCGATGGGCACGACGTTGTACTAAAGGGTTCTGGTCAGTGTACGCCTTTAGATAGTGTGAATGACTCATACAGCAGAGTGGGAGACGAAATCGTTGACGGCGACAATCTCTCCGGTGATAGCGTCGATAAAGGCCTCGAGATAGGCGCCGGTCTCCTCGTTCCTGAAGTGCCCCACGCGGGTTAAGGCGATGGACCTGTCAGGCTTGATGTAGTATTCGAGAACTGCTTCTCCGATTTCGCCTTGTGCGTTTCGGAGGGTGTAGTTGGCGTTGAGAGCTTCCTCGACCGCTGGAAGGAATGTCCCGATCCGCTGGCCCTCTTTGGGGGTGGGTACTACGCCTATCAAGGAGGAGAGGTTAGACATTGTATGGACATGGAGAACGTGCAGACGGCTTACTGTTCGACAAGTCTACAAAGTTTGAGCCGAAGGAGACCACCTTGCCTCCGGTGAAGGCCAGGTTGGCGACAGCATTGGCGATGGGAATGCCGTTCTAGGGAGGGAGACGACCCGGGTTTATGAGAACAGACGCTCAGATACAAAGCCGGTTGAGACCTACGAGAGTTTGGCTGATCCATCCGTATCCCATATTTCCGTCAAGGAAGCCGGATGTCCATTTCATTCCAGCAGGGTCCATCCCGAAGTTGTTGGCCGCAAAGGAAAGAACTGTCTGTTCCCAGTTCTCGCCGAAAGCGCCTATTTCAGGACCTTCGGTGCCAAAGGTCTGCGAAGCAGAAGGTTAGGATAGATACAAGAGGGATGTGATGTGCTCAGGTACTGACTTGGTATTGGCTAGGTGGGCTGAAGGCCTGGATTCGCTGCTGGCGGCCAACGAGGCGGGTGTGGTGGGTCGCATGCTTGTTGTGAGCGGGCATCTTGGGGAGAGCATGGACGGCCTGGGTGGAGAGGAGGACTGTGGCGAGCAAGCTCGCGAAAGCCTTGCGTAGGACAACCATTATAAAATAGTGTTTAGAATTGAAAGGAATGTGTGTCGTGAATGTCGTGAATGTCGTGAAAGAAATGCGTCGTCAAGACGGATGTGCACTGCGTCAAGCAGGGAGATGAAAGAACGTGAAGGGTAGACGGATGGGGCTTTAGGACACTTAGGGTGAGGCCGCAATACGCATAAAGGTCACCTTAAATACATATGTTATCAGCACAATAGCTGGCAGACGCACAACGGGCGCCAATTGTGAGAGACGCTTAGATCCGTGTATCTCCGTCGCCCTCCATTACCTTCTTTTGCCAAGAACAGTTAGACTGGCTATGTGGGCACGGCGGTGAGACATTGGTTAATACTAGCTATTATTGTTTCGCTCCAAGTTAGTTATTCAGCGACCTAGCGACAAAGATTCAAATACGCACTGACAACCGATTGCGCACACAGGAGCCAGAAAGACCATCCTCGATTACCGATTCTGAGGTTTGTAGAACCATGGTAACAGAAAGTTATCACAGAAGGGACCTCTAAGAAACGATAAACTGCTGGACCAATACAGAGAATCAAGCACGATTTCAGGGTCTTTGCGAAATGTGCGTCGTGGTATGTAGCAGTTCGAGCTCGCGACTTGGCTGCCACATTGGCGTTGAAGATATTTCAGGCCCCGACGATCTCCGCTTGTATCCATTTTAGGTGCGAGGCGCGTTGGAATCGAACGCGTCCATTAACCGCGACGACGACGCCAGCAGCCCCAGAACGACGGCGACGAATGCAGTGAAACCTGGCTGTAGTGGATGTATCAAAATACCGTTCTAGAAACAAGATTATGCCGATTTAGACGAGGTTCGTTGGCAACAAAGTTCCCGGAATATGGCTCTGAATGTTGCCCAGTTTGAACAGATCGAAAACTATACCAAACGCGTTGAAACTGGGCTCAGAATGGACGAAGACGACTGGCAGGGAAATCCCAGTATGTTCGACCCACGATATTATCGGCGGCCGATACAGGTTCTAATTTGAATCCGCAGACCAGGTCCAAATACAGGACCTCAACCAGAAGCTCGCGGTGAAGGAGATCGAGCTCAAGGAGATGGAAGAGAGTATTCGGCACCTCCAGATGCGCAAGGAGAAGATTATGCAGGAGGCTGAGGAACTTAGACGATCGCTGCGTGTTCTCAGGGCGCCCATAACGAACAAAGGCAAAAGCAAGGCGCAACAGACCATTAATTACGCTGAAGACGAGTTCGACTGGTCTAATGCGCTACAGTCTCGAATGAAGAAGATGTTCAATATTGATAACTTTCGCCATTGTCAAAGAGGGTGAGTTATCTCACTTCTGTAACTTTTTCATTCTCTGAATGATGTCCAGGGTTTGCAATGCGAACATGGACAGAAGAGATATCGTCTGCGTTATGCCGACAGGTGAATAGGAACTTGACGGGTGTATTACTGGCTAACGTCCGCTTATATAGGTGGAGGAAAGTCTCTGACATACCAACTACCCGCTCTCCTCACCACGGGGTGTACAATCGTCATATCCCCCTTGTTGGCTCTGATCACCGACCAGGTTCTTCATTTGCAAGAGCTGGGAAGTACGGCTGCGCACCTTATCGATGAACGCTCTGTTGACCATTCTCTTAGTTGCCGCTGCCATGCTGACAGGTGAAACTCCGAGTGCAGAGAAGAAAGACGTGGTGCAACGGCTGAGGAACCTTGCAAACCCTCAGAATAAAGGAGAAGATCTCAAATTCGTCTACGTCACTGTAGGTATCGTCCTGGCTAACCCGGGCGGGGTTCTGACGCGAGTCGTAGCCCGAGAAACTGGTGAAAGACAACTCCTTCAAGGGCCTTCTAACGAAACTTGCTGCGGCGGGAAGACTGGGTGCGTCTTCCACCGTCATTCAGTTGACGATATTGACGGTGATTTTGACAGCGAGATTCGTGATCGATGAGGCTCATTGTGTCAGTCAGCTGGGACACGACTTTCGGTGAGTATGGCCCTCTTAGTTTGGGCATTCTATTCACCTCAATTATAGCCCCGACTACAAGGAACTCCATATTCTGCGGAAACTGTATCCACATGTCCCGATCATGGCGCTCTCTGCAACATGTCCGCCATTGGTGTTACAGGACCTCCTCAAGATTCTCTGTCTGAAGCCCATCACCCACGGGAATGGTAGTGGCTTCTCGAGTTCTCATACGTTGTGAAATTTATCCGATCCTTTACCAGATGCGAATATGGACGGGACCGTCTACTTTTCCTCACCGCTATACCGCAAAAATTTACATTACAAGGTTGTGCCAAAACCCGCCACTTCAGCCGCCACATATCAAGCTATCGTGGACTACATCCTCGCTGAACACCCCAATGAAACTGGCATCATTTATTGCTTTTCTCAGAAGGTTGGTTCACCTCCCCTCACCTCTCGATCGTAGCTGGAATACACGTCATTCAAGGACACCGAGAATTGCGCAGAGAAGGTCCAAGAGCTCAGCAACGGCAGAATCCGCACTGGGTACTATCACGCCAGACTTGACGCCCCAGCAAAGATCAAGCTACACAGCGACTGGAGAGTGGGTCATGTCAAGGTCGTCTGTGCAACCATTGGTTCGAGATCCTTCTTTTTCTGTCACCCGAGGTGGCATTGAGCTGACACGCGTTTCCTTACCCCAGCGTTTGGTCTCGGAATCGACAAGGGAGACGTTCGTTTTGTCATTCATCATTCTGTATGTCCGGCTCCGCTTCGTTCACTTCCAGACTGTTCTAATGGTGATCTCATAGATTCCAGTTAGTCGAAAGTGCGCTTCGACCTTCGGAATGAGCCCTTATCGGTCTTCTTTTCATAGAAATCAGTCGACGGCTACTACCAGGAGTCCGGACGAGCCGGTCGAGATGGGAAGGACTCGGACTGCGTGTTGTATTACCGCCCTCAGGATAGCGTGGCCGTGGGCTCTCTGGTAGGCAGTGCCGCCAACGGGATCCAGAAACGTGTGTTGTCCTTTTCTCTCTCGAGGAGAGTCTTTTTTTACCAATGGTCTCTCCCTTTCCCTGGCAGTACACGAAATAATCGACTTTGTCGACAACCTGGTCGAATGCCGCAAGATCCAATTCGCAAAGTGAGCTTCTTCTCGTGCTCGAAACTGCTTCACACCTTCCTCTTTTCATTTGATCCGACTGATTGGTGTCAAACCGCATGGCTAACAACACCCACCACCTCCTCCTCCCCCTTGACCTGCTGCAGCTATTTCCGTCATTCCGTGCAAATGTCCATCAGCTCGTGGTCGACAGCGGAGAAGGACGCGCTGGACCGGTGCGGGCATTGCGACAACTGCCTGCGCGATCCAGCCTCGATCGAGAAGCGGGACGTGACGCTGGTGAGCTGGCAGATACTCAAGATTGTGCAGGAGATGAAGAAGCTGGGGAAGAAGATGACGTTGAGCCAGTTGGCGACGCTTGCGAGAGGTAAAGGGAAGAGTCAGGTGGAGGTGAATACGGGGAGGGGGAGGAGGAAGACGAAGGAGGTTATGGATGTTGATTTGGATAGCGTGTGTGGCGGCCCGGCTCAGGATATATCTGCGAATGTGCGTGTTCTCATAGATGACCCTCAATATTGATACTGATGATTGACCCGTTGGTTTTATAGGACATTGAACGGGTCATCGTCCGGCTCTTGCTCGATGGGTATCTCGAAGAGGAATTCAAGGCCACGAGTTACTCCATCAACGTGTACCTCACTCTCGGCCAGCTCAAGGGAGCTCTGGTCCATACAAGACGCGAAGACATCGAACGGGGCGCGAGTAGGACGAAAATCGAGATGACATTTGTGAAACCGGAAACGAAGACACGCAAGTCGAAGACGAAGGCTACTAGTAATACCACCGGCGAAACGGATGGAAACGCGAAGAAAGGGTCGACTTTGAAAACGAAAACAACAGCCCAAGGTTCAAATACGAATGGAGGGGGAAAGCTAAGACAGACCCAGTTGCAGATGCGAGTGGAAGAAGAAAGCGAACAGGAGGAGTATATTGATATTTATGAAGGTCTGGATGAGGATGAGGAGAGTGATGAAGCGTATGGGGAAGACGAGGAAGAGCCTGCGCCGCCCACGCGAGCTGCCCAATCACGGAAGCGATCGCATGGGCGAGGTGCTGTGGAGCCGGAGGTGATAGAGGTGTTGGATTCGGATGAGATCGTCAGTCCGAGCGAGAGCGAGGAGGATGACGAGTGGCTGTTTAATCAACGAGGCAAGCCGAAACCGCCACCGAAGAAGATTCGCAAAGTCGAGAGCGGATCGAGTGGAATGCAAAATGGGAGGTCGAAAGTGGGAAGTGGAGGTCGTGGTGGAAGACGGACGATTCTGAGCGATGTAGACGAGGACGAAATCATGGTGCTATCTTCAGACTAGCTGTATTCTTGTCGATTATCGTTGTTGCTTTTGCTTATACCACTGAATGGATGGAACTGAAACACCATAAATTAGCTGTGACGCTTAATAGGTTATTGGTGCCTTGTAAATGCGCGATCGTGATGTGAAGAGTCGGCGATAAGTTACATGGATCGTAAATGTGTCGTCATGGGGTCGTTCGTGGATGCAAGTGCCAAATGTGATGCTGGAGAGTAAGTATGGTAGTTGCATAGCCGAAAACCGATGCATAATGGTATGTGGGTGCGTGCGTAGATGATAAGGGGTATAAAATGCTGGCATGTCGATGGATGAAGAAAGGATAAAGATAAGTTGATAATGACGATGATGGATGCGGATATGGATGCTTCAGAGTCCCGGGCTGCAGTCATAGATAATGAATGGGTTTCGTTCAATGTTGCTTCAGGGCGGATCGGCGAGGGAGCTTGGGTACACGTCGGTGCTCGATGTCGATGATGACGCCGTCCTCGTTCATCCAGCCCTCTCCTGGTTCGGGGTAGTCCTCCAAATCGGGTGGGTATTGCTGGTCCGGAGGGGCAGCTTTGAACACACCGTCGTTCGTCCAGAGCTGGTCTCTAATCAAAGAACCACGATATCAGTAACCACATCATAAAGTACAGCAGATTGAATGCGAACTTACCCTCGACGGTTATACCACCCCTTCCTCTTCTGAGGCTGCAATGACGGAGACGGACAGATCAGGTTCTCGTTCCACCGCACATTCCTCGACGCGACGTGCGCGTGACCGCTCCTCGTCGAAGCCGACGTCGAAATCCGCTGGGGGAGGTTCTGGTCTCCATCAGAGTAGCGGCGTTGGGGTTCAGGGTGGCGGTGATAGGAGGATGAGGAGGTGTAGTGCCCACTTCGGCTATCCCGAGTATCCCTGTCCCTTTCCCGATCCCTGTCCCGATCCCTCTCGCGATCCCGGTCTCTTTCTCTCTCCCTGGAATCCCGCCCATCCCTATCCCTGGAATCCCTGATTTCACGATCTCGAGAATCCCGAGGCTCGTACATGGACTTGTCGGCATCCGAAAGACGTCGCTGAGGCTCAGGCTGGCGCAACGAAGCAGCAGTCGAAGAAGCGAAAGGCGTGTGCGAACGAGGGGGGACGGAACCTGCGGTCTGAGAGGGCATGGCCATGGGTGGGTACCTCGACTCGGTTCCTGTAGTCGCGGCAGTGATGATCGAAACAGCCTCTGACGCAGTTGCGAAAGAGGGTCGACGATCGCGGCGTCTGGAGGAGTCGCGGTCACGGTCGTCTTCGATGGGCGAGGTGACCTTGGTGCCGGTTGTTGCGGCGGCTGTGCTGACGGTCGGTGCGAAATCCGGGTGGCGGGGTCGGCGGTCGAGGGGTGAGGTGGGGTCGTCTCGGATGCTCATGCTGGACATGGGGAGCGTGTTCGGATCTACTGAGGATGAGCTGGGGAAGGGTGCAGGTCCTGATGAAGGGACGGGGATGTAGTCGACTGGGCGGCTAGCGCCGTGTGACATGGACGAGGTTCGTGAGCGCATTTTCTCGGGTGGAGAGTAGCTCCTAACTCTACTGTCCCTATCCCTATCCCGCTCTCTGCCCCTGTCTCTTTCACGCTCGCGCTCCCGATCCCTGTCATCCCTCCTGTACTTGTCGGTAGGCGGACTTGCGCTCCTTGCGAATGGAATACCAGCTGGCTGAGACCCAGACGACGAATACCTCCTCTTCCCATCAGAACCTGAAGGCAAGGAGCCAAGTGCAGGACCAGCTGCATAGCTCACGCTCGCCTTCCTCTCCCTCATTGGAACGCCAGCCTGAGGGGGTGTGGTCGAGAGGTCGGGGCGAGAGCCGACCGTAGATGAACGGCGTTCTCGGGTGTAGGGCTCTTGGGAGTAGGATACCGAAGCATCGACATAAGGCGCTCCTCCGACGGGACCAGCCATCTGCTTCGGAGAGGTGCGGTTATAGATAGACTCAGGGCTTCCGTGGACGTAGGTCGCCTCTGGGTACACCGAGGATTGTGGTGGAATAGGAATAGGAATAGAAGAGGTCGGGGTGTGGGCGTATTGTGGCTGCATATGTTGCTGGGGAGGCGATTGTTTGAGCGTTCGGTCGGATAGAGGTGGGCTGGGCGTGTAGTGAGAACCAGTTGAGACCGAGTTATGCTGGGCGTTGATAATAGCGATGCGTTCCCGTTCGTCGATGCTTGATTCTGAGGGTGTCCTATTATACCGGATAGCGCAAGGGCGACGTCAGTGATGAATGGGAGGAAATCAAATGTGAAACATACCTCCTAGGGACCCATGGGCTATATTCTGCCATGGGAACCATCGCCGGCTGCGTGGGTGGAGGGGGAGCAAGGCCTGACCTGCTCGTCGAGCGCTCCATTGGGACCATGCCCGGTGCTACACCTCCGACCATCGAATTCCTCCTCATCATTCCCGGAGCGGGAGTAGTGGTCCTTCCGCTTCCAGCATACCCATGCGGGGCACCATGCGTGCTATGGCTCGAATGCAGACCGCCAGCGGACGACGGAGGCTCACAGTCCAAAGGAGATGCCAGAGGCGTATCACCTCGAACAGTAACCATGCTGTCCGTGGGGGAATACGTCACCAGACTCGAGCTTGTATCAGTGATGCTATCGGCGTCGGAGAGTGAGAAGAGGTCGGATTTGGAGGTATGAGATTGCTCGTAGATGAAGGTGTTTTGGCCGCTGGCACTGGGATAGATATTAAAGTTTGACGGGTGGCCGGAGGTGGGATGGTGGGCGTGAGGAGCGGGTGTGGGACGTTGCGAGGGGAGAGGTGGTGTCGTCCTTTGTCCCAGGTTGGTGTTGACGCTCAGATGGGGTGGGCTGGGGTGTCGGCCTGGAACAGGAACTCCCGCGACTGAAGTTGTCGGTACAGCGACTGGATGACCGTGCGGTAGGGGGTGGCCGAGGGGAACTCCGACAGGGACGGCCATGTTTACTGGATATCGGTCGTCGTATCGCGGTTGGTGGAAGACTGGGGCTCCGGGAGGAGGCATTCCGTAGCCTGGCGCGCCCCCGACGAACGCGCCAGGCTTGCCTTGAAAGACATGAACCGAAAATCGGGCATGAGCTGGATGAGAAGGGATATAGGCCTGCTTTCGAGTGAAAAAGAGCGGACATAAGCAACTCGTTTGAATTTGAACACCGTGTAACAATCACTCACCTTTGGGCCAGGGTTTTGTCCATACTTGGGACCAGCCGATGATGTTGGATGGACTGTGGAGAACATTGTTCTGCTTTCAGTGTACGGCGTGGCCTATACAGTGAGGATGGGCGATATGGGGTTGGCAGGGTCCAGCACGACAACACGAGAGGGTGGGGAGGTCCGCAGTTTGCAGCACGGCTGAAGCGGGCTATAGGGACCTAATATACCAGCGAATGGGCCTGTATCAAAGGCGCAAACAACCGAAACTCTTGACGAGGAAGAGGAGAACCGTCCTTGTAGCGACTAAGTGCACTAACGGAACATCGACTGAGGATGGATGGGAGAGGTCAGTGACAGAATCTCGGAGCCATATATACATTTTCGGGAGTTTACGCACACTGCGTGTTGTATAGCTTTGTTTTGGTCCATCGATGATCCACGATCCTTTTCTTGGTGCTTGAGGCCAGGAGGAATCCATGAGGCTTGTTGCGGGCTGAGGTATTCCGAGCGATGGTGGGGTGTGGCACTAGTGCAATCGAATCAACATTCCGAAGGTGACTGAGATTTCGATCTTGGGCGGTAAGGTTTCGATCTGTTCTATGGTGTTCAGGGTCCAGATTGCCTTGCGGTGACGGTGCAGCGTGAGGACCAGGGAGGGAACTGTGGCGGTATATAGCTTTTTGCTTGGGTTGGGGAGCGTCAAAAAGTGGGTCAGCAGGTTCGATCAAGGGTAAAGCGGGGATTTATGAGGGCTTGTCACGCTCCTGGATTTCATTAGGGCTCTGGGATCCCGAATGGAAGGAGCCGAGGCTGGAAATGGCGACAATGTTGCGCATGCCCCTTGTATGGATATTGCGGCGGTGGCGTATTTCTGGAGATACTTTAGAAAGACATATTGCGACGATGCGCGGACGTAGTTCCGCCCCTCTATGAGGTATGGGGACCCTATAGACCTATGTGGTTGATTCCGGGTCGCATCCCAGGCGGTGGGCTGGGCCATCAGTCAGCCCAAGGGTTCTGTCTTTCTTTCATTGACATTAGGAATAGGGTGTATTCCTTCCGACTTCCGAGAGATAAGAAACCGAATCAACGGTTGGTATGGGTTAGGCGACAAGCACGCTGCCCGGGATTTATATTATGTCTATCTTGTGCTGTCATTAGTCTTGTTCTAGTGATAGATATAGGCGAACCACTTACCAGACTATATGGCTTCGATGTGACATTCGAGGCAGTTTCGCTCGACGTTGTGGTTGGGCGGCAACCTCGTGTCAGCCGCATTCAGTCGCCAAGTGGAATCTGCCTGCCCTTAAGTCGGTCACGTGGATGAGCCCCTCCCGACTCGGGCACTCCTATATTCGCCTTTCCTTGGGGTTGAGTACGCTACTACAGGCAAGGGTAGGAAAACCTATAGACACAGGTACCTACATACACGCTTATACTGTAGATCTGTCAGGGTATACCGTTTCGACACAGTACTTACTAATGAAACGATTTCTCAACCTCAACCTCAACCTCAACCTCAAGGGTAGGAAACGGAGGTGGTACAGAGTGTATGAGACAGCCACTATATATACGTGTCTATGGAGGTTTATACGGAAGACCAGTCAGCCTTACGGGTTGGTAAGTTGGGGTCCCTTTTCGTGGCCAAACTCCACGCCGTGTCGATCATGCGCAGAGTCTCCAAAGCTGGACAGGTCAGCGCCTTTAAATGCGAGTGGTTGCGACAGACCCTTGGGGTCCAAGGAGGTCGTGTTTTCCCCATCTCTGTGCGTGATTGATCTGCCCGTGTTGACCCTAAATATGATCATTTGGGGAGACAATGCCTGGATGGAGTATGTCAGTCAACTGTACCTAGGTCAAGGGGTAATATTACTCACAGCAAAGGCCGTGTAGACCGCACTCATAATTGCGGATGCGGTGTTGTATGCGAGGTTTGGGACACCGGAGGGGGACCGAGTCGCAATGGTGATGATGACCAGCACGGCGTAGATAAACCCGAAAATGGTCAATGGAAGCGCGGATTCGATCAGAATCCGAGATACGTTGGTGTACACGGACATCTTGCGACCTGGGAGTGTGTTGGTAAAGTTTTTCTGGGCGTTGAGGAGTCTATAGACGATGAGCGATGTTGCGGAGATATTCAGCAGGAGGGTGACGAGGATGTAGACGATGTGGATCTTTAGGGACATTGCTCGCTGGTTCTCGGAGCGTTGGGCGATGCCGCTGGCATGACGGACGACTTCCGTGATTGTAATGGCTGGGAGAGAAGTAAGTAAGAGTCAGCTTTAAAAAATACGTGCTACATAAAGGGACCATACCTATGAAACTTATATAGCCCACAAAGAGGGGAATCGTGACCCTTTTAAGACCATTCCATATCACATAGCATCTATATACCTATCCCACATAGTCCTTTGTCAACTGGACGTCCGAATATGAAGATCGTGAAGCACTGAATAGTTGCTCACCAGAAGCCCGTCTCCCAGTGTTACGCCAACATACGCCAGGGCCAGAGAAAGGCGAAGCTCCCAGCTTTTTTGGGCAATGCCATTTTGTTCCAGGTAGTCGGCTCCAGGTACAGAATAGTAAACGGTGCGGAAATGCTCGGATAGGTTGAGACCAGTCCCCATCATGCTCAGCGCCGTGATGCAGAGGCTGAAGATGATGTAGCGGAGTCGACCCTTGCGGCGTGCGTAGGGGGTCTCCAGGAAGCAGGATAGGCCGTATATGAGCATGACTAGTTGAACTCCTGCAGAAATGCTTAAATTCAAAGGGAAGGAAGAGGGAGCATAGACGGACGTGGCGTACCGACAGAGAGGATATTGATAGCATCGGCGGCGTAGAGCCCTGCAGCGTTGTGGATGGCCCACTGGTCGAGGTCAACTTCCCTGCGGTGAAGCATGGTGATGAGTCCAGTTCACTAGTTTAGCCTCCCCAATCTTGTACTACCCGGTATTTATATCAGTTCTCCCCAAACCTCTTATTCTTATTCTTGGGACTTTGGAAGAGTGGCCCGAGTCGCTGGGCCACTCTTACAGCGTTATCTTTCTACACCCCTCAAAAGTACGAAAGGGCGCTGATTGCAATGAGTTTCAGTGATGAATCAGAAGGTCGTTTTTAGCGTTTCCAAAGATAATCCGTGAGCTTCAAGTATTCCAGGGCCTCGTGAAACGGTTATCATTGCACTGACTTCTGCCTCTTTGTCCAGGTTGAGTAGGGGAAACGGAGAATACTAAACCGCAAATGGATATGGTTACGTTTGATGGTTGAGTGAAAACACCGAGGTGAAACTGATTGCCTGAGGTGGAGTTATAGAGGATCTTTCAAGCCAGGGGAATATTGGTCTGCGGTGGTGTTCTCATTCTCAGTCAAAAAAGGATGTATGGGAGACCTCTTAGTGCTTGTAGGATTTTGGCCTTAATGAAACGAGTTACGTGCATAACTGGCCCCCCACTACGACGTCCAGTAGGCTTCACGAGAGGTTCGCCGGGCGCTTGTTCATTGCCTCTTCGGCGGGCCCTATTAGCAGTCGCGTGGGAAAGCAATTCAACCCCCGACAGGGTCCGACGCAAAGGCTTGGCAATGGCTTTGGCGTCTACCGCATTGCTCGCGAGAACGGCGTCGACGACGAGGACGGCGAATACGACCACGGCGACGACCAAACGAACTCATTCTTAGGGATCCTTGGAAATTGGTATGTCGAGCTATACAAGAATTTCAAATCTTCTTACACGAAAGAATAGAATGTCCCCAAAAGAATCTACATAACGTTGTCCAATGCACGTTTTACGACAAGACCTGCTGCCCGCCAGCGGCGTCGAGTTCGCTACACACCTCAAGCTCACGCCGTCATGTCTCAGTCCAAGACATGAGTTTGTTGCTCGAGTTCTGTGCAACCTTGTCGTTGCCCGCTCGAACCTGTTGCGAATCTTTGAAGTGCGCGAAGAACCTTGCGCTGTGCCGCACGGTGTCGAGGACGAGAGGGAGAGAAAGGGCGGGATTAGGCGGGGGACAGAGGCGGTGGAAGGCGAACTTGCGATGGATGCGCAGGGGGACGGATTCATTAACGTTTCAAAGGTATGTATAGTTTCTGGTTAATCGCAAAGTACTATTGACAAGGAATAGGGAATGGCAATGAAATCCGACGTTGAACACCCGAAAACGACGCGTCTTTACCTTGTTCGAGAGCACAAACTGCACGGCATGGTCACTGGACTCTCGGGAGTCCGGATAATCGCTTCTCTGGAAGACAAGCTCGACCGCCTTCTCGTCTCGTTCAAGGACGCCAAAATCGCTCTGCTGGAATGGTCAGACGCAGTTCACGACCTCGTTCCAGTGTCCATACACACCTACGAGCGTGCACCGCAACTGACATCTCTGACAGCGCCCCTCTTCAAAAGCCAGCTTCGCGTCGACCCACAGTCGCGATGTGCGGCACTCGGCCTCCCCAACCACGCCCTGGCCATTTTGCCATTCTTAGACGACGCTGTTAGCGACGTCCCTTACTCCCCGTCGTTTATCTTGGACTTGGCCGTCAGCGTCAATCCGAACATCCGCAATGTTGCCGACTTTTGCTTCCTCCCCGGGTTCAACAAGCCAACTCTAGCTGTGATGTTCGAACCACTACAAACATGGATGGGCAGGATTGGAGAATACAAGGACACCGTCAAACTCGTTATCTTTACGTTGGATATCAAGACGAGCAGCTATCCAATTATTACAAGCGTCGATGGACTGCCGATGGATTCGCTGGGATTGGTGCCAGCGTTCGGTGGTGTGGTGATCACCACTCCAAATTCTCTGATTTACATCGACCAGTCATCGTCTCGACAGATCGCTGTCCCAGTTAACGGTTGGGCATCACGAATCACAGACCTTCCACTACTTCCCCTTCCATCTCCCGACCTCAACCTCACTCTCGAAGGGTCGAAAACGGTCGTGGTGGACGAGAAGACCTTGTTCGTTATCCTCGCCAACGGAATCATCTATCCCATAGAGGTGATGGCCGATGGAAAGACTGTAACGAAGCTTCAGGTGGGCAAACCTCTGGCGCAGGCGACCATTCCAAGTGTGGTGGAGAGTTTAGGCGACGGCCATTTGTTTGTGGGCAGCACAGTCGGCGTAGGCGTCGTTCTAAAGACGGCGTGGGTGGAGGAGGAAGTTGATGACGAGGAAGAAGGAACGAACGCGAAGGTTGTGGAGGATGATATCGACATGGATCTATATGACGACGATGACGACCTCTACGGAGACTCGAAGAACAAAACCCAGGTTACAGCTGAAGTCAAAGACACCAAGAAATACCGCTCCGTCTTGCACCTCTCTCTCCGCGACACCCTTCCGGCTTACGGACCCATCTCTAGCCTCACCTTCTCTCTGGCGACGGAGGGGGACAAGCCAGTGCCTGAACTCGTTACTGCGACTGGCTCAGGTATTTTGGGAGGTTTCACCCTTTTCCAGCGCGATCTGCCGACGCGGACGAAGAAGAAGATTTTGGCTGTGGGTGGGACCAGGGGACTGTGGTCGTTGCCCATCCGTCAAAGCGTCAAGAAAGGCGGGAGTTCGAGCTCCACGACGGCGATTGAGCACGCGAAGACTGAGCGTGATACGCTGATTCTGAGTACGGATGCTACGCCCAGCCCTGGTGTTTCGAGGGTAAGCGTTGTCCCTATCCCTCCACGTCGCTTAGAGCTAACATTTCGTAGATTGCTACGCGTGCTCCACCAGGCGGAAAAACTGAAGTCAATATTACCACGCGAGTCCCTGGGACGACTGTAGGCGCTGCGCCCTTCTTCCAGCGCACGGCGATTTTGGTGGTTATGACCAATTCCATCAAGGTGTTGGAGCCTGGTAAGTGGATGATGGCTCCTGCTCCTCCTCAAGTATATTAACCACCTGTCTCTCCAGATGGCACCGAGCGTCAAACGATCCAAGACATGGATGGCAAACTCCTACGACCCAAAATCCGCTCTTGTTCGATCTGCGATCCTTTCGTATTGATCATCCGTGAGGATGATTCATTGGGATTGTTTATCGGAGAGACGGAGAGAGGTAAGATTAGGCGGAAGGACATGTCGCCCATGGGAGAAAAGGTGTGTGGTCTATCTGTACGCACACTTTATCGTGGTAGATGCTGACTCGCCCCTCGCTTTGGCGCATCTAGACCTCCAAGTACCTCGCAGGCTGTTTCTTCACGGATACATCCGGCTTGTTCGGACAGCAGTTCGAAACAAGTGTCCCGGTGGAGGGCGCCACAGCCACGCTGCAGAATGTCGTTAGTGGAGGCAGTACCAGTGGCGGGAAGCCTCAGCATACGCAGTGGTTGCTGCTCGTCAGGCCTCAGGGTGTGATGGAGGTATGTTGTGAACAGTGGTCGACTTGAACAGGCAATAACTAACACTCGAACCTATCTCTAGATCTGGACCCTCCCGAAATTGACCCTCGCCTTCTCTGTGTCAGCGGTTCCATCCCTGTTCAACGTCCTCGTCGATTCACACGACAAACCGGCACTCTCTGTTCCTAATCCGGGCGATCCCCCACAACGCAAACCGGGAGAGTTCGACGTGGAGCAGGTTTGTGTTTCGAGGGTCGGAGAGGACGGACGGGGGCGAGTGTGCCTCTTCGTGTTCCTGAGAAACGGGCAGCTGACGATCTACGAGGCATTGCCTTTATCGACCACTGCATCTCAACCTGCCGCGTCGGTGGATGGAGCTATGGATGTTGATGCATCCTCGACTGAACCTCAACAGCAGGTTGAAGCAGAAAAGAAGAGATCCCAGACGCTCAACATCAAGTTTGTCAAGATCTCGTCGATTGCGTTTGAGATCCAGCGTCATGAAGATGGTGCGGAAGGCGGGGAACGGGGAAGTGGAGAGCGGGCATCAGGGATCTTGGCTGAGCACAAGAAGATTCAGAGGCTGTTTGTTCCGTTTACTGTCAAGCCCAAGACAAGTGACGGTGCGTCTGTTTCTCGGGAGGACCGATGATAAACTAATGCGAGTGTTGCCAGGTACACCCTCTCCGACGTACTCGGGCGTCTTCTTCACTGGCGACAAACCAAATTGGATTATTGGAACGGATAAGGGTGGCGTCCAGATCTACCCCAGTGGCCACAATGTTGTCCATTCCTTCTCTGCATGCTCGTTGTGGGAGGAAAGGGGAGAGTTCTTGGTCTACACTGAAGACGTGCGTCATCTCTTCATCCAGTTCAAGTTTTTATCTGACTCTCGATATAGGGCCCATGTCTAATTGAATGGCTTCCCGATTTCACGTACAGCCATCCCTTACCGGCTCGGTCTATACCCCGCGGTAGGGGCTACTCGAACGTGGTCTTTGACCCCTCGACGTGCCTGATTGTCGCTGCCAGTAGTATGCAAGCCAGATTTGCGAGCTATGATGAGGACGGGGTAAGAGTTTGGGAGAAGGATGGTGTGTGGTCTTGCAGATAGACGCTGGAATGGTGATGCGGTATTGATGAGACTAAACAGGTCCTGGTGTTGACGATCCTATCACGGATACCTCTGCGCTTGAGCTGATTTCGCCGAATAGTTGGATTACTATGGATGGGTGAGTGTTCGTTTATTGTGTATGGTTTTTGGTGCTTGGTTTCCTTTCGCGTGTGGGGTGGGTCGTGGTCTGCGCACCCCTTGAAAAGGCTAATTTAAAAGGGTATCTCATGGTCGCCGCTGGCCTTTTTGGTCTCGACGCTCCACTTCCCCGTCCCACCGACCCCGGGCACGGCGGATTAACCTATTATGGGTCTTGCGTCGTGTTGCTTCATTATGGCAGTTAATGTGATACCCGACGGTCGTCCCCGCACTTCCTCTTTGGTTGTGTGACGAGAGGCGGGGGGACTGGCATTTACCATTTTCGGACTGAAGTCGCTACAGATGCCTTCCTCGTTCGCGATCCTTCTCACCCCACGTCTGCATTCTCTTCACATTCGATCCTCACTTTGTTGCTTTTTATATTAACTCGAGGCTTCAATGATCACTGACATATTAACCTTAATTAACAGCTTCGAATTCGCCACGAACGAATACATTAACGACATCTCGATTGTGACGTTGGAGACGGCCGCGACGGAGACTGGCAGTAAAGACTTTATTGCTGTTGGTACCACGATTGATCGAGGAGAGGATTTGGCTGCCAAGGGTGCTGTGAGTGTTCATTTTCGGCTTTTGGTTACTATTTGTTCTCTGCTCGATATGGTTGTTTTGCCTTTTTGGATGCTCATAATGACGACGGGGACGGGGTTTACTTGCCCTTTGTGGGCGGGTTTATTGGTTCGTCACGTTGCGCGTCGATTACCCCTCGCCGATGTCACGCTATCGGTGTTTTGAGGTCTATAACTTTTTAATTGCTGGTTCGCTATTGACTTTCTACTGTCGCCATGTGAGACCCCTCTTCACATTAGTTACTTTCCTCGGTCGCATTTTCTTCACTTTCTTATCTTTTGGATTGAGGTCATCGTGGGGGTTTCTCACAGCTTTCTTTCCTGGGATAAGCAAGAAGCTTCTCTCATTACTTCGCCTGCTTTTAACGGTTATCCGCCCTTCTGCCTCACTGATCATGGGCATTTCTTTACTCGCCGATCTTTGCTTCTTCTAATTTGCCGCTTTGTGCTCCGATCTCTTAGTTGTTTTCAACTGACTTGACCTGTTTTTCCTTTTCCAGGCTTATATCTTTGAAATAGTCGAAGTCGTCCCGGACCCGGCGATTTCTCCTACACGATGGTACAAGCTTCGACTGCGGTGTCGGGATGACGCCAAGGGACCTGTCACAGCCGTCTGTGGCTTCCAGGGGTATCTCGTTTCTTCCATGGGCCAAAAGGTGCGTGCTGCTCCGGTCGTTTCCTTCACCGGTTCTAACCCGCCATGCCACCTCACAGATCTTCGTCCGTGCGTTCGACTCTGATGAACGCCTCGTGGGTGTAGCGTTCATGGATGTTGGAATCTACGTCACCTCCCTGCGTGTGTTGAAGAACCTGTTGCTCATCGGTGATGCTGTGAAGAGCGTCATGTTTGTCGCGTTTCAGGTGTGTGAACGTGGTACTCGTATCGTTGGCCCTTTATTGATCGTTCCCCTTTGACCTCTGGTTTTCATTTGGTTCGAACGCCACCCCCTTGCCCTTCGAACTCCTCAACGCCCGTTTCTTGGACCATGTTCAAATTTCGCCATTGTAGGAGGACCCGTACAAGTTGGTGCTCCTTGCAAAGGATGTGCACCTCCATTCTGTCACAAGAGCCGACTTTTTCTTCAATGCTGATGGCGATTTGGCGCTTATCGTTGGTGATGAAGAGGGTATTATGAGAATATACGAGTATAATCCTAATGGTGCGTCGCGTTTCTGTCTCGTGATGTGCGTGTGGCTGACTCGTGGTATTTGGTGAAATGTAGACCCTGACTCGAGAGATGGACGGTACTTGTTGCTGAGGACTGAGTATCATGGACAAGTCCCGTACCATACCTCGACGACGATTGCGAGGAGGGATAAGGAGGATCCTTCTATACCCCAGTCTCATCTCCTGATTGGTGAGTTTTCCCTTTTCCCTATTCTGTGGGAGGGGGGCTAAATTAAACATGTGTACTAGGTTCGGCCGATGGTTCATTATCCTCTTTGGTCCCGGTGGACGAATATGCGTTCAAGCGGCTCCAGCTACTTCAAGGTCAGCTTACGAGGAACATCCAGCACGTGGCTGGTCTGAACCCCAAGGCGTTCCGGTATGTGCCACTTCTTTTCTTTCCCGCTTCTTCCTTTTCTCCTGGAACTCACTATCCCCGCCACCAGTATCGTCAAGAACGACTACGTCTCCAAGCCCCTTTCGAAGGGTATATTGGATGGACAGTTGTTGGCTCAGTATGAGAGTTTACCGATCCCCAGGCAGAATGAGATGACGAAGCAGATTGGAACGGAGAGGGGTGTGGTGTTGAGGGATTGGATTGCGTTGACTGGACCTTGGTAGTTTGTTCGGGTCTTGCTTAGCGGTGGGTTTGCTTAAATGTTATGTTAGTACTGCTGCTGTGTATCGTAGAATCTCTGTTGTAACCCTTTGCAGCTGCTTGCGATTGTTTGAGTTGTGAGGTGCAGGTTGCTTTGGTACGGGCTATGCTTTAGGGGTTGTTGCATGTAGCCGTTATGAGCAAGGAACTGGCGTTCTTAAGTAATTATAACGTTGACACACTTGAAGATGCCTCGAGAACCCCTTGCATCAGCTCAATTGCGAAACATGGTTGAGGTCGCGATGGCCTCGATGGCCGGCGAGTCGGCGGGCGCTCCCCCTGGTGGCCGTCGTCAGTTGTGATGATGTCTGTTACCAGCTACTTGAACCACCACCATCGTCGCCTTCGCAAGCGAAAAATCCAAATTGAATCAAAGGCATGGTCCCAGGAACTTCGAAGCCTGGGGTCAGGCTGTATGTGAGTGATTTGATTTTGGGCGGCTAACGACCCTTCCGTTCCGGTGCTAAGTTTAGACGACGAAACGACGCGTTCACCGAAACGATATAGATAAGGCTATCCAGATATCGACAGGGTGCAAGCAGCTGCTACGTTGTTTCGAATGTCAGTTGTGTAACTATGTATCGCTATTCTTGGTGAGAGAGAAGTGAGGTCATGGAGGTATCATTTACGTCGTCGTCGTCGTTCGACAGGACGTGCCAAACCCCAAGACATCTCCCAAGGGCCGTCTTTCGAGCACACAGAAGGACACACAAGCGAGTCCGACGCACGCGCGACGGCTTCTCAACAGACACCTTGATCTATAATTGGGTTCTGGAATGTGGGGGTCCTTCGCAACTGTGCGAGCGCATGGCAACGGTTGAGAAGGTCGTGGCGCACAAGAGCTCTCAAGGGAGGCATACGGATGGCTTGTCTCTCGATGTCGTTATAAGTCTAACAGCTCGTTTCTTCGTCCAAGTAAACGAAGAGTTGTAAGTATGTGTAGGTAGAGAAACGAACCGCTTTTTTGATACTACCTTCAGTAACACCGGGCTCGAGGGCCACGGTTACTTGCAGATGATGCACTAAATAGGCGTCGTTCTTGCGATATCGCGGGTGGTTAGACTTGGGGGCCAGGTTTCTATGATAACAGGGATCAGCGAACCGCAAGGTGCATTATAAGTTGTGATCCTTGAACTAGCCCCGAGGTTTCATGAGCAGGTCTAGGAAATACCCTGCATCCTCGACGAAATAACGAGTGGGTAACTGGTTAGCTCATTTTTCTCGTTTCTCGCTAGTGGCTGAGATAAAATGGTGGTGGTGCCTTTGTAGGGCTATTTTTTCTGTAAATTCTTTCCTAGTTCCCACTACACCCGGAAGACAAGAACCATTTGAGAGATTCGATTTGATGCTCAGACGCCTGGAACCACATGTAGTGATAGGCGCCGAGGGGGGAGGATCGGGTGCTCGTAGGCAGAAATTCTCTGTACACCTTGTGTAGCAATGAAAGTAGATGACTACTAACTTGGGAAATTCAACCCTATAACCAAGGTTATTGGGACAATAGAAAGGACAAAAGGCATTCAAGACAGCCTTCATTGTAGCAAGAACCATCAGATTAGTCAACCCAAACTGTGATCGCATGTTTTTCCGAAAGAAAACAATCGCCCTTTCTGGGAGTGCCGCCAAGGCCGACAACCAGGGGGGCCATTGAATCGCCGAAATGGTTCAAAAGCAGTCGCCAGGCGGCCGTTTTGGCCTTTCTTCCTTTCCTTACACCTGTCCTTGCATCCTTTCCCTTTCCTTCACGGTTCTCCTTCCCTTCCTTCTTCCTTTTCTCTAGATTCACGCTGTGCGCGAACGGGCAGGCTCGTCAGGATATTAATTAGTTTCTCGTTCCCAGCTTTCTATACCTTGCTTCCTGCCCTGGTACGCTTTCCTCGAGATCCTAACGCGTTTCTCAGCTCACATATAGTCTCTAGAATCTCAGTCCTAGTGACTTTTTCAACCTTCACATTCCCTAATTAATCCAACTTTTCAAAATGGTCCAAATCTCGAAGATGTTTTCCAACTTGCTCGCTGCCGTTGTTCTATCAGCTACCATTGTCGTCGTCCAAGCTGCTCCTACCGTTGTTCCCTTTGAGAGGCACTCCACCCACCGTACACGACGAATTGGACGCAACCTGCGCGTCGAGACCTACCACCCTTCCACCAACTTCAAGGTATGCAGCTGTTTGCCTTATTGTCCTGGTGCAATGGAGATACGCCCACACGTCGCCGCACGTGTCGGTGTCCAGCTTCCCTGTCACGCTAGGCTGTCGTTCCGAAGATCAAGAAGCTCACCATCATCATTTGCAGGTCTATGGAAGCAATGGTACTGCTATTCCAGACTCTCTGGTTCCCCAAGAGTGGCGAGATGTGGCCATGAACTTTGTCGTCGATAACTTGGGCGTCGATCGCTCTCAACTCGCCTGGCGATCGGGTTTCACTGAGGGAGAACAGGGCTTTGCTTACCTGCGCCAATCTCATGTGAGTAGCGCTGTCGGTCGGAAATCAAATCGAGTTTATTGACATTTGAATAGAACGGTATTCCCTTCTCCAACGCAGTTTCGAACGTTGCCTTCAGCGGTGGCAAGCTTGCCTCTTTTGGCTCGTCGTTTGTCGACCTCGCCTCTACCAGGATTGCCGACCCCAACCCCACTGTGTCCTGGCGATCTGTTCTTCCTCAAATCGAGGAGTCCTTGGACGCAACTTACAACAATGCCAATGCAACCCTCGAGTACTTTGTCAAGCCGGGTGGGGACGTCGCTCTCACTCACATCATCCAGCTTCAGAACAAGGAGAGCGGCGCCTTCTACGAGGCCCTCATCGACGCCCACTCTGGTGATTTGATCAGCGTCAACGACTTTGTTGCCCATGCCTCGTACACCGTTGTCCCCATTACGAAGGAAACTATCCTGGACGGTTTGGAGACTTTGACCGACCCCCAAGATCTCGAGGCTTCGCCCCTTGGCTGGCACAGTCTTGGACAGGGCCTCAACTCTCAAGACACTAGGTGCGTGCCTCCTTCATGCCCGATAGAGCCTAATTGACACTCTCCCCAGCGGCAACAACGTAATTGCCTTCCGAGGGCAGGAGGTCGGCGCTCAAACCAGCCGAGGCCTCAACTTCAACGCTCGCTACGACGACCGCCGCAACCCCAACAACAGGCAGAACATCGAGGCGGCTAAGACCAATGCCTTCTACATCATCAACTCGCTCCACGACGTTACGTACCGATACGGCTTCACCGAGCGCGCCTTCAATTTCCAGGTGAACAACTTTGGAAGGGGTGGACGTGGCAATGACCGTGTCGAGATCTCCGTTCAGGATGCCCGTGGCACGAATAATGCGCAGTTTGCCACCCCTCCCGATGGCTCCCCTGGTATCTGCCGCATGTTCGTCTGGACCTTGACCAACCCTGCTCGTGACGGCACGATGGAGAACGACATCATCATTCACGAATTTGCTCATGGTGTTACCAACCGCATGACCGGTGGTGGAACTGCCCGATGCTTGCAGAGTTTGGAGTCTGGAGGTCTTGGTGAGGGCTGGGGAGATGCCATGGCCGAGTGCGTTGCTATAGTTCTCTCTGTGATCCGATACTGATTTTTCTTTTGTTTCAGCTGGTTCGCCCAGAACTCTGCTCAAACCCGTGACTTTGCTCTCGGAACCTATGTCACTAACAACCCTGGTGGTATCCGACGATTCCCCTACTCGACCAGCGCGTACGTCGCTTCTCCTTCTGCCGTCGGCAAAGTACTAATTAACGTCTTGTAGTCAAACCAACCCCCTCCGCTACAGCAACCTCCGTCAATTCAACCAGGTCCATGGTAAGTAGCCACTCACGTTTCGTTCGTCGAGATTATCTAACCCTTTGCCTAGACATTGGACAGGTCTGGGCTAACATGCTCCACAACGTCTACGATGCGCTCGTGCGGGAGCATGGCTTCTCCAACCAGAAGTTGACCAACCCTGACGGAAGCGAAGGCAACATCGTCTGGATGCGTCTCTACATCGATGCTTTGGCCATTCAACCCTGCAACCCCACTTGTACGTGTCAGCGATTGTATAGACAACGTTTATTCCTTATACTGATGCTCCTCCGCAGTCGTGCAAGCCCGTGATGCCTGGATCCAAGCTGACCAGAACCGCTACAACGGTGCCAACCGATGCCTCTTGTTCCGCGCCTTTGCCAGCCGCGGTCTCGGCCTCAACGCTCGCAACTTTGTTGACGACACCACCATTCCCGCTGATTGCTAGTGCTAGGAGGTCTCGTAATGGTACTCCTGCTCGGCCCGCCGCGCGTAAAGCTGGCGAACTTCGACGTTCTTTTATTACATACCCATTTGAAGGAAGGATCTACCGTTGGTAGGATGCGACGTACTTACGCTCATTTATTTGGTACATGGATAGTGCATTTTATCATTTCGGAACACACATTCGAATCTGCATTCAATTTCACGTTCGAGAATGGGGGTCGGGGAACCTCTAGAGAAATGCTAGGAAAGGAAGTACAGTGGCATGGGAGCCAGCTTTGCATCGTTCTAACAATACGTTCTAACGCTCGAGGTCTGTCTGGAAGTCAATCCTCAAGATGCGCATAAATGATCCTTTCTGCCTTCTCTGCTATTTCGAGGGTGGGCCAAGCCGGCACAATCTGACTTCCGAAGACGAATGCGATTCCCGTCTGCGGGTCGATAACGAACCCTGTTCCTGCCCATCCTCCCCCTGTTTTCGCGTTAAGACTGTTACGATTAGCGGGCAATACTCGCGCAGCGCTCACACAAAGCTGATCCAGCCTTCCTGCGGCTTTCCCAGTCCTTAGTAACCACTGCACAGGCCGTGCTCCGGCTGAGATCGTCGGAATTCATGCTCCCTCCCAGGAATGCTCGAAGCCTATACGCCCCGAGTGGCGTGGGTTTGTCCTGGAAGAGGGTCTTGACGGTGTCTTGCTTCAAAATTGCGTTTGGGGGTGTTTGACCACCTGGAGCTACAGTGAGATTTCTGAATTTAGTTTATGGACTGCGCGGGGACATACTTTGAATTGCAGCAGATACCGAACAATCTGCAGATAGTCGACCATAGTGGAATATGTCCCGATTCCTCCAAGGTCCAAGACGACTGAATTGAAGAATATGTCACCGCGACGCCTCTCGAGGTCATCTTCATGATCATGAAGCACTCACCAGGCTTGGGATAACGCTGGATCAAGGGCCATTCGGGATTCCAGGGTGTAATGGGACCACCCGCAAGGTTGAAGAAGCTTAGGTCTACCAGCTTGCTAGCGAGCCCTTCGTTCAGCCTATAGGTGACATTCACTCCCAGGAACTGGAAGATATTCTGTTGCCTATATTGTGTTGATTCAGACTCATTGGTAAGAGATTAGTATTGGACAAAGACGTACGAGTATGCCTCCAGAGTCTGGCCCGTCACCTCGACAATGAACCCGAGAAGGTCGGAGCTGAATGAGTATTTGACTAGAAGAAAAATTCCGATTGAGATATCCTGAACTCGGTGAGTGATAATACGTACATGAAGTGCCAGGCTCGTACAGAAATGGGACGCTAGAAAATAAGGATCATTTTGGAGAAGGGCCGCCAACATGGCCAGAAATGATGCGAACATCAAGGAACGCCACGGCCAAAAGGCTCGAGATGGCTTTTGGTCCCTCAATTGGCGTAATGGGACATGGAATGGGCGATAGAAGCCATAGGCCGTCACCCTCAGCCTCTTAATCGTGGAGTTGGTTGCAGACCCCAGTGGTCTCCATTCCCGAAGCGCGATACCAAGTTTATGTGATTCAGATTGACATGGAAAAGCGAGATACAGCGGCGAATAAAGTGTTATTACCTATGGCACGGGAGATGGAGGTGAGACAGGTAGGTACCGGGCCGCCGTTTGATGACATGGCATCCGAGGCGCTTATTCGGGCGCTTGGCCTCCAGACAGTGAATAGGGGCTTCTCTTTCTCCTCTGGGCCGGTATTTCCGCCATGGGATTGAGATGCTCCTTACATAGTCCAAGTCGGTCAACCACACATAAAGGTACTGTAAGACTCAGGTCATCCAACACACGCACCATGAGGTCCGGCCATGGAAACAGCACCGCGCCCAGACTATGATCAGTGGCGTCGATAGCTGGGAGGCTGTTCGCGCTCTAACTGTCAGAATCCCCTTCCACAGGATGATATGCGGAATGCAAAATGCCGGGATTACGAGATGCTCTTTCACCTCCGATGCCGATTGATACACAGTGGTATGCTTAGGCACCGCCCAACGCCCACAGAGACGGAGAAAGCCCGAATTAAAAGAAGGTAGAAAGCAATGGGCAATCACTGCCAAGGGTGGCATGCACCGACATAGTATAGCCCACATCGGAAAGCATCCATGAACCAAGTCCGCAGGCGTTGAGCTGAGTCGCGAACAGAGACGATACATCAGCTACTGAAAACAAGGCTACCCGAGTAGAGCCTTGTAATACATTCAGCCCCTGTGGGAAATTGAGACTCGAGCGCTGATCTCGGAGAGAAGATCAGCACTTGTATTGTTTACGCAGTGACCTCCGTGATTTTCAAGTAGGCCACTCGATTATTTCTGGCCTAGCATGTAGATGGCTTATCATAAAGAGCGCGCACCACATCTTGTTCAACACTGATACACCGCCGAGGAAGATCATAACATACATGTATATAACCTCCATTGGAAGAACTGATAAGCCCCAACATATCCTCTCCCTTAGGGCTTTCAGTGCCGCCGCCCATCGGTTACGAAGATGACCTCCATTATCGAACCATGGGCCATACTTCGTGCATCTACCACATACACTAGTAGTGTCATCGCCGTTCTTGGAATTGGTGAGTGAATCCTCTAGGTCTAGCAGATCGGGTTTAATGCTGACTCCTCAATTACAGGTATGCAGACGTTCATGGTGGTATACGGCCTATCCACTTGGGGGCAATCGAAAAGCACGGAGGAGAAGAAACATCGCGGGCGCTATGTGATCGCTGCCTACGTGATCTTCGTCCTTTCCGGCATCCCTACCTGCCTTGATTTGTTCAGTCAATTCCGTACGCTGTACTATTCAGGCCCCGGGGCGGACTACATTAGACTGGCGAAGGACTGGGATAACCGATGGCCGAGGAAATTGGGATACGTGCTGACTTGTATTTACGTGCTTCTCGGGCATGCATACATGGTGAGTCGAGATCATAGGTGCGCGGTGCGATTAACTCATCAAGCGCCGTTCCAGATATTCCGATCCTACCTCCTCTGGATAGATGCTGATATCAGAAAGGTCCTCCTTGTTCCCGCTGTTCTTTACGCGGCCTTCACAGGTATGGCCGCACTCTAGGTCAACGCACAGCCCATTAACATTCCATTTCTCCAGCTACTTCACTTGCATGCATTTCCCACGTAGCGGGCGGGATTAACAAATCCACTTTAGCGCTGGCACAGCTATTCACCGTCTTCACCATTTTTTCTGTCTTCTTGAACATCGCCACTTCGGTTTTGATCATCCACCGCCTCATCCCTGCTTGGAGGAAGTTTCGGGTCACAGAGATAGGTCGCAACGTTGCCCCAATTAGGGGAGTCGCAGGCATCTTCATCGAATCGGGTCTTGCCCTGGCCCTCTGCGGCTCGGTGTCGGCGGTCGTGGCGATCATAAGCCTAGTCAAGCACACCTCGCCATTGACTCCCCCTGATAGGATTGAGGTTATCTCGACCTTGAGCCAGAGGGCAACCATTATGACCCGAGTCGTCGATTCCTTGTATGTGACCATGATTGTAAGCATCTTCATTTACCAGTCTGAAAAGGGATGGCCATTAACTTGGGCGCGCAGGCGGTGATACCGCAGATGATTAATTTCCGTATCATGATGGGCGAATCCTTCTTGAAGCTCGAAGACATTGACAAACGTGGTCAAGACACCTTTGGAGGACCACCGAAGAGGCTTCCCAAGGCCCGTGTCACTCAGCTTCAGCTAACAAAGCCCAAACCGCCTATCGCCTTCAACAAATCCGACTCGAGTTCCGACTCTGCGTCGTCCATCGGCGTCCCCACTCCGCCTCATGCTCAAAGCAACTTCGGGGACACAACAGAGAAGAAGCGCCCAGAAGGGGGCCCTAATTCAGAGCAACCCGTCGTAAACCTCGTGAACGAAAAATCCGGGGCCACATAAATTATTGTGATGAGGAGGAGATTCCGAGAGCTATCAGGTACTATACTATGCCTTGCCTACTATGTGGACCGTTTGTATTCAGTCTTTTCTGTGTGTCAGACCCTGTCTTGTTCCTGGCAGGGGCAGCGTTGGTGATACAGAGGTAACCGCCAGCGTGATAGTGTTCCTTGTTTTGGCGTCAAAACATGGCGTGTCACATCTCATTGGATCAGAGTTTGGAATTTGGAATCATAATGTTTTCGATTAAGCTCGATTATGCCCACTGACATTAGACTCGACCCTTACTTAACTAATACTAAGCTCGAAATTTTAACCCCGTTGAAGGTTGTTCAAGGGGCAGCCATAGCGACACCATGGCCAGTGATTTCCCTATCGGCATAGTACCGGACGATCATGGTTCCCCCATTTTGACTGGATATCCATGAGTAATTGTCATAGCAGAGTATAAAAGAGCAAGGACTTACACAATGGTAGCTTTGCAGAACTGTTTACGGAGCTGCTTGTCCTTCTTCCAGTACTTCTCCGCTGCCTTCTTCATCTTCTCCTTGTACTTCGCATTTCCAGACGTCTGGATACTGGTAAACTCGAGGCTTGAAACCTTGGACGAGCAAGCTCCTCGTGCAGCCAAACTGGGAATATTAATCCGATGATGAGTTCGGCACTTTGGGACAAACGACGGCATGTACTTACTCCTCGAACTCGGAGGCAGGGTCGAACACGCGACGAACGAGCCAGACGGCGCCTTCGTTGTCCGTCACGAGACCACGTCGTGCAAGGTAGCCGGCAGAGCCTCCTGACTCGATGTCAGCGGCACGGCGCTGCAGGAAGCGGTCAGTTAGGAGCTTCATGGTTTGGAATATTAGTACGAACATTGAGAACAGCGTTGGCCTCGCTTTCAAACGACGCTGGGGCAGCGAGAGCACCACCAGTCACGAACATCGCAGTGGCAGCGACGGCAGCGATGAAAGCTTTGGCGGAAGTGAAAGCGACCATGGTTAATGAAAGCAAGGAGTGTTGGGGTTGGAGAGTGTAAAAGGGTGGGTTGGTTTAGCACAGCTAGGTTGTCGTGGAATGGATGAGACCGGCTCGAGGAGATCTGGAGTGTCGACTGGAGGGTTTATATAGCTTTCTGAGGGGTCACCAAACATGCCAACACTCGAAAGTAAAGAATTCATCCGTGCATGCCGAGGAGGACATGAAACCCGAACAGAGTCTGCTCCTTCGGCGAGCTTTCTCAGCATCTCAACAGTTTCCTTGCACTGTATTCTTTGTCCCGCGTCCTATACTTGTGCGTCCGCCAGTATCTCAATGTTATGGAAGTGCAAGTGAGTGCCGGTCGCAGGATCACTTGGGCAAAGAGCAACTTGGTGGCGCCATCAAGCGCTACGATCACACGATTCTGACTCGTCAATCTTCGCCAATCAATTTCAATTCAACTTTGAAACTGCCGATGTGACCGATGCAGTTCCACACTGGAAGTGTCAAAAATTGTCCTGTACAACGTTTACACGTATGTACGTCTGGTTATGTGACGGTGGACAGTTCCGAGTTAGCGAATGTCATTTGCATATTCTGAAGGTAGTAGCGTTCCCATATACAGTATGAAATCGGCAGAGCTGCGTTCAGGCATCGTCTCTTCGAGTCAGTAAACGTCCATATCCTAACGCCGCGCCCCAGGGCGGGTCCAGAAGCGGTATCCGATATTGTTCCGATATGCCGTGGTAGTTGTGTGGTTTTGAGGGCCAAGCGAGCGCCCGTAACCTCTTCCAAGTTCCTTAGGATGTTCCATTGGCCTCCAAACACATTGTCTCGACCATTTTTGACACGAGGATGATGGGAATCAGAGATGAGACCTCATCTTGCCAGTGACTAGATTGTTCAAAATGCTCACCTTGCGTCTGCTCTGATCGTTTTCCAGTCCCGGTACTCCAGCACATGTGGACACAGTTGGCTTGGGGAACGTGATATCCAATATTCATGGGACAGTTCAGACTGAACCACGAGCTCTTCTAGTGGAGTTCCTAGCCAGCTTCGTAGTAAATACTGCCTACTAAGCGCCCGAGCCTGATCAAGGTCATGATCACGAGGGAACACTTGAAGGTCGATCCACACTAGCTGTGTGCCACAACACACTTTGGGATAAAGCATCGATAATTCAACGCAATCATGACGGACCCGGTATCTTCCAGTAACTCGGACAACAGCCCCTCTGGCACGTCTTCACATTTGTTCGATTCCAGCTGCCCCATGTGGTTCCCGAGGCGCCCGAAGCCAGTCTCGGCGACGTCGGCAAGCTCTGAAGCCGTTGACAAACAATGGCAAACAATGCTTCGCGTCGTCATTCTGCGATTGCCTAGACCTTTGCACCTTACCACGACAATGCCGTTTGGCGAAATCGTTTGCGGTTCTCCAGGCAGCGGCAAATCCACATATTGCTATGGAAAATACCAGCTTTTCACAGCCCTCAAGCGGCCGATCTCAGTCGTAAACCTAGACCCAGCAAACGACAGCATTCCATACCCATGCGCCATCGATATTTCGTCTTTAATCACCCTTCAGGACGTTATGGAAACCCACGGTCTAGGACCCAACGGGGGCATGCTATACTGCATGGAATATCTGGAAGAAAACTTCGACTGGCTCGAGGAGCGGTTGAAAGAACTGGGGAACGATGCCTATGTTTTATTTGACCTCCCGGGACAGGTCGAGTTGAGTACGAACCACGAGAGCATCAAGAAGATTGTAGACAAACTGGGCAAGGCTGGGTTCAGGGTGAGTCGTTCTGAACTTTGTTCTTCGCTCTGGAATGTATGTAATGATGCGATAGTTGGCAACAGTTCATCTCTGCGATGCACACTACATAACAGATGCATCCAAGTATGTCTCGATGCTCTTGTTGTCGTTGAGAGCGATGTTGCACTTGGAACTGCCCCATATCAACGTTCTATCGAAGATAGACTTGTTGTCGCAGTACGGCGAACTCGGTTGGTTGGTCGTTCTACCTCGAAATGACTCGGCACTAACGTTTCTGTAGATTTTAATCTGGACTTTTACACCGAAGTCCAAGATCTAACCTACTTGGAGAACGCTTTGAACGCATCACTACCTCCCAAGTATGCAGCACTCAACATGGCCATGATCTCTCTGGTCGAGGACTTCAGCTTGGTGGGATTCGAAACCCTCGCAGTGGAAGACAAGAACTCGATGATGCATCTCACGCGAGCCATCGACCGTGCAACTGGCTACATCTTCGTCCCACCTGCGGACGCACCCGCGCCACCCGACACCATTGACCGCTCCGACGCTGCGCCCTCAGCCCGGCCAAACATGTTCAGCCTCTTCTCGACCGCTGCTGGTCCCCTCAAAGACCCCGGTGGGGATGTTAGGGAGGTACAGGAAAGGTGGATCGACTACAGGGATATTTATGATGCACACGAGAAGAAGATGTGGAGGAAGGAGGGAGAGATGGTGCGCGACGAAGCTGCGAACTTGAAGGCGGGTAGTAAAGTCAGGGAGCGGAAACCGTAGTTACTTGTGAGTTTCTCGAACCTTTCCTCTGCATCTTCTCTCTGAAACATCGTTCCCATCCAGGAATCTAAATCTTTCTGAATTCTGAGAATCGAAGTTTCGTAGCGTGATACGGACGCGTTCTTCACGCAGGGCATTTGCGCAACGCGATTTTTCGCTGTGCACGATGTTTGTATGTAAGTAATTATGGGCAGACGGATCTATGCTAGAATGCTGCGGTCGAATGCGAAGGGACGTCTGCTGCTGTTAGCAGGATAGACGTCAGGACATTTGTCCACGTACCCCTCTTTTTTTGTACCTCCCACGGAGATAAACCCACCTTCATCCACCACCCAAGGAGGGACTCGCCAAACTTTAAATTTCAGGAACATCATCTAGCTCCGCGATTGGGCAGCATGCGATCGAGTTTCGACACAGCCTTGTCGTCGTTGGAAAACCTTTTAAGACAATTTAAGCGGAAGCAAATCGACTCCAGGTCCTGGCGTTAATTGAGCGCTTGTTATTCATTGTTCTCGTTCTCAATGATCCTTGCCAGTCCTTGCCAAGCGAGCGGGTGAGGAGAGTTATATCCGTCCTGTGCGCCGAGTCGGAAATCTGGAAGCCTACAACCCAGGCGTCGTCGATGGTGTGGAAAATGGTTTATTTAAGTTTCAAAGAGAAAGTAATGCTAAAACGGAGACTAGGTTTGGAGTAGATAACTACATAACAGGTTGAAGGGAAGCCAGCTTCCAAGTTTGCGACTCCAGGTCGCAAACGACTACAGCGACAAGATTCCAGGAACTAAGCTACGATACGAAGTCGAAGAGAAGCCAGCTTCCAACTTCGTGAGGTCCAGCCTCTGGTTGTGCTCAAATGCAGAACAGCCTCCTGCATTGGGGCTTGGGGGTACGAGGGACAAGGATGTTGTCCTCGTCAGGAGTGGGGCCCTCCATGGTGGCGGCAGTCAAGGCATCGACATCTGGCTGCCCATGAATGAGGCTGTCAGGGACGTCGAGGGCGTCGAGGGAGACGGCGGCCGCGTTGACGGAGGTCAAGGCAGACGATACCATGATCATCGCCAAAAGTCCTGCGAACGCAGAATTAAGTGGGAGGTTGAATTTCATCTCTTTGAAGGGACGAGGGTGTGGGTTTGGAGATAGGATGTGGGTGTAAGGGAAGGTAGGATAGGAAGTGTGCGTGCCTGGAGTGGGTTGGGTGACTGCGGGCGTAGAAGGGAGTGTCGGATAGTGTGTGTGGGTGGGTTTGTGGGATAGCTTGTGGGGATAGTCTGTTGGAAGTTGGATTCCACCACTCGAGAACGACACGCCTTTATACCCACCGCGGAGATAACGGCTCCGTTTACTCGTGCAGCTCGAGAACGGTGACTTACACATATGAGGTCCTGTTAAGAGTCACGAGATACACTGTGCATGTCGTAGATCCACCTGAGAAATGCGTGGCTGAGGGACTTCTGAACGACTAAACCCCAGGAGCTGGAATGCTGAGCGGAAGCAAATCGCCCTCTTGCCCCTTCCGCGCATATTATCCATTTCGGGCGCCTATTTTACTAAACGATCGATGAAAATGGGGGCTTAATTCCGCGATTCTCCATCGATTTTAGGATCAAGATCTCTCGTTTTGACCTTCAAGCATGATCCTCCTTCGAACTCCTTCGTGCGCTATTGTTGGAGGAAATTCCGAATCGGAGGGCTTGGTGGCTGTTCGGCTTTAACCGGCATTATGGTCGGAACAAAACAAAAGAAAGTCAGAAAAGGAGAATTTTCGTGCCGCCAATCTCCGTTCGAAAGTCTGCATCCGGCAACTCGAGTCTCGAGGAATTTTGATTCTGTTCGCGTTCGTCATCTCTCTCTTCAGCTAAGGCTGCACCAGACCGGCTATTCCATCTGAACGAGCCCGTAAGTACACAGAAAGCGAAACTTCAACTAGACAATAGACGTAGGGAAGTTCAAAAGACCTATGGTAAATACCATCCGTTCCAATATGTTCCTGGTGTCCTGACCAAGCTCTCTGTAGGGAATGTCGTAAAGCTTCATACACTCGCGATACAGTTGAAGGCATTCTTCCTGCCGTTCCAGGGAACGGATCCCGTCGTCAATGATCCACTCCGTCACAGGTCCCAAGAGTATGAACAATGACGACGGGTCCCGATACCTTTCCAAGGCTGCTCGAAAGGCCTGACTGTCTGTCAGGCGCCCAGATTGATCCTCGCCCGAACTCTGGGCGGTCAGCCTGGCATAAACGACCGGGTCGATGGCTGATCTGTCGCACAAAACGATCCTGTGTTCGTCCGACAGGCCTGCTTCTTCTCGCTTCAAATGTTCTATCATGATGTCCATTTGCATTTGGATGTTCCCCACATCTTCTCGTGTGTACCCCTTTTCCTTCATCACCTGGCGGGCGACCTCTGTGATGTACGCCGAGCCTGACAATCCGAGGCGTTTGGCGAGGACCTCACAGAGTGTTGTTTTGCCAGTGGACTAGGGTAAACAGTCAGTGGGAGGTGTCAAACTCTATCGCCGCATTACTTACTGAAGGACCGACGATGTAAATGGTTCTCGTCATAGGGGAGATGATGTGGGCATCTTCGATCCCGTGGATTCTCATATTTATACAGCAGGCCCAAGCGCCCATCCCACGCGGTCACTTTCCTTTCCCTCTTACGTTCATCTTATCGATTAGCTCTGCTGCGGTGGCACCTACTGCGCTCCCCCACTGCAGCAACGCAAAGAGACGAGATGAAGTGGCCGAAGGCTATCGTACTGCGTCCAAAGCCATCGCTCGATGACGAGGACTGGCATTTCAATATACCGCCCCAATTTCTCTCAGGAGAGTTGCGAAAGCGGCGAATGCTCAAAATCTCGATGAGTGGTGAGGGGATCTCCCTCGATACAGACTCGATGTCGTCCAATCGGATCCTACACTCCGATGACCCAACCAAATTCATCTTGTTAGCCCTCGATCGAACATTTCGATTTCCAGATCATCCTCCGAGGACTACGACGGAATACCTCAATCGCATGTTCAAGGCCGGCGTCTTCCTGAATGGGGTCCAGTATCGCTTCTACCATCACAGCAACAGCCAACTGGTGCGTCAATTCCAGTATGCCTCCATCTGCAATGTTTGCTAATTCCCTCATTCAGCGAGGTCGTTCCTGCTTTCTCCGCGAAGCCAACTCGGACAAGGAACTCGACGACCGGATCTATGCCCTGGGAGACTTTAGCCGAATCAACAATATCGCAAAACGTGGGTGCAAACCTTCACTATCGAAAAGCAGCACTAACTCTGGACCAACACCGCAGGGGCCAAACGAATTGGCCTATTGTTCTCGTCTGCTGAAGTGGATTTCAACCTGGACCCCACGTTCGTCGAGGACATTGGAGACATAGAGATTGGCGGCGAGGTCTTTTCTGATGGATGTGGTCTCATCAGCAAATCTCTCACAAAGCAAATCGCCAAGGCGAAGAAGTTGATGTTCCGGGGCATCAGGTACACTCCTGTTGTCATTCAGATCCGGTATGCTTGAACCCAAATCACCTTCTTCCTCGTTCGACGCTAACCCCCTGCCTCAGCTATGAAGGGTATAAAGGAGTGTTGATGTTACATCCCGACCTCGATGAACGCAATCGCCAACGTGAACCTGGCACTCCGCCATGCTATGCCCAATTTCGAAAAAGCATGAAGAAATTCAAAGCAACTTCAGATCACAGTTTCTCCGTGGTCGGGTATTCAAAACCTTACTCGTTTGGACGTCTCAACAACGACATTATAACGCTCATTCATTCCCTAGGCGTCACCAAGGAGAAGCTCGTCGCGAAACAACAGGAATACTTCGATTGGATCGCCAGTATCACCCAACTTGATACCGACCCGACTGCGGCACTGGACTTCCTCTCGTGCACCGATAAGTACGCAGAAGCCGAGGCCATCTTCTTACACGATGCGGAAGAGAGATCTAAAATCTTGAACGATCTTCGTAAGTACCAACTTGCGGAACTTGCAAGGCACCACGACACAGAAACGGGCAAATTCAAAACACGCATGGTGATTCACAAATCGCGGCGCTTGTTTGGTGTCTGCGATCCCTACCAGGTCTTGAAAGAAGGCCAAGTCCACATTCGCATCACAGCCGGTCGAAAGGGCCCTGCGACGCCCATTCACGGTGACGTTTTGGTCGTGCGCAACCCTTGCCTGCATCCAGGTACAGTTGTAACGATCCAGCGATGGGCTATTACTCACAAGCTACTATTAGGTGATTGTTTAAAGCTTCGCGCAGTTGACCATCCGCAGTTGTCGCATCTCGTGGACTGCCTCGTGTTCGCATCTGCGGTAAGACGCCCCGGTAGTAAGCCTGCTCCATCGCTGAGCAGTGGCGGCGATCTCGATGGTAAGCAGCAGTCGACCTGCGTGACTAGCTTTAACTGACGTTTTGATAGGGGACGAGTTTTTCGTCTGCTGGGATCAAGACTTGGTTCCCCCGAGGGTATCTGAAGTACGTTTGAGTGCTTTCTTCCCTTTCCCATCATCTTAATCTCTCGAATCACAGCCCTACGATTATCCACCCAACAAAGAGCCAAGGCCCAAAGCGGTCACACGGGCAGACCTTGCCAATCACTTCGCATCCTACACCTCGTAAGATTCGATATACATCTCCTGCCTTCCCGTTAGAGGCTGAAATCTATGTTGCAGGTCTGGTGTGGCGAAGGTGTCAGCCCTCCACAACAAATGGGCCATTAGTAGTCCCCTCGGTGCCCTGTGTGTCGAGTGTCAGGAGCTGAACGCTCTTCATTCACAGTCCGTCGACGGCGCACCGATCAAGATCCCCGAACGATTGCAAAACCCACCCGAGCCCGACCCCAATAACCCATTCATCATCGACGTGCTCAAGGAACATGAAGAAAAATTCGAAGCTGAATTCCGAGCCTCGCCCCAGGTCAACCCTCAAGACCTTGTCGAGCTTGATGCAGAGCACGCCCAGCAGCACATCGAGCAGCTCTTCAAAAGCAACCAGAAGGCACTGTCCGAGTTTGAGCTTTTCGAGCTCGCCCTCCGCTTTTCTCGGAAGCACGGCGTCGACATACGGCCGTTCTTGACACAGATCGACATTTCAGCTTTGACGTCGATGCAGAAGGCTACTATCAAATCTGTGTTGGACCTGTCGCGAATTGAATACCCCTACCTATGGAACTCCCTCTTCCAGTCTGACATTTTGTCGTCCAGCGACCTCAGGATACAAAATCTCGACTCGTCAATATCCCTTCAGAAGCTTTACAGCTCGAGGTCGAATAGCCAGGCGACATTTTTCGAGTACCTGCGAAAGGCCACTCAGGATTATACCCGAAAGTTACTCTTACTTCGAGTGAGTTGTCCCGGCGCGTTTTTCGTATGTCCCTCTTGTAACCACAGTTGCAGACGGACGATCGATTTGCAGTTGGTATCTTTATGAGAGGTCCGATCCCATGGGACGAAGAACCAGAAGTCGCCGAGAACGTGGTGGCTGTCTCCTTTATGGATAGATCCTCTGCACATCCCCCGACCCACCATCCATGCTCGAAGGGGTACCGGCTTCACTGCAGCTACTCTAGGTTCCAGCTCTATGATCGGCATATCGGCGATACATTTGTCTTTCTTCAGCGCTCCCCCACTGAGCACCAAACGGATGTTGTTATGAGTGTTGCGCTGCAAAAATTCTCCCAGACGCTCAGGAGGGTGCGTACATCCTTCTCGCATTGTCCATGACCTTGGGATGCTCATATCCGGTATAGCAACTTGGGCGAGTGAATCGAACCCCATTGGTCACTATCGAGCTTCACGTTGTATCGAACCATGATCGCGTGGCTCATCAGCTCTTTGATTTATGGTATGACCAGTAAGTGCATTGCTTGCACTACGAAACTTGCTGGCTGATCTTCGACATAACCAGTGTCCCTACGGAGGAGTACATTCCCCGCTTCGTTCGCAAGAGTGTACCGTACCGTGCCAATGATCTTCGTGACGTGGAATGGACACCACCCAGACCCTCAGACCCAGACTTGGAGGAGGAAGAGCAGGCGGCAGCCCAAAGGAAATGGCTGGAACTCACAAGAGTCCTCGAAATTGTGAAATCCATCGTTTACCCATACCCTCAAGATATGCATGGGGTGAAGCCCAACAAATCGCGTCGACAGCATTCGGAAGTCTCGATTCAGCAATGTCTGGTGAACGTCACCCCAGAGCAGCTCGACTTCATCATGAGTTTCCTCGTGAAATATCATGCAGAGGAGGAGCTCTACCTCGTTTTCGGCCACGTCATCTCAGGCGAATCCATGGACCAGGAGTTTGTCGGCAAATGGATTGACCACTACCCGCCATTGGTGTTCACGTTACTGAGGACCCACCCTCCGACAGACGACCTCCTACTTCCCGAGACGCTGGCCGAACTTAGCTTCTCCATCCTGCGAGCCATCGTCCGCTCCGCCAACGAGACTCGAATAGCAGCGTTAGTGGCGTTGGAGAAATTGGCTGCTACCATCGCGCGTATCTCGACGAAGGAGTACCTGGACATCCTTCTACTTTCGGCTCATTCAGCCCGCTCTCGAAACCTCTCCCAGGAGTTGCTCCTCGTGCTTCACGAAAGCCGACTAAACAATCGACCTCAACCTCTTTCAGCCTCCGACAGCTATCTACAGAAACACAGTCTCGGAATCGTATTTGACAGAGCGGAGGAAGCAGCAGACGAATGCCCATGCAACGATGATGGAATGCCTCGGAAACAAAGGACGGCACCCGCCCAAGCGACACTCACCTTCAGCGACGACTCGCAATCCATGGTCAAAGCTTCTGTCCGGCTCGATGCTAGAACTACCATCAGACTGCATTCGCATGTCAGGCTGAAGGCAGTGTCGAAGGCAGAAAACAAATGGCTCACGATACCAGTTCTCGATGGGTTGGTTGTCCAGATGACCAGGGGTGAATTGGGAGTCAAGCTGATCCATCCAGCCCCACCCGAACTCGAGCAGATGCAATGGGTGATCTATGATGCTGGCGGTGTAGGTAAGTGAGAGTGAAGCTCCAGTTCGCGTCGCTACAACAATCTCACTGACTATTGCTCTCTCAGCCACAACGCAAGCGATGCTGGATGCCCTGCTAAGACTTATACTGGAGCAGGATCAAGCATGCGCGTTCTACCACTTGATCGTCGGGGCTTCAGTCGATTCTGTCCAAGACGAATCTGGATCAGAAGGACAAGACGCAGACCCACCGGAAGAAAGCGACAAAGGAAAAGGGCGAGAAAGTTGCGACGGCGAAGAGAGCGACAAAGAAGATGATCCTCAGACTGGAGTAACCGACGACGACGAGATAACCCCGGATGACGATGAGATGGCCTCGGATGATGACGAGGGCTTCGTTACGCCTGATCCTGAGGATATCGTTCTACCTGGTGCCGAGAACCTCAACGACAGTCAACTGGAAGCTATCGCCTCCTGGAATGCTTTCTTGTCACTTATCTGGGGTCCTCCTGGTAGGTTTGTCTTGAACCAGACAAAAGCAACCTCATTAACATGACCCGCAGGCACCGGCAAAACGACCGTTGTGGTCGAGATTCTGCGGAGCATAATTTTAACCTACGACAAACTGAAGAAAAGGCTTCCAACCATCCTGATGACCGCGTCTACTCACAATGGTGCAAAGTTCGTCTCACTTTCCACGATTCTCCTTGCTGACTACTCGTGTTTAAACCAGCTGTTGACAACGTTCTCGAGCGCTTCCTACGAATTAATAACAACGAAGGAGAGAAACTTATCAACGACGACAAGATTCTTCGCGTTGCGACGGATCAATCGAGAGTTGGAGATGCCCTACTTCCCTACACCGTCGATGCTCGGGTCGGAGGTGACGTTAACCAAAATCAAAGAAGGATGAAGGATGCAGAGCGAAGGGTCAAACAAGCCAAGCTCATATTCACGACATGCGCAGGTAAGAATTTGATACTTAAGGCTTTTCTTCTAGACTGAAGGATCTCACTGTTGAAAAGGTGCTGGTTTGGGAGTTCTCAGGAAGTTCCAGTTCGATATCGCAATCATCGATGAAGCGTCCCAAATCACTGAACCGTGCGCCCTAATCCCGTTAGTCAAAGGAGTGAAGAGGGCGATAATGGTTGGCGACCAGTCAGTAGTTTCGGGCTCCTTTGACGCGATAGAAGTAACTGACATTTTGATAGTGTTCAACTTCGACCTACGGTTGGGAAATATGGGAAGATTCTCGAGTACGACGTCTCCTTGCTTGAACGTCTCTACTCCGGGGAAGACCTTCCAGGGTTGAAGAAGACGATGTTGAATATCCAGTACCGATCTCCCCGGGTGTTAAATGCCTTCCCATCGAAAGAATTCTACGAAGACAAGCTCGAGACAGCGCCCCAGAATGAAGGGAAGCTAGCGCCGCTTGAGAATCTCCAGTTCCCCTGGCCTCGGGAACGCGCAGGTGCAATCATTCCGACAATCTTTGTTCCTTGCTCGATAGAGGAAGATGTTGGTGGTCGATCTAAAAGCAACGAGGGGCAGGTCAGCCTCGTGGCACGGATCGTCAAGTTACTCAAGCCCAAAGAGAAAGCACCGGAGTCCGAGGAGGCAGGAACTTCCGAGGGGAAAGAGGACGCTGAGGAGCAGGAGCCATTGGAGATTACCGTCCTCTCGCCCTACAGAGGTCAGAACGACAAACTTCGACACAAGCTTCGCAACATTCCAGTTTCGACGGTGGACGGCTTCCAAGGACGTGAAAGCGACATCATTATCTTCTCCACAGTCCGCTGCAACGCCAACACGGAGAGTACGAGCGCATCCATTGGCTTCCTCGACGATCCGCGCAGGTTGAACGTGATGTGGACGCGCGCGAGGCTAGCGTTGATTATCGTTGGAGACAGGCGCACTCTTTCAGACAATTCCGAACTCTGGAAACGAGCTATCAGCGCTTGCCAAGTTGTGGAAATACCAGACGATCAAGAGTAGCTCTGTGTGTGCCGGTTCTGTCACAATGTTATTGTCTTCCTCACATACACGTTCGCGTAATTTCCTGAACTGTACCACATCGTACCTTGACCAGTACATTTTTGGAACAGGGCGGGACGGGCAATGGCACCTCCCGGCACAGCTGACCATCGTCTGCCCACATACACCTCCCACATGTCCAAGCTTGCTGATGCTTCTAATTGAGTCTTGCCTCCGGCAAGATGCTTGTGTAACACTCCTATCATGGACCATTGGACGACTGGATTTTACCCGAGAATTCAACGGCGGAGAAGACTGCATCTCTCGATTCTTTATCAGTAACAAACAGCTGGAGCCCCGGTTGTCACCCACCCTCCACCATGCCAGGTTCCGCCCCTTCGAGCACGAACTCCGATTCTGTGGCTCCAGGGGACTACTCCATCCCGTCTGAGGCAAAGAAACTGCTCTGGGATGGCATCTTGAACAACCCTTTGCATGCTTCACTCCCCGAAGAAGTGAAGGATGCTGCTAAAGTCGTTGAATATATCGGATCCAAGGCCCCCGCCTTCCACATCAACTGGAGGTTCGCTGAAAGCATCTCAGCTCTCAAGGGATTCCAAGCCGCCATGCTCAACGTACTCTTGAAGAAGAAATACGGCGTCGACTACCAGAAGGTCGTGATTAACAGGTATGTATCATTCTGTTGTAAGCCACTTCCTCGCACTGACTCAGAGTAATAGCGACCATGCCCAATTATTCATCTTCTCGGCGATGCTTCCTGTTATCGACCCTGAAGGCGCAAATGTCGCACCAGGTTTTACAAAAGAGTACGAGCGCTATTTCCCAAACACGAACCTCCACAGGCACTACATCCAATCTCCCTGTATGAATATCTACAAGACCAAGGATAACCGATTCTATCACATCCATGGTCAGTCCCGATCTCAATGTGTCACTGCGCTCCGACTCGGTACTAGCTCAAACGACCACAGGGAGCGTAAACTACGCCATTGGCGCAGGGATACTAGGTCTCACCGAGAAAGAAGAGTTCGCCCCATGGGAAGAAGGCCGAAACGCCTACCAAGCCAAAGTAGCCGAATGGAATGCTCAAGACCTCGACGTCGAATGGAACGACAAGAACCGACAAGCAGGCACCATCTGTCTGACCAAGGAAGAATACTTCGCCTCAGAGCACGGCAAAGCCAATGCCCATGTTGGTCTCTACGAGATCCACCACTTCTCCAACCCGAAGCAGCTCGCCAGTTGGTGGACGTCTCCCCCTCCTAGCAATCCTGACCCCGGTCCAACTCGACCACTCTTCGGGTTGAAAGTCATCGATTTGACTCGGATGATCGCCTCTCCGACTATTTGTCGAGAGCTAGCAGAGATGGGCGCCAGCGTCCTGCGGATAACCTCCCCCAACATCACAGATCTGCACAACATCAACCTAGACGTGAACTGGGGCAAGTGGAACGCGCATTTAGATCTGACGAAGGAGGAAGATCGGGCGACGCTCCGAAAGTTAATCGAGGAGAGCCATGTCGTGGTTGACGGGTATCGGCCGGGAGTCATGCAAAAGTTTGGTTTCGGAAAGGATGATGTGTTGGGGTTCTTCAAGGACAAAGAACGTGGTATCATCTATGCTCGAGAGAACTGCTATGTAAGTCTCGGTTTAAATATCCCAGCAGACGAGCCCACATTAAATACCTACCTAGGGCTGGAACGGTCCCCTCGCCCATCGTTCCGGATGGCAGCAGATCAGCGACGCCGTGAGTTCATTACTACCTTCAAATATGTGGCTTTCCGAGCCCTAACCCATGCTTCAGCACTGCGGAACCTCTTACGAATTCGGCAGAGCAATGGGCGTCGACGAGCCCGTAACACCCATCTGGCCAAACTGCGACTACTGGTAAGCACCACAGAACCCCGAGTGGAAAATGACCAGACAAGCTCACCAAACGCCTCACAAAAACCCAGCACCGGTGTAGCAGGAGCCACCGCCGTCCTCGAAGCCCTCATCAAACAATCACAAGTCGGGGGTTCATACGTTCTCGACGTAAGCCTGTGTACCTTAATCCACACCACCCACCAATTCCCCAGCCCCCCAGTCTCCATCTATACAAGTACTGACCCACATGATTCACACAGATCGCCCTAAACTACTACTCCCAATGGTTAATCAAATCATGCGGGACATACCCCAAGCAAGTCTGGGAAGAAGTCTGGAATAGGTTCGGACGCCCAGTCTACCGCCACTGGGACAGCATGGGCGTCACCATCCCCCAATACATCACCGCTCTCAAAAACGCCAACTCGCCCATCCTCAGCCCCGATTTCTTCGAGGATAGACCCAACAAAGCTATCGGAGCACCCGTTCGAACTATCAAACCCATCTTGAACTTCCCAGACGGCCTTGTGCAGCTCAAGTACAACGTCGGATCGAGAGGCAACGGGGTGGATAAACCCAAGTGGCCTGAGGACCTGTTGACAGAGGTCGTCGTTTAGCAAACCTCCAAGCACCCACAGCCTTCGAAAGCACTACCAGGGCGACGAAATCAAAACATCCGGAGAAATCCAATTGTATAAAAAGAACAGAGAGAAGAGAGAGAAAACAGTATAGTCGAATGAAGATACTTTTCGTAAAGAAATCATCGTTATACGTAAAAAGGAAAAGGGATTTAAACGCGAGTGGTCCAACGATTTACGAGATGAAAAGATCTAGAAAGGATATGTGACCTCAACGCCTAGATTTAGAGTCGCATGATGAGCTGCTTGATGCCCGACATCCACAATCCAATGTCGTCCGTCTGCGAACCACGGGTGAGAAGGTCGACGTGGATGGCGAGAGCAGCGGGGCGGTCGCGAGCTTCCATGGCTAAAAGAGAGATATCAGTAAGTTCCCGTTCATCTACAAATCATCGACAAAAACATACCTCGAGTGAGGACGATCAACTGCTCGACAACAGGCTGGGACAACGTCTCGCAGTTGAGAGCATCGAACAGAGGGTTTATACGACGCTCCAAATCATCCACAAGGCGCTTTTGCGAAGGCTATATAACAAGATATCCATCATCAGTAAACAAAGCCATAAGAACTTAAAGAACAAAAGGAACGCACTGGAGTAGACTGCTTCATCCTGTTCAGATTTTCGAGGATGATCTCGTACGCGGGCTTGACATGGTCAGGAATATGGCTGCGGTCTCCAGGAGCTAAACCCATCAACCAGCAAGTCAGTATCTCTTCCCAAACACAATACGAAGTTACTTACGATACTTGGGCGGAGGCGGCCCCTGTCTCGCAGGCGGGTTCACCGAAGCAGCCCTAGGCGGCGCACCAGCCGGACCTCCAGGGGGCGGTCCACCGGGGGGAGGCGGTCCACCAGCCTGAGGCGGCATACCATGATGAGGCTGCTGCTGCGACGAAAGCGGTCTAGGCGGCGGCGCGTACGCCCCAGCCGAGTGCGGTGGTGGTGGTGGGGGCTGCTGATGCTGCTGAGCTCCAGGAGGCGGCGCGTACGGGTTGTTCGCTTGAGCAGGCCCGTCTTGAGGTGGTCCATACGGGTTGTTTGCCTGTGCAGGTCCGCCTTGGGGTGGTCCATACGGCCCGGGCGCATGCTGAGGTCCACCGTGTCCTGGAGGGGGAGGAGGGTGCTGCTGCTGCTGGCCTTGAGGTGCTCCATAAGGTCCCGCGGAAGGTCCTCGAGGGGGAGGCGCGTACTGGCTGGGAGTAGGCAACCTCGGGGGACCAGCATTCCCACCACCCGGCGACATTATCCTCGAAGGTGGAGCAACGGGCGGAGCTGCCGTCCTCGAGGGTGGTCGTGCTTGAGGAGGGAACTGGCCTGCAGGTGGAGGATGGACGACCCTCGCACCTTGTGGCGGGGGAGGAACTGGAGCACCACGTCCTTGCACGCTTCCAGGTCGGGGTGGAGGAGGGAGCGGGACTTGCCCTTGGCTGGGGTATGGAGAACCAGAAGGCGAGTACCCAGGGGTTGCAGGCGCCGCGTTCGGGAAGGGAGACGTGATCGGAGCAGGCGCGTTCTTGTTGACGTTGATGCTTGCAGGACGGTTGGGAATGGCCGGGGGAGCGTCGTTCCAGCCGCCTGCGTCGCGCTTGGGCGGAGGAGGGACGGTGGGAGGTCCGCCATTGGCAGCTCGAGGTGGAGGTGGGACACCAACGGGAGGTTGACGGGGCGGAGGTGGCTGCGAGAACGATGGGGCTGGATTGACTGGAGCGTATGGCGACTGTTGGTATGGACCGGCCTGAGTTGGTGGCTGATAACCACCAGCAGCTTGAGGGGGCTGGTAACCTGTATGCGCTTGATGTCCATATTGCTGCGCTGGAGGAGCAGGTGCGGCAGCCGTCGGTGCTTGGTATGGGTTGTAGTGGCTAACAGGTGCGGGCACAGGTGGTACAGGTACTCCTCTGGTCTGACCAACAGGAGCCGCGGGGGTATAACCATAGCCAGTTGCAGCAGAAGTGCTCGCAGCAGGCGCACGAGCAGGCAGCTGCACCTTGCTCGAGGTAGCCACCACCAACCTCTCCCGCTCAGCAGCCCTATCAACCAGCGGCGACGAGCCCTTGTAACCACTGGGCGTGAGCTTCAACACAGCCGCAGCCTCCTTCAACAAGCCCTGGGTCGTCAACAAGTCAGCGTACTCGAGGTATCGGTCGTACAGGTTGGCGAGCTTGAAGTTGTCAGGGGCCGAGTTCAACTCTTCGTCCTTGTAGTTAGTCGCAGAGCGGAAGATGGTAACCTTCTCGATGAACGACTGGAGCGCGCTGGCATGGACCGAGAAGTGCGAATCCTTATCGCCCGCCTGTTCCAAAAGCGCCTTCTCATCCTCCACCAACTCCTCTCCCCAAATACTGATCAACCTCTCCAAACGACCAGCCGCGAGGTAGGTGAGGGTCGCGTTCTTCCTGAATGCGTTAGCCTTGGCAACCGACTCGGCATCATCACCCTCCGCTTTCGCCAAACCAAACTGGAACTCCAACCTCACACCCAACTGCTCCGCCAAGCTCGCAAACTCCTCCTGGCTAGCAAACGTGCAGATAACGACGAAGATCTCTTGCCACTCCTGCAAGTCCGCGTTCTGAACAATATCCGCCAAGTCGTTGGTGACGATGCTCTGGAAGAGGCGGAGATAGGGTTGATCAGCGATCCGGCGTTCAAAGTATGCCTTCTGGGTCTTCTGCAACAGTTCAGGGCCTCCACGAGCGGCGAGAAGGATCGCATCTGCGAATCGATCAGAGGACAGGCAGAGTGAAACAGCAGATTCAAAGTCGCCCAGGACGAGCGCTTTAGTGACCAATCGATCGTTCTCCGAGTCTTCGGTGGGGTAGATCTTGAAGCCACTGCTCTTCGACATCACTTCGGATGTGACGGAAGAGGGACCCGAACCAATGGTGGCAGCCACGGAAGAATCGATAGGGTAATTGGTGTGAGGAACGTGGACTGGGAGCGAGTCACCACCAGATTGACCGATCGTGTTGAAGAAGTCCTGACCAGCGTCGAGTTGGGGAGTGCCAGGGCCATCGTCTTCACCGAACAAGCTGGGTACAGTTGTGGTTGATTCTCGATCTTCCAAACGGGAGCTGGCGGTATCGGATACGGTCTCGGAGGGTTCCTTCTCGTTGCTCTCGGCGGTTTCGCTGTCGGATGGGGCGTCCTGGCGCTCAGGTTCGGCGAACGAGACAACTGGCTCGTGCGGCTTCTCCTCAGTGATATCCTCCTCCTGCTCAACTTCAGCGCGAGCAGCGGATGCCTTGAGACTGTCAACAGCCTCAGCAACACGTGCTGCGATCTCAGCCTTGGAGAAGCCAAGCAACGTGACGAGTTCCTCTCGCGAGTTGGCCTTGAACAGGCTCAGCAACGCCTTCCACGCTGGACTGGGGGCTTGTTCGACCTTCTTCTCGGCAAACTCCTTCAAGTTTTCTCCAGCGATAGCCTCTTGAAGAGCCTTGGCCCGATCCACAAAGTCTTGTTCGGTGACGACATCGCGAATGTGGACGACACTGCTCTGGTTTTTTCCTTGTGCAGAAGGAAGGTTGGAGACAGAGACGAGCTTGCCTCCAAAGCCGAAGGAACTCGAGACGGGGCGACGAAGCCATTTCGGTGGTTGTTTGAGGGAGAACGTGCCGGCCGACGATCGAGCGAAGCCAGGAGTGGAGAAGATATCTGCACCATCGGGTCGGGCAGAGGGGAGCTTGTCATCGGCGGCCTCGTTGGTCGATTGGATGTTATGGATTCCAATAGTTCCGTCGAAGAACGCGGTGGCGAGCAGGTCAGGGTTGCGAGGGCACCAATCGACTTGGAACGCCCAGTTGTCGGCCGAAGGGAGCTCGCCAATGATCTCAGAAGTTTGAGGATTCCAGCAAAGGGCTCGGTTGTCTTTACCGCATGACAACAGCAAGTCTGCGTCCTGTTTGCACCACGAAAGTGACAAAACGCCCTTCTCGTGACCTGTCAAGATCTAGCAGGCGTTAGGTTTCGTCTCGTCTCCTCCAATATGGTTGCGTGCACACCTTTTCAGGAGCTCGGGCATTACGGAGATCCCAGACCATAATGACGGGCGATGAATCGTCTTCGGACGCAGTGACAACACGAGTAGCCTAGGAGTAATTCAGAAATGGCAAGGAAATGAACAAAATGAAATTCACGCACGTTGTCTGGATGCCAGGCGATATCGCTCATACCACGCCTTCCTCCCGCAGCCATTCCACCACCCATATGACCAGCCAGGGTCCCTGCACCACCACCATACGCCAACGCCACGACTTCGCGCTTTCCTCGCAGATCCCAAACGACGGTATATCCCGTGGTGCTTGCTCCAGCGAGGACATATTGAACTTGCTGATTCCAAGCGACAGACGTGATTTCGTCGAGTTTTGTGCTCTTCGTACCTGGGGTTGGGGTGTACGGTTTACTAGGGTCTTTAAGATCCCAGATGTAGACCTAATGCGAGTGCAGGTGAGCACGACGGGTCGATCGCGCGATTGGCTGGGCACGTACCTCGCCAGCGACACCTCCTGATGCCAACAGATTCGTTTGGATTGGGTTGAAATCTAATCCCCGGACTGGACCTGTGTGATTCGTGTTTCGCAGAATCAGAGATTCACTGGCACTGGTTCCTGGACATCAGCCTCTTCCTCTGCACGATAGGATTGGATTTACGCACTCTGCGCCGGCGAGGATCTTTGCAGGATCCCACAGAGCAAATTCGCCGTTCTCGAGACCAGCAGCAATCACGCCCTGCGAATAGGTGCTGTTCACATATCCCCACGCAAGTCGGTTGAATCTAGCAAGCCGCCCAACGTCAACGCTCGTTCTCGTCGTCAACGACAACTCAAATCGCACCTTGCATGGTCGGATACAGACGCCTTGGGCCCGTTCTGGCCAACCCCACCCAAATCATATTCGTCCTGGTCGAGAAAGTCGGGTGCCCAGATTTCGAGTTGGCTCTCGTTGCTGAACGACTCGTCGAGCGCGCCAGCGACCGTTCCTGTTGCCAACAGCGGCAACGACGCCGACGGCGACCACGCAAACGTGGACGTCCTGTGGATTTCCTTGAGTTTCATCGTCGTTCTGGATAACGATGACGAGCAACGGTCGCTCCTGACACGTCGCTGCATCAGCGACCGGCCCTGAAGCGCACACGTGATATGGAGACACGTGGCCTATGCTCGACAGGGGCTCGCGGGCGCCTAAGTGTCGGTCGGCTGGTAGTTTTATGAATCCAACCAGAGGGAATATCATCTGAGGGATTTTGCAGATGAGAGCTAGCTTCGCTGCATAGATATGTCAAACCCGCAGCCATTGGTCGTAGCCAGCAACTAATAGCAATCTGTAACCCTATCATAAGTCCTGCGCTACACTTCCCCCTGGTCCCGTCGTACGTAAGTAGTCTGTATCATCTCCAATGACTACCTTATCTATAGGGATACCTACCTCAAGTTATTCTATGTGGTTAGATAACGACGATACTGCGAGAAATGATAAGGCATCGCAGAAGAGTGTCGTCACCAGGGAACTGACTTGTAATGGCACATAATACATGGAAGGCTATGTCACCTAGGCCCTTCAATCAGCTCTCTAATTACTATAGCTGCAATCTTGGATATGATGTGCCGAGGACATTAAGGATCACGGAGTACTGTTACATGGAGACACTTGGAAGAGTCGAGCAAACTGGGCATCAAGGTCAACTCTGCCAAGTAGATTTGGGCTTATACATAGTCATATAAACCCCAGTCCATATTTCAACTAGTCTCAATCCCCTTGCCCAACACTCACTTAACCTCACTTCCAACGTCTGTGACGAGCGCTGGTCGCTTCGACAAAAATAATCCACTATGCAAATCCTATCGAGATATATTCTGGTGTTGATCGCCTTGTTCCTGGGGGTAGGCTTTTCCACCGCTGCGCCTCTGAGATATGCTAGCAACTCTGTAGAGAGAGCCAGACATATGGTACGTGACTATCTTTCCCTCCTACCCAGTACTAATTTTGCCGACTCTTGACACCTTGGTACAGCCTGAGAACGGACGGCACTGGCACACTATTGGCGGTCAGGATATTCATCCAGTGAGTATCGCGTTAGGTTCCTCGAATTTACCAAAGTCTAACTGCTGTGGTATATCAAAAGCGATGGCGTCACAACTGGCTTCCCTCGAGCAAATCCAGGACATAGTTTGAAAGGGTGCACAACCGCAAATCGAAAACCGCAAATTAACAAGCATAAAAACCGCTTTGTATACTATCACAGTCTCACTTCTGTATATTAACAATGAGAAAAAAGCATCTGAACAATGCTATCCTGTCGTCTCAACCCTCTCCCATCGCAGTCGGGGAGGAATCGACGATAAGTGCCCAAAGCCCCACCGCGTTGTCAAAAGCCTCAGGACCAAACACCCAACATCAATCCCAAGCGCAATCCGACAGCACCGGACATTGATCTCATGCATTTTGAATTTCACCATGAGCTCAACCCCTCTCCAATCCCTAGTCCCGGGCTACATCCAAGTCGAAGACTTCGGAGACTCCGACGAATACGAAGATGAAGAAGAAATTTCCTACGTAACCCTGGATCTGGGCACCGTCGAGCCCACACTCGTTCCAAGCGCCTCAAGCTACTACTTGATCGTAAAACCCGTTTCTTCTTAGAGAGAGGGAAGGAACTGCTTACAGCAGCCTAGGGACTCGACACTCCAACACCCTTTCTCCAGCTACAAGGGACAGTACTGAAAGGACGACACAACCATTTACTCGGTACCGAATTGGTCTTCTCGGAGAACCCAGGTGAGTTCAACCCACACAGACAAGCTTGAACACAATGCCGAGCGTTCCACAGATCCTCAGGAACGCAGTAAACGCCCAGTACACCACATCGCCAACACAGAACAACGAATCCTCTTCAAAGAGGTCACACTAGAGCCCAAATCCCCCGAATCCAACAAGGACGATAAAGGCGCGTCTCGGAAAGACGGCGGCGGGGTCGAGCAGGACAGCCAGAAGATCGACCGGATGACTGGACGCGTCGCACCACCTACACGAGCACCGCGAACAAGAGGGAAGAAGAAAAACAAGGAAAAGGAAAAAGCTGCAGAGCCTGAAACCCAGGCTTCCGGTTCGCAGCCAGACGACCACCAGGAAGGAGGACATGACACTGAAGACGCGATGGACGTCGTGCAAGATTAATTCCTCGGGTGCTAGAATTTCGACTGCTTTTACTCGTCGAACCGCCGTCCTACCTGTTCCACAGATACTCAGACAAATTCAATGACGAATAACTAACGAAGTCCAGGTTCCTTGATGGATTCACCGGGCCGTTGGAAACAGGGGGAGATAGACGACGACTGTCCTCAGGTTCGCTTCTAAGCTCAGGACTGTCATGTATTCATTAGCGTTTGAATCTAAAGAGACATCCCTGTGAGTGTGACACAGCTTTGGTGTGCGGGCTTCACGGACTAAATCAAGGCGAGAATGACAGAATGAGCATAGAATTTCCGGATACGGCTGAGAGACGAAGGCGACCCCACAGAACAGAAGCTCATCTGTCGACGCCCTGTTTTTGGAGCACTTTACACATACAGGAGATGCTCGTATTCTGGAAATCCGATGGAACGACGCTGCATAGTAAAACCTTTGGGTGGCCAATTCAGTCGCTGTGCGCACAGTGCGGTTTATGCGCTTCTCCGACTTCGCGACAGATCACAGGTCACGGGCGATAAGATTGGGAGTACTTTCTTTGAATAGCGAAGCTAGGAAATGAACGAAAGGAGTGAGTAAGTTTCCTATTCCTAGATAAAATGAACTGATAGACCGTGTGCTCTTTGACCAGGACACCAAGTTCCCTGTCGAACTTGCTTCAGAACCTCTGTTCCCTTCGTTCTTTGAAGCAGGCATAGGAACAGGGGCTACTGAATTACCATGTCTCTCCTATCTTAAACTGCATGCATGTCGGATGTGTGTGAAGATCCATGTTTGAAGTACACGGAAGGATGAAATCTCGCTGCCTTCCTATCCCTGGAGATCCAACGCCATGCCCAAAAGAGAGGTATAAAAGGCACTTCCCAAGTTGAAACACTCTTCAAACAGGCCACCCTAATCTTCAAGAAGAAAACATCCAGTATCCTATGGTCAGTTCCGAGTCTACTTGTCCCATCACCATATTCCTTTGCTGACTTCTTTTCAGAGCACCTCTACCAGACTACCCGCCTCATATCTCCGGGGCGCACCCAAGAGCCGGTTGAGCCGTTACAACGGATGGCTCCCAGCCCGCCCCGAGATCTACCGCGAGTTCATCCAGCGGCACAGGCAGATCGGCAAGGACAGGCGCCGGGCTGCAGTCCCCCACCAACCCATCGTCCAAAAGTTCGCCGACACTATCAGGGGCGACCCTGAAATGTCCGCGCTCATGGACGAAGTCTTCATCGAGGCGGCCAAGCCTCCCAACCTCGACACTGTGGGTGGTCCACAGTCCATCATCGATCTATCTCTACAAAGCTGATATTCTTGTTCTGTTAGGTGGACAACTTTGACGAGTTGCTATACGGTATGGACGCGATCGTCGTCGCCCCTCCCAAGTACTACCTTGCAAAAGACGAAAACGGCAACATCATCGGCGAACCCGTGGGCGTGCCCATGCACCTCCTCTTCGACCTCCTCAGCAACACCGCTGCGGCTTACGACCTCTTCCGCCGGCCAGCATTCAACCAAGCGCTCAAAGAAGTCTTCGACGAGTGGGGCCGCTACCTGACCACCAGCGACTCCAACAAGTCGCTCAACGAGACTGAGGAGGGGTGGTTCGGGGCTGCGGCGTTGGCCAGTCTCGAAGAGGGGCGTGGCAACTTCAACGATACTTGGATCTGCCCGAACCCCGATGCGGAGAATCGCGGCTACGAGTCCTGGGACGCGTTCTTCACCCGCCTCGCGCAGCCCAATGCGCGCCCCGTCCTCGCTCCGGAGGACAAATCCCTCATCCACAACGCGTGCGAGTCTACCACCTTCGCTATCGCCACTGACGTCAAGAAGAACGACCAGTTCTGGCTCAAGACGCAGGCCTATTCCTTGCGCAACATGCTGAACAAGGACGAGAACTACGCTGACAAGTTCGTGGGTGGGACGGTCTACCAGGCGTTCCTCAGTCCCCAGGACTACCACCGCTGGCACGCCCCCGTCGACGGCACCATCGTCGACACCGTCTCCGTTCCAGGCACCTACTACGGCGTCCTGTTCGACGCCGGCGCCGAGGAGGACGACCCCGATCTCCAACCCGGCGACCCGCACGGCGCGATCATCCGCTCCCAAGCCTACCTCACCACCACCGCCGCCCGCGCCCTCATCTACATCCAAGCCGACAACCCCGCCATCGGTCTCATGTGCTTCATCGGTATCGGAATGGGCGAAGTCTCCACCTGCGAGATCACCGTCAACAAAGGTGACCGCGTCAAGACGGGCGATGAGATTGGGATGTTCCACTTTGGTGGATCGTCCCATGCGATGATCTTTGGTCCCCAGGCTAAACTTACGTTTGCGCAAGAGATTGAGATTGATAAACACCAATTGGTTAATTCTGTTCTTGCGCAGGTTGAGAAGGCCTAGGGAATACGAAAGTGACTACACTGTGACTATGTGCGTCTTGAGGTGCCTAACGTTGAAAGAACATGGGGACTTTCTGTTTTGGTTGTACTTGTATCGTAGCGAAAAGAAATGTTGTAAACAGCTGTTAGTGTGTAATAACTACCCTCCGTTTGCCTATCACCCTTCCTTACAGGGAGCAGAAAGCAGAAACGAGGTCTTCATAGTCAACAAGAGTTGTCGGCGCCTATCAATAGCTCTCTCCCGATCAACCCGGAATGCTAAGTTCAAAAATTTAATTTTATTCATGGCTTAGCAAGGATAAGCCCCTATTTTGGACAAGGGCTAGCCCGCCATCCGTTCTTGTTCTCAAACCACCACCAATGGCCACCTCAAAGCGCGTATGATGGGGAAAGCGCGCGTAGCCACGCGCCATACAATGTCTCCAAGCGCCCTGGAAGATCTCTACAACCAATTCAAATCCTGGAACGAGGAATACTCCACCAATGCCCTGCGCAGTCTTTCGCAACCTTCGGAGAACAGGGCCCCGCCTCCCGTTTTACCACCCCAGCGTGTGGTCAGAGGCGACAAACCCAAGGCCCACGAGGGCGAGACATTCACGATTAGGGATGTGGAAAATCAGACAGAGACGCGGGCTGATGTCCAGATCGTCGATGTCAACCCAAGTTTCCGCCCGCATGCGAGCTATGAAGTTTGCACGCCCTCTGACAGGAATTTTATCGTCGGGGATGACCCGAAACCTATGCTTTTCCGACCTTTCTCGGACGATCCTACGTTCAATCATCAAGGCTACGACGAGGAGTACGAGGTATACGCCTGGGACCATCTTCCCGACCCAGATTGTAAGTCAAATGACCCCCCGGTGTACTTATTAGCAGCGTTTGAGTCCCCCTAGTAGAACTCTTGTCGGCGGAGATAATGTCAAGGTTCGACCTTTCGCCTTGTGATATTGATGTAATGGGCTTGCCAAAAGGCGTCAAGACCCGAAGGTCAGTCGTACCTTTTTCGTTCGCGGGGGCGATTCTGATCGTACTGCAGAGACCACGCAGAGTTGCCGGCGGGATGGAAGCATCCTGCTGCAGACGACGCGTCACACAGTGGTGCAGGACCGCGGGAGCAGCTGCAGAGGCTCGCACTCTACTTCTGCAACAATCCGAATTGTTTGACAGGTTATTGTACCGTTCACGGTAAGCTGGTGTACGAGCGATGACGGACCAGCTTCGCTGATAGCCACCCCCCAGAGGAGATGCCACTTCTACACCCAGTCGCGCCAAGCGTCTCCGACGACACCCTCGCCAACTCTACGCCAGAGGCCTGCGGCGAGAATTGTTTTCTCTTGAAACTCTCTACGCGACCTGTGGTATGTGAGGCTCCTTCATGAGTGTTCGGTGCTAATTCTCGTCCAAGCCCGATCCTTGGACCGATAACGATGTGGAAATGCTGGAGGTAGTGCTCGAACAATCGCCAGATGCACTTCCTTGCGATCTTGCCGTCATATGTCGCAAGCCATGCTATGAGGTTTCAAAACGCCGTCGGGAATATTTTGCAATCCACAAACCGGAGAAGTCCCGCCGGCGTCCGCACCCTCCACGTTTCAATGGTGAGAATTCTGTAACAGCTCTCTTTTCGCCAATTTTTACCCAGGTTCACAGACCTAGAATCAAGTCAATTCACACCGTACGACTTGGTCATTTCTCTCTCGGATCGCCCTGATGGTCCCGCAGGAATCTGCCATGTGGCCACGAAGGCCCCTGTGACTCCTCGTCCAACTGCGTCTGCTGGCAAAACGATGCGCACTGTACGCTCAGTTGTCGTTGCGATAAGAAATGTACGTTTTCCACCCTCTAAATGAATCCATTTCTCAGAGATTCCAGGCATACGCCAGCGGAAAGGTTGCAGTTGCACTGGAAGGAAAGGGAAGAGGACGTGCAGCAAGGGCTGCTCGTGCTACGATTCCCATTTGGAATGTGATCCGCGATTATGTCTGCGCTGCTGTGCAAAGTAGGCTCTGTGTATTCGTTTACTTCCGCTTTTCCGTCGCTAATCTCGGTATAATAGAGGTTGGTGTGTGGTCGAAAGACGGAAAGAAGCAAGTTAATCCTCCTTATTAGACCCGACTGGAAGCAAGAGCTGTCGGAATGTAGGACTTCAACAAGGATGGTCGAAGGCGAGTTTGGACCTTCCTATTTGGTTTATCATTTCTCATCTTGGTTTAGGCAGTCGAAGTTCGTCAAACTCGATGGGGCTTGGGACTTTTCCTTCTCGAAGATGCGGATGAAGACGAGCTTGTACTTGGTATGCCTATTTCCGCGCGATCATCAAGATTGATGATGACCCTTTCCCATGTCCAGAGTATACAGGTGAACTAATCTTCGAGCCAACCACCAAGTCCAGAGAGTAAGTCTGCAGGCCAATCCACTCTGAGCCAAATATATTGACAAAGGCACTCCCGCCAGCCACATCGTAACCCATCGAGAGCGTGGATATCTATTTCAGCTCAACTCGACTGTATCGGTGGATAGTTCGTTTCTTGGGACTGCTGGCCGGTATATCAACCACGACGAAACACCGAACTGCAAAGCCAACAGTGAGTCTGCTTTCATACTTGACCACCCGCCACAAGCCTTTTTACTTACTCACCCCCAAGTCCGACTTGTCAACGGTGAACACCGCATTGGAGTCTTCACACGTGAGTCCATTTCTCAATTCTTCCTAGACGTTAGCTCACCGAGATATAGTGAAACCCCTGAAGAAAGGGACAGAGATTCTTTTTGATTATGGGCCGTCGTTCTTCATGTCACAGAACTCTGGCCAGGAATCACGGAAGGTCGGAACGGCCAAAGGTCCGTTAGACATCCCGGAAGATGCCTCCGATTCTTCATACCACGAAGAATGTGAGGAATCAGATATATGAACTAGTAGATGGGCCTTACGTGGTACCTTTGACATCGATATCCTACTCCCACACTTACATTCGATCAGCCAGGCTCTCGAAATGACCAAGAGGTGGATATCCCTCTTTCGAATTTGCCTTGAAGTTCGGTCTCTCATTGGCTCCGATTCGATCGGGCGAAATAGGCGCCGGCGGCGTTGGGTTGAAAATGAAAGCGCGCGATCGGTTCTTGGTTACAACCACGCACAAGGCAAATGTATTTCTCATTTCATGGTACATCAGGTTTTTTACATACACGTTGACACGTTGAGCTGTAAAGCGACAGTCCACTAGCAAATTTCGCCATACAAGTACAAGTACAGAACACGTTCGACTTCAACCTTTTTGGGCTAAACGCTATCTACCTAGGCCTCCGTAGCCTGGGCGAGGATCGAATTGACCAAATGGTGCTGGTCAACCTGGACGACGTCCGCGAAGGTAAGTTTGGCCTGGGGGCCGAAGATCATCGCATGAGACGATCCACCAAAGTGGAACATCCCAATCTCGTTGCCCGTCTTGACGCGGTCGCCTTTTTTGACGGTGACCTCGCAGGTGGAGACTTCGCCCATTCCAATTCCGATGAAGCACATGAGGCCGATGTCGGGGTTGTCGGCTTGGATGTAGATGAGGGCACGAGCGGCGGTGGTGGTGAGGTAGGCTTGGGAGCGGATGATGGCACCGTGGGGGTCACCGGGTTTGAGATCGGGATCGCCTTCCTCCGCTCCAGCGTCGAACAAGACACCGTAGTAGGTGCCCGGAACCAGGACGGTGTCGATGATAGTACCATCGACGGGGGCGTGCCAGCGGTGGTAGTCCTGAGGGCTGAGGAACGCCTGGTAGACCGTCCCACCCACGAACTTGTCAGCGTAGTTATCGTCCTTGTTCAGCATGTTGTGCAACGAATAGGCCTGCGTCTTGAGCCAGAACTGGTCGTTCTTCTTGACATTGTAGGAGATGTTGAAGGTGGTGGACTCGCACGCGTTGTGGATGAGGGACTTGTCGTCAGCGGCCTGGACAGGACGGGCGTTCTCCTGAGGCTGCCTGGTGAAGAAAGCATCCCAGGACTGGAAACCGCGGTTGGGCGCAGTCGGGTCTGGGCAGATCCAGGTGGAGTTGAAGTCTCCACGCCCTTCCTCGAGACTGGCCAAGGCAGCAGGTCCGAACCACCCCTCGTCAGTCTCGTTAAGACTCTTGTTGGAGTCGGTGGTGGTCAGGTAGCAGCCCCACTCGTCAAAGACTTCCTTGAGGATGACGTTGAATGCTGGCCTGTGGAATAGGTTGTACCCAGCAGCGGTGTTGCTCAGGAGGTCGAAAAGAAAAAACATCGGGACGCCGACTGGCTCTCCGATGACGTTGCCACTCTCGTCCTTGGCCAGAACATACTTGGGGGGAGCGTAGACGAGCGCATCCATGGCATAGAGCAGCTCTTCGAAGTTGTCAAGCTGGCGGGCAGGCAGATCGTCAGTGTGCTGTACGGAAAGTCGATTGTAAGAAGGGAGCTTACAGTCTCGAGGCCGGGAGGTTTAGCCGCCTGGATGAAGACCTCGTCAATGAGGGCCGACATTTCAGGGTCGGCCCTGATGGTGTCGGAAAACTTCTGAATGACAGGGGCGTGTTCAGCGGCTGCACGGCGCCTGTCCTTGCCAATTTGGCGGTGGCGATGAACGAACTCGCGATAAACCTCGGGGCGCGCAGGGAGCCATCCGTTGTAACGGCTCAACCGACTCTTGGGTGCGCCCCTGAGATAGGTGGGTTGCTTAGCAGAACTCTGAGGCGTGGTCAGGGAGGTAGTAGGACTTGAGAGAGTAGTAGACAGACCATGTGGGTTTGGGTGGCGAGTAGCTTGTAGAGGTTCAGACTTTTCTTGTCTGAGTCTCCATTAAGTCCATTGCATCCCATTTATATGTTTTCGGCATGTCGATCTCCCGTCCGGATGGGGTGACATTCGGTTTGAGACTCAGCGAACCTTACCCAAGCTGCCAATTCGGAGGCTCCACCGATGGAGATAACTGTCAAAGGAACCTGAAAATAAGACAGGCACTGCGCCAGTCGAATGGCGTTTAGTGCTATTCTTAGCCCACGAGCGGGAGAAGCGTACTGACTTTGGGGGAATATGTCACAAGAAGAGTCGGAACTCCCTGGGAGTGACGCTCTTCCACCTGCATTCATCTCCTTTCTTTCCACCCCATTGCTTCTCTATTCAACAGTGGATCTACTTCGGTGCTAACCTGTGACCTCCAATTGGCGTAGATCTGTCAGTGGCGTTGGAAGTGGAAAGTGCGGACACTCATCACCACTCACTGTCAACTTTGCTCCCCAAACACGACATCGCGAAAGTGCCCCTATCCACACCCACTGATTCACCTACGAAAGGAAGGCAAGACTAGTCGACAAGTTCCATGTCGTGACACTTCCGCATGGTGCACTAACTCTTCGATTCCCAGTCGGATCTTGGTGGTCTCCGTCATCTTCTCGTTATCCTATTCTATGAACGCGTTCCCGAAGACAGCACCTCCACAGCAGTTCACATGAGCCATACATCAAAGGTTATGTGTGTTCACATGGCGTTCCTGAAGGTTGAAATGGATGAAAATGCGGTGAAGTTTGAACACCTAGTACCAGCCCGAGCGCTCACAATCTCTATTTATTTCCAACGCCTTTAGCAAACGCCCAGCGATAGTCCGTTGGTCCGGGCGCCCTCGGGCGCTTGATGATTTTAAAAATACAAGACCTAGGAAAATCTGCAGTGTATAACCGCTCAGAAGCTAAGATTGGATTCAGAAGCTTTCGGAAGCACAACCAGTGAAGGACTCGGAGGTACTCTATACCGTGCCGCGGAGAACTTGTCTTGTGGGCTTGGAGAAAGTTAATCAATGCGAGTTAACTTGCTGACTTTGTATTTGCGGAGGCCAAAATCATTTACGCTTCCCGCCAATGGAGGCAACTTGAAGGGAGCCAAGACATGATAGCTTGGGTCAAAAATAGAGCATCAGAATCGTCGCATCTTGGCTTAAAGCTCAAATGACAAGTCCCTTGTACGAGCTATAAAGGACCTTGCGTTCGACCAGGGTTGCCAGCAGCTTCCTTGCTCTCCACATCCAATTCGACAGTCTACCAATACTGATCACCATGGTCAGTTCTTGGACCTTGCGTTAACGAACTCGCTGACCTGACGTCGTCTAGAGCACCACCCGTGACCCCAACGGATACCTCAGGCGCAGGCCCGGGCCCACCGGTGGTCGGCTGAGCCGTTATGGAGGGTGGCTCCCAGCCCAACCTGCAGTCTATCGCGAGTTCTTGAAGAGTCATCGCCAGCTCGCAAGGCAGCGCCGTCGTGACGCAGTCGAACATGTCCCTGTAGTCGCACAGTTCGAGAAAACGATCAGATCAGACCCCGTTATGTCGCATCTTATGGACCAAATCTTCCTCCAGGTTGCCAAGGTTCCCGACTTTGACAATGTAAGGCAATTCCCCGTGAGTTACTGCACCGTCACTGAAGTCGTTCACAGATCGACAACTTTGAGGAACTCCTCTACGCCATGGATGAGATTGTCACCACGGCGCCGAAGTTCCAGGTTGCTAAAGATGAACACGGCAACACTGTCGGGGACACCGTTGGATGCCCTATGTATCTTATCCTTGATCTGCCCAGCAACACCTCCGCTGGGTACGATCTATTCCGCATGCCCGCCTTCAACAAGGCCATGGCAGACGTCTTGAACGAATGGGGCCGCTACCTTACCACACCAGACTCGGGCAACGTGCTCAATGAGACAGACAAGGGCTGGTTCAGTCCTCTCTCTCTTGCTAGCCTGGAGGAGGGGCGCGGAGACTTCAACTCCACTTACGTCTGCCCTGAACCCGACTCTCCCAATCGCGGCTTCACCTCATGGGATGCCTTCTTTACCCGCGCATTTCAACCGAGTGCCCGCCCCGTCATCGCATCCCACGACAAGTCGATCATCCACAACGCATGCGAATCTACCGTCTATGCCATCTCGCGCAACGTCATGAAACACGATCAGTTCTGGCTCAAGGCTCAACCTTACTCCTTGTACGACATGCTCAACCAGAACGACGAAGATGCGGAGATGTTCGTCGGTGGCACGGTCTTTCAGGCGTATCTCAGCCCCGAGGACTACCACCGCTGGCACGCTCCAATCGACGGTGTCATTACCAAGACTGTCCTCGTTCCGGGCGCCTATTTTGCTGCATTGCCCGACGAGGGAGCTGAAGAAGACGACCCCGACCTCAAACCTGGCGATCCTCACGGAGCTAGCACCCGCTCGCAAGGCTGGCTGACCGTGGCGTCCGTTCGCGCCCTCATCTTCATCAAGGCCGACAATCCAGCTATCGGTACAGTATGCTTCATCGGTGTTGGTATGTCCGAGGTGTCTACCTGTGAGACCACGGTTAGGCCTGGTGATCGCGTCAGGACGGGTGACCAGCTTGGAATGTTCCACTTCGGTGGCTCTTCGCATGCACTGATCTTTCCAGCGCATGCTAAGATCACCTTTGCAGATGACGTCCAGGTTGACAAGCATCTTTGGCTCAACTCAGTCATCGCTCAAGTGAAGGAGGAGTAAAGGGTCGGAGCAATGAACTTGTAAATCCACTCGGCTACATTCGAACATTGTTTTGAACTGCGATCCCAGAATTCCTAACTCCAGTAATGAAATGACATACATATTTTGCCTTCGTTGATTTTTGGCGTTCCTCTCTGACACATGTTTCGCCTCGTCACGACTGTATACTTTGTACGAATTATGCTCCTGCAATGAAAAGTAGTGCTGCATTTGACGAACCTTTTGAGCTTTTGCGACTACATAGGGGGATCGACAGGCGTGATGCCATCAAAGGTATGGGAAATGTTCGAAGGTTCGAGCCCGCCTTTTGGTTCTGAACCACCCGGGATGATGTGTCTCATGCCGTACTCTGGAGATTCTGTCTGCTACGGTATGTGAAGCTTTGAATAAAATGTCACTTTAGCTCTATTCGCGAACGTGCTGACCAGGCATCGAATAGGGGGTATGCTATTCAGATGACGACAAAGATAACGGAGACGTCTAGGATCCGGGTTGGAAATGGCAGAGGAGCTAATAGCTTGGGAGCGCAGCCATAGAACGAGGGCCCATAGGTGTCCTTCACTTCTGGAAGTGCAGCATGCAAATCGTCGCTATCTCGAGTCAAAGTCAACGGCAGGACTCATAGGAAACGACCAGTGAGTACCTTTCCATTTAAACGACGCCCTAGCACCCACATACCGATATCTAACCAATCGGGGTCAGGTCTTCCGCCGAAATCAGCGATTTGACCCCTAAAGGGAATATGTCTATCTATCTGCGTCCATAAATAATTCACTTGGCGTGGCTTTCATCGCTTCTCTCTCCAGGAAATGAACGACGAGAAGGTCGCTCAAGTCTATTTCCGAGTCTTCCTGGGTTAGGTTATGGCAATACGAATGTCCCGTTCTGCCCATACCTGGGTTCTGGTGCCTTCCTGACGTTCTTTCACTCCCAAGACTGCCACGTTACTGGTCATAGGGGTCTCCGAGATTCCATTCCTGACACACCCAAGCGCTTACTCTCAAGACTTCTTCGCTTTCTTGGAATAGAGCGGCCTGTTGATCATGTAAACGACACACTGTACCCGCCTTTGGAGCCCCCTTTGCAAGCCACACCAAATTGAAAAGGGTATAAAAGCAGCCTTGAAATCGATGGAATCGTGTCAGGCTCGCATAAACCTATCCAATCCCATCTACAGCTGATTTTCCAATGGTCAGCCCTCGTCCTCTTTTCTTGATGTTCATTCGCTGACTTTGCCTCAGAGTACTTCCACCAGGAAGCCCAACACTTACCTCCGTGGACGACCGACTGGTCGGTTGGGCCGTTACAATGGATGGCTCCCGGCTCGTCCAGAAGTTTACGCTGAGTTCATCAAGCACCACCGCCAGGTCGGGAAGGAGCGACGCCGCGCCAGAGCCCAGCATCTTCCGGTTGTCCAGCAGTTCGCGGACACCATCAACAACGATCCAGAAATGTCTGTGTTGATGGATCAAATCTTCCTCCAGGCTGCCAAGCCTCCCAACCTAGACACCGTAAGTGTCGCCTCTGCATTTTCTCTTTATGTATATCGATTAACTGACTTCGTTTGAAACCAAGGTCGACAACCTCGACGAGTTGCTCTACGCCATGGATGCCATCGTCGTTGCGGCGCCCAAGTTCTACAACGCGAAGGACGAGAACGGCAACATCATAGGTGAACCCATCGGTGTTCCCATGTTGCTGCTTTTCGATCTCCTCAGCAACACTGCAGCTGCGTACGATCTCTTCCGTAAGCCTGCTTTCAACGACGCCCTCAAGGCGGTCCTCGACGAATGGGGTCGCTACCTGACCACCACTGAATCAAGCAACGTCCTTAACAACTCTGAAGAAGGGTGGTTTGGGGACGTCGCGCTGGCCAGTCTCGAGGCCGGACGCGGGGACTTCAATTCCACCTACGTCTGCCCCGACCCCAACGCTGTTAGTCGGGGCTTCCAATCCTGGGACGCGTTCTTCACCAGAGAAGTACAACCGCAAGCCCGTCCTGTCGACGCGCCCACCGATAAATCCATCATTCACAACGCATGCGAGTCGACCACTTATAACATCGCCTACGAAGTCAAAAAGCACGATCAGTTCTGGCTCAAGGCGCAGAAGTACTCCTTGTACGACATGCTGAACAAGGACGACCAGATGGCTGACAAGTTCGTCGGTGGAACTGTCTATCAAGCGTTCCTCAGTCCTCAGGACTACCACCGCTGGCACGCCCCCGTTGATGGAACCGTCGTCAAGACCGTCCAGGTTCCAGGCACCTACTACGCTGTTCTCCCTGACGCCGGTGCGGAAGAGGACGACCCCGATCTCCAGCCCGGTGATCCCCACGGCGCCTTGATTCGTTCGCAAGGCTATTTGAACGTGTCCTCCGCTCGCTCTCTCATTTACATCCAGGCCGATAACCCCGACATTGGCTTGATCTGCTTCATCGGCATTGGTATGGCAGAAGTCTCCACTTGCGAGATTATCGTCGAGGAAGGCCAGAAGGTCAAGACTGGTGACCAGATCGGGATGTTCCACTTCGGTGGCTCGTCCCATTCTATCATCTTTGGGCCCCAGTCCAAGGTCACCTTCGCGGACGTCATCGAGGTCGACAAGCACAACTTGGTCAACTCTATCCTTGCTCAAGTTGCCAAGGCGTAGGTGTCAGAGTTGCCATCGGCCTTGGCTTCAGCGTCGAGTTGGAAGGGAAAGTAAATGTCACTGATTGTACTTGTATCGTGACTGAATTCAGATATGCTTGGGGCCTGTGACAAAAAGCTTCATATCTAGGACATCCATAGCTGAAAAAAACTTGTACATATAGCACACGGACCAAATGAATGCCAAGTTGTTGAACTATAAGAGAGTTTTGGACCTCGCTCCCGCTCAAAGTTCCTTCGAGTTAGCCCACCGAGTTGAACCCGCCTTATCCCCGAGATGAAAGACCAAAGGATCGCTTATATCGTTACCTCTACGCCCATGCTAGTTCACTCTAGTTGCCGTTCATTTACATCGTCGAAATTCTAATGGACAGGACGTCTAATGGTCGACTGGCCAATCATACCATCTGATAAGCTGCCTGTGCGGAGCTTCAACTACGCTCTTCCGCACCCGCCAGCTCCCGAACCGGATAACACCCTTTCGATGTATCCACCATGTGCAACTGTTGACGTTAGGGAAATCGGACGGCAAGATGCGCAATCTACCAGAATCTGGGGCGTTTCTGACACTATCGGGGTCCTGAAAGGCTCCTTACGTTGAACCCCGTCATCTGCCACCCACTGGGAGCTCGGACTCTGGCTAACTGAAGGCTGAATTCGAGTTTTTCTGCCACCTTCGACTGTCCGTAAGGCCTGGAGAAGCTGGAGCTTCTGACTGGCCAAGACGTCAGTTCTTTTTCATATCGCTGCCATCTAACAGGAAGAATGCTCTTTTATCCCCCCGATTAACGATAAGGTACGGTTCGAATTGTTCTTATGACTTTCATTGGAGCTGACGGGACCACGTTCAAGTCATATCAAGGAAATGTGAAGAGAGCGTGTTCCCATCCTTTGGAGTCCAATTCGGTACAGAGCGACTAGACGATTCCATCCTCCATAACAATGTCAGTCACCCTGTTTTCCCCCAGGGCCACCGCGGTGCAGTGTACGGAGACGCAGGTGCTACGTAGAAACTCCACGACGCCAGCCTGCATTTCAAAGTTGCCACCCCCACTCCTGACACAGTGATCAGGAAACGCCGCCTCCTTAGCGGCTATCGTCCACCTGGATGTCCATATTAATCAGTGTTCATTCAGCCCTTCAAGATGTGCTACAGTTTGAAAGCCATCTGACCATGTGCAAAGACACTTGCACGACGTAAAGATGTCTTCTCGACTCGAAAACGTTGGAGAACAAAGGCCCCTCTCGTAAAAGCGACCCTTCACACTTGACATCGAACATGGTGATCCATCTTACAATGACGATCCAGATGTTTGGCGGTGACTATATTCGCTCCCTGGCCTTTCTGAAATATCGGCTCCCAAAACCTATAAAGACCCTCCCCTGTTCCTCGGTGGTCCACAGACGCAAAGTCTACTCCCATCGACATCGACTACTAGCTCTAATCAAGGTCAGTAATCTATCGCCTTCTGACGTCGACCACAATTTGACTGTTCCGTTTCCCACCTAGAAGCAACCATGTCTCAGAACGCTCTTTACTCGTACGCGAAGAGCAGGACGATGAGCCGCTACGCTGGGTGGCTTCCCTCTCGCCCGGAAGTGTATCGTAGCTTCATGCACGTTCACTACCACATCGGCAAGGACGGTTGGCAAGCCCAAAGAGCCCATGAGCCTGCTGTCGCTGAATTCGCGGCTTCGATTAGGAAGCACCCTGATATGGTCGCGTTGTTCGACCAAATCTTCAAGCAGGTTGCTCAAATCCCGGATTTGAAGACGGTAAGTTTCAAGTAGCTTGCGTATCCTTCAGATGCTGACAACGATTCCTTTTAATTAGATCAAGAGCTTCGAAGAGCTCCTCCATGCTATGGATAGCATCGTCACGTCTCCCCCCAAGTTCCATATCGCGGAGGATGAACATGGCAATCCCATCGGAGAGCCTATCGGCGTTCCCATGTACCTTCTCTTCGATCTGCTCAGCAACACCTCTGCTGGGTACGATTTGTTCAGGATGCCCGCCTTCAACGAGATCCTCAAGACTTTGCTCAATGAATGGGGCAAGTTCCTTACCACTTTCCCTTCCGCCAGCTCCCTCCACGACGGCGACGAAGGCTGGTTCAGCACCATCGCCCTGCAGCAACTCGAGTCGGATGGCCGTGGCGAGTTCAACGCCACTTACGTCGTCCCCAATCCCAGCGAGCCCCACCGTGGTTACACATCCTGGGACGCGTTCTTTACTCGAGAGGTTCAGCCTTCTGCTCGACCCATCCTCAAGCCCGAGGACAAGTCCATCATCCACAGTGCTTGCGAGTCGACCGTCTACAACATCCAGTCCAAGGTCAAGAAGCACGACCAGTTCTGGTTGAAGACCCAGGCCTATTCCTTGTACGACATCCTCAACAAGAACGATGAAGATGCCGACAAGTTCGTTGGTGGAACAATCTACCAAGCGTTCTTGAGCCCATTGGATTACCACCGCTGGCACGCGCCTGTCGATGGGGAGATCGTGAAGACCGTCCTCGTCCCCGGGTCCTACTACGCTGTCCTTCCCGATGCCGGTGCTCCACAAGACGACCCCGATCTCAAGCCCGGCGACCCCCACGGTGCTCTCATCCGCTCCCAGGGCTGGCTCACCGTCGCCGCCGCTCGCGCCCTCATCTTCATCAAGGCCGACAATCCCGACATTGGGCTCATGTGCTTCGTCGGTATCGGTATGGCGGAAGTCTCCACCTGTGATATCACCGTCAAGCAAGGCGACAAGGTCAAGACTGGTGACCAGCTCGGGATGTTCCACTTTGGAGGCTCGAGCCATGCTCTCATTTTCGGCCCTCAAACTAAGATCACGTTCGCGCGCGAAGTTACTGAGAAGCAGAACCCGCATTTGTTGGTCAACTCGGTTATTGCGCAGGTATCCAAGGCGGAGAATTAGCCTAGAACTGTCTTTTTTGATTGAACGAATGGTGTAACAGTAGTGTTTTGTGAATCTAGAATCTTGTTGTTCTCACAGTATCGAATTCGGAAGGACGGATGCGGCATCATAATTGGCACGTCTGCTGGAGGCTTGGTTATGTTCTTCATACTTTTGCTATTTTGAAGACCTCAGAGCTGAGTACCCCATCCCCGACCTCGATCTGGAGCATTGGAGAATCACAGATGGTTGGAAAATCTCAGGGCCCGCAGTATCAACTTTCTGTTAATGAACGTATACATCCACGAAGTAAACCCCCATCCCAGCCTTGCTCCAGCCAAAGTACCACCGAGCAGCGCCGAAAAGCATTTTCTTTGCATCGGATCCCATGAGGCGTGACCATGACGTCAATTATTTTAAGGCCGGCCGCTGAATATCGAACTCAGCGCTGAGTGCTGAGCGCTAGAGCCGCTTGGACTGAAGCTCTAGCTAACTTTAGGCCTCCTCGTATTTCCCCCCGACTCTCTCTGTCACCGTGTCAGACTCGGAGGGCAAAACGCGAAGCGCGCCAAGTCCTGCCGCGATCGCGTGACCGCGCCATCAGGGGCGCGTAATGTAAATTGGGATCGTGGGAAGCAATTTACACGTTCCTGAGCCGGCCTTCAAAAGGGATCCGCGCCTCTAATTTTTTCTTTCCTCCCCACCCTCACAACGGCCCCGCTTTCTCTGCCAGAGCCATGGCGGAAAGCCTACTGGACCGAGCCAAACGACACCTGGGCTTCAAGCCCACATACCCAGTGAGCGCTGTTTTTCCTTTTTGAGCGCCGCTGTGTGGCCGCTGCGTGATACGAGGGCGGCATGGCCACCGCCTAAAGTACCGGGCGCTGTAATTAGCGCGTTTGAGCCACATATATGGCGTTTCTCTCTTCTTTGCTGAGCAAACAGCGGCGTTCTAACCTTTCATGCTTCGTAGAGCTCGCTATTGCCGAAAAGTTACCTCTCAGAGCTCGAAAAACACATCGCCCAATACCCATTCGACGATAACGTGAGTTTCAGACTTTTCTCGTGTCAAAGGCGATTCCTGAACGCGCTCTAGTTCACATTGGTGAAGCAAGCTAAGAAAGGATGTAAGCGCGTCTTCCCAGCATTCTGACGCGTCGTGGGCCCATGCTGACTTTTACATTCTCATAGACGGTGTCCTGACCTGTCTTGAAGAGGGATGCAACGTGGAGATCCCCTTGACCCCACTCACTAATTCCAGAGACGGGGGGAAAGGCGTCGGTTTGGGATCTTTCGTCGCTTTCCAGGTAAATCACGCGTCATTAACTTCCCGCGACGCGACTGAGCACGCGCACTTAATCTAGACACACATCAACACGCATCCCACCCACAAACGGAACTGCCTTCGCCGTGTGGCGAAAGAAACCGGTCAGAAGACCCATTCTGGCGCCAATGCTGTGAGTTTTCGCCTTTCTCAGACTGAGCGCTTCCCTGATATTGGTTTGTCATTAAAGCATGTGGTCCCAGCACGTGGATCAGGCATGGCGACGGGGATAAAGCCGGAAGGACAAACCCAGATCGGTATGCACCATGCCTTTGTTAAGCGCCTGTAGGAGCATATATGCGGCAGTGTCGACTTACCTTTTATCCCCAGATTCTCGGAGAGTCTCTGAGCGCCCTGTGCCCACAGGCCCCATCGCCACTCCCCTTGCCCGGAAACGACATTCCGATACTGCCTTCGATATCGACTCTACCCTCGAAGGCGATTCTTCAGTAATTCAAGTCACCAAGAAACTTAAGCAAGAGGCCTCCGTCGCCATGATTCCAAAGTCCCCCCTTGCTGTGAAGACTAACCTTGCCGTCGAAACCAAGCCAATGCTCGATGCGGATGAGATTCGTGAACAGCTTGAAGACGTGATTAAGCGGCACTCAGACCTCGAAGTCATCTACGACCGAGCTGTGAGGAAGAAGCGCAAAACCAAGGCCGACCAAACTCGATTGAACAGGCTGAAGCTTGACCTGGACGCTCTCCGTCGCCAGAAGGATAACCTCAAGTCTTTCCATCCTGGGGCCTCTACTTCGAAAAGGCCTCTGGACAAAGGGGATTCCTCCAGGTCGAGTATGTACCCCTTTGTGTTTTACCGTTCTTCGCTGACTTACCGTCCCAGTTCTTGCAGGGCCTTCTTCTGGCAACGTTCCCCCAACGTTTCCAACGTCAATGGGCGCCTCTCATAATGCTGTTCAAGCCTTTCCGGCTCCGGTTGCGGGGCCTTCTGCTGGAAACATCCCCATGCCACTTCCAATGTCGATGAACGCGCCTCATGTCGCTAACGCGTATCCCCCCTCGGCTCCTGCACCGTTTGCTTATCTTCCCCCGCCCATCGCACCGTTTGCTCACAATGCCGGCCATCATAGGCCAATCCCTCCTCCCCCGGCTGCGCCGTCTTCCGCGGGCCTCAATCCCTTTATCTACTACAGTCAAGGGCAGTCTATCCCTCAACCCCAGCAACAGTCTCTGCAACAGCAACCGCACCAGACAGCCGCCAGTGTCCGTCAACAGCATGCGCCTACGATACCTCAATTTGGAAGTGGTGTTGCTGGCCCATCACAAAGGCAAACCCTCTCAACGCCGACTCCAGCGCCAGGCCCTTCACGCATTCTTAATGCCAATCCCATGGCGCGCCTTCTTGGTCTTCCGGCTCCACGGCAAGCACCGCCGTCGACTGTTCCTTCGCAGAGCAAGACTCTGAAACCGTCGCCAGCAGGGCTGAACCCGACTGTAAAGCGAGAGATCAAGACAGAGCAGAACGAGGTGTCTTCTGTTGCTTCCAGCTCGAAGGTCACCTTATCCCCAACCCATCGGCTACCCCAAGCGTTCCCCTTCGATCCCAAGAAGTTCGCTGATTCCGATGATGATGAGGAAGACTTCGACATGGAATACGACCCGGACATGGTGGCTCAGAACGTTGCCAACGCTGCGATGGAGAGGATCGGCATTCATGTCGCCCCTACCCGCGACGCTCGAGACGAAGATGGACTCTTCTATGGTCGTGGAAGAGACCTGTATGAAGGCCCTCGTGCCAATCCCAACGAGTAAGTCTGGTTACCTCTTATCTCGCATTCTTTGAAATAACCCGTGTTTTAGTATCAATAAATTCCTACTTCTCGCTGGAAACGCGGAGCAATTTGACGGCAACGCCAGTGTCGACGACGCTTTGAAGGAGCTCGGACTCAAGAATCTCGACGATTTGCTCCCGGGTATGGCTGTCGCTTTGATGCCCCATCAAGCAATTGGCGTTGCATGGATGCTGAAGAAGGAGAAGAGTCCTCTGAAAGGCGGGTGTATGGCTGACGATATGGGACTGGGCAAGGCAAGTGATTTGCTCACTCTCGGAAACATGGCTCTAATCGATTCTTCATTTCTAGACTGTGCAAATGTACGTTTTTCTCCGGGATCACCCTAAGTCCTCGACTGACTGTCGACCTCCAGGATCACTTTGATGATGATGAATCGCTCTACTAATCCCGATTGCAAAACTACGCTCGTTGTGGCCCCGCTCGCACTGCTCGACCAATGGAAGATGGAGTTGGAAATCAAGACTAGCACCCGCTTGAAAGTCCTGATCTATCACGGTTGGTCTATCCTCTCTGCACTGTACAATGCACTCACGATCGCAATGCAGGTCCAAACCGTCCCCGTAGAAAGCGGGACCTGCTCGAGTACGATATTGTGCTGACGACTTACTCAGTATGTTTTCGCCGTGACTTTTACCTCCCATTCACCACTCACCTCGATTTGAAGACCATGGCTCACGAATGGCCGGACTACGAGGCTCAGGCAAAGAAGAAAGCCAAGGCCAAGAAACAGAAGAAACTTGATGATTTCATCGTCGAAGATTCGGACGAAGAAGACTACCATACCAAGGTCAAGAAGCGGAAGAACGAAGGTAGGCACACTTCGCATTATCGTGCGACGACGATGGCGCTGACGGCTTCACAGCTGGGCTGTTATTCCAGATCGAAGTGAGCATTCCTGAAGACCCTTGCCGGAAAAGTCTCTGACGATTGACACAGTGGTATCGGGTTGTTCTCGATGAGGCCCAGGGCATCCGTAACAGGACCACTCGTATGGCACTATTTCTCTATCTGTATGACGTGCTTCGCTCACGACATCTCAGGCTCATCACGCTCCGCCAACGAGCTAAAGGCGAACCTTCGGTGGTGCTTGACTGGGTACATACTCGTCCCTTTCACTGTAACATTGTCTGATCGCCCGTTACAGAACTCCCATCATCAACGGCTTGACCGACTATTACGGCTATCTTCGTTTCTTGAAGGTTCGCCCCTGGTATGATTGGGATGCCTTTAACCGCCATATAGCGTTGAAGGAGAAGAAAAGTCGTGAGTCCTTGCCTTTCCTTGCCAATGGCACTGGTTCCCCTTCTAATGGAGACTTGCAGCCAAACTCGCCGTTACTCGCCTTCAAGCCATCATCGTCACCTGCCAGATCCGTCGCACGAAGGAATCCGAACTTGATGGGAAGCGTCTCATCGAGCTTCCGCCCAAGGAGATCACCATGACACCGCTGGAATTCACGGAAGAGGAGCGCGCAATCTATACTATGGTCTGTTCTTACTTTGCCTCATTATCCTTTAAGGAGTGCTTTGCTGAGTTAACGCTAGGTGGAAGCCCGTTCGCAAGCTACCTTCAACCGATTCCTTCGTGCCGGCACTGTCCTGAAGTAAGTCTTCCCGTTGACTGTCGAGTTGAACAGCTCTAAAATTTGTATCATAGGAATTACCACCAAGTTCTCGTTCTACTGCTTCGTCTTCGACAGATATGCTCCCATCCTTGTCTCATCCAAGAGGATGTTGTTGCATTTGTTCACCGAGACGAGGTGGACAACTCGAAGCCCGAGGTCTTCACTGAACTCACCCGTGCCCGTAACATGATCTCTGCCGAATTCGTTGAGGAGATGAAGAAGAGGTTCAAGGACCGCGCCGTTCAACGCATGGAAGCCGAGAAGCAGGTGAGTCTCGTACCGTTCGCATCTAACAAGGAAGGAGCTGACTCCCGTCCAGTCTGCTGATGCCGCATTGGAAGACGAGGACTGTGCCATTTGCTTCGAGATTATGGGCGAGAGTGCAGTATTCACCGAGTGCAAACACGAGTTCTGTGGCGAGTGTATCCGTGAGCTTCGCCCTCTCTTTTGCGGTGGGAACGTCGCTGATCATCCGTCTTTCAGATGCATACCTTGACACGCCTATAATCGATGCGGCTGACAACAGGGATACGCATCCATGTAAGCGATGCTCTTCCCTTCATGCTCTTCACTTGATCTGACAGATATCTCAGGCCCTAAATGTCGCGAACCGATTACGAAGCAGAAGATCTTCAAACGTGCGGCGTTCGAGCCTACCAGCAAGGAGCTCAACGGCGAGAGCTCTGATGACGAGGATTCCGACGAGGATGAAGAGGAAGATGAAGACTACATGGACGTTGACGAAGACTCGAGTGGCAAAGGAAAAGGAAGGGCTCGTCCAGCTCGCACCTCTCGGCGCAAGGTGTCGTACTACGAAGAAGACGATGACGATGACATGAGCGATTTTATCGTCGAGGATGATGAGGACGAAGAAGAGAAAGATGCTCGACGTGCTTTGAAGAGGCGGCTTGGGAAGCGACGCGCCAACGTGATCTTGGATTCCGACGACGAGATGGACACTCCGGAAGAGAAGGAGGTTCTGATTGGCCGCAAGACCAAGGAGCAGTTGGCCAAGGAGTCGGTTGAGAACATGTCTCGGTTCCTCCCCTCCACCAAGATGAAGGTAAGCTTGTCACGTCGTTGTTTCAGCCAGCCCCATACTAAATGTGTCGTAGTACATGATGGAGCTCATTGAGAAGAGTTTCAAATCTCGACCTGACGAGAAGGTCAATCTTTTGTGCCTTCCCTAAGTATCCCCTCCTGACCTTCCTTTCAGATTTTGGTCGTCTCTCAGTGGACCGCTTGCCTTACGTTGGTTTCGGATTACCTCGCTGAGAAGGGAATTGCCCATGTCAAGTATGTTTTGGGTCTATTCGTTTGGATCCCTCGCTCACTCATCTCTTCGCAGGTATCAGGGCGACATGGATCGTAACAAGCGCGACCAAGCTGTTCGTGTGTTCATGTCTAAAGACAAGGCCAGAGTCATGTTGATGTCGCTCAAGTGTGGAGGTAAGGCGACTATACCTTCGCTTTCTATTTCATCTGCTCATGATTTTGTCGCTTTCAGGTGTCGGCCTCAACCTTACTCGCGCGAACAATGTCATCTCTCTCGACCTCGCGTGGTCTCGGGCTGTCGAATCCCAAGCCTGGGATCGTGTACATCGCCTGGGCCAGACTCGGAACGTCAACGTCCAACGTTTGGTTATTGCCAACACTGTCGAAGATCGAATCCTCGCTCTTCAAGAACGCAAGCAGTCGCTTGCTGATGGTAGTTTGGGAGAAGGAACAGGAAAGAAGATGGGCCGTGAGTAGTTTCGAGTTTGATGACGCTTGCAGGTAGACTGACGAATTGTGCCTTTGCTAGGCCTCACCGTTGGTGAACTCGGTACGTGGATTCACCTTCGCATAGACTTGATCATATTCTGACATTTACACTAGCTAACCTTTTCGGCCTGGATATTGATGGAAACCGTATCTGAGATTCGGATTCCGTTTATATTTATTGAATAACGTCGTCCATCTAACTGTTGATGAACGACCATGGTGACAGTGTCCTTGACTGGTGTCTATTTGCTGTTCTTTCGACTGTTGTACACGGCTCTTTATACCTCAGCCTTCTAGATAATTGACATCCTTTGTTGCGTAGTGTACATACCTTGCTTCGTATTTGTAGCTTACTGCTTCCCCCTTTTCCTCGCTCCGTACCCTTTCCCCGATTATGCTGTACGTTACAACTCTTTGCCAGCTTCACATTATTGCACTTGCGCCTATAGTCCTTACGTTTCTCTCTTGTTGATTTGTATATTGCCTCCCAAGGCTGTTCTTGATACTCGATACTCAGCACTACATAAGTATTGTACTCCCCTTCTTTGTTGAATCAATCCAGATAATTGCTGGCTACCCAAGTCGTCAATTGACATGAACCACAAGGGAGATGTTTTGGTTGTTGAAGACCTGGGGTTGATCGAACAGAATCGCAGCCAAAAGCTCCAATCGGGGTTATCTGTGTCGGTGGTCCTTGGTCTCCGGCGACAGGTTATTTGAACGCAACAAGAAATAGACCTAAGTATCACGACTGGAAAATGGCTGATACCGTCTTAGAATGACTATCAGTTTGCCTTGTTCTGTCGCGATGACTATCACTTCATGACAGATAATTTTATAGCTTCTTGTTACAGCCTGCGCACGCTTGACGGCGAGCGCGGGTCCCCTGCCAGATGCCACGTTTTCGAGGTATTGCGGCCCTTGAAGCTGTTCACTGGCACCGTTGGATTGGGTGTTTGGGCTTGGCGCTCTAGTTAGGCGCCCGTGGAAAATCGAAAAAGGACTGACACAATCGGCGGTCCAGCCCAATGGATGCGTAGCAGCTTCTATGTAAGTAAACAGAACTTTTAGTAACTCGTCCACTCAGCACTGCCAGTGAGGTTCGTACCGAGTCGCAGGTTCAAGAAGTTCGCATGTGTTGTCAATGAGTGGCGGAGGGACAATCAGGATTCCTGGGCGGATCTGGACTTCGCGAGCTAGAGCCAGAACTGGGTGGCAATTGCAATGGAAGGTGTCCACTCTTTATCTGGATTCAGCTTTGAATATACGTCCATAACTTGTGAGTGCTGCCAGTGTTAAGACCAGGGATACTTGCGGTCTCGACCAATGACGGTTCTCCCGCATCGGAACCTGCTGTGACCCAGTCGTGGGCTTTCTCTGGAGCTTTCTAACTCAAGCTTAGTTGGTATAAGAAGCTAGAACCATTCACATATATGAACGGTCGAGATTATGGGCCATGATCGCCGTGGTACCCATGACCGTTGGATTGGAACCCAGACTGCAATTTAAGTTCCCGCCCCAAAGCTGATTCACACTCTAACCTCTACCATCAATCGCCAATTCGACTCCCAATCACCACACTCTCGCGCTTCTCCTTTCAAATCCTTTCAATCCAATACCGAATAGGACTCGCAAGTGACCAGCTGGCTTGCCTTGGGAATGTGAGAAGAAGGTTCGATGGGATTTGCTTCCCCGATTCGCGCTCGCTGCATGGCGTTTGGAGGATCAGCGCAGTGGGAGTGTGTCGTGTAAGGTTTTCAGGTCTTCTAATTATCGTTCAAATGCTAACTTTGCTATGACAGAACGACAACAGCCGTGTCCTGTGCATGTGGAGCCTGGGTATCCGGAGTTGTTGGAATGGAGGTGGATCACTTCCATCTACCGAGGACAGACGCTTCCATCAGGATTCGTTGGCAGAGGCCCACCGTTAATCCGCAGTTGGTAATTGCATACACTCCTCCAAGTGTCATGCTTACCTCGACACTCGGGAACGCTTAAGGAGAATCTTGAAACGCGGGAAACGAATCCAGGCGTTGGCACACACCCACCTATATATTTACCCCGGGGTGTTCATTAATCTGTCCCTCTTGAACTGCCTGTCTCGCGATAGTTATCTGACTCGACTCCTACCTCTCGAGCTTGGCGATACAGATATGTTCCGTCTCTGGGGAAACGGACCTGAATACGAGGCCAGGTGAGTTCAAGTGGGCTAGCACGACCGCCACCAGTCAACTCACCGATAGTACCCCTTAGGCTAGGCAAGCCCTTTGCGCCACCAACTGCGACTCTGAAGGACATACATGACGCGGTGCCTAAGCAGCTTCTTCGGAGTGAGTGTCCCTCCCGCCCTCCCTGGCAAAACCTCGGCGTTGGCCTGACCCCTTGGGCAAGATGACCCATTCAAATCGACGTTGTACCTCGTCAGGGATATCGTCATGAGCCTCTTCTTGTATACCCTGGCCCAACAGATAACGTCGTGTGCGAGCTCGGACTTCGGTGGTCTCATCACCACGCCATACATCAAAGCCCTAGTGAAAGGTTCTCTCTGGTGTGTCTACTGGTGGTTCCAGAGCTTGGTAAACGCCGGAATCTTTTGTCTCGGTGAGAGAGCTACCTCTTTACCTACTCGTCCTGATGCTAACGCGCTAGCTCGGGAAGGTCATGATGCGGGCCACGGTACGCTATACGACAGCAAAATCGTGAACAATACCATTGGTTTCGTTCTACACTCGGTGTGTTCCTTGCAGTTCTCCTCGCCTTCGCGAAGCTGACCGTTACCAAAGTATCTTCTGATACCCTATTTCTCGTGGCGAGCCACCCACCATGCCCATCATGTGCGTAAACAGCTCGAATTCTCGAGCAAGGACTAACCCCGGTGCGTACAATACAATAGAAAGCGACGTCCTCCATGGAGCGGGATGAGAACTATGTCCCATACACCCGGTCCAAATATAATCTCCCAGACGAAACCAAGGCTACCAAAGCCGACTACGAGGAAATCTTCGAGGAGACACCACTCTGGACCCTCTGGCGAATGTTCGTCATGCAGATGTTGTAGGTTTCAGGGCCAACTTTGATCTAGCCGCCCCCATTTCTGACCTTTCTCGTTCATCAGTGGTTGGTGGGTGTACCTGTCGTAAGTTGATTGCCGGCTAGCGTCGTTGCGATCGAGAGCTAATGATAGTGCTGTAGGCAAAACACGATGGGTGCTCCGATGTACCCGCCCGGCACCAACCACTTTAATCCAAACTCTGCGCTGTTCAAACCCGAGCAACGTAGGTGTTCTAGTCGTCTGGTTTCCAGCGACTACTAAGTACAACTCTAACTGCGATCAGGCAACTCCATCATTCTCTCGAACGTCGGGATCGGCTCTATGGCCGTGATGCTATATTTGGCAGGGAAGGAGTTCTTCCTTTGGTATTATCTACCTCCTTATCTGGTCAGAGTCGCTTCCTTTACGCGCTTCGATTTCCTGATACTGACGCGCTCCCAACAGCTCGTCAACCACTGGTACGCCATGGATTCTCCGCAACTCCGGATGCACGTCAGACTGATATGTTCAACTCATTTTCCAACTCTAGGATCGGTGAGTAGATTTAGTTTTCACCAACTTGGTGCAGACCAACTGACTCTCCCGGGTTTCAAGTAATGTTCACGTACCTCCATCACTCTGACCCAACTATCCCTCATTATCGGAAGAACGAATGGACGTTCCTCCGTGGAGCTGCAGCCACCGTCGACAGGCCACTTCTAGGTTGGATGGGCCGCTTCTTCTTCCACAATATCAGCCACGATCATGTTGCGCATCGTGAGTCCTCTTCGTCGACCCTTCTAGTGCAACGATTCTGACGCCCCTCGGCATCCTCCAGACTTCTTCCTTCGTGCACCATTCTGTAAGCCTCGCTTTTTATACCTTTCTATCCACATCCCTAAGCCTTTTCCCTTAGATAATGGACCAGAAATTACGAAACGGATCAAAGCCGTCTTGAAGGATGACTACAACTATGACTCCACCCCGTCATTCTACGCCCTCTACCGGTCATTCACACAATGTCTGTTCGTCGACGACGATGGTGATATCATCTTCTACAAGAACAAGGAGGGTAAGGCAGTTCGAGAGGTCGATCCAAAATACCTAGCACAAGCAGCTGCACGAAGGGAGACGCAGACGCAGCACCCTCCTCTGAAAGAGGACTGATCCAACTTCCCTATCTCTCACCATGGCACATATAATACCTAGACACTTACATCTACTTCTTGAGCAGTCATCGCGATTAGCAATTACACTATATTACACCTAATAGAAAGGATGCATCAACTAGCAAAGAAAAGTAAAAGGTGACGAAGAAAAAGAGTCGAACAACAATACAAGCCCACAGCCGCACTACACATTCTAACGCAAGAAAACTAAATCTAGTCTTCATCGCTGTCCATATCCTCATCACTATCGCTATCCTCGCCTTCCGCAACCTCGATGGGATCAAGAGAGATATCATGATCAGCACCAACATACGAGTCGCAGATAACGTAGAGCTTGAGTTTATGGGTACCCTGAGGCAAGGTAAACTCGAGTTTAACCTTGAGGCTTTTGGTGACGGTGACCTTCTTGATGACAAGCAGCTGGCGAGTCGCAGTGTCGCCAACGACGAGCCACCAATTGGCCATCTTCTTGAGAGGATAGTAGGGTGCGACAACGAGGGGTTCGGTAGGCTCGTCGTCTTCGTCGTCGGCATCAAAGGCGAGGGCCACTTGCAGGTAGATGGGTGAACCAGCCGTATACTCACCCTTGACGAGTTGGTGGCTGACGTCAAGCGTAGGGTACGAATTGACAAAGGTGGCAACATCACGCCTAAATGAAGAGTTAGTTTCGGAAGCTCCCGACAGAAGCCAAAGGCTAAGACGTACATTTGAGCAGGAGTCATTTGCAAGAGGTTATTGCGAACATCGTCCTCCAACTCCATGATATCATAGACAGACTCGACCCCGGCATCCTTGCAGCGTTTGATGACCTAGAAAAGCCCACGTCAGCTATACTTGTACCCTCAACAATACAAAAAAGAAAACATACATCAGGCTCAAAGTGAGGAATCTGCTTGAGCGGTGAATCCGTCTCCCACACACCCTGAACACACATCTGCGAAAGATCCATAGCACCCAACGCATTCAACCAAGCATTCGACGACATAACATCCACACACGCCGACAGCAAGTTCAGAACCTTCTCAAGAACAAGAACCTGATCCGCAGCAAGATCCGGCGGGAGCTGCAGTCGGGAGAAGTGCGCCTGCAACAGGAGGAAGGTCTTGAAATGAGGTGCCTCAAAGTCGGGTTGGTCGATCTTGACGGGAACCCGGTCGTAGATTCGCTTGAGCAGCGTGTCTTCGTGGCGACGAATCGGGATAGTTTCGAACTCGGCCGAAGAGGAAACAACCTCGAGAAGTCCCTTGAGTTTGGTCCGCTCTTTGAGGGAGAGGGTGTACACCTCGACGGTGACGTCTAAAGAGTCGTCATGAGTGACACCATCCACCGGGAGGATAACTAGAAGTGTACTCACATGAAATGTTGTAGTACGCAGCAATCATACCCAAGTTCAACGGGGAGACATCCATCTCGTCCTCGATCGCGATACACTTGGAGTTGACCAGATCATTGAGCGTAGTCTCGACCAAATCCGAAAGATGGTCCGACAAGTGCTGATGCGTGACATTGTGCAGGTTGTAATAGTTGGGGTTCTGAGTCATCCGGCGGTAGAAGAACGTCCAGGTCAACAAATCCTACACACACCCGTTAGCCGTCGTCGCGTCCTATTCGCACATCAAAAATCGTGACGTACCATAGCATCCTGCTTGTTCTCAATCGTCTTGACGGCGATCTCGGCAAGGAAGTAATCGTGCAACATGTGCGTAGGAAGGTGCGATTCGATAGGCAGACCCTCGGCCAAGAACTTCTTGTAAAAGTCCTTGCGCGTCTGCTGGCACATGAGCACGCAGCGGCTTCGCTCGTCTTCGAGCGGTCGGCACGCCTTGCCCATCATCTGGAGGACATCCATGACGGGGTAATCGACATAACGATGCTCCTTTCCTTCGTAGTACTGCACGCCCATGATGATAACCATGTAGCTAGCGACGGGAAGACTCCAAGCAGTATCCTATAAAGCCATCATCAGCCATCGTAAAACAGGGGCATGTGAACCCAACAAACCTTGGACGCAATCAAAACCTGAATAGCACCAGACTCAAACAGCCTCTGCACAATCCTCTTATCCTGCTTATGCAGTGCCTCATGGAAATACCCAATCCCATGCTTCAACGTCTCAGCCAATCCCTTATCATGCAAATGATCCAAATGAGGCTGCAAATCCTCCAACTCGATGTTGAGGAACCGGTCGGGCTTGTCGTCGGCCGCACAGTGCGTAAGGATGTCGTCCACGGTCAGACGGCATTGGCGACGCGAGGGGACGAAGATGATGACGGGTTTGCTGGGTGAGTATTCGCAGATGGCGAGGTAGGCGGGTTTGGACATGGCGATCATCAGCGAGGGGAAGTGAGGGATTTGGAAGGACTGGAGGTGGATGTCCATGTCGAGGGGTCGGGCACTGTTGAAAGGTCGTTAGACGCATGTCCATGCCCATGCCATCGTATTGAGGGCACATACCTCGGAGAGAAGTTGAAGATAGCATGCGAAGGTGCACCAATCCACTCGCCCAAATCCCTAGCATTGGCAAGGGAAACACCACACGCAACAATACGCGTCTTAATCTCCGTCTGCGCAGACACATATCGCGTCCTCGAAATCACAACCTCATACGTCGGCCCAACTTCCCCACCAACCAGCTGCACCTCATCAGCAATCAACAACCCCAACGTCTGCACATTCTTCCTCTGGCGCCACCTTCTCGAAATGACATCCCACTGTACATACCATTCCATTAGCCTCGACTCAAATCTAACGAAGATCAAGAAAAAAAGACGAACCTGAGTAGGCGTACAAACAATAACATCCCCCTTCTCCAACAACCTCAAATCCGCACTCGTCTCACCCGTCAAGCTAACAATCTCCTTCCCACCCTGCACTTTCGAAAACTTGGCCTGCCACTCCCTAACACGCATATCCACCATATCCTGATACGGCTCAATACAAACAGCCCTCTTCGCCTCCCTCTTACTCCACAACCTCAACAACGCAAACTCGGCACAAATCGTCTTGCCGCTACCCGTCGGAGCACCAATGAACACGTTCTCGTCCGTCGTGTAGAGTGCTTGGAAGACTTGGGTTTGGATCTTGTTGAACGTCTGGATCGTCGATGAGTAGATCGCTTCGAATTCCTTGTTGTGGAGCGCGGTGAGAGGGAGGGCTTGGAGGTCAAGCAAAGGGGTGGGAGGGGGGAACTTTTCGGGGAGGATGAGGTGCTTGAAGGAGATGGGCAAGCGCGTCTCGGCGTGCAGCCATCGGTCGGAGATAACGGTGATGTAGTAGTTGGGTGGGACCGGCTCGAACATGGGGATGGTGAGCGTGACATTGTGTTCGTCCGAGGAATAACGTTGTCGAAGAACGAACATGTCGTGGAAGAGGATCACCTCTCCGTCGACATCCTCGACGAGGATATGGAAGGACTCGGCACCGCCGTGCACCTCAGGATCCCATTGGAAGTCGGGGATGATCGAGAGGTCGACCCTGAGGAGAGATCGGGTGATAGGCTGGACCTGGGCTTGCAGCTGAAGCTTGGGGAACTGGTGCACCAAACGATGGACACGGCGACCTTCCTTCGGCAGACCAAGGAGTTCACCGAGCTCGGGTGGGGTGAGATCATAGTATCGATACCACGGCTATCATCACTGTTAGCAAACCATCCTTCAACGGAAATGAACAAGCGAACTCACGAATTGCTTGCTCTCAGCCTTCCTAATAATCTCACCAGGAACCTTGGGGAATTGTCGCAAAGGAGTCATAGATCCCCACATCTTCTTCTCCACCATCTTGCACATATCCAATGCAGCCTTGGCCGGCACCGCCCATCCTCTTCTAAGACAGATCTCAAAGATGGCACGGAGAATTCTACAAACGACATTTCATTACCGAGGGAACGTCGTAGATGAGAGTGGCGGGAACGTACCGTCCAGCAGATTGTTGGATGAAGACCATGTCCGCAACGAGGACGAAGCCGTCTAGCTTCAACCCAGAGATATACGCTTGCAGAAGAACGTTGATCTTGGCAGGCGGTTCGTCCACACTCTCCTTCACCGGAATCGGCACTCTCTCCAACAATTTCGACAACTCCATCTTCTCCTCTTGCCGGACCTGAAATACCAGTCGTCAGCCACACCATCCCATCCCAAAAAGCAAAGAGAACCCACAGGCAAAAGCTTGAACTCATTCGAGAGCGCAAACACCCTGAAAAGTTCAATCATCGACATCGTCGGGCGGAGATGCTGGTTGTACACCATCATCGAGTTGTACGTGACGTAGTAGTGCGAGGCAATCCGACCGAGCTCGGTGCTCTGGAATCGGCCAGTCGACCGCTCATACTTGAGGAGCTGGCACTTCTCCAGCATGACAGCCGCCGAGTGCACGATATCCGCGCGTTTCTGGACAAGCTGCTCGTCGTCCTCCATGTAGTCCGCGCCGACGTTGTAGAGTGCCGGGTCCTTGAGCATACGAACGTAGCTAAAAGGAGTGTCAACGCCAACACCTTCACCAAGCAGAAGAAAGAACTCACTAGTACGTGTACCCCAACCACTGAACAGCCTCATCCCGATTCCTAATCGTGCCCAAAACAATCTCCGCATTCAGGTTATCCGCCAACTTGGACACAAACTGCGACTCAATAGGCAGCTGCTGGTTCAACAGACTGAGATAGTACTGCATTTCCGAATGGTTCGTGATGATAACGCCTTCACCATAGGTATCGAACTGGGGACGACCGGCGCGACCAAGCATCTGTAGGACGTCCTGCGATGAAAGTTCGACCCAGCGGCCCTTCTCGGGGTTGTAGATCTGGGTACCCTTGATGATGACGGTGTGGGCGGGAAGGTTGACACCCCACGCGAGCGTGGCGGTACAAACGAGCACTTGGATGTGACCCTCGCTGAACAGCTCTTCAACAGTCGTTCGGTCGGCACGGTTCATACCGGCGTGGTGGATGGCAAAACCGAAGGGGAGTAGATCCTTCAAGTTGGGGTCCTTGACGTTCTCCACCTCTTGCAGGAGAATCTCGCGTGTCGCACCATCGGGCTTGACGAACTGCGTAATCGTCTCCTTGTCTACAGCCATGTCGCGCAAGAACCTGGCAGTCTTGGCAGTCTCCTTTCGCGAGTGGACAAAGACGAGGGACTGGTTCTTGCCGGCGTGGTCGAGCACCTTCTCGTAGCAGACTTCGTTCATAACCTGGTAGCGCTTGATAGCCTTCTTCTCGGTGATACCGACGAATTGTTGCTGGAGGCCGCAAGGTCGGTAAGAGGCGTCGAAGTAGAACAGGCCCTTCTTCTCGTCCACGCGGAGGAAGGTGGCGACGTCTTGGTAGTTGGGGAGGGTGGCGGAAAGACCGACAAGTCGAACATACTCGTTTGTCTGCTCCATCCTGCGAATGGTACGGGCGATGATACTCTCGACGACGGGACCACGCTCGTCGTGCAACAAGTGAATCTCGTCAATGATGATGAGACGGACGAGGTTGGTATAACTGGTGTCGGTGCTCTTGCGAGTGATGACGTCCCACTTCTCGGGTGTGGCGACGATGATTTGAGTCTCGGCGATTTGTTGCTTGGTCATTTGGGAGTCACCGGTAAGTTCGTCAACGTTGATGCCGAACTGCTTGAGTCGACTGGAAAAGTTGCCAACCATCTCGGCCACGAGAGCCTTCATGGGAGCGATGTAGACGATCTTGAAGGCGTCGAGGTCGAAGGAACCGTCATCACGTCGGTGCTTGGCGAGCTCGTTGAGAATAGTCAACATGGCTACGTTGGTCTGTAAAGTAGGGGTTAGCCGCGCCGCAGATTAGAAAATGGATGTACTCGCCTTTCCGGCACCAGTAGGAGCGCAGAGGAGAATAGGCTCGTCTGTGCCAAACGCTACTGGGTAGAGTTTACTCTGAATTCGGTTCAGGTTGCGAACGTTGGAGCCGAATGCTGGGCGAGCCCAAGCGGGAAGGTTTTCGATAGGGACGAGTTCGTTGGGAGCAACAGGCTTCGACTTGGCGGCGGGGACGTGGATCTCCTCGAAGCCCTTCCTACTCCGCTTGAAGGAGCCTTCAGGCAATTTGCACTTCTTGTTCGACATGAGGTGCCCGCCTTGGCTGAAAACCATGCTTTCCAGGTCGATCGTTCGTTTGGGCTGAACCGTTGAACCAGGGGCGAGCGTGGCGGTCTTGGGGACAACCTTTGGCTGGTCAACGTCCATGGCGTCTGATGACTTGGCTTTGGCCTGTCGGTCTCCAGCCAGCTCGCGCAAAATCCAACCAACACCCTTCTCCCGCATGGCCACCTCCACGTTGACGCGCTCGTCGGCGTCGCTTCGCATAAGCTTCGTACACCAGACAACGACGTCGCGGTTCTTGATGAATTTGGCGATGATGTGGAAACTCTGGTAGTCGAAAAGCTCCATAAGTTGATTTTCGGCGTCGCGGGCGCTGGATTCTGAACCGAGGATGCTGAGGACGGCTGCTGCTTTGTCGGCGGCAGTGACGGGGTCGGGGTAGACTTCTGCTATCTGTCGCTGCACCCAGAAACCGTCGACTGAGTGAGGGGAAACGATATCCTTGTCGGCCTTGTCCTTCTTGTCTTTGCTTGACGAACCACCAATGACGAGTTCTTCGTCGTCGGCGTCCATACCCTCTGGTACTTCCTCCTCTTCGTCTTCCTCGTCGTCGTCGCTGTCGGACCCCTCGTTGATCTCGAAACCTTCGTCATCGTCGTCCTCTGCCTCCTCGTCATCGAACACGACCGCCACGCCCACCTCGTCATCAATCTCCGCGTCCTTCCTCTCGGCATCAGGGTCCTTCATCGTCTCGTCCTCCTCATTATAGTCGGTAATCTTCTTCGACAACCCCAACAGCTGCGAGAACAGCTCGTTCGAGATGGGCCCAATAACCTCCTCAATCTCCTTCTTCTTGTCGAAATCCTTCAACCCCTCGTTCTTCAACGACTCCAAAACAGTATCGGCCGCACTCCGCACGATGTCCTGCGCCTGGTCTCCCAACGCCGAATGCACCGCGCTGAGCATGAGCTGGTAGACTTCACGCGTCTCCGCCGTCCGCGGTCGATACGTCAAACCCTCGACGTCCTGCGTCGCCTCGATAATATCCGCATAGCCAAACCCAGCGCCCAGCTCTGCCTTGCGTTTCGACTGCTTCTCCGCTGCTTCGAGCTTGTCGGCGGCCTTTTTCTTCTTTTTGTCTAGGTCCTTGGGGGCCTGTCTCTGGACGCGTGAGCCCATTTCCTTGGGGTCAATGCGACCTGCCAGAGTCGTCGGCGCGCCATCGGGCTCTTTGTCTCTCCTCGGCAGCGCAGACCTATCTGCGGTCAACACCAGAGAAGAGATTGCGCCATAGTTGTAGCCTGACAGATCAGGTCCTTTTCGTCCAGACATAATCGTCTCGTCGCCGTCGCGGTCGAAGGTGCAAAACACACAAGTTGACGCGGAATATTATTATTCATCACGGCTGCGAGAAATTGAGTTAGCAAATTAGATAAGCTCGACTTAGCATGACTCGGTTTTCCCATCACCTAAAACGGGACTCTGCTCCACCTTCATTTGCCGTTCTGCGTCGTCGTGGGTTTGCGAAAAATGGACAGGATATGGGGTCTATCGACAACTCTGAAAGTGTCTTGAACCGTCTGGCTTCTTATGCCTATACCAAACCAGCCACCAGAACCGCCACGAGGGTGAATCAGGCACTACAGCCCAAAAGGGAGGACGATGAAGAAGAGCAGAGGCTCCAGGGTTCGCCTACAGACACCAAGGGCACTGTCACCCCAAGAGAGCCCAACCTAGACGATATCCCTTCTCCTGGCGGCAACTCTTCCCTTCATACGCCTCTGAAGAGCGAGAACGGAACTCCGGATGGAACGTCGTCCCCAGCTACCACTGTCCCCGGGCAGGACTCGGACGAACCACGAGCCAGGCTGAAGCGCTCCTTACCGTCCGAAGACAAGAAATCCAGGGAATCAAGCAGATCCAGGGGGTCTTCACCCAAGAAACCAAAGCGAGGCTACGCTGACCCGTCTGTTTACGCACACCTTCGACCGGTCAATGACAATCTCAAGCCAGACCTTGACAGTACGTACGTCCTGGCTTGACCATTGAAACGAAAATGATAACCTATCCTCTCAGTAATCTTCTGCGGAATAAAGTGAGCCTGAGGCCCCCAAGAAAAGAGATTTGGTTCTGAGCTTTGTCACAACGTACAGTCCTGGCCAGGTATCCGCGACACTTGGCCACCATTTCGCCGGGCCAACAAATCATTTCTGGAGTTGTCTTCATGAGTCCGGTATGCCCTCCATTTATTCCATAGCCACACTCAACTCACCAAATCCGCTCCTCAGGTCTCACCTCAACACGAATGAAACCCCAAGAAGACTTTACCCTCCCCGACCGTCACAGCATCGGACTAGTGAGTTCTCTTCCCTCTTCCCCTCATCCTATTCCCACCCCTCCCCTTCCCTCAACACCACCTCCAAACCCAATCCTAACACCAAATCAAACCCCAGACCAACCTCGTAGGGCGCCCAACAGCCGAAGCATCCGAACTCTCCAAAGCCGAAAGCCTAGCCTGCGTCGCCCCCTTCTTCGTCAAGATGCACAAGTACCGACCTAAAATCGTTTGTTTTGTCGGCCTTTCGATTGCTGAGACTGTTAGTTCATACGTGGCCAAGGTTCGTAATAGTATCTGTATCTGTTGCCAACTTGGGTTGAAGATTGCTGAGGCACTCGACAGAACTTCCTTGACCCAGGCCTTCAGAAAAAGGGCAAAGCAAAAGTCAAAGCAGGCCCCGGACTCCTTTCCTTCAAGTTGACATATGAGTCCGAAGGGGACAAATCACGTTCCGAAACCCTCTTCTACGCCGTATCAAGCACCTCAGGTCGAGTCGTGAAATACAAGGTAATCTTTTTTCGACTGACATCTTCGAACGTGCACGTGGTTCTGATAGTGATTACCAGAAATCCGACAAAGTACAACAATTCAAAGGCCTAAACGACCTCCTTCTAGAATTGAAAGAGTCTAGATTCGATTCGACTGGTTTACACAGTGTTCCAGCATCACGGTTCACAACAGTATAACCCCAATTTCTTGCTACTCAGGCTTGAATCGACCAGCGTGTTCGGGGTATACTTCCACTACATACATACACGTAACCTAACCTAACCTACTTACATACACACGACAAGAGATCTAGCTCCGTACTTAGGACAAGGTATACATCTTACACTTTGGTATCAAAATTGAAAGATTTAGAAACCGAACTCAGGTCTACCCTAGTAATCGAATCCTGTCCCCAATTCTCCGGGCGCTTAACCCACGACCTCCCAATCGCCACCCGGAAAATGATCAACTGCGGTGCAAGTGCCTGTGTATTCAAATTCCACAACACATCAGCAACATCCTTAAACTTGAACAACGGAGAGTACACTCACAATCATACTACTATACCCCATATAAAAAACCCACTGTACCTGATACGCCGTCCAATTCTCCCAAATCGAATTAGCCACCGCATATCCAGCGCCAACGATCGTCAAAACCGCCGCAGACTCAACCAGCATAGCGATGACATTCGTATAGACTTTATCGTCCGCCGCTTGCACCGACTGCGACATCCACTGGCGCGTTTTGACGAGGCGGTACGAGATGAGCGAGGTGATTGTGATGTGCAGGGTTACGAAGATGAAGATGTCGGCTGCTTGCCAGCGGAAGTTCTCCCCTGTGAAGTTGGCGGAGAGGGGGATTAGGGTGCGGATGCTGATAGCTGGATAACGGCGTATCATCTATTAGTCTCTGTATGGACTGGGGAAAGGATGAAGGGCAAGGGCGTACCGAGGTTGACAACATAAATCATCACAGGCACTCCAGCAATCCAGAGATGATCATTCCAGAAGATAAAACATCGATACACCTATCGCAGTCATCAGCTACACCATGGCACCCCTTCATCCAGAGATCCCACCTCACCAATAACGCATCTCCAATCCACCTTTGCATAGCATTCGTAACCACATGCGTCGCATTCACCGCCGTCGAGTAAAACCTCTGCGAGACCTCCGGCTCGTTCTCCAGCGTGGGCGAGGTGTTGAGGATGATATTGTACGAGACCCAGGCGCCCGCGGAGGCGCTGATACACCCGAGTACCAGGATGGCGAGGCTCACGGCCAGGTAGAGCAGCTTCATCCGCCGGCTGTAGGACGGGAGCTCGAGGAACCGAGAGAGGATGTAGCCCCACATGAACATTTGAATCGCTAGAGTACGGCCGTGGAATTAATTAGCCTCCCTGGATCGGACAGTGAAAGACTACGAGACGATCCGTACCTGCGACGGCAGCCTGCACCATCGTATTAGCTTGCAAACATCCCAAAAAGAACCGCGAGTACTCTGAGTAGTCCATCTCCTCCGACATCTTGGAACCAGCAGCAAGAGCCTGAGGGAGACTGAGGTCAAGGGTGGTAGGGGTAAGGAAAAGGCGGGTTGGGAAGAGCGATGATATCCAGATGGGAGGAGTCCACACCTCAGTAAGTAACCACTCTTAAATACCCTTCGATCGAGCCGCCCAAGGGGTATTCAGAAACGCATTCAGAAGTACTAGTAGTACATAATAAGCTCTCCATCTCCGCGAACATTGACGGATCCCATCTCGTTTCAAGGAGACGTCCCCGCGGTAACTTTCAACCTATAGGCACTTAGCGCTCAGCCTTCATTGGAATGGACATCGATTCCCGTATCGCAACGTAACGGAAGAAATCAGAAGGTCTGTTAGAGCTGGTAACGCTGCGGTTGTGATCACTGAGCAAGGGAGGTGCTGGGAGCCTTCCTTACTTATCTAAAGTGGAAAGCGCCAACATCAGATGGGGGAAGTCGCGTTCATCAGGAACTCGAAGGCGAGAAGATCGTTGCGGGGTAGACCTCTGTAACGAAGTTGAATGAAGAGGATACACTGGTGGCCTCGCAATAGAAGGGCCATTCACCTGTCCGTGATCAGAGGAAGAGTCTCTGGGTCAGTCCCGGGGCGGGACTACTGGAGCGCCCGCCAAGACTCATCGCCTAGCGATTGGGCACCTAAATACAAGAGATGAAGTGGAGCAAGCATCTGAACGTTTCACTCCTCATGAACGGCATGGTACCCTATACCTCCCTCCACTCCAATAGAAGCGATATTCTATACCCGCGCTACCGCTGTAAAGAAGCGAATAGACCATTTTCAAGGGAATTACTCTGACTCGACACAAAGCCCTGCCCGAGTAACCCGCCTGACCAACTCGGGTGTTACATACTAACGATCTGAATTCCATGATATCGATGTCGGTATCTGCTCATCCTCGTTAAATGACGATAAGATAAGATGTTCATTAATACCTCTAATCCCGTTACTATCATGCGCAGCGATAGCGATGGATGGCCAATCGTGACATTGACTCGGAGAAGTGTGGAGAATCAGGGTCACTGTAATGGGGAGTACGGCTGTTCGCTACACCGTGACGCTGCGTGGAGCCACAGTGGTCTTCTTCTTCTTCTGACGGAGTCTAGCGCCCATCCTGCGCCGACGAGTATGTACTAGCATTAGAAATTTCTGATCAGATCGAGTGCCAAAGGGAACTTGATCACACTCAGGCTACTAGGATTCGTGCATCTTAAAACTAAGTATATTTCGAAGCAAGGAAGAATCGCCTTGCCCGTGTATTTCAGAGAGATTTAGGTAGCAGTTAATGACCTTTAGTAATCCTCGATCATAAACCATCTGGGTCCTGGATCCAGCCATGGTCAGGTTAAGATACCGCATCCGCACTTCCGCAAATCTCCAAGGCGTAGAATTAAGGTAGAATACTAACCCCGCCTTCTGATTCTTACGTCGTGACACGGGATTCGATGTCCATTGACTCCATTCCAATGAAGGCTGAGCGCTGAGCGGATATTATTAGTTGGAGGTTACCGAGGGTCTCCTTGCTGGGATCCGTCAATGTTTGGGAGCTTGACAGCACCGCTGGAAGTTCTAAATACACCTCGGGCGGCTCGCCCAAAGGGTGCTTAAGAGAGGCTACTTACCGAGGTGTGGGCTCCTCCCATCTGGATATCATCGCTTTCAATTCACATCCCGTTTTCTTTCTTACTGCTGCTTACCGCCCTTGACCTTCTCCCTCAGGCTCTTGCTGCTGGCCCCAAGATGTCGGAGGAGATGGACCACTCGAAGTTCTCGCGGTTCTTTCTGGGATGTTTGCAGGCTAATACGATGGTGCAGGCTGCCGTCGCAGGTATGAGATTGACTCGTAGTCTCACTGTCCTATCGAGGGAGGCTAATTAACTCTACCACTCTAGCGATTCAAATGTTCATGTGGGGCTACATCTTCTCTCGGTTCCTCGACTCCTCCCGTCCTACAGCCGGCGGATGAAACTGCTCTACCTGGCCGTGAGCTTCGCCATCCTCGTACTCGGGTGGATCAGCGCCGCCACCGGCGCTTGGGTCTCCTACAACGTCATCCTCAACACCTCCCCAAGTCTGTGGAACGACACGGAGGTCTCGCAGAGGTTTTACTCGACTGCGGTGAATGCGACGCATTTGGTTGCGAGCCCTATGCAGCGGTGGATTGGAGATGCGCTGCTGGTGAGAGTTAGATCTGTGGATGCCTATGAAGGGGTGCCATGGTGTGGAGGCTGATGACTGCGATAATAATAGGTGTATCGATGTTTTATCTTCTGGAGGGATCATCTCTGGATTGCTGGAGTTCCTGTAATGATTTATGTTGTTAACCTAGGTATGGCTGCCCCTAATCCCTTCCCCAGTCAATACATAGACTAATAAATACACTGTTATCCAGCTATCAGCATCCGCACCCTCATCCCCCTCTCAGCCAACTTCACAGGGGAGAACTTCCGCTGGCAAGCAGCCGACATCTTCATCTTCGTAACACTGCACATCGTGATCACATCGCTCATCTCGTACCGCCTCGTCAAGGCGCGCCAGTGGATGTCCCGCTCGGTGAAAGCTGCGGACGACAAAGTCTATACGAACGTCATCGCCATGCTCGTCGAGTCCGCCGCGATTTTGACGGTTGTTGGCGCTGGATACGCCGTTTCTAGTGCGATTTGGGGGAATTGGACTGCGTACCGGGTGAAGTGGTTTTTTTATATGGGGTATAGCAGTATGATTGTAAGTGTATATTTTTTTGGGGGGGTTTAATGCTTTCGGATGCGTTAGGTACTGACTGGGTTTCAACTTTCTGTAGGCACTTGCACCACAAATGATCATCTTCCGCGTGGCGATTGGGACGTCGTGGGTTAAGCGCCCGGAGAATTGGGGCCAGGTTCCGACTACTAGGATAGACCTGAGTTCGGGTCCCAAATCTTTCCATCTGGATACCAAAGTGTAAAGATACATATGCAGCCCGGGACATGGAAGATGATCAGTTGAGGATCATGATCCAATCCGCTCTCAATCTATCGACAGTTTTCGAGTGTCGGGCAGCGCATTTAGAAATGGGCCGCTATGCCACTATGCCACTGAGGCACCGACCGCCGCTGAAGCACGACTCAAAGCAAAGATACCAAAGCTGGCCGACTGCTATAGACACCACTCCAACCGTTGACTGTATGAGGGAAGCTTGAGGCCGTGGGTGATGGACGACACCGGACGGGGCGGCACCACTTGAAGGTCCATAGAAGGTTATTGAATAGCGCCTTGGTGTTAAGGTGGACAAGACTGTGGTTGCAGCGGCCAAGTACGAAGGGTTGTGGCGTCGAATGAAGGAGCGTGAGATAGGACTAAAGCACAGAGGATAGGTGAGCAAATGAAGGAATAGACAGGCACCAGGACTTACCCATACCATCCTCTAACCAGCCGTCCACTCAAAGCGCTAGACATCACACGAGCCAATGTTGCTTCAACGAATATGCATGTGAAATTAGGGACCGACTGTGATACAGAGAAAACATTACGCGCTATCCATGAATGCAAAAAAATTAAAAAAGTATGATGAGGGTTTAGGTGACCTTCCCGTTCTTCCTCTCTTATGCACAACCTACAAAGCGCGTCGTCGTCTACTCTGCAGCGAGCTCCAACTTGATCTTGGCGATGGCAGCGGCGGGGTTGAGACCCTTGGGACAGGTTCGCGAACAGTTGAAGATGGTGTGGCAGCGGTACATGCTCATTTCGTTCTGCAATCGGTCCTTGCGCTCCTCGGTGTGCGTGTCCTGGTGAATCATGATGTCAGCGGGGTAGGAGGAGATAGAAAGGAGGAAAGGTACGCACTCGAGAGTCAGCGATCCATCGGTAGGCCTGCATGAGGGTGGCCGGGCCGAGGTATTCATCCTGGTTCCACCAGTAGGATGGGCAGGAAGTAGAGCAGCAGGCGCAGAGGATACATTCGTAGAGACCGTCGAGCTTCTTGCGGTCCTCGGGGGATTGCAGGTGCTCGCCTTCACCAATTCAGTCAAATGTCTCGAATCAACATAAAACAGAACTCACCCTTCTCCGGGGGGTTATCGTTCTGCAGCCAGGGCTGAATCGACTTGTACTGCTTGTAGAACTGGGTCATGTCGGGAACAAGGTCCTTGACGATGTACACTACATTCTGTCAGCACCCAGCTCACGCACAAGGGGCTCGAATGAAGACATACTGTGGGGAAGAGGGTAAATCTTGGTGTCCTTGGACGCGTTCCTGTCGATTCTGCAGAGACAGGCGAGGGTGTTCTGGCCGTCAATGTTCATGGCGCACGAGCCGCAAATGCCCTCTCTGCACGACCTTCTAAAGGTCAAAGTGGGGTCCACCTCGTTCTTAATCTTGATAAGCGCATCGAGAATCATAGGCCCCGTCTGGTTCAAGTCGATTTTGTAGCTCTCGAGCTTGGGCTTCTCCTCAGGCTTGTCTGGGTTCCATCGGTAGATTTTGAATTCCTTGAGGAGGACTGGTTTCTCGGTGGCCGTGGCGAGCGTGCGGGCGAGGGTGAGGCGCGCTGGCTGTGCTCGCAGCGCGTGCTTTGCGAGAGCGAGAGACTGCATATCGGGAGAAAGGCGTGAAGTGGAAGGTCGGAAGAGTGGATTTGGGAAAACAGTGCAACGACGGGGACTCTCTGGCTCGTTGCCCCGGCTATGTCGCGTGATATCGGAACCCGGCATATGCCGGGCGCGGGGCAGCTGCTTCCGAACCAATCACATGAGGGCAGTTACGAGCCACCCCGGAACGCCCTCACTCCAGACTCCGATCCAATAATCCATTGCCAGTTTCCTCCCTTGGTCGTCGTCGTTGACCGCGTTGTTCAGGACGCTGTGCTCGTTGTGCACGGCGATGCCGACTGTTTTTATGAATGATTGATCGCGCCGCGTGAAGGCACCCACAAACCCGCCGCGTGTTGATTCCTGTCACGAACTTTGCTCATTCTCGACTCGACAGCCTGACTCGACCACCGCACCACATAAATACGGGATTAACAGGGGGAAGCCAGGGCAAGCGCACAATGTCGAGTCTACCCCCCGAACTGCTCTACCAGATCCTATCTGGGCTATACCACAACGGCTACTCGCTCACCCGCGCGCATTTCGCGCAATACGCGCTCGTCAGCAAAGCCTTTGCCGGTGTCGTCCAAAAGCTGCTCTACGAGACCATCGAAATCAAACTCTGGCGCTCCGGGACGACGCCCCGCAACTTCCTCTCATCGCTGGACGCCCAGCTCACGCGGTACCCCCACCTCAAGTCGTACGTCCAGCACGTCGTGATCGACTTTCGCGGCGTCATCGACGTGGCTTCGACGCTCGACCCGGGGACTGACAGTGAGGGGGGCGCATTGATCAATGTCCTCGAGTCTATTCCTGGTTTGAAGAGTATGACGCTAAGGTCTCAGCCGAGCAAGATTTTTTCGACCAACGCTGCTTGGGATGATATTCCACTCCCAGTTCGCGCGGTTATACTCGACACGATGAAGGCGAAGACGAGGAACGTCATCGTGATTGACCACTTCTCGCGGTTCCCCGTCAACGCTGTTCTACACCGCCTGGCGAGCCCCGAAGTGCGGGTTACGATCCGTGGTGAATTCGACCTTGACACTATTTATCCTCCAGCTGAAGAAGGAGGGTACAACCACTCCCCTATCCAACTCGAGATCCTCGCGGACGAGTACACGGAGAAAACAGCTGCTGCTTTCTTGCGCGGTCTACGACCGATGCTGCCCAGCACACTCCGCTGCCTCGCGATCTCCCTGGACGATATACGGTCCTGCAACTTTGACGGCGTCCACCTCGCTGCGATGGAGTTCTTCAGCGCTCTCCCTGACCTACCCCACCTCGAACACCTGATCGTATACGGGGAACGCCTATTCCGTACGTTACTCCCTCTCTTCCCGAGCCTTAACCTGTTCTTCCATGTTCTAACACAATAATAATCTTCCCTTCCCTCCCACCAGTCCCCAAAGACGACACAACCATCTTCAGCTTCCCACCTTACATCCCACACCTCCCACACCTCCAAACCCTCACCCTCCAATACTTCTTCTGCTCCAGCAAACCCATCCTAAACAGACCACACAACCTCAAATGGAACAATCCCACCCTCCCACTACTCGACGCGCTCAAGCACTCGCCCAACCCCGCATTGAGGGTGAGAGTACTGATTGTGTTTGATCAGAGGACGGAGCCGTCGCCTGTTGCGTTGGAAAGGATGTTTGGGTTTAGGGAGTTGGTAGAGTATTTTAGGGGTGGAGGGGAGGAGGAAAGGGAGTTCAAGGGCGACTCGCACTCGGAGGAGGTGGTATGTGGGAATGGAAGTGGAAGTGGGGAGCATAGGGGCTATAGAGCTCAGAAACTGCAGCTGGCGATTGCAGAGTTCGCTGCTAGAGGACCGGCGTACAGGTATGTAAAGCAGCAATTTGCTGGAGTGCCACCTGGGAGGGTGGAAGTTGTTGGACTGGCGGGGAGGCCGGTGTATGCGAGGTGGTGGATGTGTTTTCCGAAGGTGGCGGCGTTTGGAGATTAGTGGGCACCTGGAATGATGCTGTTTGGACACTTTGGACACCTGGATGTGGTTTGTGGTTTTCGAGTTGGTGTTCGCGTTGTTGCTGTATGGTATGACTGTGCGCTCTTCACCTACTTGCCCTTCCTTTGATATTCGTCATTCCTTAATCCCCGTTCGTGTTCGTCTTGTTTGTTGGTGCTATCCGTTGCTCTGAATTGGTTTTCATTTCATTCCTAGCTGTGCTGTGTGTTTCTCCCTTGCTTTCGCTCTGTCACTCTTGCTATCTTACTATCGCTCTTTGATATCTTGCTATCCCTCCTTGCCATCTTGCTGTCGATTATTTAATCTCCCGCACCTCGCTATCTTTTATCGCTCTCCTCATTTTCGTACATTTATCGCTCCACCCGCTGTCGTTAACGTTTACTACTGCTCTACTTACTGTCGTTAACATTTATCGCTCAACTTGCTACCCTTTCCTTACTATCGCGTTATACCCTAATACCCGTCTCATTCACTACTATCCACTCTGGAATAACTTTTGTAATACTTATCCTGGATAATTTGGACACCCGTTCGCTCGCTGTTTCAAGTTTCAGGTTTTGCCCCTCTCATTCTCATTCAAGCTCTTGCTTTCCAGACGAGCTTTCCTGATCCAACGATTTACCCCGCACGCACTGTATGAGTATCTCGGGGGTGTTGATTATCTGCTTTTTATCATTGTACGTACCTGCGGTGCGGAGGGCGGTGGGGTACAGTTTTTACCATTCATTTCTGAGACTTCGGTACAAAAAAAAAGGGGGGAACAGGGACTTGTGACTGACTGCCAAGAAAATTAAGCGCCCGTTCATCATTGGTCTAATAGATGAACGGTTCCCCTTGTACCTTCCGTCAACTCCTACGGGATCACTGGGGATATGTCCTGTTTGGACTCGTTTGATAGCGAGGGACCTGCGCATCAACTGCACATGACTCAGACTCACCGACGCGCAGGCGTTTCAAGAATCGGTGCTATGCGTTTGGGAAAGATGGTAGTAGATCGTGGGTTGCGGCGTTTCTTGGTCAGATACTACGTGTGTTCAACTGGTGAGTAAACAGACTTTTCAAGCTTCTGACGATTGCGAACATGGTCCAGCTGCAGTATCTCGCCGACCTTGACGCCGTCGGCTGTGAGCCTTGAAACAACGCCCATGGCATCATACACGTTTCCTCTTCGACCCCTGGCTACTAGTACATACCCATCTTCGCGACGAAACTCGTCCTGTTCACAGTTCCGTAATTCGATTGATCAACAGATCCCGGTCCGTCCGAAATGTCTCCATTTCATTCCATCTACATACGTAGTGATTCGCTTCGTTCTTCAAGCTTCAGGACTTGACCAACTGCGCTTTCGCTGTGTCTGAATCGTCTCTCGCGGTTGGAGCGGAATCTCCCGCTGACTCGACGGGCAGGTTATAATATAAAAGCATGGCTCGTGATGTGGGTTCTCCTTGAAGTGTTAGTAGTACCCATTTCAAACTCCAAGTGCGGTTTGGAGGCTTGAAGTAGGTGGGTCACATGGTTCCTCCCGACGTTGGACCCCAGATCAGCGCCATAGTGCAGACTGCAGTTGCCGGTACGGGTCAATTGATCCTCTCGAGGCGTCCTGGCGCTGGGCTAAATACGATCCGCCACCTGTCTTCGAACAGGAGCCCAAATCTTCATGTGCAGATCCATCTTCATCCGCTTCCTCCAACTCGAGTCCCACAGTCGACGGGTGAAGCTCCTCTACTTGATGGCTAGCTTCGTGCTCTGCCTTCTGAGTTGCGGCGGTGCCATAGCTTCATCTATAGCAGCCTTTGACGAGTTCACGCACGATTCGACCAAAGGCCGACGGCCTCAAACGTCAGTCGTGCTCCCCATTGCGCGGCCAATTTCTTCTTTGGCGAGTATCGGACAGCGGTGGATCGGGGACTCGCTTTTGGTGCGCTTCTACTTCTATGCACCCGTCCTCGACTGAGCATCGGTGCAAAAACTGACATGGAGGATTCAATTCCGACAGGCGTACCGTTGCTGGGTCCTCTGGAACCACTGCGCGTGGATAGCTGCGCTACCCGTGACGCTTCTCCTTCTGTCCCTAGGTGAATATTCCTCAAGTCTGTCTGTCTGTCTCCTCTTCTCACACCACTCGCCACTCACAATACACTTTCAAAGGAACCGCTATCGCCAATATGGCAAAATTCGGATTCCTCTACGGTGGTTTGGCCATGAGCCTTAAATTCGAGAACCCCGAGGCCGTCACAGGGCCCAACGCGAAACCCTTCATAACCGTCTTCGCACTCGACCTCTTCGCGCACGTCCTAATGCACGTCGTCGTCACAGCGCTTATCCTGTGGCGACTCATCCGGGTACGACGGGCCATGCCACCTTCGTTCAGAGCCCAAGTGGAGAAGAGGTATTCGCCTGTCGCATACATGCTCATCGAGTCCGCAGCGTTCGTCGCGATTACGGGAGTCCCTTACGCTGTGAGAGCTATTGTGCTGTATGCGCAGGAGTCGAGGTGGGCTGTAGACTTGGATGTACCAATGTGGGTGTTCTCGATCGCACATACCACTGCTATTGTATGTTCTTCTTCACCTGTCTCTTCTTTGAGCCTTAATAGGACTCACGTTTGGACCCGCCAGGCCCTTGCTCCTCAGTTGATCATATTCCATGTGGCGGCTGGAAGGTGTGCGATTCGGTCTACGACAGAGTCGGAAACGCTTTCGAAGGGCGACCAGACGGTTGAAGAGATCCACCGGAATGGGCGAGGGCATGGGCCTATATTCGGAGGAAGATCTACCTCTGATGATAGTAGTAACATTGTAACCGTTACATCCAATCAACCGAGGCTCTCAGGAGAGCGTCCTAGGGATGTAGAAAGCATTCCGTAAAGTTGCTTGTGCACCATTCCCGAATCCAATCATGGGCCCGATTCACGAAGTTGCTGGGGCTCCGGAGGATTCCATGTTCTCCAATCGCGGACGGAGGATAGGCGGTGAAGTCGGAATGCTGTGATCTTCGGGCCCACCCGTACAGCGTTGGGCCCAGGCTGATATCGTATCGGGCGTCCAACCGTCAGCATCGACTTTGGAGTGCTTGAGGACGCCCCCTTCCACGGTTCGGACAGGACCCTCGCCTCGAGCAGGACACTCATCGGGATATGTGTCATCAATCGAGAGCCGCCGTTTTCGCAACTGTGCAGCCCTTCGTGCGGCACTTCGCTCCTCTCTTCGTCTGAGCTCCCTTTTCTCGTCTTCCTCGAAAACATATTCCACTCGCCGAGGAACGGTTTCCACACTATCTCCCGACTCGGAATTGGGCAGATCGTCCTCCTCGCCATCCTCGTCGAGAGCAGAGCTTGCCTGTGGAACTACATACGTTGGATCTTCCACCGCCCGGTCTGGCAAGATGCTCCACCTCCAACACAGCATTCGGATAGTGTACAGAATGGGGTGCTGCTCCTTCAGCTTCAGGTATCGCTCCAATGAGCTGTGAGCGAGGTCCCGAAGCGCCGCGCCCAGATGAGTGATTGCGAATTTGGGGTGGATATGGGACTTCAGGGTTGGGAGTGTATCGAAGGGATAGGTGTGGGTTGTAAACGCCGGCGGAGAATCACAAGTTTGTCGATGAATACCGATTTGCTCGAGGTCTTTCGTGAGAGGCAAAAACGTGTAGTTATACGTGGGCTCCTTTTTGAAATCCCGGTGAACATTAACGAGGTGACCGCAGTTAGTATTACTACTCGGGGAACCAACACATACATTGACGTTTGCAAATTCCTCACGGCACAAAGTGCGCACTTTATTGGGCGTGAGGAACCTTTCGATGATGTGCGTTTCGGGGAGCAACGCCCACTTCCGTTGTTCATACATCTTATATAGAGAGGCGCCCACTTGAAACGATGAAAATCCAGTCAGTATTAATCAGCCTGTACAGGGTGGATGACGCTTACTGAAGAAGACGTTCTGGCGCGTGTCCAAGTTAAGGGTGTTACGACGCATACCCCACCCCCATTCTAGTCTGTCCATCTAGAAGTATTATGAGCATCAGATTCCTCGTTGTGCGGAAGGAGGATGGACAACGTGCCATATGTATGATCCTTCGTCGTAGTCACCCGCGGAAGAGCGTGTGCCACTTCAACACCGCGAAAAGGAAGGCAGTTTTCCACAAGACATCGCCCTTCATTGGGATCCACTGCGAGGGCACGACACAGGGTGCCATCGGAGATTGGGGGCTCAAGCATGGCGCCAATTGGTAGTTGGGCGCTTCGAGGTCGATTGTCTTCTGCAGGTTTACGAGACTGTTGATGGTGAATCAAATCACCGTCAGGTCTGTCATAGTCACGACTTTTCCACGTGATGAATATGCCGCTCTTCCGAGTCCCAGTCCTGAGTCCTCGGTGTGCATGGAAGTTGAACAATCCAGAGAACAGCCAGGTGATTTGTATGCGGGTATCATTAAAAATGGTAGTAGGTAAGTAAAAGATACAGTCCTAGATAAATACACGTCTGTGTTTTACAATGAAGAAGACAAATAGGGGGTCATGATTAGCGTGGGCAGTAGAGTAAATTAGACCGAATAGCGAAGTCCCCATCCGAGGTGTTCGAACATAAGAGGAAGAGCCTCGCATGCGAGGAAGGCGATGCCAGCGTAGACGATGACCTTGGTGAGGACTAGGGGCGGTTAGACTGAGATTTGGCAGATGAGGCTGATTATTAGGCTTACCGTCCGCATCATAGTGTTTAGCACCCTTGACCTTGCTCTCCTGGTCTTCTTCATCTACCCGCTTGGCAGCATGGACCTCACCACCATTGATCTCCTGCGCCAACTTGGAAGGAACGGCCTTCCCAGTCCCATTTCCGTTAACCGCGCGCATCTTCATCTCGGCACCGTTCCCATTACTCTGGTTCCAGTGCGACGAGCCGTCCACACCGCTCCCAATGCCTCCAGTTTCGAACATCATACCAGCTGAGGAAGGGAGATCGATGACACTGGGAATAGCTTGCAAAGCGATGGTGCCGTCTTCGGTGACGTGGATGTCGCTCGGGACGTTCTTGTACTCAGTAGCTGGGAGGTAGAACCGTCGGTTGGGCAGCCTGAATACGCGCGAAAGGAGACGGAAGGTGGGCGGGAGGATGAGGTGCAATGCAGCCTTGGCGATGATACGCCAGACGAAGATGGTCAGAATACCTGCGACTGTGTGAGCGATGATTGCTAGACCACGAGGGAGGCCACTCACCAACTGCCATCTTCAACGCTGCTACGGCCCACCACACGCCGATATCGCCCCATGTCCTCTCGACAGCAATCCATTCGCCAAGGTCAGTTTGAACCCATCCGCTCCCAGGCATGAGCGAGAGCCCGTTCATCTCGGGATTCAAACCAGCCGAATGCATCGCCCACCGACCCACAAGCGCGCCCAGCACTACACTCCCAAACGCAATCGCATCCTCAAAACACGGACAGTCGTCAACTGGCTGAGGATGCTGGTTCACAGCTAGGAGACAGAGCGGGATAAGGATAACCGGGACTTTCCATCCGCCGTTCTCGGACCACTGCTCGATCCACCGCCCCGCTCCGAGACATTTGCCCAGGTAAACGACGATGTGGTTTTCGTCGAATGGCTGGCCAAACCCGAAGGTGGTGAAGAAGGTGGAGAGGGGGTTGGAGAGGGAGATGACGACGGGATGGCCGCCCCAGCTCCCGTGGCCCCACCAAATCCCTGCGCCAAGGATCGTGCCCATGATGCAGTCGGTGAAGGAGTGCATGGCGGTGTAGAGGCGGCCGAACACGATTGAGAAGGCGTAGAAGACGAGGATGGCCGTGAAGACGGAGAATTCTTGTGGTGAAATGGTGGGTGTGGAGGTGTAGGTGAGGCTGTGGACGATCGAGAAGAAGAATAGGGCGATGGAGATGCTGTTTGTTGAATGTGTTGAAGGGAAGCCGTATTCCAGGTGGTGGGAGCCGATGGCTGGCTTTCTATATCAGTTTAGCTCGCAGACTATGAGATGAAAGGGCTCACTTAGTCGAACGACTGGTGGTGCAAAGGGCCGTGGAGAGCAGAACATATCCTTGAGGACTGATGACAGGTATACACCTGCTGCAAGTACCATAACCAGTCTTCGGGGAAAATCAGACTGCTGCCGTAGTTAAAAAAGATGTGCCTACCCTCTAGCAATGTCCTGGTGCCCAAAGAACGCGAAGGCAGGTAGCAAGATCATAAAGAATGTGTGCGTTCCCAACAGAGAAGTGTAAACAAAGTACGAATCTAGCCAGGGTGTTCGGATAGCGTTCTGTTCCGGATTTCAACTTCTACCTTCTCTCGACAGACAATACAACTACACACCTGCATCCTTGCGATCACCCGCGACTCCTTCTCGACCGTCTTGACGAGTATTCTCCTGACGGCCGCTCGCCAGGCAGGCAACGTGGTGTCGTACACATCGGTTGGACCTTGTCCAGGGGAAACGTCCTCGACTCCATTAAGTTTCTCTGTTTTTACGATGTCATTAAAGTCGTAAGCGGGCGCTGGAGACGCCGAACGTGACGAAGGCGCCGAGTCTGGTCCAGATATCGAGAAATGTGTACGTCCAGGCATCGTTATAACCCCTTTAATTCCTGTCATAAAATTGGTGTCATTCTCTCAAGAAAACTTGGGGAAACAAACGGAACTTATACGCACCAGTGTAGAAAGATCGTAACCATGCGCCTCAGGGAGAAAAATCTCTGGACGCCTGGCGTTCCAGTCGCTGTCTGAGTTCAAGAACATTTGTGGTGCGATGAGAAAACATAGGGGATTATGTAAGCTTGATTGATGGCATGTGGTTTAAGCGCCCATTGCTTCCGCGTACCCGGCCCTCTCTCATAAACGTGATTGTGAGACCTTGTCTTGGACGCTTCGTGGGGTAGCCACTTGGGCTGACATTCCGGAAGAGCAGTTGAAAGCAGTTGCTATTATCGGTTGTGGTTATTTATCTTTATTTATCCACGGTTCATCTACTGGGGAGTTGACTGGTCAAATCGAAGAACGCGAGTCGCGGCCTTTGCGAGTGCGCCGCAATGGTATATCCGACGCATTCTAGGACGCATGGAAGTACTGGAATCCCGTCTCGAAGTCAATTGGAAGGTTTTGTGAAATCTCATCTAGCCCCTAAACGTGGCCGATGACCGCGTTCTCCGAACCTAGCTTGAAATAGGTTAGAGGTTAGAGCGGCCTTCTCGCATGGGTGACATGTACTAGGAGGTCAGAACCATGGCAATGCATGCCGTAGCTATCCTTTCGCGCGCACCACCACCATATACAACTCGAGTACTTAACTGCAATGCCCCGCAACGGCCCACTGCTCAGACGAGAGGTGATGCACACGGCGAGGAGGGCTATCGAGATACTCGAAGATGAGGGGTTCACATGTTGCCTCTTCGGGAGCACCGCCTGCGCGGAGTATGGAATGAGGAACCGCACACCAAAGGTTAATATCACTTCGCGTTCACTGACCTAGATGCCTGATGTTACAGTACCACATTCTTTTACACAGGACGTCGACCTCGTCGTGATGAACGCAGAAGAACAGGACATCGATCCCGAAGAACTGAAATACATCCTCGTATCAGCCGACGACAACTTCTACCTCGTAGATTCGAGGGACCCAAACGCGGACTATCGAGTTCTGTGGTACCGGCTCAGAGGACATGATCGACGTTGTAAAGTTGATATCCTCGTCCCTGGGCTGCTCAGCATCCCCGAATTCGATGAAACCGAGATCAACAGGACAGACTCTCCACAAGGACTTCCTCTAATGCCCCTCCTCACGCTCATCTTACTAAAGCTTCGAGGGTGGTCGGATCATAGACAAGATGACAGGCACTGGATGCAGGCCAAGGTCCCCGAAGACGAAGGCGATATCGCGGAGCTGTTGCAGATTGCCAGTGAGGAATATGGCTTGAGCGTGGCTGATGAAGAACATTGGTGGCCCGACTGGTTTGTGGATGAATCGAAGGAGAGGATGGCAGAGTTTGTGGACGAGTGGCCAGAGATTGCTGAAGAGTGGATGGCTCTTGGCTTTGACTTCATCGTTCACTGAGATTCATAGGACATGAATGTTGGTCAGTTATCACAGCGGGGCAGATCGTATTGCATACGGATGCTCAAACTCAAGGTACTAGGTAGAGGTTGCCTGAACTCGCGTGGTCAAATTCATATTGATAAAGCGGGGTATAAGCCATCAGCATTCAGGGGATACAACCCAGTGAACGAAACGAGGGGGGACGACAAGACACTTTCTCGAACGATTGACAAGATTCCAAACAATGAGAAGAGGAATATACCATGAAATAAAAATTGTCAATTCAATCCCAAGGTTCGTGTCATGTAGTGAAAAGAAACATTGTCCGAAAATGCGAGAGATAGCAGGGTGAACGTGCAAATATCAAGATTAAACTGACTAAAAGCGAATGGTATGTACGTAGACTAATCTCAGTGGTATCATTATCCAAACCGAACTCCCTCGTGAAATACTCGTCATAACATCAAGTGGTCCGTGATATTTAGGCGAGGAAGACAGCGGAAAGGAGGACACCGAAGACGGCAGCGGTGGAGACACCGAAGGAGGCAGCACCACCCTCAGAATCATCAGAATCACCGGTAGGGCTGGGGCTAGCAGAGCCACCGTTGGTGCCAGTCGAGCGGCTTGTGGTGATGCGGCCAGAGCCAGAGACAGAGCCAGTGGGAGTAGAGGTGGCGTCGGTGGTGGTGGGTTGAGGGAGACCAGTGTAGAGCTCAGCGCTGGAGTGGGTGACACAGTTGGATGAGGCGGGGGTGCGAGCGGTGTAAGGGATGGAGGTGATGGGACCCTCGGGCTGAGTGTAAGTCTGAACCTGGCCGTTCTCGTCGGTGTAGGTACCGGGGAAGTCCTGGTTGTCACCCTCGCACTCTTCGAAGACACCGTCCTGGGCATTGTTGGGGACGTTGTAGTCACAACCGATACGATCGAAGATGTGCTCGCAGTACTTGTCGTCATCCTGGTCTCGGGGGTCGCAAGCCTTGAAGCAGAAGCGGTCACCACCGAGGAAGAGGTGCCACTCGATGACTTGCTCGGGGCTGCCAGTCCAGGCGTTGGAGTAGACGATACCACCCATGGGGTTACCACGCTGTCGAACAAGGTTAACGGCCGCACGCTACGGGGAATGAAAAGGGGGAAACTTACGAGGTCAGCACCGTGGGGGTCCATCTCTCCTCCCCAGTCACCAGCCAAAACGTTGATCTTGGTCTGGTCGAGGAAACCGACGGCCTGGACGTAGGAAGGAGTCCTGATCCATTGGACACCGGTGAGGGCGCCCTCAGGAATCAAACGAGTGCCGTGGCCGGGCTTGGTGCAGTAGGCAACCATGATACCCTCAATGTCACCGACCTCCTGGCCGTACTCAGGGGGACCCCAGAGGCAGAAGTCTAAACACGTGGTGAGCGTTCGCGTTGAGCCATGAAACGACAGCGAGACATACCATCCAAGCTGTTGAAGTGAGCAGTCTGGCAGAGAGAGTCTTGGTTCTCGGTGGTCGAGTTGCAAATGTGAAACCGTGTTGGGGACCACGGATGAGGTGGGTGTCGGTATTCATCTTGTAAGGCTATTGGGCTGTTAGAACTGTAGTTTGAGAAATAGGAGGGACTATGCTTACAAGGTCCTCGAAGGCGAAGGTCTTCGAGGCGTGAGGGGTAGCGGGGAAGGTCTCCATGGCCGGAGGGGCGGCAGGAGCTTCAGTGACTTGAGCAGCAGCCATGGCTGCGCCCATGACGAGGGCGATGAGACGAGAGGAAAGAGCGACAGGGAACATCTTCGAAAGATGCAAAAAGGGTTGAAACTGAAGGAGAAAGAGGTGGGGAAGCCGAAGCGAGAATAGGTGGTTGTTGGGAGGAAAGAAAGCTGCGGAAACGACAGCGAGTAAAAAGGGAGAGAAAGGGCTTGGCGACCAAAACAAACAACGCCAGAATCAGGTCAACCCAAGACAGGGAATTTTCTCAAGGATGATGGTGGAGGTATGGCCAAGCCCATGTTTACCGAAAGGGTGACATGCCCAGCGAACAAGCCCCTGCAAAATGAAGCCTTCGTACGGAAGAAAAGGCTGTGTTTCGGAGGAGGTCTCCACGGCCAAGACAACTTTGCCCGGAATTGAGTTCTTTTAGGCCGCGAGCGCCCACGTTGCCCTCCAGGGTTGCCCGCTAAAAGCAGACTAAAGGCGCCTCGTTTGGATGCGAAGCGCCAGCCAGCATCGTCTACAAGGACCCTTGTCTGATGCCAATACCGACAGGGGAAGGCCTTGGTCGCTGCTGGTTGGTGCCAGCGCACCATCCTCGGGCGATTGGCGCGCATCCATTCTGGTCGTCAACTCGGTACTTTTCCGCCGCACGTCGTCCATGAATTTGATTCCCTTGATGAATATGAAGCAGTCAAGCGGTCTGCCCGATAGCCCAGGGGACGGGAAGGTAGATGTGCGCAAAGGATTACTTTGAATTTTGAATTTGAACACCCAGAGTTCAGGATAGAAAAGAGAGGACGTCTCAAAGATACTGCGAGTGTAAACTGGAAAAGGGTGAGATCGAGACGTAGTCCAGATCGAAAAGCCAAAAGGACTTACGTCATGGACGAAAGTGATCGATTTCAGCCTCGTCGAATACTTTGGAATGAAACCCTCCTGACCTACCTACCCCACTCCATAGGCCCTGCGAACAGTCCACCACATGTAAGTAAGCCAGCAGAGAAACCCTATCCAAGCAATATATGAATGTTCCAGAAGTCGAAACACAGGGGAGCCTCGAGGTTCGATGAGATCATAAATTAAGTCACAGAGGACCGACCGTACAGGGTATACACGCGATTATCAGTATCTGGAAGGCGAGATTAAAAGGGGATGTACCGCTTCCTTTTCAAGCGAAGAGGAGGGGAGAAATTAGGAGAGAGAGGACCAAGGCGCCTGGAATGGCGACCCGACGAGCTGCGCCGGCCTCCTCGGATGCTTCAGCGTTGTCAGCGGTCTCCCTAGGGTTCCCACTTCCTGTTTCCGTGCCAGTCCTTGATGGAGTGGAAACCGTTCCTGAAGACCTTGTTACAATCCGGGTGCTGGCACCCTCAGAAGTTTCAGTCGACCCGGCGGCGGAAGTCGTCGCACTGGGGAGAGCTGAGTAGAGGGAAGCGCTGGTGTAGGTCACACAGTTCGAGGATGCAGGGGTGCGAGGGGTATAAGGCACGGGCCAAATATCGCTCTCCGGCTGGCTATAGGTCTGCACCTGCCCATTTTCGTCGGTGTAAACTCCGGGGAAGTCCTGGTTATCTCCGTCGCACGACTCGAAAGTACCGTTTCGTGCGTTGTTGGGAACGTTATAGTCACAACCAATACGGTCCAGGATGTGTTCGCAGTATCGGTCATCGAATTCTCCACGGGGATCGCAAGCCTTGAAGCAGAATTTCTGAGCGCCAAGGAAGCTAGATATTGAACAAGGATTGATCAGAATCGGATAGACTTTGTCCGAATTGGTCCACTGACTTGTGCCACTCGATGACCTGCTGAGGGGAACCGCTCCATGCATTGGTGTATACCAAACCTCCCATAGGATTACCACGCTACATCGCCATTAAATCGACGCCTGGATCAGAGGATGGGGGTGTGACTTACGAGGTCAGCACCATGAGGATCCATCTCGCCTCCATCATCGTCGGCGAGGACATTAATCTTCGTCTGGTCAATGAAACCGACAACCTGGATATAGTCAGGTGTCCTGATCCACTGAACTCCGTGAAGGGCTCCAGCAGGGATCAAGCGAGTACCATGTCCGGGCTTGGTGCACCAAGCGACCATGCTACCCTCGACATCACCAACGGTCTGACCCATCTCAGGAGGACCCCAGAGGCAGAAATCTGTGGAAGCGATTGGATTAAATACACATGTAATGGTATTCAGACTACTCACCATCGATCCCATTGAAGTGCATGGTTTGGCACATCGAAGTCGGGCCCTCGGTAGTAGAATTGCAAATGTTGTAGCCCGCTTGAGGGCCACGGGCAAGGTGGGTGTCGGTGTCGACTTTGTAAGGCTAGTACAAGCATTCGCAGGTCAAGAGTTAAGATTTAACGATGCGAGATGGACAACAATCACTCACGATGTCGGCAAACTCAAACAACTTAGAGGCGTGAGCGACATCAGGGATAGTAGGCAGCTCTTGAGCAGTAGCGACTGACGCGCCCAAGGCGAGAGCAGTAGCGACTGACGCGCCCAAGGCGAGGGCAGCTAGAATAGAGGAAGGAGTGACAGGAATCATAATTCCAGTAATGCTGGAAAGCGCAAAGCGAGAGAAAAAATTAGGAAAAGGGAAGGAAAATTAGGTGAAGGATGTGCCTTCTTCAGCGTTCCTATAAATGGCGCGTCGAGATCCCCAGAGCGCCCTAAGGGAAACGTTTCAGGTGTGTCGCGTTAACGACATTGACGTGAACCAGAGGGGATAGGGTGCCTACCTTGAAGAAGACCATGCTTGCCCTTCGGCCTTAAATGTCCGTCGAAGAGCAACAAACCTTTACAGCAGTTAGCACCTAGTACAATACGAAACCGGACGACGGTCTTCGAATTCACGGGGATGGAAAGCCTTCTGTTTCCAGTGTTGAATAAAAAGGCTAGCCGATGATCCCACCGTGGATCAGAAGTTTCGAAATCCCGGCCACCGTTGAATGACTTTAAAAACAACGGCTGGAAGAAAGTGTTCCAAAAGGATTGAGACAGACTGACATTATCAGGGGAGTTTACACAGAGAGAGATATCCGTCACTCGGTCAAAGCAGGAAGAGGGAGAAGGCAGATGCGAGAAGCAACATGGCAGGGGCTGCGACACGGCTGCCAGAACCTGTCTCTGAGTCGTCCGTTGAGCCCGCACCACCGGTGGCCCTTGGGGCACCTGTTCCAGTCCCAGACTCCGATGTTGCGGAGGACCGACTGGTTATCACACGGGGGGTTTCAGAGGGGCCAGGAGAGTCACTGGTAACAGTCGGAAGGGCAGTATAGAGAGCAGCGCTGGTGTGGGTGACGCAGTTGGAGGAAGAAGGGATACGAGGGGTGTACGGAACCGGCCAGATGTCGGATGCAGGCTGAGTGTACGTCTGCACTTCGCCATTTTCGTCGGTGTAAACACCGGGGAAGTCCTGGCTTTCGCCTTCGCAGGTCTCGAAAACGCCGTCTTGAGCGTTGTTGGGGGCATTGTAGGCACAACCGATACGATCCAGTTTGTGCTCGCAGTATTGAGCGTCGAATTCTCCTCGCGGGTCGCAGGCCTTGAGGCAGAAAATGCCGGCGCCCAGGAAACTAGGGACGGAGTGTCAGGAGACGAGTTCTGTGTGAAGAAAGACGGAGAGACCGACTCACTTATGCCATTGAATAACCTGCTGGGGTGTCGAACCGTCTTCGGACCATGCATTGGTGAACATCAGACCACCCATTGGGTTACCACGCTACATACGAGGAGACTGAGATTGGCTTCGGATTCGATGGTGCAGCGGATGCGAGGCTCACCTGGTCCTCGCCATGGGGGTCCATCTCACCTCCATCGTCGTCAGGAAGCACATTGATCTTGGTCTGGTCAAGGAATCCGACGACTTGGATGTAGTCGGGGGTCCTCATCCATTGGACGCCAGTGAGTGCACCGGCGGGGATCAACCGAGTACCGTGACCGGGCTTGGTGCACCAAGCGACCATCTTGCCCTCAACAGCCCCGACGGTCTCTCCAAACTCTGGGGGCCCCCAGAGACAGAAATCTACACGAACCATGAGTAAAGCGCGATGGAGCCAGAAACTGTCCACTAACCATCGATGCTGTTGAAATGCATCGTTTGGCAGAGCGAGTCCTGATGTTCTGTGGTGGAGTTGCAGATATTGTAGCCGAGTTGCTCTCCTCTCGATAAACCGGTGGAAGTATCGACTTTGTATGGCTGTAAACAGAGAGAGACATTAGATAGAGTTGAAGAGACGACGAAATAAACTGACGATGTCGGGCCATGTAAACAGCTTCGAGGCATGGGGAATAAAGCCATCTTGTGCAGTAACGACTGTGACGCCCAGAGACAGGGCAGGTAGGATAAGGGAGGGAGTGGTGAAAAACATTACTCTAAGCGCTTGAAAATGAAATAGAAAAAGGGATGTATTGCAAGGTGTCCGCGTCGCGATAGGTATAAATAACTCGGAGAGCGACGAAGATCATTTCCTCGGGTTGGATTTCGGGTGGTATACAGCCGGTAACTGGATGGGCGCCCATCCACGAACGGCCATCCCACCAGGCAAAGGAGAGACAAATAGCCCACGAACAACACCTCTGCTTGGCTTACTGCGGAGAATGATGGTATTTCTCCTGGAGGGGTATGCGCGGCCAGGGATGGCCGCGGGCGACCAGCTTGTGGAGGAATTCCCGGTAGTGATCATCCGACGAGAGGTTCGCTGCCTGAAACGAGGAACATCATGTATTGCTGACAGTGGGCCCCGCGGGGGTCCAATTCTTCAGCGTGTTCCCCTGCCACCATAATCTCGGTTGTGAACTTCCGGTCGTCGAGTTCCTTTCCCACCGTACTTCCATCTGGCCTTGGAGGAGACCTGAACTGCCGGCCAGCGCTGGATTCCATACGGCTGCGCCGATAGTTTCGTCTTTGGTCGGAGATGTGACACCGCTAGCTGGTTCTTGGCTGCTGGGGCTGCTGGGCGCTTCTGGAGGAAGATGTAGCAAGAAAAAGGGTATCGGGGAGGAATGAGCCCGAAGAATGGTGGATTTCGTGAATGGTGACTGGGAGATTAAGAGGGCCACCGGGAGAGTTTCCGCTCCTTCCGCCTGGACCTTCGGATCCACCGAAAAGAGGTTCGTATCCCCGTGGCGAAGACGATAAACCACGCCCTCGAGTTCTCGGACATAGTTGGGGCCCATTTTCTTCTTCTCCGCTTTGCACTGTGCCACGACCCTAATCCGCCTACGTTGCTCCCCTGTTGCGGTTTGCAGGGCAGTTGCTTCTGACCCTGAACTGCCTTTGATGGAGGGTAGCCACCACCATCCAATGAGGTCGATTCCGCCGTCGTCCCGTCCACCAACCCGAGTCAATGTCATCGAAAACTGGTCTCGAAGTAACGCTAAAGAACGCTCTTCGAACGCTGTTCCTCGATGCACTGTCGACATGGTCCCAGTTGCATAGTACCTTGCAGTAGCAGCGCGAGAACAGAGGGTTGAAACCGGGACCCAGGAACGTCGCATTTGCAAGCGGTACATGGGCAAGGGGGAATAAGCGCCGAATCGAGGTAATGGTTCAAGGATGAGATGGAAAAAAGCGAAGCGCCGGTCGTTGTTCTGATGGCAGCGCGGCCCGGTTTCGATCCTGCCCTCCGCCGCTTTCCTCGGGGTTCATGGATTTCTGTCCGTTGGTCCCTTGAACATCAAAGCGTTGTCCCAAAGGACAGAGATCTGAACTCAAGGCATGACTGCTGAATATGGTGTCGTACCATCCAATAAACCGAGTCGTGAAACGATTATCATCATTGGCCTGGGGTATTTTAAACAAGTGCCAGCAGGTAGGGTAATTACATGGGTATGATACAACAGAGGTCGCATAGATCGTTAGGAATAAATTTAAGTTTGCATAAATCGTTGATAACCTATGCCAATAGGTTAGTCTGGACAAGTGCTTCGCGCATGATCATCTCCTGGACTGTTAACTTTGTCAGACACGGATCGCGACTGCGGGACCTGGAAACGTACGATTAGATAGAATAAGCTTAGTTGATTTGGTATCCTATTATGTATTTTTTGCCTCAGCACAAGAGCAGGGTAAAGGGGACCAGGGATGGTAATCACCGTTACAGTCGTCAAATGTGAGTAGAAGACCCGGGGTAGTGGGGAATTTTCTTTCAGAATGTTGGCTTCAATGGAAGGCCAAGTCAGAAGAAAGCTTAGGTATGCACAGGTTCGTCGATACAACGCACCAAACTTTCGGCGAATATCTATCAATCGAGTTCCATCAGTCTTTGGGCGGCACAGGTGTAAGCTCAGTCTACTCACATGCTGTGGTGTGCTCGAAAGTATTGGGCCGATCTCCATACGATACGACATGATCACCAAATTTGATTCCAGCTTCGAGCTTCGCTTTGAAAATGTCGACCTTGTTCAGGAATAGGATCAGGTTGGTCTCTTTCAACAGCTGGTTGCGCGTTAGTTCCGACCAAAGAGATACAGAGTCGGCCTGCGAAGAGAAATGTTAATTAAACATCGCAACTGGAGAGGATCGTACATACCAGCCTATTCATCCGTGGATCTTCTGCAAGGTTCTGGTCGAAGCCGCTGTAGGACATGCTATCAATCTCAAGGACGAAAGGAAGGGACCTAGATCACAAACCTGATAGGCGCCAAAAAGATGATGGTATCCATATCATCGAAGAACGGCACCCACGCAGCTGGAGGCATGGTGTTGGGATCATTGCATCCAAACAAAGAACGGCATGACAGCGCATACCTCTCTGGCGCCCAAAAGCATTGAGATCAGCGCCCGAAAGCAATCAAAGATAAAGATAAATACTCACCTGCGATCGATGTCCTCCCACATCAAAAACACGCCAGTCACGACTGAGCGCACCCGCTGATAACGGCTATATCAGAAGCAATGCTCAGAATCAAGGGCGATGGTACCCACTGCTCGACAAAGTAAATCGATGCTCGCTCACACCTTGATCGGAGGAAAGAGTCAGGGGTTCACGTTCGCCGATATAGCACAATCCAAGAACCAACCTAGCGTCTTCAATCGTGCTCTGAGAATGTCATCTAGTGGCGACAGCGTTTCTAGCATGAACAGGATGCGGAATAGACGCAGGCTTACCGACGGTAGGGATATAGCGAGGGGCTGTTATTCTCTCGATTTGGTCCAGGAAGCTAGAGTCGAAGAGGGTTAGGTCATAAACCCTGTCCAATAAGACCAGGCGAGAAACGGAACTTACAACCCTGCCGCATCCTGCATACGGATGCCTTGAATCTGTAGAACCTTCTGTGTGATAGGATCAGCCCAGAGTTTGATCATGTCCTCCGCGCATTCATGGAGAACTCGTCCTGGATCATTAGGGTCGTCCCAATCAATTCCATCCACGCTTTCGAAGCTATGACGCTGTGCCTCCACTCGCACCAGGCGATTGAACGTGTCCTTCCATTGGTTCGCCGAGTTGACAGCGACCTCCTTGATGTAGTGTTTCGTCCGCTCTGTATACGTTTTGCCAGAAGATAGTTGCGTTGCCTCGATTTCGCCGGATCCAACGGGAGTAAGACGGCGGATAAGAATGTCTTCGATGGCGAGCAGCGGTGTTAGACGCAGCTTCGTTTTGAGAAGGTCTGTAGGGATAATAATCGTCTCTTGGCCCTCTTGGAAGTCGGCCCCGAGTTGCTGAGCACGAGTCAGAGCGTCGATAATAACATGGAACGACCGGACTAGGTTGAGTTGAATTACTGCACGCCAAGAGGCCTTTTCGAGTTGAAATGCCTGTGGTCTCATCAGAATTATCTTAGGACAGTCATTCCAATGGAGAAAGCGCACCTTGGGCTCGAACATGAGTTGAAAATCTGAAGCGAGCATGAAATTAGTTTTGGAGAAATGAAGGTGCCAAGTGTCACTCGCTTTTCAAAGTCGTCGATTTTCCTGAGCAAGAGAGGAACAGAATGTTGGCCACTCATTCTCGTCGGAGGCGCGCAGGGGTTGGCACGTACCCGATTCACTTTGGCCTGTAGTATCCAACAGGTTAGTACTATCAAGGGACCCAAGCAAGTTCTAGAGCCAACGCTGAACGCACCCAGAAGAAGTATCTTAATAGGTTTAGGGCCCTTCTTTACAGCTACCCGCTGGGCCTCGATTTCTTCGTCAATGGCATCTGAGATGGACTTCGCTCTCTTCTCCTCCAGCATCCGTGCTTCTCGTTCTTCAGTGGTTTCGTTCGGAGGTGGCGCAACAGCCCTAGAAAGCGGATCCGACAAATCCAGAGACGGGGCCATGGTGGTCAAAAAGCAACCCTGCAAGGGGGCTACCCTGCGTGCGCTGCCAAATCGTGGGGGGAGAAGGACGGACGGAGTCCGGTCCAAGAATGGGACACCGAAGGGCGCACCTGCTTCGTGACTGGGTTGCATCATTTTCCCAGCGACTTATCATGCATCAAATAGGAGCACCAGTAAGGAAACTGAAATGTGACCATACATGCGAAGAGGCACGTAGAAGTGACCCTTCTCTGAGCGCTTGACGTTCATAAATCATTCTGTTCAGGGCGGAAGTAACTGTGGGTCCAAATGTATTGAGTCGGGATTCATGTCTGCACCCGGGGTAGCGTCGGTTTGCGAGTAGCGCCCGATAAGCTCCATGACATGGCGATGAATGGGGTATGACCACAAGCCTAGAAATCACTGATCAGAGCCTTTCAAATGTGGCCAACGTGAAGCTGTCGCGGTTGCAGTTAACTGCGCATTCCAAAAGCCCAGGAATAGGCCGCCGAGCGAAACGGAGGTCATAGCACCGGATCGCTGTCTACGTAATCACAGGTTTGTCGGTGATCAAGCGATGGCGGCGGGCATCGCACCGTCGGGGGCCTTGTGGCAGTGCCAAATAAGCGCCCGCTGGGGTCTCGGCGGGGGGATGGTCAACGGAACAGGGAAACTTCCGCGGCTTGTTAGCGGGGTCCTTACAAACAGGTATAGGTAGGAGATCTGTCATATCGACGCGATGGAGCTTGGATCTAAGTAATTTTGACGACGACGGAATAGCAGGAACTGTGCTGACTCTCTGGGTTCAGGCGTACTAGTAGAGTGCGGTTCCAGTTCACTACTGATAGCGATAACACAATTATGTCCAAGAAAACAGCGAGAAAGATGTAATACGATGCGTATTATCAGTCGTGCGTTCTTGCAGAAGCACGGAAACGGCGGAGGTAGAACTTACCAGATTTAAAGCACAAAACTTTACCCTCAACCCTGAAACTTCTTCACCTGTTACACGCACCATGATCGGCGCGAGCGATGGTACACAATGGTACACTTGCTAGCTCATTTGCCCCTATTCACCATTCCGATCCGTCAAACCCATGTGGATGACACCCGTCGAGGCGCTGATCCGTTCAGACTGCAAATCATAGTTCCCGATCCTCCTGTACCACACCAGAAGTCTGCCTGACAGTGACAGGAGGCACCTCATCGTGTTTCAAGGCATTACGTCGGCGTGTTCAACCGAGGATCCTTATTACATTTCTTCGAAGGAGCACCTTACATGCCTATCACTAACTCAGAGTTGGCGGCCACCGAAGTTGCCACACCAATTAAGCACACATACTTACAGCAGTTATTTGACTACAATCCGCCAGCCCGACACCTACTTCTTGTTGTGCTCGATAAGCGTTTCAGCTTAGTGTAAATGGATGGTTTATTGCACACATAAGATTATTAACAGCAAGTAATTCCTTGTCTTTATTTCCAAATATCCAGATGCGAGGCAGCGAGATGGTATGCGTAGAGGGCGGACATGGTGATGCACCCGCTGTTAAGACTCAGGAGGTCCGACATTACGAACCAACATCCCACCAGAAACATCCTAATAGAAGAGGCAAGCGAATCTAATGCTCCCTCCCCGCCGCTGAATCTAAAGATCGCTCCAATACTTGGATCAGGAAGACACCTACATTACCCGACGAAGTCGGGATATGTGGTTCCGGTGAGAGCGGGCAGGCCAGAGCTGCCTCGTTGCCACTGGCCCACCTTTCCAGCTTTCTTGGATAGCGACTAAATGTATTCAACCTCCTCACAATCATAATGCACTACAAGATATTCCTACATCGTCGGCCAAGGGGTAGAATGCTCCTAAACATTTCCCGTTAACGTACTTTTCGGCCAAAAACATCCGCGGGCGTCGAATTCTGAGACCCCGCCGCAGAGCATCTATATCACTCCTTCTGTTACTACAGATCTGATTGTATGCAGCCATTACTATTGTGAGATTGACAGGCAGACCATTCGAGCGATCGTGGCACCAATAACAGCCTGAGGTTACTTACCTCCGACGAGGTTGCGACTGTTCGACGGAGACATTGGCATTGACAACGTATGAGATGGTACCCGTCAGTTTACTCGAAATCATGGCAGTCTGTCTATTGTATCGAAGACGAGCCACAGGCACGCACATAGTTACTACTGAATGGAACAAGGGGGTGCTACTAGCGTTGGTTCCCCCGTGAAGGTCGGTGACCTACCGCAAGGCTAACTGTGAAGTTCCAGCGTGCTGTCCGAGCTCAAGCTGCATGTTCTTTGCATTTGCTCCCTGATCGGCGGAGGTTTAGACGTCGTACCACCGGACACGAGGGAGCAATGAGGCCAAGTTCCGAGTTGTGGGGAAAGCGACTACATACTAACTTTCGCCGACCCGAGCCCTTGTGGACAGGTATTCTGTTCGACAGATGGTTCTGAATCCTGATACCATGCAGTCTTGTGAATTGCCTCTATGCCGAAAGCAAACCTGTTCTAATCGCCACAAGGCTATAGCGGAGAGAACAAGTGCATCATCGCAGCGGACACAGGTTTGGAGTAAGACTTGGCTTTTCTTGGCAAACAGAGGCTATTTCCGGATTGTGTGATCTCTCAGGGATCTCTCACCCGACAAGGACGAAACGATGACCTCGGACGGAAGCCATGCAAAAGGCCTTAAAGAGACCTGCCCTGGTAGCTGATCTCCCCAAAGTCACCCTCCAAAACATTCCCGACACCTGCCTTTGGAACCACTAGCACCCATCAGCGCCCACAAATGTCGGCTACATCCATGACACCCGCCTCCTGGGACTCGCTCCCCAATGAAATAAAACTCGCAATCGCTGGCTCCCTCGCTGGCCAGGATCTAGAATCGCTCTCGAAAGTAGATCAACGGACTTACCAGGTCTGCGTCCCCGCAAAGTTCAGAGTACGTGGCAACCACATAAATTAGTGGCGTCGCAGAAGGCCTTACAGTCCAGTGGCAGGTCGTCAAACTTGCTACATTTCAAGCGTTCGAACGCTTCTTGGAGACAGTTCCTCCGAGCTACTTCACGCATATCGAAGAACTCGACTTATCCGCCGAGGATGAACCCAACGCGCCCAACATTCCTCTCCGTACACGAACTGAAGCCTTCATCAGCCTATTGGCCGCCACCCCACGACTCACCACCCTTACGTTGCGCCTCAAGGGTTCTCTCGACGAGAGTATCATTGCACCCTTCCCCCACCTGAAAAATCTTCGAAAGGTGACCATTTCGAATACGGGAGATGAGCGAGAAGCACCCTTGTACGTTTCAAAAATTCCTTTATTTGTCGGGCATGGTCTCATGGACTGGTTTAGGAGTGAACGTCTCGTTGTTTCCCTTGCAGCATCTCTTCCCCAGTTGGAGGAATTGTATCTGGAAAACATTTCCCGCTCGAAAGTCCACGCAAACGACCTTGAAGGGAATCCCGACATCCCTGTCGTGTATGGGGACGAACTGATCCCCGACCACCCTCTCCTGGGATCCGAACTCGCTCTCCCTTCCCTTCTCAGAATCCCGACCCTTAGAAAGCTCTCCATCCGTGACACCCATCTCGGTGACGAGCGCTGGATCACTACGCCTGTGGCCTGTCGGCTTGAAGTCCTCGACTTGGGCAGTTACGTCTATACGGACGAGGACTTCAACTCTTCCTGCACCCAACGCATCATGGCCGCCGTTGGACCCTCCGTGGATGAGTTCTCTCTGTCTACGGTGGTGTCGGACAGCCTTCGCTTTGCCGAACCAGCCGAAACCCCCCTTCGCCGCCTTCGAAAGCTCCACATCTCACCATTCTTCCCCGTCGACAGCGTCGTTGACACCGTTTCAAACCTTGCTGGTTCACCAATCGAAACCCTATCTCTACAATGCTTCGAGGATGATGTCGTTGACGTCTGCTCGGCGTTGGAAGGCTTCCTCACACTCAAGGTTGAGCGCGGCCCTCAATTCTTTGACAAACTTCAGAGGATTGACGTCACTGTCGCCGCCAACCCAGATGACTGTGACGAACATGCAGACGACATCGATGACGAGGAGCGGTCAGAGCGGATTGCCGCTGCTGAACGTTTGCAGAGTTTGTGTAGGGATCTTCAGTTGGCTAGCGTGGTGGACAAGTTGTCCAAGGTTGAAGACAAGCTCGGGAAGCCTGCTCTCAGCACCACGCCGAGGAGGCCCGTCCGATCCATGACGCTCTAATCTCCATTGCTTTCTACGTCTTTCCAGACAGGACTGTGTTCCGATCGACATTTGCATTGCATCGTCCATTATCATTATTACTATATCACGCTATTGGGTTTATTGGTAGTCTAGCGGTCTTCTGTACAGTCGCATCTTTGTTTGGGATACCCTCGTATAATCTGTCACTTCTACCTCGAACGGTCCTTGGGTTAACGACAGTAATGACTGATATCAAGTCTGAGCTCATCAGTAGGTCTCCAGCGACTGCGTGAGTGTCGGACGCTTCATGGGCGCATCTTTTGATAAGACTTCCGCCGTTGTCAATTGGTCGTCAATCAAACCTACAAGGTATGATTTGACTCTCGAGGCAATGATCTGGAGCCTGAGAAGTCCATTCCCCGATCTAGCGAGTACATAGTTTCTTGATATGCCGAGGGTGCCTCAGGCTAGGTTGGACTCCCGAGCCTTCTAGGTCAATATCTATTGGGAGGAAATTGAGCTCCATCAGGGCCTGAATAGGGCCAGTCTGACCCCCTTGATTGTGACTGTTGAATGGGGAGGCAAATTGGGGCAGTCAGTGCCCGGCTCAGGGGAATGTTACGAAGCAACTGCCTCAGCACTGGCGCCCCGACCCGTACCCCGGGATAGCAGACCCAGAAGGATGGCTAGCACTTGGCCGACTTGACCGATCTTTGATGATACTTAGCACTAAGTAAGTACCCTTTGAGCCATGCCTGTGGTGGTACCGTTCCATGCTAGGCGCAACAATGACCAGGCTATGCGTCGAGTTTAGGACCAGTCAAGATCCAAAGTAGGAAGTGACACAATCCATGCTGGGGTTTCATCGTGCCTAACTTACATGGGCTTAGGATGCTGTACCAACACAGTGCTCTGCGGTCTTAGCGACCTATTGGTGCTCAAGTTGTCAGCGCCCACTGACTCTCTACTTCATCCGTTACATTTGCGGTGAGGAGAGTCGACGGGCGCAGATAGGGGCAGTCCGATTCGGGCCTACAATTTCGGTCGGAGCTTAAACGGTGTCACGCTGGCGAGCATCGCTCCAGCGCTTCTTGTCTTGCACCTTCCGAGTCAATCTCTGCTGAATATTCGAACGCAAACCATACAGTACCCTTCAATTCCAACGACAAGCTGCTAGGATGCTCTGCATTGCCCTTGAGAAACTCCTAAACTTGAAGCCAAGATGACAAGGCGCCGAATTTGTTTCGTGAGTGCATTTTCCTTGCGTCACCTCCTTTCAGATGAGAATTACACACGTTGGAGGAAACATATTCCAATGACATCTTCGACCTGGTGCTTGTTCTGGTACACTGTCATAGGAACCGCTCGAGTCCAGGTCAAGAACGGAAAGCTGATATTGTCCTTCTGGTCGTTGTACGCTTTGCCCTGGTTGATGCTAAGTACTTTCTTATTCTAGGTCTATTAATACTGCGATGACTGGCTGCGATTAGTTTGTTTTCCTTGTGCGGAGGCGAACTGTGCTGATCGACCACCAACGTTGAGGATCGCAAGGAATCTATCTTATCGAAGCGAACTAGCTGATGACTATCACCTCAATCTCACTGCGCGGTTCGAACTGAACGGGACGGTCACGGATTTTCTCATTCGTGGGCAATCAGTTAAGTAGTACATCGAATGACGCTCACCGAGGAAAATCTAGCGTTCAATCAATGTCGCCTTCGAGGAGCGTAATGCTTCAAGACCACTTGTTTGCGCTCCGCTCGCTGCCTTTCCACGCCTTTTGTTTCTTTCATTCCTTTCGTGTGACCCATGGCGGGCGCAAGTCGCTCTGTATGTAATATCGCCCAACGATTTCCAGGCACCCGACGAAGATCCGTGACGTCCTATCCCCTAGACTCTGAGGTGGTTTCTAGGTCGCCACGCGAGGTGGGCCTCAACGCATGGGACACTTGCTTGCGATCCCATAGGGCTAATAGTATTTCCATAGATTCTCCGGAACCAAGGCCAGTAGATTCCCTAGACTGTGATACAAGAGGTAACCTATACCTCAAGGTAGCATCCGCTCCCCGCTCTATTCGCAGCCTCGTACCCGAAATTCTACCGGGCGCTCTCATTCATTTCTTGAACGTTTCGTAACACACAGTGGCCTCCTCGTTCCTTTGAAGCACTCTACGCGTCTCAAAGGACTATCTGACTACTTCGAAAGGAAAGGACAGAGGCTGCAAATCCTCAGAAGAAGCTCCATCAAGAGATTTTCGGGACCTTTCCCCATTTCTAGCATTTTCGAGTCGAAAAGGGGTGAAACACAAGGTTCTCCGCAATTCTCTTGCTTCTCGCCGGCTTCTCCACACCTTCGTAATGTGGTCACAAATCCGTTCTTCTATTCAACATCTGGACGATGAACGGTTCCCCGCGGCGTCGCATGGTCTTGTCGCGGCGACTTGGCACTCTCCCACTGGTTTCTGTTAAATACACGGTACCGCTGTTAGGTTTCTTTGCGAGGCACCCTCCAGTTGCTCTTCGCTGCCTACAGTCCCTAGTCTCCCCAGCGGGTCCTCGAAGATGAAGACCACGGCTACCTTTGCTTTCCTCATGGCCCTCACTGTCCAGGGTGTCGTTGGACAGTTGGCCCTCCTCTCCAAGTTGGCCGGCAAGCAGTACTTTGGTACCGCCATCGACTACGTCGCTATCAACGACACGGCCTACATGAAGAAGTCCGGTGACAGGTGGGAGTTCGACACCATCACCCCTGTATGTGTATTCTCTCGTTTCCTCCTGTCCGACCATCGCTGACGCTGCGCTTCCAGTCGAACAGCATGAAGTGGGAGACCATCCAACCTGAGCAAGGCGTCTGGAACTTCGGCCCTGCAGACGAACTCGTCGCCTTCGCCAAGAAGAACAGGCAAGCCGTTCGTGGTTAGTACAGATATCTTCCGCTCGATTAGGCGAGTTTTAACGTGACTGCGCGCCGTCAGGACACACTTGCCTCTGGCACAGTCAACTCGCTCCATGGGTCGAGGCCGGCAACTTCGACAGCGAGACCCTGCATGAGATCATCCACGAGCACTGCTACAAGTTGGTGAGCCACTACAAGGGCGACGTGTTCCACTGGGATGTTGTCAACGGTATGTCGAATGAGTGTTGGTAATAACAGCTGCTGAACCCCAATGTCAGAGGCCTTCCTTGATGACGGAACCTTCCGCCCCACCGTGTTCTACAACACCACGGGAACCACCTATTTCGACACTGTCTTCAAGGCTGCCCGGGCTGCTGATCCCAAGGCTAAGCTCTACGTAAGTGATAGCTGGAATCGTCGTTCCATGCCATTCTAACGCTGCGCGTAGATTAACGACTACAACCTCGAGGGACTAAGCCCCAAATCTGACGCTGTCTACGAGCTCGTCAAGGACCTCAAGTCTCGCGGCATCCCCATCGACGGCGTTGGTGTGCAAGGCCATCTCATCCTCGGACAGATCCCCACCACCATCAGGGAGAACTTCCAGCGCTTCGCCGACCTCGGCGTCGACGTTGCCATTACTGAGCTTGACATCCGAATGGACTTGCCTGTTACTCGCGAGAAGTTGGCCCAACAAAAGAAGGACTACGAAGCCGTTGTGTCAGCTTGCAAGGCTGTGAAGCGATGCGTTGGTATCACCATCTGGGACTGGACCGACAAGGTTCGTACTTTCGTAGTTAATGGCAATGATTCCAGTCTAACAGACGCGTAGTACTCCTGGGTTCCCGGCTGGTTCGAGGGTGAGGGTGCCGCTCTCCCTTGGGACGAGGACTTCAAGAAGAAGCCCGCTTACTACGGTATTGTCGAGGGTCTCATCAAGCCCGTTCGCAGGAAGTAGATTCTTTGACAAGCTTATTTATTCTGTGGTAGTTTGACCTGGAACGAAAGAGAGGACTTCATGACGGCTAGTATCTCTATTCGTATTTGAGAGTCAGAGACTATCCGTTAGGTCGGTGTGTGTGTGAGTTGCGAGGTCAGCACAGGCCAAAAACTTGGACGCGAACCCCCGAGTCGTCCCTTAGGACCTCCTACCCGGCCGACTCGGTCACCTGCCACGGCCATAGGCGACTGTCTCCGCGATCCACCGAATTAGTCCCCATATCAACGGCAGAGCAGAGATGTCCATCCTACAGTCCTGACAGATGGAGGAGGTCTACCTACCTCTTCAAGTTACGGTATCGGTGGTTTGGTAAATTTCACTCGCGCGTTGTTCCAGGTTCGAACCAACGGCCCGGCTTGCGGGATAGAAACTTTTGCCCCGCAGGCTCCGCCTCACTCGACAAAGTTTCCTTCCTGACCGCTTCCATGGGCTCTGCGTAAATGTTTCTGGTTTTGCTGCTCTACCGGTTCCTGTAGCCTCAGCTGACGGCTCAAATTACCAGAAGTGGGTCGCTGGCACATCGGGGCCGGCTAAAACCGAACACCCCGTGCTGTGTGTGTACAAGAGTCAAGGGTAAATGAGTGTACAGCATTCATCGATCCTACGCTTTGTCCACCACTGTCACAGTGTTCTCCCATCGAAACCTCGCCTTCACCCCAAAATCCAGGGCGTCGAAACCACAGGAATGGGAGTGAAGTTCTCATCCCAAGGCGATGAGGTGGCAAGTGTCCTGACGTTGCTACTGCCATTCTCCAAGCAGTCACTGATATGGATACTGCAGGGTGACAAAGGTTGGCGGAAATGGAAGAAAAAGAAAGATCGACATGCTGCAGGTTGGTCTTATGATCGTGAACTCAGGACAAAGAGGTGAATGTTGTCAACAGCGGCTCTCGATGAGACGATTACGAACTGTGACGATGGGCCTTCCCCATCTGAGGGCCGTGCGGCTGCGAGCTCTGCGAGCGCAAGTCGGGCGCTGAACCCAGCGCACACCGCGGACGAAGCAATGGGTCGTCCAACGTTGCTCAGCGACGTGGATCGGCACTCCCCCCCTGTGTCCGTATCCGTAGTCGACGACATGGAGGATTCCACAGGATCCAGCGCCGAAGTAACCCGTAGCTCAAACGTCGCTAGTGGAGGAATTCTCAATAATTCGGACCATGTCACAATCAGTGGAGGAAACTTCGTTAATGTCGGAAGAGACACGGTCAATAATACCACCAATATATACAACAGCTCTGCTGAACCGCCCCCTGGCGACGAGTGCAGTAGGTCCTTGCAGTTTCTAGAAGAGCCTCACTGAACTTTGGGCTGCAGGCAAATGGGCCTCACAAGCAGCGGAATGGCTCGCACCCCATGTAAACTTCCGCGTGATCCATAACAGTATCCAGAAACAGTCGACCCCCGGCACTGGCTGTGGGTTTATCGAGAGCTATCTGGTAAGCGCCTGGTTTCGCGGGGAGACGAGTGTCATCTGGGGAACAGGGCTTGGTAAGAGTCGGATTGATATCACATTCTCGGTTCATTCTGACTGTGGAACGTAACAGCGGGCGCTGGAAAGTCAGTCCTTGCGTGAGTTCAATCATCATCGGAAAGCCAAATGGCCTCTTATGGGTGCTTCATGTGCAGGTCAAAACTCGTGGACCGCCTCGAACAGGATGTCGACGAAACCAGGGACATCAGCGTGATCTTCGCATACCTTCGCTATACAGAGCCCCTGTCAGTGGAAGATGTACTCGAGGGTCTTATCAAGCTACATCTCCAGGAGCACCCCTTCCTCGGGGGGATTGTCAAGCCTTTGCACTCCCATCACGTCAACCGGGGCACACGGCCGTCTCAACAGGAGCTCATCGACGTCCTCCGTACGATAGAAAAGGAATTTCGCGTTAATTACATCGTCCTGGACGGCGTTGATGAAATCAACCCTGACACCCAGTTCGACCTTATTGAAACCATCAACTCGCTCCAGTCAAAGTTCGCGATCTTCTCGAGGCCCCCTGGATCCCCTCCAGGAGAGCTTGAGCTTGCCGAATACGACATTCTTCAGGGTATCGGCCGACGGCGAAGACATGGCCCTCATGGTTTCGGACAATGTGAAAAGGAATCCTTCTCTCCGCTCTTTGGTCAAGCGCCATGGTATCGAGGAAGAATTACTCTCTCAGATACTTGAAAAGGCTGATGGGATGTGCGTATCCCAGACCCAATCTGTCTGTTTATCCAGCTGATTATTCATCCTCAGGTTTCTTCACGCGAAACTCCAGGTCGAGGCGATTCAGGATTGCCTTTCTGTCCAGACTCTGCGGGAAACGCTCGAGAGAATACCGCCTGGGCTAGATGGAATCTACGCCGATACTCTGGCTCGGATCGAAAAGCGACCAGAGCATGCTCTTTTTGCCAAGGAGGTGCTTCTGTGGCTTTTGTACTGCAAGAGACCTCTGTCAGTAGAGGAGGTTCGTTATGCAGTAGCGAATCTTCCGGAGAGCTACATCTTCGACGAGGGCCGACTAATTGACGAGGCCGACTTGATTTCTATCTGTTGCGGTTTGATCCATATTCAAGAGAATGGATGGGGGCCCACCGTAGTCCGACTCATTCGTAAGTGTCATTCGAGATCATCACTTGACATTGGATGCTGACAATGCGTCAGACTACACCGCATATGATTCCCTGAAGCGTCTTCTGTACAAAGACTTTCCCGATCCCCATGGAGTGCTCACCCGGATTTGCATCCAAAGGCTCGTCGCCTTCGACTTGACAAACCTCCCAGGCCCCAGCTCAACCATGGGACAGAATCTCGCGTCGTGTATTAACAACCACCCATTCCTCCGATACGCCCATGTCCACTGGGCCTCGCATGCCCGAGAAAGCCAATCTCACCAAATGTGGACGGCAATCATCGAGTTCATCCGCCAGTGCTCTTCGTTCCCGTGTGGCTACAGGCCGGGTGGCTTCAACACACATATCCTTCTTCTACAACCTCTTCACGTCGTCGCCGCCTACAACCTACCAGCGCTCGTTCCTGCTATCGCAGGTCACGGAGAAATCAATGCGATAACGGAAGTCGAGTTAGTCATCGACGAGGAAGGCCGAGACGGGCCTCGATGGACCCCCCTCATAATCGCCTCGATGAATGGCTACGAGAAGGTTGTCATGAATTTGCTTCGGGAGAAGGGAATTGCGGTCAACACTAGAGGGAGCGATGGGAGAACGGCATTGCTGTGGGCGCTCGCCAACCGTCATGAATCTGTTGCCGATCTGCTATTGGCGCACGAAAGCATCGACGTTCACCGGGCAGACAACGAGGGCTGGACACCGTTGATGATGGCGTCGAGAAACGGGTATACCTCTCTTGTCGACCGCCTTGTTCAAATGGAGGGCATCGAGGTCAACGCGCAGAACAAAGACGGCAAAACGGCATTGCTGTTGGCCAGCGCCCATGGGCACCCGTCCACCGTTTCTCGTCTGCTAGAAGAAGAAAGAGTTGACGTGCATCTGCGGGACTCGAACGGGAGCTCGGCTTTGGTTCTTGCCGCTATCCTTGGGGAATGGGAACGATTTTTCTCCGAGTCGGAAAAGATATTAGCTGCTTTTTACACCACCTTCCCTTTTGTGCGCCACGTACATGGATTTTATGGCCTCGAACTGTTCCTACTCATGGGATATGAGCAGAGTGCCAGCGGGGAGAGCAACCAGGCAGCTTACGAGGCAGTAGTTGCCCGGCTACTTCAGACGCCAGGGACCCACGTTAGCTACCAGGACCCGGGGTTCACCGTCCTGATGTCGGCGGCGTGTGCTGGCGATTGCGTCCCGATCATCGACCAACTACTTGCAGCCGATGGGACTCGACTCAACGCTCAGTCGCCTCAAGATGGCTGCACAGCCCTGATGCTTGCCTCCAGGAGGAACCACGTCAAGGCCGTTGACCGCCTCCTACGACAGCCGGGGATTGACGTCAATCTGCAGAACAAGCGAGGAGAGTCAGCGTTGATGTTGGCGGTGCAGGAGGGTCACAGCAAAGTGGTCGACCGTTTGCTGAGGGCAGAAGGGTTGGACTCGAGCCTGCGGGACAACCGTGGCTGGACACTACTAATGGCAGCATGCTACCGCGGCAAGACCGAAATATTCGACCGCCTACTTCAACTGAACCCAGTGGAAGCCCATGCCCGATCGAAGGACGGCCAAACAACACTGATGATCGCTGCGGGCGCTTGGCGCAGCGAAATCGTTCAGCGATTACTTCGGATCGAGGGTACCCAAGTCAACCTACGGGACGAGAACGGGTTCACCGCATTGATGCATGCTTGCTACCATCCTGTGCACTTCGAACTGAAATACATGGGTTGCAAGCCAGTGCAAACAGTCAGCCTGTTACTGGCGACGAAAGGAATCGAGGTCAACGCTGTATCTGCGGACGGCGATACCGCATTATTGCTGGCAGCGCGACACAGAAACAACGGGACCGTGAAACAATTGCTCCAAGTGGACGACATTTGACCTTCAGAGGCGAGGCAAGGACGGCCGTACGGCGCTCATGGCTGCAGCCGGGTCTGGGTCCAGGGAGGCTATCATCAAGGTCCTGGATTTAGACCCTGCCCAACTTAACCTCCGAGATCGACAAGGATGGACTGCCTTGATGATAGCATGTGGCAGCTCTCGGATTTCCGTAGAAGTGGTCGACGCATTGCTCCAAGCCAGGGTATCGATCCTAATCTCCAGGACGACTTTGGATGGACAGCTTTGATGCTGGCTTCGAGGCGTTCCGGGGCGGCAGATATCGTCGATAGGCTACTCCAGGAGAACCGAGTTGACGTCCATTTACGGGCCAAAGATGGATTGAACGCGTTGATAGTGGCATCGAGGTATGACGAGGATCGTGCTGTCGAGAGACTGCTTCGGGTGGATGGGATCGAGGTTAACGCACAAGACGAAAGTGGTAGAACGGCTCTGATGTGGGCGGCGTACGTTGGAGATCGAACATCCGTCGAGCTGCTACTTGGGCACAAAGAGGTCCAGGCGGACATGGTGGACAGGGAGGGGAAGTCGGCACTTGATTTAGCATTAGAGCGAGGTCACGATGATATTCAAGATCTATTTACATAGTTCAATTGCTTTTCTCCTTTTGAAATGGAATACTGTCCTTTCGCACGAGTTTGGTACTGTGATGCAAGACGACGAGAGGGCGAAAGCTTCGTACACCGGGTCTGATTCGATGCAGGTACAGTCCACTTGGAAAGCGGACGCATACGGCCCATTCGCCTGAGTGTGTTGGGGTTTGCATCCCACAAAAATACCAGCCAATCATGGCTCAGCGCTGTTCAGCGACAGGCCCTTGTCTCGCCCGACTCCGACTGGCTCCCCTGTGCCGTCAACCAACCAGCCAAACAACTACTTCCTCATCTCGAGCTCTTCAAGCGCCGGCGATCACAAACTGGCGCTTACAACTTATAGGTTCCATCCCCGCAACAGCCGGTTCTATTCATAGTCGCACAATAACCCCAACATTAAATTCCCAATGAATTATCGTTACAAAAAAAGGCCATTGAACATACAAATATCTGACTGTGGCCATAAGTGGTAGAAAATGGCAGTGGGTTACACACATAAAGAAGAAGGTCGAAGGTTATGAGAAGCGGTGTCTGTGTCAGTTGCCAAGTTGTAGCTACCACTTGCAACCTGGCGTGTTCGCGAGCTACCAATTCCAATCATCATCCGGCTTGATCGTCCGCGATTTTCTCTTCTCCAGTTTGCTAGTGGTCTTCATAACAGCAGACGACGACGGCGCAGTAACTTTGACGTCGGGTGTCATCACCGCCATGCTGGGTGTCTGCGGTGAAACTGGCTTGGGTGCCGCGGGGTAACCCATTTTCGCGTACTTGTCGTCATCGTCGTCGGCGTCGATGAGGGACACTTTGCTGGTGGTGGAAGAGCGCTTAAGCGAGCCAGACCGGGACAGAGACAGGGATTGGGTGGAAGCGCGGGTGAGAGGCCGTGAAGGTGGTGGCTCTGTGAGCGCGGATGCGATCGATTGCGACACGTCCGACAGAATCAGCGAGGCTCGTTTCTGGCTTTTGCTCAACCTAGTCTCCGGTCAGCAGTAGTTTCACCAAAGGAAGACAAAGGACACTCACGCAGTGACAGTCGGGCTCTTCTGCAGCTCACCCAACTTCTTGCCCACCGAGTCCATCCACGCCGAGACCTGCGCCTGTGGGGACGCCAGCGATCCCAACCCCACAATCGACGAACCAGGGATCGACGAAGACGGTGGAACCGCCGCCGCCTTGCCTTTAGGCGGGTCCTGCAACTTCACCGACCCACTCATCCCAACCTCATTCGCACCCCACACATCCCACGCATCATCCGGCCCATCACTCACACTCGCACCGCCCGAGGACGAAACCGAAACATCCAACAAATCCTTCCTCCGCTTCCGCCGCTCCTTTTGCTCGAGGAAGGCGGGGTTGGGGCTGACCGTCGGCGTGGCTCCTGTATCCGTGATGATGAGCTCCTGCGGCGAACTGTGAATGCTGCTGTTACCATTCGGCGGTGGCTCGACATGCTGCTTGACGGTGTCGACGTCCTCGTCTAGCGAGGTTGCTGAGGAGCATTGTGAGAGGCGGTGGTGTGCGCCTGTGCTGCTGGATGTTGTTGTTGTTCTGGACGTCGAGGCGGAGGAGTTGGAGTCGCGGGCTGAATGTCGAGGGAGGGATTTACTGGAGAGTAGAGGAGAGGGTGTAGCAGAGGGAGGGCGGGACCCTGTCCCTGTTGCGACGCTCAGCAGCCTGCTGACCTCCTGCACTCCGCCCTTTAGTCCCTCGAACGAAAGCGTTGCTGGACTCGTTAATGACCTGAGTGCAGCCGTGTTGGCATTCGATATACTGTTTTCGCGTTCAACACCACGGTTCACTATCCGTTCCCATTTCCTCTTCACTATTCGACTATCAGAGCGCGAATTTGTAGAGACAACGCGACCACGTACGTTCAGCCAGTTCCTCCTCGTGTGCAGCAAGTTGCGTCCGTAGCTCGAGACAATAAGCCTCTTTCTGAGCAATAAAGGACAGTAAATCTGCATGTCTTTTACATCTATTAGACCTAGTAATTCCAATATGCGAGCGGTAACTCACTGTTCTGCCAAAGTCAACTTGGGTCTCGGTTTCTCTCCCTCCACTTGAAGCCCCAGCCCAATCGCCTTCTCCACAAACGGAGAATCAAGCTGTCCACGAGTCTGACTCCCCGAACGCGACGACTGCGCAGACCTCCTCTTCCATTCGCGTTCACGATGGTTCTCGCTGTGCGGCGAAAAGTACGGTATCGAGTTTTGTCTTCTCGATCGCTGTGGGGTCCCCGTGGACGGGTCTATCGGCGCAGACTTGGGTGACGGCGACGCTACAGGACTCGCAAACGACGTTCTCTTGCTCGACGACGAGGCAGAAGACGACGAAGCACCGGGTGTCCCGTCCAGATTCGCGATGTCGAGCAAATGGAGCGGTCGGGGTGGTTGCTGCCTCGATTGGCGTTTGGCGTGGGGAGAGGGGTAGTTGAACGACGACGGAGGCGCTGAGCTCATCGTTCAAGGTATCGAGATCGTCGTGGAAAGCGGTGGTCGTAAGTGTCGTTCGTTGTAACACCGTTGAACGCCGTCGTCGTCGCGGTCGTCGTGGTGCGGAAGCAACCTAGGCATGAATTCACCTGCCAACTTTCGGGCATGTCTCTCGGTGTCTTTCGCTTCATCGTCATCGAAACTCATCAAAAATCGTCGGTTGTCGACGTTCCCGAGCATATTTGAATTTTAGGGTTTAAGATTCTCGTACATATGCAGAGGATATCAAGCTTCAAGTCGAATGGGATGGAGAAAGAGTCAAGTCCATTTAAATTGATCTCTTGTAGACGCGAATCCCTACTAATATACAGAGTTGATGGGTTCTGAAGTTCTATTACCTACGAAAAACCGACGGTACATTTGCCAAGAATCGCTGAGAACCAGCATCTCTTTGTAGAACGAAGAAAAGGGGCGACAGCAGCTTTAAAGCAGACTGGCAAAGGGGAGGGGTACCACGGGGACGGGGCCGTGGAGTCGACGTGACAAAAGCAGGTTTCGAATGCTTGACTCTCGTAGGGCCGGTGTCGGTCGAGAACCGTACCTGGACTCCAACGAGATGGCGTCCTTGTTGTCGTAAGTTGGCAGCGTGTCCCGCTTGACTGGAGGCGTAATTACATCCCCTTGACTTGACACCGGCTTGAGGGAGCAGTATCATAAGGCCCCCGAGGTGAAGCGAGCCGAGGTCATGAGTTCCAGCCCAAATCGCGGTGGGCGACCACTTGCGAAATGCGATGGCGACGGCGTGCAATGTTGTTCTAACCGGTACACCGGATGGAGCGGACGAGGGGAGTGCACAACGAGCGATGTTCAAGGCGAGAAGTGGAAGAGTCGAAGCGGGGAACGATCCGGTGTTCCTAAAGGCGAGCAGGTCAGTACACTACAGCGCCGCCATCAACGAGTGGTTGAAGGTTATCTCCGCGGACCTACACTCAACACTGCTAGCACTGCATCGTCTACAAATACCCTAGGAAATCGATGCTCTAGGTCTTCAATGCAGCCGACGCTGGTGTCCAATCGTGTCGAGCAGGGAGCCAGTTGCGCGTTCGAGGGTAAAAAGAGATAACCGTTGGCAGTAGGGACGCTGTTGCCCAATAGGTATGTAAGTAAATGCACGTCAGTTATTAGGATCTTCGACGCAGTGCTGTGTGTAAAGATCAGTTCACGATGCAAAGGTAAATGAATGTTCCTTCGCCGAGCACGACTGATTAGAGCGAAGACAAGCTTGTTAGCTGGCGCGTTGTCGTGTCTGGTCATGATCTGAATTCAAGAGCAGTGATTCGTTTTCTCCCCTTGCGATACGTCGACAGGAGCGCGTCGTCCGCTAGCCAAGAACTCGGGGTGAAAGCACAAATTCTGTCATCAGGGTCAGTCTAAACAATCCAGAAAAACACGAGGTTGAACACGCACGCACCACTTCAAACGCACCCCTTCCCGCTCATACTTCTCACCGGAAACAAATACAATAATAACCGCTAACGCTCAACCTTCTCAACGCCCAACCAAAAAAATTCCAAATCTCAAAATCCATGCAATTGAATCTGGGGTGGTGGTGGTGGTAAAACTGTGCAACCGCTCTCTAATTAATGGGAAGCACCAGCGCCCTCCTTCTCTGCCTCTGCAAGGAACTTCTTGATGCTACAATCCGTCGTCAGCCCTCCATCTCCATCTAACAACACGTGCAAAAGAAAAGAACTCACAATTCCTCCTCATCCCTAATGGCAAAAGTTGCAAAGAAAACAAAAAACAACCCGTCAGCATCCATCGCTTTCCACGTCAAACCCACCAAGAGCTTGTGGTGGATACGGATACGGATTGAAATATACGTACTTGGAACCAGCGTTGATAGGAACCTCAGCCTTGGCCTGCTGCACCGTTGTAGGTGGGGCCTGCTTGTCACCACCACGAGTCGAGAGGAACGCGAGACCGAATGCGCTGGCGAAGGTACCCAAAGCGAGGTACTCGTTTTTGATGGCACGACCGAGGATTTGGCTGTTTATTTCGCAGTAACAAGCGTAAGTGTACGTTCAGAAGCCGTTAGTGAATATGTTTTGAGCTTGGGAATTAGCACAGGGACGCACTAGGACATGGTGGACGGTGTGTGGAGGGTGGATTGGAAATTCTTCGTGACGTGCAACCGAAGGCCTTGCTCACGACGGGGGTTTCCGGTTCTGGCCGTGGGAACGGATTGGGTGTGCCGATGCCAAGCTCGATGGTGCACACATAGGGGCACCTTGCCTCCCTCCTCTGCTGCCCGTTTCGCGAATCAGGTTGGATTCAGGCTCTTTTCTCTTCGTTCTCGTTTTAGATTCTCGGTCGGCTTTGGTGCAAAATGAAAGGGAATAAATTATATTTACAAATTGGAAGGATAGTCTAAACACAACATCGCTGGCCTTGGCGACACCCAGTGTCCCAAAACACGCTTCTCCACCCCGAAGGACACGCGGTACCGAATATACATCGCGCACCCCTCGTAGCGTCGCCTTGGAATTGACATGATACAGCAGATGCACCTGTAGCTGCGGCCAGTGCAACCAGGAGGGCTTTTGTTAGATTCATATCTGTCTGTCTTGGGGAAGTCGTCAGAATCGACTTCAACCGAACGTTGCGCGGTTAATGACGATGGTTTACTGACGATGACAGGCGCGAAGGGTGGTTGACGATAATACGATGTTATTGGAGGTAATGCTGAGTTATAGGTCACTCTAGCAATGCAACAGTCAGCTTGTCTTCCACGGCCCAAGGGGACGAGAAGCGCTCACCTTGCTCAAGAGCTCCCAATCTTTCCCAATTTGAACGTAGCAAGACGTTCAGCTGAGGACCCGCTAGATTCTCTTCTGCGTAGGTCTTGTCGCGTTGGTTTAGTCTTGACCGTCGTAGTTCAGGTTAAAGGGAAGAAGCATGGTGCTGTGCAAAAGTGGTATATAAAAGTGATAAACATCGAGAAGCTCTTGGGTGGGAGGTCCATGTGGGCTCGGATTGTGCGGTAGTAAATCTCACTACAGAAAGTTCGCTCCCTGTCGCGTAGCCAAAGGCAGGTCAGACAGCAAACTTCGAAGATAGTCACCACGAAGTTCCGTCAAGTTAGACTTCAGGTATTTTTTCTGTGTGGCTTTAAGCAGGGGCTTGAGAACGCCCTCGGTTGCTATCTTCTTCCCCATTGTATGGGGCGAACTCATCTTATCAGATAACGATAATGAGTTTAGCGCCCATCGCTGAACAATTGCTGTTTAGAGACACCTACACCGCGCAAGTTGGGTTCAATACGATAGTTTAAATTGTCAAGATACGTATAAGTAGAAGAAAACACATGCATTCTATGTCTGATTAGTAGGTCAATAGTCAAGTCTAGAGCCTTGGCACCCGTCTCTACGTAGCAGGTGTGGTATCTGTCCTATGGTATACTCAGCCATTATCCGAAATACTTTTTAAGACCATCATAAGTCAAGAAAATAATCGCACTGCTCGGAATAGACCGCGCAACCGTAATGCCACACCCAGCATACAACCCCCTCAAACCCTGCGCCCTATACATCGCCTTGAACGTCCCCAGGAACGTCGCCCTCGGCGGCGGAGGCTGCCCAGGCGGAACCTGCCTCCCAACCCGCAGCTCCTCCTCCGTCTGCATCGCGCTTTTCACCGTATCCGCGGGGAACAACACAAAATTGAACGCAGCACCCGCGCAGGCACCCGACACAGCCGACTCCCAAGGCCGGAGCTCCTTGCTCGTCGCAGGGTCCTTCCGCACGCGTCGAGCTAGGAGCAGACTCGCAATATACTCCTTCGTCCCGAACCACGCTGCCGTCCCGCCCGTTTCACGGATGAATGTTCCGGTATGGCCCAACCAAAGGCCTTTGATACCAGTCGTGCGAAGCACCGAGGTGAAGACGGCGATGGGCCCTGGGAGGGGTCCGACCCGGTGCGCAGGGTCGACCAGCATCTGCACCTGCATCTTGCACTTGACGAGCTCGATGGGCGTGAGGAGGAAGCTCGTCACCGCGCCAGCACCCGCTGCTGCAATCCCGAGCTGGTATAATTGTAGTTGGGCGTCTGGCGGCTGGTGCGTAACGTGTCGAATCAAACTCTTGAATTTGTCGTAAGAAAGGAAGAGGGAGGCGTTCTCAGCCATCGCACCGACGATGGGTGCTGGAAGACCCTACAGGAACCAAACCAGGGGGATTAACAAGACAAATTGCAGTTTAACTTGTGTGGCAGGACGCACCCGGTAGAGCCCACGGAATCCCTCATATTTCCATGTCTTCGTGAGACAGTCTATAGGTCCGGAGAAACGAGCTGTAGCGTCGAGAACCTGCGACTGTAGTCGAACTTTGGTCAAGTCGAAAGGGTGCTCGAAAATCTTGGACAAGATTCCAGCAGTCTACTGATCTTTTAGCCCAATGATTATCAGATAAAAATACAGGCTCAACTCACGCTCCCATAGGCCAGTTCCTTCGCAGCCCGAAACGCCTCAGACTGGCGCCAGCTTGAAGCCTGTTCAACTGTGACGCCCACGTCCATCCCCGGGTTCGCTTGTTGTCTAATGTAGGTGTCGTGTAAAAGCCAAAAAGTGTTGAAATTTTATATAGCACGGCGTCAACAGGGCATGCTGGAGGTGTAGAGTCGAGGCGCTAACAGCCAGGGGGGTTTACAGCAGTTTCACGCGCAAACTGGCCGTAACCGTTTATCGAGCAAACGCGGCCGGAAACAAACTGCGGGACGGTGAGAAGATTCTCGGCCGATATGTCCGTTTTGGTCGGCACGCATCAATGCCGCCATCATTCGGCGGGGCAAGGCTGCAGCCTGGCCGAGCTCTGTCCTCCTTGACTTTCCTCGACTTCGTCGTGAACAACAGCGAGCTCGACCGATATCCAAGAGAAAGATACCCTGAGTCAGTGTCTAGCGAGATTAATCTGGTGTAAAAACTAAGTACGTTACTACAGCAGGTCGTACAGCACGCCACCTTGTGTGGCTCGGTTCGAGCGCTTTGTGCCTCGGAAGCCGGTCCACAAATTCATGGACGATCCCCACCAGCAGTATCGTAGAAGGTGAGCTTCACATTGTAATATATTCTATGATTAATTTACTGACTCTGACTTTCCCTCAGCGGCCTTCATAGGCGCTCGGACTATCTGTGCTCGTCCACTTGACCGGTCGAAGAATAGGTTGTTCAGCACAGCTCGCAGAGAATGAATTAAGTTCTCATATCGCCGACAGCCTCAGCATCCTCGAACCCTGAAATGGTATTTTGGTGACGGGTGACTCGGACTGGCCACGACATGTAAAGCAAATGCATACATGCATATCGTCCACGCTTTCTCTTGGGCTCTTCACCCAAGAGGCGGCAGCGATTCGGATCTTGGAACAGGATCTCACGGCACCTCCCCCCCCCAGGTGAAACCATAAATGGAGATTTGCGTGGCTTGCTTGTCAACAGGCTCTTGCAAGGCCCGTTTCAACTCCGACGGCATGCGCTCAACGGCGAATCGAGTCCCACGATTTGACTTCTACCGTGACATCTCCTCCTCTCCAAAGAAACACGTTACGAAACGCGTTTTATTGACGCGTTTACGGTCATTCTTTCATTCAAACACAATGGCGCACTCACTCTGTATCTAGTAGTGTAGACTATTCCCACTCGTCGTCTCATTTCCGTGTACATAGCTTCGATGATTCCAATTCTGCTGATTTTCGTCAACCCTCTGCTCTTTCTTTCTCTCAAGTTGAAAAGAATATCATATATTCGTTTCTCTTCTCCAATGAACCGTCACCGGAAACAGCACCCCGACTGGGAGCAGATGCTGGCTGCTGACGACGCTTTCCGCTCTTCTGTAGCTATCACGATCGAAGAAGAAGAGAAGTTAGGAGTTCCCGAAGGGTATCAAGGCCGTGTCGCAAACCGCATGGCCGAATATGATGCTCGCAGAGGTAACACAACCCCCACCACACGGGACCATCGTTGTGACTCCCCTCGACGGCCAGTACATCTCTCTTCGACCGGTAACTATTCTCCCCGGCAGCTCAACCGACTAACTTACCAAAACCACCCCTCACATTATCCGCAATCTCCCTCGCGTCGTCAAGTCCCTACACACAATATCCCAGATACTGACTTCTTTACAACATAGGATTTTAGATGGTTTGTCTAGCTTAGAGCCTTTTAATTCACGAGACGACTGTACTCTATTCTGTACTATACCAAGTAGAATAGACCTTATATAGTCCTCTATGCCCTTCAGAATCTCCTCCGGCAACTCTGCCGTCTGGTCGGCGTGACGACACTCCGACGGTGGCCGTTTGTTCGCCGTCGATGGGAAAGAGGTTGATGCCAACTGTTCGGTGCCTATCCTCACCAGATCCATGTCCACATTTCAGCGATCTGCCACCTCTTGTCTTCACCTGAACTGGGTACTGAACATTACTTCACGTTCTGATACCCGATGCCCCATGGAGCTCCAACACCGCTTTTGCTGTAATTTCCCATTCTGATAGGGCGTCGCCCCTACGTCGCGGGCTTGCAATTACCGACTCCGACGCGTTCGAGATATTCGCCATCGAAGTCGTAGCCTCCGAAGGAACGTGCTCGTTCGCCGACACCGCAAGGCTGCTATCAACTTCATTGCAGCGCATGGGGAATGTAAGACAACCTCACCAGCAGCAGCTGCCGGAAATTCCGGACGCTACGGAGATAATATTACTAGGCCTTTTCCCCATAAGCACAGCCTGAGGGCCCCCGACCGATAACCCAGGAGGAATGGGTCCCAAACCCTGCTATAATGGGCGCTGAGCGCTCAATTACATACTTTATATATCTTTGAAATTACCAAAGTCACAGAACACGCATAGTACACGCGCAGACTTGCTTGTATACCTCGTAAGTAAGGACGCACCTCGCGGCAGTGCCAATGCAGATAACAAAGTACACGTGGTTTAATTAGGCGCCCGTCGGGAATCTCTCCGTTCTAGGGCGGTTCGAAAGGAAGGTTCGACTATCATCCATTCAAGGCATGCGTTGAGCTCCCCAGAAAGAGAGGCAGACGGTATCCACCGGTCCCGGCTCTCTTATCGATAAAAATGATTGTGGATGGTAGCCTGCGGCCAGGGTGGCTCGACACGAGGCCCCGGTGGCGGCGACAGACAGCTTGCACCATGACCCCCTGTTTTAAAGGGTTAATTAAAAAATACAGAGGCCGCAAGTGAGGGACTACCGCCCGCGAACCGCGCGCCCGTAAGCCCATACCTACATACCCTCGGTCAAGATGGCGTCCGACGTTGTGTACTGCGTGGTGTGTCCAGGGCACACTGGCATTTATTTAATCCCCCCAACTTCCCTTCACTTGGACCCTGTTCGAACCCCCACATTTTCTCTGCCATCTAGTGGAAGGCGAAGTATCTCTCTAGAAGACTGACTGTCATCATGATTGCAGACCAGTCTTTCGTCGCCTGGAAAGGTGCGTTACTCCATTCTGAAGTCTCTTTGGCGCTTGAACTAAAGGGATCTATCTGTAGCCATTATCTCGGTCTTGTACGGGCTTGGTGTCGGAACGAGTGCTGCTCGCCTAGCATTCCGCCAATTCAAGTCTAAGAACTTGTGGAAGGATGACTGGTTTGCGTTCCCGTTGCCGATACTGGCGACCATCTTGGCAGTCGTTATCTGGCCGTTGTATCAAGAACGAGGTGCGCACACCGCTTCCTTCCCTATTCAGCCATTGACGATCGAATCCTTACCCCCAGACTCGCATGACGAAATCCCAAGACAAAAAGCTCAATACTGGCTAATGTCAATCTCGTGGCTACTCGCACTATGGTGCACCAGAATCGGGCTTTCGATCACTTTGTCAAGACAAGCCCCGCTCAAAAACTCTGCACGAAATACAGGGTTTCGGGTAGCTGTCTTCTTCGCCGTCCTGCTCGTTGGGAGTCTCGCTTGGAGTATCACTATGGGGTGTGAGCACTACAGCCGTCTGAGAAAGAAGGCGAGGAGTGTCGCTTATTGCAATGGAGGGAAAGAAGAGTTTTCGATCGCGAATTTTGTTGGTGAGTAGGCTCGTCTGTATCGATCTAGTTGACCATTTTCTTACACCTCCCGTAGCTACCTTCCTCAGTGCGATTGTTCTGATAGGAACCTCGCTGTGGTTTCGTTTCAAGAAGTCTTCCGACCTTTCGGTCTCCCAGATACGAAACTTCACTTCCGTTCTGGCCATCTCCGTTGTCCTACTTCTGGGCACGATTGTTCATGCCGCATTATACTTCTCACCGCTTGTTCGTGGAACGAACAGTCTCGTGGTCATTGACATGGCCGCACACTTCGAGGTACGGTCTACATCTATACACGAATTTGCGAGCATGATCTGATCGCAAAGATGCAGCTGGTCCTCTCCATTATTGGGTTCAATGTCCCGACCTTAATCGCCATGTTCGACTGGTTCATATACGGCCAGGACCGCCAAACTAATCGCAACAGCAATGCGTCATCCCTTCCGCCCTCGAAAAATATTATCCAATTGGCTAATCTCTCTGAGCAGCGAAGCAGCAAAGAATTGGATGATGACGCCAGTAGCATAAGCACTGTTGACAGTAAAGCGCGTCGTGCCGTTGTTTGATCATGACCGTCGTGTACAGTTAGACCTGTATGTATTAGCTAGACCCCCACTATCTCTATTACATATTGAGGTATTTCTCTTTAAGACATCACTATCTGAGCAAGCTCTCTTGCAATCCCACTGCTAGCCAAAGGTAATCAGAATTCCATTTACCATTTACATCGTTGACATGTCCCCCCTTGTTCCTTTTGCCGCAACAAATTCGGTGTATCGTTTCTCCGCACTTCGCAGTACCCATTTAGAACCAAACCTCCTCAGATAGACTTCACGGACATCCGCACTTTAGAGCATTTCAGACCGCGCCCCTGGACTTCTTGAAGTTATTGGAGCATGATTACTTGCGTCAAATCTGGCTGTTCGGACTTCGTGGAGAAACCTCGCATCCTCCAAGTGGAGCTTCTCGCTGTCCGAGTGCTCGACAGAAACGTCCAGGCGTCATCGACAGGGAGAACTCCACGAACTGCATTCGTCCCTGATCTTCCTGGTGTTTTCTTCATGAGAGATTCAATGAAGTCGTCGAAGTTTCTCAGGCCGCCTTCAACTCCTCGTGATGACAGACGAACGTGTTTGCTAAGCCTGAGCGCTGTTTAAATTATCATTCAGTGTATTTTTTTAACCTCGCACTGCAGGTACCGTACCTGGAAGAAGGGATCGCAGCTGCACTGACTTCGCCCTCTCATGTGACGAGCACGGCCCAAGCGTCCATTAAACGCGGGGGTGGCTGTCCGATGAGTCTCCAATAGGAATCAGGGATACCATATTCGACGCGCGCCCTGCGATCGAAGGACAGATTCAGGTCTTGGTATCATACTTTCCATCCCCACAGGTTATAAAATAAATTGTATATATTCGCAGTATTCCTTAGCACAGTCTCTCCTCTGCTCTCACATTTCACCCTTGCATCTCGGAGGCCTACCCAGAGAGGATAGTCTCGCAGCAACATCTTTCGAACTGCCAAACATGTCCTGCCATATGTCTGTCGATGGTATCAGTGAGACCTCTGGCACCCTGTATCCCATTTATCCCTGTTCTGATAGAATACTCGACCCCCCCTTGAAACCCTCGAGAATTCCCCGCATCGAACCAGAGAAGCAGCCGCTTCTTTGGCCAACTTCGCATTGCATCAGTGTTCGTTAAGGAAGCTACTGCGGCCGTCGTAAGGACTTCACTTTTAGATGCCTGTGATTATCTGTGGATATTCTCAGCTCAGATAAGGCTGTGGAAACCAATCGTAAAAGAGATGAGCTCAATAATACCCGCCTCCATTCTCGATGCACTCCAGGGCCGACGAACGTGAGTAATAAGTAGGAAGCCAGTGAAACAACTGTCAAGTTCAGAGTTGATCTCCATAATTATCTACGTTCAACGCAGCACACAAGTCGAATCACAGGGCCGAAATAACCTTTCCTGTAACTTGGATTCTGATTTGCTTCCGGGCTTCTTCCTGGAGTACGGAAACTTTTCATCTCGCTTATTTCCCCACAGCCTCTCCACACACATTCGCAACCTTCCGAGCGGGGGAAAGCATGGCATGGGCTATTACAACGGAGTTTGCCTTTAATCGATAACAGGCCATCTATCTGCCGTTGACGCTCGCACCCGCCGTTGACTGATAATCAGACGTCAATCTAGAAGATGTAGATTAGTAGCCGGTGGACAGGCAGACATTCAACCTGAGGTTAGAACTGGCCGAGGCGCGTCTGTTCCCGGTCTCTTGAGGCAATGTGGACATCACCGTAGTTTCCGCGAATTTCCCTCAGTGCTGTGGGTTTGCGTTACCTGGCGTAGGTTCAAGACGCCCAATCGTTCACTTCTCATCGAGAGTGTAAGTTTCAAGACGGTCCTTGGGAAAGTAAAGGACTTAACGGTGCATCGGAAAATCTGCCAACCTTCCTAATAACCTATCAAAAGCATTCACGACGGGGTAGAGGTGGAGCTCGTCAGTTCTACAACCACCTTTCTCTGGCAGCGTCACAGAAAAGACGCCGGAAGACTTGCCTTCCTATTCTTAATATCACCAAAACCCACTACTCGATAAAACCCACCTATTCAATTGTAGTTCTTCTATCACCGTACGATGGTTCGATAGAGGATCCATACCGAGGACGGAGGCTCGCAGTAGATCCGATAACATACGGCATCAAATAGAATTGGCTGAAGGAAGCTTCGTGCGCAGAAGAAGAAGAATGATAATGGAATGAGGACCTAGACTCTCACTGATCTTCAGGGAAGGCAATAAGGAAAGTCAATTCATCGAAACAGCCGTCCCACTGGCGGTGGCGCGTTCCACGTTGTATGTGTTCCTCATTCAATGGGCGCCACCAAAACGACGCGTGGTAGTCCACCAATAGTAGCTGTAGACTTGGAGCCTGAGGCCTCGGATAATCGGCTTTTCTACCGTAAGATCGATTGGTCCAGGTAGGGGGGAGCACTAGACATTCCACAAGCTATCCTTATCTTCAGCGACGACTCGAGTTGAGGGTCCGATTTGAGTACTCGGTCACTTGTTTCTCACCCAACAACCCGTCCCAACTCTCGATGTTTCCCCACCGGGAGATGTCCGAGGCGCCCAACCACCAGCGGTGTTTCTCTCAAGGAAGTACATACACGCTACTTCCATAGGTGATCATAGATGTCCATCCGAAGGACGGACTTACGGGCGCCTAGTTGGACTATTTGTTTGTACATTGTCACCGGCTTCGGTGCTTTATACCAGAAAAGAGGACAAAAATGAACAGCAAAGTTCGTGTTCCTCGAACTACAATTCACACCCGCATGTACCACTGAGAAATGAAACGCAGCATAATATCCCAGAGTGCATTATGGAGGATTTATCGAAGTCCTTCTCGTGTGCTTCCATCCAATAGCGCCGGACTGAGCTTCTGACATCAAATAGGCGCCGGACTTGAGCTTTCTGAATAGGTTTTACATCATCCAAGGGTAATGCCTCAAAGAAGGCGAAGACGTAACATACATACATAACGAAACTCGAACCTCGCAAGTCCTTCCTCACTGATTCACGTACTCTTTACATACTCGATTGTCGCAAGTACCACCGGGATATGGGAACGCTGGATGAGAGAATGCTCTAAAACTTCCCACCCCGCACTCACCCACCCACTTCCAAAACCCAATGTTGACTTGTCGAGGCGACCAATCATCTCCCACCTTTCTCCAACAAGTTCAAGTCCACTCAAACGCCTCGCATGTGCATCACTATTTCGCCGGGTTGATGCCCTGACCATCCCAGGCAAGTTCAATGGAACATCGCTTCCTCCGAGAGTCCGAGTCCGAGTCAGCGCACAGAGCGAGAGGACAAGGACGAGTCGAATGAGAAACAACACTTCACCAGGGAACGGTTCCTTCCTTCCCTCCCTCTCCGTCCTTATTCTCACCCCTTCCTTCCCTCCGACTTCCCCATCCATGATCATTGATGTACTAGTACGCACCGCACTTCCGAATCAATGACGCCACGCTCTATGCTCACTGGTAGGAAGAAGAACGTCCTCCGTCTCCCCTGGGAGACCCTCAAAATCCAAAACGATGAAACCCCAGCTAAGAGTCAGTAGGTAGAACGGCTCGGACCTAGAGTAAACTCAGAATTATTAACCACTACACCTACATCGAAGTCAAAGATATCGAAACCCTCACAAACCGTACCTTCCAAGCTACTTGTAGGGAGGAGGGTCGCCTTCAAGTTTCGGCCGATCCAAGAATACTTACGATGGGTAGACCCACTAAAACGAAACCTTCCTTCCATCTTTTGGCATCGCATCTCTTCCACGTCCATCTAATCCGGGTAAAAAACGCAGATCGTCGTTCGTTAACGTTCTTTCTGTGGGCTCGCTCCTAGCCATGACCTTTACTTCATCGCACTCGCTCTACCCACACCCACGAACAAAAGAATCTAGACGGAAAGGAGAAAAAAGAGAATCCATAATGATGCATACAACAATTCCACATTGTTTTCCTTCCACAAAGCATCGAAAAAAACCATGCTCAATGTGTGTTGCTTGTTACATGTTGAGTTGAAAAACATTCGAAAAACTCGGATAATAGGAGAAAAGACAGACAGACAAACATATGGCTAGTAGTAGCAAACTGACGAGGAAAAAAAGTGATATGATACAACAGCTTTTTTGGAAAGCAGGAAAAAGATACAGCAGAAAAGGGGGGAAAAGTCGAACATAATATAAGCAAAACAAAGAAGAAAAAGATATTTTGGCATTTCATTTGAGTTACATTCTTGTCGTTCATTCGGTTGTTCGTTTTTAGATTCGTAACATGTCGAGGGACGCGGCGGACGAGGTCAGCTTGAGCTTGAGGTGTGCGGTGTGGTGTAGTGGAGGAGCAGTGGCAAAGAGCGAAGAACGAAGAGCAGTCAAGGAGAACAAGCCCCAAAACAGCTCGGTCCTCGGAACTCGGCTTCCTCGCGTCCGAGGGGGTCCACAGGGGCTCAAAGAAATGGAGCAGTGGAGCCGTTGCTACACATGGAAAGGAGATCGTCCGGAAAGACGGAACGAAAAAAAAGAGGGGGGAGGTATCGATGGAATAGAATGTGGTATCGATGGTCAAGCCGAAAACCAAGGAAAGAGGGTAGGGGGAAAGAGGGTACCAGAAAAGGGGAAGAGAAGGAGGGTCGGAAAGAGGGAAGAGAAAGTCGGTCGAAGGATAGAGTGTCGGAAAGCAATGGAAAGGACAGGCACGACAGGGTAGAGAAAGCAAACCAAAAAGTCTACCACCCCATAACCTGCTGTTGGTGATGATTCATCTGATGATGTCCATGGTGCCCATTCATCATCCCAAACATATTATCCATAGCGCCCATCGAATGGTCACCTCCCTCATCCAACATCTCTTCCTTCATGCTCCCATTCACACCCGTGCCCATACCCTGCCCCTGCTGTCCCTGGGCACCCCCACCCTGTCCATGCACACCCCTCACACCCCGCGTCCGACCCCTCTCCTGATCCTCAGCGTCACCACTATTACCCCCCTCATTCGTAGAACTACCGGGGCTCAAACTCTCCCCATCATTAGCAACATCACCCGCATTGCTCATCTTGTCAACCTCCATGTCTTCCTCAGGCATAGAAGGCAGTCTCGGCGGTTTAGGCCTCGACGTCGACGAAGAGTGCTTGTGATGTCCCTTCCTCGCAGGCGGCGCAGCAGGCGCACCAGTAGCACCACCATTAGCGGCAGTGGTGGTGGTAGTGGCGGCTGCAGTAGCAGTAGCAGCAGTCAAAGTCGGACTCCCCACAATCTCATCATGCAACACCATCTCCTCCCCTCCCATCCCCAGACTCATCGAGTCATCCCCATCCGCATCGTCTTCATCGTCCAGAGTCAATACTTCCCGAATTCGGAACATAGAAGCAAAGTCCGTACCAGGATTGGCACCACCTTCGCCGCTGTTCGAGGAAGGCGAATCAGAGGATACAGACGAACCGCGGAACTTGCGCAACTCTTGCTCCAGTTCCCGGTTACGTGCGCCTTGGGCGGTGACCAGTTGTTGGAGGTATCTAGCAGAGGAAAGACTGTTAGATTGTGTCGAGGGATAGAAGGGGAAAACCGACCTGATGTACTCGACACTCTTCCGCAAGATCATACCCTTGTTCGCTTTGACGACAGTGCCGCCTTCTTGGGTGCCACTTGGGGGTATCGTACCATCCTCATCCTTTTCCTGCTTCAGAGGCTCTTCCTTGGGTTTAGGAACGAGGGCGTCTTCAGTCAAGGGCGGGGTAATCGATACGCCAGTATCCTTGGCATTCGGGGGGCCTGCTTGTAGTCGCAAATCCTCAGCATCACGTACCCCAAAACAAAAGTAAATAAACTGAAACTGACCTGCTCCTTCGAGCATACACTCGGGAATGAGAGTCGCCAACTCGCTGATCTTCTCGTTGATGTTGTCCCGGCGTCTCCGCTCGACAGCGTTATGGCTTTCCCTACGTCTTCGACGCTTCTCGTTGGCGAGCAAGGCTTGCTTATCCGATGCTGAAAGAGCGGCAGTAGACGCGGGAGTCCCACCGCTGATGATCGCCTGGGGTGGCTGAATGCCGCCGCTGGGAGCACTACCTGGCAACCCCGCCATGTTCATATTCATGCCCATGTTGCTCATGCCATAGCTCGAGGGCGTGGGGGTCACCCCACCGGCTCCCATGGACCCATTCCCCAACCCTGACCCCATTCCGTTAGGCAGACTGCCTGGACTCGCACCGGGCGGACTGCCACCTCCGGTACCATTTACGTTCCCACTTCCAAAACCGTACGAGGATGGATACGGATGGTCTAGAGGGGATTTTGGCATCCCGCTTCCCGAGAGATGATGCTGGTGCGTGGGGTGAGGAACATGCTGTTCCATGGGCGATTTTGGAAGGGAATGCGCCATGTGGTGCAATGGAGGTAAATGGTGCGAAAGATCGGAGCCTGTGTTGGTAGAAGACTGGGGCGGAGGTGAGAGGGAAAAATGGCCATAGCCAGATTGAGACTGCGAATGAGAATGGTGGTGCGAGGACATGGAAGAATGGATGGAAGGGTGAGAACCGAGGGATCTGGGGTGGGGAGGTAATCGGTCCTGCAAGGGCGTCATATGAGCCCGAGGGTAACTACGAGCGCCTGGTACTTACGAGTATTGGGTTTGACCGTTGGCCATGAACCAGGGATTGCTCCCTGGGCCGGCACTGCCGTTTATAGGACTTCCGACAACGTTACTGTGGGAGGGACGACTGCCGCCCGGGATCACGATTGCATGAGGACGACCGTGCAGAGGTGGAGGGCTGGTTCCACTGATACTGCTTCCTCGCCGGGGTCGCGTCGTTCGTGCAGGCCCAACACCTCCCGAATTGAGAGCGTTCATGGCTGCAGATGTAGCCGATCCCGGTCCTGCAGCTCCTGAGGATGGGGGTCTTGACCGCGATCTTGACCGACCGTCGATGGGTATTGAACCAGGGTGAGAATGACTAGGTGATGGGGTATGTCGCGTAAACCCGTTATGTGGTACATGGTAAGAGGAAGGGGGAACATTGGGCGACGAGGGCGTCAGGGGATTGTTTTCTGGCGGAGGCTCATAGCGCATGGACGAGTTTAGGGCCGGCAGAGTCGAGTTGAAATGAGGCGGGGGATGGTGCTGGTAGTCGTGCAGCGATGTGGAAGGGGAATGAAGGGAGCTGGGCTGGCTGCCGGGGCCATTGTGTGCACCATTTGGGTGGTTTGAGTTTACAGGGATTGGGCTGGAAACGTCAAAGATGTTGTGGGGGCGGTGATAACCTTCCTCGTAAGCGCCTCCACTGCCACCGCCAGCGCTCGCGCCTGTGTTGCCCCCGCCGCCGCCGCTGCCTCCACCGCCGCCAGCCCCAGCGGGCCCGCCGTTTCGATCGCCAATCAAGGACACGAGGTCGTCGTTGAAGTCATGGCTGCCTTCGCCCGAGCCTGCTGGGGGCGGGAACTTGCGAAAAGCATCGGGCAGGAAGCTATGCGGGAATAGATCGTTGAGGCTGCCGCCGCTGTTAGTGGTGTTGGCGCCGTTGTTCGAGCCCGCAGAGTTGTTGGTCCCTGAGGAACCTGGTGGCGTCCCAGGCGATGGCATATGAAACCCTTCGACTCGCACCTGAGCTTGAGGCTTGTACGCTGACGCTGGGGTCGTGCCCGTGTAGTACGACATCGGGTAGCTGTGTGTCTCTTGTCGCTGCTGCTGTCGTCGCGGTGGTCGTTGTGGTCGTTGAGGATGGTAGTCGTCGGCGATGTCGTCAAAGGTTCAAGCAGTCAAGTGGATCGCAATTCGTTCCTTGCACCCGATATGCGTTGTTGGTATGGTGGTGGATAAAGGAATCTCCCGGCGATTTCCCGCTTTTGCTTCTCCTGTGTGGGGAAATATACGGCAATTGGGATACGGAATCCCGAATTTGATTTCGACGACTTCCACGAGGGGCCCAAGCACGGCCTTTCCTCTATGACTCTGCGTCAGAAATGGAGCCCAATGTTTCTGGACAGCGCCAGCAAACGACGAGCAGGACATGACTCACAGCGACGAGCGGGTCTTGGACAACGAGTGCGACAGCGAAGGAGGGCGTTGATCCCAAGATGAGATGAAGAAGGCACAGGGCAACCGATCTGAATCGGGAAATAATCTCCAGAATTCCCCCCTCATTGCACCCCTTTTTGGCCACCAAAACGCGAGCGAAAAGGGGGGTCAGAATGTACGTAATCATGGTGCTTATTTTGATTCGCTACCGGAGATAACACCCCCATCAACTCAACCGCTTCTCGGCGGCCATGCACCCTTTTTCCCATCTTTTCCCATTCAATTTCTCTTTTTCTCGGGAGAAGCAAGTGCGCTGGGACAGATATTCGTATCTTTTAAGCTATCTAGCTCAACGCCGAATGTAGAACGCCAAATCCCTGGCGAGCAAAGTCCAATCCTCGACCCCCCCCCACCACCCCGTTCTTACCCCGCACCAGAGCCAAGATCGCACGAAATTGACGCGCCGGAACATTCCCCGCATCTTCCCCACAATCATCCCGGCCAAACGGACCTCTCCAATCTGATAACATCTATCCTATCCATCACCGCCACTGTCCCGACTCCCTCAGGGCTACATACCCACCCCCCTCCTCTAAATCTTCTTCGCTTCTCCACTCTCCAAACAAACCAAGGCACGTTTGTTTTTTCTACGATGATTGAAGGTGTAAGACAAGACCTGTCAAAACCTTTAGAAAAAAGTGGACAAAGGAGCACAGTACCGAAATGACTAAATGGAAGTGACTCACTGGATTCCGTGTCCGTCATAGGGGTATCCGGGGTCCTCCCACGCTACATGCCATGATCGATCGTCGCGAGCTGTTCTATGTGTCCGATGCCTGCTTGTCTCCTTGCTCGACCAAGGTCGGTGACAAACAACTCGACAATGATAGGATAGGTACCGATCGTTCGAGTTGAGATGTGACGAAAGACGAATCGAAGTTTGGGAAAGATGTTCTTCTTCTCGTCGTACCCATCGTTTCCCTACATCGGATAGCATCTCCTTCGAAGTTGTGGACTCGTGCCTCGATGAACGTACGACGTATGTCTTGCGTTTCCTTCTGAATGATCATCATATCTTCCCAGTTCATAGCCTACACTAGCCCGCAATAAATACCCTTTCCTTCCAACTCGTCTCAGGGGATAAACTGCATCGAGCGCACACCAAAAGCCGCTCAGACCGCCCAGATAACAAAGCCCACAACGGCGACAAACCTGGTTACCGGTACTGATGATTACACTGACCATGAAACGCGACCAGGCGGATTGACGAGGTAGCTCTCGATGTATGTAGTGGGTTCAACCCCCGGCGGTCTGTATACCAACCGTACCTCACCTCTACATTTAAATAGCCCAGATCACTATCTTATATGCAGTCATCTCGACCCAGATAGTACTAGTTAAACCCAACAAGCTTCACCCCGACGAAGATGGAGATTTACTCTATTCTGCAAGTTGTCCCTTCGGAGGTGATAAGCCGGGCCTACATACCAGCGCGAGCCTCGAGGAGGCACTAGCACTTACATACGATACCTTAAGGGTCGCGGTCGCGTATTCCATCCTTGATTCCATCGCACTTTCCCTACATATTTCCTTAAATACCTCACCGCCCGTACTTCACCTTACGCGCACTCGGAATTTCCAAGAAAGCCCATACTCCGATGCTGTAGGAAATTAACGTGTACATACAATGCGGTGCGGCAGCGCCCTGGGGTCTGGATGGAGAGGGGGCGTCTCGGGTATCATTAACATCGACATCGACATATTATTAGTATGTATTAAGGGTATGTACTGATGTAGATACGTACCTTCTGATCCTTCCGTCCAGAACTTTAGTCGTGCTCCACACACAGGCTTAAGGTACCCAGCGGCAGCGGCACCTACGTTGGTATCTACGCTACTGTAACGGTTCCCCTCAACCTTCAGAATTTGTTATCTCTTTCACGTAGTTCTCAACGTTCAAGAGGAATACAGAAGCTCTCCTCGATCTGGACACGCAACCTACCCATATACGAACGTATGCCATTGAACAATACCTTTGGATGTCGATTAGATATGATATGATTTCAGAGCCCCTCGTCGCACCATAGGAGTAGGTAACTACCGAATCTTTGATGGGGTATACATCGCGATAATCTATCCTATCCCTCACTGCCTCACCGGGCCCCCTTATCCTGACAAGTGCCTCAAGTAACTGACGCCCTCAATAAGGAAATATCCGAGGTGGTAAAGATCTAGACTAGTGGGCTAAGAATACCCCACTCCCAGAATCCACAAGACTCATGTCAAAGGAGCGTACGTACGGATCGATGTAACGGATAACGTACACCCTTTCGACCAAGTTGGTTCAAGGCAGCGGGCGCTTAATGACATATACCGTTTTTCTGGAACGTAGCAGGGTGGTATACTAACTACTGGTCGATCGACAGTCACTGGAAACCCACTCTCGTCGTGCAGTGGGAGTGAGTCGCTTACCCACGCATTCCCCACAAAACTTAATTAAATGGTTACACCAGCCTTGCAAACACGATTCTGGGCGGTTGCATGGATGTCAATTAACAACTAGGACTACCAATATGTAACAACGATACCGATGATTCTAAGACAACAGCCCATTGGAGGCTCAACTCATGCCAAAACCCCACGCATGCCATTCGTTCCCACATAAGTAGCTACCAATAACAACGTTTCTAGATAGGCAGTTGTGCTTCCCCGGATAGGTTCTTGTCCCAATCGAACGGCATGCTGGCGCAACGACCATCTCCAAATCGAGGATTAATTTAAAGCAACGCAACGCACTGTTAATTTCTTACCCGACGTTCGTATTATCCAGTAAGTATTCACTCACAAAGTCCTATCCGACACCCCTCAAGATCCATCATGCGTACGGCGGACCTTCTGAATCCAAAATACCCCAGAGTAGGTAAAGAACGAGAGTGTAGTCAAATAACCTTTCCTCGTGTCCACTCACACTTACTATCCACCGTGGTTAGGTCACCTTCGATCTTACGGAACATCCCAACAATCAAACAACCCATTTCGACACAGTCGATAAAAAGACGTTCAACCGTCCGCTTCGCCATAACCTTGACACCAAGACTAAGACTCGTCATTGCCTCGTGGCTAAACCGAGGTTGTCGACGTCCTTTTCACCCGTATTCACTTGTCACATTAATTGAGGTGCGCTACCCTGGGTTTGGGTTGGGCCTGGGCGTTCAAAGGGTCCAGGTCGACGGAGACTCGGACTAGGAGGGGAATGTGAAGGACGGGGCTCGAAGTCGACGTCACACCCGTCCTGAACTCTTCACTTCACTAGTACTTCACTATAGTCGAGGCGAAGAGGCTCATCACAGTTCACAAAGTACCACATTACACCCACGATCAACGGCACGCGCACGGGAGGCGACGGGAAGCAGGACCAAGGAAGGAAACCTGAGTCCAAAACCTTTGAGTCATCCTTCCCGAGATTCCACACAAACCGGGTACTGGGTTAGCTCGACTTCTTGTACACGGCACGGGTGCGTAATAAGGATGCACAACTCGAGACGGCGACCTCGAGACTTCAGTCGCGAAGCTCCTACTCGCTTTTCTTAAAGCTACTCGTTCTTCTTGAAGCTCCTCGCTCCTAGATTGGAGGTCTTCCTTTCGGCTTACTAGTAAGTTCTACCCCAAGTGATCGCGATAATCATGGTCACTCGATGTGGGGTCTCGAGGGTAGGTACGACTGTGCGGGAAGAAGAGGGAGATCGATAGTGGAGAAGCTGAGAATCTCGGTAGCGCATACTCCGCGCACACTGAGAATCGACTACACCTAACCCTCCTCCCCTTCCCAAGTTCCCGTCTTCCCAATTGACACTCCGGCCAGACGATTGGACCTGCACTAAGCCTACCACCGGCTACCTCCAGGTCCCATCCAATCAACCCAATTGAAATGGCTAAACCAGTTATATATGTACAAGATCTAACGGGATGTCTAGTGTACCAAGTCGGAGGGATGAAACAGGTCCAGTCCAACGGAAGGAGCTACGCCGTCTCCTCGAGCCCTTGCGACTATAAATAGCTCTTTGCCTCCAATGCCTTTCCACTATCTACCGCTGAGGTCAGTCAGACGAAACATAGCTAAAAGTAACTCAGATTTATATACGTTCCTTCCTCGTTCCTTCCCCGTGAAGTGTGTATTCATTGAGAGCATACCATTCAGTTGCACAGAAAGCTCGAAGGCCAGGCTAAGCGAGATGAACTTGGGAACGCCAGAAGCAGGCCGCGTATATCTCGCTGTAAGCGATATCGATGAAGTCGGAGGGTGACTTTCGCCGTCCAACCCAATTCTTCCATCATTAAGGGATTGGGGTGAGGCGGGAGAAGACAGCAGAGATAGGGAAGCGAACTGAGAAGTGGGGAAGGCGGCGGATCGCCCATCAAGAACACATATTTACTGGTTAGCCTACACTTCATCAAAGCAGCCTTCCCCGCAGCAGCCTTCCCCGCAGCTCTCCCTCAAGCAGCCTACTGGTATCTCTGCGATAGTTGCTGAATAGCAACCTTTGCTCGTACTTTGCTGCGACCTACCCCCTTCATTCTGCCAGCCAAAACCCCGCCACTGAGCCGGACCGAGTACCTTTGATATATCCATCTCGAGCAAGGCTATGAGCCTATGAGGCGCGTTTTACGCAACCAATGTGTGAGGTTTATGTACACTTTACGAGAGCGCCCAAAATACCTCGTGTCATGATCAAGCGCTCGCACTGACTTAGTCAAGCTCCAGTGGTACCGGTCGTCGTGCAGGTGGAGTAAATGCCTATTTATACAACGCTCCAAGGTGTCAGCGTCTAATTGCGCAAGACTCCATCGGCCAAGGTCTCCGTATCAGGCTCCGTGGAGCAGAGGTGATGCGGCGATCCTCAAGGAACAGGCAACTGGAGCTTGGTGCGCTCTAAACTAAGATGTGGGGTTGCGGCTGGAGGCGCGTATACTTAGGCAACGAAGGATATAGAAATGTTGACCCGGCCGTAGCTCAACAGAGCCAGATGAGAACGGGGAGATGAGCATCTTCAGATCACTTTCTACTTCGTCCCTTCTGCTTCGATTCTGCAAACTTACAGATTTGCAGCATTTCAAGCTTCAAGACCCGACCGAGCTCAATCATGACGACTCTTCCAAACCGCCAAATTCTAGGACCCTTTAGTCTTTGACTACGCCGAATCAACGAGAAGCCGTCCGTAGTTTAATTACTCCTAGCAACGATTTGGGAGCCATACACTCGTCATACACCCGAGATTGTACAAGCGTGTACTCACGCTGCGGCCTCGTGTGGGTAGCCTTCTCGTGTCGAGGTAGACTCCCAGAAGCTCCGACACGAGTGAATTCGACCGATAGGGAATGTAGTGCAAGCTCAGATGCTTCGCGCTGAAAGCAACAGTGATTTCATCCATGACGCTCCTCGGATATGCGTCGGAAGCGCCGTTGCCCAACGTCAGACATGGGACGGGAGCATAGCGAAGCCCAACTGGCAACACCGCCTAGCGCTGGGAACTCGCACATCGCGCATCGCATGGTGCACATGGTGGCGGCTGCAAATAGAGACCTGTTTCAACACACGGCAAGTAGAAACAATTGAATTGAATTGTCATAGACAATACCAGGCGGCTATCCCTATCCCAGAATGTCAAGAGAGAACCAGAACGCAGAGGCGCCGTTACGTTACGGTCGGTAGGCGTGCGAGTCGCAGAACCAGAAGTTCGAGAAAACATTTCAGGGTAAGAATGGAACACCCGAGAGAGTATGGCAACAGAAGTAGAGAGAGCTCTTCGGAGGGTACAGTGGATACGCTTCTTCCCATGAGAAGCAGGGAGGACAGCAACGAGCGTCATTCCAGCGCATTTCGAGGGTCGATAGACTTCCGTATCGGATTATACGGGCAACCAAAGAAAGAGTAACAAGTCTAAAGACGCCGCTTGAGCCATTCATTGTTGGAGCTGAATCCGTCAAGTCGTTTGTAGTCGAGCCTTCCACGTCAAGGCAAAAGCCGAACGAAAAGTAGAAGTCAACAGTGAGCGATGAGAATTCGAGGTTCGAGTTTGGGCAATGCGGTTGTCGGAAGTCTAAAGGCTGTAGGTTACTGCATGTTAGCGTTGAGTAACGTTTGAGGAGGCGTTTACGGTCCCGACGGTCGGTCGTGAAATTTATTTTCGCTCTTTGGAGCGTAGGTATGGAAGTACGATAGAATATTTCTGATTGTCGAACGTGTACTGTCCGCCACACTCGGCAGTTTCAGTTCGAATGACATGCACAAATCTTTCAGGAAGAAAATGAGGTCGCCATCTGGCATCCGAGTCGTCGCAAATGAGAAGGCCTACTTACCTTCAACTTCAAAGTATCGACTGGCGTTTAAAATCGATCGCTGCCCAGTACATACCGGATATCAACAGCTCCCCATTTCCCCCCACACAGTCAGCCGCATTTCCGGGGCTCTGAATAACCAAACCGGGGATGGTGAGCGTTTGTGCCAACGGCCAGGAGCGCCAAGCAGGGCGATTTCATTTCGCCTTGTCACCTTTCCGGTCGCCTTTCTAGAAAGGCAATAAAGACAAATCCAACCACTACTTAGCCAGTGGTTGAAATAGGAACCAAGACGGCAAGGGCGCCTAATGCGATCAGATATGATGATGAGAGACAGGAGAGACCCCCGGACACCGATCGCGATTGGCAAGTCCAAAGGATGGACGGGCCCGAATATCCACTTAGCCCAAAGCGACCAATTCAAAGAGTAGATTCTGCCCAATGCCCATTCAAGTCTGTCATCCTCCGGCGATTAAAACTCTCGATGACTCAGGCGTTCAATGAACGGTAACTGCCGCTAGACATCTGTAAAATCCTTCCTCATCAGAAAAAAAGAGAGAGTTCATCAAACATCCACCAAGTACTTACATACCATCAAGACCTGGCTCGAGGCATACTGAGTCGACGAGGTAGCTACAGCGGCCATCCATGCCTTTAGAAAGCATCCATGAGTACGAGAAGACAGCTTCAATCCACCGACTGAAATCCGGATTGAGTTCCTCATTTCCCGACAAATTCTCCATTCCCAGAAGAATCCGAGTCAATCGAGGAGCGAGGGAACAGGAGATTCGAGCAGAAGGCGGGCAAGAAGACATAGGACAAGTGCCAAGACGACAGATTCATTCAGCGACAAACACATGGATCACAAGCCGCCATCCGCCGTTCTGTATCCTCCCAAGTAAGGATTTCTGAAGTTCGTTGAGGGGGGTAGTCGGAAGTAGTAATTATTGAAAGAGACCGAGCGTTGTCTGCATTTTTCAAATGGGGCTTCGATCAAGTTGGATGGAAGTGAATGCGGGGTTGAGGGGAAAAATGTGGGGTTGAGCAACGTGGTGCTTGGGTACCATCAATTCTTTGCAAGAGGAGGGCGAAGGTCGGGCAACGAAACTTGCGAAAATAGCGGGGTGTTGCCAGTCATCCTTCGAGGCTCGAGCTTTGCGGAGGGGTACGATGAGGACAGGGATAAGGCGTTCGGGCGGCTAAGCGAGGCATCCAGAATGGTCGGAAACCGGTCCCAGATCCGGGCACGTAGACGTGTCTTCAAGCAGTCCCAAAGCATCAAAAGCACACAGCGCCTGAAGCTTGAGCGGCAAAAACGAGCTCAAAGGTCGACCGTAACATTCCTACCTCAACCGCAGATATCAAAAGAAGAACCAGGAAGGTTTACACACCTGGAGCTTCATCATCCTCCTAACACCGACGTATGCACACCCCGCTTTGGATAGCATCATGCTGCCTTATCCACCAGAAAACTGGATTGTTCAAAGAATATTCGACGGCAAAAGGGGGTATGGTCGGTGTCGAACGGCCGAACAGTGGTCACGATTTCGGATGGACGTTAAGTTGTAGCCTGGGACCTAGGGTTACTTTAAGGTATGGGGAAAGCCATCGCCAGACGTCCCGGTGGAGTGGTGGCGACCGCAGCCTGTCGATATATCGCCACAGTGGAGCCGATATCTGCAGGTGGTATTACGCTTCAGGGTGTGGACGGTCGGTGGTGAGCTGGGATGGATTGCGAGTCTAGACCCAAGTAAAATTAGCGCCCGTATTGAAAGAAGGTCCGTGCGTCTTGCCCCTATCCCACTGAGCCACCGCAGAGTGGATTCGGCCGCGAAGGGTATGGCCACAAGGAATGTTGAAGAGGGATATGGAGGGAGGGAAAGGAAGAAAAGGAAACCGCGAATGCCAACCTCTACGCCTTTATATGTTCCCCAACGTCTACAACAATTACAACATACAGCAGTCAAATGACCTTCGAACGAAGGTCAGCTGTACGCCTTGGGATCTGGGGACTGTCATGAGTGCCGAGCATGGGACCATGATGTGTATGTTGAAGTGGTGCCCAGCATGCTCATGGGGTGCATGATCGCGGAGGTTGCGACTGATGGGCCGCGATGGTGGAAATGGTTTCTCCATATATTTAGCTCGTTGCTCAACTTGTCGGTGGTTAACGGGGATGAAAGCATTGGTCTAAGGAGGACAGCAAAACAAGGAAAACATGACAAGAAAGCGAACATGGAATCGGAATCTACACTGGATATAAAGGATGAAGAGCCCGAAAGTCTAGGACCAAACGAGATACTCTATTACCCAAAGGCCAAGAGAGGTTAATCCTTTTTTCCGTCCCAAGAGTACCCATAAGAAAAAATGGTAGCTTCAGGCGTCGAACAAGGTATGTCACAGCTGTCAGGATCCCAATGTAGCTTCTTCATCTTGTCTTTGAATGCGGCCAAACTACTGGTCGCCTCGTAACCCTCCAGCACAATCTTCGTCGCGTCGATCACCACATCACGTCCTTCTTTCTTCCTCCGTTCATATATTTCCTTGCATATCCATCCTGCATGCAGCCAGGAACAGAGGAGAGGATACCTAGGGTCGTGGAAGGACACGTGGAGGCGAGGGTAGCCGACGACGATGGGTTCAACTGAGTCGGGGGTGGGGTATGACAAGCTTTCCGCGTCGAACCAGACGATGTAGCCCTCTCGACCGATATTACCGAGGAGGTTCGGTTTGAGTGGGCCTTGGAGGATAGTGGCTAGGCTGGACCCAATCGTGACCCTTCCCATGTCCTTGCGCGTCCATGGGTCCTTGAACACGTTGTACCTGTGATCGAACAGGGTTTCCAGGGGATTGATTCTCTCGGGTGTTGGCGTGAATTCGTCGACTGATCCCTCATCCTGCTTCCCATCTTCTTCGCGCTTTTCGTCCCCACGTTTCTTGTTGTCGGCATAGTAGAACATCCAGCAGAACCACATCCGTTGCCAGTTCATTGTTCGCAGAACGAGGCCCGTGACAGCTACGTAATTGATGGCGATGTGGAGGGAGAGGAGGATGAAGAGCGTGGTGTACGTCGACCAGGCGGTTTGTAATCGCGGCACGATGAGGGAGCCCAGCTAAGGAGGATGGTTAACTTAGCGCTACCGCTAAACCAAAGTTGACTTACCAACATCCCAAACAATGCCAGCACCGTCTCCTTACTCGAGTCCTTCGCATTCAGATCCCCCAGGTCTCCCTTTCCTTTCACTGGAGTCGCAAAATGAACCGAAATAGCAGCCTTGGATCCTCCGGCCGCGATACCACATAGCGCTCGACATGACGCGCTCAGACAGAGCGCCACGACACGAAGCTGCGGATAGCCTTGGGCTTTGAATACGGGCGAGAGGGTATCGAGCACAACGGCCACATCATTGAGAATGTCGGCGACGAAGCGATATTTCTTTGCTTCGGTGGCTAATGAAGACCCCAATAGATGCGCAGATACGATGGCTGTAGAGAAAATTAGAGCTATTAAACGTCCCTGATAGACCAGACACGTACTCGTTAATCGGCTGTAGATGTCCAGCAAGATGGTGAGCAGTAGGGCGTCATTGGCAGATGCTGAGGCACTTCCAACTCCAAACCCTGTGGCCTTTTTAGTGGGAACGTTCGAGAGCGTGACCAGGAGTAGCGCAAACCTTGGAGAGTAGCTCTCGAAGAGATAAGTGAGGCTAACGAGCTACAAAATGCTTGCAACGCATTCAAGACCTGATATCTGTTCGTCGAGTGTTAGTTCCATTTTTCGCATGCTCCACTCGACGAACTGACGTTAGGTAGTCTAGAGATATTGTCAGTGTTGCTGGTCTTATCGTCCCGCTAATTGGAAGCTCACCTGGTGTAACAGAATTGGGGTATCCAGCGGGCAAAAACACGGCTTTGCCAAAGTCCCGTAACTTTTGCAAGTCGTTATAGTGGTTGAATATGGTCCTGTAGTTTCTGGGCGGTTTATTCAGACGTTTGACATGCTGTAACGTGGTCGTTGTTGGACGACGAATCAAGGTAGCGAAAGAGCAGGAATGACCTTGCCCCTTCTGTTGTTCAACGATGCGGTATAGGTCTGGCCATATTGATCTTTCTCTGTGAACGTATTTCCGATGAACATTCAGGCCTCAGGAGCGAGAATTGGGGAGACCGAATTCAATGAGGAGAAGTGAGGCGTGTTCGAGGCGTGGTGGTGGTCAGGAGCAGAGAAGGTAAGGCTTGGCGCGTGGCAGCTTAACGTGACGATGACGGCATGATTTCATTAATTAGACACGACTCGCCTGATAGGGGAAGACAGGAAGGCAAAAGACTCATTATTTGGACTCGAAGGGAGGAGTATCGACGAACAGAGCCTTCATCATTGCCTCTGGATACCTCTCGTGTTCTCCTGTCAAACCAGCCTTGTTTGCAAAGTCGCGAATTGCGGCAAGCTCGTCCGCGGTCAACTTGACCTTGCTGGCCGCAACGTTCTCTTTGAGGTACTGACGGGGATTCAACAAGTGAGCTCAAACGGTCTCTGACATCAGTGAGAGAATGCTGACCTCAATCTTTCTTGTGCCGGGGATCACGAAAATGTCGTCTCCTTGTGCCAGAAGCCATGCCAGGCACACCTGAGCAGCAGTCGCGTTATGTTTCTTCGCGATATTCTTGATATTATCCGCCAAGGTGAGAATCTTATCGAAGTTCTTCTGGAACCTGCGGTGCCATTAGATTAGCCAAATCTGAGCCTCATGGACTCAACAAGCGCTCTCACATGGGAACCATGCGTCTGAAGTCTTCGGGCTCAAAGTCATCGATGGATTTCTGCGTTCAAACTAGACTGTTAGTCTGCTCGCTGAGGATGGAGATAGGGAACTCACAAATCGTCCAGTCAAAAGCCCTCTTCCAACTGGAGAGTACGCGACAACTGCGACTCCCAGCTCTCTGCAGGTCTTCAAAAGGCCAACCCTTTCCGTCTCGATATCAAGACAGAACGGGGAATACTCGACCTGAACTGCCGCGATAGGATGGACCGCGTGTGCCCGTCGAAGGGTCTCCGACGAAACCTCAGAGAGACCTAGATAGCGGACCTTTCCCTCACGGACGAGCTCAGCCATCGCACCAACGGTGACCTGCGCCTTGTCTAATCCTGTTCAAAAGACGCAAACTCGGGAAGCGTACCTCGATTGGGGTGTCTTTATCTGCCCTCTTTTCTATGAGGTAAGTAACCTGCACAAGACAGAGATTGGTTAAAACGTACGTGAAGATAATACAAGTCGACCTGGTCGACGCCCAGCCTCGTCAGCGACCTCTCAATCGCTTGTTTGACATATTCGGGCTTTCCATTGATAGTACCAGGAGCCTGATGGTTAACACCAAACTTTGTAGCAAGGAAGATCTTCTTGCGGTTTCCAGTGCGCTTGAACCTACAGGCGTCCGACTATGAAATAAAGTCGGAACAGGGGCCTCGCCAGGACATACCATTTGCCAAGGAGCTCTTCACTGTCCCCGTAGATATCGGCAGAATCCCAAAAGGTGCACCCGACCTCGAAAGCTGCGTCAAGAATCTTAGGAGATAGGAGAGTGGTAAGCTTATCAACTCCAGTTAGTTCAAGAAAAGCTCAAAGTAACCTTCAATCTCTCCTCGTCGTCATCCACTTTGCCGTAGAAAGCGGATAGTCCCATAAGGCCTAGGCCAACCTCGGGGACCAGGTCCTGACCTATTTTTCGCGTAGGAAGGCCCATACCAAAGACGTGATACCTGGAAAGCAATAGAGGATATGGTTGAGATCCAAGGGCCTCCAGTGTAAAGCCTAAAGATCTAGAAGGTGCGATAGCACGTGAACCATTCGCGGTCACGGCCGCGCCGCGCGACACGATCCTAATTTATGAGATAGGGGTTGCGCTCTAATGCTGAAGCGTTCAAGCCAGATAGCGTGAGGGTCAGATTGCCTGTCTACATCCTTATAAGTGTACAGGACTATGCACAATAGCCTGAGTCTACGCCAAATGAGGGCACGTCGGTGGAGTATCAGAACTGGAGTTGCCAAAAGTCGGTCCGTTTCCTCGTCCGTTTTGGCGCATCTCTTCAATGGTGTGGACTCCCCTCTGGGTCGTCTCTGTAGCGCGCCTAGCACCACATCTCCCAGATGCAACGTGGAAGATGATCAACTGAGGTGCAAGGGCCTGTGTGTAATCACAGTGGCAGGTGAGTTTTCGCTGCAGTCGAAGAGTGGACGGCCGGCAATTAACGCACTATCGAGATGGAATGCGTTATAGACACCGCTCGCAAAGCCTGGTACCAAGCTCCACTATACAGAACCCCAGGAAGGGAGGCTAAAATTGCATATGGAATCCCGGGAATTGTCACTAATGCCGCAGATTCTATCAACATAGATATCATGGGCGAATATACTTTGTCCGTCTCCGCTTTCATAGATGGTGGTAGCTCTCGTCTGACAGTTGACAGACGCTTCACAATTATGACTGTGGCAATAACGTGCATCCACACATGGAAAGAAAGGTCTGCAGGTAAGAGGGCCTTGGGAAAATCACGGCCATGGAGGATGAGATTGGCAATGGAGGTTCCTGCACAACCGGAATAAGGACTGGTATACTGAGGATGACAATCCGTTTTCACCTACCTAACGATAAGAGGAAGAAGATTAGAGGAAGAACGGCAATGTAGATCCGGTGGTCCCAGAGGATATAGCATCGGTACACCTAGAGGGTCGTCAGCGACTTCCGATGTTTTTCTTATAAACGTAAGCCACTTTACCAGGAGGGCGTCGCCAATCCAGCGCTGTGAGATGTTTGCGTAGCTCAAGGTATGGTTTAACTCCAAGAGCCTGTCGGGCAAGGTATTGTATGTGTCAAGAGAAGCCTTCAGAATAGTGTTGAAAGCTGTGATGGCCTCCATTGCGGCTCCGATGCAGCTAAGAATCAAACATGTAAAGACGTTTCATTCGTCGACTGTGCGACGAGAAGGAAAGAAAACGAGTGAGAATATATATAAACATGACAAGTTGGATGCCTGTTCCAGGTAAATTGAAAGGACTCGGCGTGAGGATTCTGACCGTTTTCATTAAGCATTGAATATTGAATGGGCTCGTACCAGCAACAAAGCTTTGGAGTATCGCACTGACCTGCAGAGCCGCGAAGATGGTACGAGACAAGGACATCGTCAAACGACGAGGACAAAGGTATAGAAGGAGTATGCATCGCGGCCTTGACCTTAAGAAGGGACTAAATACCAAATTCCTGTGGAAGACTTCGATCTGTCAAGCTCAAACTTGAAACCAAGCAGTGAGCAGCTTCAATCACAGTGAGAAGACGTAACCATAGGCATCCTCCGAGGCCGATTACGATGAAACATTACACTGCCTTCCCATAGAGGACGACATCAGACATCTGACCACCTAGTGAAATGTGAGGTCAGAATTCTCGTCATATCGTTCTTGAGGCAACGTACCAGCGACAAAGGGTTGTACCGTTGCCTTGGCTTGAAGAAATCCGGCCAATCGGCGGGAGTACTCGATGGGCTGCGGATAGGGGTTGAACATAGCGGGAGCGCGCTCAGTGGTAGCACGGCAGCTGCCTCCTTTTCCGTAGAACGCCGCTCGAACCCCTCCCCAATAATCTCACCCTTGTCGATAAAGCACTGTCGCGTAACAAGAAAGCGGATCTCGAATGGAAGCTGTGAAAGATCGATCCAAGGTGCAGAAATTGGCACTCGTGCTATGCGATTGATACGACCACTAGCTTCAAATCAAGTTCCGATTCCAAACCCTGTTCAAAACAATCGCGAAACAAGTCGCAAATTTGTTTGCTCTGTGGTCACGGACCGCGGTAGGTCTTGTCGAGTAAATCTTTCTGAGTCCCAGATAGTATGGTCCTTGCGGGATACATGTCATTAGAGAGACAAGGCACAGGCACTCAGGGTCTAGGGAAAGTGTAGGAGACGCGTGACGGCAAGGGAGATAGCGAAGTGCAAGTGACAAGGGAAGGCACGAACGCGAGGCCCGACACCGAGGTGTTTGGTTCGGCCTTTTGATTCCAACAACGCAGCGATTTGTTTGGCAGGACTTGGGTGGGACAAATAATGTGGGTGAAGCGCCCCGGGCTTGCAAGTATCGCGAGGACGTCTAACTAACCCGCCCGCTACTGTCTTGACCTACTCAGCTCTAATAGAGACTGAAGTCTCGTACCCGCTCGACAGAGGGAAGCGAGCCCACAGTCTGTGTTCGGAGTGGATTTGGAAGTCAGTCACACTCGTTGATAGCACACACTACATAGCTACATTTGTAGCTGAATGAGTACTATATTTCCTTGTCTCACTGCTACGCTACACCGTTTCCATTCGCGCCCTTGGTGTTCAAAGAGTAATTGAAGACCAAGCGAGTATCTGTGGGCAATGTCGAATCCCAGTTGGTGGTATTCGTCGTCGCTTTCTTGAAGTCAAGACGGGACTGTTCAGGTAACCCCGACACAAACTTGGTGGGCAGCCCTGCCCCGGCGCGGAGGATGAGAACTAGTCGGGAGGACTGGAAGGATGACGGCGTCAGGAACAGCACCGGAGATCTGGATGTGGGGGGAGAGTAACCCAGAGACTTACAGCAGTGCAATAAATGACGAGATGCCAGCTGTAGAGAAGTTGGGTGAATTCTGACCCTGGCAGCACGGATGAAGGCACTCACTGCATAATCATAGGGTACACTCCCGCATAGTGATAGAGAAATACTGCTCGCAAGGCGGTCGTAACTAGGGACAAAAATGTGAGCTTCTCTCCCCGTACTCCGAGTCTCCCTGAAGGCGAGGCTTACCAAGTATACTTCAAGTGTTCATAGAGAATGTCAGCTAGGGAAAGGAGAGACCAAAGACGGGATGCACACTTACACAAAATAACAACGTGCACCATCCTGAGCCAAGATTATCATAATCGGCGAGATATTCTTCGGGCGCAGACAATTCTTAAGATTAAGCGTTCCATCGTCGTCTCGGATAGATTCGAAGAACCTGTACATCGTGAAGGCAAGGAAGAGAACTGTATCGTCGTCAGCTTCGCTGTCGCTGCATAAAGCCGATATGGCACGCACATGATCCTACTACTGTAGGAATCCTAATCCGTGTACTGTCAGAAAGAGAGGAACGGCGGGTGATTCGCGAAGTCAGACGAACCATAAAATGAGCGTTCGACTTCTTGCCTCGGGGGCGATAAAGGCTAGGCACCCGACTGGGTAGTCGTAAGGAATTGATATAATGTTCTTAGAAGAGAACGGTAGCTCTAGCGACCACCAGAAGCCGTAAAAAAGCATCTATTTGAGTGCTTCAATACGCCGTTCGCAGGGAACAAGTGCGGGAAACATACCGAAACTTCCCCTGTGCGTTGCAGGTCCTCGTTTAGACACCATGAAAGTGAAGCCGACTCTGGGTGTACTCACAACAGCTTGTCAAGATGAAGAAAAGGAGAACTACGCAATGCTGTTAGTAGTTGTAGCTCCCCGAGTTTAGCTGCGAACTACGCACCCCATTTACTACTCTCATAGAGCGCATAAACTCGAAGAGTGGCCACTGTGTTTACAATGGCGACATAGAAGACTTCGCCACCGCTGGTATACCATTTCGGTTAGTCCAAGTACGACAAGTGTTAGCTCAAAGACCTACAAAGAATAAAAATACAAATAACGTTTACAGCTAGCGAACACGCGTTAGCATTGCATCTCGCGAAAGGCTTGCCAATGGGCGCTGTCGACGTACAACTGGATTTAAGACGAGATATCAACGTCATGTTAATGCATGCATGCAGTCAACTGGATCCCACCTCAAGCGTAGGTTGCCGTGTCGAAACTACGGGAGGGGCTGTGAGTCGGAGATCAAGGATCGACAAGGATGGTCGTGATCACACCTAAAAGGTTTATCCTGGGGTAAGGAAAGATTCATTGCCCGCTCTTGGGAGACTTCTAGAGTTTAAAAAGTGGCTACGCACGAAAGGAAGATGATCGCCCAGTACCGTCCTAGCAGGTATGCGACTTTTAATGTGCTCCATTGCGGTCTCCTATAGTCCAAGAGCTCGTTAGGCCTCCGTCCAAGGCATGGAGGAAACCGAGCCATACCGCCAAATGTACGGAATCTGAAATACGTAGTCCAGTCATTCTCGCCGCTGCCCTTGGAAATCGCCAGCACTCGCCTCATCACGCAATGTCCAGATGATGTCGACGAAAAGGAAAGCTACTGCCGCCGCTGGAAGAGAGATTGAAAGTCATTTCCAGTTCCATGAGAAGGCCTGCAGCAGCGAGTCGTACCTGCAGAGTATCTCCCATCCTGACTGAGCTTCATGACGTTGAAGTACTCCTCGACGGACAGTGGATGTGTCATCTTGGCGCTGGCAGTGGAGGGGAAAAGGACGTTCACGCCGTTGTCAGTCTCCTCGCTGGATTTAGCGCATATGTGTACGTGATTGACCAAGAAGTCATGCTTTGAGGGAACTGAATTGAGTTTAGTCTGCCCCTTCGCGGAATGTATAAGATCAACGATCAAAGTTCCCTACGTTCGCGAATCAAACCAAAATCAAAGGTGGCTCCATTGGTGGGCCCGGTGACAATGAGACAGGCACTAACACTTCACAAACTAGACTCAGTCATGAGATGTCGCCTCATCAGCGGTACCCGCGCATTTATCGCCCAATAGAGCGCTTGAATGGGCGGCCTTCAGTTTCCACTTTGTTCATTACATTTCAGCACCCTTTGTTTCCGGAAACTAAATTCTAATCATTAAATCGGCCGTGATCTTTCAGGTTAATCGCGATAGTTGAGTTCGAAGAACACTTCGGCTCTGATGTTCCTCCAGCCATTGGCTCACGATCCGAGGCAGGCAAACTCGACTCCATCCTTGACATTGCACGTCGTATGTGCACATCGGAATGCCTAGTGGTAGTACTATTGGGTAAGTGCATGGCGTCCTGTATCCTCGATATCATCCAACATGGTGGCAGAATGCGGTCGGGGCTCAATTGGCCGCGTCAACGGTCACCCATCCTCCTCCGAGAAATTCTCGGACGGCGAGAATGGCTCGCTGGCCTACCAGACATAGCACCTCTCAACCTCGTCGCTACTTTTTCTCATTGTCTCTATTATGACCTCACTACGATCTAGGCAACCGTGGCTCTCCTTCCAAGTCCTTGGTACGCACACTTGAAGCTCAAACTACCCTTCGCGGACTGAGAACCAAGATTTTCTTCTCACGCGGGATCAGTGCTCCGGGTGAGTCTCCTCAGTCTTATACAACCTCAAGGTCCTCTCATCCTATGCTCTGACCATCGTGTAGACCGAGGGTTCATGCCTTATTCCGACCTCCTTCCCTGGTTTCTCTCCCTCCGAGTCGGGCGTCCCGAAGCTAACCCGGGAGAGCGGCCCGCGGGCTCCGACGGCCAATGTGACGCAGGGCGTCTTGGGGTTTGGTCGGTATTCACATGTTCGCGGACGATCACCTGTGTTATTCAAGCTCTTGAAGGGAGCCAACGTTGGTTTGCGACTCTCAACCATAGGCCACCATGGCCATCTTCTCAAAACCAATCAGGCTTCCTGAAGCCCAGCGGAGGCCTGTATACCTGGCACTCTTTGTCTTGCTGCTACTCCGATCCAGGCTGGTTTCTATCGGCAAGGAAGGCATCAAGGTCGTAGCGTCGCGGGCAAAGGGAAAGCAGAAGCAGAAGAAACTGGATCCTGAGCAGAATCTCCAGGTTCTGCAGCAGGTTTATGAGCAGGACCCGAACGATGACGAGTCCAAGGTCCTGTTGGTCCCATACCGCGGAAAGGTCGTCAAGGTGAGACTCATCTCGCTCCGATAGGTATGAAGCAATTTAACGAGTTTCCGTAGGTTCCAATACGCCCAATACCCCAGGAGAAGTTCGAAAAGGACAAGAAACACTTCCCATTACTCCCAGTTCAAACCAAGACCAAACCCAATATCGACTTTGCATTCGTGAGACAACTGACCGCCATCCTCACTCGCATCGTTCTGCCGCCTTCCAGTTGGAAAGGAGAAGGTCGAAGTCCGCTATGGAAGAGCAAAGAGGTTGCACTCATTGCTCTGCATTCCGGATTCCTTGTCCTCCGAACATACCTCAGTATCTTGGTCGCCAAATTAGACGGAAGGATTGTGAGGGATCTCGTGAAGGCGGACGGCAAAGGGTTCCTCAAGGGACTTGGGCTTTGGTTCCTGCTCGCCATCCCTAGCACTTATACCAACTCGATGATTCGCCATCTCCAATCCCTGCTCTCGCTGTCCCTGCGAACACGATTGACGCGCTATGTGCACGATCTCTACCTCTCCTCCTATCCCGATCTACGGTACTACCGTGTATCGGGCCACTCGACAGACGACGACTCGAAACCCTCTGCAGGTCTCGACGGCGTCGAGCAGTATATCACTGCTGACGTTGAATCCTGGGCAGTAGCTCTCTCAGGAATCTAGTGCGTCATTTATCGTTCCATTCTTCGCCTTTTTGCTAACCCCGTCGACAGCGGCAACCTTCTCAAACCATCACTGGATCTTCTCCTCTTCACGTGGCAACTCTCGAGGTCACTGGGCGTCCGGGGCTCCGTACTGCTGTTCGTCAACTACTACGCGACTGTGGCTCTGCTCCGAGCCGTCACCCCCGCCTTTGGCCGTCTCGCCACCATCGAGGCCAAGCTCGAGGGCGAATATCGACGAGGTATGGGTCGAGTTGGTCGGGAAAGCGAAGAGATTGCGTAAGTGGTTCGAGGTAGCTTGCCAGTATCGTTGCTCATATTCCTTTCAGATTCTACAATGGAGGCTTCCGAGAGCGTGATATCCTCACGAAGGCCTATCTTCGCCTCATCAAGCACGTCAACTCCATTTACAAGATCCGTGTCGCGTACGAGTGGACAGAGGACTACGTTATCAAGTACCTCTGGTCCGCTGCTGGCTACGCCCTCATCGCTGTTCCTCTGTTGTTCACTCGCACCAAACGCTCGCTTGGTATCCAGACGACGACCAAGGACGAAGCCCGCGAACGGGCAATCAAGGACGATGCTATTGCAGGCCGAACAGAGACCTACATTTCCAACCGGCGTCTGCTCCTTTCGCTGGCAGATGCAGGTGGCCGTCTCATGTACGCCTACAAGGACCTCCTCGAACTCGCCGGTTTGACCACCCGCATCTATACCCTCGTCTCTACCCTCCACCAACTCCCACCCCTCCCCCAGTCCGTCCAGATCAACGCACCCGCAGGCAGCGTCGAGCACGAATCCATCTCCCTCAAGAACGTCAATGTCCGCGTCCCCTCCGCGGACGAAGACTCTGGAGAGATCGACCTCGTTTCCAACCTCAACCTCACCATCCAGCCCGGCGAGCATCTCATGATTACCGGAAGCAATGGCGTGGGCAAGACTGCCGTTGCCCGTGTTTTGGCTGGTCTCTGGCCCGCTTTTGGCACTGACTCCTCTGTCTATCGACCTTCGCCCTCTGATGAGGAACTCGAGAACAACAAACCCCGCCAGACCCTCTTCGTCGTCCCTCAGCGCTCGTATATGGTCACCGGTTCCCTGCTCGAGAACGTCATCTACCCCGATACCTACTCCGACTTCCTCAAATCCGGCAAGACCGAAGAAGACCTCCAGAAGATCTTGGAAAGTGTGTTCTTGGGGTACTTGAAGGAGCGTGAGGGCGGGTGGACGACCAGGAAGGAGTGGAGGGACGTGCTGAGCGGCGGTGAGAAGCAGAGGTTGGGTCTGGCTCGCGTGTTCTACAAACGCCCCCGGTTTGCGGTGTTGGATGAGTGCACGAGTGCGGTGTCGAGTGATGTTGAGGGAAGGATGTACGAGGCTGCCAAGTCTCTAGGTATCACCTTGATTACCATCTCTTTGCGGTGCGTTTCTTTCTCTTCCTGAACTCCTGAGCGACTGTAGAAGCTTTGGTACTGACTTGGTGTTACTTGTAGACCTTCATTGATGAAGTACCACACCCAACTCTTGACCCTGACTGGGGAGGGTACCGGTGAATGGACCCTGTCGCGGCTCGGAACCGCCGAGGAGAGGCTGAGCGTCGACCGCGAGATCCACTTGCTCGAAGCCAAGGTTCGTCTTGCATCCTTCCTTCCCCGTCCAGCCTTTCTCACTCTCGTCTCCCTTCACCTTACCCACAGCTCGCCGAAGTCGACCAATGGGAACGCCGTGTCGCCGAATTGGAGAAGCTCCTTGGGCCTGAAGGTGCCGAATCATCGTCTGAAGACCGGGAGGATGCTGTTAGTGAGGCGGGCGTTTCGGAGACGGAGAGTGCTGTCGCTGTGACTGCTAGTATGCTGGAGGAGGAGCAGTGAAGGATCGAATACTCACACACAGTCTTGGGGCAGCGTAATATTTTCGATCTACTAGTAATAAATTCGTATTTCTTCCTAGTCGAATCGTTCTTCTTTGGGCTTCTGATGTGTAGGGCATGAAGCTGAACGTTGGACGGGTGTCGTTTTGCTTCAACCAGAATACTTGGCACGCCCGACTCGGAGAGGAGGACTAGCAAGGGTCGGAGAGCATGGGAGTGGAGAGCAACTTGAAGTAATGGGACAGGTTAGTAGTACGTGGTGGGCGGGTTCCACTGTCCGTGGATGTGTCATGCCACACTGTTAGGAACGAGGGGTGACACATGAGCGCAGCAGGATACTGACCTAAACCCACGTCCGTGGCAACTTCATCTTCAGCAAAGTAGCATATATCCTCTCGGTCGGTACGTCACTGTTACGCAAGATCACCGAGGTCGAGCTACCGAATACATAAGTAGGGGATTGAAACCCTGGTTCCACCAATCGACGCTTGTCGACACTCGGGTTTCACGGACATTGTCGAGATGGATTGTTGATCAATTCGTCTTGTGAGAAGCGAGCGAGGTACAGTAGCGTACAGTCAGTATTATGTACATACTTATTGTTCGATGGATTATTCGATCCCGGGAACAGCCTCCGAAAGTCAGACAGTACTGTGGCAGCGACGCTGATGGGGTCGGCTCTCCTACGGTTCCCTTCCCCCTTGACGCTTGCACACAGAATAAAATAAGAGAATTAGTTGGTACATAAGTACTATGCGTACTATCAGACCCTGCCAATCGACGTTGTACGTACTACGCAACTGCTCCTGCTCTTTCCGATGGCAAATTAAGCGCTGGTCGTCTCCCAGCCCGATTTGATTGGTGATGGATGTCCCAACGTTTGCCGAGCCGGTGCCTCATCGAATAATACTGATCGAAGAAAGTACTGATGTACGACTCGAACCCCAAGAACCGAGCTCGTGTCGCGCTAACCAGAGTTCCTGGATTTATCTACTACATAAGTACCGCAGCAAGTGGTTGTTGTTATGTTTCGGCGGGCCCTCGAGTCCCAGTCTTTCGCCATGACTTCCCCCATGTCCTTGCCCGAGGGGGCATTGACAGAAGTTTTCAGGCTCATGAAGCTCAGTCAAGACGGGCGGTTCTCTGCGGGTGCGTATTCTCAGTTCGGAGGTGTCGCTTCGAGAGTATGGAGATTTACCGGTAGGGCGTGACACCCTGGATTAGCGGGGGCAGTCGCGTTTTTGTTTGTGGACATTCTTTGGACGTTGCAGGACGAGGTGAGTAGTAATTGTATAGTGCTTTGATTATCTGAAGCTGAATGGCGAGGGGTGACTTGGCCCTGGCACTTCCTCCTAGATGCGATACGTCTGGAAGTAAGGACCCCCTGCTGTCGTAAGCTGACGCACATCGGACCAACCTTCGTGAATTGCAGAAACCGAAAGTGGGGTATACTGAAGGTTGCATATCTGCTGGGAAGATATTGGGGGATCGTGTATCTTGTGTACGTTGTGTTCCGCGAATTACATGCTTGATTATTCTAACGATCCGGCCGATTATTAGAGTAAAGCTGATAGGTGAGCGAGCCCACTGCATGGTGGCCGATGCAACGTCCCCCTCATGGTCTACTCTCAGTCATGTCCATGCAACCAAGTCTCGAGGTAAGATATGCATACCCAGGTCGTCTGCGTCTGCTACGTTATGATGATCACGCCACTGACCACGTTAACTGTAACAGTTGTACGTTCCGTTTCTTGGGTCCATCACGACGATGCAATCCTGACCCTTTCCCTCAGCTGTCAGGGCTATTTATACTTTGATGCCTTGTGCGTTCAAGCCTCCTCATCGTGGGTTCACTTTGGCTGACAGTCCTGCAGTGCTGGTCAATCCTTTTACATTTTGATTGTAAGCGTAATCGCTACACTCCGTATATACGCTCTTTATGGGAACAGTAAGATTGGTAAGTCTACACTCTGCTTAGCACAACCCCGATGCCTAAATCGCATCTTTACTTACTTGTTTTTGTGGAACAGTGCTTGCCTTTTTGGCTTTGGTCAGTGCCAGTGAGTCGTGTTTATCCCCCTCAATAGCGACTTCTCGCTGAAAGAGTCGCCCCGCGCAGTGGAGTTCTCGGTAAGCCGTCTCTTCAAAGTCTGCCCTCTGAATACGTGTGCAGAGATATGAAAATCGACCATGTAGTTGTACTTTTGGGGGCTTTGGTGGGCTATCGACATGCCGTTTTCGGCGAAGAATATCATCATCTTCCCCTTTCCGTATCCGCTTGGCTGCCAAACCTTCGTTTCCGAGTCACCTGGAGCTAAACTTCGAACACTCCTCCTATGGTTTGTCTTGTATTTTTCTCGTTCTCGTTGCTCGTTCACTGACAGAATTGGATAGGATACCTACCATGGTCGGATCCTGTGAGTGTATCTCAAGACGCGGCCTTGGTGGAAACAGATCTACTAACCACTAGACAAACAACAGTCATTTTCCTCGCGATGACCCTGTACAAGTTCTTTGAATCTCTCCGGGGCCCCGATGGGACGTTAGATCTCAGTTCCTGCTTCCAGACGAAGAACATTTCTCCACTTATGGTCATCCTAGTCCGGGACGGCGCTCGCTGCTACTTTGTGTGAGTTTTTAACAAAACCCTTTTCGAACTTACAGTGTGTTCTGAATATGACGGTTCATTGGCAAACAGCATATTTCGTAAGTAGATCCTCTAACATAGGGCTCCTTATACTGACGCCCAAGGGAATGGTCTTCAAGTGACCATGGCTCTACAAGCGATATTTCTTTACGTTCACGAAGGAGCCTACCCCATGATCATGCAGTACGTCGGAGGCTCTCCCCCGTTCAACTAGAAAGAAACTGACACCCGCTACTTCAGATGGCATGTCGTCATCCACTCGTTTTCTGTAAGTTTTGTATCTCCTCTCTCAGTGTCACACATATCTGACAGCCAGGCCCTCCTACAATGTAGTCGGCGAGGCTGGTGCTGAACCTCCGCGCAGGCGCCGGAAGACCTACCAAGTTCGTATCACCAGCCTCCTCCTCTGGCTCCAAGGCCAGGTGTCGGTACTCGATCGACAATGGACGCTTCAGTTCGACGATGGACATTGAGACGCTTCGGTTCAATACCCTTGCTACTACTACAGTCAGTACAGATACTACACAGACCAAGTATTGAAGAAATGTAGTCATTACAGTAGCCGTCGAGGTTGGCTCTTTAAAGGACTGCAGGAACGCCCGTCCACTTCTAAACAGTAACTAGTGGCTAGTCTCTCCCACATCTAATGAGCATTAGGGGAATGCTCTCTCGTTCTATTCGCTGTAAGAGAGAGCCTAGGATCAACAAGCGCCCGACATTTAAGCGGAGCTGAATTAGGTAGAAAGCCTCCGATCCGAGGGGCCTGAGAACGTTGGTTCGAACTAGAAATCATTCCCATTGTTCACCCCATCTTTTTCCTTCCTACTTCCAAGTCCTCTAGGTCGAAGAATGTCAGAAATACCACAGGAACTACTGTCACACATCTTGGATCACCTCGCCGACGACATACCCACTCTCCGGAACGTATGCCTGGCAGCCAACCGATTTCGGCACCCTTGTCAAAAGCTCATATTCTCAACGCTAGAGCTGAGGCACCCACAAGGTCAGAAAGACCCACAACCTCAAAGACCACCGTACACTCCGGGGAAAACACTTCTCCAAGCATTCAATTCCAACCCCGCACTATCCGACTACGTTCAGGAAGTCGTCATTCTCGACACCCCAGAGGACAGACACGACTGGCAACACCCTAGTTGGCTAGCCGACGACGATGACCTACCTGAGGTCTTGAACCGCCTTCCGCGCGATAAGATCCGTCGGGTCGTTATCAAACGAGGGTACCGCGCTAGTTGGAACCATCTCAAGGCGCCTATCAAAGAGGCTCTTATGGGACTGTGTACAGCGCCAGCTCTCATCTCGCTCTCCTTGGCCTGGGTTCCCATTGGTTTGATGGGCCTATGCGCGCCAACGGTAAAGCACTTGGAGCTTCAAGACGTCGATTTACAAACCGACATAGACATGCCTATTTCGGGAGCTTCAGCTCGAACGCAACCTTTGCAATTGGAAACGTTACGCCTGGATCATGCCTTCGACCTCCCCTCAATCGCGGATATCCTCCTCGCGGAATCGACGAATCAAGTGACTCTAAAGTCCCTCGAGAAACTCCACTTATCAGCCTCCTCTCTGAACGACCACGACCACATACCACGTCTGCTGGAGGCATGCAGTTCCTCGTTAGAAGTACTCTCGCTTTGCCCATGGTACGAAAGTAAGCCTCTTCCTCCTTTTACAGCTCTCGAACGTTTCTCATTTTCCTTGAAACGAATTAGTACACAGGTCAGGCAGGCAGCCGATGAACGTCCTCGACCTCAGCGAGCTCCACTCCCTGAAACACCTCAGCTTCGAGGAGTACTACTCCGTCCAAGGTTCATCATGCTACGTCGACCCCATCCCCTGGATCTGCCGCGTCCTCGAAACACTCCCCACCCCTAACGCCCTCTCCTCCTTCTACATCTCAATCGAATTCGACATGCTCGAGCCTGAAGGCATCCAAATCGGCCACTGGATGGAGTTGGACCATGTCCTCACCAGGAAAGACAGGTTCCCCAACTTGCGGCGTGTCAAGTTTGACTATGAGGGGACTTTTCTTGGTGTGCTTGAGGAAGCTGTTCCGAGGATTGAAGACTTGATGCCGGAGTTGATGGACTCTGGGATGTATTCGACTTCGTTCCCTGGTATGTGAATGAAGCTGCGGTCAAGGTCGCCGAAGGTTTAATATAGACTGATACCTAATTTTGCAGGAGAACCCGAAGCAATCGACAGCCCGTCGTTATGGCATTGAAGATGGAACCCTCGAATCATTCCAACTCGTCCGAAAGAGTGGTGAACCCCCTGCGATTCAGCGCCCGTCACAATCGCGCATCCTCCTTCCCTCTCGGATCCTGGTCCAAGTTCGCAATAGAGGAATAATCACGCTCGTCGCATACCTAGACCCACGTCAGGACGACAGACCGACGCACCGAAGCCTCGCGCTCATGTCGCTTCTGGGGTCTGGTTTCTTCACGACACGGCTCATCAATGGTAGTGAAGCCAGGCTAGACCCTTTGACGGGCTGACGAGTCTCGCGGTCAGACCCCGCCGGCTACGAATGATTTCAAAAACGACCTTGAACCAACTTCATTGATATACGTTAGGCGAGAGCCACCATAGAGTACTATACAAAAATGGATTCTGTTACGCGGACACTGGGTCACTGTAATGAAGGATATACTTGATTATAAAGGAGACACTTGAAGGATTGCATGTTTCTGAACTGGATATCGAATTCTGAAGGTTGTGACGTTGGGGAATAGCAAACTCTTCAACCTCGCTTGGCTCCACCCTTCCACCCACCACCGATACCCATGCCGAAGCTTCCAAACGCGCCACCGGGACCGCCGACTGGTGTACCAGGCTGAGGTTGGAAGGAAGATCTGTACGATGTCTGAGGCAGTGCCGAGATGGACAAGAACTTGTTCGGGGGAGGACGGTCGTCGCTGTTGTACTGTACAATCCGTCAGTAAGAATCATTGCGGAAGGGGACAGAGCACGTACTTGGAATTCAAGACCAATACCATCAGCTTCAGAGACATCCAGTAATTTGACCATCTTCTTGCCAATAGCGTTGAGCCTCTCCACGTCTTCCTTGCTTCGAGTCCAGAGCTGGATACGGTCGACCTTGGTGCGAAGACTGACGACTGCACCGCAGATCTCGTCTCCCTCCTCGAGTTCTTCACCGATCAGGGCCATAGCTATGGAGTACCAGCAACGATCGAGCAACTGAGGGTTGTTCTTCATCGTCAAAACCCACTTTCCACCATTCGCATTAGCCTCGTCTTCCCACATGGGCTTGATGCCCGACTTGAAGAGATGGTAGTTGCTGTTTTTCTCGAGGGCGGAGGGTGGCTTGAGCCAGTTGAAGTACCGCCAGAAGGACTCGACGGTGTCGAACTCGCCGATGACGGTGAGGCCTGCTTCGTATTCTGAGCTCGACTCTGGGACGGGTGGGGCTGCCGACAAGGGCGGAGCTTCTCCAGACGCGAGTGCGGGGGTGTAGGGGTACTTGGCCTTTGTGTCGTGGAAGATCGTCCTGAATGGAGTGTTAGAATTGGATAGAAGGTTTAAAATAAAACGTATACGCACCAGGGGAACTGCAGAGGATGCTCTGGGGCCTTCATCTGGACACCGGGGGTCTTGGGATCCTCAATCAACTCAGGCTCGGGCGGCCTGGCTGTTCCATCTATACTCAACTGGCGAGTCCTGACCATCCTAGCCGTGATAGCGTCCAAACTGGGCACGTTCTTATATCCCTTGACGAACTTCTTCGAGAGCGGCGCAGGCGCACCGTCCGCGTTCTCCTGGTTGAGTTTATCGAGCTTCTCCGATGTCAGAGCCTCGCCGCCTTCGGGGACGGGTGTATTCGACGACTGCGGGGATCCAGAGACCCCGCTGCCCGCTGGCGAGGCGGATCGTGTGGTCGGGGCGTTGACGGCCATAGAATCGGTTGTCGACGCTGCGGTCGATGCCAGCGAGACGGTGGATCCAGTTCTCAGCACCGACGCTGCGAGGCGGGGCCGCGGTGCCGATGGGGTGCCATTGGCGACTGGCGTTGGGTTGATACGAGCAGCGAGTTGGTTGAGAGACGGCAGACGGCCAGCGCCAGCTGGCTTCGAGGGCGTTTCGGTCGTGGAACCCTTCGAGCTCATCGTGGTCCAAGACGAAGGGTCAAACACCGCCCTTGTTGATCCTCGTCAACGAAATGCTGTTCACAACAATACATTTGGACTCCATTTCAATTCATTGCTTCAACAATAATTATAGTTATCTGATTAGAAATCAGTACTCGCTACTGTCTAGAGACACCTCTCCTCGTTGTGCGCCACAGTGACCAAAGGCCTTGGCAGACGTTGAGCGTTTATCGCCAAGATTGACTGGAGAGGCTGTTGCCAAACAACACATCGGGTTCAATTGGGAAGATCTCCGTTTCTTCTGCAAGTCGAAAAGAAAGCTGATTGTGGGTACTGTGCGGTAAGACGTAATTGAACAATCTTCTCCATATTCTGGTTACTGCAACTAACCAACAACTGTGACCATACAGAAGAATCAAATAATATTCATAAAGGTTCGTGAAGCCGAAAATCTGAATTGGAGAACTTGACACTAATTCAAGGTTACTTTAGCCTTGAAATCCTCCGTCGCCTTCGAAATCGCGCTCTCCTTTGCCTGTTGGCAAACTTGTTTCCACTTGTCCTCGTAATAGGGCATCCAGACGGTTTCCGATAAAGCCTCGAACCACTCTTGAGCAAATGGGTGACCAGGGCTCCCTGCGTATCCCCACGGCTTCGCTGTATAGGGCTGTACCCATGGGTTCAGGACATCAGCGAGGGAGGGATGAAGAGGACCGGTAAAGTGGACGATGGCTGGGTTGTCCATTTGTGCGAGGTCGACGACATGGCGATCGGGTGCATAGGACGAGGCGTAGGTCCCAAGTCCTTGAGCGTTCCACTGGAGGCTGAGAGACTTCCAGTCGTCACCCCCAAAATGCGCGTTTAACGCATCCTGGTCGGACTTTTGGAACTGCTCGCAGAGCTGGTCGAACGTTGCTGTCAACTTGGATCTGACCTTCGCCAAGTCCAAGAGCAGGACACCCGAGTTGAAGTACTCCCGGCGAGGAAGTCCCGAGCAACCCATCGGATAGCCTACGTCGATTACGGCGCCGATGGCTTTGTCTCCCAGGTCTGTGTGCCAGAGCTCGCTGATGTCACGCCTAACTAAGATGTCCGCGTCCAGGTAAAGCGCCCTCTCGACTGGAAGCTTCGCCAACAAATCCACCTTCGCCCATTTCCCGCTCCACTTCCTCGCCAAAGTCTCGTCCCCGAGTGGAATGAATACCATCGTAACGTCGTCGCGCTTCGGAAGGGACCTCTCCATCATGTCGCGGTCTTGGTCGGTCATCCCACAATCCCCAACGTAGATCGAAATCCGGCCAGGGGTATGCTTGACAAGAGTAGCCAGCAACACCGAGGCTGGCATCGCATATGAAGAATCCGTCGCAGTCGCGATGTTGATGCTATATCCGAAGGCTGCGACCTGAGTCGCTGTGATGGGTTGGGAGTGGGGGATGAGGAACCCGATGCGCATCTCGGACGTCTTCTTCAGTACGACTTGGTAGTTCTCAGGTCGAGAAAGCATATCGTACTCCCCTCTGTGGAGGCTCAGAAAAGCGTCGATGCCGCGTTTGGGGTGCTCCGCCGAGTCTTCAGGTGTAGCGTCCCAGTGGTAGTCATCGAAAATGACGACAGCTCCTTTCCTCGCCAATCGCCAGGCCAACTCCCCGTCCAACAAGGTATCGTCTGCGCGATGGGATCCATCCACGTAAATCCAGTCGTAACCCGGATCCTCCCTTCCCATCTCCTCTTCGAGCAACTTCATCAACGCAGGGAAGCTGAACTCTGGGAGGATGCGGAAGCGCTTTCCTGTCAACCCCAGGTTGTGCTGCATGCGCTCGTACCGCTCCTTCCCGGCGTCTGTGTTGAATAGGTCGAAATGGTCAATGCATACGATCTCGCCATCTTTGCAGAGGTTGGTGGCGAGGAACACGGCGGAACGACCCTCCCAAGAGCCGATTTCGAGAATGCGGGGATCGTTTCTAGTGACGATGGGCAAGAGCGCTTTCCAACTCTCGATGTTATGCGAGAACCAGTCCTGTGAATCGGTGAAACGGAAAGACGGATCAGGAACAGGTTTGTTGTCCTGTGTCATGGTGCGTGTTTCGTTTCGTTTGCTTTCCTTCTGGATGCCTGAGGAGTTCTTTTATAGAACGCTTTATTCGGTGTCCCGTGCTGCTCGGACAAGGTTCCCTCGCCTAGGCACCTCCAAGTTACTTCTCTGGTGTTCTGCGCAGTCCGTTATCTAGACGCTCGTCAGCGTAGATCCATTCAAACTTCCTGTGTGGGTCTTCAATTCTCATGATTTATAACAACGAAGCTGAAGGTTGTCGGAAATAGACGTTCTTTGGATGCAAACACCCTTCTATTAGGCGCCTAAGGCCACCTTGTGACGCTCCGCAGTTCAAATAAGGCTTGATATGATAGGAGTACCATGATATCCGACTGGATGTTCAGTCGTAATGACCTCAAGAATGACGACTGGGGCGTTTACCGCAGCTAGGAAGACAATCCCGTGTGAGAGCCTCGAGCACGTCTGGGCTTTGGAATCGAAGCTCTGGGGGATAATGTGGGTTCATCCAGGTGCATTCAAGTTGATTGTACGCCGCCGACTGACTATTTAAAGCGTCCAACTACAAAGTCGAATCTTCAGTTTCTTCCATTGAGCATGTCCACTCATGCGAACATGGAAAAAGCGCTCGTCCTTGTTACGGGGGGCCATGGTTTCATTGTTAGTATGCCATACACACCGCCAGAATAGAACACTAAACTCGTCCATTTGCAGGGCTCGCATTTCGCCAAAAGGCTCATTTCTTCAGGAGAATATCGCGTTCGCATTATTGACCAGTCACCAAAGCCCACTTTCCCCGAAGGGGATCTTTGCCATGAACTGATAATCGGCAACCTCTGTGATCCCAGCACCTGCCGTTCAGCTGTGGATGGTGTCTCCATTGTCTGCCATTTCGCCGCCAATATGGGGGGCATGGGGACCATCCACGAGGCCAACGAATTCAGGATCTATGCCGAGAATCATTTCATGACATTGCATCTCCTTCAAGCCGCCATCGAGGCCGGCGTTAAGCGCTTCCTATACGCATCGACTGCCTGCGTTTACCCGTTACACTTGCAGCAATCCGTCGAACCGGCGACACCACTGTCCCTAAGCGAAGACGACGTCTATCGCGATGCCACTTCCGAGTCCCCACCGTGTCCCCAAGGTCTTTATGGCCTCGAGAAGCTCTCTACGGAGCTCCTGCTCCATCAGGCTTCGTCCAAGGTCTCCGTTCGTATTGCCCGTCTTCACAACGTCTACGGACCAGGCGGGACTTGGAACAGTGGTCGGGAGAAAGCGCCTGCCGCTATGTTGCGGAAGGCGTTGGCTCTCAAACGGCTGGGTGCTGGATCATCCCATTCATTCGAGATATGGGGCGATGGTCAGCAACAGCGCAGCTTCTTATACATCGACGACGCCGTCGATACACTTTTGAAGCTCCTCGCATCCGATTACTCCTCCCCACTGAACATCGGTTCCGACACATCCGTGTCGATTCTGCGTCTTTCCAAACTGGCGCTTCGAGTTGCTCGTGCAGATTCCGGTCGAGTTTCATTTTCCTTTGACACCACCAAACCCGTTGGCGTGGCATCCCGCAACTCCAACAACGAACGCGTCTCCCGCGTTCTTGGTTGGAGGCCGTCGACAAGTTTGGATGTGGGGATGGCGAAGACATGCGCCTGGATGGAAAAGGAGATGGAGAGATTGCTTTCTCAACGAGAATCCGGCTTGGCTCGAGAAACGTTGCTTCTGCAGTGTCTCTCGAGCAAAGTCGTGGACTTGAAGGAAGAGGCAACTGTGTTCGCCATCCTACTACCCATCACTTCCCGAGGAGGAACGTCTCCCCAGTCGTGCTTATCAAATTTAGGGAAATTTGCTCAGTCCCTTTCGGATACGACTTGGCGAGATCTTCATTCGCTCGGTGGCAAGAGATACCGTGTTGCTATTTATCTCGCCATCGACCACGACGACGAATTCCTCCTCGCTGACCAGGGTCCCAACAAAGCTGAGGCTCTCCTTCGTAGCCACGGCTTTTCCGACGTAACGTCTCTTATCTGCGATTACCCTCGAGGCCATGTTTGCTCGCTGTGGAGAGATTGCGCTGCCCGGGCCTTCGACGACTGTTGCGACTACTATGGGCTGTTCGGCGACGACGTTTCCATTTTGGATGAAGGGTGGATGCGAAAGATGGACGAGAGTTCCACCGAATCGCCGAGCACGAAGGTGTCCCTTTTGGTATCGGCTGCGTCGCCTTCACCGACACATCTTTCCCCGGCATGCCGACCTTCCCCATCATCCATCGAAGACATATGGAGATCTTTGACGGTGTCGTCGTTCCAGATATCTTCATCAATCAAGACGGGGACCCTTTCTTGTTCCAGCTCTACCGGCGGTGGAACGCTTCGAGGATGGTCGACTTGCGCCTTTCGAACAGCATTGGAGGTAGTGACGATGCACGGTACGCGAAGCAGCGCGCCCGAGATTGGACCTTTGATACCTTGACCAATGCGGTTTCTTCAGTGGACTCCCACATTAGATCCTTCAATCCATCCATTTCGCCCACCCTTACCCTCGATGTAGTCATCCCATGCTACCGGGTCGACCTCGCTATCATCTCCAACATCCTTGCCCTCCAACACTCGCCAACCTTGACAATCATGTTCATCATCATCGTCGACAACCCCAGCTCTCCCCAGATTCTCAAACTCGAGACTCTTTATGGCCGTCGGCCGGACGTTCGCATCCGCGTCAACTCGGTCAACCTTGGCGCCTCTGCTTCACGAAATCGTGGCATGTCGGAGTCGTCTGCAGAATGGGTGTACTTCCTAGACGATGACATCGTCCCCGATGCCGATCTTCTCTTCGAGGCGGAGAAGGTCATTCGCGAACACCCAGACGCCGCCGGATTTGTTGGAAACACCGTCTTCCCGAAAAGCGAGACCATTTTCCAGGCTGCCGTTCACCTTGCCGGCGTCACCTACTTCTGGGACATCGCCACCAAGATTGAGGACGACGTACCTTGGGGTGTCACTGCGAACCTAATTGCCCGGCGGAACATCAAGGATGGGATTGAATACGACCTTCGATATCCGAAGACTGGTGGAGGAGAAGACATCGACTTTTGCCGCTTGAAGAGGGAGGTGTCCATCAAAAGGGGAGGGTCCGGGTTTGGAGCAGCGCCGCTGGTGCGCGTTACTCACCCATATTGGAATAATGGCAAGCGGTCGTATTGGAGGTTCTACATGTGGGCGTATGGCGATGGGATGCTGGTGGCGCGCTTCCCCGAACTCACCTATCGAGATTATGCACCCAACAGTGCCGAGTATCTTCTCCTTGCCATTGCGCTCCCGTTCATCGTCCTCCCTTTAGGCGACAACTTACTCTCTTCCCTTTACCTCACTGCATATCTCATCGCCAAAGGCCTCAGCAGTGTCGTTCTTGCCAACGTTCTTCATGACATCTATCGGCACCTTTGGCAACACCCCGAGCGCGATGCTGGCTTGAACTCATCTATCAAGTCGGGGCCTCGATTTTGGCTAGCCTTGGTCGAAAGCAGCTTTATTCGGATGTCTAGTGAGTTGGGTCGTTTGAAGGGTGCGGTGGATAGGAAGCAATGGTACTGCATTGGGAAGCGCTTCGACTGGTTCGCAGGGCGTGAGGGCGATGGTCCTAAGCGAGAAGAGAGGTGGAATAACGTGCAGCGATTAGTTTGTATAGTTCTGATTTTCCGCTTTGTACTCTGAGAACTGGTCCCCACTGATGTCCGAGTTAACAAAGTGTATACTAGGCAGTTCAGGCAATGACGATATTGACTTTGGAGTGTAAATTCCGCCTGACAACTTGAAGCTTGAAGATCGAGGGGAGAGGCTCTGCCGATCCAGACTCCGATTGGATGGCCGTCCAATGCCGCCCTTGGGTATGGGAGGCCTGATTGGTTTTGTAAGTTGCTGTGAGGGTACATTCTTCTCCCAAACGCAGATATTAGGCTTGACTCGTAAAAGGTCTCACACAGCCTGGCCAGTTTTCGATGTAGGACCAGCCTTTGGCGGTATGCAGGCCATCGGACCTTGAACGCACTGCCGTGCTCCTCGACTCGGCACCGCGATCGTTTGAGCGGAAAGTTTCATTAGAGGGGCTTCCTATCCACGACTGTCATCTTGTCTCCACCTCTCCATCACAATAATACCTCGGCGGCGAAACGATACATGCCAATATCCTTATCTTCATCACTAATCTCAGTCTTATCTAGGGCCAAACGACGTGTCAAACCACTGGAAGTCAATCGAGTAGCAAACCTACCTCCAGAGCTCCTGGTCCACGTTGTAGAGTTTCTCGCGGACGACCGGGATTCCCTGCGAAATACATCCCTGGTTCACTCTGCCTTTCGGGAGCCTAGTCAAAGGGTTCTCTTCTCTGTCCTGGAACTTAAACCTCCTCCATGGTCTAACCGTGCCAACTACGCTCCGGGTAGCACCCTGCTGGAGTTGTTCGACTCCAATCCAGCCATTGCGGGGTATCCAACCGAGATTTCCATTCAAGGGGATTATGCGGGTAGCCGCGCTACATGGCTCACCAAGGATCCTATGATCCTAGAGGCCCTCAATCGTCTTTCCTTCAACAAAATCCGACGATTCTCGTTCCAGGGAGGCCATCTTCCTGACCTATGGACCCGCCTTCCACCCACTATTCAGGCGGTTATAGTCAAGATATGCAACTCGTCATCGCTGACGTCACTCTCGCTTTCGAAAGCGCCGATTTCCTTGCTCAACACGACTAGATCGTCGCTTCGGGAACTTGCACTGGAACGAAGCACTAACATCGACTTCGACACCCCTCTATCGCTCGAGGCACCAAAATCGCCCACTACAATTGAACGACTTTACGTGAAAGATCACGCCGGATTCCCTGCGGCAATGAACTGGATTTTGGATGAAAAGAATGGGATAAGTCTGCATTGTCTGAAGTATTTGCAGATGGAGGTCCCATGTATCAACGAGTCCGAATGGATTCTAACGTTACTGGAGGCTTGTTGTTCCTCGTTGGAAACTTTCGCTTTCGGGCGTCCGACGACTATTGGTACGCATGCCTATAACTCAAGATGTTCCCGTCTCGCGGCCTAACAGAACCTTCAGCCGTAGGTTCCGGAGACGAGGAAGTGAACGCCAATAACGTTAACCTCGCTTTGCTGCCAAAGTTGCGAAGGTTGGGCGTCCAGTGTTATGCAGCTGAGGATCCCGGGAGTGTGGATCCAGAGGAGGAGAATTTCCTCGACCCACTCCCATCCCTCATCACGATCCTCAATACTATCCCTCGCTCCAATACAATCGAAGATTTCCATCTCACTATGGACTACGGCGTCGAGGATACCACACGGTTGGACGTGGATTCATGGGCAGATGTCGACGAATTTCTGACAAACAAAGCGAGGCTCCCGCATTTGAAGTCTGTCAGGATTGAAGTCAACAATTTCTTCGACTATTTCGTTGATGAAATCGCCGATGAAGTTCGAAGATCGATACCAAAGCTTGAGGCGTCGGGTATGCTGACGCTGAGGGCACAAACAAGTATGTGGATTGATGACCTTGTGGGAGGATGAACTAATCCAGGGGTTTAAGGAAAGTGGGGGATATTCGCGCCTTTTTCTTCTTAAAGGACGTTGGTCGTGTGGACGGTTAGGCGCCCTTTGGGACTGTTTGTACTGCTACCTTGTATTTGTACTCTACAATGACTGTGTATACCCTCCTATTATTGTCTACCTCTTCCTAGGCCAAACGGTATTCCTACTTCTCTAATCCTGCAGATCATTCAGCGTGTGGAACGAGAAAGAGTGCGGTGAACCCACTCGTTTAGCTAAATATATCTCACATAGCCGGGACCTTCGACGAATCTTCGACGAGAGGTTATCACAAGAAAACCTGACCCAAGATAAATCTTCTGCTTGATTCCATGAGATTGAAGAGAATAACTGACCTATTCCAAGTAAACCTCAGGCAAAGAGTGATGTGCCCGTACCAGACGATCGACCTGGCCATGATCGCTCAAGGCATACGGCGCGAAATAAAGCCTCTTGAGGGAGCTAACATCGAGCTTTCCGCTCGGATAGGGCTGGAGGATAAAATCGACAACGGCGGAAAGGTTGCGGCGGTCGTGGAGGGACAGTGACTCTAGCTGAATGATTGGAGGATCCGGATTATCCTGCGCTTTCTGCGTGCCCTGATCCGTCGAGGAGTCCTTTCCAACACTCTTCGAGAGCTCCACCATCCCCACGTCGTACAGCTTGAGATGTTTCAACGCCGGACCGCACAGGTTGACCAACCCGATTGGCGCACACGTCAAAGACAGCGAAACGAGGGACGGGGAACGGCATATCGCCAATATAGTCTTCTGTATCGGTGCATTAAGGTGATTCCAATGAAGCCTGTACTCCATCGCAAGTTCGAATCGGCGGATTTTGTCAAATGAGAGTTGGTTTAGAGCTTCGGCTAGACGGCCATCCAGGGATAGCCAGCTAGGCTGGTCTGCGCCGCTTCCGGGTGTGGAGTCGATTATGGTGATTCCTTGGATGTAGCCCATGATTACTGGTGAGGATTTGAGGAGTCGGAGGAGGCGGGCTCCGGGAGTGTACCGGTAAGTGGACTTGAAGGATTTGGGAGGTTTGAGCCTCAGAGTTGAGAAGAGGAGCTTTTGGCACGGTTCCCGAAATGCGGTCGATACGAGGGAAGCATTCCGGATCGTCGGTTCGTCCGAGTCGACGTCTAGCTGCTTGAGAATGTGCAGGAATATGTCTTCGGGGAGTTGGAGCATTGTCAAAAACGCAGTGTAGTGGTAGATGGAGGGGAAGAACGAAGCTAGGGAACCACCCGCACCAGTTGCTTCCATGAGATATATACACTTCTGAGATTGCCTCCGGGATTAGGTCGGCCCCTAGCTGGACAAAGTGCTGTGCAACATTGCAGGTGCTGTGAGATGCGCGAACCACAGTGGGGATATCGGGCTGGTGAAATGAGCAAAAGGGTTCTGATCTTTCAAAGCAGTGTAAGATTCCACGAGGGTATAAAGTTAGGTTCAGCCTTCGTATAGGAAGAAAATCAGTACCAGAATTAGAGTGCGGAATGCATTTCGCGCACATTCGGCGAGGAAACAAAATCCGACCCCTCAACCACGTTAAATAAGACTCTGCTCGAAGATCCCAGCTCAATGTTCACATAAGGAGAACGAGATCACATTGTCCAGCGCGTTTTCGTGATTCAACACAAACCTCTTCCTCTCTTCCATCAACTCCTCTCGCAACTTCTTCGCCTCGACAAGAGAAATAGGGAACTCGTCCACCTGGTCATAGACATAATCCCGAATCTCAACGGGAAGTCTTGCCAAACCAGCCTGATTCCCATCTTTTTCGCCGGAGATCTCCAAGTCCTCCCTCCACCAGTCGATATGTTGCGCTGGGACGTGAGCGGTGCTGACCACGCGAACGTGAGGGTCGACAAGGAAGAGCGCGAGGATCTTGCGGTGGCCGGGTTTAGTCTTGTCGTCGAGCGAGAAAGGTTGGACGCGGTGCTGGAGGATGTTGGGGAAAGTCAGAAGGCGGCCCTCATGCGTGACGACACTGCCAACGTCCTGGGCAGAACTATGCTCATTGCGGCAGCCATAGATGTCGTCTAGCCAGTCATGCACGTTCTGTGGGTAGTAAATGTCGTCGGCGTCCCTTACTTGAGATAATTGCCGGAACGCGAGGGAGGACGATGTGATGTTGGCAGATGAGTAGTAGTAGAGGGCGGTGGCGACGATACGTTCGTTCTGGTGGACAAAGATTAGTCGAGAAATTTGAAACGATCCACTCGTGTTCTCACCAGTTGCCCTTCGACATGCCAAGTCCCACCACGATATCTCGGGTTCTCCGGCGTCAACTCGATATTTGCAAGTTTCACAATAACTTGAAGCGGTCGACCGTCCTTTACGAGGTTCTTAAGCGAGAACGAAACGGGCTTATCAAACTCTTCCGCGTCAAAAGGCTTCTCAACGTCGGGGAGGATAACCCTCCTGAACCTTCGAATCCATTCGTTCCGAAGGTCCCAGTAATTATCGTCGTCCACATCTCCAGGAAGGCCGCTCTGGTCCGTAGGGATGTCTTCCGGTTCAGGGTCATATTCGACCCCCGTGTAAACGATGCGTTGAGGGAACTGGAAGGAGGCGGCTGCCAATGGGGCAAGAGTCAGATCCCAGAGTGGGATAGCGGCCGTAATGACGTCCTCGATAACCCGGTATAGCTCGCCGTGTTTCTCTGGATGTAGGTTGTTGATATACGACAGGATCCTAGGAATGTCGATGACATTGCTCAGGAAGGCTCAGATGGCCAGAGGGCGATGATGACTTACTTGGCTCTATTTCCCGAGATATCAACTTCGCATGGCATCCACTGGAATTTGGTGCTGTAGGTATTCGAGGGCCCCATTTCCTGGTAACTGTAGAGTTTCTTCGGAGGGGGAGGTGCCTCCGGAATGGGGATGATGTCGCCCTCCCCAGACCGTTTAATGGCATCGTGAGCATCAAGGTTAGTTGCTTTGGCACCAACAGGAAGGACCTTGGACAATCCATAGACCAGCGGAAACAAGCTCGGGTGCACAAGGTCAAGCACCTGCTCTCTAGAACCCGGATGCCAGTCCTTCTGGTGAGCGGGTACATTCTCGAGCGGTTCGACAGCTTTCTGCAGCGCAGTTTTGACCTCGGGGGATACAGCACTATCCGATTTTACAACGTTTCCGTTGTAGACGACAATCGCTCCGTTGGGAGAGTTTTGGAAAGAACGCGCTTTGTGACGGAGTTCGGCGATGCAAAAGTCGGCCATGGCTGGAGTCATGGAGGATTCGTCTCGTGGGGCGGTTAGGATTGGCCATGTGTCGAGGTTCGTCGGTGGGCGGCGAAGCTCCCTCGCGTACTGCGCGCGGAATGCGGCTTGGGCGGCCTCGATAGCCTCTGCTTTCCACTTGCTCGCGATCGCGTCGTCGAATATCTGGATGGATGAAGAATGAAGACGCTGTCCTTCGCAACGCACATAGTATGTTAGACGCACCTTAATATGCCAATTCTCTTTATCCGTGATCGCATTCATGAGCTGTAGCATGCTGAATTCACGAAGCGTGGTCAACGGGAGGCTGCGATCTCGTCAATAGAGTCAAAAAGTCGGAATGAAGTTCAACTCACAGCGCACGGTCAAGGTTTTCGACATCGAGTGCAGACGGAAACGGATCGTCAATATACAACGGATCTTCGTCTTTCTTGGGCACATAGTCCAGCGGCTTGCCTAGCCCAGGCATAGGATGGACCACAGTGTAGTCGGGACCAAATATCATAGTTTACTGTCTTGAAGAAACGACTCGTAACCAAAGAGGCACGTCGTCCAAGGGGCCGAAAGAAGAACACGACAAAGAGCGCCAGACTCCAATTCCGACACAGCTTTTATGTTTTCTGGGTTGCAGGGCTGACTCGCATGCAACGCATGAGGCCCTCTGAACGTGTTGAATCGTCAGCGGCACGAGGGGGCTCATTCCACTGACCGCTAGTCCGTTGCGGCCAAGAACACCAGGGTTTGGGTAAGGGGGTAGTCACGGTGGCTTGCCCGTTACCAATCTACGTTACATATAACCACAGTCCACGGACCGTGGAGCAGCGTTCAGCTTGGATTCTGCCAGGGTCCCTTCCCTTCCCAGCCCAAGTGGTAGAAATCAAGCAGTTCCTGCCGAAACATTCAGTTCGATACCTCCGATTCGAGTCATTCTGAGCTCTTACCTGTTACAGTGTTAGACACCAGACTCCCATTGACACGACACCTAAATTCGAGTCAAAGAGCGTGCCAAGATGTAAATCAGGAGGCGTGTGCGCATCAAATAGTCAAGGTGCAAGCCAGCGCGCGCTCTGATCACGAAAGGCGCAGTTGATGGCGCAGAGTCCCGCTCTTCGTGGGAACCTCAATGGGTCCGCTCCTGCCTGAATTGGGACCTGGGTCACACTCCACGTCAAGCATGCGCGGTCGCCCATCGCCTCTGAACGCCAACTTGTGTTCTTACGGTCAATATCTGCATTCAAAACGTAGTCATCGAGGATATACAGCTCTCAATAATGTCTCGACAGACCCAATAGTCTGAGCACTTCCCCACTGTCCCCGCACCCATTGCAACTGCCAACTCCACTCTGAACTACACAAGGCGTCTCTCTCACTTGCTCTGTATTTTATCATTTCTCCCTGACACACACCCCACTATCTAAACCCACCCACTCTCCCAAAGCCATACCCCCTCCAAACACCACACAAAACACCCACCCCCTCCTCCTCGTACCTCTCCATCAACCGCGCGCGACCCAAAACACCAACCCACTCCAAACCCAAATCCTTCCATCAAAAAGGTCATGTGAGCATCGAAAAGGCCAGAATTCGATGGTCCGTGCGGGGGAGTCGAGTAGCCTGAGTAATCCGGTGTGTGGGATGGAGGTGGAGACGAAAAATGCCCATAACCCTCGAAAGCTCGAAGGGGCGAGATGGGGGCTGGAGGCAGGTGCACATTGGGTGGGTGGGAATGGAGCGAGGTTGGGGTGGGCGCTGCGGAATCGAGTCAGTTTGGATGAAGGGGTCTACGTGTGGCATGGAAGGGATGGGAATCTGTGATCCCCGCCTTCCGCTGGCTGACCCACCCCCGAATCTCACCCCAAGAACTCACTTCAGCACACAAGGAATATTCAGCATTACGACGATGCATTCATTATACAGGTTCATAACCAGCCTATAGGCATACATATACACATAGATTTACAATTGACAGCAAGAAATGCGAGGGATGAAAAAGATGACAAGAATGCGATGCAGAAGCGAAGGAAAAATGGTATGGCGAATCCGAAAGCCAGAGCCAGAGTAGGTGGGTGGGTGGATTAAGCACCGAAACCGTAGAGGGTGCGGCCGGAGCGCTTGAGTGCGTAGACGACGTCGAGGGCGGTGACGGTTTTACTGTTGGTATCAATCAAGGGTTGTCAGTTACACTGCCCTTCGAAGCAACGGCGGGACCAAGAGCGGGAAGGAGGGAACGAATGAAAGCAAGACAAGCACTCACCGCTTAGCATGCTCAGTATAAGTCACAGAGTCACGAATGACGTTCTCAAGGAAGATCTTGAGGACACCACGGGTCTCTTCGTAGATGAGACCAGAGATACGCTTCACACCACCACGACGGGCGAGACGGCGGATAGCGGGCTTGGTGATACCTAGAATGACGCGCGCTCTTCAGTTACGACTGCAGGCAGGGCAGAAGGGGAGGGAAAAGACGTACCCTGGATGTTGTCACGCAGAATCTTACGGTGGCGCTTGGCACCGCCCTTTCCGAGACCCTACAGCTGTCGTCAGCTCATGCTTCCACGACAAGGCAACGAAGGAATACACACCTTTCCGCCCTTTCCACGTCCAGACATCTTATTCTAAGTTTGTTGGGTAAGGTGTGTTTGGTGAGTTGTTATGTGGCGACTCAAAAGGTCGAAGTGGTGTCGAGTTGGTGGTGGTGGTCGAAAGGCAAGGGGCGTTAACTCGGTAAGTGATGTCGACCGCTCTGGGTTTTAATTAGTCGGCTTCGCTGGGTTGTTTGGCTTTGTTGTCGTGTCACCTGGTTTTTTCCCATTCAACGAAGAACGCGCGCGCGACGCGTGCGGTGCATCAATCAAACGACGCGGACGCGTGCAATGTCGTGTCTTGCCTGGAGCTCTTGCTTTGTTTATGCGGGCACGAGGCGTGTCTGTGAATTGGTGGCTTCGAGGTCTTTGTTGCGCGTTGTCATTCCATCCGCCCAGTGGATTTTATCTACCCAAGTAATTTCCTCGCAATTCCTTTCTGCTGGAGGCGAAAGAAGTAACATCGGATGAAACGCGTCTCGTACGACCAAAGGGACCGTTTGTTCACATGTTCACTGCTGCCTCCACTTGCCTTCATCACTAGCCCTTCCATCCTCTTCACATTTCCCACTCCTCCTCACGCGTCAATTCACACAACAAAAACATTTATACAAAATTTAACTTTTTTTGTCATTCAAAATTGTCATGATGGTACTAAGTACTAATGCTACAGTGGTTGGTTAAGACTACTGAGAGTATGAGATGATGCTACATATCGCCGTAAGGGGCGTTTAAGGTCTAGAGGTATGTTATGGTATGGTAGGTACGTTGTATGAATGTGGTGGAATCGATCGAGAGCATAAGACGAGAGAGATATGAGAAAGACGAGTAAAACAGGAGAGAAATTGGGTTAGGAAAGATGAGAAATGAGAGAGAGAAATAGATAAAAAAGCAACAGAGACAAGAGGAACAAAGTGTGAAAAGGGGGTTAGGGGAGAACAAAGAAGAATAACGATAAGTACAGAAGAATATATAGGTGGTAAGAAACGAATCGCATGTCCATGATGCAAAGTCAAGATTTCTAAAGAGGCCAGTTGGGAGATTAAACGAGCGAATGTACGTTGAACAAAAATATGAAAAAAGCAGCAGCAGCAGCAAGCAGATAAAAAAGCAACACAGAAACAAAAACAAAAAGGAGCGACAGTGACTAAACACACCGCCTAGCGGCGCAAGAACAACTCAACAGGAATAGGCTTCCTCCTCAAACCATTACTCGCCGAACTACTCGACGTCTCCTCACTCCCCGCATCACTAATCGTCGACACACTCGTCCTCCTCTTGACACCACTAACCATCGAGATCGGGGGGTACGCATCAAGCTCCCTCCTCCCAGCCGACATCACCCTCTGCGGCGACTTCTTCTTGCCCGACGCACCGATGAAGGACATTGGGGAGAGAGGGGTCCCACCAATCGAACTCTTCTTGGCGTGTCGGCTTCCGCTGGGAGAAGGCGAGGAACGTTTCTTCGTAGGAGAGGTTACACCAAAGTTGAGCTTGAACCTTGAGGTACGGCGTTCGTGCTCTTCACGCACCGACGCGAGCGTCGAGGAGCTCCATTTGGACTTGAGAACGGGTTCCTGGGGAAGATGGCCGTACGAGCTCGAGCGGGAGGGGACAGGCGAGTGGGTGGAGAAGCTCCAATCCGAGTTCGAGGCGGGGGTGCTGATGCGGGGTGGGGTACGCGGACGCTCATATGCCGAGTACACAGAAGCAGTCTCAGATCGCGCCAACCCCTCCTGCGGCTCCTCGAGCACCACAGGCAAAGGCGGAGGCGAAACCATCATACCCCGCATCCTCAACTCCCGCGCGACATCCGCTTCGAAATCAATAGGCGAACCCGGGAGGGAGAGGGGCAGCATCATAGGGTACTCGGCGTCCAAATCGAACTCGGCTTGGTCCAGTGGGGAACCGTAGTCCTCGCTCGTCGAGTACTCGGAGTGGGGGTAGCAGTACGAAGGCTGGGAGTAGGCGCTGGCCGTCGAGGGGCTCGCGACACGGGGGTACCGCTCCTCTTCTTCGTCGAGCTGGACTTGGTAGATGGCGAAGGAGAACTCGGACTCGGCGTCCTCGTCGTTCTCGAAGGAGAAGTCGGCGGGGAGGCTGGTGCGAGGGGGAGGACGCGTGGGGGAGGGCGAGGGGGACATGAACTGGCCGAAGGACATGTGGCTGTCAAGCGGGCTGATGGGGCTCGTAGGGATATTCGAAGAGCGGCGAGGGCGCGGGGCAACGGGCGGAGGTGGGGGCGGGTAGTTGGGGATGTACGGGCGGCGGGTACTAGCGCGCTTGGGAGCAGGCGCGGGGAAGACGCTCGATTCCCGCTTGGAAGCCCGGGAGGTAACATGGCCTGCGGGGAGGAAGAGCGAGTCGGGCCGCGAATTTTGGAGGGTTCCTTCTACTGGTGCGGAGACTGTCACGACCTTGGACAGTTCCTTACCATACCACTCGGAATCGGATTCGTTGTCGGATTCGTAGAAGGAGCCGTTGGAGGAGGGAGAGGTGTAGGCTGAGAGGGAGAAAGTATCGTACAAGGGGGTGGGCTTCCCGGAAGGCTCGAGTTCGTCGTCGGCGCCAGTCACTTCAAGGATCGGCAGAGAAGGAGAAAAGTGCTTGTGAATAACCAAAGGTTGGATGGCGGCCCGTCGAGGGTTGAAGCGGGGAGAAGGAAGTTGGAAAAAGTCTTCGTCAGAGTCGGAGGAAGAAGGCGTCAAGGGGAGACCGGCGCTCCCGGAAGAGGGGCTCGACCCCGAAGAAGAGGAAGAAGTCGGCGAACTGCAGAAGGAAGAGATTTTTCGGGAAGATGGAGTCGGGATGGGCGGGTGAGGGAAGTCGTAGGATCCTTCAGTGAATGTAAGTCTGAACGAATCGGGGGAAGACATCGGTGAGGGTGTTTTTGGGAGGCGAGCGGACGATGGGGGAACGAGCATCAGTCGGTCCTCGGTCTCCTGCTGGCTTTCCTCGTCCCCGATTCCGACAAAGTCCCGGGCGATTTGGATGTCGCTGGCGGAGAGGTTGTGGTGTCTTCTCCGGGCCTTGAGGCCGCTGCTGACGCTGGAGCTGGAGAGGTAGCCGGCCATGGGTGAAGGCGAGCGGGAGCGGGTTTCGTCTTCCTCGGTGATGATGTGCAGTGGTCGTGGTTGGAGCATCGAGGGTCGTCGACAAGGTTGGGGCGAGCGTGAACGGGCTGCTGCTTTACGTTGGAGAATAGATTCTCGAGAAAGAACTATTGCTGGAAGAGATAACAAGTTAGTGTCTTATTCTGGTAAGCCTTGAGGAAGACAAGGGGACTTACAGTCAGTGTTCATTGGGTTCATTAGGGTTGAAGTGTATATATCGTAGAGGTGCAAGTCGTTAAAGGTCGTTGGCTAGCTCAAATAGAGTTCAGAGACGAGAATGACGAGCAAGCCATGGCGGAGAGTCCTTGTATATAAGTACAAGACCTGCATTGTGCCCTCTAACATATTGTTCTACGTACGCACAAAGGCTTGATGGCGAACGCACACAGGTCCCGTGGCGGAGTTTGAATTTCCGCATTGTCCCTCCTACTGTTTTTCGCTTAATCTCCCTTTTGTCCTATGTAATGTCGTGTAGAGGTGTGTATAGAACATGGCTATGACGACTAGTATCTTTGATGGAAGAGTTTTTTAGTATCGAGACTTGACGACAGAGAGGTCTGGAAGGAATACACTTCCCAGTGAATGACGCGGGTACACATACCCTCCTAACCACTTTTCTTACTAGAACTCCCTCTTACCAGGACAGTCATGTGTTTTCCCCAACTCGTCTCTCTTACACACATGTTTCTGCTCCTTACAGCCGCCTTACTCCTTCCATAAGCCTCGAGAACACCTGTCGAAGGAGGAACCTTCTTCCCAATTAGGATCACCCTTTGGTGTACAAATAAACCCAAATAATGTATTGAGGACTTTAATTCCACCCGACTTCGGTTGATTCGAAGCCCACGCATGCCTGCGACCGTCGTGGGACCCCTTGATGAGAGTGGCCTTGGTGATATAGACCGCGGATTAGCCGACGTCGGCTGCGAAAAGAAGACTTGGGGCGATGATGACCCTGGTTGATGCAGACATTAATATTTGGGGGAGGAATGAAAGTGGCCTTGGAGCCATAGCATCGTTTCAGAACGTGTACTTAGGTAGATAGACCATCGTTAAAGAAAAGTATGTCTGTGACGATGAATGCACTCCTGTCCATGATTCCATTACTCTGAATAAGCGCCCAAGAACGTTGATCAGCGCCTGCAACGACGCGCCTCGCCGTGAGAACCGCACGTGGATTTACACGGTCACGAGCGACGCGTTCCGTGCGTGACCGCGTCCCTGGATTTCTGGGCACCGAACGGCAAAGGTTCAAGTTGATTGTGACAAACACCGCTTGTTTGCTTTTGCCAACGAGCTCGCCGTCTTTGCTCCTCTCCGTCCTCGCCGCCGCCGTCGCCAACGTCCTCAAGCAATGGCGTCCGCCTTTCAGTCGTTCTCAGTGCCGACATCGCCCGCCGTTTCCCGTTCCAACGACAACAGCAACAACAACAGTAACAAGGGCAGCAGGCAGCCAGTCACACCCCAGCGTCTCCCCCAACAGCGACATCACCAACACCGCTATTCGCATTCAGCGTTCTACAAGTCACCCAACACACCCTCCTCCGACTCGACGACGGGATCATCGACGCTGACGACCCCCGATAACACCTCGTTTTTGTCGAAAAAACGCCTCGTCGCAGGGCGCTCACCCGATGTGCACCGCAATTCGAGCATCGACAGCCTCGATGCCAAAGACAAGAGTCTCGCCGACCTCGCCCAAAACTGGCGCGTAAGAGCCAACCAGCACGGAATCAAAGTCTCGCCTTCAGCCAAAAACGCAAATGCTAATGATTCGCATTTCGGAGACGACGAGGGTACGTTTCGGCGCATATATTCAGGTTATTCGGGGCTCAAAAGGGAAATTTTTGCAAATTTGGCGCATATAGCTGACAAAACGATGTCTGACGTTGGGAATGACTCGAGTATTTTGTCCAATGACGAAGGTGAGAATTTTGTCTTTGGAAGGTCGATTTGTTGTTGAAAGGGAATTTATAGCGTTGCTGCCGCCGGCTTTCCTGTCGTACCACAGGCGATCCTCAAGCCACACGGCCGTCACAAGGCCTCGTGCTCAGTCCCATGCATCGCTTCCAGAGAACAGGGGCATTGCTACTTCCCCATGCGCTACGAGAAATGCAAACTGCTCGCTGCCTCTTCCAGTCTCCCCCGTTCGCCCCCGCCGTGCCCTTGCTTCGCTCAACCCAACCGATAACATCCTGTGCACCCCTCCCCCGAACCGTGTGCTATCGTCTCAGCTGAAGATGAAGGGCAGCCTGACGGATCCTCCTCAGCCTCGCAAGCGGGAGGCTTTCGGCAATGTATGCTTGTTCCCTTTCAGCTCTCCACCATCGATTGACTTTGTTTCTTCAGGTCACTCTACCTGCTGCCAATCTTGCTCGTGCCAACATGAGCATGAACATCAACTTGGGGAACAAGAGTTTGGAATTGTTCGATATCAACGAGCACGACCTCGAGTACGAAACGGAGCTTCAAGCCACCGAAGAGCCGTATGACGAATCATTCTCGCTCGACCTCCAAAATCACACCGCCAATATCTTTGGTTACTCCGGAAATCCTCAGCAGCAAGAAGCAGCCTTTAGGTCATCCCCCAACCCTTTCGCGGACCCCTTCCATTTCGATTCCAATAGCGCTGGTAGCACCAACGTCCTCAGCAGCATCGCTGAAAGCGTCGAGCATCACTTCCATACTCTACAACATCCTCCTAATCTGCGCTACTCTCCACCTAATTATTTCACCTCTGGCGAACCCCTTTACGCCCAGCGTGCTCCTCCTGCTTTCCCGAAACCAACTTATGCGCCTCTTCCACAAACGATGATGCCCATGCCAGTACCCGTCCAACCTGCCTTTGTGGGTGCTCCCCCGCTCGGCGGTACCATCCCTGGATTCCCGGCGATTTCCAACGTAATCCATAATGAAGGACTTGCACCTCCCAAGGTTGAACTGGCCGAGCCTCCCACCGACTGCTCCGTTTGCCTCGTCTCGCACCCTTCGAGTCTGGCCATTCTCCAACCATGCGGTCACCCGCTTTGCTCCGGATGCTTGACCAGTGCACTCAACATCGTTGGCGAAAAGGATATGGAGTGTGCTGTTTGCAAGACTGCCGTCGCGGACTTCAAGTTGGTCACCGTCAAGAACCCAGGAAATGCTAAGCCTGGTGCCAAATCGAAGCTTAACACCGATAAGAGCATCGGTGACCATTTCTTTGCCCCGCCCAAGCTTGATCTTGGAGCTTCTCTCATTAATGCGGAGCACAAGGAACTTGATAGTGCTTTCGACTTTGGGTTTGACTTTGCGGAGGGTATCCGGGCGAGTACGCCCAAGTTGGAGCAGCAGATGAATCTTGGTGGTGCCGGTGGGATGGAGCTTTCTCTCTCGACGAGCAGCCAGCGCTCCGTGGGTGCTCCGGGCAAAGGCAAGGTTGTCCTTCGGATTGATAATGTTCCTTGGGTAAGCATCTCTCCTTCCTTGGTTGACGGATCTTGGTTTCTGATCATGGGTTTTATCTATAGGACATCACGCCTAGGCAGATCGTCTCGTGGTTGCAGCAGCCTGTTGAGCGTGTTCACGTTTTGCTTGATAGCAAGGGCAAGACGTTGAGCCATGCGTATGTGGAGGTGAAGGATAGCACTGTTGCTGGTGCCATTCTTCGTGGGGAGACTGCTCATCCGAATGCTTCTGGACGGCGTGAGCGTGGTAGCGTCTTGGGCAAGGGTAAACGAGCTCGTGGTGTTACGATCACCCGAAGCAGCGAGGAAGAGCTCATGATGAATGTGCGTATCTCTGTATCCTTGTTCTCGGAGCTTCCTTCATGCTGATATGGGGTTCAATTTAGTTGTTCCCCAGCTGGCGTGGTCGGTTCGATGGAGCTCGACCTTCTTTGGCTGGTCTGGAGGGCGAAGCCATTATTCGTGCTCTTGAAGGTGGATTGTTGACGGAGGGCGATCTTGCTTCGTTGAGGCGGTTGATCCAGGAGCCCGACTCGCATTTCCTTAAGGTTCCTGTGTTGCCCTTCTATTCGCTGCTCAGTATTCTGTCCAAGTTCCCCACTGATGTCGATAGTCGGGTGTTCTGGTCTTCTGGGATCCGGGACAAGCTTTTCGGTGAGTGGTGTTTTGCTATCGTCTTGTGGAACGCTGCTTATTGGGTTGTTTTGTAGAGCTCTGTGTGACTGGTCTCCAGGCTTTGATTTCTCGCGTTGACAGGTCTGGTCGGAACCCGGAGTATACCGTCGACCTTGTTCTTGACCTCGCCAAGGCTGTTATGAACTGCAAAGGTGCGTTTTCTCGTCACCTTTCAGTCTGCGGTGGTCTGACTTGGGCTTTCTGCAGTCTTCACTGCTCCTCACGTTCAGAAGGTTGTTGATCTTCTCCACGCCAACTCGTTGCCAACTCCGACTATGGATCAACCCTCGCTGAGTGTTGATACCAGTGGGGAGACGAGTGGACATTCGGAGAGTGGCTCGATTTCGAGTTTGTTGAGGACGCCTGATTATCGACAGGCTCTGCCTTCCCTCGCCAAGCCGAAGGAAGTGACTTCGTTCAACACGCCCAAAGAGGGTGCTGCTGATCGACCGTTTGATGATCTTGCGAAGGAATTTGGAGTTGATTCGCAGTTGGTTCAGGCGCTTGCTCAGCGGTTGGCTGCTCTTGCTTGAACGGTGGAGAATTGTTTTTTGCCTTGCCCTGTTGTCGCTCGAACACCACTTTCCATTCTTCGTTTCATGAATTCTTGATGACTAGTGTTTTAATCGCTTTCTATCGGTTACACTTTTTCATGACATCCTTGGACTTTTTTCTGCTATCCGTCTGTCTGTTGCATGCATGATTCCTATTTTTTTTTATTACTGGTTGTCACGCTTTGGTACTCGATTACCTTTCACGCTTATTTCGTACCCGATTCCATTTCACGTTTTCCATTCATCATCGTCAAGTTCTGTCGCGTTCGCTGTTATGCTGTCGTGTTTTTATGTCGTTTACGCCTTGTTCATTCGTCCGCTTTTGATCACTGCAGAGTTTTCATTTGTGTCGTTTGATCATTCAATGTTTTTCATCGTTCGTCATTTGACCATCCATCCCTCCATCCCTTTTCATGGCGTCTTACTGCCCTTCATCGTCGTCCTATTACCACTTTTTCCGACTAGTCGCTATCCATTCCACTGTGTTATACTATTATCGATCATTCCAGTATTCAGTTACATACCTCGACTTTTTTGTTCTTTCCGATTTTTATATAGTAAAGAGTAATGGTTGTTTTGGTGTATTCTGGTTCGTTGATGATCGTTTTTCCGTTTCTCTCCTCTTCTCTTCTCTTCCGTTGTTTTTAGCGTCGACATTCATCTCCTTTTTTCCCAATCCCCTTCAACTCGAAATTTCTCGCTGTCCTCGTTTTCGCTCTCGTCTTTATTTACGTCTTCCGTCTTTTCCGCCCCCAGACTCGTTATTTTTTTGCTATCGATCCCCACGCTATCGCTACGCTTTCTTGTTACGCTCTGTTTTCTTTTTTTGTTTGTGTTGTTTGTGCTGTTATAAAAGTAAAAGGTTTTGACTGGAAATGTGTTTTCTCGGTACGGTTTTTGCGATGTCCCGTCCATCGTCCTCGTCTACAAGACTGGTTTCTCGGTCTTCGTTTCAAGCTTCAAGTCTCGTTACGGCTTTCTCGAATTTCGCGATCCCGTCTTGCTTTTCGGATTCGTTAACACAGTAGAGAAACTAAAAGTGGGTGAATGGATTTTGGAGGTGTGTTTGGTTTATATGGTTCCCGGGGTGGTCTGAATTTCAGCGGTTGAGAATCGAGATTGGGTGAACGGATGGGCCGCTGCGGGTTGTCGGATACTCTTCGGCCTGGGGTTGAACGACGATATGGCGGACAATCTGCTAGTCCATTCGCGATTGGATCTGGCGCTGTCCTTGAGGACAAAGAACACCCTACTTTTGTTTAGGAGTAGCAAAGGCGGACCGCAATGGCGCTCCACTGAGGTGGAAGTACTTCCACTCTTACTGATCTCGACTCTGGGGGACAATGACGATCGGTTCATTGAATACAAGGGGTCAGTCGATTCGATGAGGACACGTATACATACAAGAGATTTCTGAAGTCGTTGTAAATACCAATACCACCAATACCAATTGCACAATGACTGCCCGTCTAGTAGGCATGGCGCGTCTTCCAGAGCAAGTCGAGATAGTCACCATCGCGGTCAGCGTTGATATCCGTGGTCATGCCTTCCCAGCCCTTTTCTTTGACCGCCTCAAGAGGAACCTTGCCCTTGGAGCGGAGGAGGCCCAACTCACTGATCTTGTCGTCCTTCTTGCCGTCGTACACGGGGATGAGGTACCGGAAGTCACCGCCCGCGCCAGCAGCCAGGTCGGAGTGCTTGTCGTCGCTGCTTGACTGGCGGACGAAGTCCACGCTCGTCATCACCTCCTCAGTGTTCATGCTGTAATCTTCAACGAGCCAGACATATCTGTGTGGATGGGTTAGTAACGCTCGTGCTAATGGCGATACACCGATGTAGTACCCACTTTCCACCGAAGCCAGCATTGACGTCGGAATTGCCGTTCTCGATCTCACGGATATGCAGGTTCGGGGCGCCAGTCGCGTTGTCCGTATAAACGACCTGGTATGAAAGAACCACGTTTCGTTATACCATGAAAACCTCGTGCGCAAGAAGAAACCAGTAACTCACCTTGATATCCTTGATGAACTCGATAGCCTCAACTTCAACATCGATGTCAATCTCCTGCTTTTCTTCTCCCTCCTCCAAGCTAGTCGTAAAACGATCGAATAGGGCCTTCATTCCTGGCGCTTTGAAGTACTTCTGGAAGAGCTTAAGCTTTCCGCCAGGGCCAATTGTGTCTGAAGGAAAAAGATAAGTAGGCTGAGAGCGAGTGGCAGAGACTGCAGCATGAAACGTACAAGATCGTGTCTCTATCTTCTCGTAAACGTAGGTATCTTCGCTCGATGCACTCGTCGTGTTCTCGAGCATTTCGGTGATCTCTTGTGAATACTCCCAAGACGAGGACACTGAAGCCGAAACACCGGCATAGGAGAATCCAGTTCCAACTGACTGGCCGCTCTCCTCCAAGGTTTTTCTCGTCGTGCTTGATACTTCCTGGGCAAACGAGCTGCGAACCGACTTTCGGAGGATTTTCACCTCCCAGGTCTGAACGATTTCTCCTGCAAATTGGCGGTGAGACGTCGATGGTATTAGCAGAGTGGCAAAAGTCATAATTACCAGTGTTGCCGGTGTTGTCATAGTTGAAGATAGCCTCCCAGCCGACCTCGCCTTTCAGTTTGATTTGGGTTTTGGTGGTCATTGGAGAGAAGAGATGAGTGACTGGGTCGAGTAATGCTGAACGAGGAGCGGAGGCGGTTTGACTATTCTGTTGCAGCAGCTAGCCACCCTTTTATACGCTCTGAGAGGCATAGGCAGGTGCTCCCATGTGGCCCTTGCCGGCACTTTCCATGTCGAATATTCATTCATCTCATGGACGTGTACGGCAGTCTGAAGCCCGCTTCTGCCTCATGTGTTGAATCGACCATCGCTAGTGGCCATTGGGGTGTCTTGGAATTCTAGAGGTATCAGCACATTTTATCTCAGAGCTCACCTTCTAGGAAAGGCACTATGACCGGTCACGGGAGGAACTACGCCATCCTCGGTATGAAGGTGCCAAACGCCCCGCGAATAGGAAGCAGAACCGAAACGGACGCTTGTCTGTCAAGTGTCGCCCTTGTCTTGGCCCATACTAGGCATCGATCTTTCTCTGCTGGCTCATCATCCACGGTGCTCGATGAATCGCTTCCTCGAATATGCAAAGCTCCCCAAATGCGCGAACGTTGGCTCGATTGATTTGATAACGCGAGAAGCAATCACATTGTCTGCGATGGTTACGATAACACCTGGCCTTTGGTGCATTCATCCATGAAAATGTTTAAGAAAGGGATTGGAAACATGCTCAGGTGACACACAATGGACCCTCTGTGATCCCTATGCAGATCACTGTGACGATCCGAATTGTGAGCTTCGCTCTTGTTTTCCACCGGGGAAGCTGGCTGATCGTGATCTTACACCTCCTCGGCTAGGTATTACGAGGTTTAGCGAGTAAGAAATTCTGTCCTACATCAGCATACTCTTGGATCTATCTCACTGCTCCCGTTCTCTGCTGACCTTTTTCAAGTTGGCGTGAAACTCCAAGCCTGATAGGGGATACTTCCATCTTCGGACATATCTTTACTATTTAAATTCAAACATTTCAACTCCGCGTCAGCCCTTGGCGACGCTGCAGATTGCCTCGAAATGATTCTTGAATTAATCCTTGGCAGGTATGTACTTAGTTTCCTGGCACAAAAGCCGTGAACTTGAATATTCCAGAGGGTCCCGGGCTAGGGATGCCATCTCCGACACTTGGATGTGCCGTAATACAACAGCGATGCGCTCACATGGGGAGGGGGAAGATCACTTCTTTTGGCAAGCTTCCAGCGTTGAAACAATGAACGTCCGAGCAGTCTGCTGTCTATCCGCTGCAGATTATGAAACACTCTATGTACTTTCATACCCGCAAACGGACTCGGACCTGGTATCTATTCCATCTCCACGTCGGATCGATCTCCCAAGCTGTGGATTGACATGCGGGTGCTTGTCGAGTTGAAGAGCCGTGGCCCGTGAGGATGGTTGATATTCAGTTGAGTAGAGAGCTGTGTAGTCATTACGATACAGAAAATATAACGAACCCTAAGCTCGTCGTTGGAAGCGGAGACAATGAGAGTTGGAGCGACAGAGGTGGGACCTGGGACAGCGCTCTTTGGTCCCTTGGCCCGAAGGCCGCGAGTTCGATTCCGAGGGAAGGATCTGTGTCTCCTTGTCTCCTCTGCATTCGGTCGGCCTTTCATTGACCTAGCGTAAACGTCGCTTAAACAGCGAGATGTGGTTCGAAGTCCCTGGGAATGCGCACGAGCTTATGGTGCTTCCAGTTCGTGGTCAAAGGAGACGGTCTTGTTCCACTCGCACGTCTCTGGAACCTTACCAATTCAGAGCTCTGTACATGCCCTCTGTCACCATGTGTGACACAGGTTGGATTCGACTTTCCTCAGTCATCGAGGCAAGGCGGCGTGGTGACGGAATAACCAATGAATATCAAAGGGGCTCCAGCGAGAATATCGGCATCGTTGGTCCATAGAAGCGGATTCGCGGATGTAAGTAGCCTCTGGCCATCGTCGAGGACAGACAATCCGCTGCCGGACGTGCTGTATGTATGAGGCTAGATGTAAGTATTACAAGGATGTCCCTATGGTCACGATACCCGAATCCACCAGCTTTGGGATCATACCTCGAATCATACCAGCGATCAGTCCTAGCTGTGGCTTATTGGCTGAATGCACGCAGTTCAGCTCAATTTCGACTGTCTTCAGGTGAGGAAACCTCGGCGGGGAGCGGTCGAGGGGGAGGTTGTCGAGAAGGGGCCATGACGGAAAGTTAACCATCTCCAACTTCGTGTAGGAGAAATAGTTGACGATGCAGAGTGTCTCGAGGCTGCTGGAAGGTGGGAGGGTGTGGAGGATATCGATGACTCGTGCAAGTGGGTCGATGGCTTCGCCAATGGTGAAATCAGTTGAGCCAAAGCGAACTTCAAGTGTTCGCAAGTTGGAGAGACGGCATAGATCAATGGTTGGGTCACCTGGAGAAAGGAAAATTGAGGATATATGCAAAGCGATAGACTAGGATTTGCCTACTGGGACTGGGAGCTAAGATCAATCCGAACGCAATGGCTATTGTCTCCAATGAATGCTCGCACATCCGCAGTAGCCGCATTATCTGGCTGGCTGCACCTGCATCACAAGATAGATGCCTGAGGTCACTGAAGGCAAATCCGTTCGATATGTCTAGAAGCCAGTCGATCGACCTGCCTTCTTTGACGCGAAGATCGACGATGTTGACAGGGGAACTTCGAGGTGCTGCGACGTCATGACCGAGATCGCTAGGCTCGGGAAACCGGATCTGTGGCAAGAAGAGCTTTCGCACCGACCGCCCTGCCGCTCTCACCATGGATATCGGGGCATTCCACAATGAGAGGGACTCTAGCGAAGGCGAGGAGCAGATCTTGACGATTGCTGCTTGGGTGGCAGGTGGAAGTTCGGTAAGGTCATCCACTGACTCGAGGCGGCCCGGGGACGACTGGACGACGTACGAGAACGACTTGATTCTGTTGATCGAGAGGCAGTTGAGGGCATCTGCTATCATCGGGTCCTCTGAAAGCCATCCTTTCCTGTATTGAGCAATGGCAATTGCTGTTGGATACCCCGCAATGGTTGGGTTCGAGTTGAACAACTCGAGCAAGGCTTTGCCCGGAGCGTACCTCGTCTGACCTGTATTTGTCCCTGGACCGGAAGGAGACAGCGTCAGCCGCGAGAAGAAATGCCTTTGGCTGGGTTCACGGAGTTTGGAGTGGACCAGGGATGTCGATGGCATGAATTCCCTATCTAGTTGCTCGAGGATATAAGCCAGAATTTCGGGCGGTAGAGAGGTCAACGAGGGGGTATCTGGTCGCTGGGTTCTGTCAGGTTCATGGGCTACCGGCGTGTTTGATTCGGGTGGGTGTGACATGAGGAGAACAGACTGGTGCTCAACGGGCGGGTAGGAAGGTGTGTCACCGTCAGGCCCGGAAAGATTGAGCTCCGCTGATTGCTCGCGCCGGCACGTCGGCGAGATATTGGCTTTGGGTCTTCCCGCAGGTATACGAACTCTACGGGCAGTCTACAGTGCTATGCCACCAGTTGTCGAAGAGTAGATCGTCTGCCTTCCTACCATATTAGTTGAATTTAACTTTAAGACTACACAATGATCTACTTCCGCTTCCAGACCAACATCCGCTCCTTGTCCTTATGGCTCTCCGACGACTTGAGGGGCACTTTATCGTATACCTTCTCGAACGCCCCGCTCAGCGGTTCATCATAGTGGTCTGGACGAAGGTAGTACGGTGGTCCAGTCTCCACTTTTGGAAGCATCGGATAACAGATCGTGATGAGGTATCCTCCCGGTTTGATCAACACCGCCATCCGACGACCCCACTCAGGGCGTAGCGAGGGCGGTATAGCACAGAAGAATCTAAAGATAGTGGGCGCAAACAGGTTACATCAACCTCAGCACAGGCTGTTGAATGCAGCACTCACGTATGATCCATAATCAGATCAAAACGGTCGTCATCCGACACCTTGTACTTGAAGAAATCGTCCTTCAGATACACGACCTTGTCGGCGCCTGGCGCGCCACTGGCGTCTCGGTAACTGGGATCACAAGGACCGGGGTCAGCGTCGTCGATCGACATGTACTAAAACGGCTGTTTACCGATTTGCCGCATCCACAGCGGACTCCGAGATGTCCATTCCAAAGGTTTGCAGACCTAGGGCGCCTGCAAGATAAACGACATCATACCCCTATGATTCGTGTAAACGGTCAGTCAACGTGAAACTGATCCATCTATTCATAGACGAGGCTTCAACATACTGTCCCACAACCGGGTACAAGTGCCTTTCCGTTTCTTGGGAAATCGATCCCAGATTCCTCAATCAACTCGATGAGGGAAGGTTGTGATTCTCCAGCGTCCCAGGGAGTGACGTTCTGTTTCCTGTTTCAAAAAAGGACATGAGAAAGGGGACTTGATGGCATAAGCTATGATAAGGTTTGCTCACCAGAGGAGATCCCAGCTCGTGTGGTCGTCTGGCTTCACAGTGTTCCGGACCTTTTCGCGGATTTCTGGCGCTACGTGATCAGCCATCGTCGCGATATCTAGTGCGGGGAGGTACAAGAAAGGGGAGTTGTATTTATACTGCACTGGGCCTAATCACAGGAGAGCACCATGGCGGTCTCGCCCAGACCTGACTAAGGCTTGTAATGGAGTCTAGATAATGGGGTCATGGGATTTTCAAGTCCGTGACTTCGCGACGTCAGCGAATCATCGGAATCTCCATTTGCGGTAGTCATCTCGGAACTATTATTTGCTCGAAAGGTGGGGAAGGGGAGGGACAGGGCGTTGCGACTGAGGGGATGTTGTCTGAACGCAACATTGAAGTAACCGAAACGCTAGCTGAAGGTGTATGTGATCGTACATGAAACGCCTCGTAGCAGGAAACACTAAGTAGTAATCTGAAGTGTAGAAATGGGTGGAGCTAACTCCGCCAACATCTTTACGAATTCGTAAATGAAACCGAGTTGACCACCCTTGAACTAATGTCAGGGCCGAAAGCATTGAGGTTTGCGCACCACAACTCATTCATGAAACTAAAGACCCCATATGAATTGCCAACTGCTAGCACTAAACGTACATGATGAAACAATGCAAATTAGAACGAATTAAGGTAAATGGATATCGTGTTACAAAACCCCAATGTGTACACTAAGTTAATCATCGAAGCAGCAATCGTCCTTGCTGTAATGTCGAAAAGGTGACTTTTCTGCGCCGTTATCCGGGGCAAAGTACCCCTGCCTACGCTTCCGATCGGAATCCCACTTTACTTGCACAATTGCAATCCCCCCCTTGACCACCTTCCGATCCTGCCTTGACTTTTCGGTAAGAGGCTCGCGGAACCGTATAGGGTTAGCTTGAGAACGGGTCCGATTGACGCTGCTAGACCGCGAGCTGACCTCGCTCCCACTAGCATTACTGTCGCGGTCCTCATATCCCTCCCCGTCGGTTCCCCGGCCGTTTTGAGCTGAATAAAACCAATGAAGGCCCAGCATTGAGGTCGATGCTCGATCGGTGAATATGGAAAGGCTGCTCACTGTCGTCAGCTACAGGCATTGAATCCGCAGACCTCCGCTTCGTTTGCGTCATTCTTGTGGTCGTTATAACGCCTTCTGGTTGGAAGTTTTCAGGGCGGATACTAAATCGAATTAGAGACGGTTCAGCCGTCGTAGTCGCGACGCCGCTCGGCAGTTGTGCAGGAGGGACAAACCTGGTCCCTGTGAGGTGGGGATGCCGTTGGACGTTAGTTGAACGTAAGCAGGGGGGTCGTTGCCTCTTACCGTTCACTGGCGCTGACAGCCCAGGACCGAGGGAAGGCACCGTGGGCGAAGCCCTGTCTGAGAGCGGCAGGGATCCACGGCGACTAGGACCATGCCCTAAGTGTCGAGCTCACTCAATGTTGTAATCGGGCCAAATAAGTGGATTACTCACCGCTGTTAAAACTTAATTCCATTCCTGGCTGGGAACGTGGAGAAGGACCGGCGGAGGCATGCGACTGATACGGCAGGCCACGAGATTCTGTACCTGAAACCTCTGTCAGTACGTCCGATGCGGTGGGGAATGAGCCAATGCAAGACCTCTCTGGGGCTCGTTATCTTCATTGGCGGTTCGTCGCCTGACAGCACGCCCTATATGATGCGGGCCTTGAGCTTTGCAGAAAAGTCAAAACCTGGTCGTGAAGGCATATGAAGTGGATAACTTGCCATCGCCGCAGTTCGTGGGTGGGGGCAGAGGGTGTGAGGGATGTGCAACGTGTTTCGGAGAATCTAAAAGCGAAGACGCAAAGTCAGATGTTGTGTCAATGTTTACGATTGATAGAACATCTAACTGACCCTGAAGCTCGGAGGCCTTCCTTTTGTTTGAGGGACGGGAGGATCTGTCGGTTGGAGGGGGGTCTGTCTCTCGTTTGTTAGTCTATGACGAACAGCGAGTGGTAAATGAACGCACATGACGCTGACGGAGATGAATGGGGGTTGGAGAATTGAGGGTAGCGTTGACTCAATTGTGATGGACCTAAAATCACGATAACAGTCGGCTTCCTCTCATCGATTAATGGCAATTGGAGAGACGAACCAGAAAGGTTAGATGAGGCCTGAATCTGCGGCAGCTTCATGTTGAATTGTGGGGTGTGGTCTTGCGAATGAGAATGGACCGAGGAGGTCGGAGGAAGTGTCGAGGTAGAGGCATGACTAGGGCTTGCCATCCGGGATTGTTCTGCAGCTAACCGATGCTGCCAACTAGGCGAGCGCGCTATGGGTATCCGAGTCTTGTTAACAGGGCATCAACCAAGTAATCAAAGGGGCTCTAACGTTGTCCAGGTCCTTCTAGTCGAGATATCGACTGGCTCCGACTTCTCACTTCTACTGCCTCCTTCCCTTTCCCTTTGTCTTGAATTTGGCCATGACCGACAGACCACCGCCTGTTCTCGAGTATAAGGGCGTCTAACAGCAAGTCATTTCAGGTGCCAGCCATAGCAGAAAGCGTGTAACTCACCGTCAGCATGTCCCAGAGGCTTTATCCAACTCGGGTGGGGTAGTAAGATGGTCCCCCGCTCATTCCTCGGAAAGAGGTCGACCTTTAGATGACAATCAGAGCAGCGGCAAGTTGGGTGGTGTTGGGTTTGTTGAGGACGCTGGTGTAAGGCGGAACGATACATAGGCATTTGCACGGATGAGGTCGACCCGCTGTCAAAACCGGGCGCACTCATTTTAAGAGAACCCAGATTGGGGTAAAAGGACCAAAAGTCGAGGTGGACTCCGGGACTTTTGTCAGGGAGAAATAAAGCGATGGGACTGATGAGCTGTGATTTGGAGAAGGCTGTTCGATATGCCAGGTAAAAAAGGGAGGAGAGTGGCGTAGAACCGGTGACGAGATTTTTGGAGTCCATAAGTGAGTTCCATCATACCCGCTCGAATCTGTGCCTTCCACAGGGTGTGGCAGGCGATTCGAGGCTTCATTTGCAAGAATTCATTTGCGGGAACAGATGTCTTGACTCTTGACAAAGGCGGTAAATACCTTTTAGATCGTGTTATCATGGTAACGTGGCCCTGGCGTGCCTTGATCGGTGCTCTCGTGCCTTGGGCCCTGGCGGATACTTTTGGGAATAAGTGGACAATCGGAGTCTACAGATTGGTGCCTTTTATGTTGACATTTCCTCTTCTGTACGTTCTCCGTCCACACCTGTCGTCCACCTTTGGATAATTGTGTCAGCCGCTTGCACATAAGTAGACGCGAAGGAAGCGAGACGGGAGGAAAGGAACAGCCAACAAGACAGCGCCTTGATCGCGACCAACTTGAAGCTAGTCCGACAGGGTGGAACCACAGCTCCCTTCATCATGTCGTTTCGCTCCACCTGTACAAGGCGGTCTCCTTCCTGGAAATTTGTTTCAACAGACCGCCGCCCGCTCGCTATGGGGAATTTGGTCTGAAAAGGTTAGGATGATCATCGCTTGGGTTCGCGCCACGGCATGGGATTGTTCAGTGACCAGTGCCTGTATCAATTCGGGAGTCAGAATTCGGGGATGATTTCGTTCGGACACAATTTTGTGTCCGCGATGGTCCATGAGAGGCGAAGATGGAATTTCTCGGCCCTCTCGACGACGATCGCTTGTTCCTGTGACGAGACAATACCTCCAAACATTCCCCGTTCTCCAAACCAGCGCGCTGTCATCATTACACTTCCTCGAACGTGCTTCAGTCTTCAGCACACGGAGCTTGTTGCGGGCCCAAAGGAGTTTCGCATGTTGAACAGTCGGTGATGGAGTGGGGGAGGATGTACCTCGGGCAGACGACCATGAGCCGAGGTCGCAGAACTGCCACTGCAACTCCCGATATCTCGAAGATTGGGCGCAACATCTAGGGTCTGACGTTGCACCGCGTTTCAATCCGGTTGATCCACGGCTCGACCTGCCCTTTTCGATGGAATCCATACCTATTCACCGTTGTTTCGTCTGATGGAGCGGGTCCAGCGACTGTCGGATTTGGCCAAAGTCAGGACGAAACATACCCACCGTAAAATGTGACGTTAGGAGCAGAGTATTTCGACCCTGCAACTGTGAGTTTGTAGACCCGGTCCGCCTTTCGGATGGACTATAGATGGACTATCAAGGTCAACGAGAAAGAGATATCCCAGTAGGCAGAAACAGTACGTCACCTAGTAATTTGAATGCATGCATCTGACGAGAACAAGTGTTCATCCAAAAGTGTACACATTTAGGTACCTGAGATGACGAAAACCTCTTGTCAATAATAGGCCAGTAGCCGCCCTTCCAGGAACTGAACAGAACAAACCATCTTCGATTAGAAAAAAGAAATCACCCCAACTGGATATCTACAGACGTCCATCGACCCTGTCCAGAGTGAGCGCTATCAACTATCGCGTTGCTATGGGCGTCTCACGTCTGGGAAGATTCGCATTCGCGCTCCTCGGTGGACTTTAGACAATTGAAGGTTAGAGTAGCAATTCAAGATGCAGCAATTGCGGCAACACCAGGGGGCGGGAGTGGCTGGCTTCTTTCTCTCATGCTCATGGATCAAAGAAGCCATGTTGGGTTCTATTCTCTTGTGAGCTTCGCGCAGATGTTCGCATGGTTTAACCCAAAGGGCTATGGTTAGTTCCATTTCAGCGCTATCACCTAAATTCACGCATCTGATAATGGCTTCTTCGGCTCCCAGCAGTTGATTGTTGGAGAATGGCAGGACGACGGAGGTCTCTGGCTTGAGTCATGCACGGGGAACCGAAAAGCGTTCCTTGTAGTAGTACATGCTAAGCTACTTAGGCTTTGGGTCCTGACTTGACCTTCGTCATTTTCGCCTTCTATGGGAGTCTGGAGGGAAAGATTAACAATACGAGTACATTCGACTTTTGCGGCAGGCATGCTCGAGGACAACGTCAAATGCATCTTGGGAGCTTGATCCTTTGTCAACGGACTGTCAGGCTGGGCTATACAGCTCCCAGGAACATACCGTCTGAACCACCCCTCCCTCGAGCTTATTGCATCATATTTAATTATGTATCGTTGAATATACATGAGAGATAGGCCCTGTAGCCCCTGCGCTAACCATACCAAGTCATGGAAACGACGGGAATCCCGACCCGACGTGATGGAAGAGAATGGTGACGCACAGCGGTGTCCGACTTAGAAGGAAGCGGGCCACCATCCCGTACTCTCTAAAGACGCATCTCGGGACACAACTTCTAGGACACACGTTAATGAAATACCGCCGTAGGGAACAACGGGACGAGGAGCCGCAGCCACTGACGAAAGCTTTTCTCCCTAGCGCTAAGCTGCAACCAATGCCCCACTTCCCGTTATTCGTTGACAGGAGTGGCACCACCAAGAGCGCATCCACCCCAAACTCCTACCCGTAGCCGTACACGGTCGTCTATTATGACCGCGTCTGACCTACATATGGGTCGGTCTTTGTCGTTCTATATGATATCGTTTAGAGACTTCACAGAAACCACGCGAATTTGGCCTATGTACGCCGATGATATATCGATGATAGGCTATTCGCCTTGTCCGACACGGCCAGGAAGGTCGCGTGCGCTTAGACATAATCTCGGTGGTGAACATCAAAAACGTCCCCCAATCTCTCGCCCCCACTGTAGGCGCAGTTGGATCGCTTCCTAAGGGGAGTGTTCATCTCGTATCAGGGAGAAAGTTATAGCGTAGACGACCGGTTTGGTAAAGACAGGAAGACTGGGCCGAACTTACGAGAGAAGGAAAAAAAAAAGCATGTGCATGTCGAGCTTCCGGGTGAGTGAAAGCCCTCAATTTCAAGTTAAGCTTCTGTTCTTGGTCGTCAAGAGTGGAGCTACTACCCGCCGATGTTGACATGCACGCACGAGAGTCTGTTTGTAAAAGGGCGAATTACACTAGCAAATGGAGTACCGGTACCGCCTCCGTGACACTACTCCCCCGACCACAGCGCGAGCAGAGGATAGATGTGTGACCCTAGATCTCAACCGCGTTTGTCTCGCACTCCGCCATCGTAAACTTTGACAGAGACGCAGAGACCAAAGAAGAGGACTGGATGAACGGTTGTTCCAGTCGATTATGTACCGTATCCCCACATGTAGACTGTGCTTCTGCGTCTAATTTGTGGTTTACCTCAGCTCAAGGTCGAGACGTTCAGAGATTGGCTGGCGTTCGCTGAGATCTAGCGCGAGCGCTGAGTGTTACTACTTCCAAGGCAGCGTGATGCGACTTTTGCCTGATTGATGGAGAGTTTGGGGTAGGGAACCGGTTCTGAGATGCCCGTGCAGGTAAATTGGAAAGGGCAGTAGGACATTTGAATCGCCTTCACGGTGTCAGAGGTACCGGTGACTGGAACCGCACCAGATCGCGACAAGACCACACGAGACTGCCTGCCAAAAATACCCCATGTGTGATCTGTGTTGACTTTCCTCTTCCGCAACCATGCTTACTGAGGTAAAAAACGGCTCTGCGGCAGCTTGACGAACTTGAAGGGCCTGGACTTCCCGCCACCCAGCGTTCGCAACCAAACCAAACTGGGATAGTCTTGGCACTCTCACACTTTCCAAATCCGTGGCAACGCTTTCCTCTTTTGTCAATCGCGCCCGACGATCGCGACGCGGCCGCCGACATTTCAGCGCGCGTCCGTGCTGCCAGTGCCAAGACGTCTGTGAATTGACGCTTGCGCGGAATTTCTTCTTGAAAACAGTTTGTTCTTGAGAGAAAACATGGCACATAGTCGACTCACGTAAACTCTCCGCTCTTTTCGGAGTTCTTTTCGGAGTACACTAAGGCTATACACCGGTCGAGTTGCTTCCCTAACCAAGACGCTCTTGGCAACCTCATTCCATACGGACCCATAATCCACCCTGTATCCGATGCATCAGCCTTTCCTCTGGACGTATCAAGTATGCAACCAACCTTGACAAATAGAGTCAAATTGACACCAGGCCAAATCTTCTCCTTGGCCTGGAGACCCTCCTTTCCCTTCCAGGCAGCCGGAGGAAGCGAATCAGCCGGTTGAGCATCCAGGGCGAGACTGAACTTCGAAAATTGCTGAAGGAGTCGAATAAGGAAGAACGATACTTCGTTGTAGGCGAACTGGATGGGTGGTTAGTGGACGGTGCCGTGTGGGTGTGCAGATTGCTTACCTGTTGACCTAGACAGATACGAGGACCGGCGTTGAAAGGTGAAAAGATGAATGGATTGGGGATCAGATATCGATGAAGTCGCTCGTCGAGGAAACGGTCCGGATCAAACTCGTCGGCTGAAGAGTGGTCAGATGGTATCCGGAGCTGCAGCCTATGGTGGGTCGTACCGTCAGGCCCCCAAAGATCCTTTCGGCGCTGCATGTCCACAACGGAATAGATAACTCTAATTGGTAGTTAGTACCGATACGCCCACAGAGATAAAGATAAGGAGAACTGACTGTGTCTTCGCAGGAACGAAGATTGGCTGGGCGCCGTCCTTTGTTGTGAACAACGTGTCGTTAATGGCCTGTCGATTGTTGATAGGGCTGGAGATCGTGTTCAGCAGTGCCCAAATATGGGTTGGCCCAAGTACTCACACGGGAGGGTAAAGTCGGAGGACCTCTGCGTTGCATGCTCATTAGTTCATGTCGCATCTTCGAACAGAAAGCGCCCCGTACCATTGATGAAAGCCCGTAGATACTTCATGTCACGGATGTCATCGTAGGACGGCCTGCCTTTTTCTCCGACCTTGTTGAGTACCTCGGCACGTAGACGTTCAACTACAGCGGGATGCTCAGCGAGCATGTACACCGAGAATGTTAGAGTACAAGCAGTCTGGTGGACCTTTAGAACCGCTGAAGGGGAAATGGGAAGCAATAACGCTCACCGTGTCGCGTCCGGCGACGAACAAATTGAGAAGCTGTTCAACTGACAGTGAGTATTCAAAATCAAAAAAGGAGAATCGGAGACGATGTACCTCGTCCATGATAATACCCTTATCCTTCGTTTGAGAGACCAATTGCTGCAAGAGCGTGGTCGGTTCATCACGTCCACTCTTCTCCTTCTCTGATGTATCACTGTGAGCTGCTTGAAGGGCCGCATCGACCATAGGTTCGATGATCTGATCGACAATGTCTCGGTAGGGCTTGACGAGGTCCTTTGAGAACTCGCGCAAAGGCCACTCCTCGCCGATGACGCTACGCATTGCAACCTCGTTCAGACCATTGAAGAACGCGTTGACAAAAGTGTTGGATGGATGGAGCGTGAACGAGGTAGGGTTGGGCAGGCCTGAGTTCGGAGGGTAGGGGACACTGGCTGAGAGACTGCCCAGTTCCGCGCCAAACAAGAATTTGGCCGCCGAGTCGAGGGTGAAGCGAGCGACCAAGTCCTGCATTGCATCATAGTCAAAAAGGGTGCTTAGTCGGTCATCAGAGGAATCAAACCTGGAAGTCAATGGGATGTCCCTCTGCGAGTCGAGCTTTGCCTCTCTCCAGCGCATCTGTAGCGTGTGCGTCGAAGATGTCGAAATCGCTGATTCTATCTCTGCTGAAGAAGGGTCGGGTAATTCCGCGATGGAACCTAGAGGGTGCGAAGAAGCATTGAGTAAGAGACTTGGTATAGGGAGCGGAATACGACTCACTTCCACATCTCACCTGAGCACCCACCGAGCGGTGTCAATCAAATCGTTGAATGATAAAATGGACGTAACATACCATCAGAGTTGAACACTCCAGTACCTAAGAACGAGTGCATGATTTTGCGGAAGCTGGGACCTGTTATGTGCAGTGTGAGCGAAGATCGACGTCAATGTTCTACTGTAGACTCGCCTTTCTCAAAGTTTTGGAACTGAGTCGCCAGCATCGCCTTTACATGTTCCGGTTCCATCGTCCACATCTGTCACCTATGATTCAGTACATGCTAAGGTTTGTCAGACAAAGAAAACACCTACCTGAACCTCCGAGAGGAATGGTACCTCGTATGTGTAACCGTATTTCTGCGCCCACGATTGCATGATATCGACTGTGACGAGCCGTGTTAGCCAGCATCCGAAATAGGAATCTGCGCCAATGGTAAGGGTGCTTACAGAAATATCCGTTAACGAAGCTCTCGCCCATCTGAGAAATGAGAGACAGGCCTCCGATTGAGTACCAAGCCTCCTCAACACGAGGAGCCAGCCGCGCGGCCCGCTTTCTCGCTTCATTCCAGTTGCGAAGCCTCTGGCAATGTACCGAAACGATATAATGCAGAGGTTTTGCGAGAGTGATAAATGTTACAACTGCCCAAGTCGGAAGAGAAACCAGATCGAAGCGTTGGAGAGCGTGAAGCGCGCCATACGCAAGGAGAGGGGGCAAGACGATTGAAGGTGCGCGTTCGGCGACGAAGAGAACACCAGGCGGCGCCATAGTAATACGATCTGAAGCTGCAGTTATGGATACAGCACAAGCACAGGATACAGCCCACGAACTTTGCCCATGTTGCTTTTATTCATAGCAGAAGATCAAGTATCGGCCCATTTCCGCGGAGAATTTCGGCCCTTTTATGTCGTCAGGCCAGGTTGGCTTGGCACAGTTGGGGCGCTTTGTATGGGTTGGCATGGGCGCCTGTTTGACCTGTAAGGGTTCAAATTGACTGGTAACTCACAGAGAAGACAATCATTAGAAGGATGGAGACAGATTCCAGAGTCTTTGAAGTATGTGTGGTGCCCGATACTAACATTGAGTAGCAGTGTGTTGATCGTACAGCGCAGAGTACTAGGAGGAACTTGACCGGGATCATCAAAGCCGTCTGTGACATAAGAGAATTATCAGCATCCGGAATGGATGCATCCGTCCCTCGCTCCTTCGAGTAAACGGTCTCAGGTTCCAAAAATCGTCCCATTCTTTGAGAAGTGAGAGCAAGTGATGATGATAATAGCTCAGTAACATAGTATTCGTATTCTGAACGATCTAGCACTACTGCCAATCTCCCACGCTACGTCAACCGCAGTTCTGAACCGTCAATTAAACTTTGTCCAAATAATTCTCGAGTGCCTCGTGGTGCATGAGTCTACTTTAAGTCGATTCGAACCTTCGAAAGTGACCGGTGTCACCATCGTATCCAAAAACTAATTAGAAGCTGGGTATTTAAGCGAATACCCCCACTGGCCCGGGCCACATCTCCCTCCCATCCCTCACCTCCGCGAGAGACAAAATGTCCGGCCGTGGCCTGTCCGCTGAAACCATCCACCGCATCCTGAGTTTATGCTCGGATAGCAAGGCTCTCAAGAACATCTCTCTCGTGTCTCGCGAGTTCCAGCACTCGTGTCAAAGCATCCTCTTCGAAAAAGTCGTGCTAGACCCTGGACGAAAGCCCAAGCTCATCGCCTTCCTGGGGTCCGCACGGCGAATCATAACCTACATCCGCGAACTGGATGTCGTTCTCACTCGGGCGTATCCAAGGGCCACAGTCAGACCTCTCACCCCAGCCGTGAAGGATTCGTTCATCAAATTCTTCGACCTCCTGCTAGGTGTTGATGGTAAACCCAGTTTGTTGAAGGCATTCTCGTTGGCTTTTGGAACGCAGACGGACGAGCTGCCGCGTGAAGTTGTGGATGGGACGATGGAGTGGCTCGTCACGCCCGTCTCAAACCTCATTCAACGATCCAAGTGTCTTCGGGTCCTCCACCTCGGACAAGTACCCAGGCTCGACTTGTTGCTGGAGTTGTGTCCTGCCTCCCTGCGGTGTCTCGAGATCATTGTACCGTGTACCGAAGCCATTGCCATCGAGGACGGTAAAGTTTCTTCCCCAGAGACCGAGGTCCCGGAGAAGCCAACGGTCGTCTTGGAAAGCCTCTCCATCCTTGCGCCCCGCCCTGGCTCCTGCAACCCGGATGAGCACGACGAAACTCCAGACACGCTCGATACATACAAAGCGCTCAAAGATACCGTTGGCTACATCACGGTGAAGACTGAAAAAGCGACATTCGACTTGGCTCACCTTAAGAAACTCGCACTATCAGTTTGCCTCACTTCGCCCGATGAGACCAGTAACGAGGCCAAATTCGGACATGTGGTGGACGTCCTTGCTTTGTGCAAAGATACGCTAGAGGATTTCGAGCTGAACTTTTCTGGTACGTGCCACATCGAACTTTGTTCGCGGACTACCCGTCGACTCTGCTGACTACTTTCTCCAGCTCCTCCGACGGCCCGACACCCACCAAATGCCCTCCAGGGAGTCCTCTACACCCTCCCCAAACTCCGACATTTCCACTTGAATTACACCGGGTTCGTGCAGCCTGAGTACGGCCGACCACAGGTACCAACCACTTCCTGGTTGCACACCTTGCTCACCGGCGGCGCTAATGACCACCCACCAAACTCAAACACCACCGGACACCCCCTCGAGAAACTCACAATCTCAATCGACTGCCCATCCGAAAAGTACATGCTCGACGACTTTTCCGAATCATTCAAAACACCCGACCTCGACGCTCTCCTCTCCAACACCCTCCTCTTCCCCACATTTAGATCTTTAGAGTTTACACTAGACTTGCACTTTACCTGGCCGGAATGGGCAGTCTCGAACGAGACGCGGTGGAAGAGGATGACGCTTTTCAACATCAGATTAGTAGAGGATCCGGGGGAGGCGAGTACAGAAGCCTAGTCAGAGGCCGCGATACAGACTCGATCCACGAAACGGAGATTCTAGAAGCGTTCGTGAAGATGGGGTTTCCCGGGCTGGTTGAGGAGGGCAAGGTGTTTGTTACATGGGAGGGAGAGATGGGGTTTACGTCCGAGTATGAGTATGGAGCGATGGGGAGGAGACAGTTGAAGAATGCCACAATTTCCAGCGGGGACGTGGGACTCGGTGAGGACGAGGGCGAAGGAGAGGGCGACGATCCGTACAGGGACGACTACTACCGCGATGACGACGACCCGTATAGGGGTTGATACCAACCTTTTAGTTCGTCGTGATCGCGATTCGGTGGCCTGCGCTTCTCCAATTGCACATAGTATTTCTTGCCATCTTTACCGTTTTCGATCTCTCTTTGAATGAGCGAGTCCATAACTTGCCACATCTATCCAGCCGTAGATAAACCACCCAAAACCCACAGCCCGAAAGTTCCCAATCCCCAAATCCGCCGCCGCTCCGAGTAGGCTGTACATATCACACATCCACCTTGCGCAAATTTTTAGACCGTTAAATTATGTCCACGAATCCACTTTTGCAAATCAAAAATGTATTTATCTGCTCAAACTGTACTCCTCCAACCAGTCCAGAAATCCATCCCTCACTCACTACAAGTTGACCTCCAATCCAAGTTCGACCCTCCTTCCAAAAAACGACTCCCCACCTTCCAAACACAGACACTCCTCCACTCCGACCATGCCAAGACATCCGAGTCCTACCACCAGCACGAGCACCAGCACCAACACGCACATCACATCTCATCTCATCTCAATTTAATATCGAACAGCATAATCAATAGGAGACTTACTTGATATATTTCAAGGAAACTAAGAAAACAAGAAGACGGCACATCTATCCCAAAAAACCTAACAAAACGAAAGAAAGAGATAATGTTCGAAGGAAAGAAAAACTTGAAGGATTGAAAGGAGTGTTTTCGACTACGGTAGCCATGTAGTAACATCTGACGAAAATAAAGACCTTTTCAACAACGTACGATTGCAGTGGGTGGAGGGGAGGTGAAGGGGGATTTTAGACCAAGTAGCGTTTGGTGAGAGAGGAAACGACATTTTGCCAACACGGGGGAAATTTAGCTATCCTACTCTTAAGACAATTTAAGAAGAAAGATTTTAGACTAAGTACGCGTTCAACAAAACAAAAAACAAAGAGGCGAAAAGCGCAAACCAAAACCAAAAAAACGATTTTAAAAGACAGATTTTTAGAGTACCAACGAAAGAAAAGAAAAAAAAAACAAAAACGAGAGGAGGCTATGTAATCATTCTACACCAAACCGTAGAACATGGATTCGTTAGGAGTCCGTATTATCTAAATAGAGAAAAAAAGACTTCTGTTTCACTATTCTTCCTTCTTCCTTCCTCCTTTCGCTCCCCCGCTCTGCTACCACCACAGCACAAAAACCCCACCACAAAACCCTAACCGCAACACAAAATCCCAAAAACGACAAGTACAACCCCCAACCAACCCAATCACAACCTCAGACTCTTCATCTTCTCCTCCAACATCGTCGAAAACTGCTCACAGCACGCCTTGGCTTTCGCACCACACTCCCGACCCGTGGGCGGCTGTTGAGCTCGAATCACAGGACTCCCAGGAACACTCATACTCCCGCCCTTGCTCACATTACTCGTCGACCTCGAAGGGGACCTCGTCCTCCACCTCCTGCTCGCGCATGACGTTGACGATTCTGATGGCGATGGCGAAGATGATGATGAGGGAGATGATGATGATGAGGATGATGAAGATGACGAAGGAGACGACGAGGAACTAGGAACAGAAACACCCTCCCCCTCATACAACCTATACAACTGATCAACATCCACAACACGGACAACAGCCGTACCATCCAACACCCTCCGGACTTTATCCGCATCCCAGCCGGCCGAGGCGCTCGTGTTGGTGTTCGCGTTCGTAGAAGAAGCCGCAGTGGATGATGTCGTAGCTGAGCTCGAGGTCGTAGCGGACGAAGAAGAACGAGGAGCCTCGAAATGCCTAACCAACGCACTCGCTCCCGGCGCTCCACCACCCACACCCACACCCGACGACGACGACGAAGACCCAGAAAACGCATCCCAAAACGCCTGCCCAAGCTTCCTAAGAATAGTCTGACTAGCAACAGCAGCCAACATCGCAGCTTGCGCTTGCTCCTGTTGCTGCTTCATCCTCTGTGCCTGTGCGTCTTGCTGCTGTCTCGTCTTCTGCCCCTGCGCGTCTTGTTGTTGCTTCAACTTCTGAGCCTGGGAATCGGCGTTCTTCGAGCGATCCTCGTTGTTCTGACTCGAAACACTACTAGGCGGATGCCGCTTAAAGCTCGCATACCCATAGCCCGTCCCTCCTCCAACTCCTCCACCAAGACCAAGACCCTTCCCACTCAACAACGCACTCAACAACGGCGAATGCGAATAATGATGAAGAGGTCCACCGTAGCCATTCGACCCGTTCGAACCATTGGATCCACCATACGTATTCGAAACATTGCCAAACGGCGTCCTCCCCTCCCCACTCGCAGCGTAGCTGTTCGACGAGGGCGGAGAAACGAACCACGATCGCTGCATCTTGGCTGCCAGACCCGTAAGCTGCTGGTTCGCCTGCTGCTGTTGCGATTGCTGCTGTTGATGCTGCGATAGCTGATGCTGCTGCTGGTTCGCAACCTGCTGAGCCTGCTGCTGCGCCAAAAACATATTCTGCTGGTACTGCGTCGCTTGCTGCTGCGAAGCCTGGTGGTGATGGTACTGCGCAGCCATCTTGCCCCAGAGATGCATCCGGTACCTGTATCATCGGATTCATGGTCAGTATCTTGTTCATACGCTTTTTCAAGAGAAGGGTAGAAGAATGAGAAAGGAGATACGCACGCATCCAAATTCTTCATAGTAAACATATTCGCATCCGCAAAGCCGTCGAAGGAATGGGTACTCGGCCTCTCTCGTTCCCTCTCGTCTTCTTCATCCTCGGTATCACTCTCATTACCCCTAACCCTCCTACTATTCCTCTCACCACCATACCCACCACCAAACCCTCTCAACAACGGATTCATATTCTCCTGCAACCCACCGTACCCCAACCCAAGCCCAACCTTGGCAGCAGCAGGCGTAGGCGTGATACCCGGAATCGACGGCATCGAGCCTGGCAAGAAGGGCGCCGAATTCGTGGGTGAAGACGACATCGAATTCGCGGGATACAGAGGCGACGACGACGGCGACGAAGCCGAAAGCCCAGGTAAACCGCCCCACTGAGGCGCAGGAACAAACGTAGCATGCACAGCAGTAACCCCATTCCCTCCAAACATACCCATCCCATTCCCACCATGACTCCCACCCCAGAACGACTGATGGTGGTGCCCTCCACCAAGTCTCGGCGAAGTAGGTAAATCCTTTTGCGTATTCGGCTTTACGACGTTGGCGTTGGCGTTGTTGTTTGCATTCGCATTGGGAGTCGTCGTCGAGGAGGCAGAGGCAGCAGCCTGCGCAGCCAACACCTCCGCTGCACTCTTCTCCGGAAGCGGTGCAGGAGGGGGGAGGTCCAAACCTTCAATCGTAGTCTGACCACCCGTCGTCGTCGTCATCGTCATCGAGGTCGAGGCAGACGCCGTAGACGATTGGAGAGAATCAAGAGGCAACCCCCGACCCTCCAACAACACCCTCTTCAAATTCTCAACCTCCCTCCTTAACGCCAGATTCTCACTCCTGCTACTTCCCAACTCGGTCCGGATAGCCTCCAACAACCTGTCGCGCTCGGCGATATCGCCTTCAAGTGTCGAGATGTACTCTATCAAACATGATATTAGTTCCTATACGAAAGAAATAGAGAGATTGAACGCACCCTTCCTCCTAACCCTAAAATTCCTCGCACTAATCTTATTCCTCAACTGCCTCTTCTCCTTACTTGTCATCTTGGCAAAGACTTCAGGACTAGGCCTCCAATCCGCAGACTGCCCTCCAGCAGCATCCATACCCGAAACAGCATTCCCGGAACCAGGGGTCGCAGAAGCAGAAGTAGAACCTAAACCTAAACCAGGGTGACCACCCTCATTAACCATATCCTCAAACTCATCATCACCAAACTCGCTCATACCCCTTGCTTGTGAAGGCGTCGAGGCGCCTGTGGTGGTACCGCCGACCATGGCGGTAGTACCTGCACTAGCGTTGGCAGTGGGAGATGCAGTCGATGAAGACACAGCAGCGGCAGAGTTGGGCACGACGCCCGTAACACCACCGCTAAATGTCCCCATAGGAATCGCAAATGCAAACTTTTTGCCGATACCCAGATCAACTGGTGTGAGGTTGCGTTGGCCGTTGGGAAGTGGGGGAGGAACGATGCCGAGACCTGAAGATGAATGTGGAATGCCGTGCTGGACCGGTGGCCGAGGGATAGTAGTCGTTGGCGTTGATGATGTCGATGGGGTGCGGGTATGAACAGGAACAGTAGATGTGGGTACATTGGAAGGAGGCATCGTCGTCACAGGGGCCGGTGCCTCGAGATTAGGACCAGCACCGGCAGCGATGACGGGCGCGGTGACAGTAGTTGGGACCGCAGCAGGCAGTTGCTGCTGCTGCGGTTCTTCAACGGCGGCAGTCGCAGCTTTCCTTCCCTTCTTGGCGGATTGGGACGAGTTGGTTGCAGCGGTGGCAGCTTTCCTACCTCGCTTCTTCTCGGGAGCGGGAGAGGACGCGGTGTTCTCCTTATCGCCGGTGACGACAGGGGCTGATGCTCCAATGAGGCCAAGTGCGCTACTCGAGGTGCTAGCAGAGGCGGCGGCGCTACGTTTGACGACTCCACCGCTAAGAACTGTGCCGCGTCGACCCAAGGCAGTGCCTCGCCCACCAACCTTGACAGGCGCGATGGTGAGAGTGAGCTTTTCCTTCTCAGAGTCAGAGGGCGATTGTTTGGTGCCGGGTGGAGAAGGAGCCGATGCGGGCGAAGATGCGGCAGACACAGCGGCCTTGCGCGCGCTGCGCCTAGTGGTCGTGGGTGGTGAAGGGGCAGTTGTTTTTTTCGCACGAGCACCCCTCGACGCTGCTCTTCTTCCTCTCGTCGAGCGAGCGGTTTCCTCGCCCATGTCATCATCGCTCCCTTCTTCTTCCTCTTCTTCCTCCTCCTCGCCTTCAGCCTCTTCATTCATCGCGACTAGAGGCGCGGGCGAGTCGACGAGTTGTGGGTTGATGCCGATAGGGTTGAGATCCATGTTGATATTGTCCTGGATCATGGCGTCCATACCGATGCCCATCGCGGACATCATGTTCATATCCATGCCCATGCCCATCATACCACCCATCCCATCCAACTCCATCCCTCCAAACCCAAACGGCGCATATCCACCACCGCCACTATTTGCGCCGCCACTCGAGTTGGATGGCGCAGAACCAGAGCTACTCGCAGTCGATGCGCCATAGCTCTCCTCCAAACCCGTCATGAACGACCCAAAAGCATCCTGGTCGCCCATGCCAAAGGGCGCGCCGTCGAAACCCTTGACGCCGCTCATGGTGCTGAGACTCATGGGGTCGTCGATGCCGGAATCGAGGAAGCCAAAGAGATCGTCAGAGTCGTCGTTCGAGGCGACTGCGACGCGGGATTGGGTGGCGGTGTTGCTGGAGGCAGACGAGGAGGTGGAGGCGGACAAAGGATTTGAGGATGATGATGCTGATGAGGGCCCAGCGGTGGATGATGATGCGCCTTCTGGGAAGCGCTCGCCGAGGGAGTGGTTGGGGGGAGTGGGGAGCGGGGTGGGCTCGCGCGAGGAGGGGCTGCTCGAGGCGGACATTGAAGAGGGGGAAGTCAGGCTAGGCGTCGAGGCTGGATTGGAAGAGTTGGCCTGGTTGTTGGCGGAGAACAAGTCAGAGTGGAGAATGTCGGCGACATCCCAGGGTTGGTGGCCATGGCCGTGGTGCTGGTGGTTGTGCCGGAGATTGTCGACGAGCATCCCGTCGTAACCCAAGTCTACTATTTACCTGCCAAAATCAGAAACAGTCTACGGGGAGCGCAGGGGAAAGACAAACTTTGGTATCGATTTCGATGCTGTTTGATAAAGAAAAAGAAAGGTGTGGTGCAGGCGTAGATGAAAGAAAGAAAACAAGCTGTGGATTCCTCGACGCCATACTGGCCCCGCGTATGACTAAGAGTAACTCCTCCCATATCAGGAAACCCTTCCATCTCTTTCGAACGCCTTCTACTCCCTTACAACCATCCTCTTTCCTTCTCTCAACACGTTCCAACTCGCACAACACACCAGATAACACGTTTAGACTACATACAAGGTCACAAAAATAAGCGAGAAGAGTTTTTTTTCACCAGAGTCAGAAAATTGGGGCGGAGTTTGAACTCGGTGCCGTCGAGCTGACGCAACAGACTGCGCAACGCTTTCTCGTCTCCTTCACGATCGGGGTATGATCAATGCAATGATGTCAAAACCACCGTCGTCTCAAACCCGGTTTCCATTCGTCTCCGCAATCCCTTCAACGCGACGCTGTTTTCGACTCTCCGGCGGATGTCCTCCTCTCCCTTTCGTCTAATGAAATACATCGATTACGAAAAGGCGCATCTAATCTTTCAATCGACAATCGATGCCTCGTGGTCCAATTTATCATAAACGCCAGGCGATCCATCGTTTAACGCCTGCTGCCTCGTGTCCGGTTTAAACGCTTGCTGCCTCGTGCCCCTCTGTTGGACGCCAATTGCCTCGTGTCCCTTCTAAACGCCCCTCCTCTGCAACAATCGTTTCCAATCCTGTCCTGCCTTGGACCTTCTCCCTCGGATCTTCGTCCAGCCAACTTCGATCCCCTCTGAACATGGCTTCGATGCTCCCTGGAATCGGATTGGATACTCCCTATACCTTTACTGTGCCTTCGATCTTCCCTCAACCCGACTTTGATGCTCCCTGAACCTGGCTTCGATCTTCCCTTCCTGGACTTGACTTCCCTCCTTCCCAACCCCTCTTCGATCTGAGAAACTTTTCGTCAACGGTTCACCCGGGCCTGCTCCTCTTTCAAGTTGTTATATTATGTAGCGGCAGCCTTGGACTTCTTCTTCGAACATACCCTTCTCCCTCGTATCCTACTCCCGGAGCCTCCCTCGTACCTGTACCTGAATGACGGACGCTGGCATGACTGTGGCGTCTAAGGCTGCCTTTCGGGGTCTTCCCCGGTCCATGTGTTTCAAAAATTCGTTTATTAGCTCTCGTCGTCTTGCACCTGACTCAACTGTACTCCCGCACATGGACTCAACCCTCTCCCATTCTCTACAAACGCGCTACAAGTCTACTGGAATCAGACCTGACTCGCTGGCACAGCTTCCTAGTTCTCCCGGCCTAAGCAGGATTTCCCTGTCTGTCGCGATATGCATCCGAAGTCGTACCCCGCTCCTCCGAACGAAGGCCAACCCATCGATCCGACGTCGCATCATATATCATATATTAAACTGGAACAACACAACATCCCCCCGAGTCGCCCAGTCCCGAATCCAGACAGAACAAACAACGATTCGGAGTCGGACTTTCGGAATTCAATGATGGAATGGAACAAAGGGAATTGCTTGCTAGATGTGACGTTTAAAGTCGAAGTATGTACCCTAACACAACAAAAGAGCTAAGAATTAGTATGGGCAAATATCAAATTCTGTTCCTGCTTATTCCCATGTCTCTTCTGTCTTTTGTTTCTTTACTTTATTTCTTTCTAGGGACCTATGTACCTATCCAAGCGATTCGGATTTTTACCTCTTTTTCTTTTTGACTTTTTGATAAATACTGTATCGTTGGGCGTCACTTCCGCTTTCCGCTTTCTGCTTTGTACTTTCTGCGCCCTGACACCACACAGACAAACTAAACACCAAAACTCCTCGTGCACGATCATGAAGCGGAGAGCGTTTCGAGGCGTCGAACGTCGAACGTTGAACATGCCATTCAGTCATCAATCCACAGAGGTACAAGTATCCACTAAAACTCAGAAGCAAAGATTCAAGCATGCAGTGGTCACACCTCTCGGACGATACTCGATAACCCTAGACTTGTATATCTACATATATTTGTTCCCCCATGGACGACCAAGTAAGTCACGTAGCTACTATATCGTCCCTTACCATCCATCCCCCATTTATACTCAGCTGTAACATCGAGTTTTGTCATACTTTGAACCAACACCATTCCGGGTCCTCGAAACGGTTCAATCCAATTAATACGAGTATATGTGCCTGACTACAAATCCTTAGACTCGGACGCAGCGGGCCAAAACTTAGACCGACTCCGAGCCCTGAGGACAATGGGCGGCAAATTCAGCGACAGCGGCCGCACATGGATGGTTTGCGAAAGAAAACCAGTTATCCATGCAGCATGTCAGAATGGATGACACCTCGACGTCGAACGCGTCTGGACAGGCTGACTTCGATGTGGCAGAGGGCTCAGGAGGAGGGTACTACGAGTGGAGGATCTCCCGGTCCTAAAAATCCTCAAAATCCGAGGAGGCGAGCCCCTAACTTGGCGGGGATGGGCGGCAATCAAAAGTGTGTGAGAACGATCAATGAGGTTCACGTCGTCGCGTCCCAAAGTAAGTTACCTTAACCAAATACTCCCATCTTCAGTTTCAACGTCCATGACTGCGATTCCAGCCCACCCAACAGGGATGAACAGAACCGTCCTGCCACCCGAGATAATCCAGAAAATCGGTAGCGAGGTACGTTACAACTACTGCTTATACTACAAGCGTGTCGTGTGGCTGATTTTGAGCCTTGTGCCACTCAACTCGACCTGTGTACCTGGCTGGTGTATTGTACCGCTGTCGTCCCGCTGGACCACGAAATAGGCTACGCACCAAGACATCCTCGCCCTCCGTCTAACATGCCGCTCGATGGCGCTCGCGCTTCAGCGCATGGCTCTCCAACGCCTCGTACTCATCCTCGAGCCTCGTAGTTCCAACGGCTACCCCCGGAGTTCCAGTTCCACCATCGATAGCGATTTCGACGTTGACAAGTTCGCGTCCAAATTGCGCAGCCTCTGCTGGGACGTGAGCGCCACCAAGTGGGTGGTTAAGGAGATGGAGATTAGAGGGTGTGCGGTGCCACTTGTTGGTACAAGTGGCGATGGAGATGGAGATGGTGAGGCTACCGAGAAGAAGCAGAAGGAGGAGGAGGAGGAGAGGAGGAGCAAGTGTGAGGGTGCGATGAAGCGGTATTTGAAGGGCGCCATTATGGCGTTGCCGCGGTTGACCAAAGTCGAGTACGTGCTCATCCATTCGAGGTGTAAGTAGTAGGAACGCTAACGAACGCCACCTATATCATGTGCCACTCGTTGGACTATGTAGATGGACTTTATCCAGGACGCACGACGTCTGGCCAACGAGACTGATCACCCAAGCCCTCCTCGAAAAAGCGTCCCAATTCACCTCGCTCACAATCAACGCCTCGCGTATCCACCTCCCGTACTTCCTCTCCAACGACCCCGACAGCAACGAAAGCGTCCTCATGCGCATCCTCTCATACAAATGGGACTTTCCCAATCTCAAACACCTGAAGGTGAAGCTACCTGAGCCGGGGAGCGCCAGCTCCTCAGGGCCGATGTTCAGCCGCCGAGGCTCGTACTACGAGGTTCTCCACTCTCAGGCCGCTAAGATGTCATATTTTGTCCCCTGGCTCGCGAATTTGGTCGGCCAGTGCGCGGGGGAGGTGGAATGTTTGGAACTGGACGTGCCGAATCATGAGGTGCATCTGGGGACGCTTGTGGGCTGGGGATGTGGCGAGCGATTGGAAAGGGTGGTCCTGCGCTCCAAGGGGTGTTCGCGTCTCCCGGAGAAAGGGAGTGGTAGTAGTAGTAGCAGCGGCGGTAGTAGTGTCAGAAGCAAGTTGTTGAAGTTGGAGAGGGAGTTTGGGAGGTTAAGGGAGGTGGAGTTGGAGGATGAGAATGAGAATGAGAATGGGAGAGGGTATGGGAGGACGAAGAAGAGGAAGGGGAGGACGCCTTGGGAGGCACTTGAAGAGGCGAAGATGTGGGTGACTTTGGTTCGCAGTACTCCGGTCAGTGAAGGCCTTTTGGCATACCTGACTGCACACCCTGGGGCCTTGGAATCTCTTGCCTTTGTTCACCTTGCCTCAGAACATACCGAAGAGGAGCAGGACGATGGAACAGACCGCCTTGCGCAAACATTCTGGTCGAGTGTTCTTCCTAGGTTTAAGAAGAGTTTGAAGAAGCTGGTGGTGGAGACGCAGTACGAGTGTGGGTGGTGTCTTCGGAACGCTGGAGTGAAGTGCTTGGCGGGTTTCGAGAGCCTCGAGCATTTGGAGATTCCGGTGCATACTGAAGCCGGAGTTCTGCTTGATGAAGAGGGAGGGTCGGTGTTTATTGTACGTGCCCCTTCGTTTCACTTCTTATTCATTCCATTGACTGACATGCCCGCTCCCATAGAGGACGTTGTTAGACCTCCTAGCATCTAGCAACCCCTCCTCCCCTGGACCAATGTCCGTCCTTAAACTGCAGTTCTGCCAGACTCGATCTTATTTTTATTACGTCCCAACTGGACAGAGGAAACGCGAAGCGAAAGCGAAGGAGGCGCTGGAGAAGGGATTGGAGAGGTATTCATGGAGAGTGGAATCCGGGAATGCAGTGGGACAGGACTTTGAGCCTTCGCTTCCTTGTAACGTCGGGGTGGGCGCTTGTGAATTTCAGTTGAAGAGCGAGGTGAAGGAGGGTTCGGGAGATGTATGGTGGTCGTATACCCGAGTTCAAGTGGAATCCGATACTGATAAACCGGCGTATGGACCAATTCCTGGTTCACCAGGGCCTGATTCAGACGATGATTCAGTGTCCGAGGATAGTGTATAGTTGTATATACAAGTCGATGTGTTTCTTTCGACCGTCAATGAATTATTCCTACATCATTGCTCTGTTGCGGAGTTGTGACCAAGTTGAGGGATTACGAGGATTTACGCAGTAAATGTTCGTTCCTATAGCGCAAATTTGCGCCTTTTCCACTATGCCAAGTAATCGACCTTCCCAGGAACATGTGATCGGTCCCTCCCTCGTGGTTTCAAGTTTGAGCTTCAGTTAGGTGTACGACGCGACGCGTTGTTTGTGCTGGCTTTGTTCCACCGCACTCCTTTCCTTTGGGGAGGATTAGTATGTCCTGAAGGTGAGTCGTGACAGGTGAGACCTAGAGGCTATAGGCCAGATTAGATCAGATTGGATTGGATTAGATTAAATCACGTTATGCACTAATCGCCTCGTTCCTGTCTCTTGGGTCTAGACTCTCCACTATGAAAGAATACAGACTGTCCACTACATAATCTAACGTCGTAACGAGAGCTGTGTAAGTATCCCATTCTATCGAGTCTGGTCAAATGGGGGATCACCTCGAACCATGAGTATGGCAGTGATAAAGTGAAAGGGCCTGATATGGTCAAGATACTGTTCAGTATCGAAAGAAGACAGGTGACGCTGGGGTTCGAGCCACGGGACCGTTGACGGGATAGACGCCCGTATAATACAGGGAAGCTACGACTGGGACGGATCCACGGGCGGCTGTCTGCCCTACCTGCTTACAGATTTACAGAACAGTGACCAATCACAATTTAAAGGCTGGCACTTAACTTTAAAGTTTAGAGTAGATCACTGGTTACGCTGGTGCAATGCAGACATGTAAATCCGAGTATGTACTGCCGCACTGCAAAGTGGCGGCCCACTATCTACCTAGTCTGTGTTTGCGCCTGTTTGGTCTGCAACGACGAGCACGCGCCATTCTTCGAGGGACGCGTCGAGCTCACTCTTTCTGGCACCGCTCACGGTTCGACGCCAGCGATGATCCAGACAGGACTCATCCCACATGCGCACAACGACCTTGTGACTGACGCTGTATACGATTTCTATGGTTTACGATTGGCGACATGTGGACTTGACCAAAGGTGCGTGCATCCAGTCTTTCTCGAGATCTATACCCGTGCTTCCTCCCACATAACTCAAACATCCGAAACTAAACATCCAAAACAGGATAAAAATCTGGCAATTGGACGAATCGAATGGGACTTGGAGCGTAGAGGACGACTGGAAAGCGCACGATGCTACGATCTCCAAGTTGAGCTGGGCGCATCCAGAGTTTGGGACTGTGATTGCGTCGGCTGGGTTTGATAGGGTTGTCAAGGTTTGGGAGAGGGTTGGGGGAGCTGCTGGTGGTGGCGGAGGCGATCAGCAAGGCTCGAGTTCTGGAGCGGGTGCTGGGAGTACGGGGCCTTCGAGCTCGAGGTGGGTCGAGAAGGCTGTTTTGCCTGATGCACGGGGGACTGTACGAGCTGTCGAATTCGCGCCTCACCATTTCGGACTCAAGCTGGTCTGTAACTCATCCTAAACCTTGAGGTGAAGAATACTGATATATCTTTTTACTTGTGGGCAGGCAACGATCTCCTCAGACAGCGTCCTGCGAATCTACGAATGCCTCGAACAACCGACGCTTTCGGGGTGGCAGCTCCTCGAAGAGATCGACGTGAACAACCTCGTGCCGGGTCCCTCGCCTTCACACCTCTCGCGCGTGCAAAGCGTCGCACTCGCCACCCCGACGCAGACGATGTCCATGACGGGCAACGCGTCCATCCTCGACGGCGCCGCGCAGGCTTTGCAACAGCAGCAGCAGCAGCAGGGCAACCTCCTACCCCTTTCTCGACAGCACGGCCTGGGGAACAGGGAAGCGGACGGCGGGTGGACGATTTCGTGGTGCAAGGACCGGTATTGGGGCGAGGTTATCGCTGTCGGGTCGGGCACGAGTGGGGTTGTGAAGATTGTACAGCTCAACCCGAGGCGGTCGATCGTCCTGCTCACGCTGGATCCTAAACCGCAGCAAGGGGGTGGTACCGGGCCAGCCGCCACGGGGTCCGCCGCGCCGACTCAGGGAGGAGGGGACGCCACTTCCCAAGGCGCGGGAGTAGCTAACTTTGCTGTTACGTCCGTCGCGTGGGCGCCGTCGTGCGGGCGGTCGTATCACCTAGTTGCTACTGGGAGTCGAGACGGCCATGTAAGGATTTGGAAACTCAAGCCTCCTCCGGAGGATGCTGAGCTGCAGGAATGGAGTGCTACTTCTGTTGCTGATTTTGATCAACACAAGTCGGCGGTTGGGAAGGTGGAGTGGAATATTACTGGGTACGTCTCCTCGCCCCTTTGGACTGATTTTGACTGGTTGGCTGATTGGGTGTTTGATTTTTGTGTTATGTAGGACTGTTCTGTCTTCGGCGGGGAATGATGGAAGGATCAGGTTGTGGAAGGCGACGATTGGAAATGTGTGGAGGCCTGCTGGGAGTATTGGTGTTGAACAGTCCAACCCGGACGACGCGGGAGCCAAAGATGGCTCCAAAGATGTGGAGATGAGTTGATAAAATTCTATACCCCCGTTGTATTTTACCCGCCCGCTTGAATGATGCAGATACTCTGATTCTAGCCGAAGTTCCGTTTCGTTCACTCAGTGTAGTCGAAAGCGATAGAACCCGAAAGCAAACGATGATCTATGATTCCACAGAAGATACGACCAAGTATCATTTAAAATCTTCGTCCGTTACTCGTTGACACACGACACGACACGATACAACCCGCGGAAACCCGTCACGATTACTTGCATATATCAGGGCGACTTCCGTATATCATATCAAGGACGTTGGATGGTGTTGACCGTTTACTTCTTGCCAGCCTTGCCTTTACTGCTCTTCACAGCCCCACCGGGGGTGGGGGTGGCTTTACTACCAGCACCAGCACCAGCGCTGGCTGTGGGTGTGGGTGCGTTGGCGGCCTTGGTGGTGGGAGGCGGGCCTGTGTTGGTCTGCAACGCCGATTAGCGAGTGCTCTGATGGTGGAGGGGTGGAACGGGTGGGGAGAGGGGGTAGGAGGCGATGTGGGGGTAGGAGATGTGGGGTGCGAGACGGCGTGGGGTAGGAGAGATGGGGAATATGTATGCCCATACCTTGGCCTTGGAAGCGGGGGCGCTGGTCTTGATTTCCTTCTTGGCGGGAGGCATGCTGGTGTCTGGGACTACGGGATCATGGATGGTAAGTATGTACCACTCCTCCGAAGGAGACTCGGATGAGATGATACTGACTGGAAGTAGGGCTCGCTGGAGAGAAGAGAGGAGAGAGGTCGAAATCGCTGGTCTGGTCCTGAGGACTCTTGGATGAATGAGGTGAGTATTTATACAAACCAAAAAAACGACTATTTAATGATATTGCGCTTTTAATATCTGCTCTTCTTCTGCTCCCAACGCTTATCCGAAGAATACATACATACGACTAACCTTAAGCCTGGGCTTGGACCTCATGATGCATCTGCATCGAACGTGCTCGAACATGTTCTACGCGCAAGAACATCTCAACATGGTAGTACTAGTGTCCCGGGATGGCTCAACCTCTTCATCGATAGATGCCATTCATTGTATAATCAAAGAAGCCAACCTTACCGGTGAGTTGAGTTGTATAAAGTTGTAATGAGCGTTTTTCGCTAAAGAGTTCCTGAGAGCTTCCTTAGCCCTTCCAGCTCAGAGGGTTATACGCTATAGGAAGCGTATCGCTGTCGGACTGGATGATGATGATGATGAGAAGTGTAAGCGTAAGTTGTGTTCTGAAACCTTGCGAACGGAAGAAAGGTTCAAGTTCGGACTTCAGGCCTCAGGGTCGACGCGTTATTTGTGCCGAGCACAGTCGGAATGAGAGGCGAAGGGGAGTCTGCGAGAGAAAGAAGAACAATGGACGAGACGATAAGAATTCGCGTAAGCTCAAAACGTTGTTGTTCAAACGGTTCACATCCAATTAAAGGATAAAACTTATGTTGATTTAGGATCCTACACACTAACTAGGCCATTTGATACAATATTCATTTCTCGACTGCCAACAGCTTGAAATCCGGCGCGCAACCACCCCCCAAAACCCTACTTCAAAGTAACCAACAAACCGTTGATAGCAAAGGTCCTGCACAAATCCTCCACATACGTATACTTGGCGTTCTTATTCGCACCATACGCAATCCCTCCAATCCTGCGTCCGGTGTCATTATTCGCATAATCCATCAACTTCTCCTCATTAGGCCCGTCCGAGTAGATCTCGTGGTTATCCGCAATCTCCTTGGCCTTGGTCGCGCCAATGTCGATGACCATGCGCGCGTTCCAGTAGCAGTGACGGAACGCGTCGCCCCGCCCGTTGTGCAGCGTGTCGCGGGGGAAGAGACGCGCGGCGGCGCTGGACGCGACCTCGGCGTGCCCGTTGGCGGCGACGCAGGCAGGGGCGTTGAGTGGGTTGAGGCAGTAGGCCATCTCGCCGATGGGAGGGAAGTAGTCGGAGTAGCCCTGGCGCTTCTCAACTGCGGGGGCGGCTGAGGCGGAGAGAGCGAGCGCGGCAGCGACGAGGAGGGACTTGAGCTGCATGGTGGTGAGTTGGGTGGACGAGGGGGGTTTGTGGACAGAGGGAAGTGGGTGGGTACTAGAAGTGGTGGCGACTGGCGACGCGACTGCCTTGGGGTGCTTGCTCGAGGGGACTGAGGATCCTCTGCTGCCTTCAACCGACACCAAAACTCGAGCCTTTTATACGCAAGATAACCATCTATTTTTCCGTAAGGCAGGGGAGGGCAGTGAGAGGACCATGCGGGACATTCTCTTGGTGGGTGGTCGACGACAGTCACAAAGAGTCACCCTCTCGAGGGCGGTGTGCGTGAAAGAGACCCAGAAGAATCGACTGGCGCCGGACCCTGGTGAAATGTTTGCTTTTTTGATTGTTCCCATCTTCACAAAGTGGACATTTGGCGGGCTTTGCACTGGCTAGAATGATGTCGGTTTGATGTCGGGGCGAGGGTCTACGACGTCCGCCCTGTGCGCTAGCGTCTAGGAAAGCGTTTAGGCGGTCGAGGAGTCGAGCCTCGATCGAGCACAGGCGTTGGCACTCGAAGATTTCCCGATGTTTTAACGCTCAAGGGTAGCGATGGATAGAGCACAGTAAAGCTCAATAGTGAGGTGAACGGTGTGAGTAGGATGTGGGTCGATGAGAACGTGTGCTAGATGAGAGAAGCCCTTCGAAACCAGAGTACGTAATTGTGCACATGTGACAGGGCAGGAGGTCGTTAGCTGCTTGAACCATGCGACTTGGTTGAGTGAACGGCTCTTGCTGAGACTGAAAAGTCACACAGGATAGTCGCCCGTACCTGGCATCGCATCAAAAACACCGAGTTCAGAGAATTCTCCAGCTCCGAATTGGACTCACGTTCCTGAAAGAAGCAAGGCTTTGATCGACGAAGAAGGTCTTCGTAATTTACTTTATTAAACTTACCATATGAATTCGACGGAGGTGAGGTGGGGTTGTAAGAGGCTGGAAGGGGCCTTGAGGAACTTCTCCACTGCATTGGATTAGGGGAGGATAGTGGAGGAGGCCATTGATATACAATCGATTTTGGAAAGCGCGACCTGTTGGCGCTGGGCGAGAATGGCCCAACGTTCACTAGTGACTGAGAACCGGAGACAATATGAAAGAGAATCAGTCGTAACCTATGGTAAGTGGAAGTGGGCCAAGACATACTTGGAAATAACAAGGTCTTTTTAGCGACTGAGAGCAGAGCCTAGACCTTCGGGATGGACTTTCCAGCGGGGAACAATTCTGCTTTTACGCATGCCGGGAGTCGCGAGAATGCATTGAGAGGGCCCAACGTTCCTGGGCAGTCCATTAAGATTTCGAAGCACCTTGAATGATAGCATAGCACAGCTCACAGTAGAAGGAGGTCCGGACCTCTTCCTTGAACACTTTCGGCGCAAAAGAAATGTCACGACAGTAACAGTACTGCCAGGTCGAAGACCGTATACAGAACCCACGATCTACAAGGGAAAATCGGTCAGAGGCTCCCTTCAATCGGATGTGGAATCGCACTTTCATGAGAGGGCGAAGGCTCTTTTGGGTCCCCAACCGGCCGGCGGGTTATGCCAGTGCAGCTGCGCGACAGGGACATGAAGAATAGCGATCGTAAGGTTTCCAACCAAAATGACAATGGGCCGGACCTGCTGTTGTTGTTAACCTGAGATGGATGCCTACAGGTGCCCCAAATGTTGTGACTCACCTATGGTTTGAGCTGGGTTGTGTGCGATTGGTCAGAAGAGCCAACGCCACACCTGTCGAGCTGAGGGGTCGCTAGGAAAATGGTCGCCGAGGAGATGGTGGCCACTACAGGCGCGAAACTGGAATGCGGAGTCATCCGGAAGACTTGACTAAAGGCAGAGGCACCGCTTCCCCGGGACCCAGAGGCAGGCTGAGCGAGAATGGCGATGGGAGTGACTAGCGACCCTTTTTGGTAGTTACATAGTTCCTCCAGTTAAGTTTGGACGTACGTACAATTTACACTGGATGCAGGGAAAGAGTAGGACTGTCATTAGCCCAGCCTTCCCGGGCCATTCGAAGAATCTGACGATTGGACAAGTGGTAAAGGAAATCAAGGTTCATGGACGCTAGCCCTCGCCGTCGCTATCCACCGATGTTGACATCGGAGATGGTGGCTTACGTATGATGTAGCCAGAACGCCCGAGAACGATACAGACAATGCCAGAGAATGGCACACTGGTAAAAGGTCCTGTATTTCAGGCCGCAGTAGTGGGGTTGCCTTATCAGTCTCCTCTTTCTACAACATTTGCTTACCGGCTTCTCCTTGTTCTAGTTAGTCTCCAGAGTCAAGCGTCGATTAGGTATTGACTTCAAGTTTCAGTTTTTAATACGGAGCGGGCTCTCGATGGCGATGGGAGCGGTTCCAGGTGTTACGGGCGGGATCCTGCGGGATCGCGTCGCGCTCGGGAGGAGTCAGCAGCACGTGTACAAGAATGCTTGGCACAGACAACATCCGGCTCTCCGCTGGTAGTGGTACGAGCAGCAGGCTGCAGCACGGCAGCGGTTTGGATACAAGTCGTCTGCGTTTAACCGGAGCCGAGTGTCAACGACTCACTGGGCATGACAGCCCAGTCCCTCAGCGAGGATTATTAATTTAGTCTCAGACGGTCCATATACACTACTCGAACAAGGTAATCTTATACTGCGTTACAATGTCCTTGTCAGTTCTAACGCGGACCAATCGCTCGACCCAGTATTCCTTTCCAACCGCGATCCCCCCAACCTGGACCTTCCCATCTTTCTCGTTCCATGGCCACTCCATCCTACCCGCCGCACTGAATGCTTCGATTGTCTTCCTGATACTATGGAACTCATTTTTCAGCGTGGTAGGAAACAGGCAGAGACCCATAGTATCCGATTCCATCGCTCCGTTCAAACAGAAGAGGTAACGGACATCATGCCTCGAATGGATCCATTCACGCCCCTCCGGCTCGGTGGACTTGTCCCATTCCAATGCCTCTTGCGGAGAGAGGTAGTCCCATACGTGGGGGAACGTTGCGATAGCGCTGACTTGGTTCCACCCTGCCTTCAGATTAGCGCTCTCCACATGCTTCGAGGACCGCCAGTAGTACCACGACATGGTATTTTCACGATTCATCGAGTCGAAAACAAACGGAGACTTGGATCCGGGAGATCCTCGAGTGAAGAAAGTCGCACTTTCGTACATGCCGAGGTGAAGCTCGAGGGAACTGATCGTTGGAAGGACGCGGCGAACAAATTGGCGGAATGAGATGGAGGTAGGAGGAGCGTTATCACCGACGCCGGGGCCAGAAGTTGTTTCTGCGCTCTTGCGTTGCACTTGCGCCTTCAAGCTCCCAAAGATCTCGTCTGTGGTCGCTGCCGAGTTCGACTGCGACGCAGCGCTCCACAGGGATTCACTCTTCCAAAGTATGGCTTTATCTGGAAGCTCGTCGGTGGCTAGGAGGTACCTCCTTAAATCTTCCCTCGTCATACCAAGCTGTTGCAGTGCCTTCTCTGCTGCCTCGATATTTCGCAGCGACGGTGTAGCCGTTGGACGAAGGTAGTTTAAGGGGTTGGCGAGGGCTGACCACTTGCGCTCTATCATCTCGTATTCCAGACCTTCCGAGACCCATCCCAAAAGTTCCCCAATCACCCCTCCGCGTAACGATGACAAACAGCCAGTCCAAGCCTCGCGAGCATGGAAATGGAGGAGATTTCGCCTGGAAACGCTGTCGCGGTCTCCTAGCATGCCAAGGCGGTGGAGCTTGATGGCCACCTTCTGCAGCCAACTAATCGCCGGCTTGTGAGAAGTCGAGTAGGGGAGTTTGTTTTGAATGAGTGAGTGCGCTTTATTGATGTTCTCCAAAGAGTTGTCGGCAAGAACACGGGATAGCATCTCGTACGCCGTATCGAAAGGAAGGGCCCCGGAATCGTCCCTGATAGGAGCGTCCTCTAGAACGACGTGGAAATGCCACCACTCTACATCCTCCGCCTTTAGAGTCCCGAGCTGCTTGTGTTTGTCTACGCGAATGACATAGTTGCTGTAGACCACCTTCCCCTTGAAGAGGCTGCTGATAGCACCGACAGCATTCTGGTAAATCTGGGGGATTTCCGTGACGTCTTCCGGCCAAAGTAGAGGGGTCAAAGATCCGTCGTCATCGTTAACCACACACAGGTCACCATACTTGTCGATGAAACGACGACACGCTCTGCAGTTGTGGGGTCGGAGTTCTGCCTCAGGGAGATTGTCGAGGAATATTTGGAAGAGTGAGGTATTGGCTTCAGACTCTACCAGTCTAGCGTGGAAGATAGGCCTTTCCAGGGCCGAGTTCCGGACTGTGCGCTGCATCGCGGCTAGGAGATCGTCGAAGGCCTTGTCCTCTCTTGGAGCGACCGCTGGTGGTGGCCGTGTCTGAACGTCGATGATTTCGTAGTCGTCTTCGATTGATGGATTCATGGCTGGGTGCAGCGGTAATGGGCGGTAGGTGGGCGGTGATCTTTACTCCCTTATATACTCCACGATACAATCCGGACGTCGCACCCTGACTCCGAAAGACGAAACAGCACCGCCCAGCGGCATGGAGGGCACTCAGGCAAGGATACCACGCTGATTACCGAGTAACCGCCAAGGCAGTGTCGTTTCGGTTAGTCTGAAGCGGGTTGGAAAGGGAATTCTTCTGTGCAATAAGTATGGTGATGTAAAAGCCACATCACAAGCGCCCGTCGGAAGCCGTGGGAGCCCTGGCTGTGTTCGAGCTGAGTTTCAAACACGGTTCACCTCCAGCTGCGCCGTGGCACTTGAAGCCAGGTGTTGACCAAGTTCAAGCATGAGCCTCCAGTCGCCCAGAGCGTCGGATGTTCTGTGTCTTGCAGCGCTCTGTCTTCTGGGCTGTCTCGTTGTACAGCAGCGCAGGATATGGAAGGCAAGCCATTTCGTTTGGTTTTGGGTGAATCACAAGCTGAATTGAAAGGACAGTCGCGTCAGTGGCGTGTTCAGGACAAATCTCAAGGCCAGAAACCCCATCTTGCACATCTGCCCATCGATTTACTCATCGAAATTATGGCCCATCTCGACTGGTATGACGTGCTAGTGCTTCGCCAGGTGCGTTCCTTGTTCACGATGAAGGTCAACGTCCACATTAACAGACAACTTCCAGTGCTGCCGTTCGCTGCATGCAGCATCGAAAGAGCGTCAAGTTTGGCACTCGATGCTAGTTCAGTACTGCGATACTGTACTTCCGCGGCCCTTTTTCCTTCCAAAACCGTTGGAACACTGCTCTGGCGAAGATCTGGAGCATTGCATCGTGGGTTGGCTGTCTGGATGGGACCATTTCCTCTATCCTTCCCTCGAACTCCGTATTATGGAGTCTCACGCATGCCCTCCTGGTTTTTTTGGTCCACTGCACCCTTTGCCTGGTGGTCGGTTTTTCATTTATGGTGGAAATCGCGGCTCCCTTTTCTATTGTGACCCAACGCAACCCGATCCGACCATGCACCTCCTCATCCACCCAACTAATCTCGAAAAGCCTCGCAAAAGATCTACCGCCCTGGACGTGCTTGGCATCCAAGGGATTGACGGGGAATCAACCGCACTGCGAGACCGACTATTTCCCCGAACCTTCCGCCTCGCCCGTATACTTGGAGCAACTTGCAGCAAAGGATTAATCGAGATTTGGGAGATTAACGCGCGAGTGGAAGGCGGGACCCATGTCGGCTACACCAGCAAACTGCTGAAGGCCTTTTCGGACCATATCTACGTCGGAGATGGCAACTGCTGCTCACTCCTTGGAAGACACGTTGCCTATGTGAGAGACGGGAACCCGAACGGGTTTGATTTGGGGGTACGGATTGTGGATTGGTCATCTGTTTCCGGAGACGAAGATCCAACCAACCTCCCTGGTGTCGCCATCCCGGGACCAACTCCCCCCGTGAGTACACTCCCAAATGTGAGCACTTGTCCCTGACGTCTGTCTTCCGTGTAGTTGATAGTGCTACTCCCGCACAGGAGAATATTAATGGCGGATGACCGCATCGCTATTTGGGATTGGGGACGGTCATGTCCGTCCATAGCTTCACTGGGTACCTCCAGGGGTGCTTTCATCAAGCCAGAGTGGGCACCGTCATCCCCATACATTGGGACACCACCCTTCACTCAACTCTTCTACAATGGCGAATCAATCAGGCTTGTTCTCCCCACCCGGGGTAACACCCTTATTGGGTTTTCCATCTCCACAGACCCAGACAAGGAGGTCGCCAACAGTGTTGAAATGAGTGTCCTGGGTCATGGGGACTTTCGTTTTCAGATTTTTCCGATGTCTTTCCACTATCGCCTGGGCGTACGCCTGGGCAGAGAACTCGACACCCTCATGTGCTACAGGTGGCCAGATGATCCTCCTTTCGTGCCTTCCGCCTCTCTCCTCGAAGTTAACCTGCCCAATAGTGTTCGACGTGAGCGCACCATCATCCACTTTGACATACTGCATGGACAATTGGTTTTCTTTTGCAACCCATATGTATGCCGTCTCCGCTCCTCGAAGATGGAGACGTAGCAATAATGTCCTTATACATTATAGTCCATTGCAAATAAATAAGTAGACCCCATCGTTACTTCATTCCCTCGCGGCTCCCGAGGCACTCCCAAGGTGCTCCTAGACCGGTAAACGATCGGTCACAGGTGTAAGGTGCTCCCACTTCCCCACATTGTGCAATAACTCTGGCGTCACATCACAAGCGCCCGTCGGAAGCCGTGGGAGCCCTGGCTAAATTCGAGCTGAGTTTCAAACGCGGTTCACCTCCAGCCGCACCTGCCGCCGTGGCAATTCCAGGTGTTGACCAAGTTCAAGCATGAACCTCCAGTCGCCCAGAGCGTCGGATGTTCTGTGTCTTGCAGCGCTCTGCCTTCTGGGCTGTCTCGCTGTACAGCAGCGCAGGATATGGAAGGCGAGTCACTTTGTTTGGTTTTGGGTGAATCACAAGCTGAATTGAAAGGACAGTCGCGTCAGTGGCGCGTTCAGGATAAATCTCAAGGCCAGAAACCCCATCTTGCACATCTGCCCATCGATTTACTCATCGAAATTATGGCCCATCTCGACTGGGATGACGTGCTAGTGCTTCGCCAGGTGCGTTCCTTGTTCACGATGAAGGTCAACGTCCACATTAACAGACAACTTCCAGTGCTGCCGTTCGCTGCATGCAGCATCGAAAGAGCGTCAAGTTTGGCACTCGATGCTAGTTCAGTACTGCGATACTGTACTTCCGCGGCCCTTTTTCCTTCCAAAACCGTTGGAACACTGCTCTGGCGAAGATCTGGAGCATTGCATCGTGGGTTGGCTGTCTGGATGGGACCATTTCCTCTATCCTTCCCTCGAACTCCGTATTATGGAGTCTCACGCATGCCCTCCTGGTTTTTTTGGTCCACTGCACCCTTTGCCTGGTGGTCGGTTTTTCATTTATGGTGGAAATCGCGGCTCCCTTTTCTATTGTGACCCAACGCAACCCGATCCGACAATGCACCTCCTCGTCCCGTCGCCTAATTTCGAAAACTCTTCCAAAATATCTACCGCCCTAGACGTGCTTGGCACCCAGGGCATCGATCGGCAATCCACCACACTGCAAGACCGACTGTTTCCCCGAACCTTCCGCCTCGCCCGTATACTTGGAGCAACTTGCAGCAAAGGATTAATCGAGATTTGGGAGATTAACGCGCGAGTGGAAGGCGGGACCCATGTCGGCTACACCAGCAAACTGCTGAAGGCCTTTTCGGACCATATCTACGTCGGAGATGGCAACTGCTGCTCACTCCTTGGAAGACACGTTGCCTATGTGAGAGACGGAAACCGGCACGCGTTTGATTTTGGGGTACGGATTGTGGATTGGACATCTGTTTCCGGAGACGAAGATCCAACCAATCTCTCTGGTGTCGACATCCCGGGACCACATCCCCCGGTGAGTACACTGCCCAATGTGATTACTTGTCCCTGACGTCTGTCTTCCGTGTAGTTGATAGCGTTACTCCCGCACAGGAGAATATTGATGGCGGATGACCGCATCGCCATTTGGGATTGGGGACGGTCCTGTCCGTCCATAGCTTCAGAGGGTCCCTCCAGGGGTGCTTACATCGAGCCGGAGTGGGAACTGTCATCCGCAAGTGTCCGGACACCACCCTTCACCCCACTCTTCTACAATGGCGAATCAATCAGGCTTGTTCTCCCCACCCGGGGTAACACCCTTATTGGGTTTTCCATCTCCACAGACCCAGACAAGGAGGTCGCCAACAGTGTTGAAATGAGTGTCCTGGGTCATGGGGACTTTCGTTTTCAGATTTTTCCGATGTCTTTCCACTATCGCCTGGGCGTACGCCTGGGCAGAGAACTCGACACCCTCATGTGCTACAGGTGGCCAGATGATCCTCCTTTCGTGCCTTCCGCCTCTCTCCTCGAAGCCAACCTGCCCAATAGTGTTCGACGTGAGCGCACCATCATCCACTTTGACATACTGCATGGACAATTGGTTTTCTTTTGCAACCCATATGTATGCCGTCTCTGCTCCTCGAAGACGGATACGTAGCGATGTCCTTAAATAAATACATGCATATCTAACACATTGCACGTAAATAAATCGACCGTCATGGCTTCATTCCCCAGCCGCTTCTTTGAAGATGTCCTTGAGAAATTCTCTTGGGGCCGACATCTGACGACTATAAGCATGCCTGAATTTCAGGCCATGGCCCTCACGTCACTCACCCAGTAGGCAATCAGGGCTACCACAGTCTTTACTCTGTCCCGGTCGAGAGGACCATTACCCTCCCCCGACGTGTCAAGCACAAGATCATAGCTGTCAAAATATTGACATTTCCACTGATCTCGTTCAAGCCACAGGATTCCAAATATCCAATGGATTCCATCGGTGAGGATCCACGGAACAATGTCCACCCTAACATGCTAAATCAGGAGGGCTGTTCAAGGCGGCGAGGCTTTTCATCGAGTCCTTACTTGGTGACATGACTACTGTTTTGTTCAAATTTACAAGAAATTAGTCCTGCTTTCCTAGTCTGAATACTCGAAGGCACCTACGTCGCCATCGTTTCTAGAATCACTTGAGGAAGATGGGTAAGAAGCTCTTTGCGTGGCATCAGTTTCTTTGCTTCTTTCGCCAAAAGTCCAAGGAGACCAGCGGGCGCATCGGATTCAGACATCGCCGTGGCTCTATCCCAGAACTCGACCAAATTCCGAGCGTCCGTCAACTTGGCTGGCGCTACTCCTACTAGTTGAATGTGAGACCATGTGCTCGACTCATGGCTGCAACCGAGAAACTTACATTTACCGGCAGATAGGACATAGTCGACCCGGCCGGTGAACGACAGCGTCTTTCCCCTGCCAGTGCCAGGGCGAGTGGGGAACTCGACCGGTCCTCCTCTCTTACCCTGCAGGTCGCCGTCCGCAATATTCGGTTCAAACAGAACGAAAGCGTCTTTGGAGAGCTCTTTCTGACAGAACCTTGCGGCTGGTACCGCCAAGTGGTCGATGAATGCGCGGGCCCGGGCCTCAGACTAAACGCTCGGCGTCAGTGTTGTGCAAGTTCCGATACACCCAGAGAGCTGTACCTTTGTTCCAGTATTACCGTGGATCCACTCAGCGTTGGCACACAAGACGTGTCCCTCACGCTTCCAGAATGGGTCAAAGGACTTGATAAGTGTCTTGGCTTCTTCCGACTGGGATGTCGGCTGGGCGAGGTCGGCCTTAGGTTCAGACCGTGCTTTTCTCCTGACCTTCACCCGCCGGCCAATGGTGTCTGCCTTTGAGCCCTCGGAGCCCTCTTTGGATACAGTGGGGCGATCGTCCTCTTCTGGAAGGCCTACTACGGTCTCGGGGCTTTCGTTGTTAAGCTCGGTGATGAGGGCGGCAATTCGGGCGATGTGCTTGTCGGTCAAGGCGCCAACCGACTTGGGAGAGATCTTCAACTCTTCCAGGTGTTCGTTCTTTGCACCTGAAAAGGTCACCTGAAATACTCGTTAGCGCAACAAGGCCGCCATACTGGTTGGAAAGGCCGAACCGACTCCTTCGAGTCTTCACTGGCAATAACCTTTATAAGGGCGTTCTGCAGCTTCTCAGACGCTTTCTCCATGGCAGCAGCCGTCTTCGTGAGCTCCTCTCTCTCCTCCTTCACCGTGTCCTCTTCCAGACCGGGGTCGATGTATTTGGCCTTTATTTCCTCGTCCGACATGGAGTCGACCTTATGCTTCGTCTTGTCATTATCTCTGATCCTCTCGATCGTGTCCTTTTCGAAGTCGTCCAATATCGTCGGCGCTGACAATCTGGGGGACCTGCGACGAGTAGTTGGCGGCGACATGGATGGATGGAGGAGGAAAGGGCTGTCAGAGAGGTTAGGTAGAGCAAGAAAGCAGGAAGGGCGCGAACCTGCGGGGTGCAGCAGGTTATAAGACCATACCACCCCTACGTTTTCCTCCTCCTGTTTTCCTCCTTGTCGGAACGAGGCCCTCTGTCGATCACACCTTGGGCGGCTGTAGGGAAAGAAAACCACGAAACGATGGATGACAGTAAGCATGGTAGCCGCTTATAGTAATACAGCACCTCGAGACTGCCATACCCGATTTCACGGTATTAATGCGTGGTACAAGGTCGCTCGTCGTGAATTGAGTCCGGCCATATGCTGTCCACAGCAGGTGGTCGGAGCTTCGTGGAAGATCGACTGCGCTATTAAGAGAAAGCTACGCTGTCTAGTTCATGAACAGCTGCGAAGAGGAGTCCGTCATTGCCATAACCCAAAGCTGAATGCTGAATGTGCAAGGAAATAATAAATTAACAATTAGCCACACGAATCTAACATCGGGTCAAAAAGGCGAAGAAGAAACAAACAACAGCGACACCGAGCATCAAGTCAAGACAAGAAAAAGTGTTCGAAAATGAAACCACTCAAGGGATTCATACAAAACCATCACGCCCGTTTTAAAGTTCTCCATGGCTTCCCCTCAGAAATCATACCCCTCCACCTTGAACACCTTCCCATACTGCAGGTAGCTCTCCATGATCTTGAGAATCTGATCCGGCAGTCCCATGCTGAGAAGTGTAAACGAGATCTTGGCGAACCCATGGATCTGTCCCAACTTGAAGAACGCGCGCGAGATGGAGGTGGGATACTAGACCTATCGTCAGCACTAGACTGTAAAAAAGGAGACATCAAACTCACCGTCATCTCGGTATAGTCGGCGTATTGATATGCAGCGACCCGAATTGCGGTTTGGATCGTCCGCTGGATGTCACCCTCCTCCGCGTACACTTCCATTAGCTTGAGCCATGGCTTCATCGAGTAGCGAGGCGCATCGAGACACCGCTGGTATGCCTCCTTGGCTTCCTCCTTGTGGTGCAACCGCAGCCCTAGGTCGCCCAAGATCTCCCACTCCATTCCTGTCTTGCGGTACGCTACATGCTGGGTCTTGAAGTGTGCCACCTCAGCTCGGAAGATCGTCCACACCCGGAGGTCCTGAAGGATGTCAGATAAGAGATCAGACGACAACAGAAATGGGAGAGATAGGTACACACCTCGTAGAGGACCATGAACAGATTATCCAACCACCGCTCACAGAGTCGCTTATTGCTAAATGAGAAAGCTTCGCCAGTTCCAGGGCTGTTTGCACTGCTGCTCGCCTCGCTCGAACCATCCTGACTCTCATCAGCCGCCGCTTGTTGTGGTTTTTGCACTCCCGGTTTGGGTGCAACAGGCGTGGGGACAATGTCCGCCTCCTCGCCTTCCTCCTCCTGATCCCCGTCCGCAGAGATCTTGATCGTCGGTATCGACGATTCCTGATGTTTGGGGCTAGGCGGGATCGCACGCGTCGAGGCTTTATCGTCCATCGAAGGTCTGACAGTTCCGTCTTCGTGAATCACCGCGCGTCCAGCATCACCGTTCGCAGGCGAATCAGCGCCGTTGTCGACCCCGTTGGTTGTGGCTTTAACTTCGGCTTGCGCTTTTTGCATACGGTATTCCTCCTCCATAACGAAAACACTGCTCCGTGTCTTGAGGAGCTCATCCCATCCGATTTGGGAGACTAGCCGGGTGAGCAGAGCATACGCCCTCGCCCAGGTTCCGCGGAGACCTGGTGCTGGCAAACGAAGAAGGGCAGGATCGGCCTCGTCGTCTTCAGTCTTGATTCGCTCCGGAAGGATTTCACCGATGGATTTTGTGAAAGGGAGATGGATCTTGGAGACTGGAAGCGTCCGATGGGAGTCCCGACCGTTGAATGTGAACATGGGACAAGAGTTCAATGTGAGAAGAGCCTAGCGGAGTTGTCAACGACGGGAACTTTCAGTATGTGTGTGGGTAAACATACCGACTCGTACTGGCCGAGCTCCAAATAGATATCGGTAAGCTTTTCCCAGGTGACGAACTCGCTGGGAGCACAGTTGACGGCCTGCCGTGCGAGTTTGAGGGCCCATTCGAACTTGCCTTTCGAACGCAGGAAGTCGCATTGGACGTGGAGAAGGGTATAAGATTGGGGCGTTTCTCGCATAGCCGACGCGATGATTTGCACAGCTTTGACTTCCTCGTCTATAACGGCGTGTTAGATGGAAAGCGCACGAACTCTCGAATGTACGCACTCATTCCGATGTAGCTTCTTGCCAGTAACGAAGAGACTTCAGGTTCCCGAATAACAAGCTTTTCGAAGAGATTTGCTGCTTGTTGATAACGACCACTGTCTCCAAAGTACTTCATGATCCCCGCGGTGAGATGATTCGAAACGACGGTTGCGACCTGGATTTCAGGATCAGAGCCCACTTGCCAGCCCTTGGGGAACAGAGCCTCTGCTGCCTGGAGGAATCGAAGTTCGCCTTCTGCTGTTGTAATGGGATCCAGTTTCCGATAAGCTTCAAGCGCGTAGGTGGGGTCGTCCGAGTACAGAATGGCCCTGAGCAATGCTGATACGTATGTCTCTTGCCAAATTTCCGCTGTCGCTTCGTGCCTGTGGGTGCCGTGTCATGAATGTCCACTTCGATGTAGCGATTGCCGTACCGTTCACCGCGCAGATCGATCACATATGCATGTACACCTCCAGGGATCTTAACGTCGACTCGCATGTCGACTCTGGAGAATGCATTGAAACAGCTTTCAGAAGTCCGTCAGTTCCTCGTCTGACCAAGGCCTCCGGGGACGAACGCTCACCAATATGTCCCGCTTCGCACTTTCCATGTCGCCGTCGTCGAGAACCAAGCAGAAGTGTCTTCGATAGCGTATGTTAACGAGTTGATATAGGCCGCTAACGACGCAGAAGACGATGCATCGACTCCAGAAACGTAGTGATAGGATCCTGTCTATAGACTCGGTTTAGATTAGCTCTGAACTGCGGTCCAGAAGGCATACCTCTCGGCCCCCGCTCTTTCCAGTACTCTTTATAACATGGCACAAATCTGGAGGTCCAAGTTCACGAAATGTACCTGTCGAAAGTCGTATTTAACGTTGGGGATAGCCTGGTTTATAACGCAAACGCGAACAACGTACTGAGAGCCTCGGTTCGCGCTGTGATGGATTCCCCTAAGTCAATCTGTGACTTATAAGCACAATTTTGAAGGCGTTGGGATAAATCTGACCTCAATAAGTTCAGGAATCTCCTTGAATAATGCCTCTGGCGGTACCGTCATTGTGGTTGGAGACAAGCACCGTTGGGTATCATGATTCTGCTGAACGCGCGCTGGCCCAGAGGGTTGTTTGTCTGTGTTAAGATCGCAAGGCAATGCAAAGCGAAGGCAACCATCAACGCGTCTCTGCAACGGCAAAATTCTTTTTTTCTTCTTTAACCACGACCGCCACATTGGTCGTTGTCGATTCTAATGGTGAGTTCTCCTTTCAATTCAATTTCTTAATCTACAAAAAGATGAGACCTTATGATCTGTCAATCCACTGAACGAGCCTGGAACTCGACAAATATGTGGAATAATTATTTAATCCTAGTTATTCTGAGCTTTTTGCTTTCTTATCGAGAGATCTTTCGACTTGATGCTGATTGCGCACATATTCGCAGATATTACATGTCCTAATACTGTCTATTGACACGATACTATGACGCGAGAATGTCCACTAGCGGTATACTTGGGATTATTTATGCAGCGTTCACACTCTCGTACCACTGGATGAGACTACCTATCAAGAAAGCCCAGCTGCCCCAGAACGTACACATGACACTCTGAAACTCTACCCCAGAGTTCACGTTTGCCCCGAACCCCAAAGCACCGCACGCTGTGAAGCCGACCCCACCAATGAAATTCCAAACTACTTGGAAGGTAAGCAGCCGTTCTAACCAAAGTCAAGTAATAAGGCTACGCACATCCGACGTGCCACCCGAGAGAACGCAATGCCGGAACGTACCACTTTTTCTGCGTTTCCAACATGATAAAACTCCTTGTCTGAAGATCAGGTTTGAAGACCCACAACCGCCAAAATCGTCACTCAGTGACACTCACGAACTAATGATGAAACCCATCCCTCCCACCACCTGTGGTACCCAGAAGATACCGGCGTACACTCCAGTCCTGTGCTCTATTGCCTCCTGGATGGCTGGAAGGGCTGTAAACCTGGAAGCCATTGAGCCGATCCTCACCGCCGAAGAGGGAGGTACTTACCCAGAGATCCAGAAAATGGTTGCACCCATCATCTGGAAGAAGGCCGCCAGAAATCCCAATTCTCGGAAATAGTGACCCTCGGTCGACCACCATATCCACCTCTTCCTGCTCATCACCGGCCCTTCCCCTACTAGGGTAGGGCTCGACGCGCCCGAATCTGTTTGTCGGTCGTGGTTCTGTCCCCTGCCATACCCATTCTTGTTGTTCCAATCCCCCTCTCTTGGTTTCCCATTTCTCGTTTCCGAATGCACCAATTTACTGTTCAACCTCCTCGGCAGATGTCGCACAGCAGCCTCCTCAACATCATGTTCCACATCATGCCACTTGTGCAACACATTATACCCAAACGCAGCCACATCATCCCGATTCCACGCCTCCCACATCCCAAAGACCGACCCAACCTCGAAAATCGTCGCCCCCACCCACGCAGTCCATCCCGAACTGTGCAGGGGATCGCCAAAGGTGTCTGGGTAGATCAACGGTAGTAGGGAGCAAAACCCATTCACACACCAGACGACGCTACCCCACGTAAACGCCTGTGCAACCCACCAACTGACATTCCAGTACTCTATCCTCATCAGATGCTTCAAGCCCGCCCTGAGGCCCTTCGCGTGTCGAGGATGGTTACTGGCCGTGGGCGCGTAGCAGACATGACGATGTTTACGGTGATCCCGCGATGTCCACGCGTGGCGATATGTGGTTCCTTCCTCGGAGGTTTCAGAGGTGTAGTTGCTGCACGGGTGGCTTTCGGAGATGGTGTGTATTCGTTTACCGCGGTGTTTTGGAGGGTGCATCTTCAGGACAGCGAACGTTGCATGTAAGGTTGGGAGATAGGGCCGAAGCCAGCTGGGGAGGGGGTCGCCGCTGGATTCGCGGACCACAGAGCGATGGAGGGACAGACTCCATTCGTCGCTTTCGCGCTTGGACATGTTTAGGTGGATGCTGAGAACCCGTTCTGGTGGTTGAGCACTCGCGTTAGTTGAACGTTGGTCGTGATCATCGTTTCTCGGTTCTTGGAGCAGCCAGACGATGACACGGCTGACGAGAACTTTTGGAGCTAGGGTATTACCCACGAGGGGCATGGAATCTTCATGAGACTATGGATGACGTTGTTTCCATCATTGGGGCGAAATTGCCTAAGCTCAGGGGCCAGTACGTGATGGTGGTCAATTGCGCTACTTCCCATATGCATAAGCGCCAGTACGGTGGGCGCTGACGGGCGCTTGTTCGCACGCACAGCATCCTCGACAACCCCTCCCCCCTTTACATTTAACCGACAGACGTGTGAGTGGACCTGCATTACCGCCTGACTTGGCATCGCCAACAGAACCATTAATCTGATACACGTCGCTAATTGGGGCAGGATCGAGTCACAAGTTGGTCAGAAGGTGCCGCCCGCTGACCATCAGCAGTCACTATGTGACATCCATGAACATAGGGGACCTCCCAGAAAATCTTAAAAGCCCAAGCTGAGAGCCTGCCATATCTGACTCAACAGACATGCCACCCTCCATCGAAGACGACTTCGAGTTGGTCGACGCCGCGGACGCTGCCACCTCACCGGCCGCCCTCGTTCCCGGACCAAAAGCGTCACCCCAGATTGAATCTGCATTCGATGAACTAATACTCGAATTTCAAAAAACCGTAACACAGCATGTTGCTCAGAAGAAACCCATCTTCCATACCCAACTAACAACCCCGGAATCCAACACCCCGCTCTTCCAAATCTTCCTCGACAATCTGCCCGAGGCGGAGCGTCCATCCCACACCTGTAACGCGTGTCGCCGTTTTATCAACTCGTACGGAGGTCTATGCCTGGTCAACGAGGCTGACGGGTCCTTGATCCCACTTCTCTGGCCAGACGACCTTTCAAGGGTTCCCCAGATTTACCAAAACGCTGTCGGGACTATCTACCACCTCTTCAAGGGAAAAGTAGTCGACAGCGACTGCCGCATTCTCTCCGACAAGCACAAGAAACTTGGGATTCAGAAGAAGGAGGGCGACAAATGGTGGCACTTCTACGTTACCTTGGACGGCGTCCCAATCGAGAAGGACGACTCGGGCCCCCTCGACTTCAAAGCGGCATACGAGATGCTATCCCGTATTCTCGCAGACAACTCCCCAGAGAACGTCAACCAAGCTCACTCTCTCATCCACGAAAAACTCCCATACTCGACCTCTCATAAACCTGCGATCGATTGGTTGCAGAAGCTGATCACCGAGCTTCAGGGTCTCAACCTCCTAGCGGGTGACACCGACAACGTTGCCAGACGCAATCTCATCCACTTTTACGCTCGCGACGCCTGGGCGGGGTGCTTGTCGTCCCTTCGAGGCGGGGCCATAGGGGAGCTTTTGGGGTGGATCTCGGAGGGTCTGGAATACAAGGTAATTGAAAAGAAGTGGAAGGACCTTGCCAACCCCCATAATTACCTTCGTCCAAAAGCTGTCCCATCCTTGGGAAACATCGCAGTGGCAGAGAAGACCCTCAAGAAGGTCGGGCTCACGAAGGAGGATTTGAGGAGGTTCCACCTCGCCACCGATGAACTTCCAGCGAAAGCCATACTTTGGAAGAACCAAGCCCTATGGGACCCTGCGCAGTTGGAGGATACCAAAGACGAGATCTTTGGCGACTTGAAGAGGAAGATTCAGGGCAAGAGCGACGCAAAGTCGAAGCCCTCATCCGGTATCAGCGACGACGCCCCTCCTACATCAATCACTTTCCGCCATTTCGTCCGACGTGTCCTTCCGACGATCACCTCCCTCGAGATCCACCTCCACGCGCATGAGAGGGCGGCGTTCTTGACCCGAGGAGCCCCTGGGTCCCAATCACCTTTCGTCTTCGACTCAGTCGACCCTGACAACACCATGTCATGGTACTACTGGGGTAACTCCCATCCTGTAAGCGACGCAGGTCTGACTGTAGGGTGGAATCAAGTCGCCGCTATCTCGACGTTCCCGCACATGTGGGACTACCTCACCCCCCAGGAGGCATTGGACTGGGACAAGGAAACCGAACCAGCGGACAAGAAATGGATCCATTCACGAAACGATGTTCGTTTCATGTTCTGTCTCCACGGAGTCAAGGAGATGCGTTCGAGGACTCACTTGTGCCTATTCCCAACCTTGTTGAAGAACAAATTCCACGGTATCAGGAAGACCATCGAGGCATATAGTCAGGAGGGACAGATGGAGTGGCCGTGGAGCGAAAACGATGGGAAGGCGCAGGTCGGCGGGATTGCAGTTGGGAGAGACAGCTGGATGGAGCAGTTGGTCCGCGTTCGAACAGACAAAAACATTGTCACGCAGTACAAGATTACCTTGTTCGAGTAAAGTTACTTGCTCACCTCTACTAACAGTTACGACTTCCGTCACCTTATATTATATCCCTGTTTACATGCTATCAATTGCGAAAGAACAGCGTGAACTAGTAATACATCCCTAGGAGCACTTTTCAATCTTCAACATCCCCTGTGCCTGCAGTAACGGCATCGCTTCCTCGAGTTTCTTCGCCAGAACCACTTCTTGGGCAGACATCACCGAGTCTCCGCCACCGTTCCTGCCCACCCTCTTGGAAGAGTCCGCCCAGCCCATAACTATCTTCACCAGCCTCAGCCGTGGAAATAACTCTCTGTTGGAAAGCATCTCGCCCAGCTCCTCCCAGTCCGTAAATGGTCGCCGGTCAACCATACTTGGAATGGGAATGTAATCGTATTTGACCTCCAAGATGATAATGCGAAGCCTCTTGAATGGCTGTCCTTGAACAGAGACTTGGGCGATGAGCCAGGTGTAAGGATTCGGGTCGTCCTGATGGAACGGCCAGACGAAGAATCCCCTGAACGTAAATCGCTTGAGCCGGAGGAGAGGCTGAAGTCGAAGAAAGCCCACAGCATCTGACTCTGAGACCCGGCTCTCTAAAAGCAGATACCAATTGGTCAGGAACCAGCGACGAAAGAACGGCCAATAGATAAAGACCACTGACTGAATCTGAAATCCAAGTCTTCCAACGAATGACGACACCGATCCAACAGGGCGTTGGCCATGTCAAAGTCCTCCACCGTTCGACACTCGCCAAACTCCAAGCGCTTGAACACCTTGAAGCTGATTTTATTCAGCGGGTTCAGCATGTAGGGGAACACATTGGACGTATACGGCGTGGACCCTCCCCCCACAAAGGTAAAGCTTTGAAGCTTGATATCGGAACGGCGTCGAGGAGGAGAGGGTGGTGATGCATTGGGAGAACCCTTCTCCGAAACAACCTTTAGGTGTTTAAGCGATGGCCCGCAGTGGTGAAGGTATTTATGGAAATCATGGTGGACTTCGAGGGTATGCAAGGTCGCCGAAGCACATATACGCCGGAATGCTGCAGAAATCGCCTCCTGGTACTCATCCTCCATCGCACCCAGCTCCGACGAATCGAGGGCACCCAAAGTGAGGGCTTTAATCCTCCCCGCCGAATGGACCATCCCCAGAAACTCTGGAAGCCGCTCATGCCATGGGACCTGCGTCGTCGGTCCCGACCGATGCAATACCAACTCCTGGATGTACGAAACGATGCGCGGGCTCGTCATTATCCCCTTCAACCTATCCGCAGCTGCGACACTGATAACATTGAGACTGAGTTTGCTGAAGAGGACTTGTTGGCAGACCAGGCGGAATAGGCGCGAGATAAGGGTGAGAGATTGGAGTGTTGCGAGCTTTTGGCCAGAAGCGATCTTCCAGATTATCTCTGCTGGGAGGGCAGGCGCTGGCATTGGAGGAGTAGCAAGTGAGATGGAGGAAGCCCTGAGGTGAAATGGGATACCACGGTGGTAGGGAAGTCATGGTAGTGGGTCCATCCGCGGTGCTGTGAAGTGAGTTCCATTCAGTCATAGATAGCGCATGACCCGTGTTAACTGCGAGATTCGTGGACAGCCTTCGAATCCGTCCGTGGACCCACAGACACTGCCCAGGGTCCCTTATCATGATCAGATAGGCTTTCTGCAATGAGATGCTCATGATTGACTTGACGAACGGAAATCGTGGTACAAACTGAATGAAACCCACATGACACTATGATACAGCTTCTGAATCTACTCAGCCTCGCGCAATATCGGCCTCTCAAACGCCGTCGCATACTCCCCTTCCTCATCATCCGAATCCTCCAAATCCAACTCAACATCCGAATCTTCATGCCTCTGAACAATAAGCGCCTTCAACCTTTGAATCGTCTCCTCCATCTCTCGCTCTGCCTCCGTCCTACGTCTCGCCTCGAACGAGGTGCCCGCCAAACTGGACTCCAGATCAACGGGGTTCCAGTCGATTTGCTTTCCTCTCCAGCCGCCACGGGTGTGGATGAAACCGAGGAAGGACCGCCAGAGCGGGTCGAGGGAGAGTACGATGGGATTGCCGATGACGACGAGCAGGGCTTGCGCTCGCGTGATTGCGACTGGAGTGTCCTTAGATCAGGAAGTGCATGTTTGGGAAGTCTGTAGGGGCTTACCATTCATACGACGACTGTTGGCTACGAATCCCAGAGAACGAGTGATATCGGAAGAAACGTATTCGGTGTTGCTCCGGACAGTAGACATGATAATGATGCGCCGCTCCTACGAGGCAATCAGAACTACCCGACTCGAAAGTGAGCAGTTGGGCGCTTACCTGTCCTTGGAACTCTTCCACACTTCCGACTTTGATGTCCCTCATCTTGACTTCTTTATGGAGCAAGTCCAGGATCTTGCAACGTTGAGCATGGTAAGGCGTGATAATACCAATGTGCTCAGCAGCTGTCAGTCATATATCCAGTCAGCCTCCATCGAGTATTTCAAGGCGAGAGAAATAATTATAGACGCACTCAATCTAAGCTTCCTATTATCCAACAAAGCTTTGCAATACTTCTTGACCTGAGAGGCCTCTTCGACATTGAAGAACGAGGGCGATGACGCTTCTCGCTGATCCTTGCCCACAATACCATGGAAGATAAGCGGGAACCGTTTCTTCGGCAACTCTTCAAAGGTCTCCAAACTGCAGATCATCGCTCGATCACCACATGGCTGGAGTTCAGAACTATAGAAATGGTCGTTGGAGAACTCGAGGATGGCGGGATGGGACCTAAAGTTCTTGACCAACTTGACGATCCTGCATCCAAGAGTCACGGTTCAGTCAACCATATTTGCAAGAAGTGCTGAAAAACCTACGTGATACCACGTCCACCATTATCGAGATTGTAAACATCCCGGTCCATCAGCCTCGCCAAATAGCTCGTCTTCAAACCTAATCCAGCAGCAATGTTACACTGAACAATCGGACCGAGTTGTTGATTGTCTCCCGCCAAAATGATGTTCGTCTTCGGGCCCGCCAAACTCTTAATGGGGAAGATCACTTCTGGCTCCTTACCCTGCCCCGCCTCATCGATGAAGATATGGCTATAATGCCCTCTCTTCACCCCCAGACTCGCAGGAACACCACCTGATAGACAGGTAGCCACAACCACGCGATACTGGAGCAGTTCCTCCACAGGCGGGACAGCGAACACCGTGTTTTCGTTGATACGAGAGAACTCTTTCAGGTTCTTGGGGAGGTCGGAGACCTTTCGGGTGAGAGAGTTGAGTCGGAAGACGACTTTGGGCCCGCGGTCGGCCAGCTTTTGGGCGAGGAGGTCGGCGGCCGAGTTGCTTGGCGCACAAGCTAGGATGCGGACGTTCGGATCTTTGTCCAGGAGCTGCTTCATGGCCTCGATGATGGTCACCGTCTTCCCTGTACCAGGCCTAAACCATCCGTGGTCAGATGTATGGAAGGGAGAAAGTGCTCAGAAAAATAAAGCTTACGGTCCAAAGACGATGAAAGGAGCACTTCCAGGATTCTGATGCAAGATCGCAGTGACCGTTTCCAACTGCTCGTCATCATCTTTGAGCTGGCGGTAATACGGCACAATCGCCGCCTTCTGTTGCGCAGTCACCCTCTTCAGACCTAAAATGTCCTGTGGGCCGGGGAAAAGAATGCGTCTAGGCGCGAACGAGTTGACGAGGGCGTGGTGCATTCGTCGATACGGCAGACGGTTGAGGACGAAACGGACGTCGAATCGATTACCTCTATAGGTGTTGAAGCCGTCACCGAAGCGCAAGACAACTTCATCCATGCGGACTTCGTGGACCCTGCCTTCGTACCATGTTCGATTCTCGAAAGCGATGGCGGGATTGGATTCGCTGACGAGGATAAAATCACCGACGAGGACGGAAGGTCTGTTTTCTGCGAGACCTGGTACTTTGAGTCTGCAGTTTATCATCAGTGAAGAGGAAAAAATTAGGGAGGTCATGAAAGAGCTTACTCATAGCGAGGATAATTGGGCTTGATCTCCACGTCTTCAAGGGCATACCGGTCTAGATCTTGCCTGTACTCGATGGTAAGACGATCATATTTCGAAATGAATGGCGAAAACTTGCCTTGTCCGTTCTTCCTCCAAGTACAGTAGTACTTGCCACCACGTAGCATATGTGCTCAAGTTCAAAGCAGCCGGCATGAGCTGCATTACATTATTCCGTATAGCATTCTGGTTCCTAATCTTCGGGTTGAACGCGACATCGATGATCTTCTGTGGGACCTTGTATTCCGGGAGTCTGTCGGTCCAATTGGTCTTCGTCCAAGTTGGGGGTCGTAAGCTTGGGATAATCTTGGTCCCATCGGGGCGGAACCTAGGCGTTTCTTTGGGCCCCGTGTAAGGTGCTTTCGCGCGGAGGAGCTCATGGTCTTCCTGGTCTCCGACAGTTGCGGTAACGCGGCGGGTGATGACGAAGGAGCGACGCAGGTCCAGGTGCCAGAACAACAGCTCGAGTGTGTCCTCGTACTTCCCGGCGTAGCCTGGGTGGAAGACGATGGAGAGCGTTCGTGAGGATCCAGCTCTGATACCCTTGGATTTTCCCTTCAAACGCGCAGAAAACCTAGTGTCGCGAGCTCAGTCAACAATTGGAGTAACAGATTAGAAAGCTGTGCCGGGAACATACATCTTCCCGTGTTCATCTCCACGTGTAGAAGACCGCATCCTGCACGCTTTCACCGAGAAGGCGTACTCTGCAGTCGTGTTCTCAATAGTCACAGTCACCTCCACAGCGCTATCCGCATCCAACACGCCAAAATCAATCCCATCCTTTCCTGTGACAACGATTCCCTCTTTGTCGTTTTCGGCTTGTTCCATTGCAGCCTGATAGGCAGTGCGTTTATCCTGTCTGGCATGATACTCTTGGTGCGACATCCACCAGCGTTCTGGGACCGTGCGCGGACATCGGTCGCAGCGGCGTACAGCTTGGGGATCGGCCGCTGCCTGCTCGTTGGAACAGGCTCGTGAGTGAAAGTGGAAGGGGAGCTAGAGATATAAACACGTACCCCCGTATTTTGGCCTGCTGCTCGACCCTGCGCCTCCTTCATCTGGCGAAAAAGTGTGCGGTGTCGTCGCCCACGAACATGGGGTATAAAGTACTTTGTTAGGAGTACCAAACCACACGAACATCGTTGGATATCGTGGCGTTTGCGACACCTGAGTCCCCTGGGGCACCCTTCATCGCTCACGTATGCTGGACAATATGTTGGATTCATGTTTGTTCGTCGTGGAGCTGCGTTCTCCAATCGTTGGCGTTTCAGTCACGTCGTCGGCCGACCAGCCCTTGTTCGACACTTCTCCAAAAGTCCTTTCGCCAGAGCTTGTGCGCACCGCTGAGTGAGCAGAGACGGAAAAGATTCGATAGCAGTGCCGCCGTGAAGTTGTGAGTCAAAGAAGAAGCGTCGGGAGAAGGCTTTAAAAAGAAGCGCTGACCCGGGCTTCTGTTTGTTTGGCTGCTGAAGTGGGTGTCGTCCAAGGACCCGGATACTCGTACTTAAGTAGTCTCGTGCTCATCGTAGCCTTGAGGTTGTCCCGCCTTTTACACAGCACTCCCGTAATTCAAAGGAAAAGTACAAAGGGAAATGATGGACTATGACCAAAATTCCATCTATCGTATCTCGGTACTTGTTGTCCGAACCATCGGAGCCCCTATCAAACCCGCGACACAGAGTGAAGGCAGCCAGAGTACACAGCGGAGGTGAGCTAATGTCCCAACCTTGCAAAGGCATTGCAAATGGCGTCGCCTGATAGTCTTTACCCCAGATTACACAAGAGTTTCCCAATGCGGGAAGGCGTGAGCAAACGGATAGCAAATACCAAAAGCGCCATTTGCCAACGAAGGAAAGGCTTTCATCTTTCATTTGCTACCCCTTTTCCATTGCGTTAAATCGAACAGGAATTTCGGGCAAAGACTCTCAGGCGACGGCATTTCCGATGACTGTGCGACCATAGGACATTGTTCAATCTCCGCTGTGGTATAGTTTCCCAATCCTTCGGAGTACCGTATACATGGGGGTAGAGCCTTGCTTGGGGCATAGGCGCTGTCAGAAATTGAATGCAGGAGACCCACTCTCACAACCTTCCTCACTGATCTCGAACACTGCCAAGAGCTCCAATTCATTGTCCATTAGGCGCCCAAGGGCGACTTCGCTCGGAACATACACTGTGTTGCGACCATTGCCTCCAGAAAAGACATCCCGCAGTGCGTTTTGACAATGTGTCCGCATCATCAGTGGGATCGGCCGTCAAGCTAGTGGCGAAGGGACAATGGTTCACATCCATTGTCAGCGTTTTTGGCAGAGTCGTCTCATTGTAAAGTATGCCACAAAACTCGTTTCCAACGTACCACCTGCCTTCTGTCGCGGGTATAAAAGCAGGTGAGGGAGATGACCTTCAGCAGCAAGTGTCTCTTCCCGTCCTCTCTCAAGCCTTCCAGTCTGAGCACCGTCTCAAGCGCAACATCATTTGAAAGACTTCGAAATACACTTCACCAACCGTTAACATGTCCCCTTCTCGCAAACCGAGCACAGAGAATGTAGTATCCTGCGCAGAAGCTGAGGCCGATGGCGCAGTGGAACTCAAACTCCAACCCTGCCCGTCCGGCGTAAAGGAAAACGAGACTGTGCGCATGGAAGTGGATTCAGAGGACAAGACAGAGGGCTCTTCTGCCCCTGTCGGCAAGGCTTCCGCCAAACCTAACAATCCACTGGCTAAACAACAGTCCGGCAAAGCACCAGTGAAAACTACAACCCAGATTTATGACGGGCCTGAAATCGAATATGAGGACTGCCCCGAAGAGTTCAAGTGGATGCTTGACATGATGCTTGAACTCGCACTCGAAGAGGAAGGATACTAAGGAGGGTCAGAAGCCGAAAGTAGCCTACCGTTCGCCTCACCCGCGTGCCCGCGCGCGACTTAAGACTGCCCTCGTAGAAAGGGATATATTGGAACTAGGAACGCTTAAGGTGCTGCCTACCATGATCAGTTATCATCCTGTTCCCTTTATCTTCTTACTTCTCCTAGTACCTTTCCATTGTCTACTGTCTGCCACCTTGGTCTCTTTCAAGTTTGTACATGTACCGATTCTCATTTTTAAATGAAATTCTATCCACAAGAAACTACCAATGACGGTAACGTCAACATTGAGATGACCAGCCTTATAAAAGCAAACGAAGGGGGAGTCTGTTTCCTCTCGCACTGAATCACGGGGACTCTCCCGTCACGGCTCTCGAGAGAACGGGCCTATCTTGTTAGCCGGTGTGTGCGTTGAGACTTTCGCCTTCTCTGGAGCATGTTGCACTGTCGAAGCCAGATTGATGTTAATAACGAGTTTGCAAAAATAAAAAGCGGCGGGCGCTTAAAGATGCCCCTAAAGGGAGGCGGGTGACGGCCCGGGATCCGATCTGTGACAGTTGATGGAGAATGCATCCGCCCAAAATTTCTTTTGCACGGACGGCAACCACGACCGTGCATCGATTCCTCATCGCCCACGAACGACCATGACCAAGTACATCGTAGTATCCGGTGGTGTCGTGAGCGGCATTGGCAAGGGCGTCATTGGTATGTCTATCCTCCAACGTACCGTTTGAGATTACTCTCTGATCTAAACACTTTCAATCTTTTCTGGGGTATTCTCTCGTATATGAATGATATGGCTTTTTTTTCCGAATTATCGCGAATTTGAACGACGACCGGCCGTGGTGGATTGGGACTGGGATTGGCAGCGTCGTCGACGGGGCTGTTGTTGAAGACGACGGGTCTCAAAGTGACCGCTATCAAGATTGACCCTTACATGAATATCGATGCGGGGACTATGAGGCCGACAGAACACGGTGCGCAGCGGTTCACGACGGATATCATGCATCTCAAGCCCCCCTGGCTGACCTTTGAAAAGGCGAGGTCTACGTGCTGAACGACGGCGGAGAGGTCGACCTTGACTTGGGCAACTATGAACGATACCTGAACGTCACCCTTTCCCGAGACAACAACATTACGACTGGAAAGATCTACCGCGAGGTCATTGAGAAGGAGGTGAGCACTTCCGTCGATAAAAACGTTATGTGGTTTTGCTGAAGAACTTGGAACGATAGCGAAAAGGAGAATACCTCGGCAAGACCGTTCAGATCGTGCCCCATGTTACCAACGCCATTCAGGACTGGATTGAGCGCGTTTCCAAAATCCCAGTCGACGAGACTGGTGAGACTCCTGACGTTTGCATTGTCGAGGTACGTTTACCGTTTCATTCCATCCATTGACACATTGCTTATGTCTTTTTTCAGCTCGGTGGTACCGTTGGAGACATCGAGTCCGCTCCTTTCGTAGAAGCAATGCGACAATTCCAATTTCGTGTTGGCCGCGACAACTTTGCTCTCATCCACGTCTCCCTCGTCCCAGACATGCACGGCGAACAGAAAACCAAGCCCACACAAACGACGGTGCACGCCCTCCGAGGACTGGGTCTCCTCCCCGACTTGGTGCGTCTTTATCCCTCTGCTCGTCCATGATGTCACCTTATCAGTGTCCGTACAGATTGCCTGCCGTCTCCTCGTTCCCCAACCCCTCAACCCCGCAACAAAAGACAAGATCTCGATGTTCTGTCATGTCTCTTCAGAGCAGGTCTTTGGCGTACATGACGTGACCTCGGTCTACCATGTCCCATTGCTCTTGCAGTCGCAGGGCATCGTGGAATACTTGCGAAAACGACTCAGCCTCGACCAGATGCAAATCACGAAGGAGATGCAGGCTATGGGCACGTCTCTTGGACAGCGATGGAGGGATTTGACCTCTGGGTGGGTCTCTTCTTCCAATTGTCTCTGAGTGGCGTTCTGATAGATTTGGTTGTAGCCAAGAAAGGCTCTATGAAACCGTCACGATCTCCCTGGTGGGGAAGTACACCGACCTCAAGGACTCGTACATGTCCGTCACAAAAGCCCTCGAGCACAGCGCCTTCCGTATCCATCGAAAACTCGTCATCCAGGCAAGTCGTGGCATTCGTCATCGTTTCCCTTCTCGCCGACATCATGTTCCGTCTTCATTATAGTGGGTGGAATCCTCCGACTTGGAACCTGACACCCAGGAAGCGAACCCTGCCAAGTACCATGACGCCTGGAGGGCAGTTGTAGGGTCGAGGTACGTCATTGTATTCATAACCTTTCATTTGGGTCTAGGCTTACCTTTATTGTTATAGTGGTATCCTCGTTCCTGGGGGCTTCGGTCAACGAGGCACAGAAGGAATGATGCTTGCCATCAAGTATGCTCGAGAACAAAAGATCCCTTTCCTCGGTATCTGCCTCGGATTCCAACTCGCCGTTGTTGAATGGGCCCGCAACGTCCTTGGCATCTCAGGTATGACCCGCTTCTCTTTCACTCCGTCCTTTGCCTTTCCCTTTCGTTCTATGAAATTCCTAATTTCATTTCCGTCGTCAACCTAACCCTGACGATCCCTCGATGCGGGAACCTTTGTTCACGATCCTGATTTTTTGACTTCCTTTGTAGACGCCACTTCCGGTGAATTCGACCCTCAAGCGAAGCACCCCGTCATCGTGTTCATGCCCGAGATCTCCAAGACCCACATGGGTGGCACGATGCGGCTGGGCTTGCGGCCTACCGTTTTCGAGCCCAAAACGGAAGAGTGGTCCAAAGCGAGGAAGCTTTACGGTGGTGCTGAGAAGATCTGGGAGAGGCATAGGCATCGTTACGAAGTCAACCCCCTCTACGTTGAGAGGCTTGCCGCGAGTGGATGCGTGTTTGCGGGTAAGGATGAGAAGGGAGAGCGGATGCAGGTTTTGGAGTTGCCTGGTTAGTCTTCCTATCTTTTTCTCCGTTGGTGGGGTTAGCTAACTCCTTTCTCACTTCCTTTTCCCCCACCTTCCTTCTTCCTTCCGTTGTACGATAAACAGACCACCCATACTTCCTGGGCTTCCAAGCACATCCCGAGTTCTGCACCCGCCCTCTCAACCCCAGCCCGGCCTTCCTGGGATTCGTCGCCGCCGCCGCCTCGCCCACTGAACTCGACAAGCAGCTCCAAGCGCAGCTGGCGTCGTTCAAGCCGCCGCATCCTGTTGATGCGATGGTGAGCGAGGCGGAGCTGAAGGGGGCGAGTGAGGCTGTGGTGGAGAAGTGTGCTGTGAACGGTGCCGAGTGTCCGCAGGATGGGGCGATGCCGAATGGGTATGATGGAGGGGCGGAGAAGAGTGAGGTGGTGGAGTTTATTAACAGGGATGCGTAGTAGGTGCGCACGTGGAGTCGTGTGGATGGCGTAGGATGGAAGGATGGATTGCAAAGGCGGTCTCGGGGGAGTACTTATGGACTCGAGGATTAGGTATGGAGGGAGGTGTTGGCGCCGGACCTCCAATCTAGACGCCCAGCCTCGCTTACTGACGACTGATCTTACATGCGTATGTATCGCAGCGTGTTGTATCTTCTTATGACTCTTCGTTAGACTCCATACATACATACACACAAGAGATTGTCGATGAACGTTGGCAAAAAAGTACCGTAAAGCCCCACTGGGGTGTTTCCCTTGGTTAATCGTAGGAGTAGTAGATCTTATACCTGTAATATTTTTGCGAGATTTGATATGAATATAATGATTATGTAGGGAGGAACTCTCCAAGGTTGATTTTAGGGTGGTATTGGGTGACTGGTGGGTACTGGGTGGTGATGCCTGTGAGCGTTCTGTGACTGGTGACCAGTTGAATAGTGACTGACAACCCGTGAGGGTGACTTCTGGGCGACCGGGATTGGCCTACACAGGGGTTCTGAATGACAAGATACGGGAATGGGAGCAGGACGGGAGTCGGTTTAGGTAGGTAGGCGCCGCGCGCGAGGACGACGCGCGGGATGAGTGACGGCGTGAAGTGGTGAGGAACGGTGAACTGAAAGGCGGGGGTGTGAGGGCCGCGGTGCGCGGGTCCATTCATGTTTTCTGCGTATCACTCACCTGATTTTAGAGGGGTCACTAGTCACGAGCGCTAGCACTAGTACATAGTCGTTGTTACCTGGGGTTGAGCGCTGATCTCTCTCTCTGCATCAGCATTAGAAACGGTATGAATCTAGACCTCAAGGCCTCACACAGGAACGTGACCGAGTTGTACTGTCAGGCTGGTGTGCATACGTGGTCAAACAGCCAAGCCAAGCCCCTCCTGTCTGTTTTCTTCCGAATCTAATGCGGCAATTCAGCTATCTCTGAGTCTGTGAGGGGTTAGTTACTCCGTTCGGTAGAATTTGTTGGACGGGAGCGAATGTATGTTACAGTACTCGCCTTCTATCTCTGTGTTGTACAGGGCTTCTAAGCTTCACTTCACCTCTTCACCAAGTTCTCTGTTATCTACATACATACCAACATACTTATAGACTCGGACAAAATCAACTGTCAACGCGCAGCTTCTCAAGTTCTCGTCCTTCGTTTCTTCTCCTTATCTCTGCGTGTCGTGTGTCTTTCACTACATACCTGGCTCCTTGGTCCATCATTCCGTGATTGAATCACTGACCCGGTGGTCACTTGACCTCCTCCCCAATTTCGAAGCCCAACTTTTCGAAGAAGGTACTATTCCAACTGGGGTTAAGATAAGGGATTTCGGTACCAATACGCGAATCGTTTTCTGTCATGTTTTTGCTGTGCCTCGTGTGCCGTGTGGGATGGGATTTGTCTGCCGGTGACAACCGTGCCACGCTGGAGTAAGTACACGCTGGTGGAGTGGGTGTAACTGGTTGGTTCTCTGCTTGAAGTAATTGCTTCGCCGTCGTCCTCCTCGTACCGAGCGCTCAAGCGAAAGGCTTCCGATCCTTAATTAAATTACATAGCCCCTTTCAAACGCGAAATCTTGGCTTCCCTTTCAACGTCGTCATCGGTCCAGGTCGTCCACGCGCCCACATGTTCACGCGAGCCTGAATTTCAAATTCTACCCTCCCGCGTCGGTTGCCTCAGGGTCCACCTCCGGGGGATCGCAGATTCGCTTTCAATTCCGTTCTCCGTGGCGTTGTTATATTTCTTTGATGTGACGTGGAGACGAGCGGACGCGGTTTTTTTTTTACTTTGCTTATCTATCCCCATTAGGAAGGTGGAAGGGTTACTTCGAAGTTCGTCCTATCGTCGTCCTTGGCTGTGGACGAACCTTGGAAATGGAATGCATACTTGTGTACATATGGGCTTGGGTTTGGGCTTGGACTACGGCATGGAGCGTACTGTGTATGACATACGGCGCTTATGGTGCGAACCCGAGAGTAGCTCGATTCGTGGTGGGGCCGGGGAGGTGCAACAATTTTGGTTGGATTGGAGGGAAGAATGTTGGCTGTGTCGGGCGTGCGGATGGCGGATAGAGTCGGTAATTTTATTGGCCGTACATATGCCAAAGGGTTTAGGGCGTTCCGAGTTTGAGGCCTGAAGACTGAGGTGAGGGCGCTACGCTTTTTCACCGAACTCGAGGCCATTGGTTATCTCTTAGAGTTCTACAAGCGCTCGACTCTGCGAGATAAGTGATGGGTTCTCAAGAATACATCATATTGTTCATAGGGTGTAGTAGTCTAGCGATAAGAGATAACGCGTAGCGACACGCTTGAAGTACAGCAGTCTTATCAAAACCCGCATGCATAGATACGGCGGGTTCGGTTTACATATACAAAGTGGCCTATTGGCTTATATACAAGGGGAGGGGTGGGAGAGTTTGCCCTTTCTCTTGATGCCTTTCTGACCCTAACTCCCACTTCTCGTATACTGCCATTCACTTCGAATCGGGCTCTACGCCTCGGGTGGCCTCAACGACGCCGACGAGCGCTTAATTCTACCAACGGAATCAAGCACGGACGGACGGCGGACGCCACGGTACGTACACCGCCGTCGACGTCAGTGGTCCGGGCATAGACGGACTCTGGCGACAAGACAAAGGCGAGCACGCCACGTTCCACATGCCTGGGATTACCCGCGAATCGACAGATTCGAAGAAGGTTGTTGGTTGTGTGATGGTACTGGGTGGTGGGTGCCCCGTTGGGCTGGGAATAGCGCTCGTGTGCTCAGCTGACCCTGTTCTCCGATGAAGGAGGTGCTGTTGTTGGGGTCAGGGTCTAGACGGATTGTAGGTTAGTCGTCAATGGTTGTAGCCTAATGGTGTTATGGCGTTGTAGCCAAGCTTTTCTGGTGATCTTCGTTGAATGGTCCAACTGGAAATCCTCTCGTCTTCTGAAGGTATTGAATAGCCAGAAGGAGGATAGGCTTATACTACTAGTGTGGTGCGTGATAGAGTGATTTTACAGTGGATTCCAGCTGACTGGGTCGCCCCCCAAATCCGCAGCAGGCACCCTTACTAGGCCTCTTTGTAACATACGAAGATAAAGGCCTTCCCAATGGAATCCATTCAGTTTCTCAAAGATACAGTCGTTTGCATAATTCCGTTCATGTTGGGGAAACAAAAAATCGGCGAAAAGGAGCCGATCAGTGATGCGACTGACCGGTCTGTGCAGCCAGCCTCATCCAGGAGAGTGAGCAATTTCTTTCACATCTAGTTTTCGTGGTACCTCCTGAGCGAGGTTCTCTGCTTTTAGGGTCAGTGGTTGAAGATGGTATAAAAAACGATGGAATATTGGCTTTTCGCTACGCTGGGCTTGGGGAAATCGTCATCCTCTGGCGCGCTCGAGCGTGAGCCCAACCTATTCGGAGATGCCGCCATCACATCAAAGTGGTTTTTCTGTCTGGGGGACCTGAACGGAATTATGCAAACGACTGTAAGGGAGTTCGGAATAGAAGAGGAAACAATAGTCGAGTGGCGACGGCACAAAGGGCTGGATCAATGTCAGAGCGCGGTCCCATGCTGTCGCATCGGGTAGAGAAGGAAGACGAGTCAGCTTGAGGAACGCAGGGAGCTCGGATATTCGGTGTGGTTAGACCGGGTAATTACTACACCAATGCTTGGCTCGCTGACCCCTACTCCTTCGTATAGGTCTTCTATTCCCTTGCTTATTGGATTTGTAGACCCATTCGACGCTCCAGGTCAAGGACTACAGCCTTCCAGATTGCCAGACTCGCTCATCCTTCTAATTCAACGCAACCTTCTTCGAATTGACCAACACCGGCGCCAGACACGCTCCATTCTGTCGACCCGAGTTGTACCGAGAGGAGCATCAAGGCATGCGCTCATCTGACCTGATCGAAACAGCGGCCGATCGGGACAAAGTTGGCGAAAACCGATAAGCAAATTGCTCCGCTGTGGCTTTGGGCACTGCCAAACAAGGCAATGAGAGATAAGGAAAAGAATGAAAAGGCGGCAGGTTTCGAGTGGAATTGTGTTTCCTTGTCCCTCGTCGACTCGTTCCAACCACAGCTCGAGTTCGCAGCACTACACAACTTACAAGCTTTTAAACGCTTCGTAACGCCTACTTCTCTCACCCCCAACTTTCCTCTTTCCGAAATGGTCAAGCCTATTGAGCCCGAATTCGAGCAGGTAGGTAGAGCGCCCTTCTTGACGCCGCCCCGCTAACTGACGACTGTCCTCTCTTTTTCAAGGCTCTCAACGAGCTCACCAACAGCTTGCAACCCTTCTTGGCCGCCAATCCCGAATACACAAAGGCACTCGAAATCATCCAAATCCCCGAGCGTGTTCTCCAATTCCGCGTTGTCTGGGAAGACGACCAAGGCCAGCCGCAAGTCAACAACGGTTTCCGTGTCCAAGTGAGTCTCTCCTCGTCCGAATTCAATTATAGATTCTGAGCGGGTATTGTAGTACAACTCTGCTCTCGGTCCCTACAAGGGCGGTCTCCGACTCCACCCCTCCGTCAACCTCTCCATCCTCAAGTTCTTGGGCTTCGAACAAACGTTCAAGAATGCGCTCACCGGTCTCAACATGGGTGGTGGAAAGGGTGGCTCCGACTTTGACCCCAAGGGCAAGTCGGACAGCGAGATTAGGCGGTTCTGCAATGCCTTCATGATGGAGCTGTACAGGCACATTGGAAAGGATACTGACGTTCCCGGTGAGTTACCCCTGCCTTTCAACTTTTGACAACCGTTGCCTGACCTGGACGCTCTACAGCTGGTGACATTGGAACTGGTGGACGTGAAATTGGTTTCCTGTTCGGTGCCTACAAGAAGCTGCGAAACGAGTTCGTCGGTATGCTCACTGGCAAGGGTCTGCACTGGGGTGGAAGCTTCATTCGTCCCGAGGCTACTGGATATGGTGTTATCTACTACGTCGAACACGTACGTCCCCTCTCTCCACTCCCCTCCGCCGTAAAATTTACCACCGCTCCACCAGATGATCGCCCGCTCCTGCCCTGAATTCTCTCTCAACAAGCCCTCCACCCTCGTCGCCGTCTCCGGCTCAGGCAACGTCGCCCAGTTCACTGCCCTCAAGGTCATCGAGCTCGGCGCGACCGTCCTCTCCCTCTCCGACTCCCGCGGCACCCTCATCGCCGAGGAGGGCTACACCAAGGAATTCGTACAAGAAATCGCCAAGCTCAAGCGAGGCGGTGGTTCTTTGGAGGAGCTCGCCGACACCCCCGGCTACACCTACCACGCCGGCAAGCGCCCCTGGACCCTCCTCCCCAAGGTTCACATTGCCCTCCCCGGTGCCACCCAGAACGAGGTCAACAAGGCCGAGGCTGAGGCGCTCGTCGCTGCTGGCGTCCGCATCGTCGCTGAGGGCTCCAACATGGGCTGCACTGAGGAGGCCGTCGAGGTCTTCGAGGCTGCCCGCAAGGCTGGCAAGGGCGTGTGGTACGCTCCCGGCAAGGCCTCCAACTGCGGTGGTGTCGCCGTGTCTGGTCTCGAGATGGCCCAGAACTCGCAGCGTCTTGCTTGGACCACCGAGGAGGTTGACAGCCGCTTGAAGAAGATCATGTCTGACTGCTTCAGCGTGAGTACACACTATCCGATGCTTTTCTGGGACTTCCTTATTGACTGGTATATTCCCTTGTGCAGATCTGCTACGACGCTGGTGCCAAGTGGTCTGGTGAAGATCTGCAAGACGGCAAGATCCTCCCTTCGCTTCTCTCTGGTGCCAACGTGGCTGGTTTCATCAAGGTCGCTGATGCCATGAGGGAGCAGGGTGAGTGGTGGTAAATGAATCGACCTCCACTACATATCCCCCCTTGCAGATGGACGACGCCCAAGACCCAAATGCAATTTTTTGGCTTTGCTTTGGCCTTGGTGGTGATCCTTCTAAAGGCTCCATACCTCTTCCCTCCCCTCCGCACCTTCGACCTCATGCCATACCTCTCACTCCTCTCGCCCGCTTTTGGGTCGTCGACGCACGCTGCCATGATAGCGTGTGCTCACGACCACTACATACCTTCGCTCCCGACTTGCTTTCGTGCACATCACACCCTATGCTTTCGACCACCCACGCCCTCGAGATCCTGATTCGAGGACTCGATAGAATAGGGCGACTTGATACCCCCCTCGACACCGCGGATCCCGACTACCAAGGGCTACAAGTTTCTACTTGGATTTGAATAATGCCTGACTGGGACCCCTCCGCTGGTGATTTTGGCTTCCTCCTTTACACTCCCAAGGGGTGCAACTGTTGTTGAAGCCAACTGACCCTTCTCCATCATCTCCGCCCCCTCATCGACGACATACCATGTACATCCGCCTCATCCCTCGATCACACGATCTACTCATTCCTACTACCTTTACGACGCACTCACTGTTATTTATGCATCACATTTGACAACCGCTTTCTGCTCTCACTCATCATCATCATCATCGACTCACGACTCATCACATCTGTACCACCTTTTTTTCTTTTGCAACTTGCTACTATTTGATTTGTTAACGTTACGTTCTTCCCGCACGCCTTGATAGGGTCTTGTTTACGATGGTCATGAAATTGTATAATTATAATTTCTTTGAATACGACAGTTTTGATCACTATGAAGAAGAGATTTGAGTTTTGAATATGAAGACGAGACTTGAGCTCGAGGCTTGAATAGACGCCGAATGCGCAGGGCCTTATCGCCGTGCGATCTTAACATGGACAAACAACTGTCAGGCCCTCAGCAGAATCATGATACCCGACGGTGCTTGTCTCCGACCACAATGGGGGAACCGCCAGAGGGAGATTCCTGAACTTATTGAAGTCTCTCCCTTTTCAGAATCGTGCTTACAAGGCATAGATGGAATATATCCAGACTCACAGTCCTCAGTACGTTGTTTTCATGTAGCTGTCGAAAGGACGTGTTTAACGTTAGGGATAGCCCGGTGTATAACGCAAACTGACGTGAACTTGGACCTCTAGATTCTTTTCAAGATATATAGAGTACTGGGAAAAGTGGGGGTCGAGAGGTCTCAGGTATGCCTTCTGGACCGCAGTTTAGAGCTAATCTAAACCGAGTTTATAGACAGGATCCTACCTCTACGTTGCTGGAGTCGATGCATCGTCTTCTGCGTCGTTAGCTGCCTATATCAACTCGTTAACATACGCTATCGAAGACACTTCTGCTTGGTTCTCGACGACGGCGACATGGAAAGTGCGAAGCGGGACATACTGGTGAGCGTTCGTCCCGGGAGGCCATGGTTAGACGAGGAACTGACGGACTGTTAAAAGTTGTTTCAATGCATTCTCCAGAGTCGACATGCGAGTCGACGTTAAGATCCCTGGAGGTGTGCATGCGTATGTGATCGATCTGCGCGGTGAACGGTACGGCAATCGCTACATCGAAGTGGACATTCATGACACGGCACCCACAGGCACGAAGCGACAGCGGAAATTTGGCAAGAGACATACGTATCAGCATTGCTCAGGGCCATTCTGTACTCGGACGACCCCACCTACGCGCTTGAAGCTTATCGGAAATTGGATCCCATTACAACAGCAGAAGGCGAACTTCGATTCCTCCAGGCAGCAGAGGCTCTGTTCTCCAAGGGCTGGCAAGTGGGCTCTGATCCTGAAATCCAGGTCGCAACCGTCGTTTCGAATCATCTCACCGCGGGGATCATGAAGTACTTTGGAGACAGTGGTCGTTATCAACAAGCAGCAAATCTCTTCGAAAAGCTTGTTATTCGGGAACCTGAAGTCTCTTCGTTACTGGCAAGAAGCTACATCGGAATGAGTGCGTACATTCGAGAGTTCGTGCGCTTTCCATCTAACACGCCGTTATAGACGAGGAAGTCAAAGCTGTGCAAATCATCGCGTCGGCTATGCGAGAAACGCCCCAATCTTATACCCTTCTCCACGTCCAATGCGACTTCCTGCGTTCGAAAGGCAAGTTCGAATGGGCCCTCAAACTTGCACGGCAGGCCGTCAACTGTGCTCCCAGCGAGTTCGTCACCTGGGAAAAGCTTACCGATATCTATTTGGAGCTCGGCCAGTACGAGTCGGTATGTTTACCCACACACATACTGAAAGTTCCCGTCGTTGACAACTTCGCCAGGCCCTTCTCACATTGAACTCGTGTCCCATGTTCACTTTCAACGGTCGGGACTCCCATCGCACGCTTCCAGTTTCCAAGATCCATCTCCCTTTCACAAAATCCATCGGTGAAATCCTACCCGGAGCGAATCAAGACTGAAGACGACGAGGCCGATCACTGCCCTTCTTCGTTTGCCAGCACCAGGTCTCCGCGGAACCTGGGCGAGGGCGTATGCTCTACTCGTCCCGGCTAGTCTCCCAAATCGGATGGGATGAGCTCCTCAAGACACGGAGCAGTGTTTTCGTTATGGAGGAAGAATACCGTATGCAAAAAGCGCAAGCCGAAGTTAAAGCCACAACCAACGGGGTCGACAACGGTGGTGATTCGCCTGCGAACGGTGATGCTGGACGCGCGGTGATTCACGAAGACGGAACTGTCAGACCTTCGATGGACGATAAAGCCTCGACGCGTGCGATCCCGCCTAGCCCCAAACATCAGGAATCGATACCGACGATCAAGATCTCTGCGGACGGGGATCAGGAGGAGGAAGGCGAGGAGGCGGACATTGTCCCCACGCCTGTTGCACCCAAACCAGGAGTGCAAAAACCACAACAAGCGGCGGCTGATGAGAGTCAGGATGGTTCGAGCGAGGCGAGCAGCAGTGCAAACAGCCCTGGAACTGGCGAAGCTTTCTCGTTTAGCAATAAGCGACTCTGTGAGCGGTGGTTGGATAATCTGTTCATGGTCCTCTACGAGGTGTGTACCTATCTCTCCCATTTCTGTTGTCGTCTGATCTCTTATCTGACATCCTTCAGGACCTCCGGGTGTGGACGATCTTCCGAGCTGAGGTGGCACACTTCAAGACCCAGCACGTCGCGTACCGCAAGACAGGAATGGAGTGGGAGATCTTGGGCGACCTAGGGCTGCGGTTGCACCATAAGGAGGAAGCCAAGGAAGCGTACCAGCGGTGTCTCGATGCGCCTCGCTACTCGATGAAGCCGTGGCTCAAGCTAATGGAAGTGTACGCGGAGGAGGGTGACATCCAGCGGACGATCCAAACCGCAATTCGGGTCGCTGCATATCAATACGCCGACTACACTGAGATGACGGTAAGTGCAATGCCTCTTGTTTACAATCTAGCGCTGACGATTTGTCTAGTATCCCACCTCTATCTCTCGCGCGTTCTTCAAGTTGGGACAGATCCATGGGTTCGCCAAGATTTCGTTTACACTTCTTAGCATGGGGCTGCCGGATCAGATTCTCAAGATCATGGAGAGCTACCTGCAGTATGGGAAGGTGTTCAAGGTGGAAGGGTATGATTTCTGAGGGGAAGCCATGGAGACCTTTAAAACGGGCGTGATGGTTTTATATGGATCCCTTGAGTGGTTTCATTTTCGAACACTTTTTCTTGTCTTGACTTGATGCTCGGTGTCGCTGTTGTTTGTATTCTTCTTCGCCTTTTTGACCCGATGTTAGATTCGTGTGGCTAATTGTTAATTTATTATTTCCTTGCACATTCAGTATTTGGGTTGCGGCAATCACGGACTCCTCTTCGCAGCTGCTCGTGAACTAGACAACATAGCTTTCCCTTAATAGCGCAGTCGATCTTCCACGAGGCTCTGACCACCTGCTGCGGACAGCATAAAATTCACGAGCGACCTTGTACATAGCGTGAAATCGGCGGGTGCGGCAGTCTCGAGGTCCTGTGGTACTACAAGGTGCTACCATGCTTACTTTCATCCCATCATTTCGTTGTTTTCTCTCCCTGCAGGCGCCCAAGGTGTGATCGACAGAGGGCCTCGCTCCGACAAGGAGGAAAACAGGAGGAGGAAAACGTGGGGGTGGTACGGTCTTATAACCTGCTGCACCACGCAAGTTCGCGTCCTTCCTGCTTTCTTGCTCTACCTATCCGTTCTGACAGCCCTTTCCTCCTCCATCCATTCATGTCGCAGTCAACTACTCTTCGCAGGTCCCCCAGATTGTCAGCGCCGGCGATGTTGGACGACTTCGAAAAGGACACGATCGAGAGGATCAGAAATGATGACGAGACGAAGAATAAGGTCGAATCCATGTCGGACGAGGAAATAAAGACCAAACTCATCGACCCCAGTCTGAAAGCGGTGAAGAAGGAGAGAGAGGAGTTCGACAAGAGGGTTGCTGCTACGGAAGAAGCCTCTCAGAAGCTGCAGAATGCCCTTATAAAGGCTATTGCCAATAAAAACGTGAAGGAGTCGGTTCGTCCTTTCCAACCAGTATGACGGCCTTGTTTCGCTAACATGTATGTCAGGTGACCTTTTCAGGTGCAAAGAATGAACACCTGCAAGAGTTGGAGGTCTTCCCCAAGTCGGTTGGCGCCTTGACCGACAAGCACATCGCCCGAATTGCCGCCCTCATCACCGAGCCCAAGGACGAAAGCCCCGAGACCGTAGTAGGCCTTCCAGCAGAGGACGATCGCCCCACTGTATCCACAGAGGCCTCCGAGAGCTCAAAGGCAGACACCATTGGTCAGCGGGTGAAGGTCAGGAGAAAAGCACGGTCTGAACCCAAGTCCGACCTCGCCCAGCCGACATCCCAGTCGGAAGAAGCCAAGACATTTATCAAGTCCTTTGACCCATTCTGGAAGCGTGAGGGACATGTCTTGTGTGCCAACACTGAGTGGATCCACGGTAATACTGGAACAAAGGTACAGCTCTCTGGGTGTATGGGATGTTGCACAGTACTGACACCAACGTCTAGTCTGAGGCCCGGGCCCGCGCATTCATCGACCACTTGGCGGTACCAGCGGCAAGGTTCTGTCAGAAAGAGCTCTCCAATGACGCGTTCGTTCTGTTTGAACCGAATATTGCGGACGGCGACCTGCAGGGTAAGAGAGGAGGACCGGTCGAGTTCCCCACTCGCACTGGCAGCGGAAAGACGCTGTCGTTCACCGGCCGCGTTGACTATGTCCTATCTGCCGGTGAATGTGAGTTTCTAGATTGCATGAATCTGGTACAATGTCTCACATTCAACTAGTACAAGTAGGGCCAGCCAAGTTGACCGACGCTCGGAATTTGGCCGAGTTCTGGGACAGAACCCAGGCCAATGCCCGGCGCGGCCGTAACCTCCTTGGACTGTTGGCGAAAGAAGCAAAGAAACTGATGTCAAGCAAAGAGCTTCTTACCCATCTCCCTCAAGTGATTCTAGAAACGATGGCGACGTAGGTGCTCCGAGTATTCAGACTAGGAATGCAGGACTAACTTCTTTCGAACAAACAGTAGTCGTGTCACCAAGTAAGTATTAGAAGAACAGCCTCGCTGCCTTGAAATCGACCTCCTGATGTAGCATGTTAGAGTGGACATCATTCCATGGATCCTCACCGATGGAATCCATTGGATTTTTGGAATCGCGTGGCGTGAACGAGTAGATAATCAGGATCGATGGGAAAGTCAATATTTTGACAGCTATGATCTTGTGCTTGAGGAGAGAGGGGAACGGTCCTCTCGACCTGGGTAGAGTAAAGGTTGTAGTGGCCTTGATTATCTACTGGGTGAGTGGCTCCCAATGCAACCATGGCTTTGAAATTCAGGAATGCTTATACTTAACAGATGTCGGTATCAAGACGTCAACTCAAGTCCTTCTTCAGGAACTTGGAAGCGTAGAAGGAATGACGTGCGATGGGTCTACTTATCTATGTGAAATTGGGTTCATTTATTTATGTGAAATGGATTATAATGTATTTAAGGACATCGCTACGTCTCCGTCTTCGAGCAGCAGAGACCACATACGAATGGGTCGCAAAAGAAAACCAGTTGTCCATGCAGTCTGTCAAAGTGGATGATGGTACCTTCACGTCGAACACTACTGGGAAGATTGGTCTCGAAGAGAGAGGCGGAAGGCACGAACGGAGGATCATCTGGCCACCTGTAGCACATGAGGGTGTCGACTTTTCTGCCCAGGCGTACGCCCAGGCGATAGTGGAAAGACATCGGAAAAATATGAGAACGAAAGTCGTCTTCACCCAGGTCGCTCATTTCAACGCTGCTGGCGACCTCCTTGTCTGGGTCTGTGGAGATGGACAGACCGATAAGGGTGCTACCATGGGTGGGGAGAACAAGCCTGATAGATTCGCCATTGTAGAAGAGTTGAGTGAAGGGTGGTGTCCCAATGTATGGGGATGACGGTGCCCACTCCGGCTTGATGTAAGCACCCCTGGAGGGACCCTCTGAAGCTATGGACGGACAGGACCGTCCCCAATCCCAAATAGCGATGCGGTCATCCGCCCATCAATATTCTCCTGTGCGGGAGTAGCACCATCAACTACACGGAAGACAGACGTCAGGGACAAGTGCTCACATTTGGGAGTGTACTCACCGGGGGAGTTGGTCCCGGGATGGCGACACCAGGGAGGTTGGTTGGATCTTCGTCTCCGGAAACAGATGTCCAATCCACAATCCGTACCCCCAAATCAGACCCGTTCGGGTTCCCGTCTCTCACATAGGCAACATGTCTTCCAAAGAGTGAGCAGCAGTTGCCCTCTCCGACGTATATATGGTCCGAAAAGGCCTTCAGCAGTTTGCTGGTGTAGCCGACATGGGTCCCGCCTTCCACTCGCGCGTTAATCTCCCAAATCTCGATTAATCCTTTGCCCCAAGTTACTCCAAGTATACGGGCGAGGCGGAAGGTTCGGGGAAACAGTCGGCCTTGGAGTGTGGTGGATTCCCCATCGATGCCCTGGGTACCAAGCACGTCTAGGGCGGTAGATATTTTGGAACAGTTTTCGAAATTAGGCGACGGGACGAGGAGGTGCATGGTCGGATCGGGTTGCGTCGGGTCGCAATAGAACAAGGAGTCGTCGTTTCCACAATAAATGAAAAACCGACCACCAGGCAAAGGTTCCAGTGGACCGAAAATCCCAGGAGGGCATGCGTGAGACTCCATAAAACGGAGTTCGAGGGAAGGATCCAGGAAATGGTCCCATCCAGACAGCCAACCCACGATGCAATGCTCCAGGTCTTCGCCAGAGCAGTGTTCCAAAGGCTTTGGAAGGAAAAACGGCCGGGGAAATACAGTATCACAGTACTGAACTAGCAACGAGTGCCACACCTGGCGCTCTTTTGATGCTGCATGCAGCGAACGGCAGCACTGGAAGCATGTTGGTCAACGTGGACGTTTACTTTCATCGTGAACACAGAACGCACCTTGCGAAGCACCAGCACGTCATCCCAGTCGAGATGGGACATGATTTCGATGAGTAAATCGTTGGGCAAATGTGCAAGATGTGGTTTCTGGCCTTGGGATTTATCCTGAACGCGCCACTGACGCGACTGTCCTTTCAATTCAGCTTGTGATTCACCCAAAACGAAACAAAGTGACTCGCCTTCCATATCCTGCGCTGCTGTACAGCGAGACAGCTCAGAAGACATAGCGCTGCAATACACAGAACATCCGACGCTCTGGGCGCCTGGAGGCTCATGCTTGAACTTGGTCAACACCTGGCTTCAAGTGCCACGGCGCGGCTGGAGGTTAACCGTGTTTGAAACTCAGCTCGAACACAGCCAGGGCTCCCACGGCTTCCGACGGGCGCTTGTGATGTGGCTTTTTAGCACCCTCCAGGGTACTCGAAACGACGTTGCCTTGTCGGTTACTCAATAATTAGTGGGTTATCCCTGCGTTTCCTTCTATATCTCAGCCCCCTGCCAGCTGGACTACCCAGTAGACTCTTCATGGGGGAAGGTGGTTCAGAACAGCGTCAAACGCAGGCATCCCGGGATTCGAAAGGCGGAGGATGTCACTACATAGCGTGGTGACATTTCCGCTTTCCCTGGCCCTCTCCCTGATCGCCGAGAACGCCAGACTTGGATCTGAGATACCGCCGCCCATTGTAGAACCTCAGCGGAGCGCCGAATCTGGAGTATAAGTAGGATGGGTACCAGATGCACACGTTGGGTTCTCTGGCTTTGTTCCCCCCGATCGAGCTGGCCTCGTTGACACCACACCACATTACACCCACTCTCTACTCACACTACACCCACTAGACTGGTCCAGTTGCTTCTACAGCATAAACTGTAACGCACACTTCAAACTCTATACACACACCCCCCAAGTTGCATATATATTCTTACCTTTGAAGGATGGCATCGAGGTGGGGGTTTGTGGGCCTCGTGTTGTTCACAGTTACGCTGTTCCTCTTTTCGAGTCGAGTTGTTGCGCGCCCGCTGTCGGCGTCCTTCAAGACCCATCCGATTAGAACTCTTACTGTTCAAGTGAGTACTTAGATACCCATGCATGAGGTCGGGACGAGAGTATTGACTGACAACTGTATCTCTGAATTCAGCGGAATTCGTTCCATGATGTCACCCATTCCACGCCATCTGAGGTCTCTCGGCGTAGCCCTCGTCTGTATCTACGCAGTCCCAAATTCGACCCGAAAAAGATCCTCTCCGTCTTGTACGTACCATTTATCCTTAATGACTTGGACGAACTACTAAATTACCGTAACACCCCTACTACTACCCTCCCTCCGACGCAGCTCCCCATCAACCCCCGAACAGAAACAAGCCAAACTCGCCGAAAAGATCGCCGCCGCCCAGGCGAGATGGGCAGCCGAGAAGGAGGAGCAGCGAGTCAAGGCGCTCAGGAAGGATTCCTTGACTGTTGTTTCGTGTAAATGTGGATCGTTGAAGGATAGAGCGGTCAGGAGGATTCAGGAGGCGTGGAAGGGGGATTCGAGGTTGCACAAGTTTGGGCAAGTTCAGATTAGGTGAGTCACACCAGTACCAGTACTTTTTGTGGGTCGCCTCGTATGTGCTGATTGTGTTTGATTTGCGATATAGCGTCTCGGATGCGGGGGTGGCCACTGCGAGATATTATAATGGCGACAAGGTGACGGATGGTGGTGCTGTTAACTACAAATTGTAATTGTATTGTAGGGTCAATGGGTATAGCAGATTAAGCGCCGGTTCGCTTATTTCTGCAGTGGGTTTTATTTCCGTCGAGACCGTCAGAGGTGGGAGGGAAGTCGGGTTCGGGGCACCGAGCGGCCAAAAGGATGGAAAGGTCAATTCCAATTCTATATTACACAGATAATAGGCAAAAATGGCACCTATTTCAACCCATACTGATCCCAATACTCTTTCATCTTATCCAAGTTGGCAGTCTCCCCATGAGCTTCAAGCCAAACCATCAAATCCCTCATCCGCAAAATCGACAACACCCGTCCCTCGCCAATCAAGCCCTCAATCTCCTTCACCGTACTACTCACACCATCCTGCCCCACCTCCTCCCGATTAAGCGCCTGGATCACACCAACCACCTCCCCGCCATGCGCTCTAATCGTCTCGATCGACCCGCGGATGGCTTTGCCAGAGGTCATAACGTCGTCCAAAACCAGCACCTTTTTGCCTTTGACGTCGACGCCGACCATCTTGCCGCCCTCGCCGTGGTCTTTGGCTTCCTTCCTGTCGTAGGCGAAGCCGACGGGGATGTTGTGCTCGGTGTGGAGGACGAGAGCGGTGGTGGATGCGAAGGGGATGCCTTTGTAGGCGGGCCCGAAGAGGACGTCGAAGGAGGGGATTTTGGAGGCTGCTAGTGCGTCGGCGATGGTTTTGGCGTAAGCTTTTGAGAGGGAGGCGAGGATGGGCCCGGTGCAGAGCAGACCGGCGTTGAAGAAGTAAGGAGATATTCTGCCGCGTTTTGGTCAGCGAGGGCTGTATTTGAAACGAATGGAAGATATGTAGCGCACCTGCCGGATTTTAGAGTGAATTGTCCGAATTTGAGGGCGTCGACCGACATGGCGTGCTCGATGAGCTCATTTTGGTAAGGAGATAGCGATTCTGAAAGGGCCATGGCTAGTCTAAGTTTGTGGTGGTAGAAGAAGATTGACCTGGGGATTTCCCTATCTTATCTGGAAGGTAATCAGTGGCTGTGCCATCTGAACGATGATCTTGGGCGCCTGTTTGCCTTCGCGTGGCTGTATTGGCATCCTCACACAACCATGTGTTCTTTATCTTTGCTGAGATTCTCACAAAACATTGCCTGAGTCTGCTCGCAGAAAGCATAGACAATCGTATGTAATTCTGGATCATCGCATTCTATTACTATGAAACACTGTTGTACTATAATGTCATTTACGGAGAAACAAATCATAGATTTACATGTACGGGCGGAAGGCAGCAGAACGAGCTACTAAACCAGGTAGTGTTCTCAAGTTGCAGGCGTCGCCGGGTAGAGTAGACAACAAGCGCCTCAGAGTGCGCGGGCAGAGGACGGGCCTTGAACAGCATCGAACACCAAGAGCCCACCATGAGATTCCAAAGTGTCCAAGGTATCAGCTCGTCGCTTGTCAAGCATCCATATGACCGAGTCATTGTCGTCGGGGTAGTCCTCGCGTTCTTTATCCACCTTGGCTTTGTGGGATGCGGTGCTGGGAAGTCGAGTCTTCGAGGTACTGGGAGCAGGCGCGGGTTCCTTTGACTTAAAGTTTGGAGCTTCGTCCTCCACTGTGACGGTGCTTAGCGTAGACTTGAAAGAATCCTTGCACCCCGAGTTCTCTGCCACGGGTGGCGGTCCATGTCCTAACATCGCACGCTCAGGCATCATCTCATTCTGGGTGGAGTTGTGAACGGGCTGCTTGGTGTTATCTGGCTTGAAGTCCAGAGCATCGTCCTCAAAGATTGTGCTGAGACTCGGTTTGACAGAGACCTTGTCCCCAACGGCCGGAGGTCCATGCTCTCCATGGTCTTCTTCCACGTGCTTCCAGAAATCGGATTGGGACTTGGTGCTGAAGCCGCAGTCAGGGATAGGGCAGTCGAAAGTGAGTGACATGTTGTCGGGGTTTTCTTTTCAGAGAGTTGACTGAGGACGGAGAGCTGGGGGGTTGGCCCGGGTGGGTGATGAAAGCCCGTCTGCTTTTATACCATTATTGAGTCTGCCACTCTGACCATCAAAGGGTTCGAACGTAATCGATGCGTTAGAGATAAGGAAATAAGAGGAAGTGTCAAAGTGGTGGACAATGAGCCACGTTTACTGCCACGGGCGCTTGGCGGCCAGTCCAGGTGAGACGGACAATGTCCCTGTGGATCAAACCATTGTCAGGAGATTCGATGTTCCGCGCACCTCTGAAAACACACTCCCTGGCTGTACGTTCAGCACCCCATATCCCGCGACAACTGCGGGCGCCCAGAAAGCTCCGTTGCCTGTACCCGGGATGTGCAGTATTCATCCTTTGCGTCCGGATCGTGAACGATCCAATGCAACCGCATTCTCCATTGTTCCTCCGCAGCCACAGAAAGGGCAGTAGAAACATCCTACAGGGAGCCACCTCTAATATTCTACCTGCAACATTCGTGCTCAAGCCTGTTAATGAATGATTCGACTCTAAAACAGCCAAGGTCCAACTGTCGGAGAAGACGAGAGCAGTCAGACTTAGTTATTCCATCACCAAATCCATGGCACCTCACCTCGACCCATTGGCTCTTCAGGCGTAATCTTCAGACAACCTTGGTGGATGATATTCAGCGCCTTCACGGCGTCTCGGGCAGCGATAAGACACGAAATATTGATCTCGCTCGCTCCTTGGCTGATCATCTCGATGTTGACATTGCGTTCGGCGAGTGAACTGAACATCTTGGCGGCCACGCCAACCATGCTCCGCATGTGCTTCCCGACGAGAGAAAGGATGGCCAGGTCGTGCTCGACGGACACCTGAAGGGCCCGCGATGACAACTGTCAGTCACGGTATACGATAGATCATTGAAGGTGGAGATGGAACGTACCTCTCCAAACCGCTTCAATTCAACGACGAACCTATCCGCCATCCGTTTCCCAATCCCATCCGCGATGGCCATACTAACATGCACCTCAGACGTACTGATCAAATCCACCACGACTCCGTAGCGATCCAGCGTCCCAAAGATACCAGCCAAAAACCCATGGCTCACGCTCTTCCTATTGGAGTGGACGTTGATTACCACTATGTTTTCTTTGATCGTCACAGCGGTTGGCAGACGTCGGTTACGGGGGTCGTCGAATCCGTACCCGTTGGTGCCTAAGGGGAGATGGGTGGGCGGGCGCTCGGAGGAAGGGTTGGTGGTGTGTCCGTTCGTCCACTGGCTATCCTGCACGGGATCTTCTGGCGCTGGGTGGATAACGGTACCACCACCCGAAGGATTTTGGACGTTCTTTATGCGGATGGGGATCTTCTTTCGAATGGCCTAGGCAACCGCATAAGGTGTCAGAGACGTCGGGAGACATGTCACCAAAGTATACGCACCTGTTCCATAACGAAGGGATGAACGACCTCGCTCCCATAGTAGGTCAACTCGGCTGCTTCATCTGGGCTGATAACAGGTATGAGACGGGCTGAAGGCACCTTCCTTGGATCGGCCGTGAAGATGCCGTCGACTTCTTTCCAGATCTGCAGCTCGGACGCATTGAGGCCGACGGCTAGGAGGGCAGCGCAGAGGTCTGTGTATCCCCTGCCGATTTGAGCGAGGAGTGAACCTGGTACAGGGCCGAAGAAACCTACGAAGAGGGCTGTTGAAGCAGATGTCAAGCTGAGGGATTATAGTAGAGCGCACCAGTCACGACAGGGATTCTGCTCCCGCATTGGTCGATACGCTGTGCGATGACTTTCGCGAGTTCGTCGTAGAAGGGTTGTTCGAGACTGATTCCCCCAACGGATAGATCCGAGTCGCCGGTGAGGTGAGAAGACGGGACGATGTCTTCCAAAGAGACGTATTCAGCTTCCATGCCCTGAGAGTCAATCCATGAGATCTGTAGGATCGAGAACAGGACAGCAACGTGCATATATACCTGGTCGCGGAGCACGGCTGCCATCAGCTTGCAAGCGAGTTTCTCCCCCAGCCCAATGACGCTATCCTTAGAACGGGAAGAAATTTCGTCTATGACCTGGAACCCGCGGAAAATGTCAAGTTCCAGTAACCTTGTCGAACAGCTCCAATTCGCACCTGCGCAGCGCACAAGAAGCTCCTCAACCATTCACAATCACTATCAATTTCTTTCTCTAGTTCGGCCAGGATCTCTGGATCGCGGATGGACGATCTAGCAGCTTTGAAATGTTCATCTTTGATCAAGTCTACCGTTACATGGAACTCTGGCAGAGCTGACTTCACCGAGTCGCCGTTTAGCGGTGTGAAGCCGAGGATCCCGTTCCTTCGAGGAGACGAAGAGCCGGAGGACCTCCCATCGACAGACCGTGGAGAAGGAGGTGACTGTGAAACTCTGTCGCCGTCAGAAGTATAGCTGTACGTTCTTTTGTTGTGGCCTGGCCTTGGGTGAATTGGAGTGTGTGCTCCGTTAGCGTGACTTGTACCGCATTTTGGCGAACGTTGCAGGGCCTGCGAAGCCGCTTTAAGAAGGAGAGAGGTCGTTCCGAGAGCTTTGGTCGACCCGGATCGTGCTGAACACACGATGGCCACCTTGTGACCGTCGAGATGCTTTCTGTGACGATGCTGAGTTAGAACACATCGTACACTCGGAGGAGGGTGGACAATGCGACGCACGCGACGACATCTGTTGCGATTTTGATTGGGAATTTACCAACGCTGGTGCCCCCGAACTTTTGAACAAGCCATTTGGTGGACAGGTCGGTTGGATTTTGGCGAAAGCTTTCGGGAGTTGGAGGAGCAGAGAGCGAGTCCGACAAGGGAGAAAGACCAGGAGACATCGTGAAAATGGCGTCTGCTTGGGCAGATAACGAATTTTGACAGAGAGAACGGAAGAGGTGGGTAGGCAAGCCCTGCACTGCGCTTCATCTTATACTGCGCTGTAGAGAGGCGTTTGTGGCAGGTTGAGTGTGCTGGAACGGTAGCGATCGAGTAGCGCAGTGCTAGTGGCGCGTTGGCAAATGTCGCCATCCAGGGTACTTCTTGCGCTATGGCCTAGCATGGCAGTCAGGCCGCCACCGTGTTGTCGTCGCCTCGTTCCAGTATTGTTCTGTGGCTCTAGTCGTGTACTAGTAGAACTGCGGCGGTCTGGTAGGCCCTGCACCCTGCAACTTATGATACTGGGCATCCGAGAGGTTGTATAAAAGGCGATTCAGATGACTGGCGAATCTTCGTCCTAGACCTCGTTGCTCGTTGAGATCCTTAAAGAGGTTAGTCCAGTTGCGCCCCTCCACGTGCCTAGATTGTCATCGCCAAGGCCCAAGTCTAATTGGACGAGAGGTTCGCGGACTTTGGAATTGGCCCAGTTCGCCAACATGTTACTGATTGAAGTCTTTGCTGTTTGGCCCAGGGGTACGCAGAGAGCCTGGGAGGTGGATGATAACTGGACGAAAACATTTGTCACGTGTGACCACAGACATGGCGAGAGGAGCCCTCGGCGAGTTTCCCTGTCATACGATAGGGAGTGACTAGCTTTGCCACTGTTTCTCTGGTTGAACTGGGGAACGGAGGTCGGGATTTTGACCCGTCTGGACTCTGCATGTAAAACTCTGTATTCAAAGCTGCGACTTGGAAGGACTGTCGATTAGTCCCGCACGAAGTTTGGTTAAGCATATTAATAACGCCTACATGCTTCACCGATCGTCAGACATCTGGCAACAACCGCGTGCTGTGTTCAAAGTTGTCGAGAAAGATCGGTCAGAGAATGAAAAATTTGCATACTTGACCAAGGCTTGAATTCAAACGTTCAGGTTGCTGATCATGGGCGCCAACTTGACGACCCGCCATTCGGCACAAGTTCGGCATGGAAAGCCAAGCAGGAGCAAAGAGATTACCTAATTATCTTCTGGGTCGGTTCTTTGTTGTGCTCGGTCCCCACTTTGAGCTTGTTCAACGACGTTGTCGAGACGCGACGACGACGAGCACACCGCCCAGGACAACGACAACGAAAATCTGGTTTTGCTCGACTGGGATCAAGCCAAAGACGTTCTCCCCGTTGCATTCGACTCCATCACCAGCTGAAATCACGGTTTACCGCGGCAAAACCTTGACCAACCACATCGCTCGCAATAGCAATAATGCTCTCCACCAGCGCCATTAACAAGGGAAAGGGCAAAGAAGTCAAGATTTCGCTGTCCATAAATCGTTCGAGGTCGTCGTCTGCAACCAGTGCCACCAATATGCCGTTCGACGTCGAGGTCATCCCAGACGACATCTGGCTCACCATTTTCGAGCAATTGGGGCCTGGCGATCTCAGTAGACTCTCAGCGACGTGTCAAAAGTTCCACCACCTCACCCAGAGGCCACTTTTGCGGGAAATTACCTGGTCCAAGGCTTCATCGGCGGAACGCAATATCCGGGATTGGGGTGCGGGTGGCTCCCTGGCCCAATTCACGGGCATCGTCCGCAAGGTCAAGGTGCGCCTATCGTTCAAGAGGATCAATCAAAACAACGCGATTGTCGCGGTAGGTGCCTCCTTGCACGCCGTCAACGAGTGGGGAACTGATCCCCGCCATGACCCGCAGCACACCGACTGGGAATTCTATGACGCCGTATTCCACAGGCTTATGTCCTTCGGCAACCTTCGCTCCTTGGAGCTCGTGGACACCATCGTCACCCCCGCCCTTTACCCTGTATTGGCAGCTATACCCTCTCTCAGGGAATTGAACATCACCCGATGCACCTTTTTGTGGTCCCCCCTGTATCCTCCCATTCTCTCAACTCTGGGGAGGCCAAATCCACCTGGCGGTATCCCTGATCAATACACCATGCGCCGGAATGTAGACGAAGCGACCATCGCTGCACAGAGGCAATGGTTCACAGATAACCACACGTTTGACTTCCCGACCCAATTGGCCCACATAACGCATCTTACATTCAAGTACAATCGTTCGAGCCCCCTAAACGACGACAAAATCCGCACGCCGGTTGAAGACTTGCCCTACATGGCTTCCGAGCTCAACAAAATCACCATTCTGCACCCACTGTATTTGCTCACTCTTCCGTCGTTGACGGAACTTACCCTTACTTGGTCGCCACTACTAATGACTGTCTTCGAGGCGTTGAAGAACTCGCAGAGTTTGACGAGCCCACCTGGAAATCTCCAACTTCCCGGAGGGGTCCAGCTTCCGATGAACCACCCATTCCATCACCTACCTCACCAGGCACATTTACCAAATCGTGGGGGCAATCCGTTCGGAATCAACGTCTTCGTTCCTCTTCGACCTTCGTTCCCCAGCCTCCAGCATGTCACCCTTCTTGTAGACGACCTCAGTCGCGACATGATGGACTCGCTCGTGGGTCTCTTCGAACAGCGCGTCAACTCACCAGCGCCTGGCTTGGGGCCACTCCGTACCAAGCTTCGAGTCGCAAAGCATTCTCTTACTGAGCAGCATCTTGGTAGCATTCAGTTCAGGCTCCCCGGTGTTTATCACTACGAAGGACCCCTCCAGGTTGCCGGTTTGCTCGCTGCGGGAATGGGTGCTCTGAATATTGCTAACCCATTGGAGGAGATTCGCATGGGTGACGCCATGGAGATGAACATGATCCTTTACACTCTGGAGAAGCTTCCTAGGTCGTTGAAGAAGCTTGACATCAAGATGTACAAGTGGGATCAGGAAATCCTTTATGCTGTTCGGGCTTTGTTCAAAGAGCTCAGGGAATTGGTTATCCGATATGGTAGAGGTGGTCTCAAGGAGGTAAGTATCCCTACCCTCTTGTGTAGGTCCGATATTAACGCTAGTCCCGTAGAACACGCACGTCATACTCGGATCGGACATCCTTCCAGAGCTGCAACAGCTGCACACGCTTCGTCTCCTACCGTCTGGCGATTGCGTCAAGCGAGACCAACAGCGACATTCCTTCCCCTCCAACCACGGAACTATTCACCACATTAACCCCGCCTCTAACACTTGGTGGGCCATGACCTCCACCAGTGCACACACTCCGATCCATCACCATCACCACCTTCATCCTCACCCTCACCAGATGATGCCGAACCTTGGTCCTGGCGGTCATATCCAGGTTCAACCCCTCGGTTTACAGGATGATGACGAGGACGACGAAGAATTTTGGTCTGACGATCTTCTTGTTGATTTCTCTGATGAAGACGGCGACCTCATCGCCCCAGGTGGGCCAGGACCGTCTAGTGCGGCAGCTGCCGCTAACGCCGCGGTTGGTGGAAGCAGCGCAGCTGGGCCTTCCGCCTCCACCTCACACGCCTCGACCTCGACCCAAGCTGGTCCGAGTACCGGGGGCTCAGGCCCTGGTTCAGGAAGCACTTTTGGGGGAAGTAGCAACTGGAGACGCAGCGCGTTCAGATTCCCTATGTTCTCTCCGTTTTCTAACCCGGGAGGCTTCCTTTCCACGAGCTATGTGAGCTACAGCTCCCCTTCTGCCTCCACATCCGCTTCAGCCTCTTCCTCGTCCGTCGCCTCGACGTCAACCGCGGTTGTATCCAACAGTGCTGGTCCATCGACATCAACCTCCGCCTCTACTTCCGCCGCTGCCTCTGGATCCGCCAGTGCAAGTGGAAGCCAGAGCCACCTTCCTTCCAGCATGACTTTCGGTGGCCACATTGGTCCCCGCGAACGCCTTTCCGGTCGTTCTCGCCACCACCACAACTCGGCGAACCTTGCTTCTCTACAATCGCAACGCACGACTGCTGCTCAAATCGAGGCGGAGGAGCAGAGGAAGATTACGGAGAGTCTGAAGGAGGATTTGGCAGATTATCTTGTTGGGTGGAATAGGCATTGTCCGAGGTTGAGGGTTGTGCAGATGGAGCATGGGCTGATGTGGGTTAGGAGGTTTGATGGAGATGTTTGGACGTCTGTCGTCGAGAAGGATGGAAGTGCGAATGGGAATGGAGGATGCACGAGTGGAGGTGGTGGCAGCGGTCAGGCGTAGGTGGTACGGCTTGGGGGCCGTTCGATCACAGCTTGGAACCTGGAATTCGGACCTAGGGCTTGACGCCCGAGACGGTCAACAGCACATCAATTCGGACGAAGAATTTCAAGAAGCGACATGGACATTGAGATGAACTTGAACTGAAAACAACGGCTGGACTTTTTGACTGATTAATTACTTGCGGGTTATCGTTTTCTGGTGGCCACGTAATGTCTTTGTATATTGCATTTTCCAAGCATTTTGTACTGTATAGTGTATTGTACTGTACAACATTTTTTTATTGGAAATATATTGTCGAGAGGCTAGAGCGCGAGGATGTCTACATGAGCCCCAAGGCGATCGATCACCATGATCATCCGGGTTTCCTTTTCGAAGTGTGTCGCAAAGTGGAACTGCCCTTTCATTCCGCCTATCGAGTTCATGTAAACAACTCTGATCTCAATCTCGAAGCATTCAGCCTTGGAAGCTCAAAAGAAATCCCGTGTCGGGCTATAATGGATATTCTGAATCGATATCATTGCATATGAAAATATATTAGTAGAAACATGGACATAACGATGAGCACATAAGCGAATCTAAGGTTTAGTAGGGACAGGAGTCTAGGTCTTTGAAGGCACTTCAGAACTAGGCTATGCCAGGGGATATTATCGGAGGGCTGCCGTGGACCGGGAAAAATCTACAGCTGAAGAGGCCTGACGAAATCCAACTCGTCTAGATTCAGAAGCATGGCGACGTTAGGTCGTAGGATCCGAGACTCTGCTGGGTATCTTGGCCATCGCCGTTCAGCATCTCGAACAACCACCTCCACTCCTCAGGGCAAGTCTCGAGGTCTGGATCAGGAATGGCTGCATGGATATCGTGGGGGAGGGCAGAGCTGAGGTGTTGTGAGTTGAGAGTCGGTTCGTCCATCCGAGATATCGATGCATCACTTTCACCGAGGGTGCTCGCAGGCTCTACTGGACCCTGGTTCCCAGAGTCGTCTGCAGCTAGTAGGACCAGGCCCTTCCCATCCCAGTGGTGAGTCTGGTGTTTTATGCCACCAGTCATGCGCGTCGAGCCAGGCTCCAGAGAGTTGCTGTCGACAGTAGTAAAATCATCAATGTGTGAATTCTTGCTACCATCGCCCTGCAGCGAGTCAACTGTTGCGGCTGGCCGAGTGAGGCCCTCGATGGCCAGCGTCATGAGATCCCGTGTACCTCCTTCGAGATCTCGGTGCCACCTTAAGTGTCTGACGAGGTTAGTCCCGGTGAAGGAGCAGCCAGGGTATTTACAAGGGAGGAGAGGTCCGCGGTTAGGATCGTGAACCCCCATGTGCCTCTCCATCGACGTTTTGCGCGTCGTGGTGTAGGCGCAATCGGGGAACTGGCATCTGAAGCGGCTCGCGTATGGGTCGTGAATTGCTTGCACGTGTCTGGTGAGGCCTGAAGAGTGTGCGTAGACCTTGTCGCAGGAGGGGCAAGGGAATACGAGGCGGCGGGTACTAGTAGAGGACATATTTGTTATGTATCGTTGGGAGTGTTGGGTGGGCGGTTTCGAAAGAAGGGGGAGACGGGGGCTGTCAAGTTGGGGAAGCACATAGCTTGACCTGGGCCTTATGTACTGTTCTCAATCCGCAGATATGAGCGTCAAAGTGCAGGGAAGTTTTTTGGTACAATGAGCTTGATGTCCAAGCAGCCTTGACAGGTTGTCTTGGCACCCAGAATATCTTGTGCTGGTTCAAGCGCATGATCCACTGTCCACTGACGTGCGCGGTAGACAATGATTCTTTTGAAGAGAATGGATTTTGTAAGAATCCCCCATTGTCCCCAGTCTTCTGAAAGGGGTTCCGAGCCTTTACGTAAGTAAAGATCGGTTTTTCAGAGTCGTAGGGACCCCTCGCCAAGAGTGCGCCGAGCTTTGTATTATAGCCATTAGGGAATTGTGTGATTGCCCTTGCCTGCCGATTGATACCATCAGCTGATGGCTGGCAACTCCCGGCTCAGGTCCGGCTCAGGTCGCGCTCAGTGTCGCGCAAACTTAGTTTGTCAGATGGTCTCCTGGTGGGTCTATGTTGCGGTGAGACTGAGAGTGTGGGGGAGAACTCCGTAGGCTTTCGCTCTGGGAAGGCTAGCCTGACTCTGTGAAAGGGACGAGATGAGCCGCGAGGGTGGGTGGGTGAAACACCGACTCGCGTTGCTGGTCTCGGTTTTCTCTTTGCTTAGCCATTTCTCAGAGAGTACAGGAATGTGAATTGGTCTTCTAACGATCTGCGATTACGATGAATCATGATTTACTTCTACGATAAGTTCTGGGATGAGGAATTTAGTGAGTCATCTGGGGGGTGTGAGTGTGTGTGTATCTATTATAATAGATTCTATGCCGTGTGTATAAGTCTACATGATGCAATTAGGTTCGCGGGATCTAAGTCTAGTTTGTTGTAACTTGTGTATGAGGAAATCATGGATTAGCGTTGGCTGAGGGATTAATAATTTAAGCGTAGGCACTGTCTTTCGGGGCTGGGTAAGTTGGGGTGTGGATCCTGGGTCTGCCCTTGGCTGGTGTAGGCAAGTCGGTGTAGTGGGAGAGGAGGGTGGGAAGATGAAAACAATGAGTGCTCTATTTTGACGAGGGGGACGGGCGGTGAGGTGGTGATGGTCGAGGTGCAAGCGCACCCCATTACATCGATCGACCCACTATCAATGGTCCGGAGTCGGGGATCAAGGCCATTGATGTATGGCCCAGATCTCGGAGCTCTGACGTACTTTCCCACCAAGACTGATGGTAGAGCTCCCGGGTCTCGGCTACCATCACAGCTCACCAGAGCTCCTGAAAAGTCCACCATGGTTGACGGCCCCGGATCTCGCTTGAGATAGGTGACGTCGGGCAGTCGGCGCGCTGAACCAAAATACATCGGCGCCTCTGACGCTGCCGCCGCTCATCACGTTTCCTCAATACCTTGCACAAGCCCCAGTCTAATGGTGGATGGGATCCAATTGACAACGATAATCATTCATTATTCTAGGAAGAAATGTCGTCTGGCGTTGGTGCAGAAGCGGGAAATTAAAATTACTTGAGGTCCAAAAGGGTCGTCATACCCTGAATGGCTTCGGCCAAGACAATACTCTGGTCGCGCAAGGTAACCGCGCTCATCACGACCTTGAGGTGCTCCTTGAGTTTGTCCTGCATCTCACAGCTGTGCAGATAGTGGTTCACGAGCGTCGAAAGCCAGGCCGACATGTAGTTGAGCTGGGCATCGATTAGGTCGGTCGGAATCGCGCCTCCGTCCAAGGAAGCAAGATCGAAGAGACCATCTGGATCAGCTAGGATCTCTTCCCGCACTCGGGGATCTAGCCCATCCAATGCCTCCTTGACCGTCGACTCCATAGCCGCTCGAATTGCGCTTGCATCAGCGCTTGTCCCTTGCTCATTTCCCCCCGTGCTCTCTCCTGTTTCCGACAATTTAAACGACAAGGGAAAGTCAGCGTTCTTCGGAAAGACCTGGCGTTGAGGGTCCCCGCCTGTAACGACGCCCGCCGATATGAAGTCGCCTAGGATAGCTGCGGCATGGCGGTCGGGAAGTCTCGAAAACCATTCGGAAGCCTCCTTCTGGTTCGCAAAGGGAGCCCATATGGCGTCTCCTTTTCCCTTCCCCGCGTCCCGTTCGTCTTGATCGACTACCATGGCGGTAGCATCTGCGGGCGAACCTTCAGAATGTTCCGCGGCGGGTGCCCGCTCTCGACTCACCAGGCGGCGCCGAGTCTCCATCTTTCTTTGACGACGTAGGCGAAAGGCTAGGGGGAGGAGGTATCCTCTCCTGGGTGCTGAACTCTCTCCAGGCTTCCCCTGTGGCTCCTGCTTCCTTTTGGCGGGGGGATTAGCAGTCGCCGCCGCTGATCAGAGCGATCTAACTCACCTCGCCATCTTCATCGTTATCCAGGAACCCAGGGCGGAAGTCTTAATATTATTTAATGTTAATGATACGCATATGGTTTTTTGAAATGGAACAATTACCGTTGAATAGTGCGCTCGACGCTTGATTCGACATGCTGAGGGTCAAGCGGTTGGGCGCCGATCGATATCGCTTTCGCCGCTTGCGTCGGTCGGACTTCGCGAATTTAGGGGAAAGTCCCGACCTCGGCACTTTCCGAGGTCACGTGGGTAGCAAGGACAATCAAACAGGTGGCCTGACGCGCTCGTCGCGAGCGTCCTTTCCTCCCTAGTTGAATCTTTACATTCTTTACATTCCCAATGTCTCCCCAGCCGATCACCGCGGACTTTTCTAAGTACACAAAAGACCAACTCACAGCCGTCTTCAACCCGCTCATGCTAAGGCTGCGTACTTTGTTGAACAAATACCAATTCTGGCCGGAGGATAATGAGCACAAGGAGAGCATACGCGATGCGGTAACGCGAATGGCGGTAAGCACTGTCAATTTACCTGTTGTTCAAAGACTCATGGGGTGACTAATAGGTTATTCTAAATCGTGTGCCTCCCAACTGCAAGCATATCTTCGCTGGGAACGCTGTATGCGCCCTCTTTCGAGCATTGGCCAAGAATCCGCAATGGCTACAACCCGGCCACTACATTGACACCTCATGCTTACAATCTATCAAGTCCGACCCACCCCACACGCTTATGCCCTTCGACGACGATCAACCCATGGTATTTGTAGAAGCCTGTATCCAAGAGTCAGCGGCCTGGAACCCAGCTCCCCCTTCATTACCCGACGTAGCACCCACACCGACGGCCCCTCTCGATAACGCCATCCCCGCCGTAGAGAAAGGGAAGGGGAAGGAGGTAGAGAAAGACCTGGAGGATAAGGGGGACGCCGCACAGGACGAGGACGTCGAGATGGATGACGAGGGAGAGGACGAGCACTCAGGCTCAGAGGAAAGACGGAACCGAAGCGACGCGCATCTACGAAGGTCGCCGAGAAAGAAAGGTGCGCGGTATAGTCTTACAGACCCCAGATCCAACCACTAACAGCTTCCATGAAGCTTCGGCGACGACGGCGGCCGCTGCTCCTTCCTCTTCCTCGCCCAGACCAGCCTGTGACCTCTGCCTCCGGCTTCGACTGACGGCTGAAATTGACCGCGACAATAAGCGGACGTATGCCAAAGACCACATCGGCCTAGTCTGCGTTCCCCACAGCAACCCCAAGAAGCCTTGTCTGCGCTGCGGACAGAAGAAGAAAGGCTGCAGTTCTAATTTCAATGGAGACTCCGCCGCTCTCCTCGCCTCGCTGCGTCAACAGAAACAGAAGAAGGAGGAGCAACGATTGACTAAGAAGGAGGGTGGGACGTCGAAGAAACGTAAGAGTGCAGCCTTGGTCCACTCGAGCGATGACGAGGACGATACGGGCGCCGTGAAAAAGACGAGGACATCCCCTTTCACCGCACCCCAGGGAACGAGCGCCGCCATTCGCCCGAGGAAAGCAGCCGCAGTCGCCCAACCCGCCGCCTCCTCAGCTGCAACCGTTGAAGTCATCGCCATGTCAGGCGGCGCGAACGCTCATTCTGGGTCGCCGACGTCGGTCCCACGCGTTGTGGCGGGCACGAAGGAATTCGGGCTTATGTTTCACCCAAAAAGCGGCCAGGCCATTCCTCTGCAACCAGCCTATCCCACCGCCTCTTCCACCAGTGACAGAGTCCTCGTCGCCTACCCCACAGAACTCCCCACGGGCGACCTCGTCAAGGACGTCGTTGCTTCCATCGACAAGCAAGATGGGATCGAAGAACGTCTCACGCAAGTGGAAGCCGCCGTCCGCAGCCTCTCAGCTCAAACTCAAACGGTACCACAAATCGCACAGCAAGGCATGGTCCCAATGTCGGAATATCAAGACTTACGGCGCAAGGTCTTCACACTCCAAAAAATCGTCGATGAAAAAGACAGCCAGCTGACAAGGATGGTCGACAACGCCGTAAAGCTCGTCTCCACCGTCGAGGATAGGATGAAGGTGTACGACCAGCGGCTTGCTCTGATCGAGGGACAGGAAGGTAGAGACCAGAAGTCGGTGCTGGTTCACGACGACCCGGTGGAGGATGCGGGGTTATTGAAGGATTTGGAGAGGAAGGTGAATTCTATTGACAGGGATGTCGACAAATCTTTCCGATCAATGAAGGAGGTCAAGAATTCCATTCGCCGCATCGACAAGGACATCGACAAGATCTGGCAGAGGGCAATGGGTTCCGTGAACGAGGCGACGCTGAACGAGCTGCTGGGCAGGATGAGCGCCCTCCACCATCAGTGTCACTCCACCGCCGCCCATTACTTTCAGAACCAGTATTTCGACGGGTACCAATACCGCGACCAGGGGCATCAGTACGGCGACCAACAGGATCACGATGGGTACGACTACGGCAATGAACAGGATTTCGAAGTCCAACCAACGATCACCCCCCCGCCCGTCAACCATATTGGAATCCAAACCGAGCCGTCCGACTCCGCCAGGTATCTCGCGCCTTCTTCAAGTAACGAAGACCCCCCCGCAGCGGCGACAGTTGCAAGATCGGCGCCCCTTCCCCCAACCGACTCGGTCGGCGACGCGCCGCAATTAAGCGCATCGCCGCTCGCTCCGCCCGTGACGTCTGCCGGCGGCAGGCCCGACGATCCAACGCGAGGGAGGGACGATGTCGTCGCCGCTCATCCGTCAAACTCAGCGGCGCCCGCTCCCTTCCCAAACTCTGCGCCGGGTATTCAAGGGCCGATCTCGATTTCAACATTTCTGCCTGCGGCACCCTTCACCTCGGAGGATGGCCTCGCCGTTCCCGACTCGCCGCTATCTTCTATCTCAAACGGCGAAGGCCCGCCTCCCAAACCTTCCCCAAAACGTCGTAAAGGTCGCGTCGGTCTCCCAGATGCTGTTGCTAATCCTCCCCAACCTCGCCGTTCAAATCGCGTAAATAAATCGTAGCTTTCGTTCATCGTTGCACCCTCTTGCGTCTTAGGTAGTTGTGAATAAAATACTTTGTCATTGCGATGATTGAAATTAACGAAGGACTAATATATATATAAAAAAAAACGACTAGGAAAGAATGGTGGACCCTACTTGCGAGACTTCTTGCTCTGGCGGGTTCGGCGCATTTCCCGAGACGCTTGGGATCGAGTCCTAACGTTAGTCTTGACTTCGGGGAGCAGCTCTATCCCATCCAACCTATTCCGTTTGCCTTCGGGTGACTCATAGGCGGCAGGGGAAGGCCGCTTGCGTCGGTTAACCGGAGTCTGAGTAATGGCGGCGGGCTTGGTCGGTGATACGACAGGCTTCATTCCTGGCTGCAGTGACTTGATGAGATCCATAGCTGACCTGCGAGGTTTGTCCTTTGAGTCGGCGGCGGCGGTCTTGGTCGTCGGAAGAGGCACTGGCGCGGGTGATGACGTGGCATCAGTACCCCGAACCAATGATGAGTTCTGGTTCACATCGAAGTCGGCAGGTGGTGAGCTGATTTGCGATTGATCGCCGGCGGTCGCGGTTTGATCGCCATGGACCAATGATGGTAAAGGATCTTCAGGAGAGAGCATGAGACTATGGGCGGGCGGCAGCGGCGCGCTAGTTTGTGATTGATTGCCGGCGGTCGCGGTTTGATTGTCCATGAAACTAGGGGGTGGGGGAGAAAGTTTTACCACTGTCGCCTTCTCTGGCGTCACATCGCGCTTGGGAAGCTGTTTGATTGGCCTTGGTCGCCCTATAAGGCCCAGAACCCTTTCCTCCTCCACCAAAGCCACAGACTTGTGCAGTCTGCCCTCGTGCTCGAAATAGTCGAACCGGAACGCCGGGCGCTGTCCCACCTGCTGGCGCTCGTACAGGTAGCCCAGGAGGAAGCGCAGTTTAGGAACCGTCAAACGCGTCGGTTCTTGCACCAACGCCATGTACTGGGAGGGGAGAATGTGCGAGTCGAAGTAGCTGTCGGGTGATGTGGACACCGCCTGCCACGAGAGGCTTGGCCGACCTGTTTGCGGCGATGCCTCGCCTATGGAGAATCTGTCAGTTACGTGGCACTTACAACAGTGAAATGCGCACTTACCGTACTTCTTAATGAAATAGGACCTCATCATATCCACTAGGTACGGCTTCGCGTTCATTCCCGGAGGTATAACCGCAGGGTCAAGCAGCTCAACCCCGTCGCGTCCTTTGGGGAGCTGCATCAAAGCTCGTGTACCTTGTCGGCGGCCTGCTGTACGAAGCCTCCCATCCTGGGTGTTGAACTCCCTCCTCGCCCAGTCAAGAATTATTCCAGCCACTCCGGAGTCTTTGAATAGAGTGGGGTGTTGGGTGGTGAAGGAGGTGCCGCCGAGGTTGTCGCCGTGATCGGTGGTCCAAGAGTGAAGGACCCGATTCTTGTCGGGGTGCACTACGGTGATGATGAGGCGGGCATTGAACTTGTGGTTTGCATCGAGCGACATCCTTTCCAGGAACGAAGGTAGCTCTTTGTCGGCCATCCTGGAGACTTCGTTGGTAAGATGGATTTGATTGGCAAACGAAGACTTACTCCGCTTGTTCGAGCGCCGACGGTCCCAGTTCGCGGTTGAGATAGGCTCGGATGCGGTACTTCCTTCGTTCAGAGGCCGCAAGGGCATTCCAAAGTTCGGTGACTGTCTCCTGAAATGATGCAAAAACTTTGTTGCTGAGTTTCTGAATGGCCGTAGGGGGCTTGGTACCAGCTGCTCCTTTGCGGCCCGACTTGCGAGATGGTGGGGCAATGTCATCGTCGTCATCTGAATCGGCATTGTCATCGTCGCTATCCGAAAAGGGGTCCTTCCCGTCACCGTCGTCTTCAAAGAGGTCTTCTAAGTCTTCGGATCCTTCAGGGTCGATACCAGCCTCTTTCAATACCTCCAGATCGTTCTCGTCGAGGTCTGGGAGAGGGGTGTCTTGCAGCCCATCCGTGGTATAGGGATATCGGTCGCCCGTTAGTTTCTCGTACTTTGCCCGATGCGCAAGCTTGATGGTGAGCTTGTTGTGTTGAATGAATAACAATCTCGGCTTGACACCTTTCCACGCTGGACCTGGTGTCTTGCGGCTAGCCTTGCAGCGGGCATTCAGCCATCCTCTGACAGACTGAGGGCAATGTTATCATGCTGTCACACGATTCGGGATAATCACTCACCGTAAATAACGCCTGCGCGAGTTTACCCTCCATGGCCGACCCGTCAACCGCCTCTTTGGCTTCTTGAATCTGCCTGGCGACGGTGTCAGCGACGTTCAGGCGCTTGACTGCGTCGGCGCCCTTGTACTCTGCTTTGGCGTCGTTGAGCAACTTGAGGTCGTCGGGCGTCCATGGATACTGCTCAGCCTTGGTTCTAGCCATAGGTGTAATCCAACTAATGCCACGTATGCGAGGATGGGAGCGCTGCCTGGCAAAGTCAGGTTTTTAACGGTCGGCGCCCATGCCTTACGGGGATAGCTGTGCTAGCCTTTTGATGACTGGAACATGGCACTTATCTTTCTTCGTATCGGTCAAATCGCACGCATGGCTCCTCTGTCTCCCTCCTCATAGACAATATGCCGAAGCGAAGCGCGAAGTCTGTGATCGTGGATAGACCTACCAAAGGTGTATTGGTCGAGATCCATACAAAGAAACGCACCACGCACCGCATTCAACCCATCCCTGATCAAGTTCAATCAACCCCAACTCCCATCGGCAAACGACGACGCTTTGACACTACTCCAGAGAATGATTGGAATGGGGAATCCAACTATCGCGTTTCTCCTCCCCCCGACAATCAGGGCCAATCCATTGAGCCTGAGGAGGCCGTGGTTGAGAATGTACGTCAACCTACGGCAATGACATCTTCGCTCATGAAACTAATTTCATGCCACTCACCAGAGTAACTACGACTATATGCTCCAATGGAACGATCGCATTAACATTTACCTCAACCACCTCTACAACAACGAAATCAGGGGCGGTGCTCCTTGCCAGGGTTGTGGGTCAGGCGATCCACTCTGGCGTTGCAACTCGTGTTTTGATAAACCTAAACTATGTTCCCAGTGCTGTCGGTCGCGTCACCTTAACCAGCCTCTTCATCGAGTCGAAATTTGGACGGGGGAATTTTACGAATCCTCCTGGCTATGGAAACTGGGAATTTCCATTCACCTAGGCCACGGGGGAGAACCTTGCCCCTGCGTTTACCAACCTCCGTTCAGTTTCCCGAGCAATGACGACTACATCTCACTCTCCCAATCAACTTGGGAAAATCACCACGACTTCACCTTCGGCGCTAGTCCCCAGATGGGTCGAGATGGACATGGCCAGGAGATGGTCCTCGTTCATACCAATGGCATCCACCAATTAGCGGTATACCAATGCCTGTGTCCCGGAGCTCCATCCATAGACGAGCAGTGCGTTCTGGGAGGCCTGTACCCAAGCACATTCAAATCGGTTGCCACCGTCTTCACTCTTGAGCTCCTTCAGGACTTTACTCTGGCGTCGTTGGAATGCCAGACTTCCGCCTCGGACTACTTCAGCAAGTTGAGGAGGTTAACGAACCCCGAATTTCCAGATTCTGTACCCGTGCGTGCTCTACTCGACTAGCCCCATGTTTATCCAGTCCTGACATCGAAGTAGGATCGGTACCGCGAGCTGCTTAGAGCATCGCGACAATTTGGATATCTTCAAGAACTCATGCGCTTTGGGTGTCCGGCGAAAGAGTCTGCTGTTGCACCTGGGTCTCTCGCTTTCTTCTGCGCGGCTTGCCCTCAACCAGACGTGAATTTGGAACCGGGGTGGGAAAGGGATTCGGAAAGGTATGTGCATTCTTTCTCGGGGTTTTACCAGATCACAGATTAACCTGGTAAAGTTGGAAATATACCATGTCCTTCATCGCCGACGGCAATTTCGTCTGCGTTAGGCAAACGAGAAAAGGGTCAGGGCAAGATTTGTTCCTTAAACAGGGCCAGGGGTATTTCGTCGGGGCACGAGCCTACAAGTCATATTTAAATGGTGCCCGGGAGGATATTGAGGTGCGACCGCCGTCTTTCCATTATGGATGGCAGTTCAACCTCACCGCCTCCTTTAGCCATCTACCTGCAATCAGCATAGGGCTGTCGCGGACAAGAACAAAGCTCACAAGGGTTATGAAGCCACAGGAATCGGTGCGCTCACTTGCGCCCGTCACGGCGCTTTTGTGCCAAGCTCCTTTGTGGACTTTCAAAAAGGAGAAAGGCAGATGAACATGGACTATTCCCTTTGCAAGGGACTGAAGGCGGTCGTGTCATCAAAAACGAAGCGCGTGGTGCTATTCTACGACATATGTTGCCAGTATTGGAAAAATCTCCTGGCGCGCGTCAAGAGACATGATGCATTAGAACTCCCTTGGTACGACTCCATGGTCTTTGCTATAGGCCAATTCCACGTCCATGGGCATCAGGAGAAGTGCCTACCGCGATTTTCACCTCTCTACGTGCCTGGCATAGGCTGGGTCTCGGGTGAAATAATTGAATCCAATTGGTCCCTGCTCAACGCCTTTGGACAGCTCGCCAGTACTATGACTGAAGCAAATCGCATCGAATCAATGGATCGAAAAGTGTTGGACTTGAATTGGAAAAAGATGATTAAATTGGGTGAGTTTGTCAAGTTTTATTTGGAGCGGCGAAGGCGGCGCCCCAGCAGGTCGGGGGAGCGCCGCTCAAGATCGCACCGCTTCTCCGTTGGACTATGAGGCTAGACGCTAACTAGATTTTCAGCGGAGTTTCTGCTCAAGCTATTCAAGACTTCTGTGGAAAATCTTCAAGAGGTATCCGAAGCGTTGGAGATGCTGAAGGCGTCCGCATCCGAGGAGACGCGTTCAAGATGGGACGCTGAATTAGAAGCGGCGCAGAGATTAAGGGAAGGAAAGAAGCCCGAGTCGATGGATATTCTGCTCTCTAAACTTGAGAAGGGTGAGTGGCGCTTTGCGAATATGGTGCTAGGCTTACGCGCTGGGTTGGTTGATAGCGCCGTCCCGCAAGTCCATCGAGACAAAGTTAATAGGGGCAGAAGCGGCAGCCAATAAGCACGTCGGCGTCAGCATTTGGGTCAGCGAAGGGATTGCCATCCAGGAGGATCAGTGAGGTATTACATTTCGAATCAATCCCGGTCTATTCCTAATCACATGTTCCAGAATGGAGGTTCTGGGACTGCTTGCCGATCAGAAGGTGGCGACTACTGAGAGTCGAACCTTGGAGGTTGAGCGTAAGAGAGCTCAATTGTTGAAGCGCTCCAACGACCATCACCAGGAGGCTCTCAAGTTCTTTCCGAAGTTAACACCGCCAGGCGGTAGCGAGATAGATATTGCGGTGGTAACAGCGCCGATTAGAGAGCCTTGCGATTGCGAGGACAATTGCGGTCATATGGGGATGAATATTGACCCTTTCAGTGACGTGGCTGCAGGTCCCATCGAGAAGATGACAGTTTTACTCCCCTCTTCTGTGTCAGCCAGGGTTGAGCTTTTCTCGAAGCACGCCATTGAAGCCGAACTGAAACTCCGCCAGGCGCAGGCGGACGAGGCGCTGGAGAACGTGCGGACACAAGTAGGGTACAAGTCCTTCTTGTTCAAGGCAAACATTCAGCTAGCGGAGAATAAAGCGCAGAAGACTAGAGGGTACGCCGCGGTTGCAACTGCCGATAAGGCTATCCGACGGTGGACTCGGGTATACAATCAAGCACGATGGGCGATCACAGCGCTCACCAAGGATGCAGCGGTCCTTGGTAAATACCCCCCTCTTCTTAAGGCGGACCTCACCCCACTTCAGTCAATTTACCAGCCTAATGCTCCGGGCATGAGCCGCCAAAATGTCAGCTGGATTTGGGGGCGGCGAAGTGGAAGTATTATGAATGATCCGGAATTTCTGCAGGAAAGTAAGTCTCCCTCCATGGCGGTGATCGGCGACGACCTTACACCAGCGTCGGGACATAGTTTGCAGGTTGAATTGGTTGCGTACCAAGTCTCGGTACGAGAGATGGCGCGAAGAACTGACACTGGTCAAGGCAGAGATGGGGTGGACGGTTCGATTCTTTCGGAACAAGGCCTTTGATTGGACTTTGATGGCTGCGCGCTCAAACAACGCGGGGCTTCGCGCGCAGGCGTTAAGACAATCGTTCACATTTAGAAAGCTGGAGAGACAAGCCGAAAGGGCTTTTGAGAAATATGTCGTAATTAGCCAGCATTGATATATGAATTTGGATTGAGAGATTCCCCTCTCGCAATCATCTGAGAGCCGCGCGGCGGCGCTTTCATGTGAGACGCGCGGCGGCGCTTTCATGTCATAGTCGGCGAAGCACCACCGTCGCCGACTCGCTGTGCACCTGGAGGGTCACGTGATTCTTTTTTCGGAAATTGCCATTAGCTTCATGATTCCATATGACATGCATCTTGCTTCACTCACCCCAACAGGCCCGATGGATTCCTCGAAAGACGGAAAGAAAGGTGAAGTCGAATTCACCTATAGTCCGCCCGGTACAAGCCCGGAGATGGTGGGGACGATGTTCGCCGACCTGGACACGTTGGACTTCGCGAGCCTCCAACAATTTCTGTACTATCTCTCATCTCGCAAGCGATCGGCGGGTCTAGCATATGGCTCACACTTCGCCCAGCTATCTATCGATCAGCGCGCAGAATTTTTGAAAATTTTATTCGATGACATCGTGCGTTGTTCCCTCCCTACAATAGACGCTTGAATTCAAAAATCAACGTAGACTTGGCACACGATGATCTTCGGATTCGCAAGCCTGCGGTATCCTGAGGTGAAGCCAGGGGAGGCTCACCGCAACCTAGGCCGACTTTTCATGCACATTCGCTACGGCGATCCTACCCTCATCGTCGCCGCCTGCTCACCGTCTTATCAAAATGTGCCCGACCGATTACTCGCCCACTACGAAGCGAATTGGTGGAACCCCTTCGATCCAGCCAAGAATTGGGACAACAGCAATATCTCGTTTGTGATCAAGACCTTTCGCCATCAGAGGCAGTTCATGATGGCGCTCCCGCGCGCACCCCTACCCAGCAACCGTCTCTCCGACTTGAGCCTTTTACAACTCAGGAAATGCGCCGACTCGATCGATGAGTGCATCGCAATGATCGGCCGAGATATCAACCTGTCGGCGCGGGAAATCGCGAAAGCTGTGGCTCTCTATTGTCGCTGGAAGGTTCTATTGCTCCAGGCCCGGGTAGCGCAAAAGAAGAGGGCTGAGGCAGCCCAGGTTGATGGCCTTGTTGCTCGGGGTATTAACCCTGCATACGTGGCGGATCTCCTAAAGTTTGTTAAAGAGAGGAAGAGCAGGGAGGGGTAGTTTACCTTTGTTTGTGCGCCGACGCGCCGCTCACGTTATCAACGTTTGATCTCCAGAGCTCCATGTACTGTTATGACCTTAACCTTGACACCTCATACCGTCGTTTAACATTCCGCCGCCAGTTTCGCATGAGATCCACGTCCTTAGCAACATTCTCCTATCGCGAATGGGAATCATTTCAAGACTTCGTCAGTTTGCGTTTGCAACTTGCGTTTACCGCATTTGCGCAGGATGACACCGGCAGCCTGTGGAAGGCGCGTCATAACTGTTTTGCGGATGAGGTGGTGCGTTGAATCCCAAAACATTCAGTTTTCCTCCCCTCCCGGCTAATAGCCTGGTGACCTAGACTCAAGCAATCTTCTTCGTCGGCCTATCCAAATTCTATGAAACTGGCAACTACGTGGGAGCATTTACAAGCAAGGTGGTCGAAGATTGGGACGATATTTTCGATGGGGTGGAGCAAGGGAGGCTCCCTCTCTATTTAGAAGCCGAAGCATGGATTTTGGACCCCAATCCAGTTCATGAACTCATGCCCGCCGCTTGGTGGAAACCGAACGCCGCGTCAATCGCTCTCATCGGGATATCCCAGATGGTCGAGGCGTGGGCGGCATACATGCGTCGGGGCCGTCCATCCAATGCGCCGAACGCTGTGGACGAAAGTTACAGGGAGGTGTTGGAGCAATGCGTAGGGCTCTACGCCGGTTGTCGAGACGGAGTCGCCGATCAGTTAGATCTCACCGCCCAACAACTCCTTCCAGCATTCGAGGCAACCGTGAATCGACTATCGGATATTTCCTTATACCCCTTGTACGGGCACTGGTACAAGATCTGCTCCAAGTCGGACAAGTTGGCCTTGATAGAAGAGTGGAAGGAATCGAAGGGCGGCGACCGTGCTGAGACCAGCGCTCGAGGATCGCGCTCTGGGTCGGCGCTGGGCTGATAGTCGGCGGGGGACATTACGCACCTTTGGGTTAATTGCTTTGTAAACTTATGTAGAACGACCTATTCCTATCGAATGTGACGCCAAGGCGCAACGCCTATATATTATGAGGTTATAATTGAAAAGAAATCCGAACCAACAACATCTCGCGAAGATATTATACTCTCGGCGCAACGCGCCGAAGCGCCGCGCCAACATTTGAGGGGGGGGCCCGCCATCCCGCCGAACTCCCAAACTTAAACACCCACCCTCAGTCCATGAGGAATATTGAGTCTAGCTTCGATCGCCGCAAGCGGCTCCGGATCTTCTGTAAGCGCGCGGTAGCTCAGCCCCCATTGCAGCACCTGAGGGCGCATGAAGCTAGCCAGGCAGACCCTTTCACCTTCTACTGGACTGGCGCCATGTTGTAATATGTGGCTCAGGAGGAAAACCATGGTTCCCCTTTCATACCGGAAACGATGCCCGACGTCCTTCAGTTCAAACCTACCCCCGCGGTAGGGACCGACGGTCAATAGGCAATCGTACCAGAAGGGATGGCCCGAGGTGTCGAAGTGGAAGGGTGTTTCGCGGTTGGAGATCACTTGCATGACGGTGAACGGAGAGGCCCAACAGGCAATCACCTTCATCATATGGCTTTCGAAACCGTCCTCTACGCCTGCGCAGTTGGTTTCCACGAGTTTCTTCCAAAGCTCCACTCCTACCTCGTATTGAGAAGGGTGAATGAGGTATAGGAGAGCTCCCATGATGCAAAAGGCCTGTCGAACAGCTTTGATAAAGGGTAGACCACCGTCGCTACCGTCAGGTCGGCGAATTGCAGCTGCGACGAAAGGTTTATACTTTGGCGGCTAGGGCGCGGTTTTAATACACAAACAGGGGCGACCGTAGGTCTATCCGAGTACTTACTGGATGTGCCTGCATGAACCAACAGGGAGATAAAGTGAGGACCCCTGGAGTGAAACCAGCGCGGCCAACCGGTTGGAAATAGCTCTCATTGACCCTCCAATTGCTCGCCGCCCGCTTCATTTCAGGCTTAGCATTCGGCGCGGTAAGGAGACTACGACAGGCCGCCTCAACTACAGAGAGTAGCTCGGGTCGGAGGACTCCAGGAAGGTGGATGTACACGATGCGACCTGAGCGATCGACAATGTGGCCCGGTCCTGAAAGCAACTTCGAGACGCCGTCGGATTTGGGGGGAGCTTCGGCGCCCGTTCGCTCGGTGACGTGCTTTGAAGCGGCGTGGTACTGATAAATGTCTCTGTCGAGGACGCACACTGTCGCGCGCGTTAGAGGATTGGGGAGATGAGGTCTTTCGTCAGGAAAACTCACTCTGCGTTCGGAAAGCCTTCATGATCACTTCGGCAGCCAGGTAACAGTGCATTTGGAGGTTCAAGTCATTTCCTGGAGGCGAGGGAACCGACGCTGGTGCGGAGTAGTGGACGGAACAAATCTTCTTTAAGTAGTCCTTGGTGGCCTCGAGCTCATTGATGGCGGACAGGGCTTCTATGGGATGCTCAGGTGGAGGTGAAAGGGAGGGGGCAGCTTCGGCAGCTGCAGGCGGAATGGGAGGGTTGGTTGAGGCGGTAGACGTTAGATTGCTGGCGCTGAACATGGGCGTGATTGAAGCAACAACAGTCGAGGTGCATGGACAGCAGGCCCTCCCCTCCCTCGTGGCTTCCGCGTGTTTTGTGCTTTTTGTCAGCGCGCCGACTGCCCGCCGTCGCCCATTTGCCGCTGCTTTGACCCCTTTGTCGTAAGCGAGATCCGGGGCCATCATCCATGATGGGCTTTTCGGGAGCTCTGGTGAGCTGTGATGGTAGCCGAGACCCGGGAGCTCTACCATCAGTCTTGGTGGGAAAGTACGTCAGAGCTCCGAGATCTGGGCCATACATCAATGGCCTTGATCCCCGACTCCGGACCATTGATAGTGGGTCGATCTATGTAATGGGGTGGCAAGCGAGGCTGTGGCGGTGCACCTCGACTCGCGACTCTGATCAAAGACGCAGCCCGCTCGTTCCCCACTTCGCACTAGGCCGGAATATCTTGAGGTGAAGGTACCTTGAAGTGCCAATTCCTGAAGTCTGACGACCCTTATTATAGGTTACAGCGGTTTTCATTACACGGGCAGAGGCCAAGCACCGACCCAGACGAGCAAGTTTTAATGCGGACCAACAGTTGTGGCCGCAGTACCAGGTCGCACCCAGATTTGTCCCAGGTCGAGTCATCAAATCGGCACCCGTTTGGAACCTAGGTTTAGACCCAGGACACCTCTCAATAAAACAGACCACTCCCACATCTTACCCAGTCTACCAGCCCATCCCTGGCCCGTGAGGAATCCTGATTGAGATGCCGTGCTCAGTGTTGACAAGATTGGGAAGCATCCAGCTGTCTTCGGGAAGGTTGTGCTACGGTCTACCTGTTCCGTACTGAAGCCGGTAGGATACAGAAATATAACGAAAGGCTCGTAGCTGCCGTGCTTGCAACGGCCCTCTACACCAAGTGGCTCAGAATTGTCCCCCTGTTAATTAAGCGCCCGCCAGGAATGTCTTGGCGTTCGCGCTCAAGAGGCGCCAGCCACCGTGGTGATTTTACCTGACGACACGGGGAGACAATGTGGAAAGATGGTTTCTCAAGTTCCAGAGATCATTACAGTTAGAATACTCCTTTGGACAGTGGGATAAGCACACACATATGAAACACTAGAAAAAACTATGGTACAATGATAAGTTATTTGAAGTCTTCAAGTTCCAACTACCTGCTGCTTACTCCATTCGCACCCAGAGTCCACCTTTGACAATCAGAGTCAAGTTAGTTCCCGGCCAAATCTTCTCCATTCCCTTCCTCCCTTCGCATGTTTTCCAGCTTTCAGGTGGGATAGTCCCGGCGGGCTGAGCGTCCGGTGCGAGACTGAACTTTGAGAATTGCTGAAGCAGGCGGATGAGGAAGAAGGATGCTTCATGGTAGGCGAACTACACGAGATAGTAGATGTGTGAGTGTTGGATGCGGTAGAAGGTGTAATGGTACTGACCTGCTGGCCGAGGCAGATACGAGGCCCGGCGTTGAATGGTGTGAAAATGAAGGGGTTGGGTGTGAGGTATTTGTGTAGACGCTCGTCCAGGAAGCGGTCGGGATCGAATTCGTACGCTTAAGAGGACTTAGAGTTATTGTCACTGAGGTAGGAACCGTCAAACGTACCGTCTGGTCCCCAAAGATCCTTGCGACGATGCATGTCCCAGACTGAGTATCCGACTTGGGTGTCACCCGGGATGAAGAGCGGAGGTCTTCCGTCCTTGGTGGTGAACACGGTGTCGTTGATTGCACGTCGCGTGTTGAAAGGACTGGAGAGTGGTTAGCCACGCTACTATGATGAGGTGGGGAGCTGTACTCACACTGGAGGATAGAGTCGAAGAACCTCTGTTAACAGAAATATGAGCGCCGTATAAGGGAAAAACGGATAAGCTCTCGTACCATTGATGAACGCCCTCAGATACCTCATGTCACGGATATCGTCATATGAAGGTCGACCTTTTTCGCCAACCTTGTTGAGGATCTCGCTTCGAAGTCTCTCCGCTACATGAGGGTTCTCGGCGAGCATGTATACCGAGTAGGTCAAAGTGCAGGCAGTCTGCAGTGGAGACGTCAGGTAGACATGGATGGAAGGGAAGATCAGTGCTTACGGTATCACGGCCAGCAACGAGGAGGTTCAAAAGCTACAGGCGACACGTACATAGTGAGCTCTTGTCTTCTTCGAACACAACATGGGACTTGCCTCGTCTGTGATGATCCTTCTATCCTTCGTTTGCGAGACCAAATGTTTCAACAACGTCTCTTCCTCGCCCTTCTCAACCTTCTCCACATCGCCCAGGGTACTGGCTTCCCTCAAAGCCTTGTCCACAATGGGCTCGATGATCTGGTCCACGATGTCCCTATTCGGCTTGACTGTGTCTCTGAGGAACTCGGCAAGGGGCCATTCCTGGCCGATAATGGCACGCATTGTCACACCGTGCAGACCGCTCAAGAAGGCGTTTACGAAGATGTTGGATGGGTGGGAGGTGAACGAGGGTGGGTTGGGCTTTCTTGAGTTCTTGGGGTAGGGGATTCCGGCGGAGAGAGAGTCGATTTTCTCGCCGAAGAGGAACTGTGCTGCGGAGTCGAGGGTGAAGCGGGCGACTAGGTCCTATATTGATCCTCCGTGGTTAGTCTTGCAATGTTTTAAGATTGAGAAAAAGGGTTGTTCGCTTACTTGGAAGTCGATCGCATAACCCTCTGCAAGTCGTGCCCTGGCCAATTCCAGAGTCTGAGCTGCATGTTTATCGAAAATGTCAAAGTCACTGATTCTGTCTCGAGTGAAAAAGGGTCGGGTGATGGCGCGGTGGAACCTGCGAAAACGTGGGCGCTCAGTAGGTGCTCGAGCCAGTCAAACGAGATGTTTATCAAGACCACATACTTCCACATGTCTCCGTCGGAATTGAAGACGCCAGTCCCAAGGAACGAGTGCATCTGCTGGATAAACCCATGTCCCTTCTCAAAGTTCTGGAATTGGGTCGCGAGCATGGCTTTGACGTGTTCCGGTTCAGTTGTCCAGATCTGGTTCTCGGAGGGGAGTCGCAGCTCGAATGTGTGCCCGTACTTTCCTACCCACTCCTGAACCGAATCCACTGCACAGAATACCAAGCATGTAAGCGTCGACCTCGCGACAAGGAGCAAGGGTTGCCGGACTCACGAACGTAGCCGTTGAGATAGCTATCCATCAAGTAGGGGATGATCGACAATCCGGAGAAGTAAGGCCATGGTTCCTCGATGTGAGGTACGACCTTAGCTCCGCGCTTCTTCGCCTCCCTCTGAACCCGATATCGATGGTGGTACACCTCGCAGGCGTAATGGATCGGTTTGGCGAGGGCCACGAGGGAGATCACTGCCCAGGTCGGCAGTGTGAGAATGTTCGTTTGGTCGAGGACATGTAAGGCGCCGTAAGTCAGCAGTGGAGGTAGGACGAGCGAGGGGGAGCGTTTCCCCAGGAAGACGAGGCCAGGTGAGAGAGGCATTGCGCTGTGTAGGCAGGTGTGGGTAGAAAGGAACAGTCCATGGCTCTCTTCTTATGAGAACTTGTGAGAAGCCCATTAATAGGGTGTCACCCTGAATCGGTGGTATTAAACCCGCAATTCTACCGCAGACGACCAGATGGCTATGTCGACAAGCCGTTATGCTGCGCAATGTCCTCGGCAGGGAGACTGCTATCCCAGTCGAATGTATTGGTGAATTGGAACTGAAACCCGTTGGAACTCTTGGTAACACTTGAAACGGCCGAAGTGGCCAGACTCGACAAAGGAAGGACTATACAGCCCCGTTTGTTAGGTTCAGCAGGAAAACACGTCATTGACGCCAGAGAGGGGGATTGGAAACAACATATCCGTGTTTCCGTTGCTCGTCATGGAATCGCGTAAGCAATGTGCTTGGGGAGCGTGTCGGAAGAGATGCATGCGTACCATGGTATTAGGCCTGATCCACCCGCAGCATCATGAAGATTGTGGGCGAAGCAGCTGTGAATCATTGATAACGAATGACTCCCAACGTGCCTGTTAACGCCGACAAATCGAATTCCAACGAACAGGGCGACTTGAAGGGAGATCAGATTTAAGCGCCCAGAACACAGGCAAGAAGCGGGTCAGCCACCGCTGGACATGCTAGTCCTAACCTCCGCCCTATAGCTCCTGCATCTACTTATAGTCCTCTCTATTTGCATAAAATGCCCACCACTCACCGTTTGAACCCTGAGGCTCTAGGTGGTTGGGCTAGAAAACCTCAGCGCTCAAGTCCTGCTGGGGTGACTGACTATCTTTAGCCGCCGGAATCCATATTTGCTCCCGCTTCTTTTCTCCTCCCGCGATCCTTTCTTTCCTTTTGAATAATCTCTACTGGTCGACGTCGAACACGCCTTCGACGATGAGCTCGAGGATCTACGATTGCTTCCGCATTCTTTATCTTATCTGATATGACGACAGACTTGTACCGGCCAACATGACCACTTCTTATTCATAGGCCTACTGTCATGTGGTGCAGAACCTCCTTCCTCAAACAGATCACAAACCAAACACCCAAGCGATCTCTCCTATCTTCTCCTAGCACCTCGAGTCGAGCAGCCAGGACTTTCTCTGGCCATCTGCCACGTCGACCGTTAGGACAAGCAAATCGGTGTTTCAGTTGCTCGAGGGGGCTTCAGGTTTCGCATTCGACCAGGAGGTTCTTTTCGACCACAAGATCAGTGACTGATAGTGCAGAAGACATGGGTGCCAGGGGAAACCATACCGTGGATACGAGCAAGCAGTTGGCGGCGCTTAGGGAGTTGATGAAGAAGGAGAATGTGGACGTTTGGGTTGTGCCTAGCGAAGATCAGCGTATGTCTTTTTCATTTTCGTTTCGTGATTTTACGACTCAAAAACATTTAGATTATAGTGAATATCTTGCCCATTGTGATGAACGACGTGCCTTCATCTCTGGGTTCAATGGATCTGCGGGTATGTTTCGTTTCTGACCTCGCGACGGTATGCTGATTCGCGTGCAGGATGTGCGGTCATCACCCTCGACAAGGCCTACCTCTTCACGGATGGACGATATTTCCTTCAGGCTGAGAAACAATTGGATTCGTGAGTCTACAGAATCTGGGATGAGGTTCGCAACGACTGAACCTTTCTAAGGAACTGGACGTTGATGAAACAGGGATTGCCCGGTACGTGTTTCTTCGCCCTCGCGCGATGCTCCGAACGCTAACCTAGCAATACTAGATGTACCAACATGGCAAGACTTCCTGCACAAGGTAGATATCGTATCTCAGCTTTCCAGAACTCGACCTTATGCAGCCATATCAGACCCTCGATGGATCCCTCAAGATTGGTATTGACGCTACCATTATCACCGAAGGTAAGCCAGTTGTTCATGAAAATGCCTGTAACTAAATATCGTTCAGAGGATGCCGCAGGCCTGAGGAAGAACCTTGCCCCAAAGAAATCCGAACTCGTCCCTTCCAAGAAGAACCTCGTCGATATCGTTTGGGGAAGTGAGAGACCTGCTCGCCCTCAGAATCCCGTCTTCCATCTCGACGAAAAGTACTCTGGTCAGTGACCTGTCACCGAGTTTGGTGCTAACGCTAACAATCCATTCAGGCCAGTCATTCAAGGAAAAGGTCAAGAAGGTTCGAGAGGAGATCGCGAAGGAGAAGGGCAAGGCGTTTGTCGTGACCATGCTCGATGAGGTCGCGTGGCTGTTCAACCTGCGAGGCTCTGACATCGATTACAACCCCGGTATGCAACGTTTCGCTCGATTTATCGCGGTTTCTGAACCCTCTCGCAGTCTTCTTCGCGTACGCGGTCGTGACGCCCGACGAGGTCGTCCTATTCATCAACGAGAAGCAACTCGACGATGCAGCCAGGGATTATCTCGGTCAAGATGTCAAGATCAGGGGCTACGATGAGCTCTACGACTACCTCAAAGAGCTGCCCAAGAGCCTCAGTCTGACCGGCGACAAGGACGGGGTTCGTACTCTCGATTCTACACTTCCTCCTGCCCTCGTACTGACGCGTGTACTGCAGGAGAAGATCCTCGTGACATCCAGAACCTCGCTCGCCATTACCGAAACCATCACGCCTCCATCCTCCCCCGAATCAACCACCTTCCACAAAGTCGTCCGCTCGCCCGTCGGGGATCTCAAGGCCATCAAGAACGCTGTTGAGATCGAAGGGTTCAGGCAGTGCCATATTCGGGATGGAGCTGCGCTAGCTCGATATTTTGCCTGGCTCGAGGAGGCGTTGAATGAGGGCAAGGAGGTATCGGAGTACGCGGGCGCGGAGGTGTTGGAGAAGTATCGCAGTGAATTGGATTTGTTCAGGGGTTTGTCGTTTACGACTATCTCGTCGACTGGGCCCAATGGCGGTGTGTCTGTTCTATCTGTTAGCGCGCGCTGGGCTGATGATGAAGTCCAGCGATCATTCACTACTCTCCTGATCCTCAGGATTGTGCGATCATCAAGAAGGATCAGGTCTATCTCTGTGATTCTGGAGGTACGTTGAGATCTTCTCTCCAATAATATACAAGGCTGACGACCCCTCCAGCTCAATTCTCGGACGGAACTACGGACGTGACTCGAACATGGGTGCGATAAAGGCCGAACTTCACTCACTCGCGGCGCTGATGGGTCCTCTAGCATTTCGGTACACCTCGTCCAGAAGAAGTTCGCGCCTTCACCCGTGTCCTCCAAGGCCACATTGCGATCGACACCGCCGTGTTCCCCAATGGAACGACTGGCTACTTGATGTGAGTACCATCTGATCTTCGACCGACACCCATTGACTGTCCCTTCTGTACAGCGACTCCTGGGCGCGTCGATCGCTTTGGCAAGACGGTTTGGGTGGGTTTGCTTCTCACTTTTGCATCTTTGGTCGCCTGACCTTTCATACAGATTACCGCCACGGGACTGGCCATGGTGTCGGCCACTTCCTCAACGTGCACGAGGGTCCTCAGGGTATCGGTGTCCGGATAGGTTCGTCCTCCTCCACAATCCACTCCTTTCCTAAGCACGGTAGACTCATGATTGTCGAACGCTGTAGCATACAACAACACCGCTTTGAAAGCGGGTATGACGGTCTCGAATGAACCGGGGTACTACGAAGACGGGCAGTACGGTATTCGAATTGAGAATATCGTCATCGTCAAGGAAGTCAAGTTGCCCAATAACTTTGGAGATAAGGGATACCTTGGGTTTGAGCATGTTACTATGTCAGTTCTCATCTTCTTTTCGTCCTTCCTTTCTTGGTTTTGCTGACCTAAAATACTCTCTTTCTACAGGTGCCCGATCCAGACCAAGCTTATCGACGCTTCACTCCTGACGGAACCAGAGAAGAAGTGGGTCAACGATTATCATCAGGAGGTGTGGCAGAAGGTGTCGCCGTTGTTGCAGAATGATAAGAGGGCGTTGGAGTGGTTGAAGAGGGAGACTACGCCTATCTAGGTTCCCTGTGCATTCGATGGCTTGTTTCGTTTTTCCTGACTAAATGCTCCTATGTATGAATGTAAGGTGACAGTGCGGTCGGGTTTCATGGAACTGAGGTCTGCCCTGACCTAGATTGTCAGGGTGGAAATGGCCGTCAGTGCCACAGCTCACATGTCCTTCTTGGTTACGGCTTCATGTTCTTTGGTCAAGTGCTTAAATATCTCACCGGCTGGACGTCCTCCAGTGTCTGTGATTCGTACTCACTTACTTTCAGCATTTACCATGGACAAGCCGGCCTCGATCCAATCGCTCCCAAATGAGCTCATTGATAGAATAGGCAGTTATGCGGTACGTCTTTGCTGTTCCGTCACATCAGGTAGTGTAGCACGATTCTCACACCGAAGTTCGAACGAATGTAGGGGACGATGTCGGACGTCAAGGCACTCCGACTCAGCTGTCGTACCATGGGCGCCGCCTTGCAAAGCGCTATCCTCAAACGAGTAGTTATCGACCTGCATAACGGCAACGTCGAGCGGAACGTTTACAAGCTCGAAACGTTGTCTGCGCCGACGATTCCGAGCGCTCGTGAGGATATCGAGAGTCGCCGTCCGTGGAAGCTGATGATCCGGGAGCTGGAAATCAAGTACCTCACGCCTTTGGAGGATTTCAGCCGGAGATGCGTGTCTAGTCGCGGAAGGTGGTTGGACGTGGCGTCTAGTACCCCCATCGACGAGGAGGCTGGAAAGAATGGGGAGAAAGCGATTAAGGAGAACCTTCTGCCTGCGATAGTCTCTCTGGAGGGACTTTCGCGGTTCCGGTGAGTAGTAATTGAAACTTTATTTATCTCCACACCCAAATACTTAGGCATTTTGCGCGTGGTCGACAGATGGACGATACACAGGAGAACGCCCATGTATGCAGTGGAGGCTGTTGCCACTGCACTGCGCGAAATCGGGACGAGGCTCACTCAGTTCTACTTGTCTGCGTCGGACGTCAGGACCACCGAGCTTGCTAGCTACCTTGGCGAGCAGGAATGCTCCTTTCCCATCCTCCGGACATTGTCCTTGGAGTACGGGGGGCCTAGCGACGAGACTCGTGAACCCGATCGCGCCACGCGGTGGGTGCTGGGGATCTTGAAGAACTCGTCGTCCAAGTTGACCTCGTTGACAATCCGCACCCCGAATCAATGGTTAGGGCTCCACGATATTGTGCCTTTCGTCCGAAGTGCAAGCCTTGAAAGTGTCACCTTGACATCCGTGTGGTGCATTGTGGTCCCTCCTGACTTTCGTCTCCCGCCGGCTGCATTCCGCAATCTAAGGTCACTGAACCTGACTGTCTGCACCCCGGACGATCGAAGTTTGTTTGCGCACCTGAGGACGCCCCCGCTGCCGGTGGAGAGTGCTGATGTCTGGACCGCGCTTCGTAATGCGGGAGTGTGGGTGGCAAGCCTCCGTATCGTGGCCATCACCGACCCCCTGCTCGACTATCTCACCGCCCACTCTGGCCCGCTCGAGCATTTGACGGTGGTGAACTCGTGGATAGCGAGGAGGGAGCAGGGGGACAAGTGGGCGTGGGTTTTCTATGAGTCTGTGTTGCCGAGGCATAAGGCATACCTCAGGACGCTTAAGTTGGACACCGCGTATGAAAATGAATGGAGTCTTACTGGGGAGGCGTTCGTCGCTCATTTTAAGGGCTTTGAGCGTTGTCGCTCTCGAGATTTCTGTTGCTGGATCTAGTGTCGCTTCGCAGGAGGTGAAGGATGGTGGTTCCGGCCAAGCGAATTCAACTTTTATCGTGAGTGGATCATATCTACGAGTGGTGGTTACGTTTGATGAGGTTCGTTGGGCTGACAACACTTTCCAGAAAACAGTCTTGGATTGCTGCGCGAACGGGTATATGCCGAATCTCACCAACCTCAAGCTTTACAATTCTGAAATGGAGAGCACACGAGGTTCAGGATGTGGGACTGCCAGGATCAACCGACGTGATTGGATCACTGGAGTTATGGCGCAAGCGCTCGAGCGGTACACATACATATCGGAGAGGAAGCCTTTGCTCCCGCGTACGGTGGAGGTGGTGGGTGTTACGAAGTGGAGTTTGGATGTAAAGGGACGTTTGGCTAGCGCAGAGAAGATTTCGGTGTGGGGTTATAAGGCGTCGCCTGGTTTTCGCCTTCAAACCTTCCTTCGCGGAACAGGAATTCGTTTTTAGTGGAGTCATAACGACTTATCTATTACAGCCGTTTGCATAATTCTTTGCGCGAGCGATTTCGCAAAATCCAATTGATGGCGGGTCGGAAAGCTCCGTACGACAGCAAAAGTCCCGCTCGAGGCTCAGTTCTGAGCATCATCCAGGCATTGTCGCGAGCTTATCGTCTCGTAACGGTGCCCTTACCACTTCCGGTTATGTTTCCAATAATCTCCACCAACTAATCGTCTCTTTCACCCGCCAAAAATCGCAGAAACAGCCGTGTATTCCACCAGCGATGATGTAAAACGGAGTTCTCCGAGGTGCCATCAACGCCATCAAAGCGATTCTGCGCAACTGCTCGCGCAGAGAATTATGCAAACGGCTGTAAAGAATGTAATGCTCGCATTATGTTCACTGAGCAGTCTGAAACGGAAGGGAGTGTGCTGAAGTTGGACGTCCCGTGTATCGATTTGGGTTTTCATTTCATCAGAATACGCCGATAGGTGTCTTAATTAGCGCTCAAAGACCACGATTGCGAGGTGGTCCCGGGCCCGTGCAATTTACTTATCTGATTCCTCTTCAAGAGTCACTATGAAACCAGATCGATAAGAGCTAACGTTTGCCCTAAGATTCTCTTGGTAGTGTTTCCTAATCTGAGTCTCTGGGTATGTGCTGGTATGTGGTACCAGGTCATGACAACCAAGCTCGGCCCAGGGTGCCGATATCGCCGGGCGCTTAAAGCAGGGGGTCTTGGCAAGTCTCCCTTCCTCGCAGTTCAGTATAGCTATCGGACCAAGTCTGTCATTCAAATCCGGGGGCGCCGTCCTTGATAAGTCCTGCATACTAGATGATCTCGTTCTCCCGTACTCGCCCGTCAGTGAGTGCTCGTAAGGCAGTGTTTCATAAGCTGGCAGAAGTTGGCATGGCTCGAATCCCTGGGCTCCTGCGCAAGACTGCTTGGTAGGGTTCTGCTGTCAGGGATGCTGTGTTATGAACGGAGATTGTGGAGCTCATACTTCTCTTTCGTTTCGTTTTTGGGGTCTTGGACTGCTATGCATTGCTTGGCGCCGGAGTCCGAGGGCTCCTAGCTAACTATACAGAGATAAAATACGGAGCAACAGAGGCGTCTTCTAACACTAGTGTAGCTCATTTTGTTCGACACGTTGGCTACATCCTTGCCCCGCCAGGCTGTGAGTTTTTGACTCGATGTCGCGAAATCGGAAACCGAGCACGTTCGCGAATCGCTGGGCACGGCAACGGGGATGCCGCGTGTTATCGTGTTTTCCCACGACCCCACATAGGGACGTCTCTCGCCGGGGTGGCACAGACCAGTGGTTGTTTTCTTCCTCCTCGAACCGACGTCCTCATCGCCCTGTATGTCCTCGAAGCACAATGATTCCACCCACACAGAAGACGCTGCCATTGCTGTACCAGACAGCGGCGATACTGGGGAGGGTGGCAAGCTCAAGATGATCGTACAGCTCGTCAAAAAGTGTTTGGGCGTCAAGGATATTGCATCCATGCGTCTGTCACTGCCAGCGTCTCTGCTCGAGCCTATTCCAAATCTCGAATACTGGCATTACCTTGACCGTGCGGACTACTTTGCTGCCATAAACGACTCCAATGACCCATTCGAACGCATGCTGGCCGTCGTGCGCTTCACCTTTACCAAGGACCTCAGGTATGTGCACGGAAAGGTGTGCAAACCCTACAACTCGGTCCTTGGGGAGCATTTTAGGGCTCATTGGGATGTAGTCCCAATTTCCCGACCCGATGACGCTGCAAGTCCCCCGTCCTTGCAGCACCACCAATCTTCCGACAATCAGAGCCTCCGGAGCGAACAATCTGGGGCTGTCAGTATTGCTTCGTCCTCCACATCGGGTCTGTCCTCGTCGACGAGGCAGGCAGCGTCGACCCCTCCTTCGTCCTTCTCCACCAACTCGGTCGACCAAGCCCGCCTTCGTGTCGTGTTCGTAACCGAACAGGTGTCCCATCATCCCCCAGTCTCCGCCTATTATGCCTCATGTCCGGCTCGACACATTACCATGCAAGGCATCGACCAAATCAGTGCCAAGGTCACCGGAACCGCGACAGTTCGCGTAACTCCAGGCGAATACAGCGACGGAATCTTCATCCGACTCACTGGCGGGCCAGGCAAGGGCGAGTCGTACCACATTACCCACCCCATCGCCAATGTCAACGGCATCCTCAGGGGAAACTTCTACGTTACCATTTGTGACTCGACAATCATTACGTGCAAACGAGATGCCCATTCGTCCTACCGCACGATCATCGAGTACAAGGAGGAGTCCTGGCTTGGGAAAGCCCATTTCCTTGTCGAGGGCGTGATCCACGTCGTGTACGACTCGGACGACCCGAACCAGATTTCGCAATGGACCAAAGTGAAGCACGTTCCTCAGAACCGCGTGGCGGCCGTTTTGGACGGCTCGTGGAGGGGCAAGATTAGGTGGAAGCGCGTTGGCGGGCTTTCGTATCCGGGAGCAACATCCTCTGCGGCGTCTTCCCCCAACCCATCACACTCCAAACTCCCCAAACCCTCGCTGCCTGCAGCCAGTGCAAGCAGGGCGGAGATCCAACAGGGTGACGGGGATTGGCAGCATCTTATCGATCTGAATGCATTGGAGGTCCTACCCAAGGAAGTCCGACCCATCGAGAAACAGCTCCCCCATGAGAGTAGAAAGCTCTGGAAGAACGTCACCGATAAACTTATCAGCAAGGAGTTCTCAGACGCCACGAAGGAGAAGCACATTATCGAGCAGAGGCAGCGCGACGAAGCAGCAGAGAGGAAGAAGAAGGGCATCGAGTAAGTAGTCTATTTTACTGCTCTGACGCTATGCATGACAGTGGCTGACGACACCTCTTGTTAGATTTATCCCTCGTTACTTTGAGAAGGGCTTGGGCAATGGCTTCGCTGAACTCACTGAAGAGGGTTGGAAAGCTGTAGCCGAGGAGCTGGCCGAGGCTTCGCCTTACTGCATTGAAGGGATTGACCAGGACGCTCAATTGGCTCCACCAGCACCTCTCAGCGATTCCAAGTTGCCCACCCCAACTGCCGAACAGGCTTGACCTGCTTCCACCACTTCTCCAGCTCTCCATCTCTCCAGCTCTTCATCTCCTGTGCATTAACTCACCGACTTTCGTCAGCACTCGTCAATGTGGCCACCAGTACTCCTCGATTGAAGGGTCTACCGATTAATTGCTGGGATTCGCCTCTCTTTGGATCACCCTTTTCTTGCAGTTTTGGGCACGTATTACATACCTGCACATACGGCCACAATTCAATGTGGCTTTGCAAGCACCTTTCAAGTACAGTTGAAAGATAGTCTTGTTGTATTATCGTACTAGCTACTCGAGTTCACTTCCCTTTCACGATTTCGTTATGAAGCTTTCCATGATCCCCACGCCTCGCATCCATTCCGTTCCATCCCTCTCGTATACCCTCCCTGCCTCCCGCCAGTCCCTTCTATGTACACCTCCAGATGTGCTCCTCTAGATTCGACTCTCATACCCAGTTAATTGAATATCGCTTTTTAGATACGCCTTGATGTAAATACTCTTATGTTGGTGAATCACGACGTCATTATCATCTCTATCTACTTCTCAGATCTGTCCTTCCTCCCTCGATCTCGGCGAACCAAAATTCTCCGCATCAAACGATGGCGTATGTGCAATTATGCCATGGCGGGACCCTTGTACCGTCTGCCTCGGGCGTAACGCACAATGAAAGCCGAGCGCCTCGCTCTGAAGATCCAACTATGACTATGTAGAACTCGATGACGAAATGACGATATTCCATCCACACCACGACATATACCATCAGTAGCGTATACCGGCTTTTCTGTGTCCTACTCTAGTGGGAACAGGGAATCAAGTTCCGAACACATCGTTAGAACCACATCTCTCGCCTGACGGATTGTTCGCCGAACTCTGCCTTGTTGCATTCCACAACAGCGATCTCACCTCCTGCCAAACAAAAACCCGTTACGCCAGAGTAGACTCGCCTTGTCCAGTAAGACATGTGTTCCATTGGGCCGCTACTCCACATGGGCCACATACTCCCTATGGACTACATGCTCCCTCAGGCTTCATACTTTACCTTCTTTTGCTTCTTTAAACCCGTTTGCGGTAGGCAGCATGGGTTATTAGCTTGTGGACCCAGATCTGGGAACCTAGTCCTGTGAGTGGAGCCAACGCTGATAAAAAGTGCTCTCTGTGTACGGAGGACTAACCCATTGCCAAGTTTCCCCATCCACTGCAGCTTGAACTCTCTATTTTCGGCACCACCTCCCCCGCCAGAACGACTATCGCAGCAAACGGACCATGTCGAACCGCGCAGCAGGAGTCGACACCCGCTCATCGCTCTCCGCGTCCTCCTCCGAGTCCAAGAAATTCCGCGTCGAACATAAAGAATACACCTCGCCCCCATACGCTGAACGAGCGCTCGACGGTACGCCACCCCCTCCGCCAGGGCTGTCGGATCAGCTTGGGGAAGCGGAACATACCACTTCCAACACCGACCTCGTTGATCCTAAAGGCGCTAGTGGAAACCTAAGTCGATGGATGCGGTTCCGGTGAGCCCTTTTTGCCCCCTTGCTTCTAGTCGCGTTTGGCTCTACCCTCTTGGGAATAACTTTTGGCTGACGGAGCTCGCGTTTCTTTCCCCCAGAGCCGCGATGCGTGAACCAATGGCCGAATTCCTGGGTACAGCTTGCTTGATCATTTTTGGGAATGGCGTGAATTGCCAGGTCGTCTTGTCAGAGGATCCTGGAGTGGCCGCGTCGCCGAAGGGTGTAGGTCTTCACTGGTGTTGTTCCTGATGAAAGTGAAACAACAGCGCTGACTTGGACGCGCTTGAAGAATTATCTCTCCATCAATGTAGGATGGGGTGTCGGAGTGGCAATGGGCGTCTGGTTGTCGGGAGGGATATCGGGTGGTCATATCAATCCAGCGGTATGTAACGTTGGCCCTTGCTTGAAGAGATATATTGAAGGGCCCGGGCCTATCCCAGGTCACCCTGGCGCTGGCCACCTTCCGCGGCTTCCCCTGGAGAAAGGTTCCAGTGAGTGTCTATCATAACAATGTGACATGCGAAACGGACTCACAGCTATGAAATGCAGGGGTACATCCTTGCTCAGATACTGGGCGGCATCGCCGGAGCAGCAGTCATCTACGGAAACTACTTCCAAGCGATCAACATCATCGAGGGAGGAAGCCACATCCGCACCGAGCTCACCAGAGGGCTATTCGCGACATATCCCGTACGTCCTCTTGCCTCCTCCTCTTGCCTCCACCCTCACGCAGATCAACTGACAACTAACCACGGCCTCCCTTCTACTCCTCTATTCCGCCATACATTCCCAAAGGCCGAGTACATGTCCGGCGTCGGATGCTTCTTTTCAGAGTTTCTAGGGACCGTGGTGCTAATGGTCGTAATTTTGGCAATGAACGACAAGAAGAACTGTCCTCCACCAGCTGGGCTGGCCCCACTTCTCCTCTTCTTCTTGGTACTTGGAATCGGTACTTCGCTCGGCATGCAAACAGGTCCGTTGGTCGTGGTGTTCTTCAAGTTCTATCGTATGGACATGAGCCGTTTTGACTGATGCATGTGCATGTGCATTTCGCTTGAAGGTTATGCCATCAATCCTGCGAGGGACCTTGGTCCGCGTATCTTGACCGCGATGGCGGGATATGGTCGAGCTGTGTTTAACTTTAGGAGGTAAGATATTGCGTTTTTGTTAGTCTAGTCTCGTATCACGACTCACGAATGGTAACAGCCAGTACTGGTTCTGGTGCCCCTTCTTGGCGCCCATCCTCGGAGCTCAAGTCGCAGCTGTCATTTACGATGGGCTTCTTTACACGGGTACGGATAGCATCATGGCTAAATCGTATGTTCAGCAGAGGCTTCTCGCACCACGGTATAACATAACTGATCACGCACCTCAGGTATACACCCAACGTCCCCACTTCAACACGTACAGCAGCTTCTCCTCATCAGCGAAAGCAGATGCCGGCCGGACCAGGAGCAGAGGAAGTGTGAGCGACAGAGAGAACGGAAACGTGACCGACACCGCCGGATACCTGAATTACTAGGGATTGAAAAAGGGAAAAAAGAATAACTGAGAATCGGACTTTCTTGACTTCTTGAGGCAGTATACCACACGTATACCAACTGTACCACCATTGTATCATCAGGGCAAATTCAACCATGTAATCCATTTGAGTTCAACCCAGAATCCATACAGCGCACAGAACCGAACAGATCATGACTTCTCAAGTTGCGAAAGCGCCTCTTCAAGCAATTCAAGTACGACAACCGATGAGCCCCATGAAGCTTGGAAGCCAGCCCCGCCATGTCTGGAACATTTGTTAGTCTTCTTTGAATGGATCAAGAACCAGTAACTACTGTGCGCACCCATAATTATGGATAATAGGAACCCTTCCCCGTCCACCAATGTCTTCCGTCCACTCAGTCTCTATCCTCACCCCTCCTTCTCGAGCAGGCCGCAGCCCACATCCCTCCCCAACAACATGCGGCATAACATCTTCGAGTGTCGGCTTTCGTCCTCCTAACCGAGCTTCCGGCGGTGCCAACTCGGGACACAATTCCAAGCCTCGTCGTAGAATATCTTCAGTGGTTTCCGGCCTGGGCTTGGGGAACCTAGAATCACCAGCTCGTCAGACCTTGACCCGCCATTCGTGCGGAGCAGCTTACCAATCGTCTCGGGCCCTCGTCCCTCCTACGATAACCTGGACACACTTTCAGTAAATGAACTCGACAACGATAAACGGAAAGTATGAACATCACTGCTCCTCCTGGGAATAATATACGTCCAGGCACCCGTATCATCCCTATACGTCGTGCGCCCAAACCTCACCCACGGCGCCCTCACAAGCACAGTCTGGCCCCTCACAGGATACACACTCTTATCCTCCACACCACCCAGAAACCTCGCACCCAGCCCCGTACAATTGATCACAGCAACAGGCGGGTCGGCGCTATGCCCCACCGTCGTCCCGCCCGCGAAGATGCGCGCGCCAGCTTCTATCACTTGGTTGATGTGCTGCACGGAACCGCGAAGAATCTTGCCACCATTGGCAAGGAACCGGCTGAGGAGGTAGTTGAGGTATATAGGGGTGTCGATGGTTAGGGTTGTGAATGAGACTCCGAGTTTGGCACCGGGGATGAGAGAGTCTTGTTCGAGGTATTTGAACTGGAGGGTAGGGTTGGGCGATGAGCCTGGTGTGGACTACTAGGGACGTGAGACGTACGTTAGGCATTGACCGAAGAGGTTTGATCTCGCTAGCCTCATCAAAGAAATACTCCGTCTGGGGAACACGCAGGAAGCACTCCTCTGCTTCGCTTCCCGGCTCAGACTTCTTCCACATCGTATCGAAGGTCGCTTGTTCGAGCTCTGCCGACGAAGATCAGACGAATATCCAGTTCAAATGCACCCAAAGTGCTTACTGTACTGCAGCCCATTTTCTTCCCTTGCACTGTATACATGATGCGCGCCCTGGTCAAGGCGAGGTCAATGTGGGACGGGAGTTGCTTGGGGCTTAGGGACGAACCGCCCATTGACTCGTGTACGCGATTGACTTGGGATCACTTGGAAGGGTATCGGCCAAGATAAGCACTCTGTATCCGCCTTGCAGCTGGATCTTCAACGCAGTCGTCAACCCAATCACACCTGTCGATATATCCATTAGTCCCAAACACCGAGAGTAAACCTAAACCATGGTACGCACCAGCCCCTAAGACCAGGATAGGCTTCCCTGGAGTATCGGGCGTATGGGTTCCACTTCGACTTGTGGGCAAGTGAGGCGTCCAATGGCCTCCCTTCGTCATGGTCAGGGTCGTGAATAGTGAAGAACGCGTTATCTGGACTGTGTCTTATATACCCCCTACGATGAGCTGATTAACCGCGCGAAAGTACTTGATCGGGGATATGTTATGTCATCCGCAGGCGAAGGGAAGGGGGTGGTTAATTGGGGTCAATAGCAGAAATATCTCGCGAAGTTCCCGCCGATTCCGAGAGCATATGGAAGGCACACATCAAGGAAGCACAAGTGTCACGAGTCTTCACTATATTCGGACGAGGATGGCAACTTGTTATCATTGTTCATGTTGTAGAAATAGTGGGGTGTCCATTGGGAGATGCCTGCCGCGACTGTTCCTCTTCCTCAACGACCTGTAGACTTGTGTGAGCTTGTGGTGATGGACCATGGCGACAATGCTACTCACCTGGGCAAACCTATCACTGTCCCACTCAACCTCGACATAATCCAGATCTTCACGCGGCAACCACCATTCCAGGAACATGAAGAACATGCAGTCGACGATCAGAATTATCGTCCAGATGGGACCTGCGAAGCGACCTAGCCCCATCGTTCTGGAAATAGTTAGCATAGACGAGAATGCAAAGGAACGAGTAACACACCTTTGCATACGCTCCACAAGGTCCATCTGAGGCGACTTCATGACGGCGTCGTACACCCTTTCCGTTCGAACCGCCACTGAATCCCAGTCGTAAAAGGTTTTGATGCGTTCGTGGGCTTCAAACGGGTCGTGCTTGCCTGCTGAGACGATTTCCACGGCTTCCGCAATTGCACGAACCACATCTGAACACGCGGTAAGCCAAATAGACTGCGATAGACATAGACGCACCATCTTCATCGGGATCTGCGAAGCTGATCATATCCTCTGGTAGAATCTCGGGTACACCTCCGACTCGAGTGGAAACGACGTAGAGACCCGCACAAGCGGCCTCGAGAATCGCAATTCCAAATGACTCTGTCAATGAAGTGTTCATGAAAATGGACCCTCTGGAAAGGACACTTCGAACGTCGTTGTGCTTGACGGCTCCCAGCAGCTCGATGCGGTCTTGCAGCCTGTATTTCTCCCGCATTTGGAGAAGATCTATGAGCTTTGGGCCATCTCCACCCACGACAAAGTTGACGTTGGGGAAGAGAGCGCAGATGCGCGGGGCTGTTGCCACGAGGAGATCGATGCCCTTTCGGTACGCAAGGCGGGAGAGTACAACGATGGTAACTGGATAAAGTTTAGCTTCGATGGAGGCTTCATGGTGGATCACATACTGGTATTCGACGGAGGAGGCGGACAAGGGCGGAACTTCTCAGCGACCAGAGCGTTCGGGATGACATAGACGTTCCGTCTCATTGCGAGCTTGGTATGGTCATTTTTGTCCGCTTCGAAAAGTTGAGCCCGAAGGACCGTGTTTTCTCGTCTGGGGTCCTGTTCAGTCTATCTCCTTGGATATCATCGGAAGACTTACCCAGTGTGTGAGACGCAAATAACTGCATCCACGTTTCTCAAGTTGCCGACCAACAACTTGTTGGTGAGAATACTGGCCGCATCGTCAAAGCCAAACAGACTGTGGTCCGTGAAGACTGTTCGAATGCCCATCAAATGTGAATGCAGAATCCCTTCATGACCGATGGAGGACAGCGATGCGTGCGCATGGATAAGCTGAATGCGCTCCCTGAGCAGAATAGTCCGCAAATAGGGCAGAGAAGTGAAAAAGTTGGGCAACGTTGCAGACGATGCGATCGGAATGAACGGCAAGTAGTAGACCTTGAGCGACGGCAATAGCCATCGAATCCCTACGCGACCTTTGGGGTGAGCGTGCGTTATCACAATGACCTACTAAAAGTCAATTTGGGGTCACACGCCGTGAATATCAAAATAAGCGCTCGCCTTGTGGCCACGGCGTATGAGTTTCGCGCTCAGCATATAGATGTGGTTCTCCACTCCGCCAACGTTTGGGTGGAAGAAATCCGAAATCATCCTGTGAAGGCTGAGGAAGCGGCTCTACGGTGAGCACGGTGGACGACGTACGCAATAGCCAAGGGCTTCATCGCCAACAACTGTGCTCTTTCGCTGTTTGCTTGACTACCTTGGTCGCTTGATGATTCACAGACATGAGAGAAAGTCGCTGAAAGCCCTTCAGGAGACAGATTGCCGTCTTTGCTGCTGGGCGGGCTTGAGAATCGGGGCGTCGTCGTTGTCGTCGTCGTGATCAGTGACGGTGAGGAAAGGTCGGTCGAAGTTATAAGACAGCAGGAGTGTAAGGCTCAGTTTTCAAGTAGACGTTGGTCGCCGCGTCAATGTCCTGTCGCGTAATTTCGTCGTCGTCGTCGCCGTCGGGGTCGATGTGGAAGGTCGCGCTGGAGCTTGGCGCCGCCATGTCAGTGATGGCTTGGCAAATGATCATCACGTGCTACATTGGGACGCGTAACCGCGACGCTCAATTACGATGTCGAGACCAGTTTCCTTTTCTCCACAACCGCCAGAATGCCAGTCGCAACGAAAGCACCAATAGCACCAGGCGGAATAAAGTCGTACTACCAGGCCAAGATCGAAGCGGCCGAGATCCTCATCAACCAGAAAACCCAGAACTTGCGGCGGTTGGAGGCTCAACGAAATGCTTTGAACGCTCGAGGTATGCTTGGGACGGTGAGAAGCCCTGAAAGGTCGCTGACGGTTATCCGACAGTGCGTCTGCTTAGAGAAGAGTTGCAGCTGTTACATGAACCAGGCAGCTATGTTGGAGAAGTGGTGAAAGTTATGGGCAAGAAGAAGGTTCTGGTGAAGGTCCAGCCTGAAGGCAAATACAGTAAGTGTATCCATTTCCTATAGAGATATAGCGAATTCTAATGATGAACTAGTCGTTGACATCGACTCTGAAATCGACATCAATTCACTGAAACCAACACTGCGTGTTGCCCTCCGTTCCGACTCCTACACAATCCACCGAATCCTTCCCAACAAGGTCGACCCCCTTGTCTCGCTCATGATGGTCGAGAAGGTGCCAGACAGCACGTATGAAATGGTTGGCGGTCTCGACAAGCAGATCAAGGAGATAAAGGAGGTCATCGAACTGCCGGTGAAACATCCAGAACTGTTCGAAGCCCTCGGTATCGCCCAGCCCAAGGGTGTCCTGCTGTACGGGCCACCAGGAACCGGAAAGACCCTCCTCGCCCGTGCCGTCGCCCACCACACAGACTGCAAATTCATCCGAGTCAGTGGAAGTGAGTTGGTGCAGAAGTACATTGGTGAAGGTAGCAGGATGGTGCGAGAGCTGTTCGTGATGGCTCGAGAACATGCTCCAAGTATCATCTTCATGGACGAGATCGATTCCATTGGTAGCTCGCGTGGAGAGAGCGGTAGTGGAGGTGGTGACTCCGAGGTGCAGCGGACGATGTTGGAACTTCTGAACCAGCTGGACGGCTTCGAGTCGACCAAGAACATCAAAGTCATCATGGCCACGAATCGAATCGACATTTTGGACTCTGCTCTTCTACGACCTGGACGAATTGACCGCAAGATCGAGTTCCCTCCGCCAGGCCCCGAGGCCCGTGTTGCCATTCTTCGAATTCACTCTCGAAAGATGTCCCTGCAGCGTGGAATCAACCTGCGTGCTCTTGCTGAGAAGATGGGTCAATGCTCTGGTGCTGAGGTCAGGGGTATCTGTACGGAAGCGGGTAAGTGCTATCATATTGTCCCTCGCGGACAAAGGCTAACACAAGATTTAGGCATGTACGCCCTACGAGAAAGGAGACAACATGTAACGCAGGAGGATTTCGAGTTTGCAGTAGCAAAGGTACGTCGGTTTATCTTTATCCTCTTGTTATCCCACTCACCTATGATCATTAGGTTCTCAAGAAGAACCAAGACGGGAATACGTCTGTCAACAAACTGTTCTCTTAGATTCTCACTGTATTTTATCTGCATCCTATCCATCTCCTTTCGTGTTGAGGTTCAAAAGATGCGCTCGCCCGATGTGGGTTTTCCTTTGGCGTGTGGCCCAGCTTCATTTCTGGGCGGTAACTTGGACCCTGTGGCTCGAATTAAAGTTGGGCGCCCAAACTACTACTCACGTGAATCAATGACAGGTGTTCTTTTCCCAGCCGTCACCGCAGTCGTTCGTCAACCATCGATCTCTTCATCCAACCACTACCACAGAGGTTGAAGCCAGCTGATCTCAGCGATCCTTCACCCTCTGTTGCAAGTGGCGTCCCCGATGAGCTTGAAATTGACGAACCTACCGAAGAGCGCCACTGAGCGCGAGGTCAAGAAGGCGATAGCCCTCGTCGTTCACGATGAGGACTTCATCGCCTCACTCCCGTCTCATATTCGCAAGAACGGCCCGCTAATCAACTTCGCAGTCTCCCTCAATCCTCCTGATTCCGGGTCCTTCAACAATAACGGAACCGGCCAGGCGGTCTTTCCTCACAACGACATCGCCAGCAGTTTGCTTAGGCGTTCTCGTCGGGAGAAAGGACTCAAAATGAAACTGGACGAAGGCGAGCCATGGGAGAAGACGTGGAAGTTTTATATCGAAGGGTTTGACAGTAAAGTAAACCACTACCAGGCGGAGTCTTTGGCCAAGACTCCTTATATCGACCCCGATGTCGAGGCAGAGCGGTCAGATCTCGTTAGGCGCCTTTCCACCCGTCTTCGAGTCTCCGAAGTACAAATCGGGGGGTATACGATGGATCCCAAAACCAGGATACGCACTTTTATCACCAGTTGGAAGAAGCATTATGACCGCTATGCGGCATGGCTGAAATTCGATCATGATTCCAAGGCGATTCATCTTCAGGTTACGTCCCCTTTATATGATACTTGTATCGTTGTTTTCTGACATTTGGACCAGTTGGAATACGCAGATGGGAATACCATGATGCAGAAGATCCTTGTTCTCAAGTATGCTAACACCCGGAAGATCGGATTCGGCTTTGATCCCTTTGGTGGAGTCTGTAAGCCCGTTTCTGAACCGCCTTTTTGTTCTGTATTTCTGAATGCGTCTGCAAATGCCCAGATATCTCGTTCGACAATTTCACTCCACCAGTTCTGCAAGAGACCTATCTCCACCCATCGCTAACCGGAAAACAGCGGAGGCTAATCGACTACCTGGACCCGAGGCATGAAGCCATAGCCCCCTTTTGCCCCCATCTGCGGATCCTCTTGTTTCGCACGAATAGTCATGGTGACCAATTCGCGGACTTTCGCCGCCTTGTCAAAGAGGCGAAAATTGAATCCCTCGTTTTCGACCTTGAAGCATGCAAGCTCCATCCGATTATCGAAGAGATGCCGACAGTTCGCGGCCAACCAGCTCTTCTCAATTCCTGGGCTCAGTTGGCGCGGAAGCTCAAGGATATGCCCTTCTCTATTGGATTTCAGATCGAGGCGCTGGTGAGGGGCAACCAGCTCAGTTTTGAACAGGCGATCGAGATCATTCCCGATATTCAGGAGCTGAACAAGGTCCACGAGAAGGTTGGAAGTAGGTTCGTCATTCAGCTGGTCCGGAAGTTTAGCAAGACCATGCGAACAGACTTCACTAAGCAAGGGAAGCCCCCGGCGGATGTTTTCAAGGACCTCAAGAAGAAGTCTTTCAAGGCGCACCCGCCTCGACAGGACCAAGATTCCAAGTTGTTCGAGTGTCACCACGTCACCTGCACCCCCTCTCGCTTCATCCTCGTGGGGCCCAACCCGACTGGGTTCAACCGTATCATCAGGAAATACCGCGACTACACGGATCATTTCATTCGTGTCGATTTCCGAGACGAGGATGGCCAGTACTTCCGCTCTTCCTTCGAGGTTGACGCTTCGACGTTGGTGAAGACGAGAATCGGAGGCGTCTTGAAAGGAGGCATCACCATCGCAGGACGCCATTTCGAATTCCTGGCCTACTCGAGTTCATCCATGAAAGTGCACAGCACTTGGTTCCTCAACCCGTTCGAGTTCAAGGATCGAACGGGCCAGAGGATTCGAGTTACTGCACAACGTATTCGAGAGGATATCATCCCGGATATACCGGCTAATGTCCAACTGATGAGGACGCCCTCCAAGTATGCCGCGAGGATTGCGCTTGCGTTCACGACTAGCGAGTCTGTCGACGGTGCTCGCCTCAAGCGTGATGAATGGGTTGGACCTTTCCCGGATATTTACCCGGCAGTCAGTCACGTCAAAGTCAGGCGAGAAGAGGAACAGGAAGAAGAAGGGGAAGGGGAGAGTGACACTGACGAAGAGGAGAGCGCAGACGAATACGATCCCCAATTCAAGATGGTCAAGCTCCCTCCATTCACCGACGGTGTAGGGTCGATCTCCAAGGAGCTGAACGATAGGATCTGGAAAGAGTATTACGAGAAGAGAGGTCTCGAGGTGCACCCAAACTTCTATCCTTCTGCAGTGAGTATCTACTGGGCCGCCGAGATACCTTCCGCATCGTCCTCACATTGCTCGACATACAGTGGATGCTGCGGATGCTCGGTTACAAAGGAGTCGTCGCTGTTGATCCAGAGATGGAAGGCCCCATTCACCTCCGACTGCGCAAAAGCATGCACAAATTCGAAAGCCTGGAAGACGATCTGTCTCAACACTCTGAAGTCCGAATCGAAATTGCTGAAATCTACGACAAACCAGGTCTATGTTACCTCAACAGGTTCTATCTCCCTTTCTTCCCTCATCTGCATCGTTTGTTGATTACTCCTGTGCTCTTCAGACCTCTCGTCATGATGTTTGACCTCCACGACCGGCCACTCGAGGTGTTTGAGGAGCTACAACGCATGGCCGTGGCCGATGCGATGACAATCGATGCGAGCATCGATCAGTTCAGTCGCCTGATGCAGATGCATGGCCTTGGAAATCCTTTCAAGATTACCTATTTGCTTGAACACGTCGAGGCGCTTGGGCTCTCTCTGGAAGAACTCGACCAAGTCAGTCCTCTGTGGAAGGCACTGCGTGATGTTGCCTTCAAGACTGTGATGGCCGGTATCCGCTACGAGGCTCGGATTCCCGTACCCAAGTCCTGGGTTCTGGTAGGCGTCGCGGATGAAGGACCGGCCTACAAGGGACAGCCTGGCTACGAGAATGTATATTGTCTCCCAGAAAACTGCATCTTTGGTACGCCTGCTTGGATAGACGAGGGGCGCTCACGCTAACACCGAATTCATTCAGTCTGCATCCAGGAGGACCAAGATTCGGAACCAGAGTGGCTGGAGGGCGATTGCGTCGTAACTCGGAACCCTGTGGTTCGCCCAGGAGACAGTATGTGTTCAAGATTTGCGGACTTGACGGAACGGCTCATTAATTTCTTTTTCTTTTTTTTCCAGTCCAGAAGGTACGGGCAATAGGAAAGCCCCCTCGTGGAGTGAAGTGCCTCTTTAGAGACCTGAAGAATGTCGTTGTCTTTTCTTCCCAAGGTTCGTGGTTATGGACCACCTAGCTGCTTCCGCGTCCGGCTGACAATCGGTGCCCCTTCCTAGGCAGGAGATCCCTCCCTTCTTGTCTAGCTGGTGGAGACCTGGATGGGTATACGCCTCAATGTCCATTGTCGATTCCCAAGCGGACTAATACTGGATTAGGGACAAATACGCTGTCATCCAATACGAAGGGCTGCTGACCGAGACCTATCGTAGAGAAGCTGACCCAGATGAAGCGAAAGATTCCAAATTCAAGGACAAGGCGCGTAAGGTGAAGCCGGAAGACATCTGCGATTTCTTCGTTCAATATGTCAATCGTGACGTTCTGGTGCGCTTTCTATGGTTCCATGTCCAGACTGAATACGCTAAGAAGAGTGGAAATATAGGGATTGCTGTCGGTGAAGTTATTGCGCATGGCGGGTAAGTCGGTCGTGTCTGTTGTGGGGATGACGACATTGAGTTCGGTTTTCGCATAGATCACCATAGGGTAGGGAAAGAAATATACGGTCGTCGAGATGAATTCAACGGTAAATCTCAAATATAGGATCCATTCAATGAAAAGGGATACAACCAGCAAGGGGACGACGAGTGCTCCATCTTGGCGAAGCTGTGTTCTCAGGTCAGAGGCTGTTTCACTGGAACCATCTCCCGTTTTTCTAAACGACTTACACCCCCCTAGGCTGTCGACTACCCCAAGAAAGGGATTCCAATAGACCTAGATAACCCGGAAATCAAAAGGATCCTCCGTCCCAAGATCACCCACAAGCCAGATTGGGATCGAGACGGTTCATCCGACATGGTGGATACCATCTACTACAAATCCTCTCGAGTGCTGGGCCACCTCTACCGGTCTGAGCTGTTCAAAGACACGGACGACCCTGTCAATGACGCCGCAACTGATGGTCCAAGTCCTGTACCCTACTCCGACCGTCTCTCTCTAGCCATCAAGGAAGCTGTTGAGGCTATCTTCGGCCAGGGGTTCCTGCCAACTGTGCTCTCCCGCCTCAATGACCGCGTCAAGGAGGCGTTCACTCACTATGCCGAGGAACTCAAGTATATCCGGTACGCACATAGCTTGTCCCTCCGACCCGACGCTCGCTTGTTAGAGGCCGAGGTGATCTCTGGGACTGTCCTAGGACGTCGGGACCTCAAGAAACTGCGTAAAGAACGGATCAGCAGGATGAGGGACCACATTGGGTCTGCGGCGAGCACGGTTCGTTTGGAACTGATGGGTGGGCGTGAGGATAACAGAATGGAGACGCTGGAGCGGGCGTGGAATGCGTGGGGCTACAGCCAGGAGAAATTCAAGGAGGAGGGGGCGCATAGCTTTGGATTGGTTGCTTTGCGGGTTATCTTTGAATGCTTGCAGGCATTAAAGGGCCAGTATTCTCCGACGACTAAGAACTAATAGCAGCTAATAGCTAGGAAATGTAGGATTGGTAGTATTCTCAATGTTGACATTTGCTCAATGCCTCACGGCATCTTGACAAAACCAGTTGAATCTAAATCTAGCGCCCATGTAACTACTTCACTTGCGGATAAGATTTGGACAGAGACCAGATGGTTGCTTGAATTCAGCGCCGTCACTGTGGATCAAGGACATCGCACTGTGAGAAACGCGACCACGGACGTCCTTAGGATGTCCTTAATCGCGGGACATTTTACTTACCATTACTTACCTGCGGCCTTGTCCTTAGTTATGATAACTAAGGACAAGGGGCCGCGAGTAAGGACATCACTAAGGACACCAAGCCCTATATAAAATATCACATACTGATACATCACAAGAAGTACAAATAGTTTATATACAGGCTCTATACGATGATTGATTGAGTGGGTCGGTCGGTACCACGCCCGTGAGTTGCTGGTGGGTGGTAATAGGTTGGGCGTTTGCAGTAGATAAGATAACTCCCGTCGGCGTAGAAACTTATATTTGGCAATCCGAGGGCTATGTCTATGGTTGGTCGCAAGGAACTGGTCTTTTGACTCTCAGATGAGACAAAACTCTCGAAGTCGAAAATGAACTCCGACGAAACAAACTCCGACAGAATTGGGACGGTGCACATCTGTCCGCCTCCCCCTTTGTCTTTTGACGCCAACGGTATCCTCTACTACCGGTCTACAACTTGGACACAATCCATTATCCTGCTCAACCTCAGGACCCGACATGATCCATACAAACTGCAAGACAGGCAAGCAGGTGGCTGGACCGGTCACCGCTGGGGTACGTGTTGGGCGAAGCAGGAGTGCGGGTCTACGCGAGTGGGACAGTGGACAGTGGAGGTTCTTTTTCTATTATGGTGGCGGAGGCGGTGGAAACGGAACGGTGCGTCTCTCTTTTGGGTTCGGTGTCTGAGAAAAAGGGCGGGACGAATAGAGCTTTATTATTTCTCTCTCATGTCGGTCTCGCTGCTGGCCTTCTCTCTCGGGTATGACCACCTTTTTGAGATGAGAAATGTAAACCCGATGTTGAACTTCCTTTTTTAGCGCGTCTTCTCGACGTTCGTCCTGGAAGCACTCGTCCTTACTTTCGCCACCACTCCGCTTGTGAGTCGTGGTCTTCTTCTACCCACCCGAGTTCCGTGTCCGAATCGTCACCGCGAATACGCACCAAAAGCACCACCACCATGGAGGCAAAGGTCTTAGGTCACGACATTAAGAAGCCCGGAGCGCCCAAGGAGAATCGCGAATATGAAACCCGGCTCACAGTCATACTCAATAAATTCGAGCATCTGGGAAGTATCATGGCGCTCGTCCAGTTGGCAGTTGGTCAACCCTCCTCCGCCTCCGTATTCAGAGGACCAGTTGAAGAAGAGGCCGTCTATTGGTAGTGTCAAGTCGACCTTAGGGTTATTCCGTCAACGCGTTCGAGGATCACACTTCTAGAGGGCACGGGTACGGGTACGAGTGGGGACGCAACATCGCGTGGAACGTCGTCAGTTCTTGAATCCTAACTTGCCCAGCGCTCAACTCACCTCTCTTGCTTCCAGCGGGCCTGTCAACCATCGTACGGAATCCTGGTCAAGTGTCAATTACTGCCCCTCCTCGATTAATCTGCGCCTTTGAGCATGTGCTGACTCTGCTGAGAAGTGCCGCAGTTGTCGGAGTTCTTGGGTTCAGGACTTTGGGCTAGGCGACTCCTCCCACGTATGGCGCCTCTTCCACCGATAGGCTTAGTGTATCGCGCGGCGCGCGCGCATCACACGCTTGCTCTCAACTGTTTCCTCGGGTTCCCGTCTACTATAAGGCTGTCCACGAGTCAGCCCTACTCGCGAGTACTTGCAAGTAGACCCGTGGGAATACTTGTGAGTATCCTGACTTGCGGATCCGAGTCACCCGTGCCAAAATACTCATGCGAGTCCGAGTTTGGGATTTTGGCCCATGAGTACTTGTAAAAAGGCCTTAAACAAGGCTTTACGGCCCTCTAGTGCTGTATATCTGCTTTAAGTAGGGTCTATCCATGAAAGGAACACTAAACAAAGGTATATTGATAGAGATATCACAGATTAAAAGCATACAAACCCTTGTGAGTATTTGACTCGTGGATCCGAGTCACTCGTGCCAAGAAACTCATGTGAGTCCGAGTTTGGCTTTTGGTACTGTGAGTACTTGCCTTGCGGCTCCAAGTCAACTCGCGAGTTGACTCGTGGACAGCCTTACCATCTCTCGCAGCACCACCGTTTTCAATGAGTCGCGGCTCAGCGCTCAGCAGAGTAAGACCCCATTCATTTCAACCTGCTAGATTTTTCTCGTACAAGATGAGAGCTGATTAGGGTGTGTTCATAGGTTAGCTGACAGGGTCTATCGGATTATGATTTAGATAACGATTTTGTAATTTAACTTTTGCTTAGCTTAATGACGATTTTTTTTTCGCTTTTTATCCTATTTGATTAAGCCAAAATAAAAATGGGAAATACCCTGAAACTGTCCCTTGAGCATGAGGAAGGAATTTATCCCTGGTCAGGGAACAAGGATTCTATCCTTGCTCGCGACACCAAGGACATCACCAAGGAATCGCGCGTTTTTTTAGGGATTTCGTCCCTGGTCATTTTATAGGCCGCGGGCAAGGACAAATTACTTGCCCTAATGTAAGGACTTAGTCCGCGCCCACAACCCACGGAAGTCCTTGGGCGCGTTTCTCATAGTGTCGCCGGCTGTCCGGCACTTTGTTGTGAGAAGGAGCTCACAATACTGGACCCAGCCGGCGAGCCTTGGTAGCAGAGTCAGACATGGGGGTTTGATATCGAAGGGTTCGACAGCAAAGTAAACCATTACCAGGCGGAGTCTTTGAGTAAGAGTGACAAAACCATGGAATCCGAATCCGATGCAGACGATTTCTGATCGGGCGGTGGATTGGGATGGTTCCTTGAATTCAGCGCCATTATGGATTAGATTGAATTAGGATTTAAGGTCCGGATATCTTGCCTCGAGGCTCCTCGAGGTGACATATTTTGAAAGGTTGGTGTGCCTGAGTAACGTTAGGACAGATGCCCTGCGGCGAGGTCGCTGAGTGTGACTTAATGATTCGAGCGGCGGTATTTACAGATGTGTCGAATGTTTCGAATTCTGTCGTAAGTATATGTAGGTACGGAATGGCCATTATCGAGTCTAAAGGCTGTCTGTAACCGGTGCTAGTTGAGTCATACGGGTGGAATAAGCGGGCCTGGTTGCTGACAGCGTTGTGCATGGTTCGTAGTACGAGTATATGTTCGAATGGCAAGCTAAAGCCTCGGACTGTATGATAATCAGACGAGATCCGAGTATACACCATATGTACAGTTAAGTCTGGCACGGGGAGATGCGGTTCTTTGTTCGGAGTGGAAGTATTATGGTCAGTAACAGAAGAATCGGTTCAATGGGAAATGCGCTGCCGCGTCGGATATTCAGGGTGGATCAGCCTCGGGAGGCAGGTGTATCAACAGTAAAACCCGCTTTCCGATAGTAGCGCCATATAATCAGGTACGAGCGGTTCCCTCGGGTTTGACCTGTTCTAGTTCCTCTTCGAGGAATTCGTACCCATGAAACACGTCATTCTCTGCTGGCATCTGTTAATCCTTAGTTGGTTTATCAGATAACGCAACGTATGCACAGTGGCCGTCGGCAAATGCCTTGATACTTTCCGACGATTATCTCTAGACTCTAGTAACGGAACCCACCATCTACCTCGATAAATACGGAGAATTACGGGAAGATACATCGCGTCCATATCTTACCTCATGCCTTCTACATTCCATTGGAACTTCAAGCTCATGTACTGACAGGGCAAACGAACCCGAGCAAGGTCGGTTCACTTAGAATGGCAGGGCCGCGGGCATCGAATATCGAGCGGCTGAATGCGCAGTGAGGTGAGGCATTAGGGTGCATTCGAACATACATATGTTATGTTCCTGAACGTTATTCTAATCCAAGGTGCAGAAGAATCAAATGGGAAAGGTCCATTCGTTGCAACGAGGATGTGGCGGTATCGGCCGCCTGGACGGGTGAGGTCAAGTGGCTGGTGATTCCGGGAGGGAAGGGTGCTGACTGGCTTGTGCGTTTCTGTCTTTGGACGTGGGTCCCTGAGGATCAGATAATTCAGTAGATATTATTGGACGACGCTGCTTCTCAGAAATATTGGGGCTTCCGGGTCCATTGCAAATGGTCGCACCGTTGTGCGACGAGGCGCTTTTCCATCGCCCGGCTTGAATAGGGGCTTCCGAGTCGGAAGAAGATTCTGAACAAGTCAAGAACAAGTTGCACCCGAGAGTCAGGGATTCAGGGAGCTGAACGCAATCCCGTCATCCAGACTCAGGGATGAATAGCAAAGAGACAGCTCGGGAGGTTGAGTCGACCCTTGACAAGAGAAAGACAAGAGGACATCCTTATCGGTCCTTTCTTTCGCGCGAGGATCACTGATACGTCGGAAGAGGGAAGTCTTCTGGTCGTGGATGATGTCATTCTAGTCAAGTGCAAGACAGACTTTGTTGGAATTTGAACTCCTGAGGTGCTTCTATCGTATATCTGGCTCCATTTTAGCAATTCTCTAACTCGAAGCATGTTTTATGGTAGAGATAGATGGATGGATGGATAGTAAGGGACAACAATTCGAAGGTGACTTAGTCCGCACCCGATGTAGCTTGTGAGCCGAAGAGAACTTATGAAGTTCAGTCACGTCCCGAAATCCGGTTCCCGTTGAATGGCATGGTGCGTGTCCAGGATCGACAGTACGTGTGAGCGCCTATGCGATCCCTTCGCGTGTAACCGTTGGAGGACGATCACGATGTACGTATGACGAACATTTGTTGGTTGGAAGGGAGACCCAGAGAAATTGCGTGCTGCTTACTTACAGATGGACGTGGTAATGACCTGAAGATGACAGAGTGAGTTTGCAAGAACCCAGTTCTTTTTTGAAGTTGTGTCAAAGCCACGACTTGACTGGAAGCTGACTGGCGACCCTCCAGGACATCGGAGGCTATCTCCACGGGCCCCACTATTCCAGAAGTGTAAGTTGTGTTCGGGTTGGCATCGGCGGACTAACCTCTAATCTCCAGAGCCATCTTCAACCTAGTGTAGCATAGGAGGTCGCGTATGTTCCGTGAGGATGTATGTGCTGAGCTTGTGTGCAGAGACCGTAAGAATTGGAATCGCGCAGCCTGAAGGGGCGGAAATAAGTGCTGCTGCAGCCTTCTTGTGACTGCCCGGCGAAACGATGCCTGCCTAGTGCTGTTTAGCGCGGGCTTCTGAGATGCTTATCAGTCAAAGTTGCCTCAAGGCACTCGGCTTCGAGCACCCGTTGGTTCGAGAAGAAAGGAATCCCATTCTGCATACTTATGTACCCCTGGGAGGCATGGACAACACCGACCTTCGAAGTCACAGTGCCGTTCGAAGTTTGGGTGTCTTCTAATCAAACGGGGAGCAGCACTGGAGACGGCGAGATGGGCCAACCTTGAGAAATTTAGAGTTTTTCCCCCCATTTCCGCGATTTTTCCGCGAGGAGGGGTATGACAAGTGATACGCCAAACTAGGGCGCGTTGGAGGGTATTGAGGGGGAACAGAACAAAGGGGCATGTTCTTAATTGGATCGTCCCTCCAAGTATCAAGATGGGGTGGGAATGTGAAGTCGTCTCGGCAGTAGCCTGTCGGGAAGATGACCCGGACATTAAACACAGCGGGTGGCACTCGGGCGTCAAGTTCCCATTGCGATCGGTCGTAAGAGCTATTGAAGGCGGGTGTTGAAATGGGCGGGTAGGAAAGGAAGGTCGAAAGACGGAGAAGGACCAACGTTCATAGAGTGAAGAGATTCGGCGGGAATACATCTGTCGCGTGCAATGCTTTTTGTAGGGACATTCTCAGGGTCAGAGAAGGGGAGGGTACGTTCTGAATATAGGTTGAGGGTGATATGGAGGTACTTCACAGGTTTCGGCACTGTTCTTCGTTGGGTTGTCGGAGTGCTGTGTATCCGAGGCGTGATAGAACGTCCTGTCGAGCGGCTGTCAAAGTGAGCGGGCGGCAAGGCATGATGCAATGAACGGGGGAGGGATAATACCGTTGAGGTCGGGGGATCGAGTGCGTTGCCCGTAATTCGTCGAAGATAAGATCCCAATGCAATGACGTCGGTGGGGACGGCAGGTACATCGGCTTTGAGTGCAGTGCTCTCGTTCTGTTTCTTTAGCTCCTGTGATCACGGAAGGTAGGCCAGTCACGATAATGATCGGCAGGCACAAGATCCGGGGAAGGTACGGATCGTAGGTCCACATTGTAGACCCTGGTCGAAGGAGCACAAGGCACGCGAAGAGTCGCTCTAGCAACCAAGCTGACTGTTCAGTCCATGATCCAAGTCAAGTGAAGGCTGCACGAGACGAATTGAATAGACAGGGCGGCGATACCAGTACCAGAATGTCACAGTAAAGATAGGCGGTAGACGGCCAAGACGCATGTCAAATCCACAGCACGAAGTCGACAACTGGCCCGTTGAAGGACAAGCATCGTGCTCCAAGTAACGCTGTTGTTGGGACTGCGTGCGGCGACCACGTTTTCGATGGGAACCACTGTACGCCTCATCGAGGCTGTTCTCGAGAGTTCGTTCGCCAAACGAACTGCGACGAACCGACCCGGCGCTCGAAGCCGTTGCTTCGACTCGAGTCACTCGACTTGGGCACAAGCTGTTCGGGGGTAGGCCGGCCTGGCGGTGCTTATTCTCCAAGAGCATTGCTTGGAGACCTAAGTAGAAGTAATAATAGTCAGTTGAGTTAATCTGTAGGATGGATAACGAACGACAATGCCTTCATCTAAACACCACATTGCTTTCTGTGAAGAAGAAATTTGGGGGAAAAACGCAATCAGGAAAGTAACGTAAAGAGGGAGAAGGTGATGGTGCCTTCGGTGCCTGAGAGAATGCCCACGTTGGTCCGGAAAGTGTGACCAGAATTGGGAAAAACCGGGTTAAACGATGAGAGATGGACTTGTTCGCAGTGATTTGGCCTTGATTTTTCCGAAAAATGGAAAGGGCAAGCTGGGGGAGTGGAGCGGCGGTTTTGAACCCGTTTAGAGCTGAGGATGAAGGAATTCAAAGTCAGTGTTTGGGTTTGATTCTTCTTTTGAAGCTCATGCCGGTAACTCCTCAATGACCTGTGCCTGGCCTTGATTCCCTCTCCCAGAAACTACCCGTCACCGACGACGACAACGACGACGACCATAATGCCCGTTCCAGCTGGACGACGACCAACAGACGACCCCTTAGACGAGGTTCTCAAGCCCCCTCCGGACGAAACCCCGGAGCAGCGCCTGATAAGACTCGAACGAGAAGCAGAGGCAAAGCGCATAAGCCTGGCCATCGATGCCAGTATCAAGGCTGAACGACAGGCACGCAGGAAAAAACGGATTGTCAGGCTGCTATTGTTGGGCCAGAGCGAGTCTGGTGAGTTGCAGAACACCCTTGTTCGTTGCCATCAGCTAACTTGGTCGTCGCGCCAGGCAAATCCACGACCCTGAGGCGTACGTCCGTCCTTCTACCATTTCGACCACATCGAACTGACCGTCGGGCTGCGACAATGTAGAGTTCCAGCGTCTGTACACGCCTACAGCCTTCAGGGAGGAAAGAATACTGTGGAGAGCTGTAATTCAGCTCAACATCGTACGCTCAATTCGAATAATTCTCGAAGCACTCGATTCACCATTGTCGCCGTCGAGCTCGCCGTTCTCGTCACCGCGGTCGCGTGCTAGAAGCATCTCCAGGCCGCCGCCGCTCCCGACGCAGCACCCGCCATTGCCCAATTCAGACTATCACTATGCCAATGGCAATGCCAGTGGTCCATACAGTCCGATTGATCAGGCCGGCCCTTCAAACTATGGCAACGGCTACAACAGCGACGGGGACGTGTTCAGCACATCGCCACCGCGCGGTGGATGGCACGGCAGTTCTCGCCAACGACACCAAAACTTCTCGTACGCCCAGAGCAGCACAAGCACGCGTCGCCACCGTCGCGCACCTTCTGGTTCGAACCCCGAATCCGAGGTCGATTCCGATACGGATTTTGGATACCACGGAAGTCCTCGCTCTGTTCACAACTCTTCCATAACCCTTGCCGCGAGCCACCTGGAGCCTTTAAAGCAGAAACTGCAGCCACTAAAGCACATCGAGCAACTTTTGATCGCGAAGCTTGTTCCCCCGACAGAAGAGGAGCCCACACAGCTTGCACCACCGGGGAACCACTCCATGCCGCACATCCAACAGAGTATACAGCATGGTGACCACTCGCCTTACCGTAACCAGGAAATTTTCATCCGCCCTGGACCGGGGTGGAAGGGCGCCCTGTCAAGAGCGCGGGTGAACTACCCTGGGTGGAACGACGAATCCAACGCCAACGGAACATGGTCAAACGGCCGGCCAACTAGCGCCGGCAACACGGGTCTCGAGACACAGGATGAACCTCAAGAGGTCCTCCATGCTCTGCGCAGAGACATGGTCCAGCTATGGCAAGACCCCTTCGTCAAGGAGATCCTCCGACGCAAGAAAATAAAGCTGGAAGAAGGCTCCGGATTGTACGTTTGCTCTGCGGCTCATCTTACGGGGTTATCTCACCATCGCCTATTTTAGTTTCCTGGACGACCTCGAGCGGGTGACTTCCATGAAGTATATGCCCTCGGACGGTATGACCAATTCTAGTCGTGGCTAATTCTCGCAGTTTTACTGATGCGGTGCGGCCAGACGACGTACTCAAGGCCCGTCTAAAAACCGTCGGGGTTTCCGAGTACAGATTTGAAATGGAGGTATCAGCAGGCCGAGACAGTGGAACGGAATGGCGCATAGTCGACGTTGGGGGCAGTCGTAGTCAGGTAAGCACACGATCTAGACCCATCTAGTAAACCACCGCTCAATTCTGCTTTTCCATCACCTGTTGAACGAATTTAGCGACGTGAGTAATCCTTTGCCTGCCCTACACATCTAGATATTGACCGTATTCTTTTGATTAAATAGCAACATGGGTCCCATTCTTCGACGATGTGGATGCTATAATCTTCTTAGCACCTATCTCTGCCTTTGATCAAGTTCTCACCGAAGATAAATCTGTCAATCGTCTCGTAAGTGGCTATATGCGCAATATTCTCCTGCCAATTTCTCACTGAATGTATACAGGAGGATTCCGTACTTCTATGGAAGGCCGTGTGCTCGAACAAATTACTGGCCAACGTGGACCTGGTGCTCTTCCTCAACAAGTGTGATATTCTCGAGAAGAAACTGAAGGATGGTGTGCGGTGCGTACCCTCGCGTAACATCTCTATCTGTAGCTGCGTATTCATGTGGGCTTATCAGACTTGCCAAATACGTCCGGAGCTATGGTGATAGAGAGAACACGCTGGATAGCGTCAGTAAATGTAAGGCAATCGACTGTCTCGTGAACTTGAGACATTTACTTACTGATTCGCATACAGATCTTCGCAGCAAATTCTGCGCCATCCACAGAGAGTACTCCCCGAATCCCCGGAAGTTCTACGCCTTCTGCACCAGCGTCACGGATACAGCCACAACAGCTGGTATCATCGCTAGCGGTATGTCTTCGTACACCTTTTTGCGGGACGGCGGAGTTGACCGTTTTATTCCGATAGTTCGCGACATGGTCATTCGGCAACATCTCAAACAATCTAAACTTCTATGATCTATCGTTTTCTCCAACTTCGTACCCATCCTTTCCCTCGACTATCCCCTCATCCGCCCCAATCCACTCAGCCCTGACCAATCTCGCATTATCAGCGCAAGTGCGTTGACACCCAACACGCCAGTTCACGTATAAAGGCAACAGGGCCGGCGCCGCCTTTCCGCTCGGTTGACACCACCCCATTTCCCCATTCCTATACCACAACCACTTCGCGGTCGAATATGACCTTTTTCCGCCTGCTTCACGTTTCCGAATGCTGTGGTATCCCTGCGGTATGATCTGCGCACCAGCCGGACCCACCTCGATCTGCGACCCAAGAAATCCCCGAGTGTTCACCCAGTACAGCACCACATCCAACCCATGGCATCATCCACCCATATACGGAACCCTCACTCCGTCATCGGCACTCTCCAAACTCTTCTCTCTCCCAGCGTTCAATTGGTCGTCGGCGTCCAAATCGTGATAACCATCTGCTGCGCGGTTTCTAATTGAACCTAAGAAGACGAGAGAGGAGCAGGAAGAAGGCGGCGCTCTGTGATTCCCCGGCTCCTGCCTTCCTTCCAGTCAATTCCAGATTCTGGGGTTGAGAGATGGGCTGGCCCGTGGCTCGTCTGGTGGACGGTTGGTTTCCTGTTTGGGCGGGGAGGGGTTGTTTGGTCATAGAGTTGAAGCGTTGACGGCTGGGCACGCCGGCGAGATGGGAAAGGAACCATCTATCGTTGTTTCATGGGCGTAGGATCCTCAGTGGTTTATTCGAGGAGTCTCGCTCTTTGCCTTACTGGGCGTCTCGTCTTTGCGTTCTGCAGGCCATGTATCACCCGGCGATTCCTCCAGTGCGGGTGGATTACCCATCTCCATTTTTGCAGTCCCATCTATCTTCGCCGCCTATCCCCTGCAATCCGCTACCCATTCACTATCGAAGGCGACAACTCTCCTGGTCTGCTTGCGACACTTAATTCAATTAGGACCGCATGGATCCAACTCCAACAACCCATCGTCCCAACTCCTTTTGGAGCGCCCCGTCTTTATTTCTTTCCTTTTGAATAATTGTTTCGATCTTTCGAACTCTGTTAGGAGTTCTTGTGGGATCCTCCTGATGACCATACCCGTGGTGTCGGATCCCACTCTCCGCATGCTACGTTTGTACTCTTTCTTTGACCTGAATCTTTCGCGAATGGGCCGTGATTGATTTTGTTTTCTCATTTTCGATAATATCTCATCTGTTTTTTTCCCATGTATTCCTCGTGTTTCTTCTTTTCCATCTTGTACCTATCGATCGATCGGTTTTCTTTCTTTGGTTGTCGTGTTTCTGTTTGTTTTTCTTGTACATCGACTTTGGTCAAATTGTGCTAATTCTCGGAAAGATATTCCGAACGTTCATTCGATCTTGATTACGCTTTTACTTGTGCTCTATTTTTTTTTTCTTTCGTGGAACTTTTTCTTGTCAAGTAGACCACACCCGCCCCCTTATTTTGCTCTGCTTTCGAGCCGCTTGAAAATCCCCCTCTGCCCTTGCTTCTAGTACTTTTACGCAACCTATTTTCAAAGCCGCCTTTCCCTCAAAATTATCTTCCAGACTTGTCTTGTAACATACCTGTACTTTCTTTTGGCCATACTCCCCCAATGTTCGATACCTACGCACATATATACCGATTGCATCTATGTATGATATTGCGGGACAGTGCACCCGTCTCCCCGCCAGTGCATGCGCGTATGTCACGGGGAGGTATTCAAGGGTGCGACTCAAGAAGGAATCCGGGAAGTTAATCAGGCGAGTGTATAGTACCGGCGCAGAGTTTGAGATACTCGGACAGCACCTTTCTGATTTCGTTCTGTCATTCTGACTCGCATCGTCTTCCCATGTCTGTATCAGAGAGAGTCAGCGAGTCACGACTTATCACAGGCGCTTACGATCCGAGTATTATACTTTGCTGTAATGGTGGATTGAGGTGCATGTGGTAAGCTAGCACCTGAGCGCTTCTTCTAGTGCAGAAGCACCTGATATTCATCTCGTTTGTTCTTTCTGTACTCAGCTCCATCCTGGAGTGATAAAAAGGCATAAATAGACAGAGGTACAGGCCCCTTCGACCTAACCAGCGAGGAGGCTGTTTGAAATCTGTTATATATTTATCCAGGGGAAGAAGGGACAGAACAAAGGGGACAAAGGGGTGATCAGGTTTAGAAAACACCCTCAAAATGGTTGGTGGGGTATGACAGATCCGGAGAAGCTGTGAGGTCGTTCTTAAGAACCCGCCAAACGGCGACTTGATTTGGCAAGTCGATGGAAGTCTGGACATGCTGTTGTATGTGGGTCGTGACTCCAGCTGTGGGTTCTGAAGATTCGAAGCATTGCTGTGGGTACCCACGAGTTCTGAGCTTGGAGCTTCGAGGAACCAACAGTGCAAGTAGAGCGAGGATCGTAAGTCAAGGTGCCTGGTCATAGGACTTGCCTGATTTGGAGGATGGAGTGATCGGGCGGGCGCTTAATAGAGTTCGACCATCTTAGCGTGTCATTTAAGAGTGGAAAATACTTTTTCGACATTAATAATCAGAGAGAGGCAAAAATCATGAGCATTGGTACAGGTTTAGGTGGGCTATAGTGTCTACTATTAATAATAACCCATGATGGCCCCCAATTGGGCTAGTGGCACCGCGACAAACCGGTCTGCTTGGTTTACCAAACGACTTCAAGCGCTCCGGTTCTCGACATTCTCCATCGGATCCCAAGAGATTGGGGACCCAATCCATCCCCGATTGATGTGGACAAAGCTCAGAAACGACCTCCAAAGGGGATCGAGAGCCAGTATGTGTGGGTTCCCAACAATAACTAGAAGTGCCTGAGCACGTGTAACTGCGACTGAGATTCCGAAGTTAGATTATCTTCCGAGACAGAATATATAGCTAATATGACGCACCGTTGAACCGCCTGGGACTGGTGACGAACCCAAGAGTATGGCGGACATCATGGTCAATAAACTCTTGACGACTTCGCACAGTTGAAATGATGATAATCTTGCGTTCCTGCGAAATTCGAGTCAAGCCTGGTTGTAAATGCGACACAGACACAGCGCTTACCTGTCCCTGAAACTCTTCAACAGAGCCGACCTTTACCCCGCCTGCAATAGGGCTGATTGACTTGCGTATCCTCAGACACTGGGCATGGTAAGGCGATATAATACCAATATCTTCATCCTCTAAAGGATCCAGACTCTTTAGCTGACTGGCGTGAGATTAGAGGTAATCGCGAAAGACATACTAGCGCGGATACTATCGTCTTCTTTGAGCCTCTGTATGTAGGCTTTCACTTGCAGCACTTCCTCCACGTTGAAGAACGACGGAGAGGAAGCTTCGCGAACATCCTGACCCAAGACAGCATGAAACATGACAGGGAAGTGAGGTGATGGGAGTAACGCTGAACCAATGAAGGCGTCGGCGACTGAAGGGCTGGCGCAAGGTTCCAAATCGCCAGCATAAAATCTCTCATTTGGGAATTTTAAGATGGATCGATGAGAGCGGAAGTTCTTCGTCAACTTTACCACTCTGTTAGCGGATGATAATTGGTTAATTCCGTGAATGGCGCGGGAAGAGATACGGAGAAACACGTACGTCGAGGTGAAACCTCTCTGTAGATCGTATACATCCCTCTCCATTAGTCTCTCTAAGAAGCTTTTGTCGAGTCCGAAGGACCGAGCAATAGGAGAGTGGACGATAGGTCCAAGTTGGTTGGGGTCTCCAGACAGTACGACGTTGGTCTTCGAGTCGGCCAAAGTCTTGATGGATATCAAAGTCTCCGGTTCCGTTGCTTGTCCAGCTTCGTCGATGAAGATATGGCTGAAGGTCCCCCTCTGCATGCCAATCCCATAGAGAATTGATGCAGATACGCAAGTCGCTACAATAACCCGGAACGAGACGAGTTTCTCCATAGGCGGAAGGCCGAATACTCCATCGGACGAAGACGAGCAAGTATAGCCCTCGAATTGAAGCCTTTTGGAAGATTGCTGAGTCGTCCGGGAGGGGGAATACATACGAAACAGCATCTCAGAAGAGAGGTGATCAGCAAGCCGCTCTGCTATGATGTCTGCCGCCGAGTTGGACGGCGCGCAGACCAGAACTTTGGCCTGAGGAGTCGCCTGGAGGATCTGGAGAATGGCTTCCACGATGGTGATTGTTTTTCCTGTTCCAGGTCTAAACTGAAAGGGTCAGGTTATTCTCTCCGAGGTACTTCAGCAGTTCCACTCACGGTCCAAAAACGATGAATGGCGGGGAGCCAGGAGGTTGATGCACAATCGAAGTGACGGCCTTCAACTGGCGCTCGTTTCGCGTGATCAAAGGATTGAATGGAACGACTTCGAAGTCCAAAAGGACGGCGGGTTTGATATCAAAAGGCATCGGAAAGAGGACTCGCTCGTCGGAGAACATTGTCTCCAATGCTTGATGTTGCCGTTTTAAGACGAGTCGATGTAGCTTGAACCGGATATTGTACCTTGTAGACGGGTCGCGTTCTGAGAAACTCTCGTGCAAGCGGAGGCCTATGCTCAGCTTGCCGATGGTATGCACAATTCCTTCGAACCAGTGGCCTGGAGTTGCATCTTCCCGCTGGACCAAGATACGGTCACCTGAATGGAACTGTTCAGGGCTGCATGAAAAAGAACGACAGACACTCACCAATCAACACACTCGGTCGTTTCTCCGCAAGTCCCAAGACCTGCAACCTAATTGCTAAATTAATTGTGAGAAAAATACAGAAAGTCAAACGGCTCACTCGTAACAGGGATCATTCCGAGCGAGTGTGGTACTCATAATATCGTACCGCTGAACGTCCGCCCTAAAGTCATTCAGTGAGCTTGGGAACGCACAGCCAACCTCGCCCAGCAGAAAACGTACTCTGCTTGATACTCCTCCACCCATAGAACGTATTTCCAGAATCGAGTATAGTTCTGCCAAGTCAGGCCATGGGGAATGTAGAATTTTCGAATATGCCCAATTTGCTCCTGAGTTGTAGAAGGACCGCTGAGAAGCGCAAAGAGGGTACTGGGGATTCGAGCGGGGTGCAGGGGGATGGTGTAATTGATACTTCCTGGGAGGTCCGGAGCGACTCCCGCGACGACACGCTTCAACGGTTCTCTCGCCACGAGCACTTTCGGAACAAAAGGCGCGACAGGTTGCAGAGCGATATGTTCTTCCCTGACACCCACGATGATGGAGAGAGGCTTCGAGATTGTGAAGCTCTCATTCCGCTCAGTGTCGGCGAATGTGAGCTCAACGCGGTCGTAGTAGCGACCGATGAAGGGGTGTCTGAAGTGAACATTGACATGTGCTGGTTGCGCAACGTCGATTCGTCGATGCAGATCGGCGGACGTTATTGAGAATCTGCAGTGGGAGTTAGCCACGCACAATAGCGAGACGATATTGGAGGCCTGTGCTCACCCTGTTGGGCGATTCCGTTGCCTCGAGAGTAGTTCGGCACTCTGAAGAATTGAACTCCTGAATGGCACTGTACAGCGGACGGTAAGTATGTAGTCCATGTAGTCCAAACCACCGGTGGCTGACGATGGATCAACGAATATGTTGTCCTGAAGTCCTTCAACCACAAGGCCGTGATTGTCTTTCTCCGCTTCAGCCAAGTCAGCGCGATAGGTCCGGTATTGTCCTCTGCTAATGTGGGAGGGTTGTTTCTGGTGTTGAAGCCAGAGCGACCTCTTGACATTCTTCTCGCAGGAACTGCAATATTGCAGATCTTGATCAGAAGAGCTTTCAAGAAGTTCTGGCGTGACATGGGGAGAAACTCGACACCGAGCTGCGCGTTTGCGATGCATCCTGCTCTGAACGTGGGGCATCCATTCCCATCGAAAAAGCTCGAGTTCACAGACCGAACATCGAACTCGACCAGACCCAAGCGCCATGACTGACTGTCTTCTCTGGGCTGAGTCCAAAGAGTGTGGATGGGATATCGAGGACGACGTGTGACGTGGTTGCGTTGGAGGTTTCCAGTGCTGTCGCCAGGGAGAGTCGATTTTGGCCCAGAGCTGTTGGTCAAGGGAAGAAAGCGGTCAGAGAAATCTCTTGACTCGAAATGAATTTAAAAAGAAGCCTGGTACAAACCTAACCAAATCCAGGGCTTCTTTAGAATTAAGCGCCCAGGGCGGGATTCCCCACGGAAGCCTAGTTAAGATTATCCATCCGCCTTTTCTGCCTTCTCTCAGGAGTCAGAAATGACGCGGTTAATCAGAGATGGGACAGAAACAATACTGTCCCTCACCAGGACTTCGGTTTCACCACCTTTTCGGTTTGGCCGCCTTCCACTCCTCCGATCGCCATGAAATTTGGTATATAGGTGTTTTCCGCAACTCTGAGTATGGATATATACTTTAAACGAAAGAAAACGAAGGGGAGCAAGTGAAACCGAACGAGGAGGAAAAATCGCGCCCATCAGTGCCATCACCCGCCATCAGCGAATGGCGTGTCCTCATAGGCTCGTACGCAACGGAGTTGAAAAAGATTGATAGATATCAACATCAAACCGAAAGGGCAGGGAAAACGATGTCCTGGTGAGGGACAGTATGATCAATAGCGAGTAGTACCAGCCTCGAATTATACACTGACAGGCCTCTTCAACGCCGGCTTGGCAGAACAGTCGTTCACTGCCAAGGCCCAACTGGTCAGGGACGGATCAAATTTGTTCGCATGTTCCCGAAGCCAATGCTCGAACTTGGAACTTGGAATTTGGCGGGAACGAGTTGGATTCAGGGACGTAAGAATCAATGGTAAAACAATAAAATTCATCTGCTACTGCTGGCAGCATCGGTCACAAGTATTACTAGTACTGGCGAGTCAGCAGGGAACCCACACGGATTACCCGGGAATGCGCAGGGAGGTTCCTGGGGGACATGGCTTATAGTGGCTTGGAAAGAGAGCGACGGAAAATCACAGGTTGGAGGGATTGGGGATGACAAGGACGGATGGGAGGACAAGTTGGTTCGAGTGCAGACCAAGAACGGAATTGCAACAGAGTACAAGATCATTCTATTCAATTAATGCATAAAATCATGACTCGCCTAATAGACGTAGGGCAAGATTTTGTAAGGTACAATGGTCTTATACCTGTCCCAATCCTTTCCGTATCTTGAAAGATGAACATCAGGCAATGAGATAAAAATATGTGCTGTCAGACGACTTACTTAGCCTGACACTTCGCTTCATCTCGAGCTTGACGGTGCATCAAGAAGAATGTGAAGAAGATGGGGTAGAAATAGGTGATCGGGGTCGAGAATCCAGTGACAAGCGACCACGCAAAGGCCATGATAATATCTCCGACGTAGTTAGGATGGCGGGACAGTCCCCACCATCCTGAGATCAAGAGCTTTGAGCCAGTGGCAGTCTCGATGTACTTAAGCCCTAGTGGGACGTCAATGAAGATAGCTGGGCAAGGAGGGAGGAAGCTGACCTTTAGGATTCTTGCCGTTTCTGAAGTCGTTCTTTTCGCCGTTCGACGAGCGGAAGATCCAATATCCGAGGAAGTTGACACCAAGAACTAGCAGGACACCGGATACTCCAAGCTCCACCTGGTTGAAAACAAGATAGCGAGTTTGGAGTGCGTAGTTGAATGGGACCCAGACCAGGTCGCCGAACGACAGCATGAAGCCAAAGCCGTCCGAGATAATGTCGATGGTAGTGAGGAGGGCAGGCTAGAGAACCTGTCAGCTTCTTGCAGCGAACGCCAGAAAGCAATACCACGTACCTCGTTGTACAAGGCGTCCGCGATGTACCAGATCTGGAAGGCCGATCCGAGCCACATCGAGTCCGTCACTTTCGAAAAGCCTCCTCGGCGCACAGCTTGTTCGCAAATCATGGAAACGTCGATGAGAGCCCAGAGGATCATGCCCGGGCGAAGTTCATTGAAGGACATGATGTCGAAAGAACCGATGGAGGGATTGAGTTCCCTGCCGATGAACCACTAAAAGCCTGTTAGCATCCCGTAGAAGACAGCATAAATAAACCGCAACTTACGTCGTAGATCACATTTCCAGAGTTTCCGCCCAAGGCGAGAAGTTTTCCAGGCATGAAAGACATTCCGTAGACAATAACGGCCTGCACGAAGGACACGACCAAGGCCAGCTCGACCCATTTGTGGTAGATGTAAGTCATCGGTCCAGGACCGTACTTGACGATGGATCCAATGGCGAGAGAAATCGCAACGACGAACGTTCCAAATCCTAAGCAATTTTAGGGTCAGAGGGGACACCTGGTAACAGACAGAGAAGACTTACCGTTCATTTTATATTCCTTCCTCGTCCCATCCCGCAGAAGTGTCCCTTTCACCCACTCTCCAGGGATGACGAACCAACACGCAACGCAAAACGCGTACCACAGAAGGTAGGCGATGGTCGCTTCCGGGTCCCAGAGCGTCTTCCACCGTCCTTCAACCAAGAAGGAAACGATGGATCCAGCATTGAACCGTGGAGCACAGCCCGCCTCTTCCGAACATCCGTAATAAAGCAAGTAGGAAACGGTCGGTGCGATGATCGAGACAGCGAGAGCTCCTGGCGCGCCGAAGATGTCCAGTTCCGTGGTGCGAGGGTTCAGCTCCTCCTTTGACGGCTTGGATGTCCTAGAGGATGTCGTTTTCCCAGAATTAGCCATGATGTCCAAGGAATGTCGACGAATTCGGACACTTACGAGGAGCAGAATCCAGATCGCTTTTATAGGGACTAGTCGTGAAGGGAGAGCCAAGGTCGTATGCTGTGCAATTTAGCATCCTTCGCACAGAAATAATTGGGTAAATCGTATGATCCTGGAGAACGCTGGGAGCGCCCTGCAAGTCTCAAGTCATACGATTCGTTTGTGTTTCCATCATCGACAGAAATCAACCCATTTTCCAGCCGTTGCTGCCGGATTAGACAACACGGGCATTTTAGCGATTCCAAAAATTATACTCTCCCAAGAGAAAAAGCAAAAGTAGCACCATTTGTGGCCACTTGGCTCCTCATTTCGGTGAAGTGACGAAATGATTAAAACACCCAAGTCCTGTCTACAAGCCTCAGGAAATCAGTGATACAGGCGTAATATAAGTCCATAGATACGTACATTTCTTCGACATACACCGTAGTAGCAAGGCTATCATGTTTGCATTCCCCTCTCCAACGCCGGCGTAGGGGCGAAGAACATGAAGAATCGCCGTTTTTCAAGCGCCGGTTGGCAAGACCGCATTTTCGAAGTCGCTCAGAGTACCATACTAGTCACTCACTGTTTTTATTTCAGAACAGTACCCTTTGGGTGGTCGACAGCCTTTCAAGGCTTTGGGAAGCAAACTTGGACATGACATGGGAGATAGAGACGATTGTTGACAAGGTGGCGGTGCTGGGCGCCAATGCCGGATTGCTCCGGATCGCTCGGCGATCAACCCGGGAAATAGGGGTCGAGCCATGGCAAGGAGTGGAGGAGCAGTTCGAGAGGAGTAAACAAAATATCATTCATTAGTATAATCCAGACCTAATTAACTAATTAGACACAGCTAGACATTAGTACAAACGGCCATTTCGTCTACGGGTTCGTTAGATAATCTTAATAATATTCGTTTCCAATCGTGACTCTGTAGCCATGATCATAAGTCAATTACTACAACTTCCTGCACAACTTCCTGCCATAGTCGATGACCTCCCAGTTCTCGGTACCGGGGGTAGTGCGAGCGTAGAAGACTCCCAAGGGGTCCCAGATGGATTTGATTCGCCTCAACCTGTTGTAGTTGGAACCCCAGTAGGCAGTCTGCCAGTTGGGCTCCTGGAGGTTACCCTCGCTGACATACGCGAAGCCGTTCGGACTGGCCGCACGCAAAGGGCCGTCAATGTGGTCAGTCAAGTAACTCTCGGCGGCGAGCCGCTCGTCCCATGTCATGCCGGTGGTGGCATGGTTCATGGTGATAGTGAAGGAGGAGGCCTGGCGGATCGCAGGGTTGACGGCGTTGTCGGCAGATGCGACGCCAACACCTGGACCAACGATGTGTCCAATCATGCCATGGTGGATGATGCTCCGCTTGGCTGCGATAATCTCGTCGGCGTGGTCCTCGATATCCGAACGAGTGAAGACACGGCCGCCGACGATCACGTTAGAGCCAGCCAACTCGTCCTCGAACATCGCAGTGTAGAGGTCGAAGTAGGTGGGGAACTCGAAGATCTGGGACTCGTAGGGGATTCCCAGAGCATTCAGCTCGTCGTAGAATGGCTGCATGATGGCTGCGAGGGCGGAGGCGTTCTTCTGGGGAGCGACGAAGGGCTGGACGCGGAAGAGGGATGGGAAGAGTTCGTAGTAGGCGTACATGCCGTTGTCGACCCAGTAGTTGGCGCGGTTGTGGAAAGTGGAGAAGCCCTGCCAGAAGACCTCCTCGTCAAAGGTGTGGGTCCAGTTGAGGTAGAAGGTGGCACCCGCTGCAGGGGTATCGGGGAAGGTCTTGACGGTGACGGAGATGATGGCGGCGAAGGTCGAAGGTCCTCCACCCTTCAAAGCCCAGAAGAGCTCAGAGTTGTGACGAGAGTTGGCAGTGACGAATCGACCGTCGGCAGTGACGACCTCGAAAGAGAGGACATTGTCCACGGCTAGTGATTCGAATGTGAGCCAGGTCCACTATGTGCGGGGTGAGAGGGAGCTTACCCATTCCGTAGATAGACGAAAGTGGGCCATGGCCACCTCCTTGGATGAATCCACCAGCGAAACCGACAGTCTGTGAGACGTGTTAGTAACTTGAACGAACAAGAACGTAATCACGATGAGCACGTACAGGGCACTCTCCGGTGACAATGGCGACAGGGGGGTTTTGCTGGTTGGCCAACTGCCAGAGTTCACGTCCCTGAACACCCGCACCAATGGTGACAGCACCTCCAGTCCAATCGCCAGGGCCGGTGTAACGATCGGTAAAGGTCACCTCTGCGAAGAGTAGTATGTCAGACCAATCCAATCACAGACGGCTAGAATTGTTAGACGTACCTTTAAGGCTGTGGGTATTAATAGCGAGAGCACCGTAGGCAGAAGACCTTCCCATGAAATCGTGGCCAGTGTTGCGGATGAGGAGCCGGAGGTTGTGCAAGCGCGCAAAGTCGATACCGGCCTTGACGTGGTTCCTGTTCTTCGCCATGATAACATACTCGGGCAAGAAACCGGTGGTACAGGAGCCATTGGGATCATCAGTGGGCATGCAGGTCGTGTTGGTCCAGTAGATCCAGTGGGCAGCGATGGGGCGGCTGGAACTGGATACATAAGGGGTCGTCGTATCAGGACGTGCAAAAAACACGACAAGTAGCAATCAAGACTTACACCCAGTCCTCGTTAGTCCAGCCCTGCTGCACATCGGCGCAGGCGGCAGCATCGTACAGGTTCTGGCCCTCGTAGTTGTTGTAGCAGACAGCAGCGTCGGGGACGACAACTTGAAGATTGCCATCGACAGCGGCATTCAGGAGGCCCCATCGGATCTGGGATGGCCAGCAGAGCTCGCCGGGGTAGCACTTGCAGCTGTAGTGGGCGCCCTGCCAATAGGTAACGTCGAGATAGCCAATCGATGCTAGGGTGGCAGGGGCCGCGGCAGCGAACGTCAAGTTTGCAGCTACCTCGGAGGGTACGGGATCCTCATCATCTGCTGGTGCAGAGGCGGAAGGCGAAGGCGATGCAACTGGCAATTCCTCTGATGCTGAGACGTCGACTGTGACACTGGTGGTATCTTCGACTTCAGCCTGAGGAAGAGCAGCGACCGATTGGATGAACAAAAGCGCGGACGCCAGTCGGAGGAAAGTCGTCGTGAGTGCCATGGTCGGCAAGAAGGGGGGAGAGGTCGAGGGGAGGGCAAGGGGAGGGACCTGGCGATGGCCAAACGGCAGATCGGTTGGCTTTTATATCCAGAGTCCCTCCACGGTTATCTGGCAATTTCGAATTTCGCCCTTTTCACAAGTAGCCACATCAAAACTAGTGGTGTCGGTTGATCATGCTCCGCTGGGTGATCGCAAACCAAAAAAGCTGCGATGAGTCCTTGGAGTTAGATAACGTTGGGCGACTCCTTAAGTTGTGCTGGCGGTCGAGGACGAGTAGGTTGACTTTTTGCTTCAGCGTTTGACTGCACGGTAAGCTGAAGGCTGCTCCAGGGGTGCTCGATGGCTTCCTTGCACCCCTATGTCCCAGTCCAGGCGCCCGTCTGCCCAGCTGCCAACCCCTTCGACTGGCGCCACTCGAGGTTCGCGATCCCTCTTCAACAACCCCTTCATGATTTCCCCGGACTTGTGGCCCGCGGAGGCTGTAGGATAATTAAACGCCGGGGCCACGTGTGAACGAAGACATCAGAGGAATTACTCAAATCGGCGACGCAAATCCTGGGCGCTTGAGTCTCGGGAATGCAATCCTTCCCTCGAGTTGGCTGATAAACCAATCCTATCGTCCGATTTTCCCCTCCCAAGGACCCAAGGAGTCTCAAGAACGGGTCTAGGACTCCAAGCCTATCGCGCCAAGGATTTCTATCGAGGCTTTTAAATCCACTCACTTTTACTGGAGTGAAGAAATGCAAGGGCCAAGGCACAGCGCGTCGATGGGCATCAAAGCGTGATTTTGGGGCCTCGAGGATGTGCAAAGATCCCTTTCCAATTGCTGGAAATCCATATACGCTTTCCTGAATAGCCCTTCTCCCGACCAAAATACAAGGAGCACCAAACGCTCGTCGATTGCTGTTGATGTTCCGAGCCAGAATGGATCGGGTTCATTTGTACAGCACCATCAGCGACCCTCCCACCGGCCCTCGGCCCTCTCCCCGGAGTTGACCCCGTAGCATCACTGCGCCTGTCGCCATGCCCGCCCCCCCAACCGGCGTTATTTTTTAAATCGTGCGTCGCCGTGCCTCATCGCCTTCGCCCCCGTTTTTTTTTTCCCTTTCTGCCCGCCTTTGTCTCTTTTCTCCTGTCCGTGCCCTTCCGAGCCAGGATGGATCGGGTTCATTCAGACAGTTCAGACAGCAGCATCAACCTACGTTCGACCGGCACTCGGTGATCGAATCTCCGAAGTTACTTGTTTTGGTATAAATCTCCGGGAGCCATCCCTCCAAGCGCTACTCAATGGATTTGCGAGTGATGGCATTGAGGGTAAATAATCCTTAGAACGAGCCTATCGCAGAGGCCAGACGGAATATAAGCAAACAGCGGCTTGCACAGTGCGCATGAGCAATGCAGCGCAGTGCTGGTAAGCCCTTCTGAGATATTTCATTTCCTTCCTGTAGCTCACTGACAGTTGCCGGTCTCTGATCCAACGCTCTCAGCGGCTTGCGCAGTGCGCGTGAGGCGTAGTAGATCTGGTGCGGGCCATTCTGGCTCGGAAACACGGCGCCTGGCGGCCGCTTCCCACAAGTCAATTCGAACGGTGGTGCAGCCATGACGAAGGTGGCGGCCGTGTGTTCGATCAATCAGTAAACACCATTTCCGGCCCTGCATACGAGACCAGGTTCGGACAACTTGCGAAGCCTTCAAGTCTGGTTAGTAATGTCCAAAGGCAACTCTGAATAATATCACATTACGGACTCGGAACGAAGGCTAGAGTCACCCTACCGCCAACAACTTCAAGGCACCAGGAGCTACCGGGAGCTACCGTGGACGCAGCAAATCATGGGTACCTGAGGACTCTGGGAACTCCCTCAAGCTCTCCATTGCTCTCCGATCTTCCGCTTTGCCCTGTGCCTGGCAACGCATGTGCGCTACAGCTCCAAGTTGTCCAGATGAGAGTGCTCCACCCGAACCGCCCGAAACTCGTGGGTGCTTAAACATAGGGGCATACGGCATGTACTAGTGACCCAAATACATCGCAGAAGTTACAAAACAAAAGAGAAATTACATACCCGCCTGAGGCCTAATGAAGCCAAGTGATTCTGTACAACATAACCGTTTATATTCAATATGGCTTTATCATTCGACGACAGTGCACCGTCTGCTACACAGTATTCCAACTCTCGCAGTGGAAGATCTACAACCTATACGCCCGACCGCCATTCAACACGCCATCCGGTCCATACGTCGCCTGCTTGTACGCAACAAGCGGCGGAAGAACATGTTCATAAACATGGACAATCCACTACAATTCCATCGCCATCAGCACACCATTCACCACCCCAAAATCCCCCCCCCCCAAAAAAAAAAAAAAAATAAAAAAAATAAAAATAACACACGACGCACCTCACAAACCAAACGCCTCGTATCCCTAGGATCAACAATCTCCTCAATCCCAAACTGGTTCGCAGTCCTCATCGGACTCCTCACATCCTCAAACTTGCCCAACAACTCCTCCATCATCCTCTCCCTCGCCTCCGGCGATCCAGCATTCTCAAGCTGGCGTTTATACGCCGCCTCGATACCGCCTTCGAGGGGGAGGCTGCCCCAATCGCCCGAGGGCCAGGCGACGCGCACGCCGCGCCCGTCTTCGGGGTCGGCAAAGGCGCACCCGGCGACCCCAAACGCGCGCCGGATTATGGTGGTGTAGATGGGGATTGTGGCGTGGTAGAGGGCGACCATGGTGGCGGCGCCGTGTTTGATTGTCGCGTTTCGCTCTGCTTGGGAGCCTGGAGAGGTTGATTAGTTCAAGTTGCAGTAGGGAGGGGTGAGGAGTGGAGGAGCTTACCGATGGCGAAGCCTGGTTGGTCTACCAAGTTCAGGATGGGAACACTACAGTTTTGTTTAAGTATGTAAACGAGAGGGAAACAGAGCAGTACGTACCCAAAGTGGTTGCAAAGGTTGACGAACTTGGTGGTCTTCTGGCTGCCCAATGCGTCGATCGCACCTGCCCAATTATTAAGTATCTGGTAGCCCAGGCAGAAGAAACACGAGGACAGACCTCCGTTGACTTTACAATCACTCGACAACACTCCAACAGGTCTCCCAGCAAGCCTCGCAAACCCAGTAACAATACTCCTCCCCCAATGCTCCCCAATCTCAAAGAACGTACTCTCACCACCCTCCAAACGATCCACAATCAAATGAATAACCCGTCGAATATCATACGGCCTCGCCCGTCTCCTCGGGATAATATTCAACAATTCTTCTTCCCTTCTATCCACTGGGTCAGTGGAATGCAGGACGGGAGGTAGCGATAGGACGGAGGAAGGCAGGTAGGAGAGGAAAGCCCGAATTTGTCTGAAGGCGTCCGCTTCGGAGGAGGCGACGTTGTCGACTGTGCCGTTCCGTGCGTGGATCTCCCACCCGCCTAGCTCCTCCTTGGAGAGGTCTTCGAAGGTTGCTTGTTTGACGACTGGGGGCCCGGCTGCGAAGAGTTGGCTGAGGTCTTTGACCATGACGCTGTGGGATGGTTAGGGTGTGTGCCGAGGAGGGTTGGAGTGAAAGTCACCTGAAGTGGCCTAGGCAGGCTTTGGCGGAGGCTAGTCCGACTACGGGGCCAAGTAGAGCTGAGACGACGGGGACGACTGAGAGAGCCTCGATTGTTCTTGACAGGATGTTCATTTGGGGGATGTAAGTCGCGCCCATTGTTAGATCTAGGCTGAGGGTGAGGACACGGTTTCAGCCTTTGGGAATAGGTAAGCCCTTACACAATGCAACGCTTCCTCCTCCGCTTGAGCCGTCAAGGAGTCGAATCTGTCATCGTTCAGCAAAGGGTTGAGTGGTGGGGAGAGGCGGATAGTTGGTTACCAAGGGTACTCTAGCTCTCCGGGCAAGGACCTTGGAAGCCAAGTAAGCCTATTGCACGCAGAGATATTGGACGAAGAGACAAACCTCTCCATAAATCGGCTTGTTCATAATCCCGCCATCCGCATGTCCACCTCTCACACTAAAGTCATCAGCAGTAACGAAGACTTTCCGACCATCCACTTTTCCCCAACCAGTAACATTATTCCTATTCCACACCCCATTAGCAATGTCATTTCTCAAAGACAATGCCAGGAGACGTACGCGGGTGTAAACGAAACCAATTCCCCAGTCTTGGGATCCACGATCGGTTTCCCAGAGATAGAGCCCACTTCCGCGAAAGAGTCTTTATCGAGGATGCCGTCGATACGTTCGCGAACCCAGAGTTTCTTGTTGGCTTTCTGGCGGATGTAGCCTGGATCTTTGAGGTTCGGAGAGCGTACCAAAGCTTGCTGGGCTTTGAGTTGGGATAGAGGGTACTGTGAACGGAAACGCAAACTTATCATTAGCATTTTGGAACCTTGGTATTCAATTCATGGACCTACGCACTTCCCAACTCTCCTTGTCGTCCACAACGCGTTTGGCGGGTTTGCTGCTGGACGAGTCTGAAGGCATCTTGTCCTCTGATGGTCGATGTCCGAGTCGTTGGGAGTACCTCGAGTGCAAGATAGCGCGACGTTCAGGAACACTCTTCAACGGTCAACGTAAATGACACAAAAAGCCAAACGTTTGAACGGTAAAGCGGTAAATGGGAATCCATTTCCCCAGATTTCCCCTGAAACTCGGCTTTCATGACACCCGGATACCGACAGGGGTCTTTTCAAGAACGCCTGTCACTGTTAACGTGAATACCACCCGGGAAGGCTTCAATCTCCTGAGTCTGTCTTCCTCTTTACAGAGATTCAGAATGCCAAAAGTCCTCGTCGCAAACCGTGGTGAAAGTAAGTCCTTCTATATGTCGTGGTCGTCGCGGTCGATGGTCAAGCTCGCGGTGCCTTGATCGCCGCGAGACCAAATCCTCTCGCGCATTCAAGCCGGAATCCGAATCATTTGGACTTGTTCACTGACCACCACACACACATACACAATGCACAGTCGCCATCCGGATTCTCCGTTCTGCAATCGAACTAGGATGGGACACAGTCGCTGTATACACTGAAGGAGACGCGAACCATGCCAGCTACGCTCAAGAATCCGTCAAACTCGAGGGAGCATCCGACTTTTTGAACGTTGCCGCCATCGCTAAAGTTGCTCAAGAGTGCGTTTTTAAATTTCTTACCCTTCATTCCAACTATCGCTATTATCCAATATTCTAATGACAATTGTTTAAATAAAGGACTAAATGCACCCACGTCCACCCTGGCTATGGATTCCTGAGCGAGAACCCGAGTTTACCAGAAGCACTCGCATCTCTGAGTCCACCGGTCGTCTTTATCGGTCCTTCGAAGGAGGCGCTGCGTCTCGCGGGCGATAAGATGCTCTCTAGAGAACTCTCCACTTCGCTAGGTGTGCAAATTGCGCCTGGGACACACGTCAAATCCGCTGCAGACGTACTGGGCTTTGGGAAGGAAATTGGGTATCCGGTTATGATTAAAGCCCTGGATGGAGGCGGAGGACGCGGAATTCGAGTTGTAAACTCGGAGACTGAAGTCGAGGAAGCTTTCAAACGGTATATTAAATCCCACTCCTCCTTTCCATCACACACTTACACTAAAGAACCACCGCGAATAGGTGTCTGGGAGAAAGCCCCTCCAAACAAGTCTTCGCCGAAAAGGCGCTTACGGGTCCAGGCTGGAAACACATCGAGGTCCAAATCATCGGCGACGGCACCGGAAGCGTGAACCACCTCTGGGAGCGAGAGTGCAGTGTGCAGAGGCGGTTCCAGAAGGTGGTTGAGGTCGCCCCGTCGCGGTTGAGTCGGGCGATGGTCCAGCCGTTGCTCGATGCTTCGATTACGATCGCCCGACACCTCAAGTACCACGGTTTGGGCACCTTTGAGTACCTCGTCGACGCGAAGACGGGGAATTGGGTGTTCTTGGAGATTAACCCCCGCGTTCAGGTCGAGCATACCATCACTGGTTCGTTCACAATTCCTCCTTCCCTCCCAGATTCGTATTGACCTTTGTAACAGAGGAAGTAAATGACGTCGACCTCGTCCGCGCCCAACTACAACTATTCACCAACAAAACCCTGAAGGACCTTAACCTAGACCAACCCTTCCCCGCTCCTCAATCCAGCGCGATCCAGCTCCGTCTAACAGCCGAAGACCCTCTCAAATCCTTCCAACTCTCACCTGGTACAATCCGTCCATCCGACGTAATCTGGCCAGCCGGCCGCGGCATCCGCATCGACACCTGGTTATCCAACGGTCCCTATGCAGGCTCCACCGAGTGGATTGTAGGAACCGAATTCGATTCCTTATTAGCGAAGATCATCGTACGCGCGTCGAGCTTCGAAGAGATGAACCAGAAGGCTTTGAGAGCACTGGCCGAGTTTAGTGTCGGAAGCACCGTGCAGACCAACCTACCCGTTCTCGCAGGCGTCGTCGCCCATCCCGACTGGAACTCTGGAAACATCGATACCCTCTGGCTAGAACGGAATTTACAACAAGTCCTCGACCTCGGTGCCAAATCCACCGCACGGACACGCTCAACCGCCATCCAATCTTCAACCACCTCAAACTCCACTTCCACCGGAGGACAAGCCACAGCCTTCCTCCAACCAGGCGCCCTCTTCCACCTCACCCTCTCACCCACACCCTCCTCAGGCACGCCAGGCCCCACAACCAAACACACCCTAACCCTCTCCTCAATCGGCCAAAACGCCTTCCCCGACGCGCTCTCAGGGACACTCCAAACCTCTCTCACGCCTACACCCTTTGCGTTTAGTCTGGCGCAATCGTCGTCGGCGGCGGTGGACGCTGGGTCGTTCGAGTTGGCGGACCCTAATAACCCTGCGCATGTGGGCACCCCGTTGACTGGTAAGATTGTAGAGCTGCATCCTGCCTTGGTGGATGCTTCCAAAACCGCGGACGACACAGGTGGGGATGGGGATGTTGGAAAGAGGAGAGTGAGGAAGGGCGAGACGGTTCTCGTCCTCAGCGTGATGAAGATGGAGAACTCGATTGTGGCTCCGTTTGATGGGTATATTTCGAAAGTTGGCAAGGGGATTAGGGTGGGCGTCGTCGTTGGGGAGGGCGTGTTGGTTTGTGTTGTGGATGATGGGAAGGGGTCGGGGAGTAGGCTTTAAGGCGCTTGGTGTGGGCGCTTAACGTCTTTTCCGGACGTCCTGTCTATTAATAAGACTGGCAATTTTAAACGTAAACCGATAAAATTGATTTCGAGTACTTGGTCGAAGTGAGTCGCGACTACCTGTAGACTTCCCCTCGAAAAGCACCCTGTAAAATGGGATTTTCACTGTAGCTGCACCATGCTAAGCTGTCGCTCCCCATTTTGCTTCCAACACTCGTGAAACGCGAACAAATCAACGAAACCAGATTCAAGATTTGAGCAAACTCTGCCTTTAAACATTAACTCGAATGATAAATTACCACCAAACCCAAGTCCATAGAAACACGAATTCAAACAACGTCACGCCCCACCTCTACTCGCACTTATCCGCATCATCCACCGCACACACTTTAGCCCCCTTGGCAAGCCTCTTCGCCCTCGCATAAATCCCCACCTCCTTATCCCTAATAAAATTAACAATAACCATCGGCCACGACGGATGCGACGGGATCGTATCATAAAACTCTGGCGCAAGCTTCCTAAGAGCCGGCAACCTCGTCCACGGAATCGACGGGAAATCATGGTGTTCATTATGATACCCCACGTTATAAGCGAGGATGTTGAGGGGGCCGTAGTAGCTGTACGTCTCCTGCTCGAGGCCGTCCCAGAGGTAGTGCTCCGCGATAAAGTGGCCGGCGCAGGGGTGCAGGCTGCCCGCGAAGAAGGAGGACATGATGAGGTAGATGAGGGGTTTGAGACCGAAGAGGGAGACGAGGGCGTAGTCGAAGATGAGCTGCGCAAGGATGTTGAGGCCGTGCCATTTTGTGAGCTTTTGTGCTCGGATGAAGGTTGGGCGGAGGGCGTAGAAGAGGATTTGGAATGTTCTATGTGACGGTTGTCGTCGGTAAGTCAACACCCGTTGTACCCAACAGAGTAGAGAAGAAGGACGCACGCAAAGAACACCTTCCCCAACACATTATTCAACAACATCAACTCGACCTTGGTCGGTAAATCCGTATCAATCCCATCCTGTCCCATAAATTTATGGTGTTCAATATGATACCCCTTGAACGCCGCCGAATACGGTATCCCAATAGGCAGGTTGGCAAAGATGGCGAGGAGCTTGTTGGGGGCGATACCCTTGAACGCGAGGTTGTGCGTAATCTCGTGGATGGCGAGGAAGAGGTTGTGGTTCGCGGTGCCGCCGATGGCGTAGGCCGTCAGGAGGAACCATGGCGAGAGCGGGGAGGTGTTGCGCAGGGCGATGGCGCACGCGAGTTGGAGGGATACGACGCCCAGGACGACCCACTTGGTGAGCGGCTCGTGGCCCATTAGTTTTGTTACCTGGTCACATAAGAAGTTTAGTATATTCCTTCTGAGGTGCGGGGTTGGATGGGGTCACACACCTCGGGGTGAGCTTTCATAATCGCCATGCGCCGACTTCGATGCGGCTCCTCCGTCATAAGCCACAAGAAATCCTTAGGATCCATAGGCGGCTTCGTATGCGCATACACATCAGGATTAGATCCCTCCTTCGCCGCAAACGTCCTGCGCGGCGCACGACCATCCCATGTCTGTCCAGTCAGCGTTCGACCCTCATCGAGGGATTCCGCGCCTCCAAATAGGCTGTAATCTAGAGTACAACACCATACAGTTAGTTTATATTGCAGAAGGAGATGGAAATGGGGGGAAACGCACCGACAGCCATGGTGGACGACAGAGAGAGTGGTAGGTAAGACGGTAACCTGCGCTGGCGACTCACGATATCGAGGAAACGTCCCACTTTATTTGTCACTGATCGCGGCCCCTAAATGGGGGTACACCGCGCTGCGGACGCAAAATGGCAAACGTTCGCTCGTGGCTTTCATCGAGGTCCAGAGAGCTCTAGCTGCGAGGTATCCAGATTGTCCAACGTAAAACCAACCAGGCTAGATGCAAGCAGGCGAATCCAGTCTATTCAATTACTCGTTTCATCCACCACACTACGATAAAAAAAAGTAAACTAAAAGGCGTTCGAGATCGTCACAAAGTCAAGGAGTCGTTGAAAGAGGGAACAGTCGAAAGGGAAGAAAAGAATAATCCAAGCTACACGAAACAATCCGGTTCTACTTTCATCGAGGTAGCAGTGTCTAATAATGGTCACCACCCACCCCACTCTTATTTACTTTACTTTATACGTTAGTCGTTCAGTATAATCAAATCAGTACGCGAAACGAAAGAGGGAGATTACAATCTTACAAACATTCGATATATGTAGAGAGTACGTACGAGGGAGGGTGATACATAAATAAAAGATCCAATAAAAGTGGGCAGAAAAAGACTCGGAGAGAGCAGGAAATTCGAAAGGAAGGTCATAGCATAACAGGGAAGGGAGAGACAGCGCGGAGCAGTAGCCGAGACCGGGGGTACGCAACGCATGAAGCATCTACGCCAAAGGCGTAACACTCCTCCCCCTCCTCTCAGTATCCACGATCAAATCAACAACCTTATCCCTCGCATCCTCCATCGAACCCTCCTTATCCCCATCCTCAAACACCCGACTACCCAACGCCTTCCTCAACGAAAGCAGCGCCCCTCCTCCTCCTCCCACACTTCCATCCTTGGCAACTCGCCCAGTAGGACTAGGCGGCGGACTAATCAAAAGCGACGAAACAGTCGGCGTCGTCGTCCCACTAAACAACTTGCGGTACAGCACAAGGGCAGTAAGAAGCGACTGGATCTCTCCTTCAATTCCATTCTCACTCGATTCGTCTTCCGTTGGAGAGGACGAGGGAGAGGGAGAGGAGAAAGGCAGATCCTCCACGTCGACTAGGGAACTCGACTTCCACACCCTCTCAAGCGTCCGCCCGAGCTGCTCAATCCACCCTCCAAGCTCCTTCGCAGCTTCAACCGTCCTCCGAACCTCAACTTCAAACTTCTTGCCCTCCTCTTCTTGATCCCTCCCATCCTCCTTCTCGGCAACAACCACAACCTCGTCTTGCAACAAACTAACAGCCTCGACGAACAGCACACCCAAATGCTGCTTCACCCTCTGCTTCACGAGGACAGCGCCCAAAACGCCAATAGGCTCGAGAGGGGTTTCGCCGTTCGTTTTATCCCGCTCCGAAGCGTCTTCGAGAGTCTTGACAGCCTCTTCGAGCGTGAACGACTCGAACACGAGTTTCTCGACGGTCTTGGCAGGAGGGGTGAGTGAACGCTTGGTATGGAGGAGCGTGGACTGCGTTTTAGCGGTGTTCCAGAGGGAGTGGGCTTTGAAGCGCGAGAGGAGGGAGAGAGGGCCACCGGAGGTATGGATGGCGAGGGAGAGGGAGGTAAGTTGGGAGATCGTAGCTGTCTTGGACGAGAGAGCGTGGTACATCCCTGCTAGGGAGATCGTTGAGAGTGAACCAGTTTCTCCTGCACACAAAACATTAGAACATAGTCGAGGCCAATAAATGGATAGCACATACCCTTGAGAACAGCTTCGTTACAGACTTGGGTCCAATTAACCGCCTCAGGCTTCTTACTCTCCTCCCGCTTCTTCCTCAACGTCAAACCCAACCAACTCCACAAAAACGTTCCCAGTACCAAAACCGACACAGCAAGGTGGAGAACCTGGAAGTAATCCTTCCACGCCCACCCCATCTGCAAGAACCTCGACGAGCTTTCTGCAGGAGCGGGCGGTACGAGCTGCGACACGATCTCCGGAGCAAGCGCAAGTGGAGGTGTCAACACCATACCACTATGCTGACTGCTCCCTTGCGAAGTGTATTGAGAGGTGATGGGCGAGTTGAAGAACGAGAACAAGGCAAACACGGCGAGCATGTATTGCGGCGCTTGGCCTTGAGGTTGGACATTGGGAGGGAGCATTACTTGGTCAGGTTGGGCTTGCTGCTGCTGTTGATGCTGTTGCTGAAGCTGAAGCTGATGTTGCTGCTGCTGGAATTGTTGTTGGTGCAGGGCAGCCGCTTGTTGGTGCGGCATATGGGGAGCGAGGGTAGCCACCGGGATAGGAGGGGGTTGGACTTTCCTCGGGCGTCCGCGCTTCCTCTTCTCTGGAACCGCGGGGCCGCCTGGGACACCTAACTCGGCGGGGAGGACGGGTGCGACGGCAGGAGGCGCAGGCTTCCTCTCTGCGGGCTTCTTCGCCGGGGCGGAAGTCTTGGCGCGCTTCCTCTTCCTGCCCACTTCATCATCCTCATCACCCTCCTCGTCATCACTATCCTCCTCCTCCGCGTCCTCTCCCTCCACTTCATCCTTCTCCTCACCGCCAAACTGCTCTCTCCACCGCTGCTCCCACTCCTTGAGGAGCGCAGGTCCCCCAACGAGACCGCACACCAAGGCTTTCAACCCATTTTGCTCAGCCTTGAGCCGCATCTCACGCTTCTTGAGCACGCGGATGTACTCGACGGCTTTACCGAGGACGTTCGCCTTGCTGCACTTGCGTGCGACCTTGACGCCGTCCACGAACCCGCGTTCGTCAATGACATCGACCGTGGTGCCGTCCTCGGTGTCGATACCGATTCCTGCGCCCTTGAGGTAAACGCCGTCCTTTAGATTCTTCTTGATTTTCTTTCCGTTACCGCCGTCGCGGTCTTCGAGGACGCGGAGGGCGGGGACAGCCATGCGCAGGGACTGGATGCGGGCGTTGAGGTTGGTGCGGTAGCGGCGTTCGATGGTGGTGTGGGAGGTCTTGGGTCGGGTGCCCGTAGTTGAGGTAGCGGAGGCGAGAGGGGGCATGGCGTTGGTCGGCGTGGATAGTGAGCTAGATGAAGACGATGAAGAGGCGGTGGAGATGGGTTTGGCGTCGATGGTGAGCTTGTTGGGGAGTGCCTGGGACATGGGCGGGGTTGCTGGTGGGGGTGTTGACGCTGCCGATGAGCTGGAGGAGATGGGGGAGCGAGGGGTGGAGCGAGGCATTCGGGGTAGTGAAGGTTTATTCTGGGCTGTACCGATGATAAGCGAAAGGTTATTTAGATTAGACTTTTTGTATACTTACCAGCCATGGCGATTGATTGAGCGAGGACCTGGCTCGAGAGGTCGGCCGACATGGGAACGGCGAGCATGACGCCCGCGCTCTGGCGGACTGCTTCTGCAATCTCTGCAGCGGGGTCCAAGGGCTTGGAAGCTGGCGAGCCCTTGGGTTCGGCCTTGACCGAGGGCGGGGATGGCGCATCGCTGCTCGCGTAGCTGGTTGACGACGACGGACTGGCGAGGGACTCGAGTACGGGGGACAACGAAACTCCGGATGACGATGATGACGACGCGACACTGAGCCTGCGTTCTTTATTTGGCGACTCTGGGGGCGACAATGACGGAGCTGACGAGGAGAAGCTGCTGTCACTGGCGTTGAGGGCGGCTTGGAAGGTGAATGAGAACTGGGGTGGAATCATCTCTGCTGAGACGTTCTGGAATGCCTGGGCTTCCTCGTACGAGAAATGGATGCTTGGGTTGAATGAGTTGAGGCTACCCGGTTCTAGCGCCATTGCTGGGTTGAAGTCCATATCCATTGGGAGCGTATTAAGCTCTGAAAAGTCCATGAGATCCGGGTATGGCTTGAGGGAGCCAACACCAGAGTCTGTGCCGTCCCACAGCGAGCTCAGCTGTGCCCAGTCTGGGGGGCTGGCGCCGTCGTTCTGGGAAACCCCCGATTCCTCCATATTCGAGTCTGTGTTTTGTGAATTGTGGAGAAGAAGGTTGAGGGGATCTGAAGGGTCCAACCCAAGATCTGTCGACATTTTCCTGGGGGCAAATAAGACGTTCAGAAGGCGTCCGACAGCGACTTGAGGCGACTCTTGTGAAACGACGGCGCTGAGGAGATTGTGGTGGTTGAGGAAAAAGAGGCGCAGATGGGGCAAACGCTATGCACGACCCAATCTCAATTCTCGGACGACTTTGCGGAGAATCAGGCGATGCTGCAATTTCGGACACCGCATTCGGCGATCACAGTGCAACAGCCACCGTCCATTCCACAAGCCAACGTAGCACAATGGTAGTGCGTTGCTTTCCTATCCTTGGGTTAAGCGCCCAAAAAGAGGCAGAGGCTGTGGGTTCGAGTCCCATCGTTGGTTTTTCTTTTTTCATCCCTCTGTGTGTATTTGAGACATGTTTCTTGCACTAAGTCGTTCTCTTCGTTCTGTAAGGTCTGGCAATACTCGGCCAACCATTTTGGCCCAGGCAGAAAAGGCATGGTGGCGATCATTTAAAGTTACAATTCCCGAGAACGTGTCGGATTTGAGTGCACACCATGGCCATGAGAGCTTGCCTCTCATGTCACGATGGACCTCGCGCTTGTGCATGAAATCGGGGGAAGGAACGGACGCGACGTGTTGAACGCATTGATCATAGTGTTCCAAAGAATTGGTGTGCTCCTTGCATTTGGAGCAGCTGTCACTCGGATGGTTAGCATGAACGAAAGCATTGGCAATGGTATGCGACGTGCGCAGCAATTATTTGTCGAAACAAGGCAGGCAGGCAGGAGGTGGGGGGATGAAAAGTGGGGGAGATGGGAAGAGCATGTCAGATTGGAAGAACATGTCGAGAAATGGACGGTTTATATATCCCAGCTTCAAGAGGGCGAGTCCCGTCATCCATCCTCGTCGGGTGCAGGGTCCAGTCGGTTCAATGGCCCTAGTCCCGTCGTCGACATGGTGGGGATGGATCGACATGAGTTGGAGTCCTGGGGGGCTACAAGGATTGAACCCACCCAACAGTCCGAGGTTGCAGTTTAAGCGCCCACGAGTAAGCTCTCCGAGAGATCGTGATGCCATCATTCCATCGGCCGGAACAGGAATCGGCTGCATCGGGTTCGGATTCCATGGTTTTGTCGTTCTCGCCTTGATTCAGATCTCCCCAGCACCCCTTATCGCCATTCTAATTAGCATCACAATAGAAGAAGCATGTGGTGGGAGACAGACGGGTCTCAGTTGTTCCTTGAACCTTGTGGTTCCGTCGTGGTGCGGAGTGGGACTCGGGAGTGCTCGCTGTCAAGGGTGTATTTCACCCATTTTATCCTGCGTCCCCCAACTTGAACCCGAATATCTTGCTTGATTTCGTATACGACGTTCACTTTGGGCTTGAAGATGTCTGGAGGCAAGTCTATCATTGTTTTAGGCGCCGGTGAGTACCTAGTACCTGCTTCGATAGGAATTCGACGTTTACGGCTGAATTAGGGGTTATCGGGCTGACCACGGCCTTGAAGATCCAGGAGCAGGAGGGCTATCAGGTTACGATTGTAGCTGAAATCTTTCCTACCGATCCAAAGTCTATCAAATATACCAGTCAGTGGGCGGTGAGTAGTGGCTCCAGCGATTGACTGCACTGTCGATTAACGAAAGGTCGTCCATCTGCTATTAGGGGGCCCATCATGTGAGCTTTGCATCTTTGGATGACCCTCGCCATGGTACGGATCCTTTCAATCCAGAAGACCCATGCTCGGAAGCTGAGGGATGCGAGTAGCTCTCGACGTGCAGACGTTCCACGAAATGTGGAAGCTTTCTGAAGCCGGAGAAGCTGAAGGTTGCTTTATGAGACTCCAACAAACCGAATACTTTGGGTACCCCAGGTCCGATCCCAGTCCTCTCCAGCACATGCCCGAGGTATGTACAATTTCCTGCGCTGCTTTAATGACGCAATCTGAATGTGAATTGGCACACATAGTTCCGCAAGCTCTCGAAAGAGGAACTCATCGAAGGCGCTCAAGGTGGTGAAACTTTCCAAACCATCACAATCGACACCCCTCTCTACCTCAACTACCTCCTCACCAAGTTCCTCTCCCGTGGCGGCAAGATCGTCCGAGGTTCTGTCCAACACCTCTCCCAGCTCGCCGAGAACGGTGTGACGCCCTTCCTCGAAGCTTTCCAACGCAAATACCGAGATGCTACACCCACACCCCCCGACGCCATCGTCGTATGCGTCGGGCTCGCGGCTAGACATTTGGGTGGTGTGGAGGACCATGACATGTACCCGATTCGAGGACAGACGGTGCTGGTTAGGGCCCCGTGGATCAAGTTTGGGAGGACATGGAGTCAGGACAAGACGTGGACATACGTTATTCCAAGGAGGAGTGGGGATGTGATTTTGGGTGGGACGTTGGGTGAGGACGATTGGTACCCTACACCTCGTCCGGAGACGACGCGTGATATCCTCGAACGTACTTTGAAGTTGTGCCCGGAGCTCGTGCCTCCTAATCTTCGGAAGGGGGAGGTACCGACGGTTGAGGAGCTTCTGCCTCTGGTCGTCGAGGAAGGCTGTGGGTTCAGGCCAGGGAGGAAGGGTGGCTTGCGGATCGAGGCAACTGAGATTAAGACGTCGCCTTCCAGTGACAAGAAGATTCCTGTCATCCACAACTACGGGTAAGCAATCGCGTCCTCCCTGTGTTTTGCTGCAGTTCTCATCCCCCCACTTTAGACATGCTGGATCAGGTTACATTGCGTCTTTCGGATCTGCAGCCAAGGTCGTTGAACTCTTGAACAAGGCCCTTGGTCGAGTCTAGACCTAAACACAACCTCCCATGTCGGGGGTATACTTCGAGCAGCAAAGACTATTCAAATTCAGGCCGTGCTACATAATACAAGTTTGAACGAAGAAAAGAAAAGGGGCTCGCTCGATGATTAACTACAAGGCGGGTAATACGCGTGTATTATATTTATTTTTCAAACCAATCACTGGCACCCGGGGATACCCAAAGCATTAGCATTGGTAGGACCAAGACCAACCCAGCCTCTCATCGCGTTGATGATGCTGATATCACGGTGAGGTCTGGTATATTTACCGGGCTGCATCGTGTATCCACAGGCATTGGCAACGTAGGCAGTGTCCTTGGGCACACCCTTGCATCCGTTGATGTTCTGGTTACCGGTGTAGTGGAGAGAGCAGTCACTCAAGCCGTCGGGGAAGCCAGAGCCGCCGTTGGGCATGAACATGTAGGAGGAGAGGATGAGTTTGATGTGCCAGTCGTTGTCACGGCGGGCGAAGAGGTTGACCTCGAAGTTGCGGTGAGCGGCGACGTTCTTCTCCTTGATGAGGACAGAGCCCTTGTCGGCCATGTCACGAGAGGAGGAACCCTGCAGACCGTCCGTCAGTACATCCCTCTCGATTGACGATGAACGGTTGACTTACGTCGTTCTGCTGGTCGTGGTCGTCGTTCTGGATGGCAAATCGGGAAGGAGGAAGGATCCAATGACCGCAGATGGGCATCTCCTTGGGATAGTCTAATGGACATCGGTGAGCTCGAATTCACATTCCAAGGGAAATAATGCTTACCTGAACTCCAGATCTTAACCTTCTGGATGTCTTCGTTGCTGAGACCAGCGGCCCTCATCTTGTTGTCAAAGTTGGTGTACCAGCTCCATTCACCTCCGCTGCAAGCCATGAGCGCAGCTTCACCACCGATGATGACTTCCATCCAGGTGATGAAATCATCAGGGAGCGAACCGCCCATCTTGTTCTTGAGCCTGGCGAGAATCTGAGCCATGTCTTGAGGGCCAATATGCTTAGCAGCATCGACACGGAAGCCAGAGAAGCCGATGGAGAGGAGGTCGGTGAGGTAGGTGGCGATTCGGTCCTGGACGTAGGGCTTGGAGGTATTGAGGTCGGTGAGGCCGACGAGCCAGCCCTTGGTGACAACGATGCCATCAGTCCAGCTGTTGAGGGAGCGCTCGCAGTGGAAGTCGGTGGGACCGTAGGGGACAGCGGGGAACTCGAGGGTGGGACGAGTGCCGGTGAAGGGGTTGATGAGGAAGGTGTTGCCAGAGGTGTAATAGGGAGAGTTTTCCGTCGCGTTGTGTCCGCTGTACAGTTCGCAGTTGCCGACGCGGTGGTTCTGGATATCTGTTTCAAAGGGAATGAGACTGATGCGATATAAGTTTAGGTGGTAAGCGTACCAGTTCCTTGGCCGGACATGTGGTTGATGACAGCGTCGGCGTAGACTCGAACACCAGCACGACGGCAGGAGTTAATCATGTTGCGAAGCTCTTCACGAGTACCCATGCGGCTCTGCAGGCGGTATGAGACAGGTTGGTAACTGCGAAGGACCGGGTTAGCGAGGCACTCGTTGAAGCGGTTGAGCAGTGACTTACACGAAATACCAGGGACGGAATTGGCCATCGGGCTCATAGTAGTGAGAACCCCAGACGTGCTCATTAGGAGCCCAGACCTTGACACCCATGTATCCTGCAAGCAGGGCGTCAATACAACACTCGAAACTGGAGAAGACTGCAAAGGCGTACCAGCCTTGCCCAGGAACTCGCACTCCTTGGCAATGTCATTCCAGGGCCATCCGAACAACTCGACGATACCTCCCTTCTGGCCGTTGTTGAAGCTGCTCTGAGCGGCGGACAGCGATTGGTGCTGCCAAAAGAAGTTGATCGGCTCGAGGACCAACTTCTTACCATCGGAGCTAGTGACGGTGATGGCCAAAGCAGTCTGGAGGCTGTTGGTGACCTGGAAGATGGGCGAAGACTGCTCGGCACCGTTGAAGCTGTAGGTCAAGGTGGCACCCTCTTTGTGTGCAGCGTTGACGGTGACAACAGCGGCGTTGCGGGCGGAGTTGTACTGGATGTCGGCGTAACCAACGAGGTGACTGTAATCCTGGAAGGACTCCTCGTGTGCTGGGTCACCGCGAGGAGGGGTTTGCCATCGACGACGCTCGGATGAAGCAGCCATCTCATGGCTGTTGCCCTGGCAGTTATCAAGGCCGTTGAAGTTGTTGCATCCAGTAGGGGGAGTGGCGGGGGCTTCATAAGGGATGTTGGCAGGAATTATGGGAGGAAGATTGCCTGGTGCGACAGTGCCAGTAGGTGGGGGAGCAGGAGCGGTCGTGGAAGTCGGCGGCGGCACCACGGCGGTCGAACTAGTGACAACTGGAGGTTGAGAGTTTGACGGGGGTCGGTTGACTTGGTGGTTCTGGTAGTTGCCGGGGTCGTAGTAAGTTTGGCCAGAGACGGTGTAACGGATGTAGAACTGAGTAGCGCCAGATGCCCTGCCGGAAAAAGCCCAGGTTTCGAAGTTGTTGGATCCAGATGAAGTGTAGGTGGCCGGGATGATTTGGGAGTCGCTCCAGCTGTCGCCGACGGCCCAGACGACCTCTACCACTTTCGAATAGGCGATGTTTTGGACCTATACAAATCCAAAGGGATGTTCAAGGGACTCTGTAAGGGTCGTGAGTGGAATAGGAAACCTACATTGATCGTTCCAGAGAGTACGGCGTTGCTGTACGAGTGGTTGATCAAGGAGACCTGAGGTGCCCGCTTGACATGCTGAGGGGCGGGAGAGGCGTAGGTGAGGGCAAGGAACAGCCCGAAGAGGGACAGAGACACTGTCCACAGCTGTGGCAACTTCATGGTCGATGTCGCCTTGAAGAATCCAGTCCAGCGAGAGCGACTGTTGCTTTTATAGGGTTTGCAACTGGTTGCTTACCTTAACAGGGACCCGGTAACTCGCATAGGCTACCAGGAAGACGTACGAGGAGGCCACCTGAAGGCATACGCCATGGAGAAAACATCTATAGAATGGGGATGGTTCAGAAAGTCCGAGAGATATCCACAGAACAGATGGCTGGCGCTGAGAAGCAATAGAAATCGCTGCTACCTTGGCATCAATTGGGCGTTCCTGTTTCCGTCGAGTTCGACGAATTTTCGACAATGGTTTGCCGTATTGAGAGCGCTCTTGTGGGAGAAAACCAACATGGATGGTATTCCACATGCCTACCTCTGAGCTGCTTCGATTTCTGAGGCCAGCTTCGGCTCTTCACCAGCCCTCGTAAATCTACGCTCGCCCGATGCCCAAGTCATCCTGCAGGGGTGAGTCCCAAGACGACCAACTCACAGCCCTGGAATCCAGTAGCGCACGACTAGAGACCAGTAGCGAGATGGAAGGACTAGAGTCTGAACGGTGTGGTCACAGTCATGGTTTAGAGACATCAGAAAGATCACGCTGAAGATCCTTTTCGGTAATCATGCGGCTGGAATCTTGCTCAGCGAACCTTGCCGTGGGATTTCGTTGGTGGGAGGATGTGGGGCTTTCGACTTTGGAATTCCAGACAACGTAAAATTGCTGTTCAGTGCGGGGGTGGCAAATGCGGGGCATGGGGTAGCTGTCAATCTTTAGCTACGTATCTTTGATCAACTGGGTGAATCCGAGCCTCTGCGTACCATTGACAAGATTGATCTCAACTTGAAATTTCACTGAGTTCCTCTCGGTTCAAGAAACTTAAATTAACGTGGTTGCAACCGAATGGGGAGACTGGAGACCGAGCATAGGGGCGGTCGCTGGCGGCCATGAAAGCCGATGCTTCTATTCATTCGTCCGACGAAAACTCTGAGAACAAGTGAGAAGGAAGCTCAAATGGAACTTGTGATAAAGCTCGCGGAGGTAGTATCCTAGTCGCAGTCAATCGAGCAACAGTCAAACGTCCATGTACCCCACGATTGTATCATCATCGCAGATGACCGCAAGGTGCTGGTGTTTGTGGTGCCAGATTTGGAAATCCTCGGACCCAAAGAAGCGTTGAATTGGCTGGAAATAGGCAAAGATTAGCATGTGTTTGATCGCGAGTGGTCGGCGGCCTACTAGAATCTCCGGGCTACGGATTCTTCGTCCACAGGGATCACCTGGGATCACCCAAATGCGTGAATTGTGGCTAGCCCACGCCAGGAAATGGCACTTCTGAAATCTGAATGCATTGCCATGTCCATATCGTAACCACACGGATAGGCCGGAAATTACCTGTCAGCGGTGCCGACATCCAGAGAACTTGACGAAACTGGCCTTCCTATCTATCGATCGGTTGGGAAACCTGAAATAGTCGACTGGTCTGGAGAATAAAACGCCCCATCGACGGGTCCTGACGCAACACTGTGCTGACAAGAACTCAGCACCTCAATGCTGTCGCAGGACCTGCTCGGCTGAGGTGGTCAGCGTGTTCCAAGAAATTACGGTCAGCCATCTGAAAGCGGGACGGGGTTGGCAGGTGCAGGTGGACCCTTGTCGATCTTCGAGCTTTGAGGCCAGAGACAGAGCCATACCACTAGAACGGTCCTTTCCAAGGCCCTCACGGTCTGGGGCGAAGCAGAGGATCCCAAGGGTGCGTCTTCGGATCTGTTGAGGTACATCCAATGCGGACGCGCCCGAGAAACGAGGTTCTTCCGAGCTATGGTATGTAATGAAAAGAAGCTCATACTCCTCGAAGTTGTTTCTCGCCCGTGAAAGAATGTGTGGGCCTTGGGTTATCTTGGAACAGGGAATACCAGCGCTTCGCTTTCTGGAAGAAGTGCCAGATCCATATGTAACAAGTCTCAGTTACTTCCGCTTATTTGATTTGCGACCCGCACCGGCTTGACATTCTGTAAAGATGGGGTCGTGGAGCACAACCCCATCAGAAGTCCAGAAAACCCAGGCTATTGTGTCCTCGGTGAATGTTAATCGCGCCCTTATTCCCCGCCGGGCCGCCTGCTAGGAAAGAGTGAGGGGGAGTACAGCCTGAGCGTTGGCGACTCGGACGACGGGGCTAGAGAAGTCTGGAGGGTATTTTAAGCGCCTACCAGCCCAATTTTCCCAGGCTGAGGGATTTAGGCGCCCGAGTCGTGATCAGCTATTCTTAGCTACCTATAGGCTGCAGAAGCCATCGTCAGGCAGCCCTCTACTAGAGTCTGTCTCGCACAAGCAGAACCCCCAGCATGCGGTGATTATCGCCCTCACTAATTTGATGGCAGTGACGGATTTAGTCCCCTGCGGCGACCCCGGTTTTCCCACTGACTGACGATTGCTTGCCATCCAGCCTGGCTTTCTTTACCCCTCAGCCCACTCTACACCTTCTCTCTCTGAAGTCACCTATGATGACTGCCCACAACCTTCGCTACCACGCAGTTGCCCATCGCCTCACCCGCCTTCCACGAGAACTAGTGATCAAAATCCTCGACGATCTCACCGTCATCAAGGTCCTCGAGCTGATTTCCAACCACGACATACCCTATGTGGATGATTGTGTCTTGATGCACGCTGGCCTCAGGAAGATCTTTCAATCCGACTTGGGACTAAAGAGCGTCAAGGGGTGGTTCAAGCTCTACCTCAAGATCTGTAGCGCCCGCCGTAGGGACCCACATCCCCGCATCCGTTATCTCGACAAAGACCCCGATACGACGCTCATCGAGGTGGCAAAATTTCAGCGCAAGCCGAAGGAAGAGAAATATGAAACAGTCGTGGTATGGATCCAAAGGGAGGTCAGGAAGGAGATGCTCGCATACAAGCCTTTCCTCCCCGTCCTCCGCACACAATCCAAGACACCAATCCCGGACCCAGACTTTTGGGACTTCACCTCGCTCGGCGAGGTCGAAAAGGTGTACGAAATCATTGACCAAGCGGAGGTTCTGCTGAACACGACCAAGATCAACCAGTTGCAGAGAATGGCGAATTTGTTGGAACGCTATCCGGGGGTCCTTAGGACCTGCTGCGAGAAGAGCCAGGGGGTGAAAAGGTCTTCGCACCGAGTGGAGTACTTGAGGCGAGAGGCTGCCCGCATGCCTGTCCGGCAGATCCTTGATAATCGGTGGGTTGCAAGGTCGATCTTTGCTCAGCCACAGTTTTATATTATCCCCCACGACCGGTGAGCACATCCCTTCATATCCGATGGTCAGTCACTGACAAACCTCTGCTGGCGCTTCAGAGTCCTGAGGACATTCCTCAAAGTCCTTCATCGATTCCCTCCTTCGAATGTTGATAAACAGCTCTTTCTGGAGCCACCTGGGATGGACAAAGACAATGTGGAAGAAGACAAGATGGATGAAGACGACGAGAAAAAGTCAATGGATGAAGACGAGGAACGGAAGAAAAGAAAAAAGATAATGAAGGAGGAAAAGAGGAGACGCAGAGAAGCCAAGGCAAAGCGAACTCCTCACGCCTATCCCGCCGCCCTCCGGTTCGTCCTTGAGCACTTCTACCAAACCTTCCCCCACCAGGAAGGTGAAAGGACGTCGGGTGTGCGCCATCCTCGGGTTCTTTACACGAGGCTCTCCCTCCCAGAGTACAGAGAACGAGGGGGTGCGGTGCAGCCTAGCTTCTTCGTGGCACCCGAATACCCAGACCTCAAGAAGATGGCAAAGCACAAGAACATTTCCCCGATGCCTGAAGGGGAGTTCAATTGGTTGGAGGCGTTCTTGAGCGTTTGTTCCTACATAGCCCAGATGACCGAGCCCTGGTCTCCTACTCAGACTGTAGGGCAGTACTGGTCCACTCACGTGTAGATGGTCTGATGTGTGCTAGTAGGCAGAACAACTTCGTCATAAATAGCTACGATCAAATCTCCCCGAAACAGTTTCCATTGGTAAAATGGCGGCAAATGCAGGTTTACTCTAGGTGCATGTACAGTAAGTATCTAAAGAATCATCACGATAGCTAGCGGGATTATAGTATACAAGATGAATTACAGAGGGAGGTCGTTATGTCAGTATGTAGCAAGTGGTGAGGTGGGTAATATGAGGCCAATAAAGTAGGGTGAGTGGTATACTAATAAACCCGATGCTGAACAAAGCAGACCAAGGGTAAACTTGTCTGGTAATCAAGGACCAAGACTAGACTTAGAAGTCAAAGTCATCTTTTGAACCGCGGGAGCCCCTCGACTCCCAAGACCTGGAACGCCGGCTCTGGTATCCTTCACCGCGTTCGTATCGTCCCGTAGAATATCGGGGGCGGGAGGCTTCGAAATCGTCGTTGGACCTGTCGCCGTCAGAAGCGGGGCGGCGGTCGATCCAAGGCTTGTTGGTCGAAGGACGACGCGATTCCCAAGGCTTGCGGTCAGAATTCTCAGGGTCCCTCATATAGCCTCGTCCAGAAGACCGGCGGGAACTCTCCCCATCATTATCCCTCCACTCCCTCCTCGCGCCGAACGTCTGAGAGGGACGACGCTGGTTGAATCCTCCTCCCCTCGAAGACCTGGCAGCGCTACCAAGCCCAATCTTCTGCAAGAAACCGGCGGAGACGTAGGGTGCCTTGGTAAGCCCAAGACCCTGCGTAGTCCAGTCTTGCATCTCCTTGAGAACCTGTTCAGGACTTGCACGAAGCTGCGAGATCATGCTGACATAGAATCCGAGGAGCGACATCATGGTCTCTGACACGGCACCTTCGTCGAGACGGGCGAGGACCTCAGAAGTATTGCGTTCCAAGTCTTGGTAGCGGATTAGACCGTGATGGGGCTTTCCACCTTCGACCTTGGGTTGGAGGGAGCTCTCGACCTCCTCGCGGAGGTCCTTGACGGTTAGAGGTTTGAGAGGGATGTGGCTGAGATTGCGCTTCACGAATTCGTGTTCCCAAGCGGCGATGACGAGATCGCCGCGACCAATATTGCTTCCACCACGACCGGTTCGTCCAACACGGTGAACATACTGCTCAGGCTTTGAGGGTAGGCCGAGTTGGATGACGCGAGTGACACCGGGGTAGTCGACACCGCGAGCAGACACGTCAGACGTCACCAAGATGCTGGCACGGTTCGACTTGCGGAATCCGTTCGAAGCACTGGTGCGACCGGACATGGACTTCTTCGAGTGAATCTCGTAGGTGTACGTGCGGGTCATAGGGAACGAGGCGGTGGACAACTCGTAGAGGATGGTCGAGAGCAGCTGTGTCATCTTGGTGGTGGGAAGGAAGATAATGATCTTGGACTTGTCACCGTGTTCCAGCTGGTCCTGGAAGATGAGACGGAGGACGTGAGGAATTTGATCCTTGGGGCTAGGGATGATGGTGTGGTATTGAGGGATGTGGGCATGGACGGGAGAAGTGTCGTCAGAAACACAGTTGATGAATAGCTGGTTCTCTGAAAGATGTCTCTGAGCAATTTGTTGAATCTGGGGAGAGACAGTGGCAGAGAATAACAGGGTTTGCCGGATGGTGGTGTCGGGGAGATATCGCATGATGGCTTCGATGTCATCGCGGAAGCCCATGTCCAACAGCGTATCGGCCTCGTCGAGGATAAGCTGTGAAGAGTTGTTAGAATATAGAATCGGCTCAAAGGGGTAGATAACGGACCATCTTGGTGTTTTTGAGTGTCTGCGCAACGCCAGAACGGCTGTCCGTCAACATATCCATCAAACGTCCGGGGGTCGCGACCAAAATATCCTTCCGCCCGCGCTGGAACGCCTCGAGTTGCCGCCTCTTGTCAAGGCCACCGACGAACATGGGTACTTGGTAGCCAGGGTGATGGGTGGTGAGCTTTTGGGCCTCCTGCACGATCTGGGTCGCCAATTCACGCGTAGGGGAGATGACGAGGGCGCCGACGTTGTCCATCGCGTACCGGTGCTGAACTCTGCGGTCTCCGGGAGCGACGTCCTCGAGCTGCTTGACGCGAGCTTCGAGGGCTGGCACCAGGAATGCGATGGTTTTGCCAGTACCCGTTCGGGCCTTGACCAGCAAGTCCTTGGATTCTGGGTTTTCTGCGCGAGGCTGAGCAAGACCGGGGAGAAGTGGGAGAACTTCAGCTTGCACGACCGACATGTGGTTATACTGGAACGGCGACTGGGTCAAAGCCTTGAGAGTCTTGTCGTGAACCTTGCCTTGCAGCGAAGAGAAGAGCGGCTTGTCGTCGGAAATATCTTCATCGACTTTGACGGCGCTTGCTGGCGTGACCGACTCTGGCCTGAGCACTCTCGACGTCGCCTCGACAGCGAATCCTCGTTGAATGGGCTGAACTAGACCATAGCCTACAGAACGATCAGAATTCTTCCAGGAAAAAGCAAATTGGGACTTACGACTTGGAATTCGCGCCAGCAGAAATGACTGACGGAGCGTTGGAACCAAAAGAGCAGTCCTGGGGCGACTAGCAGCAAGGCAGGCCCTAGCGACCTGGTTCCATATTTGAGAGGCCATTATTGGGAAAAAGATTTCCCTTCGTCAACAGCGACGAAAGATATTTTGACCTTGGCCGTCGAGGTTCAGGTTAAGGAATGACAGCGCGCGGCGTCAAAACTTATTTCACTAGAAATTTGTGATGGCGCACGTGCAGATGAGTCACGTCCCGCGCGTTCGATCCCTCGACGGAAACATATTTTTTCAAAGGGCATTGGTGAATTGCACATTTTGCAACTGAAACTAAGTATGATATATGAAGTGGCCTTCGTAGTCAGATGCAAATTTGCGCACCTTCGATAGTAGCCAGAGCGCTGAGCGCCACATCGAAGGCCCATCCTCACAATGGGCGCTTAACTAACACCCTGCCTCTTCAAAGGACATTTGTTGATCGCCGTGTTCTCATACTGAATCAAGCCTTCATGCAATGATCCCCGGATTCTGACGAGCCTCAACTCAACGCGACATCCACCCCGGCACGATTGTTTGAATAAGATAGCGCCTGCTGCAGTATAAGCATCAACATACTGTACAGTCGGTGATTAGCGTTAGGCGCTGCGAGGAGCCTTGCTGATTGAAAGCTGCCCTAGGACTCTAAGACAACTCACGGGAACATAGGGAGCAATATGGCACAAGAGGTCACAAGCATCAACAAAGACTCGGAATAGGCGGATTTGCCATATACCCCTTTCTCCCTTCCAGGACATCATCAGACCAGCTCTTGAGACGGAAATCATGGAAGAATTCACAGGCTGCGCTGACGAAGAAGGTCGAGATGACCTTCGAGTGTCTCTGCACATACATCTTCAATCATGTGGCTGGACCAACACTCAGCATTCGGCCCCTTTATTTTATCATCCTCCTTCCAAATTGTCTTTTACGCGCTTTGGTGCCGCGGGCCTGTCTAGGGAGAAGCCTCCGCCGAGACTCGGACCTACGTATGTATATGTCAGTCTTCTAGACTCTATTGCACTTCGGAATGACGGGTTTTGGGAGCTTTGAGTTGAGCGGAAAGCAGAGCGTACGAGTCAAATGACTGATTTAGGCTCGGAGCAACCACTAACACACGAGACATTTGCGATCCATTGGCAGCGTGTACGTCAGTCGATGCATGCTGTCGTCACGATCTCTTCCTCGCCTGACAATCGTGCTAAATGCAGGACCGATGCCATTCTATCGTTTGTCACCACAGGTGAGCACAGGTGGCAACCGGCAACTTGAACTCGCCATATTTGGAGAGAAGCCTCCGCAGAAGGTCTGGCCACACGAGCGCTTGTCTCCTAGTCACTGCTCACGTGGGGTGCTGACAATCTAGAGCGCCTTTGACTTTGGCAAAGGACAAGGTCAAAGAACAGTGGAAAGTGGAAAGAACCAAAGAGCTGCCAAGAACGCATCGCGGTGGGCCAGAGTGTATTTCGGTGCCTAATCACGGCGTTCATCATGGAAGATGGATGATCCAAATTGGGCGCGAAACATAAGTCGGTTCGTAATGCTGATCCCCTTTGGATCCCCTCGTGGTCCTGGCATGTTCTTCATGTACTTATAAAGGCTTGCATGGTTTTCCGAGCTGTAGTTCTCGTTCTTAACCGCCCGCAATGCCAGCACTCACATTATCACCTTCGACTTCATCCTGCTCCTACGACGTTCCTCCGATGAAGGACACCGCATTCGCATTTGCTCGCGTGAAGGGCGAGACTCGTCTGGTGCAAAGTAAGTTCCCTTATGTACTTGTCCCACTAATTGACTGATCAATTACCTTTCAAAGTTTCGTGCACGGCACCCATGTCTCCTTTTATGCCTGTCGAGGTCAACCTCTTCAGACATGAGTTCGTCACTATCTTCCGGTTCGACCAGTCCACCATCGTGCACCCTTCGGACTTTAGCATCATCGAATGCATAGACGATTCACGAATCCGCTACGAAGAGGAGAACGAGACCGTATTCCTCGCCAAAGACCTCATGGAACGTCTTCGAGAACTCACCACGGACCCAAGAAAACTCGCGTTCCAAACCCGACAACGTTATCCACCCCAGCAACGATACCGACAGCGGTGAACAGTGGTGGTGCACTCCCTATTCTGGCCTCCTTTCCTCATCTGTTGCTTTCCTTTATCTATTCATTTCACTTTCAGTTTTGGGTTCTTTGCACCATGTTTTATAGCTATTGTATCACAGGCATCTTGGCATACGGCATCCTACACTCACGCGCACTACTCCCTTTCCCATTGTATCTCTCTGCTCTCCACCGCCATTACACACCAAAAATTCGATTTTCGACATACCTTACCCACCCCACATTCCACTGCTGCTAACTATGATTATCGTTATCGATTTTTCGAATGCCCTAGACTCTCTAACAGACCGCATTTTCTGGCTTCGATTCTATTCTTTCTTCCGACGACGGCTTCCTTTCACCCTTAGACACACCCTTGTGGTATCTATCTACTCGAGTCAAGCGAACACCCGGTTCCGGCCATCACGAGAAAGCTATCCCACTACTTCCCCACTGCGTCTTTTGAAGTTCAATCTTCCCATGGCGGTACATTCTTCACTCCATTTACGTGTCTTTTCTCCACACTAGACCTCATCTTATTCCATACCTTGCGTCAGGGATACCATTGATAGTCCGCCGGGCAGACTAGAAGTCAGACACGAGGTTTCGATGTGCCCAGAGCACCACCTCCTATTCAAGGTCGGTCCATCCCACACTCTCGTACCGGTAGGACGGCGGGTACAATGAGGGCTTCCGGGGGTGAGTCAGTGTTCCCTACTTCTGCTTCCCATCCCGGCAGTTCTGAGACTACTCTGCTCTGTTGCTGCGATCCGCAATCCACCATTTTTCCGGACCACCCGGGAAAACATACACAGCGTCGCTCCAACCTTGGTTCCTTCAGGCAGCCATTGCGTACTCTTCGCATCTAGGACTATTGGACCACCATGTTTTCTCCCCTCGGGGACCAGCATTTTCTTCTTTCCCACTCACATTGCCTGGAATAGCGGGAAGAATTCCAAACCTTGATTTTTAGCACCACCAAGTTAGAACTCCCAAGGAAGTCGTCGTGATGTTGTGGCGCTCGTTTTTCACTCTGCTTCCGACAGGCAGTGTTCTCCAGTTCAAACACTAGCCGGCTTACTTGCAATCACTCCTACCTCTTCGGGAGGAAAAGGAGCTTAGGCGTTGCTAACTCGTTTAGCGCCCGACAAGCCATGTGTAAGGAGTCGTGTCTCTTGATCACCTTCGTCGGTTGTGCTGACAATCTGGCTTCCGAGGGCGTTGTATGTACACGTGGGACATTCTTTTTGATCAGTTAGTGTAACTCCTGTAAATGAGTTCTGTTCTTGAGCGGTGAGATGCATATGGATGTAGCCCAGTTGAGAGTGCATATCGTAAGGACGACCTCAGGTGACGGCACTCAGGATGTAGATTATGAATCACCTTCAACTGTCACTCCCATTCGGGTATGGAAAATGAGAAACCGGATTCCGGTCCCTGAGAGGGTGGTTATAATCACAGCGCTATCCCAAAAGGCGTTGCAGGTCTCGCTCTGAACCCCGGCGGCTAACTGGTGCGTTCAGGTGTCTGGAATCCTCACGGACCGGCACCACGAAAAATACCACTTATAGTTTGCCGCCACGTACCGCCAGGGAAGTCATGATTACTTATTGGAACTCAGTCGACGGGCCAGCCCTCATCGTTCATGGAAAGCCAGGGCGGTTCGGCAGGCCCACCGTTGAGAGAATATCGACTTCGAAAACGGTCCGGACAGTGAGCTTATGACTTCCAGGCGAAGACATTACGCCTTCTTTGCCGACTTAACCCTTTCCCTACATTCAAACACCATAACCTCACCCCATGGCAGGAGCTCGTATCGGGACTCTTCAGAGCAATCGCCTACTACCACCGTATAGTACTTTAAGTACCTGCCAGTCCTCCGGAATCACCATCGACCCCGTCCCTCCGACTCTCGCATCTGACACAAGTCTATCAATCCCCTTCTCTGGCTTCTCGTAGCTTCTCATCAGTTGAAACAATTTAAGCGCCCAAAGGCGATCCGCCAGATTAGTTGCCTCTCGGGAAATCCCTCGCAGCTTCGACCAGAACGGGGGATCTCAGGCTTCTTGATGCGAATTTAGAACCTTCAGAATAATGTGAAAGACTCTCAAACATCCACCTTCGATTATCTTTGACTCCAATGATAACGCGACGACCGGCGCTTTTGGCGATCCCTTCAAAGGCCTTGGATTCTCAATCGCCGAAGATTCCCCGTGGTTCCCCGTGGACTGGGCACCTCGACTAGTCGTTGGTCGAGGTAAACTTCTCTGGCCGAAGGACGTATGTTTGTCAATGTCACGAAGATACATGGAGGTCTACGACTTCAAGCTTCACACCCAGTACTCAAACGTTCACTTTTTGCAACTTCGTCGCCAAAACTGATTAAATCAAAGAAGTCTCCGACCCCTTCCATTTGTTCTTGAAGATCGACTGTAGTTTTTCAATTCAAAGGGCGGATCAGGGGTCACTTGCCGACCAGCGATTTCAAGTCGCCATTGCATTGAAGGAGTTCTTGCCACTCACGATGTTATAAGTTTCAACATTGGTTCCAAATCGAATGACACAGACGGTTGGAATGTACATTTGGCAATTAAGTATGAATAGAAGGAGTGACTTGGTGAGTTGCGAAAAGAACGTGTGGATGGAACATGCGAATTACTATGACTACAACCTCTTCCCAGTGCCCTCTGCGCGTCCCCGGTGAAAGGAGACGGCAGAGAGTACAGTGGGAGATAGGTACTAAGGTAGAATCCATTAACGAAGGGTATGTGCGAAATAAGAGGTATTCAGTTAGGAAGCAAAGTAAATAAAAAATAAAATAGTCGAACTCCGAATTTAGAAAACCTTTTTGCAGAGGCGCCTTCCATAGTCGAGGACTTCCCAATCTTCGGTACCGGGGGTGGAGCGAGCGTAGAAGACACCGAAGGGATCGTATCGCCTCTTGATGTCGAGGAGTCGAGGGTAGTTGGTGCCCCAGAATGCGGTTTGCCAGTTGGGCTCCGCGAGGTTACCCTCGTTGACGTATGCTGCGCCGTACGGGCTAGCAGCACGGAGGGGACCGTCGACGTGGTCAGTCAAGAACTGCTCGGCAGCGGCCTTCTGGTCGAAGCTCATGTCGGGAGTCATGGGGTACATGGTGATACTCATCGAGGTAGCATTACGCCAGACGGGGTTGACGGCGCTGTCCGCTGAAGGGAGGCCATGGCCGGGACCAACGATATGACCGATAACACCATAGTTAACGATGCCCTTCTTGGCCTCGACAATGTCGTTACCGTGCTCCTCGATATCTTGGCGAGTGAAGATTCGGCCACCAATGAGAACGTTGGCGCCTGATTGTTCATCTTCGAACAAGTCGATGTAGAGGTCGAAGAAAGTGGAGTAGTCCTTGATGCTAGATTCGTAAGGGACGCCCTGGGCATCCAGTTCATCGTAGAGAGGCTGGAGGACGGTTGCGAGTTGTGATGCGTTCATGTTGGGTGCGACAAAGGGTTGAACTCTGAAGGTGAAGGGGAAGAGTTCGTAGTAGGCGTACATGCCATGATCAACCCAGTAGTTGGCACGGTTGTGGAAGGCAGAGAAACCCTTCCAGAAGAGTTCCTGATCCACGGTGTGGGTCCAGTTAATGTAGAGGGTAGCGCCTGCTGAGGGAACCTCCGGGAACGTCTTGACGGTGACTGAGATGACGGCTGCGAAGGTGGATGGTCCTCCACCCTTCAAAGCCCAGAAGAGGTCAGGATGGTTACGGGAGTTGACAGTGAGGTATCTGCCGTCGGCGGTGACGACCTCAAATTGAAGAGCTTGGTCGGCAGCTTTGGAGAAAGTGAGAATATGAAGCGGGACAGAGAGCGATGACGAACTTACCCATGCCATGAATCGTTGACAAAGGTCCGTGACCACCGCCTTGGATAAATCCACCAGCGAAACCAACAGTCTGCGGAGGGAGTTAGAGGTCTGGGAAGCGCAATTCTGTCAGGATGAACATACAGGGCATTCTCCAGTTACGACAGCGAGTGGAGGATTGCGAGCGTTAAGCTGATACCAGAGCTCACGTCCTTGGACTCCTGCGCCAACGGTGACAGCGCTACCAGTGTAACCGCCTGGGCCGTTCCAACGATCATGGAAAGTGACCTCTGAGATAACATTAACATCACATTCCAAATCAGCATCCATAGCGTAGACTCACGTTTGAGATTGTGGGTGTTGATGGCGAGGGCGCCATAACCAGTAGACCTTCCCATGAAATCGTGACCAGTGTTGCGAATGATGAGGCGGAGATTGTTCATGCGAGCGAAGTCAACGCCAGCCTTGACATGCTGCCTGTTCTGAGCCATGATAACATATTCGGGGACGTAACCCAAGGTGCACGAATCGTTAGGGTTTTCGGTGGGCAGGCAAGTAGTGTTGGTCCAGTGAATCCAGATGTTGGACACTTCGCGGTCAGTCCTAGACAATGATTTCGGATGATTAACGAGACGTTCGATCGAACTAGATTTAGGAGTTGGTACTCACTGCCACTGCTCGTTCGTCCAGTTATCCCGCACTTCTTGACAAGCTTGGGCGTTGTAGGTGGGCTTGCCCCGGAACGTGTTGTAGCACACAGCGGGATCTGGAACCACTTCCCGTAGATTGCCATCAACGGCTTGGTTCAACAACCACCATCGGAGCGAGTTCTTGGGAGGCCAGCAGAAGTCACCAGGGTAGCACTTGCACCAGTAACCCCAGCCTTGGGCAGCGACAACGGCACTCTGGGCGACCAAGCCCACTGAAACGAGCCTAACGAAGGAGGAGAGGGACAGCATAGTCCCGGGCGGTAAAAGGGAAGAGGGAGGCGGTGGGGAGGGGGCGAGTGGGTTGTGGGGACCAACCGGTATCCTTTTATAAAGATCATCCCCGTTGCGCTGGGGCTTTAAGAAAAAAGTCCTGGTTGGTCAGGCTCCGATGGCGATCACCCAGGAGCAGATGTCACTTTGTCACTGTGCGAGGACAAAGACGCGACATGTGCCCGCCATCAAAGCTTGGGCAACCATCCTGGGGTGTGTGCACCAGGAACTGAACAGGAACCAGCAGGACCTACACATTCCGCCATCCTCGATGCCGAACTCCGGTGAAGGTTTTCAAGCGATTTTAGAGTGGAACCACTCCAAGGTGCATCGCTGGGACGATTTCAATCGGTTTTCTTTCTCCAAAGTTAGAGAGCTACTCACATTGCGCAAATTTCGGATTTGGGGCTGTAACAAGGGCCGGTTCCGCGGAATCGCTTGTTCGATTGCGACAACCGTTCACCCCCTTTCCCTTCCCATTTTCCGCATGTGGATAGAGGGTGACGTGCCGATCGTCGGTGACGCGTGAGGCGCACACGCGGGTGGGGGGCCGTGGCGCCAAGAGGACAAGTCAAGGAGGTAAAACCTTTGACAATGAGAGGTGGTTGCTGTTAATTGGTTAGCACATCAGTCCAGCTGCTTCTAGCGCCCGAACCTAGACTCCAGCAGCAAGCGCTTGCTGTCAGCTGTCGGAGGGACCTGGTGACCTCGTCTCAGAGAAACAAAACTGAGCGCCGAGTGGCTCTCCCGCGCACGCCGGCTCCGACCAAGATCCCTTCCAGAAAGAGCTTCCCATGGAACCGAATGATAGAAAAACGAAATTTCATTCCTTTATCGCCATGGCCAGGCCGATGAAAGGCATCGAAACCATCAGGATCAGCTGCAGGCGCCCAAGAGCACTATCATTTGCGGAAGATTTAGCTTATGACTTAAGAGCATTGTCGTTGTTTGGAAGATTCAGATACTGGTTCTTGAAAGGAGATGAATTCCTTGTCGCTTTTCCCCAGAACCTCCAAGTCAATCCAGTGAGAATGTAGAGACCAGTAGGTTAGAGAAGGTGAATATCTGGAGAATATCGGTAGTGGTGGCATGAGCATGAGACTACTCAGAGATGAAGGCATGTATCAAGTTGCCCTTTGAGGCCTGGGAAACCTTGCACTTGGTTGGCGGTCGGTTTTTGCAAGTCGGCCTCCGGTGATGCAGTGGTTTGTCAAGTTCGATAAATCCTCAAAGTCCAAGGTTGGCTGTGTTTTACCGTTAAATATCATTCTACAGAACTGAATGGAGAATGTATAAAATGCTTTCGTAGCTCTGCTCGGCCTCAGCGCTCTGCTCGGGCCCTCGCTTCCCTGCCGATGCAGGCACTTGTAGAGCCCAGGGAATCCCAGGATGTATTCACGGTCGCTGGGACCTGGAACCCAGCTAGGCACGTATGAAGATCCCATGCGAAAATAAGAACATACCCGCGAGTTATGACGAAGTTAGATGAGAGGTTCAGAAAAGCACCTTTGATGCGACAAGCGCTCTCGTCGCCTATTGATATATATGTACTAGTGCGAATCAAAAGGATCGACTCGACTCTTGGATATCCCGCTAAGCGCTTGGGCGGGCGAAGAGGAAGAATTCAGGAACTCCGATGGGTTGGAATCCCACCGAGTGTCTACAACTATCCACAAGGTAGGGAATGATCTGACGGCGCCGTCTTCTGGAAGTTACAGCTCGACTCTTTCCCTGCGTACAAATTACTGCATGAATCGCTGAACGTTGACCAGAGCTTCGCCGGAGAAAGAACCCAAGGGAGCTAAGCGACTGCATTGGATCGCCCATTGAATTCAAGTTCCCCTGGAAATCCATGCCGTACAATATCCCCTTGCCTTACTTATGGAAGACCTTTACGTACATATTGTGGATACATACTCTTGGCTGATCACTTTTCTAGGGATTCAAAGTCGAAACCCAGCGAAGTTCCAGGCTCGCAGTCTTGTACTTTTATTTGTGGAAGAGAACTGGGCGGGCGTTAGTCTCCGCGGGTCGGCATGCATGCGCCTAACCTTTGGGAGTTCGTTGTGGACCAGATAGCCATCCCAACATCAAGAGTGAAAGTGAGGGTTCAGAGCCACAAGAGAAGATAGTCCATGCAAACAATTTAACAATGCCTGCCACACCCCTACATGATCGCACATTGGCTGACAGTTTCGAGACGAAGTGGGCACTTCTTGAATGATACCAACGGTGGGGGCGCAGGCTTCCTCCAAAGAAAGGTATCAATTAGATAAAACTCGTCAAACGGTCACACATTCGGTGGCCCAAAGCAGCACGCCCGCAATCTCACTGCTCAGTTACTGCCCAATCTAGCGCCAGAGCCCCAAACATGCGCCGAGCTTGCAGTACCACAGCAGCTGGCCGCGCCCTGGGCACCAATATGAATTTCCTGCCCTGCCCTCCATTCTCTTCTAAGCCCACCCCCATTCAACGTCCTCCCTCCACCCCTCCCGTCGCCCTCAAACAACCCACAATCCCTAAACCACCCAGGTGCCTGGCCCCATGGTGCAAGTACACCGATCTTGCCACGGCCCTTCCAGATGAGCCAGAACCAGAGGTGTCCGACGATGCACCCGGCGACTGCGAGCGCTCCCCCATAGGGCCCGCGAGAGAGGAGCTCGATGAAGACGATGCAATAGGGGAGGTAGGAGATGGGAAGCGTGATGAGGCCCATGAACGACGTCGTTGACCCAATGGGCGCGGTTTCAGCAGAGAGGTAGCAGAGGCAGGTGAGCAGGGCGCTGAAGAAGTACCCCGTGCCGAGAGGTCGAGTGGCGAGCTGTGAGGTGATTGAGTACAAGTAGAACACTGTACCAGAGGGAACGCACGAAGATTCCGACCGCAGGCAAAGATGGTCTGCCACGCAAGGTCAGAGGAGCGGCGGAGATATGGGCCCGATTCCATGGAATAGACCGCGCGGCTATAACCATGTCAGTAAAAGGCTTCACATAGACAAAAATAATGCGCACTAGAGAGCAACAAGCTCGAAAATTAGAGTTTAGGCGCTGAAAACGGTTAGCAAATAGGAAATGCTTGCCAAGGGCGAACCTACTGCCAACAAAATAGCTCGTCAGGAGCCTCCAAATCTACGGAGGCTGTCAGCGCTCGGTCAGTTGAAGCTTTGCAGAGGGACACACCTGGTAGTTCTTGACGACTAGTTCATAATCGTATCCGAAGCCATAACGAGGCGACAACCCCACGATGACAGAAAGCGTAACAGTGGCAGTAGTGAAGCATAGGAGCTTTGTAACGACTGGAAGTTTGCTCAGCCAGGTATGAATCTGGTCAACCTCGGAAGGCATTGTGTCACGGTAGTGAGAGGGAAGAGAGTGAAGGGGTCAGCGCTCAACGACGGGAGGAAAGAAGCACTGGGTCATGAGACAGAGGGCCGGGAGTCACGGTGAATACGTGAGCGAGTGACGAGAGTTGGCCACGGTAGCGAGTCGGTACAATGTTCATCAAGTTCATCAACAGGCGCCTCTGCATAAAAAGAGCCGAGTATAAGAGTTTCGGTGAAATTTGCCAGCACCCGCACTCATCTTCTCGTCAAATTCTGTCCATTCAAGGAAAGGATGTCAATAGTACTAATACAAGAAAGAAATGGAAGAAGATATCTCAGGATCCCAACCTTTGACCGTGTCCCCACGAATGGCCTGACGGCGAGGACTCCCGGAGGTTTCTAGGTGGGACGACCTCGATCCCTGAAGCGCGCAACGCAGCAGCCGCACCGCTTGTATCAGTGCGCACACCGCCTCCACTGGTCCTCGGGCGCCTACGCTCGCCAAACCATGACACCAACCAGCTTGGGGCGCGTCCGTACTGTGCCAAGGGGCCTTCATCACCGAGACGTCCTCCGCCCCACATAGACCACCACCAGCCGTGTCCGACGATGATTCCAGCTACGGATTCGGCTGCAGCACGGGGTCCTGCCATAAGCAGGTCCATTAGGACCATGATATAGGGCTGGTAGATTACGGGGAGGGTGACTAGGCCCATTAATGAGGTTTGAGAGCCTGGTGGGGCCATGTTGGCGGAAACATAGGCGAGGCACGCAAGGAGAGGGTGAAGAAAGGCGTAGGACTGGATCGGTCGGGTTGCGAGCTGGATATAAGGTCAACGAGGTGATCTACAAGCCCGAATCGAAGAAGAAACTCACGAGAATCGTACCGGCCGCAAGGAACAGTTGCCAGGCATAATCGGAAGACCTTCCAGCGTACGGGCCCGACTCCAACTGGTCGGAACTTCGACTAGCAAACGTTCAATATGTTTATCGACAATAACAGAACTTCAAGACTCACTAGAGCATAACCATTTCGAATATAAAGTTGATGCTAGGAGCTGTAGGTCGCGCCTGGTGAGCACAGAGTCCACTTCGTGGCCAAATTCTTTACTTACTTCCAAGGAAGTAGCTTGTGTACAGCCTCCAGAGCTAAACAGATAGTCAGGCCACTATTTCTTGAACTATTTTTAAGGTGCGACATACCTCAAAGTGCTTCAAAACCAGCTGGGGAACGAACAACAGTCTGTACGGCGACAGAAGTTGCATAAGGACAGGCACAGTCAAGCTGACCGTCGAAACGGTCATAAACCGTGTCACAGGCGGTATCTTCTTCAGTTCAGCGACAATCTGGTCCATTTTGTCGTCTTCGTCGTCGTAGTGGTTTGTCGAGAACGTCAAGCTTAAGGTCAAGCCTGAATAGGAATTGACCGACACGCGCCGCTTACGAAGAACTGACGTGGAGAATTCTGGGACCTTCTTGACCACGAACCACGACTGCACGAAGCCGAAATCCAGGCTCGAGACGGCGACGACGACCTCGTTTGAACCACGATGCACTCGGAATTTACTGGAATTAGGCTATTGACAGCTGGCGACATTAAGAGCGAACGAATGATCCCCAATTCTCGGATCCTGTACCGAAATCCTGAACCGTGCTTGACCATGACCTGATATCATAGTCTTGGAGCAGACTATTCTTATCCTTCCACCGCCATCCAGGCAGCCAGGGGCCCAAATGGTACGTCGTCGACTCGAAAACGAGCACAGAAACGGGCTGACATTGACCACAGACGACTTTACCCATCGAGATCATCCTGAGCATCATCGACGAGCTCGGAAAGGCTTATCTGGCCAAGCTCGACGGATGGGGGCCCTCAATTGAGGAGAAACACACCTTGAGCACCGTAGCGCTGGTCTGCAAAGTCTGCAGAGACCAGGCCTACAGGTTCCTACACGGCTCTATCGAATGCAGCTCGAACGACGAGCTCGTTTCATTCCTCAACGACGAGGACGGGCTTGCCAACCCCAGGCAACCGCTGCAGCCACAACCCCAACCCCAGCTACTAGTACACGCCCACACCCTGACCCTGCGATTCGGCTTGAAGTTGTTCGACAATGGCGAAGCACTATCTTCTCTTCTTGACCGCCTCCCATCGCTCCACAAGCTGGTAATCAAATCCGACTCCAAAACCTCCTGGACAGTCCGAGTCTCAGAGTCGCTCAAACACGCTTTACTTCGCCTCATATCCTCCGGTCGGTTGACGAGTTTGCACCTCGGGATCCTCCGCGTTCCGCGCTCTCTCTTGAAATGCTTCCACCCGTCGCTTCAGTCACTCTACATAGACGGAGTGGAGGAAGAGATGGAAGCCGTAGAGTTCAAGACTCCTACGCAGGACGAGAGGTATCACCATGCATGGACAGTGGGAATCGACTCTCTCAAGAATATCGCAATCGTGCGGTATCGATCCGCACCGTTCTCAATCCTCGATAGGACTCTTTTCTTCCCTGACACCGACGAGCAGGGGGGCGTCACAACAACTCTCTCACCTCAGGGAGCCGAAGGTTCTTCGAATTCCGTCACGCGACCCACTTCGTCCACCATACGCTTCGACAACCTCGAATCAGCCGTGGTCTGGGGCTTTGACTTTATAGACTCCTGGGCAGTCGACACACTCACGCGGGACTGCAAGTACCTCAAAGCAATCGAATTCAAATATGGGACAGAGGTTTTCTCTCAAAGTGCGTATTGCTCTACCATCCCTGCAAGCCCCTGTGTTTACAATGACGTCACAACCCCTAAAATCTTGCGCAAAACCATTAACTAACACGACCTTCTTCCTTCAACTAGTGCAAGACAACCCATTAAAGCTATCCTCCCTGCACACTCTCCAGTCTATCTCCATCCCAGCCTACCTAACACTGTCCCCTACCTCGCCGAAACCATTCCCCAAAACGCTCGTTCACGTCCTCGAGACCGCTACCCATCCTCTCCCCCGCCTCCGCTCCATCCACTTCAAGATTTACTGGAGCCAAGGCCAATGGGAGAACTTGAACACGGAGGATATCCTGGCTCCCAATTGGAATGAGCTGGATGAGGCGCTGACCCGTGATGGGGTGTTTAGGGGGTTGCAGGAGGTCGTATTGGACATGACGGCGATACGTCCGAGGATTTGGAGAGGAATGGACTTCAGGAAGTTGAGGGAGGATATCAAGACGCGAGGCTTGCCCAAGGCCGCGGCGGCGGCTGCCCTCAAGGTTCTATTTTGACCATGACCATGTTCCCGTGTTCGTTGCATTAGCGACAGGTACTTTTCGTGGACCTTGAATACTGTGACAAATGTTCATGATTGACTAAGTAATGTACAGTATAATGCGAATGAATCGCGAGTGAATTTTTAATGTTACAACGTATACCGGTGTGTACCGGCGTGACAGCGACTGGACGAAAGCAAGAGAAGAAAGCGACTACGGAAAGCAAGAAAGCAAAACGACAGAGAGGTACGAAACAGGAAGAAAAGACAGCGAGGCACGAAACAACAACAAAAAAGACAGCGACGAGAAACCTCAACTTTAACTCGGACGTCGAACTGGCTCAAGCTTCACTCGACGTCCCTCCAAGGCCTATCAACATTGGCATCGTCCTCCAGCCCACCGTCCTCGGCATTTCCCAGCGCCAGCTCCTCCATGCGCCTCGTAAACGCGTTCATGTCCATCTCGGCTTCCCTACGCACCCTCTCAGCGCTGTAGCCGCCTTTCTTCGTAGATGCATGGCCTCGAAGGGTCGGATGACCATCGTCGCCGTCGTCATCATCGTCAGAATCATCAGATGGATCCCAAGGAATGTCGATGGACCCAGTCCAGCCGTCGTTGAGGTAGACGTAATTGAGGAAGGACCTCCAGAGAGGGTCCAGCCCCAGCACTTGCGGGTTACCGACGACAATAAGGAGCGCTTGTGCCCGAGTAACCGCGACTAGAACGAAACGGTTTGGTAAAGGATCCTACCACCACCACTCAGAGGATAACCGCGTACGCACCATTAAACCTCCTCGGGCTTGCAACAAACCCGAGTGTGTGTCTCACATCGTAGTCAACAAACTCCTTGCTGCTTCTGACAGTCGAAATAATGATGACCTTTCGCTCTTGACCTTGGAATTCCTCGACGGAGCCGACTTTGATCCCATCCGCCACACTGCGCAAAGACGCCCGTATCTTGAGACACTGGGCGTGGTAGGGCGTAATAATCCCGATCTCGTTGTCGCCTAAAGAACAGGGAAATGGGTTAACGCTCGGGCAGTGAAGAGGGAGGAATAAAAACCCACTAATTCGAACACTCCTGTTCTCCTTCAGCCTCCTCACGTAGTCCTTCACGGTCAACACCTCGTCGACATTAAAGAACGAAGGAGACGAAGCCTCCCGATCATCTTTACCAGACACTGAGTGGAAAACCACGGGGAATTTCGGGTTTTTGGGAAGGAAAGACGATTTGAGGTAGGCGTTGATGGTGGCCGGGTTAGCGCATGGTTGGAGGTCTCCAGAGTAGAATTTCTCGTTCGGGAACTTGAGAATCGATTCGTGTGATCTGAAGTTCTTGATCAACTTGACGACACTGAAAGAAATGCATGAGTTTCTCATAGGATGAATGTGAGAGACCGGGAGCTTACGGTGATCCATATTCGAGGCCATGCTCGTCGTACGTCTCCAGATTCATGAGACGTTCGAGGTAGCTCGTCTCGAGACCAAGCGTTCTCGCAATGGGCGACCTGATGATAGGACCAAGCTGCTTGGGATCTCCCGAGAGGACAATATTCGTCAGAGAATCCGCCATGGTCTTGATGGAAATGAAGGCTTCCGGCTCGGTTGCCTGCCCAGCTTCGTCGATGAAGATGTGGCTGAAATGACCTCTAGGGATACCAATGCCCGAGGCCATGGAAGCCGCAACGCAGGTCGAAACGATTACGCGGAAGGACATCATCGTCTTTATCGGAGGAACCGAGAAATGGTTGTCGGGCGTGGTAAAGACATAATTGCACAGTTTGTCCGGGACCTGGTCCTTCGTTCGCGAGGGCGCATACATCCTAAACAGCATATCAGAGTTCAAGCCGACAGCGAGGCGCTCTGCGATGAGGTCGGCCGCGGAGTTGCTTGGTGCGCACGCAAGTATTTTGGCGTTAGGGTTAAGCTTCAGGACTTGGCGGATAGCTTCGACGATGGTGATGGTCTTCCCAGTTCCAGGACTAGGAGCGTGTTAGCTTGGACGCGGATTTACAACTCTAGCTACTCACGGTCCAAAGACGATAAAGGGTGGGGAACCGGCCGGAAGACGAGCGATAGACACAACAGCCCTCACTTGCGGTTCATTGGTGGAAATAAGGTGGTTATAGTGTTGGAGGTTCCTCATAGGAGGCAGTGCCTTGACGTGGTTGGAACGAGGGAACAAGACACGATCTTCTTCGAATGCGGAGTCTAGGGCTTGGTGTTGGCGACGGACTACGATTCGGTTGAGCTTGAAGCGAATGTTGTATCGCTGGGTGGCGCTCCAACCTGCGAAGCTGGTATGGAAGACAAGTGCCACTTCTTCTTTCCTCACAACGTGAACATGGCCCTCGAACCAGTGGCCAGGGGGAGCATTGGTCCTCTGCACAAGGATCTTGTCACCTGAGAGAAAAAGATCAGTCAAATTTCTTCACGACTAGTGGGACTGTCGCTCACCGACAAGGACGCTAGGTCGTTTTTCTGCGAGGCCAGGGATGGCAAGACTAGAAAGGCAACAGTAAGCAAAGATCCATGGCCTGGAAGAGTGCTCCTACTAATAGTAACGGTTGTGTTTTTGAAGGGTAGCATCGCGCATGTCGTAGCGCTCCAGATCGGATCTAGTGACTCGTTCAGCAACTTCAGAAGAATTATAAGAGGTAACACTACACGTACTCCGACTTGTGCTCTTCAATCCAAATCAGGTTCTTGAAGTGGCGTGCATAGGTGGCACTGCAGAACTCTCGAGGGAAGAAAATGCGCCGAACATGCTCAATCTGCTTTCTCAAGGGCTCTCCGCCATCGAGAACAGTCAGAAGATTGGTCGGGATGACCGCTCGAGGGAGGCGAACGATATATGGAATCGAGTGGGATGATGGTGGTGGGACACCTTCAACAACGTTCTGTGCAGGCTCCCGGCGTGTCCTGGGGCGCGGAGTGTATGGTTTGACAGGTTGAAGGGCTTGATGTTCGGCCTTGCTCCCAATGACGATTTTCAAGGGCCTGGAGACGATGAATTTCTTTTTCAGCTGAGTATCTTCAAACACCAGCTCTAGGCGGTCATCGTATCGTCCGATAAAACGCTGTACGAAACGGATATAGACCTGGCATGGCGTCCTCGGCGTGATCGCTGTGTTGAACGTTGCTGATGCCACACTGAATCTATGCAAGGACTTAATACACGAGCGACCTAAGCATGTGACGAGAAACTTACCCGGATACTGTAGGGCGAGATCCTAGTTTCGAAGCCAAGTTGGCCTGGAGAAGGACAGATTTGCCAAACGGCAGAGTAGACTTGATGTCGATCTTGAACGACAGACCTCCACCGGCCGCAGCGGGGTCGACATAGCCAAGATCCTTTGCGGCGTCCACGACTAGGCCGTTTTTGTCTTTCTCTGCTTCATCCAGGGCAGCGCGATACTGTAGGAACTTCTCGCGGCTTTTATGCCTGGGCGACTGAACATGGCGACTCCACAAGTGGTTCGGTACCTGCGCCTTGCACACATCGCAAACTGTTGAGGTTTCCGTGGAGATAGCAGTGATAGGTTCAACATCGATAGGCACGCCGTTCTTGACTGCTTGCTTTCGGTGCTTCGTCCCACCGAGGTGTTCGTCCCAGGAAGGGCCGACGACGTTGACTTCACACAGAGGGCACCGCAAGATCTGGTTCCTTCCCTCCATCGTCGTTTTGTGCCTTCTGGACCGAACATGGATAGTAAAAAGCTGGCTGTTCTGAGCGATGAACCCACAAGGTTCACAAGTGAGGATGGAGTGGTTGTAGGGGCAGTTACGCTCTGAGCAGATCCCGGAGGCGAGAACATTGGGACAGTTGCGGGGCGCCATAGTAGTGGTCGCTACAGATGCAAAAAGTGAAGTGGCCTTGGTTGGTGTCCGTCCCTTTAAGAAAGGTTCGTCAACAAAGGCTAAGGAAAAGTCGTTTATCGGGAGAAGGCTTCTTTTATACTGGATTCGCAATCTGCCGAACCCACGTTGGCCGAGGGAGTTACCACCGTCGGCATACTCACCTGTATTTCCTACCCCGTTTTCGAGTAAACACGTGGTCTTGGAAGGGGAATCTGGAACGGTTTCTGAGTTTGGGGAACCCAGAATCGTCGGGTGGCCCGAGAACCTAAATGACTAGGGCCCTTGATAGTTGTTCATTATCGAACCGGTGAGAGTGAGATTCTTCTGTTAGTTCCATGAGATACCGGTTCGATAGTTGAATTCCCGAGTTGAAGCTTGAAGACTGTAAAGTGTAACGGCTTTCAGGGCGTTGCGAGACAAACATCTGGGGATTGGCGCCCACTGTAACTTTTGGGCGGAGTTTCATTCCGTTCCCCTAAGCCGAGCGCTGCCGAGCCCCTATGAAAGGCAGCGCTGTCATGTACATTACACAAGAACGCATTGTCAGATCGATTGAACTACGTTCCGTACTATACAAAGCACCTCTTAGAATTACGACTCCAGGGGGAAGCGAGATTAGTGTCACTTCAATCATCGGGCGTTTCGCCGCGAATTTGGGTGGTCCAGTGAATCTCTGCACTCCACATTTCACCGTCATGGACTTTGCGAATCGGGGCGTACTGCAGAACCCTCTTCTCAGTACCTTCCGACGGTGGTTCTGTGTCCGTCGACCCCATCTCGTGGACTGGCCAGTCCTTCAGGTATTGCTCCAAGTAGGTAGAGAAGCGCCTGACGGGTTCTCCGTCACACCAACCCATCTCTTCATAACGTTTGTCTAGGATGTCCTTGTCTTCCTTTCGTTTGTTGTAGATGCTAGAAAAGGGGAATGAGGCGGTTGAGTCCAAGTCCCAGATGGCATAGTGGTATTTGGGAGACTTACATTTCGTTGTGGGCGCTCAACCCTCCATGGACCTCGAGGGCACGTACAGCGAGCGACCGAATATTGAACAGATGGCACTTTGGCCTTCTGAGCGGGTCGAGATCAGCTTTCTCCAGCTTTTGACATATTCAGTAATATCCAACGGGACAGGACAATCGCGCACTTACACAGTAAAGCACACAGGCATCCGCTTCTGTAACCCCAGTCTCCTCCCTTGTAATGATGGGTCCCACCCAGACGATCTCATCCAGCGGGGGATCGCCTTCGACTGGGGTGTAGTCGCACCGGATGATAGCACCCTTCCCTCTGAACTGAACTGACTCAGGGTTCGCGCGCAGCTCGGTGAGAGTGGCTGGTTTGTCGGGCGCCGGATCTGGAGACAGTCTCCCGATGAACACAGAAGGTCCAGTTTGGCCATAGGTGTCCAGAGAACGCAACGTCTTCGGAGGAGCAGGGACGCCCACAAAGGTGCGCCGTTGAACAATTAGTTCGCGCACGTCTTTCTCTACAAAGAGCTTCGCTCGTTGCCCGTTCGCGGCGTAAATCCACTGGTGCGGCAGTGTGTCGAGTTCTTCCTTCTTGAGGGGGGGGTTTATTCCATCCAGGACTGTTGCTTGCCCAGAAGTTATGGTCTAACGATTAGTGTCATGGGATGAACTTAGACGGGGGATACTATGGTTGGCACTTACGACGACGTCCCTGCTATGCTGAAAGTTTCCTGGATGAGCTGGAGGCACCCACGGATTCTCCTTGCACTGCTTGCACCACTCTCGATGCAACTGCCTAATCAAAGTCGACTCCTTAGTCGCTTTCCCCTTGGCTTTCGCAGTGGAAGCATTGCTGTTGCTACCGCTAGCCTCCTGCGTCGAGGTCCCGCCCGACTCTTTCGAATGCTCCTGCTCCTGGCGAGAAGGCACCGGTGCCTTCCTCGCAGACTTGATACTCGAAGCACTAGGTACCTTCGGCATGACTATTCGTTAACGATAGGGAATGTGAAGTGAGTAAACGAGGGGTAGTGGTGGAGGTGGTGGTGGTTCAGGAACAAGTCCTGGCCCATGGGAACTCTCCATCCGACCTGGAGCTTTCTCTTGCCAATTATACTTGGTGCAAACACAGTCCAAACAAGAAAGGGGCCCGGCCTTCGAGGAGGTCAGGGCCAATCTGCAGGTTGTGGCGGAGTCTTGACGCGGTTGGCGGACGCGACGCGAGGCCCCTGTTCATGAAGTTTGCATCATAAATCAACGTTTCAACGCGTCTGATCGTTTCATCAAAGCTCTACTTGTGGTGCAGACAATCATGCTTACCCTGCTAAAGAACACGACCACTCAGCTGGCCAGCGTTTAAGCTCGCGCATGTACTCCATTAATTAAGTATAGCAAACAAACAATTTTTAAATAAATTGATTCCAGGTACATATTGCAACAACAGACATCCAGTACTGGGTGAGAAGGGATACACCGCGTACAAGCTTTACAACACAGCTCATTCCTAGGAAGTAAGCATGAGATGTAAAGACAGGACTCAACAAAGGTCTTCCCAACTCCATTCCTCGAAAGCACCAGTCCCCTTGGTCAGTCGACGCAATAACGGCGCGGGGGAGGCGAGGGCGAGGTGTCTCCGAGGTCGCGTCCACCTCCAGGAGACGCCTCAGTCAAATGGGAGGAATGGCGATGGGAAGACCAATGGTCAGCCAACGCGTCAAGGTGAGCAAAATGTCCACCTTCCCGCTGGCAGGGAAAAAAACGAATGAGAGATTAGTGGGTCATAGTAAGGCATGCGGGTGGGGATCAGCAAGCGAGGGCGATAAAATGTCAGTAATAAATTATTTCCACTCTTTCCAACACCATTCAGCGATCACATCACACGTCACTTGGAGAGGTCTACAGAGACCAACTCCCACAACCTCCAACCAACGCTCAAACACCATCAAGAGTCGGGGCTATGGCACTAGGCACCGTGAGGTGGCGCCCGAGCACCGTCTACGGCGTCGTCATTGCGAACATCGTCAGCGGGCTGGGCGGAAGGCGCAAACACCGCAGCAATAGACGGTTGCGTGTCTTGCCCACTAGCTGGGATAGGAAAGATAGGCTGATGGGGCGGTACAGGGACTTTGAAGAAATCACAACGACGAACGATGAGCTCGCGCACATCGTCGACATTGAAGAGCTTCATGAGATGTCCGGACTTCGAACCCTCGAGGCGCCATTCATGAGGTAGGGTTTCCAACTCTTCTTTCTTTAGCATCGGGCTAATTCCATCAAGTCGTTTGGCTTGCTTCTCCATGACTGTCTGGGGAAACGCAGTGCGTGAGTACGACGCTCCAAGGCTGTTCACAACGATGTTCTACTCACTAGGACGTGTCCTGCATGCTTGAACCCTTCTTGACCACCTGCAGGCGCCCAAGGGTTCTGCTCGCAGAGAGTATACCACTCTCTGCGATGCCGGTGGCTGATAGGCGGGCGGTTGATCGCAGCGCTGGCCAATGGTGACGCATCATGGCCAGCGCTGCTACCAGCAGCTCCGCCGTCGCCAACGTCGTTCCTTGGAGCCATGGGCGACCTCCTTGGAACTATCCACGAAGAGAGCGTCGTTTGCACTTTTGGCATGGTTAATTATAGCGTAGCAGTGATAAGCGATCAGAATGTCGGCACTCCGTATGTAGGCGGGGGTGACAATGGTGGTCGTCAAGGAACCCATGGGCTGTGCCGTAACGCCTTGTAAGGGCGCTCAGTTCGATGACTAAGCCTTTAACCCTAACCTTGTAGCCCTTCTGTGAGAGAGAGGGTATAATATGTGGTCAATAGCGGCCGTCTGTCGACAGTACGCAGTCTATATGCTGAACGAAGAGGGAAAATCACCTATTCCAACCAGACGCGACGCGTCGGTCCTTAGCACCCCTATATCCGGGCGCTTGCTCCACACTGGCACTTCGATCGCGCTTCTTAATGATCGGACGTGGTGCCTTCCATATTTGTTTTTCAAAGGACGAGCGCTCGTGTTCCACGGGCGTCTTTTGGGTGATGGAAAGAAAGAAGTCGAACAAGATATTTCACGAATAACTACTATACAGTGTACATCTCAAAGGAACCAGGCTTCAAAGCACCGGAGCTTCACCAGTCAATTTGACCCACACCCGAGTCCACCATCAAGGCCAACGGGGCATCCCAATCCTCTGAAAAGAACTGATTTCCTTTGTACCAGTCATGTCGAAATCCTTCCAGAGGAATCTTGACAAGTGGCGCATACTGAAGCACAATCCTCTTCTTCTCCTCGTCGGTATCGGGCTCAGAGCTCAGCCCAAGCTTCCCAACGCCCTCGTGGTCAACGAGGAACTTTCGAAGGGCTGGAGAAAACTTGCGGAGCGGCTTCCGGTCTTGGTACCCGTTGCGCTCGCTCTCCAGTGCTTCAATAGCCTTCATGTCCTTTTTGATCTTCTTCATCACGCTATAATGCAGTGTCAGTATTCATTAACCATACGCTCCCCAACTGGGAAACAGGGACGTACATTTCATTATGCTTTCTCACTCCGCCGTGGACTTCCAAAGCCCTGACCGCAACGGTCTGAAGGTCGAACCACACGGATGTTCCTCTGATAGGATCAAGGTGCTTAGGCTTAAGCTGGAACTTGATAGGTGAGAACCAGCGATTCTGCGCCGATGGATAATGCACGTACGCAATAGAGAAGGCATGCATCTTCCTCCTCAATTCCAAAATTACCCCATACATTCTTTCCTTCCCAGATGATATCCTTGGGTTCGGGGTCCTCCTCGGACACCCCCTGAGGCGGCTTATAGTCACGCCTAATAACTGCACCCTCGGCTTTGAGGCGGGCAGCGAATGGTCCTTCAACAGGCGCAGCGGCTTCAAGTTGGGGCACAGAGAGAGCAGGTGCCTGGGCTTGAGACACCGTCGTCTTCCCACCTGGCAGCGGTTTATCCAAATCGAAGAAGGCCTCTCGCTCGCGAATGAGCTTGCGAACGTCCTCCGGATTGTACATCTTCATCGAGTACCCAGCCTTGGATATCCCTTGCTCATGAGGCAGCGTGTCCAATTCAAACTTCTTCAACTGGGGCGACACGCCGTCCAGTTTGGCCGCACAACCCGCCGTAATCGCCTATTTCTCACCGTCAGTGGGTCAAAAGGTAATAAATGCTAGCCCGCCTTTTCTTACTTCGATCCAGGAAGGTTGTCTGAAGCTGTAATTGACTCGCCAGTAGTTCTGTTTGCAGTGCTTCTCCCATGCTTGCTTGCGGTCCGCCTTGGCTGCAGCTTTGGCTTTGGCGTCTTCTTTGCTGGGGCGAGTCGACGCCGCCGTCCTGGCAGCCTTGGTAGTCGTGGTGCTTGTGTGCTTGGGCATAGTCACGATTAGGTCGAAGAGGGAACGGTGTTGGGCGTGGTTTCGAAACTCAGCGCGCTTCCCGTCCCATCAAACTTCGGCACTTTGCACCTACGTCATTGCTGGACGCGTCGACGCGTCGCCCTCCTATTCCATTGGATCGCCAGGGGCCGTGGATGATTATAGCGTTGCATATACCAAAAAGAAATAACTAATCATATGCTACAGGACTTAGAATTACCTTATAATCACTCCCGTCATGAGCAGCGATAAATTGGTCTGAGACCATGATGGTACTAATGCAGGTTCTGGCGGTTCCTCCGAACACCGCGAAGAGCTCAAGGCGTGGGGCAAATAAGTAAGCTTCCATTTGTGGCGCGAGGACTAAGCGCCCGTCGCCTAGAAATAGATACAACATCCGTGTTCACCGCCTTGGATCCCAGTTCGTATCAACCTCATCCTCAAGCCCAAACGTCTCCAAAATCTGTCCAAGACCCACAATCTTAAAACTCGCCCCATCCTCCCTCGACCCATCCGGCGCACTATTAACATCATCATGCACAACAACCACCCCCATCTCGAAGCCCTCCACGCCCAAATTCGTACCCACAGCCGCCACACCATCCGTATTCGTCACCTTATCCACCTGGCCCGCCTGGACAGTAAACGTGCCCACAAACTCGTGTGTGCCGCGTCGGTAGATGTTGAACGCGGATACACCTTGCGCGGAGACGATGAGGAGGCCTTTGTCGGGTGTTGGGCCGTGGACAAGTGTCACGCCTTCAACGTCCGGGAAGAGGTTACCCTGGATAGAGTCGACAAGGACACGGTCCGTCCCGGCGTCGGGTTCAGCACCGTACCGCCAGAGCCCGTACGGCTCTTCGCCGATATAAACAAACCCATTCTCGTCATCCCCAACGCATCCCTCTACCTGCCCACCATTCCCACCGATGAATTCGCGAACGAGGACAGCCTCGAGGGAGGGTGTGAGTTCGTATTGGAGATATTCGGCGGTCTTGGAGTTGACGAAGATGTAGTATTTGCCGGAGCTGCGTGAGTGATAGACGCATGAGCCGTAAACACTAAAGTCCGGCTTGACAGGGAGGTTGACGAGGTCGGTGAGACCACCTTCTGTGACCTGCATAAGGCTACGAACGAAATCAGAAATATAAACCCTTTCCTATGAACAATACTTCTTACCAAAGCGTGTCCTCGTCGCGGCAAGCAGCAACGCCAAGGTCAACAGTCCGCCCATCCTCCAACTCAAAGTTGTAGATTACATCCACATTATTCGGTTCACCCGCGGGCAACTGGGCAATCATCTGCCCTGCCAAATCGAACAGCGCAAATCCAGCGCCCTGTTTGCTCTTCGTAGTCGTCAACACCCTCGACTTGGTGCGGTCCGTTGGGTGAATCCAGATAGCAGGGTCATCGCCATCTCCTCCATTCGCATCGGTCTCGATATCGGCAAGGACGACTTTGAATGAACAATCTGGCCCAGTCCACCCGTTGTCGCATCGGCAAGTGTTAGGCCCGACACATCTTCCTCGCGAAGAGCAGTCGTTGGGACAGGTGCGTTGGTTGCAACGCGAACCAGTGTAGCCCGTGAAACAAATGCATTCCGAGCCATTGCGGAAACCACGCCGAGTGCACTGGTTGCTGGCGTCGGGATTGCTGGAAGCGTCTCGAGGGTTGAAGTTGGCGTTGCGAGGGAGGGGGATTTGGGTGAGCGAAACGATGCCAGTACCAGTCCTTCCATCATCCTCCGTAAACGAAACCACCAAGCTCCCATCAGGATATCCCGGCAAGGCACGCTGGTAAATCGCAATCCCTTCCAACTCTACATCCTCCTCCGAGAAGGAAAGCGTGTACTGATGCGCCCACTCTGCAGTCGAGAACACCTCGACGGTCCCCGACTCGACCGAGACGAACAGCGAGCTCGCATTGTTGCTCGACTCGTACACAGCCATCCCAGCAATCTCGCCATCAACAGTAATCGAAGTCTGCTGGATGCTCGAACCGGGCTGGACGGCATTCCCAGCGAACGAGTAGACGACACCATCATTCCCGCCAAAGAAGACTGTTCCAGCAGCCGTAGCAGCACAAGCTTCTGCTTCTACAGGGACCGCAAACTCGCATATCTACGTCCAACGTCAGATAAGACTAGTTTTGCGTGATACAAAATGGAGGGAATACACACTTCTTTGATGTTTCCTCGTTCGATTTGGACGAGCTTCGCGTGACCTTTGCCGAAGATGTAGACAAAGGACGAGCCAACAGCGCAAACGGCCGAGTAGTCTCCCCAGAGCCTAAGGTGGGATGTGCGGCGCGGGTTCTTGAGGTTGGTAACAGCGAGGAGGGAGTCCTCGATGACGAGGCTAACCAACCAGTCATCCCGGTCCCTCTCTCCATAGAGGGTCGTAACCGACTTGGTGTCCCTCCGGACTGTGCTGGTGCCTGTCAAGGCAGGCAAGCTGTAGCTGAACAGGCCGGATACATTCGCCGCAAAGACGAGAGGCTCGGAAGAGTCGTAGTAAACCCCCAAAGGACCTGTATCATCCGAAGGCGTATACTCCTGTATCGGAATCTCGAGAGCTGTCTGCGCTAGGATGCTCTGAATCCGCAGAGTACAGAAAGCTGCCAGAGCAGCACTGAAGAAGGCGACCATGGTGTGGACAACGACCATCTTCAAGCCAAAAGACCCATTGTTATAGCTCTTTCCAGAGGACCAGAAGAACGTGTGCTGAAGAGCGCATTTCTGAGACTTTAATGCACGTTCGACATGGAGCATGTGGTCTTTTCAGTGTCTAGCAAGGTTTCGGACGTGTTTCTGGGGTTCTTTCTGATTCCTGACAGCTATTTGTCTGACTGAGCACGCCCATTGGTCCCGGTGGCAAGACGGATGACCTACTTGTTGAGTGGCGGTTGTCGTCGTTGCTTCGACTTGTACAATTTGAGGACGGTGGCGGGCAGATCGTCAACGTTTCATCCATGGGCGTTGGTGGTCGCTTGTGGTCAAGATTGTTCAAGGGCAACAGGGCCCGGGATCCGAGCCCTTACGCAACGAGTCCGTCGGCATCCCTTGAGCTCATTTCTAACCTCTTGAATTCAATTCTTGTGATTTACTTCTCATTCCTACAAACATTCCATCTAACAGGACACCCCAATCTAAGTAACAACCAGCAAAGATTAACCGATTCCTCGGCAAACTACGCTTAACGATTATAAACCCAACTAATTGACTAGTCCATAGTAGAAATTATGTTGTTCCAGGCACCCGGTGAGAGGGAGCAAGGGGGTCACTTGTCCTCCCAAGAACAAGAAAACAAAAAGGGGAGTAGGACCAAGAAGGAAGTCGGGAGATGATGTGGATGGCGCGAAGAAGGAAAGACCTAAGAACTGTGGTAGTTAACCCTATAACCACGGTTCCTGAGACCGGACGAACGAGGGAAGAAGGTGGCACGCGAGGGACGCAAGAAGAGAAGGAAAAGACGAAGCTTCTTGAAGCCCGATGTCGGCGAGCAGATTAAGGATGAACGGGTGACCCAAAAGAATACGACAATGGCATAGAAATAAAATGATGGTAAAGTACGGAGCCAAGAGGGTGAAGTGATATGTGCATGTGAATGAGAAGGTAGAACTATGGGATAATAGGAGACAGGGAGAGAAGAGTGAATGAATGGGACATTATAAGAGTGGATGTGTTGGTAGTGTCGATAAAAATACAAATGTGGGCCAGATTTCCTCTGAATTGATTGGATCCAAGGTTGATTAAGTCGTTATATCGTTGTTCGAATGCCGGAAGGTGGAGAAGATGAGTTTGCACGCATCTCGTGGGAGATGGTATCAAAGTGAATCAAAGACCCACCCTCGATCCCTGGACGAGGCCTGCTCATGTCCTATTGCGAGCGTCGCCAAACACCTGGGCAAACGTGTTGGTATCTTCATCATCTTCCACGCCAGCGCTCCCTCCTCCATGTCGCACCCATCCACTGCCCCACTCCTGACCCAAGTCGTCATCGCTGAGCGGAGACCGGACATACTTCTGACTGGCAAATGATCTGCCGCGAGCCATTTGGGGGCGGTTGCTGGCGTTCTCCAATTGAAGGTGCCTTCGCAAGCTGTGGATAGAATTCTGTCGCCTGGCAATGGGGAGAACCAACATCTGGCGAAGATCAACCTCTCCATCTCCGTCCTCGTCGTCGTCCGAAGTACCACCTTCGTCACTGTCATCATAATCATCATCAATAACCATCGTCGACCCGGCACCCCTTCCTCTTCCTCGAAGGTACCGATTCTTCACATCGTTAGCCGTCATCGTCGTCGTCGCCGCCGGTCTTCCTCGTCCATGATTCCACGGATCGCCCTCGACCTGGGTCCTGGCCAGACTGGGCAGCCGATCTTTATCCGCATCCCTCCGCCGCTTATCCCCTCTACCTCGCTCTCGCCGACCCATCCCACTCTCTCTTCTCACCAACGAACTCGCACGACTTCCCGGTGCACTCCTACAAACCACTCTGGTACGTGTCACTTCGGTCTCGCTCCTGCCCGCCCGTCCTCGCTCAAGCATCGTCAAGAAGGGAGGAGGGGCGAGTGTATTCGTCTGATCCGATAATCCGCTACGCCGCTTTCCGTGGGTGCGCCAATTGGAGGTGGTCTGGGAGAGGGAACTCCGGGTGTTTCGAAGCTGGGGTCTGCGGGACGCCGGGTGGCTCTGCAGCGGGCCACCGATGTGCATCCCAGAGCCACTCGCAAGGACGGCACGGGCCACAGTTTCGAGCCACGTATTGGGGAGCGGCGGCTGGGCTCTCGGATCCTCCTCGCCCTCGCCGTTGCCCTTGGTGGTGAAGATGATGCTGGGATCGTCGTCGTCCTTCTCTCTCGAGCGCAGGGAGAAGGGCGCACGGTGGTGGGCTGGGGTAGAGTTGGGTCGAGGGGGCTGCTGCATACTGATGTTCGAGGCCATGTGGCGAAGGTAGGCTTTAGCTCGAGATGGCCGGGGATGAGCTAGGGTGGGGGACGGTGGTGGATGATACAGAGAGGCTTGTGAGGGACGAGAGGAGAGGTCGTAGCGCGATCTCGCATCCGAAACCTGTCTTGAGGTCGCCTTTGGGGTGGCGTCGTCGAAGCTCTCCATGGAAGAGGACAAGTCACCGGGTGTCGCAGGTTCCCTCACGGATCTTCTCTCCCCGAGTGGCGACGGTGGTGGTGAGAATTCGTCGCTCGGCTGCCGAGAATGCCTGCCTGGACCAGGGAAGAGGTTGGTCAGAAAGTCGACAACTGCACCCATACTGCTAAGTCGATTCTCGTCTGCTCTGCCATCTGCTGCCGCCTCTTTGAGTCGCTCCATTTCCGGCGTAAATACGCGCGTTTCCTTGTACCCAGCCTCCCTCAGCAAATCCTCAAAGTTCTCATATCGCTTAGAAGTCCCTCTGCGGTGGAGCGGGACGCGTCCAAGGTCTCCATACCGGCTACTCCTCGACCTCTCCAATCTTGGCGGAGGCGTCATTGGTCCAGGTGGCGAGCTCGAAGAGTTGGAAGTCGACGTCGCCGATGTCAATGTGGACTGAGTTTGCCAGGATGGGGACTCGGAACCATCTGGTGACGAACTCTGCGTAGCATAAGCCTTATTTCCCGTATTTACATTAGCAAAGTTTCTGATATAGATTTGGTCGTGTACACACCTTGACCGAGTCACCCCGGTTGATTGGGATATTGTCCGGTGGTGTGTTTGCCATCGCTGCCTAGTTATCGAGAGCCGGCTGTCTCGATGAGTATCAGAGCTGGGGCGCGGGGGTGGTTGGGTGTATGGCGGGGCAGCGTCGTCGTCGTCGAGGTGGTCCCTAGGTGCCTCGTCGTTGTCGTGGTCAACGACGTCGGGAGTTGATCTGGCACGCGCTGGGGATGGTGGGTGTCCTTGTCAGAGTTTGTTGATTTTGATATTGGTCTGAACAAGACTTGCAAGACAATGGTCCCAAAATGAACTGGCCCAAATTCCCCGTGGGAATCGTCCCGGCACCGCTCCCAAAAAAGAACATACGATTCGAGGCAAAACGACCGTCGAGGATTGGCTCTTCGTCTCCACTCTGCTCCCTGCATTTATCATAATGCCGTGCTAGATGTCGACAACTAATGTGCATTTGGAGCTCGAGCTGGACAGGATTAACCCTTCCACTCCATTCATCTACACTGCCCTCTGGCATTTTCTCGTTCCCACTCAGCCTCCCAATTTCGCTGACTTTTCGGAAAGAAACGAGGCATATACACCGGCAATCTAACTTGCGAACTCAAAAAAATTGAAAGCCTACGATGGGAAGAAACCCGGGCATCATCCCAACTCCTTCCGCCTCAAGTTTCTTTTTATCCACCACCCTGGCGCTCTAGAGCTCTAGGGTGTAGGGTTGATTTACTATCCCTTGTTGTCATCCTGAAACCTCTACCATAAATGCCGCTGACAATTCCACCCTACTTTCAAGCTCGATAGATGGATAAAATTGTTGCTCCCCTTAAATGGCAGAGTACGCGAGGCGATGGGGGCGGTGTTCCAGATGGAGAAAGGGACGGTGGAAACAGAAGTCCAGAGTCTAAAAAGCTCGGATAAACACAAGGAAAAGAAGCGGTAAGGCGGTAGCTTGTTACATAGAGCGTGCTTCTTGCTCTTTAACAAGTGGACAAGTGAACAACAGCAGAGTTTTCCTGCTCTTTTTAGATTAAGTGATAAAGGGCCGCGTCCCGCGACTGTGGACCTTGCTTTAGCGGCTTGGACGCCTTTTTCTTTTGTGCTCAAGTCGGTTTTGCCTCTCATCGTAATAGGCGTCCCCTTACCTGTCCGCCCCCCTGTACCACACAGCTCAGTCATTGAATGCGACGCGATTTTTTTTAAATAATGAAACTGTAAATCCTAGGTTGTCTGGCTGGTCAGGACTCTGCAGCCCTGCATTGTACATGCCGATAATAAAATCACCTTCTCTGCCCCTCACACAAAGTCCCAACACATACATAAGTACATACTAGGCCAGAATCATATTTCTCATGTCAGTCCGACACGTCCCAAAGCCTAACCCGCTCACAAATAGTAAGCCCACGGCCCCCCGCGCTTGATACTTGTAGAGGTGAAAGGTGACGAACGCCAAACCCTTCCTAGACCACTGATGCCTAGCGGGCCATGCGGATTACGACCAGCACATACGAAACATACTGGAGGACACAAGGCATGCCGCCTATTAGTTGTATCCAGAGCAGCAGCATAGCAGACTAGGAATTTGTGATCGAACCGAAGGAAGGGTACGATCCAAAGCAGCGGTAATGAGCCAGGAAAGGAATGCCGGCCGATGTTTGCATATCTTTGGAACTCGAGTTTTAGGCACCTAAATCTTACATAATGTGACCTGGTACAGACCTAGCTAAAGCAAGGTCAACTGGATTTGAGGACGAGACTTATGCGCCTGTGGCGGCTGGCGAAAACAAGCGCCCGCGATGAGGTCGGTCGCTACTAATCCTGCATTACGCGAAGGGGTACAAATTGAAAACCCTTGGTGGTAACTAGCCCTGCATTTGAAATTTCAGTCAGGTTGGTCACACGAGTAGCTCCTTGAGAGAAGAATCGAGACTCATTCGTGAAGCTTCGGAATGAATCACATAGCCATACCGTTGCTCGTTGCGATGCCGTCCGGAGGGAACCCTGGCAGCCCAACCACCAGCGGTTCAATGGTCTAGTGGTTATGATTTCTGTCTCACATGCTCGTGAACACAGAAGGTCTCCAGTTCGATCCTGGATTGAACCAATTTCTTTTTTTGCATGTGAGCGCCTGCACGAACGGCGTCCATCGAGGCGATTCTTTTTCCGCAGTGTGGGGCAAGGCTCGTTGCTCGTGGCCAGGAAGGAATATCATATTACAGATAGCGAGGCGCTCCAGCAACGACGAACCTCTCCTCGAAATGACAGAAAGGAAAATGCCAACGAGCCTACAATCGTACGTACACCCAGTCCATTGTGGAACACTAAACCACGCCGCCTTCGCGACTTTCCCTTCTTTTTTATTACACACGCAGACAAGGATTATGACGGGTATAAATAAAAGGAACGACGAAACAACAAATCGAAACGAAACGAACGTGCAAGTCTTAACGAGGTATACGCACATCGGTCAACGATGGGTTAATTGGTGAACGGCTTTGGCTTCTGGAACCATGATTGCTCGATGATTGTTGGAGAGCGGGGGGTTTGGACCTCAGATGACTGCGCTCGTCATAGTCCAGCGCGACATCGTCGTCCGACTCTTCCTCGTCTTCCTCTCTTAACCGTCTCAACCCAACCACCTCGCCATTCCCAGCTACGTCATCGTGTTCGTCGAAAGCATTGAAGAGGGTGTTTCCTTGAGAGCGGTAGAGCGAGCTGCGGCGGCCGTGGCCTGCACGGCCGGTGTCGGCCCACCCGTCGATGGACATGCGGCCTTGGAGGCTTAGTCGAGGGTTCATCAGTCCGCCTTCGAGAGCGCTGTGGTCTGGATGCTGGGGTTCGGGTGCGCGGGAGTAGTTGAGGAGGTGAACGCCCAGGAAGGTGATCACGAAGCCGGTGACGAGCGAAACGCCCGTGCTTGTGCTGGTGTTGTACAAGCCTTGGAAGAGGATGAGGGATGCAAGGATGGTTGCGCTTGAGAAGCCGACGTAGTACATTGGGTTGACGCTTCGGAAAAGAAGAATAAGAACGCCGAGCAGGGGAAGACCAGATAGAGACTTACACGTTAGTCGAGAACGTGTCCAACGCCTTGTTGAAGTAGTTCATTTGAATAATGATACAGGTTGGAACGATGATTCCGAATACGTAGGTGCTAGGATGCGTGAACTGGTTGTTGCCGTTGAGCGTGAGCTGGATCGCCTTTCCGAAGCCTTTGATGGCCATGACCGAGATCGAGCCGACGAGCGAGCAAATGGTAATGTAGACGATTGGGTTTGAGCGCCCGTGTTTGGGCGAGACGACGAAGATCATGAGGAGGGTGACCAAGAGCACGGTGAAGCAATACATGAGGAACCCGGGTTGGATGGCATAGTGGAGGATTTCGTCGACGGTTTCGATGGGTCGGTCTTCTGGCGCGTGCAGCACGATAATGAGGGAACCTAGTAGACACAGGGTGCACCCCACTCGGCCTAGATGGCCTAGATGTTCATTTAGAAGAAATGAGGCCAGAACAGCACTGTCAATGTGTCAGAGAAATCGTCGCCTGCGGAATGGCACCACTGCTCACCCAATGATCACACTCAGCGCTCCCAACGGTGTTACGAGAATTGGTGGGGCGAAGATGTACGCAGCAAAGTTGGCGACTGCAGCACAGTCAATCTCTGAGCAGATTTGGACGAGATTACTACTCACTTTCTCCAATCACCACTAACCGAGCAAAAAGAGTCTATTTAGCGTGCCTGAGCAGCCAAGAAATCTTGTACGACGTACGAGTAGTCATTCCAGCCCACCACATTGGGCTTTTGAAATACGACAAGTTATCCGTCGCTTGAGTTCCATATCCAGACCGATCCCCAGCTTCGTTCAAGCCCTAAAAAATCGGGAACGGCGTTCAGTAAAGCTCTGGACGGAAACCCCAGGGTTGGTTATTGTGATAACAGGGGGGGTCTGGGGCACCTTTTTTGTGATGATGAAACTGCTCCCGATGGCTATCGAGCTTGATATTGAAAGGGCAAGCCCTATATACTTGTCCTCGACCATGGCCTGCCAATTCTAGAGAAAAATGAAAAAAAAAAAGTTGCCGTGGACGTTGTGTGATTCCAAAAGCCAGCAATGGCTGCGCTTAATCCCCTTGCACGCGCGGATCAGCGTCGTGGCACTGCCCAAGTCACGTGTAGGCCTTTATTTGGACACCCAATTTGGGCACGGGCGTACAAAGCTTTCCCCTCCAATTTCGACCACCATTGACTTTCAGTTTTTGTCTTCTGGGCCGGCTATTGTATTCTGTAATCTGAACCGGAATGTACAGTACGATGCTGACATGAAGGAATTCAAATTTCTCGTCATTTTCTTACTGCTGTTCTTGAACTGTTACTTCGCCCCAGCTACTTTGCCAAGCTGGCGCCTCCGTTTAGAGTGTCGGGAATGCTTCACAAATGCAGGTATGGCGGTCTTGATTCTTCACAAAACAGGTTCTCATCTAATGTCTGTTTTCGGAGCAGTCCTGATTGAGTTACAGTGAAGGAGTCATCCAATCGTAGAATGACTCGCACCCCCCTTCTGAGTTCCAGCCGTATGGATCGCCTATTCTTGACAGTGCCTTTGGAGGCATTGGCCTTCAGGCGGGCTCGTTGCCTTCTCCAGGAAATCCCAGCGTCGATTTGCGAGACTCAGGGGTGTAAAGGAGGACTCGGTACGCATTTCTTGCTTCAACTCGCCTTATCACCCACTTCGCAGAAAACCGGGATAACCGAAAATAGCTATGTGCAATTGGATATGTACGGTACGAGCGCGAGATTACAGACAGCAGAGCAGAGCTAACGTATGTGCAAAAGGTAACCAGAGCAATGAAAAGCGAGGGCGATGTGCAAGAAAGTGGGGTTGGATGGAGTGACGTTAACGTTCAAAGGGGCGACAAGATGGACGATATGAATACATGGAGGGGCGTGGTGATGGTGATAAATGGATGGATGAGTGGTTGGATGGAGTGTGGATGCAGGCGAGGAGAATTGAATGTACAAGAGAAGAATCCGGTGGCGATATAAGCAATAAACAAGCGGATGGGGATGGGGATGGAAGGGTATAGGCGGAGATTGTCCAAGAGGATAGAGGGGTGGTTAACGAGCCTCGACCCGGGAGCAAGAAAAAAGGTGAGTCAGTCGTGATAAATATATGTTCGTCAATATGGGTCTAATTTTGAGCGATGGTCAGCTGAATCTGGTTCCCTAACGTCGCCAGATTATGGTGACCACTATTCGCCATCGTGGTCGTCGTGGCGGTAGGCCGGTGTCGGTGTCGGGTGTCTTGAAGGTTTCGTGGTTGAGGTATGTCGACTCACACAAAAAAAAATCATCTGTCAACTCAGCGGATCGTGACGTCTTCCCCATCTTCTTCAGCAGGCATCCCGCAGGGGAACCTCAAAGTTAAGACGCCATCTTGCAAGGAGGCCTCAATGTCTTCACGCTAAATGAACGCGGAACGCGACGCGAAGCCCACGTGCAAAAGCAGAAGAACGTTAAAACTCCACTCGACGAAATCTCACAGACAGAAGGGGCAAAAGGAATGTCGACGACTGTCGATGGCAGAGAAAGAACGAGGCGGCAAAAGGGGGGCGGAGGAAGGCAGGTACGTACTTTCAGGTCAGATGGAACGGGCAGCACGCGCTGGCAAATCCCATATCTCCGTTCTCTCACAGACATTTTAGGGCCAACGACCCCGGTGAAGACACCCTCAGAGGTGGAAGCAGCAGCAGCTTGATTGATCAACGGCGGAAAACCAGCTGGCGGGTAGACCACCCCGCTTATTGTAATCTGCCTCACACGATTATACGAGCACGTCGACAGTCTCACCGACAGATGCTCCCGCTTCACGCCAGGCACTTCAAGCACGGCCGTCAGCACATGCGTATCCGTGTCGTAATGCGTGTCCATGCGGATGATGTATGATTTTGGTTTGCTCAGCTGTGCAGAGGGTGGGACCGGTGGTGGATCCATCGGTCGTGGCGAGCTGCGGAGAAGCGTTGAGCCAAGTGGAGGTTGGCCGGCGACGGGGGATCCACTGCAAGAGAGCGGCCTTGAGCTGAGGTATGTGTTGAAGTGTGGAGGGACCCACCTGACTGACGATCCAAAGCTAGCAATACGGGTAGTTGGCGAAGGCACAAGAGGAGACGCTCGGGTGGAAGACGACGACGGTATTGCAGACGCGACAACGCCACCACTCGATCGACGAACCATTGCTGGAGGCTGCGCAAAATGGACGTGTTGCTCTCGTGGTGTTGGAACTTGCTGTTGGACTGGGAAGACTGAGATCTGGTGCTGCGGAGGCTGGCCTTGTCTTGAGCTTCCTGCTGTGACCGAAGTCGACGTCGAAGGTCGCCTATACGGGTGGGCCTGCTGTTGCGCTTGGTGGTGCTGCTGTCCTCTTCCTGGCCTGATGATCATCGAGCTGGAGGAAGACAGAGGCTGTGATTGGACGTTCTTGGATTGGGTGCTATGGAACACGACAGAACAATGGAAGAACGCGTCAGTACCAAACCAACCAAATGGGAGCTGCGACAGACCTTGGATCTTGGTTGACTGCATGGAGGCGCACTTCGGCATCATGTTGGCTTGGTACGACCGGGGGATCTTCGAGCTGAATCGTCTGGGGATAACCACTTGCAATCGGCGAATGCAAATCACTCGGGATAACCGTTTGTTGTTGCTGTTGGGGGTTCTGTTGCTGGTGTTGCTGTTCTTGCTGTTGTTCACCCTCGATCGTGTCCCACCGCGGGAACGCATCATGCGGCGTGGACGGGGTGGAGTAGTTTTCACCACCAGGAAACTGTCCGCCATAGGGATTCGGAAACGACATACTGACACGTCTTGGTCTTCAAGGTTGGGGAAGGAAAAAGGAACGGGCAAAATCAATCCTAGAGTTTTCAAGTCAACACGTATCAATCATATAGAAGGGGAGCAAAACGGGAACAGGTCCTGGGAAGGGACGCGCGGTTTTATAGGGCGGGGGTCAATCTGACTCACGCGTCTTAATCTCCGCTTCCGCCTTGCCTTTTTGAGCTTGAACAATGGAATTTTGCTTTGCAGGACCCCGAACACTTCCCGCCGCTTACCATACTTGGACATGCTTTTGGGGTCCTGGCGGCGCGGCACTGCCACGGGCGGCCTTAGAACTCCATTGTCCGCTCGAAAAGGGAATATCTCCGGAAGCTTTTTGGGCAGCCCGTGATGCAACGATGATGGAAGATGGTCTCTTGCTCGGGCGAACGGGCATGGCGAGGCGGGTTAGTGTTTTTGAGGCGACCTGTAGCCATTGTTTAGAGTTAATGCGACCACGTTCATGGGAAAATTGGTGGGTTGCGATGCGGAAAGTACGTACTCAGTCCGGAAGGCGCGATTAAGGGCGGGGCGGGGAGGCGGTGTCGGGTTCCCACAGACTCGGGCGAAGCATGATAATGACACTCGCGATGGAGACCGAGACCCACAATTTGTCGAACAGACTCAACATGTGTTCGATCTTGATGCCGTCGATGAATGTTGTGACGAACGTGGAACATGCATTGGAGCCAAGGTAGTTAAGATGTCCCTTGCGGCCATGCCGAGTCAGTAGAGAGAGATTCGAATATCATCATGTAGTTAAAGTAGCAAGTACAGAGAGGTGGATCGCCTTGGAGCGTAATAGTTCCTACATGCGCATGTCGAACATACCTCAACGCCTTGTCCCAGCGCGAAGTTGGGGTCTATTTTCCATGCATTTTTGGCCCTTCAATTTTGCGTCGGGTCTGGTTGTTCGGCCGGAATTTGTTTTGCTCTTGCTTCTGGACGCCGGTACCTTCGAAATGCTCGACGAGTCATTTTGGTCGGACATTGTATTCGGTCAATGCAACCTCGAGGGTGCGTGCAGGTCAATGAAATTTTTGGACATGCGCCGTGTCTCTTAGCGTCATCGATCGGACCCTGCGCGCTAATGAGCCCCTAAACGCGCTCGATCTCAACAGCAGGTGCAGATATTGGAACGGTGTTCATAGCCAATCCTAGATTGTTTACAAGGTCAATATGCAGAAGTGCAGTGTGGTTAGATATCCTATCAGTAGATTTCACTCCTAGAGGTCTCTAGGAAACCGGTGAGAGCATGAGGTCGCTGCTGCTCAGTCTCTTAAACCCATGCATTCGCCAACGGAAGTTCTGGCCGTTTTCAAACGTTCCATCCTCGTACACGGGAAGATACTGCCATATTTCTTTATTCTTTTGTTCCACACTCTTGACTGGGTCATTGGCGCTGTCGTATTCACCGTAGGGGCCGGGGTCGTTCAAATACTTCAGGAATTTCTTCAACCCAGCCGGCATCTCTTGTGTGGCTTCACCATTTTCAATGTCTTCCAGACGCTTGTTGATAATGCTTCGGATCTCAGTATGGATGAATTCGATGAGTAATTGGTGTCACTCACAGCTGGTTGTGGTTTCTGACGCCCCCGTGGACCGTGGCAGCCCTGATAGCCACGGATTTCTGGTCGAACCAACTGGACGTCGATGATCCTCGTAACGGGTCAAGATCGCGTGGTTCCAGCTATGTACGAAGCACCGGAGTGTCAGTTAGACCAAGCTTGGAATGAACATTGCGTGCTTACGAGATACATAAAGCATGCCTCCTTCTCGTTCATTAAAGCTGGAGCCGGTAAGTGTTGGCCAATCCAATTTATTTCGGATGGGTTTGGGTCGTCCGGGGACGCGTTGGGAGGCGGGATGTACTCGTGCTTTTCGATTACCCCCTTGTCGTTGAACCGTTCAGAGAATGGACCGCCGACAGAAGGTGAAGGCACGTCGACATTCCAAGCCTTGCATCGTTCTCTGATCAATCTTCGAACATCATCTTTATTAAAAAGCTTCATTTTCCTGTCACGGTTGTGGGGAGATGGACGCCATTCGTGGGGTAATGTCGCCAATTCGGTCGGCTTTAACTTGGGTTTAATCCCGTCGAGACTCTCCGCATCTCCAGCTGTGATGGTCTGCATTAGAACGTAAAGATTGAGATGATGATTAGATGTGCGTTGTGAGGACTTAGAGAGAATGGCGCTTACGACCACCGACAAGTTGTCGTATCTGAAGCCAGTGGCGGGCGGCCTCCAAGTTCTCGTTTGAGTTCCGTGAGAGTTGGTTCCTTGGTTTTCGTATTATTCTTCTTAGGACGAGGGGAGACAGGTGCTGCTAGTGAAGACTTTTTTGGGGAAGAATTAATTTCCTTCGGCATGCTGGCGGTGGAGGACTAGACGGGCTCGAATTTCCCGCGCATGGTGGCAACTGTCGGTCATGCAACATGTGGGTTTATAATTAGCACATTTTGGAATGGGAGAAGGACTTTCTGGATTGGCTTGCCCATCCACCTTTGGGGAATATCCTCAGTAACGTTTAACAAATCCATACAACTTTAAGCGCCCAAGTGTCTCGTTTACGAATGTCAAAGATTTGCGGGGGAGGAGGCCGTTGTGATCGAACGAGTAAGTCCGACTGATGGCCGTTATTCCCGGGTGCACTGGGGTGGGCCATTCACGCACCAATGCATCTTCTTCCAAATCTCCCATCTGCTTCCTCGACGACCGCTAATTTCTCTCAACTACCTACGTGGCGTGCAACATAGACCCTTGAACCTCTCGAAGAAATGTCATATTCGCCACCGATCCGCCGTTTATCGTCAGCGAGCAACAGCAGTCGCCACCAGGAAGAACTCATTAATGCATACGAAGCAGAGGAAGAGAGAATCATTAATTTGTTGTCGAGGAAGCTGGAACAGGTGAGTAGCAATAGTCTATGAAATTTGAGGAGCTGACTGTTTGCTTTGCATTGGTGTGACGACCGCATACATAGCTTCGTCAAGAGAAGATCGGACTCGAGAACGCCCTGGAAGCCGAATCTGAATCTCATGTGAACAGGCTTTCGCGAGAGCTCTCTGCTCTTCGTCTCGCACAACAACAATTTCAGCAGCAGCAACAAAATGGGAGCGCCAATGGAACAGGTCCGAGTTCTAGCGCTCTCTCCAATGCCGACCTCGCCAGCTCTCCTGAAACTAGAATGGGTCTACGAACTTTCATGAACGGAAGTCATGTCGATCCGAGCCCCGAGGCCGTTCTGGAGGCTTTGAGACAAGAGAACGAGCAACTCAGGAATAAGCTCGTGGACACGGAACGAGAATACATCCGGATAACCAGACTGAACGATATCTATCGAGAAGAACTTATCGACCATCGTCGACGGGTACGTCATCCCATGATCACCCTTGAAGTCATGGACTCACTCTTTTTTATAGCTTGGACTTCCTTTAGATAACCTGATAGGGCTGTCTTCTGATCCATTGTCCCAGCCAACGCACCGCCAGCCGACATCCTACTCCATATCCAATGGATCCTCTCCTTCCACCTCTGTTTACTCGCGACCTTCGCACCCACAAGGCGTACCCATACCTCGAGCCCACACATCATATCGTCCACCAAACCATATCTCTTCATCTGAGCTCAACACGCCGCTCTCGCACTCTCCCTCCTTCTCTGAATCGCCGTACCCATTGTTTTCACCAGGCACATCGGCGGCTACCAATGCTGCTAGCATTATGACTTCAAGCACTAATATCACTAGTCCTCCATCATCAGCCTCTTTAAACAACCCTCCGACGCTTTCACTGACACCAGGAAGAGGATTGACTTATCCTTCCGTCCCTCCACCTTCTCTATCCTCTTCGTTTGGCTCGCCCACCGTTTCCTTCCACATCCCCCATCGAGACCCGTCTCTATCGCCCATTGAACCCCTCAGCAGACGGAACTCTAATGCTCGAAGGGGAAGTATATCCCGTAGCGGGGGTCCAAGTGGAGGAGGATCGGCTAGTCGGAGAGCGAGTCTAGACTTCGGTGCCAGGGTGGCTGAGACGGGGACTTTGGTTCCAAGACCTGCTAGAAGCAGGGCTGGGAGTCAGAGTGCGGAGCGTCAACTGGAGGCAACCTTGGAAGTCGAAGTTTTTGACAATGACCTTGGCGTAGTGGACGAGAGCGAGGATGTTGCCGGAGGGACGGCGGCGGAGAAGGAATCAAAGGTTTAGGAAGATGAGCGGTCGGAATCGACAACTTTGTTTCTTTCCACCGTGATAGAACATTGTCACTGGTAAATAAAATTTTCTGCGCACATTTCGTTGTACTTGTACTGTATATTATAGTCCCAGCCCCTGCTTGTACTTGTATTTTTATTTCCCTAGAAGATTCCCTGTATTAAATAACGACAATATCAGCAGAAATTAGACCCTTGTGGTTAGTTTCTCGGTTCCCTGAAACCCGTGAAGTGTTTAGGAGCGCTGAAGAACAAAAAACTCGGTTCATCGACGTGAACGGAGAGATCTGCAGAGAAAACAGGAAACCGAAATGGCCGGAATGTGGGGAAGGAAATCTTCAGAGCTAACGTGAAATAAGATCGCCGCAACACCTCCCGCACCAACACATGGAATCAATGCGCAGCATATGTGCTGTCGACGGACCTGATAACTTGGTTGTGATTGGCTGGACAAGCCCGGCCAATTCAATGTGAACAACCAAGTCCCTCCTCGCATCAAGCGCCGACTCAGAGCTATCCTTAGACGCGCTAACCGTGACAGAACTTCGCGTAATTCATTGGCAATCTATCCCTTCTTCCACCGAAAGGTACAGAGCAATACAACAGTTTCGGTAACCTATGCCAGGCGTGTCGCACTAATTAAATGGGAACCTGGAAATTTGAGTACGCGCCCCTTGGGCACATGCGGGATAGTTCAAGTCGATCAGAACCATCTGAATCAGTCATACACACACGGTAGCGACGGCATCTACCACTTCTTTCACACCAATCCCTCGCTTTGCACTTAGCCTACCGACGTCCAATCAACGATCCTGCGCCACTCCCCCTATTTTTTGAATGAAAGCTGCTCGTTGAAGCTCTGGACAGTGGAGTGGACAGCCGTAGAATTGTCCTGACCGTACAGGGAGCGTAACATTCCGTGACTGGTGTCGTGACACATTGTCCAAGAACTTCGCCAGGTGCTGGTTTGTGGGTCCTTAAGATAAAGGGCGTGTACGGGGGGATCCGATGACCGTGGACTCGTGGAGTCGTTCCCCTTTGGGAGCAGCGTCGAGCCGAGGAAGTGTAACCTTATTGGAAGAAATCAATACAATCGATGGTACATATATGAGGAGAAGTCCAGGCTCTTTGCTTGGCTGAGTTTCTCCCCGTCCCCCCTTGCCTGTCCACCTTCCGTTGTTTCACCCAGATTTCATCACTAAACCCCATCCGTATCTGTTCTTCTCCACACGGGCTTGAAGCTTCAACCGCGTGCAATTGCATCAACTCCACCCGCCTTGCTTGGGGTTTCACTTTCCAGCTATTCGATCGCTTTCCACGCTTTCTTTCGTTTCTATTTTAACGTTGAGCATCGACACTGTCGTGACCTCCGGTAGCCGATCGCCATCTACTCCTCGATACCCTCAGTTTCAGCGACCAGCCAGATTTCCAAGTTCTTCGAGTCAAGATGCGACACATAGAAGTCAAATGCCCATCGGGAACCCATGAATTTTGTTACTCGATCTCGACGCCGACCTGTACGAGCGCGACGTCTGTGGACCCCGAGAGGCCGACGGTGTTGTTCATCCACGCTGGATACATTCCGCAAGAGGTCTTTCAAAGTACGTTGCTGTCGTATCGCGTCGCATCGATAATTTTTCGTTGACTGATCCTTTTCGTTCTTTCAGCACAATATGAAGATCCTGAACTACGCCAATTCAACCTTGTAGCTGTGGACAATCTGGGGCATGGGAGTACGCGGGGCCTGATTGGAGACCAGAGATATACCCCGACGGAGACGGCGCAAGATCTGAAATGTGTTATGGTCAGTCGGCCGATGGTCATCCTGGCGTCTACTCTCTATACTCATGCTGGTTCCCATCTACTCTACAGGACGCCCTGGGTCTACCGCCATGCCATGTATTCGGACTTTCTCTGGGAGCGACAATAGGACTGGAATTGGCTTCTCAATATCCATCGAGTGTACTCTCGTTGACTCTGTGCTCACCTGTGACTCCAGAAGAGGTAAGCACTATTTTCTGGTCTCTTAAGCGTGGACTGTAACTCACTCCTACTACGTTAGCTGGAAGACGTGATTGCCGGCCGGATACAGGTGTTCAACTACTGGTCGGAGGTGTTCCATGACTTTGACCATGGGGAAGAGCAACGGCAGCAGCAGGAAGAGTTGGTGAGCGAGACGCTGTATGGAGCGATGCAGCTGTTGTTCAACAACAGGGAGACGAGGCTGACCAAGCCGTGAGTGTTTTCTTTTGCTGCATCAAGCGTGTTTGCACAGGTGCTGAGGCCTGTTGATAGGATGGCGACGTCAGCGATGGTCCGCTCGATCGATATCTGGTCGGGGAACGCGGAGAGAATCAAGAAGAGCTATGATGCTTGTGTCCGGTGGTTCACTGAACGAAAACCTATACCTTCCAGTCAACTAGCCCAAGTGCGCGTGATTTCTTTCCGTCCCGCTGTAGGCAAGACAGCTCATCGTGACCTTCCTTTAGATCAGATGCCCTGTCAATGTAATTTACGCCTCAGAAGACGTTGGATATCCGCTGGAGAACGCCCAAGCGCTCGTGGAAGAGTTGAAGGGCGTAGGCGTCCAACCTGTCACGTTCCACACACTGCATGGGCCTCACTATGTTGGCGTGATCGACCCCGAAGGGTGAGCCTTGTCAATTAATCTCCCTTTCCAGGCCACTGAACGTCCCCTTTGTTTTCCAGTGTGAACGCGATCCTCAAGGATACTGTCCTCTCCGTGTCCCAGTTCGACCCTGACTCGCTACCAAAACCTGTTCCCGAGTTCCCTGGCAGGATGCGGACGCCATGGACGGACAACCTCAAGAGGTTCGGATATGATCCATCGGCAGAGGATGTTGACGCGGACGACTCGGACGAGCATGAAGTGGACGAGAGGTTTAACATTAAGTCGTCGCCTCTACCCTGGTTCTCGTATGAACCTGTGGTCCCCGAGCAACGCATTTTTTGACCGTCAGAGGGCTTTGGCGTATTGGCATTTTCATTGAATGGGTTCGGATTAGGCTTTTTCTTTCATTGTACTTTTAGACGCTTGCTATGGGGTGGAACCCCGCAGACTACATACAGACTACTCACACGCGATTCAAATCAGTTGTTCTGCTTCCCGAACTTTCCCCACTAAGTCAAGCCACTTTCCTTAAGAGGTGAGATGTTTGCTGGAGGGGTGATCTTTGAGAATGCTCGCCTCTGCGCCTGACTTTTCGCTCAAGTCGCAAGGTACGGTGCATACCCTCCATTTTTCGAAGTGGATGGAATTGGAGTAGTGCTGCACTTGGGGCACCTATGTCACTGTGCTGACAGTGCACTAGTGCTTTATCAAATTGACCAGGACATGGGGGCATAAGCTTCGTTGGATATTGCTGATAATTACATGGGCCCTAAGAAGAGATATGTATGTTCGGAAACAGGGCGCTCGAAACCAAGTCGAAGCCAAATCACGCGCGCTTAGCATAGGGGCTCATTATTGGCCTCATTTACCCACGGTGTGGCGCCCTCTTGTTCCTGGCACAATGGTCGCGGATTTCGGCTCTTGTCCTCGACCACCACCATCTGTAACCAAGATGCCGAAGCAAAAAACCGCGTCTACCAGTCGAACCCCGGCCAAATCTACAAGAAAGAGCCTTACGAAGGAGCAGAAGGAGGTGTGGAAAAGACACTGCGAAGCGGCTCAATGGCGGGAAGACAAGTGGTTTAAGCACCCCGAGGGCACTGCGGTGAGTCCCTGAGGATCTATCCCTTTTGTATGCTGACCATTGCATTTCCTGCACAGACAATCACAAAAACGGATGCAAAGAAACTAATGGTCACTCCCCGTCTGACAGACCTTGAAATTGGCACCCTGCCATACCAGTCATCCACTTCCGCAGCTGGGTACCCAATGAAACTATACTCAATGAAGGCAATCAACGAGTTGATCAAGAAGCGTTGTGAACTCTGGGGCATCCCATCTCCTGCACTGTCCACGCCAGTCCGAAAAGCTGGACCTAAACGAGGGTCATCACCGTTTGTCGGGATCGTCTCTGGGAAGGGTTTGTTCAATGACCCCATATACGATCGATTGGACGATCCTGAAAAACTAGATGCTGTTATCCGGCGCGAATATGTCCAGCCTCCTGGTGTTTCGGAAGATGATCCTGACCCCAAGAGTATCCGTTTCGAAAGCGGCCAAATAACGCGCATTGCCCTCAAGGAACACGATGCGTGTCTCCTGTATTGCGTAAGTCTTTCCATTATCGAGCAACACAGTGCTTTGAATGACTCTCTACTTTCAGCTTCAGCGAAAGGACCTCGATATTCTCAGAACTCCTAGTGGCTGGTTTGACCTCGTATCAGTCGAGGTTCGAGCTTTGGAGGTCCACGGAGGTCTGAAGAAGCACAATCAAATGTCGGTCCAAGCGCTTTTTTCAAGTGTTACAATTTCTGACGTTCCGCATTTAGTGTCATCGAACAGCGCCTACAGGACGCCAAAGCGATAGATGCTTATACATATGGAGAAATATCATCGCGGTCTCGAAACACCATTGAGAAGCTACTCACCAGACTTGGAGAGATTTTTGAATAAGATGAGTTCCGACGATGAATGGCATGACCTGGACCCAATTCGATCCGAGACAAAGGAAGAGAAGAGGAGGAAGGTCTACCAATTCCACCCCATTCGTAAAGAGGACATTGGCGATTATGGCTGTGAATGGATGTGGTTCCATGGATGCGAGATGGTCGACAATTTCCATGATGGGCCGTAGTTCAAGAAGGAGATGTTGGTATTGAATTAATCTATTAGGTATTTTAGTCGCAGTAAATTGTATAATGTTCTTGAATTGCAACTCTTCATAATCACCCAGGACTTGCTGGATCACGAGGCGGGAATGCCGACGGGTTGGGAGCCGGGAGAGTGTGTGATGGCGCATCAGAGGGCGCATCATCGGGTCGTGAATACACTCCCGTCGATAGCTTTCTCGGGTGGATAATTCTTCGGCAGTCTGGTAAGATTGATGGTTAGCTTTTGACTTCGGGTCTGCCATCATGAGGTACGCTCAGATGCTCCGGTTTGCGCTATGACGTGCCCGCTGAGGGACAGTACGAAAACTGGAAAAGAGAAAGAGCGACGAGATCCGCATAGCGAATGGCAGAGAAATTATTAGTTGAGTGTGAAAGAGAGGGTTTGAAGAAATGTGGTTAGGTGAAAGAGGAGCGATGGATAGTCTCTTCTGGTTTGTTTAATCCCAAATATAAAATACGCCCTCACTTTTATACTTTTGAACCTCCCTGATCTCGATTGACCAGCGTGTGTTCAAGGCCCGCCTTAGTCGGTCGACCGCTCTCTGAGGACAACTCGGGGCCTCAGTGGCCGACAATTGTATAGACGCTTGCGATTTCAAGGACCTACAGGTTATGTTACAAGGACTGCCTCCTCTGAAATGGCGCAAGGTCTGCGCGGGAAGTATAAATGGAGCGGGGGTCGTTCCGTACCCTACCCGTCCCTTGATACATAGATGGGTGTGATCCGTCGTGCTGATGTTGTGGATGATGAAGCACGTCCATTGGCCCAGCGTGATAGATACTGTATACCGACTCTAACAAAAACTGTGTTGGTATAGGTGGAAGGGTCGATATCGATGTGTCCACCACCTCATTGCTCCGATGATCGTCCTTCCTACTGAAATAGGCAGTGAACTCTAAAATCATCGACGAGCGCTACTTGAAAGCGCTCGGAGAACTACTCACCGCCCAGAGATTCCAGTATCCAGACCACTCACGTTGAGCATGAAAAATGGGGAAAGATCATCAATGAATCATAATGTTACTACCCATTGTGATTGTTTCTGAATTGTCCGGACATAAAATGTCAATCGATCCCGGCTATCTCCAACGTCTGCGAACAGAAGGCGAAGGCAGTGAGCGGACGCGCAGATCTGACGAAACTGATCCTGATTCAAATCATCGACGGTATTCCATTTGTTCCACTTTAAAATTGCATCTACATTTAATTAGTATGGAGGACTATGAACTTGCAGGTGGCACGAAGGAGATTAGGGCGTATCTGTGGAGCGGTCGGTCAGTGGCCCAGTCATCGCTTTTCAGGCAATATCAAGATTGTCTCGTACCGTCCATCCACCCGCCACTTTTCTCCTTGCTGATCGAGCTGTTCGGCGACCTCCTTGGGCACGCCAACCGCTACATCCGCCTTGTTGGTTCGCAAGCTGAGCAGAGGGAAAGCACCCGCAAGGGGCCCGATGGCCTCTGGGAACGGTGTCCAGGAAGGCCACTTCACGTCTCCGGTCAACCTATTCGAGGTGGCGATGAGAACTAGTAGTACTGGAGTAGACGAGAGTCAGTCTTACTTTCGATAGCTGTAAAGTGGGGGAATGTCAGACACTGGTCAAGGAGGATGCGATGGTAGGTATACGTACTTGAGGTCACCCTTGAAAATAACCAATCCACTCTTCTTGAGAGATTCAAACAATGCAGGATCATGCTCGTGCAGATTCCAGTAAGGATAAGGTGTCGTCCAGAATTCACCTGCCTTCGCGTCGGCGCCGATCGGTGTATCTAGAGGTACAGACAACTCGAATACGCCACTCTCGACGTAGGATTTCCAGCGCGAAGCCATGCCCTTGACTTGTTCGCTGACGAGGAGAGATGTGTCCTGCTCGGCGACGTCGGAGAAGAATGCAGGGTCGAGGAGTTGGTCGATGATTGTCACAAAGTCGATGGGGAGGACGTCGGAGACGAACCATGGGATCAGCTTAGGGCTATCAAGCTTGGGTATTAGTACACGATTAGAACAGGACATGGGAGAAATACATACTGGAAAACGACCTTGCTGACATAGGGAGTGTAGGTCACCAAGAAGTCCGCAAACACCAGGTCGGTGAAGAGTTCGAATCCAGCTGGCGATATCAAATGAGACGGCTTTGACAAACGAGGGCAATATTGAACGAGTACTTACAGTTATCCAGGACAAAGTCCACTCGTGCTTTATCCAGGCCTTTAACGTGGTTCCAAACTTCATCCTGATCGTCTTTGAGAATGAACTTGGAACGAGCGGCCTGTGCATCCTTCTCCACGGTCTGCAGGTTCTTGATGTCGTCTTCAGTGAGGTGAGTTAGCAGGGACAAGTCTGTCGCATTTCCCCAGAGGCACATCTGGATCATCTCTTTAAAGATGACTTCTATCTTCGAAGGGTCATTCTCTAGTTCAGACTTGTTCTTCTCTAGTTCGTGGACAGTGGTAGCGAGTTCTGTGGATGTCAGGGAAAGTGGTGAGGGACCTGCGTAGGTAGAGTAGTGTGGGTACTCACTGAAAACGGACGACCCGGAATGCTTGAAGGTCTTCGTTTTGTTGGAGAAGAAGGGATCATAGGCTTTCCAATGCTTCGTCAGGGCAAAGTAGGATCGCAGAAGGCGATATCTGTCTTCCTGTCAAATCCTGGTCGTAAGCTCCGCAGAGAGAGGGGTACTGACAGGTAACATCTGGATTTCATCGTCAGTCTCCAGTTTGACATGAAATTTCCCGACAGAACTTACTCGGCATACAACCAAGGAGCCGTGAACCAAGTATTCTTCGACTCGGACGCCAAAGCCTCCAGCTCCTTGTTATAAATCTCCTGCAGCGGTTCACCGTCATCCGGTATAGGTCTACAGTCCACATCTATATCATCTCTTCTAACCTTTGCTCAAGGAATGTCACTCACTCCAAAGCGCGATCCCGAGCCATTTCGTACTTGAGTTTACTGATCTTTCCGATGATCTGGTTGCCCTCCGCAACCTTATCCTCTAGTTCCTTCTTCTTGGTTTCGTCCTTGACATCCACCAGTTCTAGGGACATGAAATGGCAGGCGTTGTGTAGTTCGTCTATAATGGATGTTATGATAATGGGCCATCGTCGGATAACTGTGTCGTATCTTCATAGGAGGGGTCATTAGCCATTTCGTTGGATTGAGAAACTGTGGATGTTCTTACGAGAATCTATTGGAGCGGAGGGATCAGATTTCAGACTCGGAATAGCATTGGAAGATACTTACCCTGCTTTGTCTAGTGGATCGTACGGAGGATAAGGAGCTTTGAAGGACATGGTGGCTAATGAATAAGTCGCGCAACGCGATCCGCCAAAACAATCGCCCCTATTTGCAAGTTTGATCACAGCAATCGCGTCATCTCCTTCTCGTGGAACTGCTCAGAATGACTCAGAAGAAAGTCAAGTACCCAGAATATAAGAATATCATTAATCAGGGCTACCAAAAATGAAGAAACAACGGGGAACAGGAAGATCGACAGCGATTTACAAAGCGAAAGATAATGACATTTGAGAAAGACCAAAAAGAAATGTGCTACTTATGTGCCCCTAATAGGCCACGGTGACGCGTGTACATATCAATGGAAAGGGGATTGCTCGCGAAGGAGGGACAAAAGACGAGATCTACTGCTTGATTGAGTCGATTTGCTGAATTATGGATTGTGGATTAAAGCTGAAAGTGCGAAGAGAAGTGAAGAATGTGGGTGTTTCCGTTCGGTTCCATTCCGAGACCAACGAACGAGCCAGCCAGCCTCCCTGATCAAGAAAGGAAAAGAAAACATTTTCAGTGACGCCACTTCACCGCTTCCCATCCCGCCTCCTCGCCCTCCCACCCGGCGCCCTCCTGCGTCGCTTCATGGCCACTTCCCCATCAGCCCCAGGCTCGTACGAGTCCCCGTTCATCTCGTGTTGATGCCGTTTCTGCGGTATGCCTACTCGATCCCGAAGCGAGGGAGTAGGAGGAACAGGCAAATCCTTCACACCTTCCATCCGCTCAAGCAGGGAATTGCCACGGACGAGTGGAGGAGCGTGGGGTCTGTCCACGTCCATATCCGCATCACGACCCCTGCTCCGACTCCTGCTCCTACTCCTTTCCCGTGAACGTGAACGCCGACGGGGAGGAAGGGGTCGAGAGCTGTAGTCAAAAGAGTCGTTAGGATGACCTCTTCGGTGTCGATCATCGGGGTGGGCATTCCTAGTGCTGGAGGAAGGTCCGTCGTCACGAACCGGACTTCCCCACCTCCTACGCTTCTCGGCACGTTCCTGGTCGTCGACATGAGGAGGTGCTGACGGCGGTTCATGCGACGTCTTTCCTTCCTTCATTGCAAGCATCGGGTTGGCTGGCAACGGGTGAACCATGGGTGGCGGAACACCGCCGAACGACGTGCGGCCCCTTGTGGGAGACAGTGACGGTCGAGGTTGGGGTGGTTCAGCGGGCGGAGCGCGAGGTGCATATGAATCAGTCTCCCGATTGGGAGGTGGAGATTCAGTGCGCGGGGGAAGTTCGCGTCTGCTGTCTTGCGGAGATGGACGATACGAGTCCCGCAGCGGAGGTCCTGGGCGATAGTCAGGTTCATCGCGCCTGGGAGGACCACTGGGTTCGTCTCTGTAACGCCTCTCATCTTCGACACTTCCAGATCGCTAAAGAGATCAACATCAGAGGCGGTTCAACCAAGGGGTTGCAGATGGACATACCCATCCAGAGTCTCTCGCATCATATGATCCCGATGGCGCCAAATGAGGCGGAATCGGGTTGGGCTGAGACTTGCGTTGCTCGAAATCCCGAGGAGGCTGACGATTGATCAGGGTCGGGCCCACGATAAACCCAGAGGTAGACTTACAGGTGACAAAGGTCGTCTCGGAGCTCTATCGCCATCCCGCAGATGAGACGGAGGATCTCTCTGGCGATATGGCTCAGGTTCAGGAGCTGCAGAGTCGGGCTACAAGGACTCAGATCAGTATGGGGAGACAACCACAAAGGGAGTAGTAGACATACCCTTTCATAAACTTGCTTCCCAGGAGCAGGATTGTCGCGAGCGTCATCTGGTGCAGGACGTTCACTCGGCCTTGCATCTGGCGAAGGCTGTTTACGAGCTGCATCCCTGTTCGCATATCGATCACCGACAACAGGGATTTGGTTGGTCCCGCTCGCAAACCGTTCCCGCTCCCGTCTCCCTCTTCTGCCTGGCTCTCGACGGCGCTGCAACGCAGGTAGGTCAGACAGCTGACAAGCGTAATGAAAGCGACAACACTTACCTCTGGCTCTCGTGGCTCAGGGCGTTCACGGGCAGGAGGAGCAGGAGGGAGAGCAGGTGGCACCTCCCTCGCTCTCTCCGATTGACGAGCGCTATTGGGGCCATAGCCAGCAGCCGGGCGCGGTTCCTCGCGTCGCTCAGGAGACCTCTTAGGCCATCCATTATCACGAACCATCTCGCGCCCTCGTTCCGGTAAGGGCTGTCGACTGGGTGCAGCCGGCGGTGGTGGTAGTGGTGCATGCTCTGCTACAGGCGGGTTGGTATTAGCAGGTTTAGCAATATTGTTGTAACTGCCAACAGTCGCCGTAAGGGATCGAGGTCCATGAGGAGGTTTGGGCTTTGGCTCTTCTGGAGCGGGAGCGGGAGCCCGGGCCCGTCCTGTGGCAGAAGAACTCGCCCTGTAAGCCCTGGGGTTCCTCGGGGGCATAGGACCTTCGTATCCACGGCCGTCGTAGATTGGCAAGATAATGGGAGAGCTGGTAACGACGGGCTTCTTCTTTTCCTCTTGTGCCATTGCTTGTAGGCGAGTCGGGTGGATGCTTGCCATTGGATTGCCACCTCGGGTATCTGCGTCGTCTTTGGTGCTTTGAGTCGAGCCTTCGGGGTCACTGTGAGGTCGCTTCGGGTCGTCTAGACGAAGGTCCGGTCGATAATTAGAATGGTGGAAGGACCCAACCGAAGGACGCACCATAGGAATTCTTCCCCTTCGACAAGGCCTGGGAGTCTGAGTACCGATTGTCGCCTTCTGATCGTCCACCGTCTGACCTGGTCTGGTTAGTGGAATAAGGAGCAGGGGTCGCATTGCTCGATTGTGAACGCTGAGGGTCAGGATGGTCTTTCTCTCTCTGCTTCCAATGTTCCTCTTGACGCGAATCCCGGTCGTTCGATCGATCGTTTTGCCTGTTGTTGTCGGGCGACGCTCTCCTCGGTCGTTCATTGGAGGTTGATTGGCTATATCTTGCCCAGAGCTCGTCCGTCCTCACAGGTATCGTCGATGGCCTGGGCTGTCCTTCCGGCGGAACGATAGAAGGACCAAAGCGCGAAGCCTTCTCCCTTCGTCTGGCAGGACCCGGTGCGGCGGTGGCCGAGGACGACAGTTCTTCCGGCAGTACCTGAGGCCGCTCATCGTAGCTGGGCGCGAGGTGTCGATGAGCTGAAGGCGGAGGAGAAACGGAGGGCCTGCGTCCTATAAGACAGAAAAAGGGAGAGGAAATCGCAATGAGAAAAAGTTTTTGCCACGGGAATTAGGGTGGAAAATGGGAGGATAGAAAAAGGCAGAGGTGGGTTCCATGATACGACGATCGGGGTCCGCGGTTCGTTTTTAGGTTTAGGTAGGGAGGGGAGGAAGGAGGTCGTATGTGCAGGGGAAATACAAGGGAAATTCGATGCAACGCGGCCTCGACCAGGCTCTCGTCTTTGAGATGCCCGGGATTCCAAGGTGCAAGGAGGGTCGGATGCGGAGTACGGTATGAGGCTGATAACGTACTGGGTGCGGTATTGGTTTCATTCTGGAGACGAGACGAATGTTCGTCGTCAGATGGAGGTCGACCGGCTTGAAGTTCCTTGGGTAGCCTCCTGGGCTCTGCGTTGCTGGATGTCCTATCCTCTCTGGAGGGGTATTCCCTTGGAGGACTGCGTTCCCGGCGAGCGGGGACGGGAGCGTGCCTGGCCGAGGAAGATCCTTCCTCTGGCTCACGACCCCGCCATTGGCTCAATGGAGGCTCTCTAGAGTCAGCCCCAGTCACATTCCTTGAACGAGAAGAAGATGCATAGTCTCTCGAAGTGTCCGCTGCGGAGCCATTTCGATGGTCATCTCGCCTGCTGGCCGACCTTCGAGGGAGCACATCCCCTCCCGAGGGCCTGTAGTATCTGTCTTCATGAGAAAGCGGATCCGCTACCCGGTTGTGTGGCTCATCCAGCTGAGAGGAACCTCTGTGGGGCGAATTGGGCTGCGCCGCACGTTTGGAAAGTGCTGGACTTGCGGTTGCCTGCCTGCCGTCACTGACCGAGGGCGCAAGAGGCGAACCGTCACCAACAGAATGCGCGGGGCGGGTCCACCTCGATTCACGAGTCCTGGTATTCCAATAGTACGGTTCTCCTTTTCTGGAATAACGAATTTCCCAATCTGGAGGGAGGTCACGGTCGAGGTCAGTGGAGGACGGATTTTTTGTGGTAGGTGCTCCGTTAGCCTTTTTAGGTGCAGCACGACTGGATACTGATTTCATGCTGGTCGCTTTGGCGGTTGCAGGAGCAATGGGCACGTCTTGGACCGTCGGTTTTGGAGGCAGGGCGTGGGTCAAGCGGGCGGGGGGCTGGTGGATCTGTTGAGGTCGACTAGGCGAGCCATTTTTGGGCCTGGTAGAGTCCTCTCGCGAAGGTTGGGGCGCTGGTGTCGTTTCCTGCGGTCTCGAGGTCGATTCCTCCGACGAAATCTGTTTTTGAGGGACCGTCTCGTCGATGTGCGGCGTTTCTTGTCTGCGAGGCTCTGGTTCTGGGGACTCCTCTCCTAAAGAAACCGCGTCGTCGTCGTTGTCGTCGTAGTCTGTTGGGTTCGGAGCCTCTTGTTGCTGCTCATCGTCTTCGTTTCCCCAATCCAGAACCTCGTTTTCGTCGTCCATGATATGTGAAGAGTTGGAAGGTGGGTGAGAAAGGCCCCGTATCGTGGCGGCTCATTAGCCAAATTTCAAGCTCCGACTGAATGACGAAAACGCGGCCACGCCGTCGCGCCCAGCGACAACGGCGACGATATCGGAACGGTTCCTCAACGACGACGTCAACGACGATATTCTGGCTGTCCTCAGGCGCCCACGATTACACGACCCAGGCATGGTCCTGCCAACCAGCTCGTACTCCCTTGAAGATGGCGGCCGACCGTCCAACTCGTTTCGCGTTCCTCTAATCTTCAAGCGGTTACATAGATTCCAGCAAATGGTAGCTGTTAAATGGCTGTACTCGTTTGTGTGACTGGTGGTCTAACGGGTTTTACAGGATTTTGAACTGGCCGCATGGCAGTTGACATACCTTTGCTTGGCCCCCAAAAGAGTGTAAGTTGCCAACTTTGTGGTGCAGGGACGAAGAATGATATTGACCCGTGCTGTTCCTGCAGGTATCGGAACGTATACTTTCACAAACGTAAAGCTTTTTTCGATTGGCTTTGGGGCTGTAATTGATTGGCCTTTTCTCAGAGACGAAAAATCAATGGGCACGGGATGACCCAGCTATACTGGTGCTCGTAGCAGCATGCCTGTGTGGTGAGCTTACATCCGATGGTTGGACCAGACACCGTGTCGCTCATATTCCTGTGCAGTTTCAGCTGTTATATGGGGTCTGGTGTACTCGTACAATCCCTTGCAAATGCTGGGGTTGGCAGCGGTCATGATCCTCCGCGATTTCCTTCTCTCGGGTATCCTGATGGCGACCATCCTGTGGTTCACTGCAAACCGACTTCTTTTGTCTCCGCCGTCTCACTCGACGCCAGCGGATTCGTTTGTCGAATGGGCATATGCTTTCGACGTTCACACCAACGCATTTTTCCCTCTTTACCTTACCCTATACCTTGCTCAGCTATTCCTGCTCCCTATCGTCCTCAGAGACAACTGGGTATGTCTCTGGGTCGGTAATACCCTGTACCTCGTTGCGTAAGTGACTCGTTGATGTCTGCCAAGTACTCTCGGGCTTACTGGTTAATTATAGCTTCTGCCAATACACCTATGGTGTGTACCTAGGTCTGAATGGTGAGTTGCTGTTAAGCTGTAGATGGAGAGGTGATTCTGACACTGGTTGCAGCGCTTCCGTTCCTAGTACGGACAGAATTGCTGTTATCGCCCCTGCTGCCCTTATTCACAGCCTATGTGGTATCATTATTGGGCTTTAACGTTGCGAAACATGTGCTTGCGATCTACTTTCCATAGCATTGTACATAGATAGAGGAATATTTTATTCTCCTGAGGAACATCGCCAAGATCAAAAGCCGCTGTGCGGACGACAGAACCCTGAGCTTGTGTGCTTGGAATGGAGCTTGTAATCTGATCGTGGTGCACGCTTGCGGTGCGCATCATTTGCCCTTTGCCTTCGTCCCTCCACCACGTCCTGGCCACCCTTTCTCGTCACACCAACACAACGCTCCGACAATGAGCACACATATCGAAAGGGCGATTGAGAAGATTCGTACAAAGGACCAGCTCCCCGACATCGACTTTACACAGCACACCCTGGAGGATGGCAACGTTATTAGCACACAGGAACGAGTGGTCAAGGATGTATGTCGTTTGCTTTTTCTTTGTCGTCGCTGGCGGCTCATACAGCCGTTCTTTGGGGACGAATGATAGGTGCAAGCACCGGCTATGCACAAACCGACGCCAGAGCAGTTCTGGAATCGAGGAGGCCAAGATCAGACAAAACCCGACATCGCGTTCCTCAAGAATCACTTTTATCGCGAGGGCAGACTAACAGAGGAGCAAGCGTTGTGGATATTGGAAAAGGCCACAGAAATATTGAGGAAGGAGCCCAACGTTCTCCAGGTCGATGCGCCCATCACCGGTTCGTCCTTGTTCGCTCGTTATCGACGACCCAAACCCTGAATCGATCTCAATCGCAGTATGTGGCGATATTCATGGACAATACGTGCGTTTCTCTGCCACAGCGAGGATGCTACAGCTTGGCTGATAGTCGTTACCTTTCCAGTACGACCTCATGAAATTGTTCGAGGTTGGAGGTAGCCCTGCCGATACTCGGTATCTCTTCCTTGGGGACTACGTGGACCGGGGGTATTTCAGTATCGAGGTGCGTCCCCCTCCCGCATGATATTTTCTCCTTCACGTTGGTAATTCGTTCCCCAGTGTGTCCTCTACCTATGGGCACTCAAAATCTGGTACCCCGACACCCTTTTCCTCCTCCGAGGAAACCACGAATGTCGCCATCTCACCGACTACTTCACTTTCAAATTGGAATGCAAACACAAGTACTCTGAACGCGTCTACGATGCCTGCATGGAGTCCTTCTGTGCACTACCCCTGGCCGCCGTCATGAACAAACAGTTCCTTTGTATCCACGGCGGCTTGTCCCCTGAGCTCAACACCCTCGACGACCTCCGTAACGTAAGTCGAGCGTTATCTGGCACTGATGGTTATATTTATCGTTTCATAGATTGACCGGTTCCGAGAGCCACCCACCCATGGTCTCATGTGCGACATCCTGTGGGCGGATCCTGTCGAAGACTTTGGAACAGAGAAAACGTCGGAGAGCTTCTTGCACAATCATGTTCGCGGCTGCTCGTACTTCTTCACGTGAGTGCGATCAGTTTGTCAGGCGTGGCCCGTTTGTAATTCGCTTTCCAGGTACCAAGCCGCTTGCCAGTTCCTCGAGAGGAACAATCTCCTGTCTATTATTCGTGCACACGAAGCCCAGGATGCAGGGTATGTCTCCCTCGACTGTATCGTTTCATCACCCACTCATACGTGAATAGCTATCGCATGTATCGCAAGACCAAAGCAACTGGCTTCCCCTCCGTCATGACGATCTTCTCTGCCCCTAACTATCTCGACGTTTACAACAACAAGGCCGCCGTACTCAAGTACGAAAGCAATGTGATGAACATCAGACAGTTTAACTGCACCCCACATCCCTACTGGCTTCCGAATTTCATGGACGTGTTCACCTGGAGTTTGCCATTCGTTGGAGAAAAGAGTGGGTACCCCTTTATCGTCTTTCTGACTTGTTCGCTGATAGGAAGTTAGTCACCGACATGTTGGTCGCTGTGCTCAACACATGCACAAAGGAAGAGCTCGAGGAGCCTGATGAGGATCTTGCCTTGATCTCGCCCACGGCTGCAGCTGAAGAGTCGGCGGAACGGAGAAAGATTATCAAGAATAAAATCATGGCCGTCGGCCGCATGGCGCGTGTCTTTGCTCTTCTTCGGTATGACAAACATTGTTTGCTTTCTTGTTTCAACCCCATTTCTAATCGTTGCATCGCAGAGAGGAGTCGGAGAAGGTGTCGGAACTCAAAGCAGTTTCCGGATCAACCAAGCTTCCTTATGGTACTTTGGCATCTGGGACCGAGGGTATCAAGGAGGCCATCAACGGTTTCGAAGACGCGTGCGTGGAACATGCCTTTTTCATGTCTATTGGTGAATCTGACGAACGACGTTGGGATCTTACAGTCGCCGCTCCGATATCGAAAACGAACGTCTACCCCCGGAGCTGTTCGACGCCGACTCCGAGGAAGGTCGTGCCCTCATCTCGTCCTCGTCCTCCATCCCCGCCACGCCGGCCGAAGCCCAAGAGCAACCGCCCTTCTCCGCGAACGGTGTCAACGCCGGTTTGGAAAAGGCCATGGCCGATCCCCAGACGCCCCTGTCGCGGATCAGCACGTCGACGACGGGTGGCTCGTCTCCTGTTGGTGGAAGCCCCAGCCCGACTATTGGAGGGTTCAAGCGTGGTCACTCGAGGCAGGCTAGTTTGGGTACTACGATGACCAGTCCCAGTACTCGGAGAAGGAGCTTGGAGAGCACGATGTCCCTCATTCAAGGCGTTTTGGAGGGGAACGAAAAACTGAGTGAGGATGAGGATGTTGACGGGATCGCAAGCAGACTTGCGGGGTCTTCGGTGGATGCGGCGAAGAAAGGACCTGGACGATAATCTGCTTGTCTTTTTCCTTTGAGATGGGCGGTGGGGGAGGGCTGCGGTGTGTGTGTTTTTGTTGGTACACGTTTTGGCTAGGATAGATACACCCGCTCTTCTGCGATTCGTCCGTCGCTTCCTTGTCATGATTTGATTCGATTGGCGATGATGATTGATGATGATGATAAGTTTTTGGGGTTCAAGTAGGATTCAATGTTCAATTCTTGACAGCAAAGTACTTTGTCCTCTTTTTGATGATTTCTTTTTTTTTTAATCCCGTTTACCTACCTAGTACTACTACGTATACATGCATATGTTCTCTGTTGTTGTTTCGTTCTTTTGGGTCCTTTAATCCTATTTGTGAAGTGCTTCTTTTTAGCTCGTGGCCAAAGACCATGGTGGTTTTGGGATAAAATGCAATTGCAGTATATACCGGAGTTCCCCTTGGAGGGCGCCCTCTTTTCTGTATACACGGTACGGATCTTTGGTTCGGACTTTACGAGTTTAGCTTAATAACTTCTTTTTGTGGATGACAGATTGTGGATTTCAGTTCAGGTCGAGCATGTGGGGTCGTAGTTGCCTCTTCAGAGCTACGGATAGAGAAGGTACAGAAGGCGCGCTGTACGGGTACCCCTACTTCAAACTGCTGAACGGCTGAGAAGGTACCCCGGCATGCCGAGTTCGATTTCTTCTGTCAATGTCGAATGTCAGTGTTCAATGCGCTCAAGTGCTGTCCACTGGACGAGCCTATTTGGGTGTCACTGAGATCTGACTCGAGCTCGGAATTGCTTAAACGAATGGACCCTCTTTTATTACAAGCCAAGTCGATCGAGCTGTTGTGTCGGCAGTTGGGTGGAAGCTGACGTGCATGAGGACTGTAAACGTCGCTCTAAGATATCTTCGCGGGAGGGGATTTCGGAGTCCGAAGTCTGGAGTTGCAGCGAGGGAGAGGAAGGAATCTCCTCCGTCTAGTCGGGCGGGACTGATGCAGTTTTTGACCCAATGTTCGGAAACCTTATACGAACCAGACTTCAATAGCCGCGTCTTCGCGAGTTGGGAGTTGGGAGTGGAGTCGGGAGGGAATAAATAGCAGCACCAATGCTTTTAAGAGTTCGCCGCCCCTTGACAAGTTGGCTGGGCGAAACCTCTTACTAGCAAAAAGACTTCGAAAGACGAGTACATGGGCGCCACTGGAAGGGTGTTGTCGGCTTTCAGATGTAATGTGACCTTAGTCCCACTGAAGAAGTTGCTGCGGGCTGTAGGTGTTCGATTCGGAGGCTGCTGCTGCTGACCGGGAGGATCTCCCCAAGTTGAAGTTTTGCCTGCAGGTGACTCGTCCTAAATATAAATCAAAGCACCATGCAATCGTAATGTATTACGAGAGGTCTGACGCTCGTCCTGCATGTCCAAGCTCTTCAATCGCGTGCCAGAATCCAGAGGCCTGAATGTGATCTCGATGGCTGCGACCGATGACTTGGACGGGATGCCAATTTAGCTTGGGGGAAGACCGCGGCCGGCGGTTTTCATGAAAAAGATATGGTCACCGTTGGCAGGAGATGGACTTGGGGCCTGTAGATTCGATCCAAGTCGCTTTTGGCACGGGCTTGTAGGAGGTTGTGTCCTGGATGCATGCAGAGCGGCTAGCCAAGTTAAGACATCTGGAAAGGCACGTTTGACTCGGAAGGCCACGTTCAAGGCGTGTTGGGCAACGGTCGTCGGTAAATGTCGCGCGTTCGTTCATTTGTTGAGTTGAGGTCGATTTCGTGGGCGTTGTTTCGGGATACCACTGGGCATGGTGTCATTAGTGACTGAGGCCGACGCAGGTGCTACTTGGGTTAGACCCAACATATTGCTTCCACCGCGGATAGTTGTTTCAGATCGACTAAAATGAGGAGAGAAGAGTTTCCATAGAGGGGTCATGGAACAAGCGTACTGTGGTTGACCGGAATGAGGGTTGCTGTGCCAGTGATGGAGGTGTCAATTGTGCTTGGAAATCAGAGAGGAAGACCTGCTCTTTCGCGATACTGACGGAGACTCGCGCAAGTGGGCTATATTGTCCCCCAGTACAAGTTGAGCCTCACGGGGCTTGTTTTCTAATTGAAATAAGTGTTGGATGGACCAGCTCGTCCAACCCCCCAACGAGACTTTGGGAGGGCCCACGGAGAATTCGCGACAATGAGACCACCGACCACGAGGCTGCTCGATGCGGTGGAAGCGAGCCTGACCGCAGCTTTCAGCGCCAATTTTGGCAAATGATACTTGATAGAGATCTGTTCATAGGACAGGGCGGGTTAAATGGGTCAAAACCCAAGATGACTGCGTCAGAAGAGAGCTGGATCAGTAACAGAATCATTTCTCATTTGAAGAGAAATGTACTCCTTAATTTAACGTGGATTTGTGCAGCACGCATGGGAAACAGGTATCCTTTGCTTACTGTGCTAGTCGCAAATCGACAGTGGCCTTCGGGAATTTGGTAGCAGTCGAGGTCGACTAGATCTAAGTTGCTAGAACTGGCATCCTTGTCCGACTTGCCGATCCCAGTGGCTGTGCCATCTTCATCTCCGCCTTAAAGATTTCGGGTTCTTCCGATTCTCCATGTCGCAAACTTGGAAGTTGAGTTTGAACTTGGTTAGTCCTGGAGAGCATTCAACTTGGCTGCGACGTCTTGAGCGGACACAATGGCTTCGAAACATGCGGAAGAACCTGTTATCTTAGCTTTATTGGCCGAACATCTATCTCTTTCCTCTTGGACCTTATCTCGCTCCGATGGAATAGAATCCACCGGAACCGGCGGCCAGGATGCGAAGGTTTGCGTGTCTTATGCCCTCCAATCCAGGACATCTACCTCGGCAATGATAAGGGTACCTTCTTCGACTGGATGCCCACCTTATCGATGCTATGACTTCTGCGAATAGAATGGATTTTGTGTTCTCATTCCACTGCCTTATCTCAGTTAGACTGGCTTGGCTCTCTATCAGGATTCAGCACCCAACATATGCATCAAGTTACCCGGGGCTTCCTCTTGTCTGGCTTGTCCGTCTGACGACCTCATAACCCTTCTGGAGCACCCACCGACTCTTGGTCTTCCAAGGTGCACCTGGTTGAACGGCAACGGCGGCAAATGGTTCCACCACCATACACTTATCACGGCAACAAATCGGTCGCCCACCTGCGTCATACCATTCACCGCAAGGACAATCCGTTCTCTTCGAACTCTTGACACTTGCCTGACACGGACCCATGATGCAGCCTACCTAACACGTTTCCCTTGTTCTGGTTCAGATCTCCGTCATTTGAAGTCATACCTTCAGTTTCCTTCACAAAGTCACACCATGGCGCATATATGTCGTTCGGACTCCTGGGAGTTTGCGTTATTTTTACCACTGGCCAAGCTGTACCGCCCGGGGACGGCGTGTTGCTCAAGGGCTTCTGGACGGACTCTGGACCGGAAAGTACGCACTTGGTCTGTTTGCGACCTTATTTAGGAAGGATTTGCCACATCAACACCATATTGCGCCGCAGGATGCAGGATGTGTTGTTGCAACTAGGCCTTCATTGGAGGGGTATTCCTGGTAAGTACAGAGCCGGCCAGCATAGGTGTCATCTCAGTCGGAGTTCGTAACTTCTTGCTGTTTACCTGTTCATTCAATTGACACGCTTCACCCCATTCGTACATTGTGGCGTTCAGAGTATGTCCAAGGGCGAGGACTTCTGTTTATGAGCGCGCCTTTACGGAGCCGTGCCTCCCTCCGTCTGGTGACAGCAGCTCATAGATCTCAGTCCAACCTGTACCCGCAAGCGAAGCTATCTTTGGGACCCATTACTATTGTTCATACTGTAACGAGGGCCAATACGCGTTTGAATTCACAGCTTTCCCGGCAACTAGTGCGCGCCCCCCAGCGTTCTTTGGTCAGCTAGTCACACAGGCCGCCAGAAAACCATCAAGTTCTGCGTGAGAGTGAAGAAATATCAGCTCGCGATGAGCTTACTTGCGATTCGAAGCTCGCCAGAAGTGAACTCCCAATCAAACTTTGAGAAGGCACGTCCTCGCTCCTCATCCTGGCATGTGGAGGTCCCTTCTGAGTACACGTTGGGGTCTCCAACTTTCTCGTCTCCTCCCGGGCTCATATTTCATCCTCCTGGATGCATTGCAGATCCCAATGCCATCGGACTTGGAATCCGTAACGGCACGAGGCCGATGCGACTATGAGCGGTGGCTGTCAACTGACTCCATCGACTTTGAAGACTTACCTCAAAGGTTCTCTCCGGAACGAGATGAGGTCAGCGGACGGGTGGCTCTGATGGGTAATAACTTTGGGTACCTTTGCGGCCTTGAGTCTTTCCCGGATCTCAGAAGGAACGTCTTGGGGTCTATTGGAATGGTTCATAGGTTTGTATAGCGGAAGTGATCACCTGCCATCCTTCGGACGTTGCTGCTGCAAGGCCTGTCAGTTTGCTGTTAGCTTCAAGTCCGGCTCCCGGTCTATCGCCTACTATTGGGACTGAACAGAGATGACTATCGATATGAGCTCGAGGCCCTAAGGATTTCTTGGAAGTGTTTAATAGACAGGATGTGAATCGAGCTGAAAGGGCGTGTTAGTTAGCGGATGGTCCTTGGCAGCCAGGTATCACGCACACAAGAGGTACAAGATATCCCGTTCGAGCTTTATATAGTCAGTTGTGGTGAGATTGGTTAAATATGATACAGTTCACGATATTATGCCCAAGTTATTACTACAAAGTTGCCCATAATTATGTCCATGATTATGCAATGTCGATTGAGGATGAGGACAGCTGGCTCCCCGTTGAACGGGATTTTCAGAAGACATTTGAAGGCTGTCAGCTGATTACGAAGGGGGGATCGCGACATGGTGGCCTAGTCGAGAGCACAAAACGCGCGCTTCGAAATGGGTCACATCCCATATTTCCTTCGTAGCGCTGTCCAAGCCGGTGCTGCCGTGCTGTTTTTGGTTGCGAAGACGTTCATATCCTGGTCAGGTATTCGGTTCATATCAACACGGTCCCAATAACGACCAAGCACGAAGATGATGTCCTGGGCATCTCGTTCCGAACCACGACTGCGAATAAATCGATAAGATTTGAAGTGTTTATCGCTCGAGGGCATAAAGTCAACTCACATCATCCAGGACTTCAGCTTGGCGCGAATGAATTCTGAGTAGGTAAGGAAAGGCACGCCCGGGGCGTTTGGCAACTTCATCACTGCGCTATTGTCGAGTATTCGTGGTCCCGTTTCGCCAGCGGGGAGAATTTCAATCTAGAAGGCGAGGGGATTAGACGCATGACGGTGTCCGGGTAATCGCTCCATCACTTACGTCGATGACCGGAATGAATCCTCGGTAAGTGACATGGAGTCTGAAGGGAAATCAGGTCACAGTTCTTAGGGGATAAGAGAATATGAGTAACGTACCGGTTTGTCCATGTGGAATGCATGACTGTGAGGTTCTCACTACCGGCGACAGCATCACGGACGCGTCGGAACGGGTGCGCCTGCGTCAGGCCACCCTCGACGATGCAAAAGATCTCCTGGGTAGTCGGACATGGGGTCAGCGACAGCACCGGGCGCCTAGGACGCAGGATACCTACATCACTGGCAGGGTGTCTAGCCAATAATGCGGGGAACATGCTTCCGTAGAAAGCATGTCGAATGTTATGACTTTGTAGGACAGAGGAGAGAGCTGCAGCGGCTTGGACCAATCTGTTAATGTCCATGTCGAAGAGAGGGAGAGGTGGGGGAGTGAAGGTCGTTTTGATGGGGGAGAAGGACGGTAAGTGGAGGTCCATATTTAAAGGACCAGGAGGTCCAGCGGTTTCAATCGAAGAACTTAGAGAAGGAGCGATCATTAAATGCGTAATATGAGCCCACAGGAAGGAAGCCTCTCAGGCTCCAGGTTTGCAATGGGAGTATCAGCAGACGCCTGGATCACAGATCATGTCTTCATCTTACGCCGAAGACGGAATTGTCCGCTTGATCGAAAATGACCTGCTACACGTTTCCGCAACGTTTTTGGCAGGAATACGATTTGTTAGCAGTGCTTCCCGAAGGGTCTTCATGGAAAGCTTGAACGCCAATCTCACAAGCCATTAAAAGGGTCTAGAAACCTCCAGTCAGCTAGGGTATATGGACGTAGATGGGTTCTCCGAAGCTTACCGCTGCATGTCTTCGAGAACGAGGCGTGTCCCCATCCCTCAATTTCTGTGGTTTTTAAAAGAGAAAAAACAAATCATAGATGGATAGATCGGGGCCATTATCTGGGTATTTGTGAGGGTCGATCCTGCCATATAAGATGACATAGTGCGGGGAAATTACAGCGCTGCAACGAGGAACATCGATTTGGATCAGGAACAGCAGACGAGAGTTTGGGTCCTGGGACGAGGCTAAAGTTGGAGATTCACACGGTGGGTTCGTTCCCGTGATTTGGTCACGGCTGCGACTGCCAAGATTCGTCTTCACTGCGATTCACCGTGCAGTCGTCCTCATTTTGCCGCAGCGTTCGTGGCTTTCTGGCTGGTTGCGTATGCATAGGGCCTTTTGGAGACTTTGCGAAAGCAATGTAAGGCCAGATAAGGGCGCCAGAGCCTATATCACCGGCCCAACCTCGTCGACGTTACCAATTTCGCGGCAGATTCAGAATTCTCAACGGAGTGGAACTCCCGCTTGCAGACTCCTCAACAAGTCTATTTATTCGCCTGGGGCCATCCTAAGGGCTCCATCATGTCGTATTGGTCTTTATTCCAACCCATATCTTTCCACCAACACGAGGGGGATATCCTGGCTGGCCAAGGGAAAGCGGACACCAACCGAAGACGACGCACAAGAAGACCAGGAGGACGCGACGAGAGCTGCAATACTGGACAAGGTCATGAAGGGTCGACAGCCGGCAGAGCTCATGCTTCGCTGTGAGTCAATACCAACATCTCAGTCTTCCCGCAGCTTACCCCGGACTGTCCAGGCACTGTGCTCGACGCTGAAGGTTGGCTTTCATATGGTCACGGATGGACCTTAGAAGCTAATACAGAATGACCAGGCAATGTCAAGACAATATCGGGCCAATTCAAGAAGTCCGACATCTGTGCAGAACACCGTTTGCACGTACGTTCAGCCCCTTTACGACTATGTTTTCTAGAAGCCTCATGTCGATGACAGACTCGTGACCTTCGGAAAATCGATTCGAGGGTACCAAATCTGGTCCCTACTATTCTTGTTCGGAAAGAAGCCATTCTGGTCAGTGCCACTTTATGTCCAGTGTAAGGCGGTCAGTTCACCTTGGTACAGATCAATATTCTCCACATTCGCGCCCTCGTGAAGACGGATGCTGTAGTTTTGTTTGACACCTATGGTTCTGCAGATTCAAGGTTACATTCGGTATTCCTATACCACCTCGAAGTAAGGCAGCGAAGTTACCGATCGCCTGAGCTCGTTACTGACGCATCATTAGCATAATTTGAAAGCCAAGGGCTCTGGCTTGCCTTATGAGTTCAGGTAAGCTCCGCAACCTGACAGTGTTTCCAACAGGCTGAACTCATATCCTTTCCTAAAGAGCAATAGAGTCCATCATGCTCTCCGTCCTCAGCGCGCTGGAAGCGGAGATGGTGTTCATCAGAAACCTTGTCGGCGGGCTGCTGGCTGAAATGGAGGACAACATCGACCGTGACCGGTTCAAACGGCTTCTCCATTATTCTCGTCGATTAGTGAGCTTCAAGAACAGAGCCCAGCTGGTCCGTCATATGTTGTCAATCACTCTTTGAACACAAGGTTGACTTGGCTTACCCTAGGTTGAAGAGGCAATCGATGAAATTTTAACTCAAGGTTATTACCACCCATAATATCCAAGCGGTATATTGCTAAATCCAATGTAGATGAGGACATGAACGCTATGCACCTCACTGACAAGAAGAACGGTGTCACACGAGCGGTTAATGACCACGAGGACCTCGAGACTCTTCTTGAATCATTCTCGAAGCAGGTAGAGGAAATCGTAAACGAGGCAGAGACTATAGAAGTAAGGGAACCTCTCGGTCCTACGGTACAAATACTGATGAATGCTACCCCAGGCGAACGTTCAATCGACTCAAGAAATAGTAGAGCTCATTCTAGACTCAAATCGCAATGCGTTGCTTACGCTTGATCTAAAAGTACGCCCCCTTTCTCGTCCTACCAGATGAACGACCTTAACCACAGCTATGACAGGTATCTATAGCTACCTTAGGAATCGGTACTGGCGCACTCGTGGCCGGTTTATTCGGAATGAACGTACGTGATGCTGGCGCTCCCGTTTATCGAGAAGTTGATCTCGATTGGCAGTTGACGAGTCACCTGGAGGAACACCCCTACGCATTCTTCATCTTTTCAGGAGTGTCCGTCGGAGTTACTGCTTTTGTGGCCGCTTTAGGACTGCGAACGTAGGTCCATTCTTTGCTTCCTGTATTACCTTTCGCCAACGTTTCCCGTCCAGTCTGTCCAGGATCCGCAGAATTGGACTCAGCTCAAGTTCAGCTCGGCCTACGAGGAAACCGTACCTCCCTCTCCCCCTCCGCAAACGAGATACGGGAGGGTGGTCTTGACCGATTAACGCCGAACCCACACCCTAATAACCTCGCCACTCAGTCTCTACATGACGATGATCTCAACAGGAATACATCAGCGTGCTGCAGCCTCATTTCCTCTGGCCTAGCGGCCTGGATCCCATAAGGCAGTTCGAAACCAACCTTCTGCCGATCCCCAGCAGCTCTCTTTCTATTATATCCGGGACGATATATGCATCACCCCTGCTCAATTCGTCACTTCTCGGACTTGTTACACCACCCCCAGTGTCTCACCATCACCATTCCGAGCCCATAGACTAGGCTCATCTCCGGATCACACACCCCGATCCGATTCTTCGACACTAAGGACGAACGTGTAACCTTATCGAGGACGAGGGAACGTGATTTGGGGAAAAGCCTATAGGTACAGTACCACATGTGCAATCGGGAGTTAATGACCGGCATTGTATGTACACACTGTTTCTGTTTCCGTCGAGGCGTGCAATCTGGGGCTGACAGACTCTGGATTGCGAGTCGCAAATGAAATCGCCGCTGATGGCACCACCCCTCTCCATTCACTCTGTTTTTTACGTTCCTCCAGTCAGAGCACTCCACGTTGGTGGGAAGAGGATAAGCCCTTTGTTTCGGGTTTCCATGTTCCTGTCGGGTTCTGATGAATACTAAGTACAGGCCTGGCCGTGCTTCACATCGGCGGCGCGCTTGTGGATGCAGGGGCTTGCTTATCTCCTCGGAGCGTGAATTGCTAAAGCAAAGTAGCGATTCTTTAGCGCTCGGTGAGGTGACAGAATCCGTCACTCGTTTCCCCGGCTAGGTGTATGATCGTCGTTCAAAGGTTCTGTACTCGTAGTCGTCCTTGGAGATGGAGCAAACGCCTTGACTTGGAGCAACCCGCAGGCACTGTATAACCGAGGCGTGTATGCGGCTTCTCACTGAGGAATCGACGCAATCGATGTCGATTCTTCAGATAAGGATGGCGTGCGTTCTTCCCCACACTCAGATGAATGGAGAGAGAAGGTGATTTCATTGGTCATCGGTGGGGGGCAATAGCGCCATGTCAATCGGTCAGACCACTACCTTGCTAGCTCCGCGACTGAATGTCTGTTAATAACAGCTCCTGTCGGTAGTTAAAGGCTTCCTAGAGCCTGGGCACCGTTATCTTAGGTTTCACCTTGGCCTATGATGACGCTTGATTCTTCAAGTCAGCAACTTCCCTCGAAGTTGAATGCAGAGAAGGAACTTGTTATGAGCCCGATGTTGCTGTCATTAGCATTAGGGTTGAAATGGGCGGGCTTCAATCATTCCATCCTCGAGGGTGACGGCGTGAAGAGTGAACAGATTGAAGGTTGCCGCAACGTTTTCTATCCTCGAGGAGTGAGTTTCCGTGCCTTGACGGGACCGTACATTAGACTGTCAGGATGTCGAAGGGATACCAATCACAACTATGCAGGGTCTTTGATTCGCCCATCTTCGGTCCAAGTCACCCTGGTGACGGAAATGCCTTTACACCGATTTTCCAGCCTAGCCTGGGCTTCATAGTGATGACCCCGGAGCTTAGAGACATCTTAATGTCCCCGAACAAATCTAATGTGACGAGACGAAACAAATTCCAGTTTATGGAATGTTCCAAAGTTTCAGCACGACACCGTCGGGCTAGCTTATGACCGTGAACAGAAAGCCTTACCAGCATCTGACTGTCGGAATCAAATGCGTAATAATAGTTTACGGAAACTTCGGAAGGGCACTGGTAGACCTTGATGGAGGCGAGTTCATTGTCGCTATGAGTGAGAGGTTTGTAGGCTGACCTGGTGGCATGACTCCATGTATATGAGACGAGGGCAAAGCTGTAGGTCTCATCTCCGAGGGATGGGATACCGGCAGGTTGTGCAGTCGATATCGGCCTATCGATGATCTTCTGGAATCGGTACCAGCGTCCCGTACTTCCCCAAAGATCTGAATGAGAAGTGTCAAGATCCGGATGGGAAGTTGATATATCAGGCGCAGCAAAGTGTTATTCCACTTCCATTGGTAGCGATAGAGCTTGGAGTTGGGTATAGAAGGGAGTCTCAAAGGCAGGTGCGTCTTGAATAGCAATCAGAAGGTCGCGTCCGAGTCGGATAACGTCAAAGATGGCTCGTGCTCAGCCAGCTGAGAGGGTTCCCAAAAGAATTCGTCGTTTCAATGCGAGTTTTCTCTGCGTCCCTAGATCACTACCACTTGCAATAAAGATTGGCTCCATAATACCGTCCCGTCCCCTGCCTCCGCCGGGCGGATATTAAGGAAGCTACCCGTTGCATTACGATGGATGTTCGTCATGCAAAGCGGTTCAGAGGGTCTACGATGGTCATCGCGGGTAGAAATGAGGAGGACACTCCAATATGATGCGTCATGGGGAGCCTACATGAACGGTGCAAGGTTGGTCCGTGGAAAGGCCTTATGTTGGCAGCCACCGAGTAACCCGCTATTTCCTGGAAACCAGTCCGCAGGGCCCAAGGCGTGAAACGAACACACCATTCAAGGTGCGCATACAAACACTCTCTGATACCATGCGATCGCCATGGATGGTGCGTGCCAGTGTGCAGAGAAACCAGGTTCGGCCGAAGGGGCGCCAATTTGTACCATCCTCCAAACACGCCGCCGCCTTGCTCGGAATCCAGACTTTCAACCTGCATGTTCTAAATCAGTTAGAACAAAAGGGTGAAAAATACCATTGCCACAGGGACGGGCCGTCTCCCAGGGAAATTAGAGGCCCAATGGATGGTCAGATCGGAGCCGCCACATTGCTTTTGGAGAACGCATGGTACGCAATGGCCTCGAGCCATTCGTTCTTTGGCGAGCCTTGTATAGAGACACTTGCCTATAACAGTAGCAGAGCCCCGACAAAAGCTAAGAAGTAATTGACTGGACGCGGCTGACCGGCTCTGCAGACACCGCGTATGCATCGAGGTAAGCGCGTGCCGTAGGAACCCTCTCCGTAAACGTGGTCCACTTGGCCCACGGACCTTTGATCTGTATGCTGCCCTGATGCTGCCACAACAACAGGCCTCGCAAGGAGGCTTCCATCAGGCAGACCATTTCATCAAAAAAGGGCAGTTAGAGGCCAGGACTGCGTCGTGTCAGGCAGACGGGTAGGGTTAACCCACGATTTTCACCGAAAGGACCAAATCTCGTTTAGGACTCGGAGACGCTGAGGCTGAATAGTAAAAGAAACGATTAGGAAGAAACAAAAAGTTGGTTCAATCCAGGATCGAACTGGAGACCTTCTGTGTGTAAGACAGAAATCATAACCACTAGACCATTGAACCGGTAATAGGGATCTTCACATTTGGCCCCAGGGATCTAATTGCTACTACTGAACGTTGCGCCCGACTACAAGGTGACTGGCTTGAAGGCTTCCCTTCAGCTTCGAGAAATTATTTACCCTTTACGGGCAGGTATGTTCAGGCTCATCTCCTGATCTCTAGGTTGAAACCATTCAGAAAGTCAACCTCGAAGGTCTGTCCCCTTGAATAATGGAAGAAATCCTTCTGTTGAGGGAATGCATGTTCGGACTGAATGCAGACTTCTTGGCGTACCTCAGCCGTCATTTCCGATTGCCCAGTCAACAGTGACCATTCAGTATTTGCCTGCTTTCTGCTTTACGCTCGACTGTTGCAACCCACGAGGACTTCTGGACAGCTCTCGCCGAATGATCCGGGGTGGCGGAAAGTGAATCGCAGCAACTGAGCTTGGGGAGTCGAACTTTGCTTGTTCCTTCTTGGTTCCTTCTGAAGTTCTTCGCTATTATCATCACTCAATACTCACCAGCCGCTTTGTGTCGAGCAGGGGCTAGACATGGCTCTGTACTGGAGCAGTAAGTAGTTCTGCAGACGCACGAGAATTTAAATATAAAACGCCGCCTGCAGGTCCTGTGAGAAGGAATGAAGCAGGCCAACAGTTACCAGCTATCCCACCCGAAATCTATTTGAAAATCTTCGAACTTGTTGTCCCTTCAAGTTCAAACGAATATGAAAATAGCGATGACTCCGAACGAGATGAAGGAATACCAGCCACCGTGTCTCAGTCAACTCGCATCGACGACAAGAGCATCCCCAAACCTCCTCCTCCTGCGGTTCGAAGGGAATTAGGAAATCTATCCCTCGTTTGTCGATATTTCTGCTTCCTCATGCTTCCCAGGATATTCAATGTCCTGGTCTTCTCTGGCGACACATCCTCCAGTGCCAGTGCAAGTTCCCAGAACCACAGTGCTTTCGCGAGATCTGTCGTACAGAATAAAGGTCAAGGGCGGGAGTTCGCCAACTATGTGCGGCACTGTGCCTTTACTTCGTGGATAGAACCACAGGGCTCATCCAACGAGGACGACAACACCGATGAGTTCAACGACAGTGACGGGGACAGCGAAGACGACAGTAACGGCGATTGTTACAACGAACTTGAATATGACGAGTTCTTTGGAGCATCAAGTTCATCGTCAAAGGTTAACCGTCGCGACGAAGCGACTGATCATGACATGCACTCCCTTGCGTGGGCTTCCAGGGCCTTCCTCAAAATCTACTTCGGCTCTCTCCGACACATGAAAAATCTCACTTCCCTATCCTTGTTCGATACCCCGCTCATGATTCCTTCCTTCCTTCATACCATCGGTTCCCTTTCCCAGGGCCTCGAAAGCTTGACAGTCCACGAATGCGCCTTTCTACCCGATTCCCCAAACGAGAAAGTATCCGACTGGACCAAACACCGCAGACAGTTTACGAAACTCTCAGACTCATCGCTCAAGTTGAAGAAATTGGTCCTCACGACTGACAATGAACCGAAGGACGACGAGAACTTTGCGATGATGAATCTCCTTTCAGAGTCGATATCGCATTCGCATTTGGTACACCTTACGACCTGTTTCACTGGCTCAATTATGAACATTCTCGCCACTCCTCTCATCCCTGCACTCCCTCTCCGACACCTCGACCTACGATACACGAAGGACGTCCAAATCACCGCCCGGTTCTTCAAACGATTACCAAACTTGCGCTCTTTGTCGCTTCCCTTTTCTAAACCGGATGTCTTCGATGATTTGGACCTGTCGCCAGCTCCCGAAACGGATGGCCCGTCGATGCTTCCACACCTGACTCACCTTGAGTGCGACGAGTACTTGCTCGAGCGATTTGTTCCTGGACGCCCTCTCACATCCATCCGCATTCTCAGCTATAGCGACACTAATGTGCTGGCCATTTTGAATCAGTCTTCAAAGAATATCAAACGAGTGATGGTGCCCTTCGACGCCCGCGTAACCCGGGCGCTAATGTCTGTTAATGTGATGGGCACGCTGAAGTGCCTCGAGTCGTTCACCGTGGACTCCACTTTCTCGGACCACACAGACCCGCCTGCCCGTTCCGTCAGTATTCACATTCAATGCATTGATACGTCGTTCAGAGATTTAATCACTTCTTTTGCCAGATTCTTCCTGATCCGGGGATTTTTCTGTTTTGGAGAAACCTGCCGCGCGTCTTCCTGTTCAAAACCGATACCTCTCCGCCCTGTCGCACGCCATACGACCTCCCTCAACGCACCCACGGAGAGAATGACTATCTGTTTCCCGCCCATCTCACCTATCAGTATTCGCTCATTTCGGGACTGTCTGAGACGTCACCTCGGATGGAAATGGTCGTAGTTAACGATTGTATCCGGTGGACAAGGGGGGTAGAGGTGGATGAGGGGTCAGGGCCAGGTGGAGGGTCGGGAAGGACAAAAAAGGTGTGGAAGTGGCACGTTCAGGTCGACGAACAGTTGGAAAAAGAGATCGTGGCGGAATACGTGGAGGGTCGCATATTGCATCTATTGGAGTTTGATTATGATGGGACTTGGGAGAAGGCTATGGAGAGGTATAAAATTCGACACCCAGAGTTTTCAGATTGAACCGGTCGGGGGCTGTGGGGCTGTGGTACTAGCATTTTTCACCGCGCTTGATCCTCCAATGGCGCCTATATCGATACCCCAACTCTTTGGATACGAATAGCTTATCCTTTGCATTCGTCTGGTTATAGTAGAGGTTCTGGTGTGAAGGACCCATTTCTTCTTCATGCCAGAACAAATGAGGTTGCCAAAAGGTAGGGTTCAAATCCCATCCGCATGCTATTAGCCGCCTGTTGCATCGTCTCGCATTCCTGCCGTGGCCCTCATCCGCTCTCCGTCCCATCATGATATACATGCGAGAGGTGATTGGAAAACAAAACGCTTCAGTATCGGTTGAATGGTCTAGTGGTTATGATTTCTGTCTCACATGAATGTGATCACAGAAGGTCCCCAGTTCGATCCTGGGTTCAACCATTTTTTTCTTCCATACACCAACCCCCCCTCGTGGCTTCTAGCGCCTAGTGTCTTGCCTTAGGGGTTGATCAACACACTCTTCGCATAGATGCGGCGAAAGATTACAAGCTTTCTCCAATTTAGCACGCCGCGCCTCAATTCTAATTTTCGAATCTATGAATCCAAATCTACGATACCGTACCACCACTTGTGGGCTCGAGATTGGTCTTTTTCACCAACGAAATCCGCTCGTCCGACGAATTTCTTGTTGGAGAGGAGGAGGGGCAGCCAGCACCTATCTGTCTCCCACATTTTGTCGTATGGGATGGGAGGCAGGCCGTTGGATACTGAAGGTTCTGGGTTGATTGAGAACCATTCTGGTTTCATCTCATCTGACCTGATGTTGGAAAATGCTTGGATTAGCTCAGGTCGGCGAGATGGAATTCGAAGAGTCGAAATTCAGATCCAGTAAGGCCTGGAGGCCCAATCAGCTGTGATAACGGAGAACGTACTCTGTGATCTCCCCTTCAAACTTATCCACGCGGTAGATATCGATGTGGAATGCCCATTCCACGGAGGAAGTGAGGAAGAGGAGTGTTCCAGCATGTGTTATAGAGCCTGGAGTGGGTGGGATTGTTACTCCTGCTTCTTCGTGGAGTTCTCGTTTTGCTGCGTCGAGAGAGGATTCGTTTGGTTCGACTTTGCCTCCGAAGCCATTGTATCTGTAGAGGGTTTCAGAAGTGGATGTGGGTTGCTTTGAGTTGGTTGTAGTTGTAGATTGAGAATGGGGTATGGAAGAGTTCGAGTACGCACTTTCCGATTCCCCAGCCTCGTTTCTTCATTCCTAACAGGATCTACTTTGTCAACTCGGGTCAGTAATCTTTTCGCTCACGCTGCGGTGGGAGACACATGACGCACTTTATCACCTTGCACGATAATAGTCGTTGTATATTTCTTGACTAGCACGGGCAATTCGCGCCATGGCGACCCCGCGTACTCGACGGGATTGGCGGGCCCGTTAGTGAATGGTTTGATGTGGGAGTCTGGTGGGAGGGTTATTGGGAGAGGCGAGAGGCCCGGTGGGATTTCAGTGAGCTGCGATTGAGGTGGTGTAGTCGTGGTCATGGTGCAAGTGGAAGAGCTGGGGGCAACCCCGTATGGGACGCGTCGGATTCGGGGTTTGATTGGCTTTGATCATGATAAAGACATGCACCAGATCTAGACGCCCTGAGAGTAGAACATCGCACCGACAGGCTCACTCCATTACGAAAAAAGAGGAATGACTTATAAACCCCCGACTCTCAGGAAAACACGCGCCAGATAGCTCAGCTGTTGCGTTCAAACGGGCGCTTATCCGTGGCTATGCATGCCAATACACTAGGGGCATGAATGCCACTATCCCGCAGATTTAATCAGAAGATATTTTGAATTTCTTTCGGGGATTGGTATGAAAGATTAAATGAGAATAAAGATCAGGGCGTGCATCCCGGACGCTTAGACAAACAAAGAAATCTCTTTGTTTGTCGAGATGCCACAGGATGCTTTACGAGCATGGGCCGTGTCTTTTCTCATTAAGATCTGTTGAGAATGTTCTCGTCGATACACGATGACTCGTTACTCACTAGATTAGTTATTTCATTCTTATGTTTCCACTTTATTAGAAATTCCCCGAGCGCTTATACACGCGCTTATCGAGCGCTCCAATGACTTACCAATCACGTCTCGTAGCTACTATAAATACTGTTCTGTAGAACACGAAAATCCATCGTTTTTTATTCCTCTATTTACAACAGGTTATGAGCCCCGCCTACTGGGCTTAAACCATCACTCTTACACTCGTTTAAACTCGCTCGACTCGCACTCCAACTACCCACATTTAACTAATCCATCGACACCGATGTTGAACTTATCTTATCTTATCTGAAGATTATATCGTAGATTAGATTAGATTAGTGAGACTTGGTCCAGAACACTCTAGAACATTCTAGTGTAGAACATTCTGGAACGTCACAGGAGTAGGTGCTAATACTTGCACCATATTGCGTCATTATCGCTCATTCTTACTCATGATGACTCATTCGCTTACTCACCCGTCACACCTTCCATATTTATGTAGTATACGTCACATCTGTCACGCTTCCTGTAAACTATAAATACCGGCCCTCCCTGGCCTTGGAATAGATGATAGAGTTCGTCACAACTCTTGTAGTTAGCCACTAGTTAGCCTCACACAACTCTCTACCTGGTAAGTCTTAGAGTAGACCACCTTAGCTAGATAGTGTTTGCTCGACAGGTTATGAGCCCCGTTAGGCTTTAGCTTTGCGCTTGTTTGGCTGCATTGCTAAATCTGGTTTGCGCTAGTCTCTGGCTGCATCCAGAATCTAGTTTGCGCTTTTTTGGCTGCATCTAGATGCTCTAAGGCTTACTACTTGTGGTCGTCATGATCTGCGCTATTTTTGGCTGCGATCAGGGGACTAAGGAGCGCTATTTTTGGCTGCACACTTGTCCTTCTATTCTCTCACGAGAACGCCATGCTGATGATCGGTCTCTTTGACAGATCTCAACAACCATGTCCTCCGCCCTCACTCAACTTGTTCCGATTCTTGATGGCACCAACTATCGAGAATGGAAGCCGCTCGCCATCGCTTATCTCCAATTTGCTGGCGTGTGGGATGTTGTTGATGGGACCAATCCGGAGCCTTCTGATCTTCCCCCTGATGCCAAGGAGGAAGACAAAGAAGCTCGCCGGAAGGAGTCAAAGGGCGTGGCTCGAGAAGAATATGACTGCTAAAGGTGCCCCTCACCTTACGCATGACACCTGCTATTCGCTTGACCATCCAGTCAAACCAATTGGCTCGAACCATTTGGACGAAGTTGGAGGAAAGTTACGGTACTCCAGGGGCATCCGTGGTCTTTGCCGATTTCCGGAAGGCTATCGCTTTCAAGCTTTCGGAAAATGAAAATCCGGTACCACAAATGGATGATCTCCGATCAGTCTTTGATCGACTTCACGCCAATGGTGTCAGAATGCCTGACTTCTTCCAAGCCATGATCCTGATCAACGCAATTCCCCAGAAATGGGATAGCATTGCGGTTCTGTTGATGCAGAACAAAAAGGTCAAGGAACTCAAATTGGCTGATGTGCGTGAAGCCATCATGGCGGAGTATGAACGTCGAACCCAGGGTTCCGTTCACGCCAACAAGATGTCAGCGATCAAGCGGAAGAAGGGTAACCCCAACTTCAAGCAGCAGAAGCAGCAGCAGTCGTCTTCTAACTCGCCTGCCCAAGGACAGCAAGGACAGCCTTCTAACGACAAGAAGAAGTCCAAGCGTGGGAAGTCGTCCGGAAAGAAGAAGCAACACCATCACCATCATCACACTCACATGGTTGATGCTGATTCTGATTCTGATTCCGATGACTCCTCCCAAATTGCTTCCGCTGTCGTCCTTGGCTCCCACATCATCTCGGCTCACCATCACACTCCTACTCCCACTACTACCTCCGTCGCCTCGTTTACCTCGTCCGGCATCAAAGTTAATAAAGTCCCCGTCAATCTTCCGGCTCAAGTTTACACCCCCGCTACCGCCGAGAAGACCAACGATCCCCGGACTCATCCAGTTTATCCGGACTTGGCACAGGCTCAGGAGATCTGCGATCGGCTTCACGTTCCTCGCACTGCCAAAAATCTCCGACCCCTCATGGATTTCCCCGTTAAGAAGTCACTCGAAGATCGTCTCGAATCACCTCCTCCTGCCAAACGTGCTCGTTCCGAGTCTCCTCTCTTTACAGACTCCGACGATGACGATGCAGTCTCACTTGGCATGGATACCGATGACGAACCCGACTTCAAGGCGGACACGGAGATTGAGGACACTGCCATGGAACTCGACACCGGACACATCGACGAACAAAGGTGTGTGTCATCCCGTCGGCTGAACGAACAACTTGCTGATCTCACACAGCGCTCTATTCTAATCGATGCTGCTGTATTACGTGATGATCTGTATATGGACTTATGTATTGCTTTGAATTACCTCGCTCGGCAATATATGTCTATTTCCTCATTCTTCGCGAGTTGTTCTGAATGCCACTCTCCATTCCATGGGTATGACGTCTGGATGATGGACTCCGGTTGTTCTATGCACGTCACTAGTGATGAGACCGATTTCGCATCCTATACTCCATTAAGAAATTCGCCAGAAATTCGCACAGCTGATAAAAAGGCTACTCTTCGTTGGGCTGGAGTTGGATCCGTCTTCATCAAACACATGGTGAAAGATTCTCATGGGAAATATCAAGAAGTCAGGACTCGTCTATATCCTGTCTATCATGTCCCCAACCTACATGGACGACTACTCTCTATGGGAGAGTTTCTTCAACAACGTGGACACTACGTTCACGGTGATAACAAATCGATCGGCATCTATAAGCCCGATCAATCTCAAGCTATCGTTTGCCGTCCGGCTATACCCGGTCACACCATTTTCTGGGTTAAGACTCGGATCACTTCCCGTAAAGAGTCTAGCGGCAAAACAGCTCTCGATGGTTTATTCCGTCGACTACCAAACCATGCATCGACGCTTTGGGCACCCCTCAAAGGAAGTGCTTGAGAAAGCGAAGGGACATACCAAGGGTTTCCCACAGAATGTCTCTGTACCCGAAAAGATGTACTCCCTGCAAGGGATGTCATGAGGGAAAGATGCCATCAAAATCGTTCCCCACCATCAACTTCTCGTGCGAAGAAGCCTTTTGAGAAGATTCACTCTGATCTTAAGAGCTTCCCGGTAGAATCCTATCACCGGTACAAGTACTTCATCGCTTTCTTCGATGACTATACCTCCCACGGTTGGATCGTCCTTCTCCGAAAGAAGGATGATGCCATCAAGGCCTTACGCGACTTCGTTGCTATGGTCAAGACCCAATTTAACGCCTCCATCAAAGAGTGGATGTCGGATGGAGGGGGAGAATTTAAGTCTGAAGAATTCGATAACGCACTGAAGGAACTTGGCATCAAAATTCTACAGAGCGTCCCGCGTCAGCCCCAACAAAACGGCAGGGCTGAGCGTTTTATCAGGACAATTATGGATAAGGCCCAGGCACTTCGCTTTGACGCCTGTCTTCCTGAGTCCTGGTGGGAATTCTCGGTGTCACATGCCGTGCATCTCTACAATCGCACGCCTGTCAGACGTCTTAAGTGGAAAACTCCGTATGAGCTATTTACACAAGAAGGTCCCTGACATCTCGCACTTACGTGTCTTTGGTTGTGGCGCTTACGTCTACCTTCCCGAAGAAGTCCGAAAGAACAAACTATCACCCAAATCTGAACTTATGGTGTTCTTAGGATATCCTGAGGGAATGAAGGGTTATCTCTTCATGCGCTTACACAACAACAGTCTCTTCCGAGGCGCTACGGCTGTCTTTGATGAGACTTACTTCCCGAAGTGTCCTGGTGCACAACCTCAACGAGGTGGCGTTCGTGCCGGCGACGAACCGCCTCCACCATCGGATCGCGGAGATGACAACATTTCTCCTGAAGGAGGTGACGATGATGACTTTGTCCATCGTCCCAACTCCCAAAATGATACCCTTCCCCAAAGGGATCAAGGGGGAGATCGTGACGACGATCAACCTCAAGATCCGCCGCCACCTGCCCTGGGAGATCAACCAGAGGAACCACCGGCTCCGGAACCACAACCGGACCAACCTCGAAGATCTGGCCGTGAGCGGAGAACCGTTACTCGTCCAGGCTCCATCTATGGGGATAAAACCCCTTCACAAATTGATGCTCAATCGCAGCGTGATTGGAGAAAGACTGTTGGAGATACCGAGCGAAGGCCTGCCGGTTACCCACAAGTCTAGAAATGCAAGATGAGGTTCCCCAGACCAAATCCTGCTGATAATCCAAATCGCGATAGTGGCACTGCTGATGAGCGTGGAGACCTAGAGAAACGATTGGCCCGATTGGTCAGGGAAGGGGGAGTAGAGTTTATCACATACTTGCTTTCTAAGGCAGTTTCGCCCGATAAACCCCTTCAGAAGTCGCCACGTGAATACACATTCCGTGACATCCAAAAACTTCCGCCTAAACAGCGTGAGAAATGGTTAGCTGCTTGCAAGCTGGAGA